TTAAAATAAAAAATTAAAAACAAAAAGTCAAATCTCAATTAATCAACTACACGATTCTCCAATATATATAATTAAAAACAAAAAGTCAAATCTCAATTAATCAACTACACGATTCCCCAATATATATAATATATACTACATCTACATATGTCCCTTAACAATTTATTAATTTTTTTTTTTTTATTTTGGTCCGTCCTATAAAAAATATTTATTTTTTTTAGTAATTGTACTATCTATCTAACGTTACAAATACCATTTCAATTTATAATATATTATACAAATATCATTACATTTATATTATACAATACTAATAAATCTTTGTACATTTATTTCTATTATATTCAAATATAATATTAATACTTCTAAAATTTCGTACAAAAAATAAACGGATAGATAAATATGAGACGAATGGAGTATTTCATTTGTCATTCAAATTTATATTTACTTTTTTTTTTGGACTGTCATAAAAAAATATATATATATATATATTCCCATTTTAATTTTAAAGTAAAAAAACCAATTGTTACCACTCCTATAATAATAATGTAAAAAATCATTGTTCAATATATATAATTGTAAACAAATACGTACTGATCATATGCTGATCGAAAATAAGTCAAGATGTGCAGATTTAATCGCAATTGTTAATTAAGTAAGAATAATTAGATAAATTAAGATTCTTTTTTTTTTTTTAGAATCAACGGTAGTAATAGAAGCTCAGCATGCTGAATTTACAATTTTCAGCATACAATCTTGTCTGAAAAAATAATGTACATAATTCAAAATAGATGTCCTAATAAGCATAAATATAATAAGTAGTAAATTTCAGTTCAATAGGTGAGACCCAAATGTAATGGCCCTTAATTCGATCGGTTCCACAGCCAATCCTTTCAAAAATAAGATTACAAAAAAAAGTAGGGATGATTTTTATTTGGAAAGTTAGGCATGATTTTCACATTGTAATAATAATCATAATAACAACAATACAATACAATACAAATTAATTAATAATTGGGTGAGGGAGTGAGGACCCAACTGTTCAACGGCTAAAAAATCTCGCCCTTCACAATCTGACACGTCCGAAAAATGAGGGCGAAAGAATCTTTGTCGTAACCAAAAACGTGATTAAATTGACCTCCCGCCACTCAAAAGCCTACACGTATCACCTGCCGCCGCGTTCCTTGTCTGAAAAGCACATTCTTCTTCTTTTTTTAAAAAAAATAAATAAATCTTTTGGAAATGAAAAGAAATCAAGCCGACAGCAGCACTTCCTTTTTTGGTTTCTGCTTTTACAAATTCTGCTGGGTTGACTGCGTCGTCGTGGGTCAATTTCACTTCATTCTTCGGTCGGTTACTCGATAAAACCTAACCGATTTGACGACGTCGTATTGATCATTGACTGACCACGTTAAATGAATCTGTCCATGTTTGCACATATATACCACTTTTCCTCATTTTATTTGCATTATTCAACAAATTAATTTATTATAATTAATTAATGTGTCTGTGGGGTATTGTATTCAATGACATGACATGCGTGCCACATATCATAGTACCACGCGCATATATATATATATATATATATATACGAGTTCCGATTTTTCCAACGATTTATTGTAGGTGTTACGAAACTTCTATTGTCAAGAATTTAAATAAATTTCAGAATGTCGTCTTTAAATTCTTGGACTTTAGTGATTTTTATTTGGTTGGTTTATTTAGGATAGATTTTTTATATACATATATATATAGTGCTGGATAAATTTGAGTGATTCGTAAACAAATTTGATATAACATATCATTAATATTAATATGATATAAATATAAAAAATGAATTTAATATACATGATAATAATTCACATAACATATAATAATATTACTATTAATCTTAGTGCACAAAATATGTTTATCCAACATACTTATGAAATATTAATTTTCAGTGCTATGTTAGCAGTAATCAGAGTGATAATTAACCTTAATCAGCATCCTACCCTTCCCACTCATCATATTATTGTTATATATCTATATATTGTTTTGGTGAATTTTATTTTTCAAATATATATAAACTATCATAGAATTATTTGTGTTGCCATATAAAATTATGGATATGCCCAACAAGTCCAATGGCCTTACTATGGTCACAACTTGCCAAAGCCCAACCCAAATATGTATATTCCTACACCTACAAGTCCACCAGATAGATAGGCACTCTAGGCTTTTTATTAGTTGGAAGCCCAACCCAAGTTGTGTATTACTCCTCCATTCAATAAATAAAAAAATAATAATTAAATGCTCTTTAATTTATACATTTTTACACTATGTTAAATTAATTTTGATATTTAGTTATTTTACTAAGATTTGGTTGATTTATTGTAATTTAGTTATATATATCCATTATATTAGGGTTTTTTTTTTTTTTTTTTATCAAATTTGTTTTAGATTTTTATTATTAATAATAAGTTATTTTTTAAATTTTTGTAAATTATTTTAACATAATAGCATAGTCTAATTTCCTCTCGAAATTAACACAAGTAACTAATACAATTTTTCCATTAACCACCAACAATCCATCGACACCGACCCAAATAGTTTGTAACACCTCAGCATGCAATCCATGTATACCAAATTAGGCCTGTTGGGATCGTAGTTATGCACTTTGATTGACTTTTCAATGGTCGTCCATTATGAAATTATTTTAGGGAATGAAATATTTCGAAGTTGAGTCAACGCTAGACCAACTTTTGTATGAATAAGTCGAGGCTTGGATCATCCAAGATTAAATAAAAATTAAATAAAGTGATCTAATTACATATATTAAGAATGTACACATCTTTTCGGGGACTCACTTGAAATAAAGTTAGAATTAAACGTGTTTGTTCTAAGGTAATTATAGGAGAAACGATCCTCCGAGATGTCTTTCAATATGCATGTGAGTAAAAACAAAGTGTGCTGCTAGAACTCGTATCTATGTGTAATGTCAGTTTGCAATCCCAACACGCCCGGTCTGTGTGGCTTGCAAGCTGGGATGTTACATTTGGTATTAAAGTCGACTTGCAACAGTCCGTAATCGTTAATCGAATTGTTGAGGGGCTTAGCAGTTGATAAACGACCCGGTGTGGATGTTGTATTTTTAAGGGAGGGGGATGTGATACCCCGGAATTGGATCGGTACTAGGCCAATTTTCATGTATTGATGAGTCGGACCTGGACCATCCAAAATTGAATAGAGTTTAAATGCAATAATTAAACTATTTAGGTTAACAATGTATATATTTCTTTTCGAAATCTTACTTAAAGGAACTCTATAGTTAAATGACCTCTTATAAAGTCTTTCAAAGTACTCGTCAATACGGACAAAATATGCTTGAAGTATTGACTGTGGAGCCCATTTACAATCCCGACGTGTCCAATCTATGTGACATGCTAACCGGGGTGTTACACTACCTTCACCACTGCATCGATCGATAGCGACCACCATCAGAAATTTTGCCTCAGATGGCGGCGCATGTAGCCAACATGTGGCTTTATCTTGTGAATTTTCTTTATAAGCCTATGTTACCTATTTTTCTATTCTAGTACATATGAGTTTCGAAATTTATTCTGGCGTTTGAAATTATTCTACTTTGGAAATTTCTGAAAATGTGATTTGTTATTTTGGGTTTGGGATATTTTCTGATTTTGAACTTTATATGTGGCATAAAGAAAATAAATATTCATATGTCAATAAATATTATTTTATACTAATTAGGATATTATTATCAATTTTGGAGTGTTCTTTATATATGACTTGACATAGAAAATAAGATAATTTGTCAAAGAGACTTGATAGACTTAAATACTTTCGATTAATTATTAAGATTTAGATTATAATTTTTTTATATCCAGTGTATTATGTTAGTTTTTATTTAACTCTATCAACTTTGTTTCATGTCAATTTATAGATCTATATTTCATTATCAATAATAAGCTATTTTTATTATTTTTGCAAAGTATTTTAATACATCTATCTACAAATATATCAATCACTTACACACTCAACTTTTCTAATAATTACTCGCACTTCACTAATTTACTAATTTACTTTCCAACATATGTACTCTATTAATATATTTATTAAATTGTATATACAATTCAAACAAATATATATATTTATTCATTAACGAGTGGAGTATTAAATAAGTTGTAACAATCAAATAATTTCAGAATTGGATTACTTGCTTTTCAAATTAATATTGTTAAAGATGTTTGTACTTTTTAACTTTAACCATTTCGAATTAATGTTTAATTAAAATGTCAACTTAAATTGCCCTTAACTTTTGGCTTAACATTTGTTTTTAATATAATTGAATCTTGAATTGTGAGGTAACAATGATATTTTAGATTGAATCAATAGTAACATCATAAAATTAATTAGCTTATACTCCATACGTCTCACATATTATGTCATTTTATATTTTTTGTGTTCTACATATCATGTCATATTTAAAAACAAAAAATAAAATAAAATTATACACTTTAATTATATTTTAAATTTTTTTATAATTTATAATTTTTAAAATTTTAATTATACTAATTAATTATTTTAATTTTATTTTATATTTATTCTTATTATATTGTAACAGTTTTTACATACATTCTTAATTATTTACTAATTATATTTTTTTTTTAAATTTTTGCGTATACAGTAACAATGTCATAATATCGGAGACGGAGAGAGTATATTATACAGGAATTGAAGCTAATCGGTAATGACAACAAGTAGAAACTTGTTATACGATATAGAGTGCTATATGATGAGCATAGTCTAATTTAGATCATCTTAAATAAGACTCATGTAATTCAACATGTTTATAAAAACAAACACACAATAATTTTTTACAAAATATAAGAGGTAAAGATATTTTTATCTTTTCATCTAATATAATTATTTTTATTATTCCAAAATTTCTGTGAAAAAATAAATAAATGAAATAAATTTCTCCTGGATAGAAAGAAGTATTCCTTTTTCTTGCTCGAATTCTTACAAGAATATTGGCTTTGATTACAATATATAAAGTACATACAACTGCTAAATTATTGTACAAATCCCAAAAACCAGATAGATTTGAGAGAAAGGAAAGAGGCAAGACAATTTATAATTCACAGACAACAAAACTTATAGCAAGCATTGCATTTGATGAACATGCAAAGATTATAAAAGTTTTGTGCATTAGAGACGAAGTGCAGAACGACTTACAGCAGCCCTTTTACCTGTTTCTGCACACAGGTATGCATATACATATACATACATATATATATATATATATTTCTTCCCCCACCATATGTTCCTGTAAGATAACGACAAGTTTCATCAGCCAATTATTTATTTTAAGGGATGAGATATGTAACTAAGCAAGAATATCAGACAAATATATTACAGCAAATTAACAAAGTTCAAAATGTGCATTTCTCTATAGAATTTTGCGATTAAAAATACAATAAAATGAAAAATAAGTTTTTAAGTGTTATATTTAAAATGATATACATGTTTTTAATAATGTTTTGATTGTAATCTAAAGTATGCAGACTTAGGTCCACATGACATATATTCTAGTATACTTTGAATGTTTTCTTCTTCATTACACTCCTCCTTCTAGGTTAAGATGCACCCCCTAATTAGCAAACATTAATATTCAAAGTTCCATCAGCAACTTGAATAATAAATTGGCATCTTACGAATAGGATATATGTAACTATCTATAATATTTCAGATTATCCCCGGGCTGTCTAAGTTCGTAGGAAGATTATAATCTTCTTCGGCTCGCCTTCATAAATATACGTTTGTTCTATTCCAAGACATATATAATCAATCAAACGAGCTGTAACAATGAAAAAGAAATTTCAATTAAGGCTGTGGGCAGAGATTAACTTCACTATATGTGTAAAGAATGACACATCCTTAGCTTGCACAATGAATAAAGTCTATCTTTTTATTTCCTTAATTAATGTTAATTGCACTAGTTTGTATAATAGTACTGATCATGCCTCAGAAAATTTCTTTAGATAGAGAAGATAAATTAGTTCCATCATGGGAATCACATAAGAACAGTTAGTGGATTAATTTTACAATTTTCTTGAAAATGGCAGAAAAAAACAGTTCTTTAACTATTTTGAATCCCATTATTATATAAGAGACCCTATACACTGCAAGTCAGAAAAATTCTGCAGGTGCATCCAGTTTTTGCAGGACAGATATATATATATATATATATAAATCTATACACACACAAAGCCCCTGATGACAGTCATCGTGACTTTTGATATCATATGGGGTCGGTTATATGAATCACTTAATACCATTGTATTCGATCAAGTTGAGACATATATATATTCTTATCTAAAGTTCAGACATAGATTCTGTCTAAAGTTTAGACAAAACCCTTGTAATGCCGAAGGCAATTACAGTTTTGACCTACATGACCAACACAAAATCTAAATATCAGGAGAGCTAATCTAGCAAAGATGCCAAGGACAATCAGGTAAATGTCTAAATCCAAATCATTACAAAGTATAATTAATAAATTCCTGGATGCATAATTTGACCCACGAAAGTATTTAATTAGCCCTCTCAAGGAATTTACTTTTCTTAGGGCTTATTCATAAGATTTTTTAAAAATAGATTTTAAGAATAATAATTATATACATATATATATATAGATAGATAGATAGATAGATAGATAGATACGTCAAAATTGTGAAGGTGATGATTACAAGAGCACAAATACAGAAAGAAAACATTGATGAGTAGCTTGGCGGCAGGTGCAAAACATGATGAGTTAATTGTTATTACATGAAAAGCAGCGAAACAAAAAATAATTGAATATTTTGTCCATTATAGACATAAATATGCTAAAGAGTTCCCCACAGTCCAACCAAAAATGCCAATTTGTGGGGAGGGGGGCAAAAGGATCTGCCAAAATCCCCAAAGATGCCCACAACAATGTGGCTGCCTCACTTGCAGTCGACCTGTTGTACTAACTGGGAATTTTTCACATTCCATTGATGAAGAATTTGACAAGAAAGAGTTGGATTCCCCCCTCATGCTTGTCTAAATTCGTCTATCCATTTCAAAGGGCTTACTTAGAACAAATTATAAAATAAACATTATCCCAATTAAATTACCTTAGCTAGGTAATTAATTCCAATATATAGAACTTCAATGAAAAAATAGGACACCAACATATATTTCGAAAAATATCGAAACTGGCTTAAAGGATTTAATCAATTATCTGACTGCTACAACAAGAGTTTAATGATTTCAAACAAGGTTAGAATCTAGTAGAAAGAGACTCAATTGGGGTTTAGGGTTTGTAAATTAAATCCAAACACTTGTAGGATTCTTATATGTTCTACTTCATTCTTGATATATAGATATGTCTATGTTGTAACCTAATTATCGAATAGAAAAGTTAGGGTACCATACAAAGCTCTTATTATTATTCTCAGATATTGTTAACATAATTTCAAATTTCTGTTGTCTACTAATTATTGATTGCATTCAGCTAGGGTTTTATGAAGGGAGGTGAAAGTTTCAAAGTTCATGTCTGTACTACGATTAGATTAATGCTTCAGAAGTTCAGATTCGATCGATGTCTGATCCCACTCGAATCGTGGATCTTCTTCAACAAGAATTACATAATTAATTAATTAATATTACCTGTATTAATCAATGGAGGATCTGAGATTCAATTCAAGAGAACCGTACGATGGAAGAATTGGCTCCATCGTGAGGAGTCCCACTGCCACTGCAACTCCCGCTACCTCCACCTCTCTTCTTCTTCTTGTACGGAATTCCTCGTGCCCTAGCCTGCCTTTCCTTAACCTCCCTCAGGTAAATCCTTATGGCTCCACTGGCAAAAGGGTTTCTCTCCGGCGGGCCGCCGTTCTCCTCGTAGGCGGCGCGCAGGCGGCCGATGAGGGCATCCAGGCTGCCCCACGCCTGACGGAGCGGGCAGCTGCACGGCGCCGGCGGATCTGGCTGCCCGTAGAAGATGCAGCCGTGTATGTGGACTTTAGTCTTCCCGAACTGATCCAGATACCTCAGGAAATCGAGCACTTGGTTGCTGCTGCAATCGGCGAGCCCCACCGGCGGCTGCTGGTTCCTCAGGAACTGCCCGAAAGTGTTCCAGTCGCGGCGTTTCTGCGACTCGTAGCGGCTCGGCGGCACCGCGCCGGAGGGATGATCGGTGCTGTCCCGGGGAGACCTTTCTGACAAAACCCTTCCTCGATCCATCTCGATCGATCGATTGAGTGGAGAAATTAATTAGATGTGAGTAACTCAGTGGATGGATTCCATGAAATTATAAGAGGGTCTGTGAATGATTCAGAATTCTTGGTAGCAGCTAGTTATAATGAGTTGAAGAAGAACATCACATCATGTAAGAGGAGGCTGCAAATGAGCTGATCAGATCAGATCAGATTATGACATGCAATACAAACAATACAATACAATACAATGCAATGCAATTCAATGGGCCATCTCTCATCATTTCCTTTTCACGTTTTTCTTTTATTATATATAAATACGTTGATATTCCATTTGGTTTGTCTTTTTAATTTCGAGACATCTGCTTAATTGCTGGTTTTTAACAGTTAATTGAATTTATGTATGGTATAGACTATTATTTTGCATATATATAAGCATTTTGAGCAAAAGTAGGGTTTAGTTACAAATTTTCCAATATACCAGAAAACTGTTTTTTTTTGTGTAACATTGAGGCATATATCGGTAGTTCATGTTAGAATTAATCAACAAACATTGATATTAACATTGAATATAATGATGATGTTAGAACTCTAAACGGTCCAAACGTTGCTTTTTGGGATTTGCTCTGAATAATGTTTTGAATATATATAATATTTTGTCATAATATTAAATATTTATAGAAAAATGCAACAATTGTATGTCTATGGATCATACGCTGATGCATCATTAAGTTCATCATTTTGCTAAACTTAATTTTAACCACATAGAATCTTAATTCAACAATCTTAAAATTAAGAATTGAGGTTCAGCATGGGATCCATAAAGAGAGCCTATAGATGAATTATTTGAATTTAATACTCCATCCGTCCCACGTACCATCCACATTGCCGTTTCTGTCCGTCCCACATACCATGTCACTTTCATTTTTTGGAAAATGATTACACACTTTAATCTCATTTTAAACTTTTTAATTTTATTTTTTTAAATTTTAATTAAACTAATTAGTTATCTTAATCTTAAGTTATAATTATTTATATTATCAAAGATAATTATTTTCACTAATACATTCTTAATTATCTATTAATTACACTCCTCCTAAAATACTGTGTCTATATGTGACGTAAATAAATATTAGATAAAGTATTTTTAATAGATAATGTGTTTTATATAATATTTGAAAACTAAATATTATGTATAATATATATTAGGAGAATCTTTTATTAATAATACGACATTAAAGTTGAAAATTGAGGAATCTTATACACATATATACATATCTAGAATGTGCACATCATTATTAGATCCAAGTGTTGTAGGACGCATGTACACATTTATTTTTCAGACGAGTTTACTATATTTGTTGGAATATAATTATATAATAATTATGTATTAACTCAACACAAAACTATTACTTTTTATCTCAATCGAAATTATCTTTTTAAATTATTATTAAAAAAAAAAAATTCCCATTTCTTTTGTAGTAAAATTGCATATCTATTTTTGGCATTTATTATAAAAGGACAAAAAATATCTATTATTATAGATTCTCGCTAAACTTATGTTCAAATATTTGAACATACAATTGAAAAATGGAAGGAATATAATTTCATCATATGGCACGTAGTAAACAAGCCATTGATTATATTGACTTAAAAGACGGAATATATAACTTTTAATCATAATTTACGGAATTACTTTATGACACTTTTTATAGAGTAGAATGATCACATAAACAAATATATTAATTATAGATTTAAGATAACGACGACTTTAATTATAGGAATCTATATATGTAAACATATACTTAATTACCATTGATAGTTGACATTTCTTAATACGAAAAGATTAAGAAAGATGTCAATACCTTAACAAAATGTCCAATCTTTTCAAGGATCATTTATCCTCTATCTCATCAATGAGTTTCTAGGCAATCCAAAGTCAGAGCTATGGAAGATTAGCCTGTCCTTTTTGTGGTTTTTGTAGTTTGATATTTATTATTATTATTATTATTATTATTATTATTATTATTATTATTATTATTATTATTATTATTATTATTATAAAATCACTGTTACATAAATTCAAACAGCTAAAACTACTTTATAAAATAAAATGAAAAAACCCTCAAACCATCGCTAGACAAACTCATCAAACCACAATGTTTGTGTTACGTGTGTAGCTTCAACATATGTATCTTGTGATTTATGCACACAAAATTACAATTCAGAATATGGGATGTGTTTTTATTTTCAATTTTAATGTTTTTAAAGTCAAAATGATTGCAAACTACCATATTTTGAATGAAAATTGAGAATTGTGTTTTATTTTATGTTTCTTTGTGTTTGCAACACCACATTGCAGATATATATATATCTGTATAACTTTCTGTTTCATTTTTCTTATTTTTCTTCGGTAGCTCAGAGAGAACCTTCAGCAACATTGTTTCTCTCAAATAATTAATTAAGGGTAGATCTTTGATTTGCACCTACTTATATACTAATTGCAAGCCTTTCTTGTGTATGCATGGTTACTTTGATAATTGAGGTTGTCAATTATCATAGAATGATTGCCCAAATAATATGTACATGCTTAGCAAGAATTTAGACACAGTTTAAAATGATTGAAATTATTTTCACTACTCGCAATTATTGAGCAAAGACAGCCAGCAACTTCGAATTGATGCCTTTAATTAGAGATAATGTTTTGATGAACAAAAGCAGTCATTTCTGTGAGACAAATGGAATCTAATTTGGCACCACCACTGAATTCATATATACTCATATATATATATATATATATTAGCTGTATATATAATTTGTATCTGGTTATTTACTTATAAATCTATCTTAATTATTAATATTTTCCAACATAGGTAAATTAAAGGTGTAATGATAATAGTTACATTAAAACCAACATTAAATTTAGGGTACAATTTTGCATTTCTCTTCCATTGAAGAAAGAAAAGTTTATCAGCGGGTCAATCCAAAGTCACCAATAACTCAAATGCAGTAAAATAAAATAAAATAGTGAATTGAACAATGAATCCCATGATCATTTTATGGTTAAAAATTTTTCGGATGACTTTAATAACATTTTCCTACATACAATAAAACAAGGATTTCATCAAATTTTTTTTTTTTAAAAAAAAAAAAAAAAAAAAAAAAAAAAAAAAAAAAAAAAAACCGAATTTAAAAGTGTAAACAAAATGCAATTCCAAGATAATTTACAAATCACTTGTAAATGCAATTCCAATGCACAATTAGACCAACAAAGTGAAGAGGAGAGGGTACATTACAACACCATTTAAAGCCATTTCTATTATATATTTCATGAACATGCATGCACTAAACATATTGAGGGACTTATCTTGTTCAAGAAAAGTTTTGTTGATATTCTTACACAAATTTGCATACCTCAAACTTGAGGGGGAATATTAGCATATATTGATTAAAAACATTTAACATATATTGAATGTGTATCTTGTTATTTACTCTTGTATGTTTCTATCTTAGGAATATTAGGTGAAGGAATAATAGTAGCATTAAAAGTTTACTATTTCTTGAGTGTGTGTGTGTGTAACTGTTATAAAAAGGGTAGAAGAAGGGGCCTTAATCAAAAGTTGAAATGTTATCTTTATACATACATACTATATAAACATAATGTGAATATATATAATGTTGTACAATATGTTGTAGCATAAATGATGTGATGAAGGGAAGGGCAAGTTAAAATAATTAATGTAGTAGGTAAGGAAAGTGTGATGGCGCATTCATAGTGGGCCACAATGGGTCGGGTCGACATAATGGCAATCAAGAATTACTACTACTACTACTATTTTAATTGGAATTGTGAAATGTTAATGAGCGATAACATCCTATTCTACCATGGTGGAAAAACACTTCCAACACATTCATTATTGATTTTGGAGTTGGTTAATTAACACTAGTACGATATTATCTGCTTTAAGCTGAGCCCGTATGAATTTATTTTTGGACTTGCTATCTGACCCACCACAAATGTAACCGACCCAACGCTGTTAGGAGATTTTCGACACAAAGCCTCGTGCTAATGGAATTTATAAAGTGTGAATTTTTTTCCACATCTTCCGATGCACCCCCAACAATTGACCGGTAAATTTTCAACTCAATCAGCCCTTTTGTAGACTATTGATAAATAAGTTAAGTGAGAGAGAGAGAGAGAGTGTGTGTGTGTATTGCATTTGCATTGCAGAAATGAATCCTGCAAAAAATAGCACTAGTTTCCAATTGTCGAATGGGTCCCACTCCAACTGTATAAGTTTTGTCTATATCAGAGAAAATTAGGGCTTTTGAGTGATAGTAATTGATTGAAGGAAGAGGAGAGGACTGGACTGGACCGGACCGGACCGGACCTCCTCCAACTTTCAAAATGTTTATTTCTTTCTGATTGACTGCTTGATTGAAGAAATGCCACCAGAAAAGGAACAAGCATCTTTCTGCTCATCAGATTGGACTACTGGGAGGGTCCTAAAGAATCTCCCTCTATTACCTAAAGAGATCAGGGCTTTGAATATATTTCACAAGACTAGGAAACCAATCATGTGCATTTGAGGTCCAGGTTGAGGTTGCACTCATAGCTTATTAGATTCATGAACGTTCCCATAAATGCTCTCCTACAATTAATTAATTGGTTATTATTATCCCAAAATTACTTTCTTAGGTGTTTCACCACCAAACCTAAAGTTATTTCATGTACACGACTATAAATAGGCCATTCTACACACTATTTTGCCAAGACTCATTAGGCCTAAAATTAATCATTCAAAACACTATTTTTGCCATCCTAGATGTTCAACATCTAGTTGTCGCTCACTCCTTAAAAAGTACATATAGCTCTCATTACAAGATCAACCATATAGAAGGTCCCCCCCTACTCCTTGAAAAGTACCAATGACTCTCAATAGAGGGATTATAATGAAGACCACAGTTAACCAATTCAATCTAACAATTAGTATCACACCATATTACCTAAAGAGAATTGGTTCATTCATTCAATATAACATTTAGCTTATTAATTCATAACATATTCACTTAAAGCACATTCATTTTGACAAAAATTACCGGGTAAGGAAACCAATAAATAAACAAGGAAGATGACTTAACAAACTATGGTCTTCCAATTTTCTCAAATACATTGAATAAATAGGAAAGCTGTTAGTAGTACTGTGAGCTTTTGTCCATCAAAAGCAGGAATGCCAGTGATCTCATGTCACACTTAATGTCAAGAAGGATTTCATCTAAGCAGAGGTTCCTCAAGTATATATACATGTGAACGCATCGAACTGAAAGATCTAACTTTTCACATTGACACAAATTTAGACAAATCCACTAACATATCCACAGAGCATACAGCTAACAGCACACATGGTTTCTTCAGAATCATCACATTTAAAACCAAACATAGATGTTAAAAAGTTCAGACCCATAACCTACATAACATCAAACGAAGCAGTATTTCATCCTAGTCGCTGGCACGGTAGAACTGTAAAAGTTTCGGGTATGCCACAGTTTCCTAGCAAATGAAAAGATTATGAAATGTATTAGTGTCTGCAGTTCAAGTTGCATTCTCATTGCTTGTATCTTATGTATCTAGTTCACAAAATAGGAAACTACAAAACCTTTACCTGACATGTTCCATCAGAGTTGGCAGGGAAATTAAACCCAATCGAGCAGTTTTCCAACACTTGTGGGCTTTTCATCCATGCCTTTCGTGCGTCGCATATTTTTATTTTGTACTTGAATATCTGTAATGAAATACACAGGAACAAGCATTCAATATACAGTGGCACAATTCTTACAAGGCAAGACTTCTCTGGCCATAATCACAAAAACTCAAAGTTGCTTCCACTTCGTATTTTCACATTCATATTCAGAGAGCTAAAAACAAAAGTAAAGGAACATCTTGGAAGAGAAAACACAAAATATTTCCAACTTTAAAAATTTAAGAAAAATAATTAACCGAAGCAAAAAGCAAGAACCTCAGAAAGAGGGACAGTTGGTTTCTCCAGTTCCTCCCCATCTATATCCACACCAGTACCCTGGCATTCGGGGCATAATACTGAGACAATCTGCTTTTCTAGCACATCATGCTTTGCCCTGCTTTTACCCGTCTTGCTTTTAGTTTTTCTCCTAGATCGTCTTCTCACTTTGGGATGAACTGACTGCTTTTCATAAATTTCAACCTCACAGAGTAGTAACCAATGAATGAGACATGAAGTGTGAAACAGATGGAATGCCTGAATGAAAATGGGATCACTCATTTTAATATTACAAGATAATAGCAGAGAGCTGCCAAACATCAAACAAAAAGATGAAATCTCACCCCATTAGTATTTCGGCTGCTGCAAGCAAGCTTTCCAGTTCTTCTGTTCAAGAGGGTGGCAACATCTTTATTTGGAAGCATCTTCTGTTGGCATATATCACAAGCCCTCTCTGAGGCAACACGCTGTTGTTTTCTCAACTGTTTCCTCATGGTTTTGCTTGATAAAATTCGAGAATGAACTAGCTGATCATCATTTCCAGACAAGATTTTAACAATTGAATTATTTGAAGATTGAGACTCTTCACCAGACGAATCATCTCGATTACTTAAGGCCTCACTTACATCCTCTGGATCAGAGAATGACTTCCTCTTCTTACCTCTAGAACCAAAGCCATCCTCAGCTTCTGAGTAAGGACTAAAAGGAAGCGAATATGTGAAACCATCAAGTAATCCCTTCCGACCCAGGTTATAGTTGTAAGAAAAAGTAACAACAGAAAAGTCATGTTCAGGAACCCCATTAATATTCATAACCTCAGATCCCTTTTTCCCAAGCCATTCACACCATATACTACAAACTTTATTGGAGGTTCCACCTTTCTCACTAAATTTACCACCAATCAGTCCAACTCCCACATGCCTCACTACCAAATCAGACACCTCATCTTTTTGCAAAACCGCAGGAATAATGAGGTCCTTACTGCTTTCATCACCATCAAAGCTCGCATAGCTGTGATTTTCATCACAATCATGATTCTTCTTAGAATCCCGAAGTACATGAGTACTAGCATCCGCTCCCAAACCTTCACCGTAATTAACAATAGCAAGGCTATCTGCATCAGCGCTATGGTTGTCTAGAAACTTGTTTTGCTCGGAACCTGAAGCAAGTAAACTTCTACTGTTCTCCTCTGAATCATCATGAAAGAAAAGCATGCCATCACTGAACGGCCATGGATTTGGTTTCAGCAGAGTCATTTGAGCAGCTGCCAACCTTTCGGTGTGTAGACTACCCTTCAAGTGATTAAACAGAACTGAATCACTATAACAGGGTGCAAGACATAAAGAACAGTAAAATATCAATTTCTTTCCATCTTCCCTAATTTCAACATACGGGTGCCCTTGAGATCTCACGTTCCGAAGAGTCGTCCTCACCAACTGCTCTTTCAAATTGCCTGCACTCGTCTTTGGAAACCCTAGTTCTCTTGTATCCGCCATTTACCAGTTGCAATAAGTATATTACTTCAAAACTACCAAGATATAACCCAAACTCTTAACATCCACGGGACAATCCACAATGTGTGAGTCCAGATTCAATCACCATAACTAAACTGAAACATTATCCTTTAAATGAAGAAATTCAACTTGTGTCAGGGATTGTCCTTATCACACAAACATTTATCGTATACCCAGTGGAAGTTTGAAGTTCAAGATTCACTTATCACAAACCCACAATCTTTGCACTTAGTAATAAGAAATCAGTAACTCCCCCAAATCACACGTCGATTGCAGACCACAGAATTCCCAAACACCGGTTCAAATTAGATCGAGAAAAAGCGCAATGGCAACAGCCTTCTTGAATAACAGGGAATTGACCAAAACAAACCCTCGGTATGCTCAAATGTTCAATCCCAGTTGCAACGGCATAAAAACAGAAATTAAAACGACAAAGACAACGAAATACCTAACTCAAAATTCAGAAAACCCTAAACTTACAACTTCGCGGCACCGTAGGTATTATAAAGGTCTTAACAAACCGTCGAGCTATTCGTTTTCCAGCTATCATCCCCCCAGCAAACACACAGCAATAAACCATCAGCAAGCTCGATTCCTCCAGAGCAATCATTTTCAGTGCTTCAACGAAAGGGGAAAAACTCGAGCGCAGAGCAACAGAAAGGAAAAATTAGCTGGGAAAATCAAAACTAGAGATGCATACAGTCTCGAATTTTCGTTATCAGACTAGTGTATGATTGCACACGCAGAAATGGCGACCACAAAACAGATGAAAGGGCGCGGGCCGGAGGAGGCGAAACCAGAACGAAGTTCTAATCGATTTTGGCTTTGCAACAAACAGAAATCAAGGTTATGATTCCGTGTCTCTCGGGAAGGAAAAGGACAGTGTGCCTAACGGATCTCATCCGTCCAATTTATGATCGAAGACGCAATCAACGGCGCCGATGCGTTCACTTGAAGAGGCATATATAGGAAGATTCGAATTTCTAAAAACGTGATTCGCCATATGCCAATAAATAAATAAATATTCAAATTACAGCCATGCCTAAGATCCAACAATCTGCAGTTAATGAAGAAGAAATTGACATGGCTAAGGCTTGACACTATCCACAATTTTTGAAAATGGATTCATGAGATGAACACTGAAAGCATAATGAGGGAATTATACAACGAATGTATAGCTAAAGGTGCAGCGAGGTTTCCTGTCCAGCAGTAGGAGGATCCGAGTACGATTCCGACAATAAAAAGCTGTAAGAAATTCTCGCCGGAGAAGTGAGCCGCGCTGAATGCAAGAGAACTCAATGCAACCGCTTGTCGCCATTCCATATCGGAGGCGGCTAGCGATGTTAGAAGAAAGCCTCTGTAAACAACTTCTTCCAGCAGCGGCGTTACAATGCTGTAGACAAGAACACTGCACACTATGGAGCTTGAGCTGCTACAAAGAACATCCTTAACAAAGGGATCGTTGGCATCCTGTAATGTCAATTCATGTACAGACAGTGAGTAATATTATCTTCTTTGTGCATTTTATGAACAAATAAAGAGTGGAGTGGCTTTACCTTAGAGCCTATCAATATTTCAGCAAAATATGAAGTAATGAAAACCAATGAAGAAAGAAATCCAAAGCCAAGAGCTACTCCTAATAATATGCTTCTTCCTTTCGAAGATTTGCTACCATGGAAGAAATCTGCAAGATCATATTGAGGCTTCCCAGGACGCTTTAAAAGTAGCAAAACAATTCCAAGCTCTAGGGTTTGGATTCCAAGTAATAAGAATGCCTATTCAACAAACAGCAATATCAGTTTGATATTTAACGACTACAACTTCAAATGAAGAGAACTTAAAACCTTCACCGGCATATTTACACATTATTGTCCATCCACTTAATTTGAGACCGATTTTACAGAAAACTAGTTATATGAGATTCTCCAAATGAAAAGTGCAAAATTATCATATCAACTAGAGTCAAACAATTAATTGAGACACTTCCTCGATACAAGAATCACAGTGACAATTAGAGAGTTCAAGAATGGTAAATAAAAAAATTCTTACGGGTACAAACTTGATGGTTTTGATGAAATTAAAATGTAAGAATAATAAGCATACAGTTCATAATGCCATCTTGAACATATAGAAATAAAAAATTGCAATGCTAAGAAGAAGAGAAAAAGAAATGGTATTCCTTAACAAATATCCACAATTCTAGCTGACTGATAGATCAGAAGACAGAAATATCAATTAATCAATCTCACATGGGAAGTTTACCGCAATCTGTGGATTGAGAAGAGGCTGTTGCAATAACTTCGCGGCGGCAGACAAACCACCAAAACTTAATGGAACGTGAATGCCAAATACGTAAAAACCTACAGAGCTCCATACATTTCCAATATCAACTTGTGCATTTGTTTTGAGAATTGAGAAACCCTGTAATAACAAAGAGAAAGATTTCAATGGATAGCTTCAAAATTAGTACATGTGAATATCGAACCTGAGGGAATCCACACATATCCTAATTTCCTATCCATAGAAGCCCAAGCAAACTTAAATTTTAGCTCATTTGTATGATTCCACCTGGAATCTCAGCATCTTGTTATTAGTCATTCTCTCCTTTCTTCTATTGACAAGGCTGTAGCTAATTCTAAACACAAATTTGCCAATAATAACTGGAGGACAAATATCTCAGGCATAGCAAGATCCCGTGCTAACTAAAATTGAAAAACTTGATTACATTAACCTATGCATACAAATTTTAGTTCAGTGCTGATGAGAATATGGTATTTGCATTATCAATCTTGTATTTTGTAGTGTATATAATGTTTGCTTCCAGAACCTGAAAACGAGAACTCAATTCAATCAGGGGCACACTTTGACAGAAAAAAAAAAATGATAAACAATTTCAATTAAAAGCTAAAACCTCATTTTCAATTCTGCTTCACAGTTGAAAATCCGAAGTCACCACAATTATCAATTGAAACCCTTCTTCCTCATCACAACCCCCACACCCCCCCCCCCCCCAACCACACAAAGAATTAGTACCCATATGGATGTGTTATTGGTTCTATACTAAGAAGCATAATTCAGACAGCGAAACAACAAAATAATCAAAAAAATCAGAGGTTACTTGGTGTGTTGCTGGATCGTCGTCTTTTCCCCTGCAACAACACTGGAAAGAGGACAGTCGGCCGCAGACGAATCCATCGCTGGGCAGCAACTTCTTGTAAACCCTAATGGCATTGGTTGGACCTAGACTCAAGAAAGGGCTATGTACCGAAGTAGTAATAATACTCATGCCCAGCTATCAGCAACTGCAGGAAAATCTCGCACTCGACGTTTGATTGAAGAGATTGAGAAAAGAGGGATGATTGAGAAACAATAGGGATTTTATGTGTATGTATTTTGTAAGTTTCCAGAGATAGCAGAGAGAACAGTTGTCTTTTCTTCGAAAAAAGCTTTTTCCATTCAAAATTTTAAAAAAACTAAAAAGTATACAGGACGTTTGAAGCACAACCTCAAAGTGGTAAAAATATTAACGGCTTTGAAACGTGAATCTGTCGTATGCCATGATGATTCCTAGGATTGCTCCGATGACGTTTTGGGCAAACAAACAATTGGACATGAATAATCAACTGTGTCAAAAGTTCATTCTTTGGACACCAAATGTTGTACATCTCCGAGCTGAACTTCACTTCCCTGCAGCTCATATCCATCCCGAAACAACACCTCGATCTGCTCCAGCGACTTCCCTTTCGTCTCTGGCACAAATTTGTATGCAAACGCCACCGAGAGTGCAGAAATGACCGAAAAGATAAAGAACGCCCCGCCAACCGTTATCGCTTTCGACATCGAAAGGAACGACATGGCAATTAGCCCGCTGCACACTCGGTTCCCCACGGCCCCGAGAGCCGACGCCTGCGCTCGGACCCTCAATGGGAAGATTTCCGACGTAACAACCCAACAAACCGGACCCATGCCGACGGAAAAGAACGCAACATTGCCGCAAACCGAAAGCAGCGCCAATGCAATCCCTATTGATCCCGGTCCGATGAACGAGAGTGTCGCGCCGATGCTAAACAGGCATATCGTCATCCCGATCGTGCTCATATACAGCAGAGGCTTTCTCCCGACTTTGTCGATGAGAACGATAGGGATCAAGATGAATAACGTCTTTGTCACTCCCACAGCGACGGTAGCTGCAAGAAGCTTCGAGTTATCGACAATGCCGGCAGCTTTGAAGATCTCGGGACTGTAGTATACTGTCGCATCGATCCCCGTGATTTGTTGGAAGCATTGGATACCGAAACCGGTAACGAGCATCCTGCGGAGGGCCGGCGAAGGATTAAGAAGCTCACGCCAGACGCTTTTTTCCTCGAGTTTGCTATCGCCGTCGAATCCTGCAGCTAATTGTATTTCGGCGAGCCTTTCATCGACCTCGGCTTCGTTTTCGTTCGTTTTTAGAAGCACTTGTCGCGCTTCGTCTACTCGATTTTGCATCACCAGCCATCGCGGAGATTCGGGGATTATAAACAGAGCAACTGCGATGAAAATGGACGGAAGGATTCCCACGGCGAGCATTATTCGCCAGTTGACGTGCGCGGGAAGCCCCGAGAAGGCGTAATTCGAAACGTAGCCGAGGAGGATCCCGAGATTAATGAAGATCTCCGGGAACGACGTGAGTGAGCCTCGAGCGGCTGTCGGCGATATCTCCGCTATGTAAACCGGCGCGATCATGACGCCAAATCCAATTCCGATGCCGGCGAGGATTCTTCCGATCATTAGGACGCCGAATGACGGGGCGATCGTCATTACCGCAGCGCCGGCTTGGAACACAATGGCGGCCAGCCCCATTGTCCATTTTCTTCCAATGGCGTCCGATGTTCTTCCTCCCCCTAAACTGCCCAAAAGGGACATAACACTCAAGATTCCGACAAGAATCTCTTCCTGCACCTCTGTTATCTTCAGATCTTCGTGGATAAATAAGATGGCTCCGCTCATAACTCCGACATCTGCACATCGAAGAAAGCCATTCTTAATCCCAACTTTAATTACAACTCTACGAACAAACAAATTGCCATTGGAAGTTAGCTTAACTAACAGCAAGTTTTAGAGCCCAGAACGAGCCAATTGCAGTCTCTGCAGAGACCTAAAACACAAGCATTAATGGCATCCAAGATTCGGACATAACAGGACAACAGAAAATCAGATCCTCGGAAAGAGTGGGGATTCCAAACACTTGTCGAAAAAGGTAATCTAATCCTCCCATATCATTGAATTCAAAACTTCGATTTCCCTTTCTATTCGTCTAAATCCGAACAAGAGAGAACTGATTTCACTTCCCAGAAAGAAGCACAAAAATAAAATATGCCGATGAAGGAAGGTCAAAGGTTCTTACCATAGCCGAGGAGGACACTGTTGAGCGATGCGAATACCGAACAGGCAAAGACATATTTCCTGGTAACCTTCCGCCTCTCCATCTGGCGTCGGTGGTCGGCGGCATCGTAATCTTCGTCAAAATCATCGTCGTCGTCGTCCTGTGTCGGCTGACTGTCCATTCTCCTGTACTTATTGTTCTTGCCTGACAATCCCATGCCCGCAGCCCCATTTTCTTGGGCGCCTCCTACCAACCCCATAGTCAAGCAAAATCAAGGGGGAAGGAGAAGAGAACTTTAATTTAGATCTGAAGGAGAAATTGATCTGATTGGGATCGGCAAGTTGGCATTCTTTAAGTTCTTACCCCAGCCCAAGTTCCGGTGGAGCTTTCCTACAACTATCAACTATCCCTATAGTCTATTCTAATCGATTTGGATATTTGTGTTTCTTCATTTATTTTTCTTTCTTCTTCCTTACAAAGCTTTCTTTTTATTATTACCATGACCAATATCTTTTAAAATACAAAACACTGCTGTAATTTCTTTTAAATTATACAGAGTTTGTATTTTTTTAGTTTACAGTCGTAATTTTAAATTATAAATATTAAGTTGATATTCTAAAAATGACAGTATTTTGTTAGAGGATGTTGAAAATTATATAAGTATTGACTTCAGAGATGAGAAAATATATATATATAGTGTGTGTATAAATGTGATGGTTGACCAGTCATTTGTTGAGGAATTTTCCCAAATACAAAAGGGGTGTGTTTGTTTGGAGGTTTGGATTTTTTTGAATTAGGATTTAAATAATAAAAATTTTGAATTTGAATAGTTGTATGATGTGATATAAATAGGCGTTGATGTGATGTTTTGAATGTAAAATTAATTTTTAATATAATATAAAAAATAAAAAATAAGTGTTTGATTTAATGTTTTTGGAGTGAAAATTTTGGATGAACAGTAGGATTTTATCTAAACCCTACAAACGAACACACCCGAGGTAAAAGCGTGTCCAAATTCAATACGCGTGTCATGGTATCCCGCCACTCAGCCCAGCCCGGCCCGTTTATACTTAGCCCACTGTATTATTTACGAATCTAAAATGGAACCATTATGTCAGCCTAAATGCCTCTTCGGAAGCTTATATAAACAAAAAATACATACACAAACACATGGGTTAGACAAGGCCCATTATTATACATAAGGCCCAGACGACTTTAGGCCCATTCCGTAGGAAATGCCCAGTCAGCAGTTTTTTGTTACAGGTTCAATAAATGATTTTAACACTAATAAACATATTTCTAATTACTAAAACTCGTATTGTTTTTTTTTTTTTTTTTTTCTTTGAAGGTATATTATCGTAACAGTTTCATTTGGTGATTTATATATAGTTTTTAACTTTTAAAGCATGGTATGGTATACAGAATGAATACATTGAATAGATAAATTTTAGAATTTAGTGTGCTGGGTTGGGTTGGGTCCCTTAATTATGATTGGGCGGCGCAGTCGCAGTCAGTGTCCTAAGTTAGCCTCACCGAAAATGAAACTCAAACTAATTGCACGCCGGTCATTGTAAGAGATGTAAAATTATACTATTTTATATAGGTTCTGTTTACTCTAACATACTTTTATTAAATATTTTTTTTTTTTCGCAAAACATCAAATCAAATATTAATATTTTATTTTTTTCAAATTTTTAAAAACTTCCAAAAACTCTTGTCTAAACAAACCATATTCATTTGCATTAAATACATATAATATTATACTACATTCGTCCAGCCACAAAGTACATTGTGATTTTTTTTTAATATTAATTATTATATCAAAAGATCGCAAAAATATATATTTACTTAATGAGAGATAGTATTAGTTAGTTAATTAGTATATAATGTAGATGTATTTTGAAAAATATACAAAGGGATTAATGAAATTTTAAGGGAAAAAAAAAAAAAAAAAAACTTATGGACTAAATATGTAAGTCGTTATAAAAATGTTATATTGAAATCTATACATTAAATGCTTAGATGCTATTGTTATAAATTAGCGTATTGCATTCACTTCGGGTGTGTTTGTTTGAATAATTTTGGTGCACTTCTACTATTCATCCCATTTTTTCCCCAAAATAATATCAAATCAAACACTTATTTTTTATTTTTTATATTATACTAAAAATCAATTTTACATTCAAAACATTACATCAACACCTATTTATATCACATCATACAACTATTAAAATTCAAAATTTTTACTATTCAAATCCTAACTCAAAATCCAAACCCCCAAACAAATACACCCTTCATTTCCAACTTAAGCACAAAGGGACACACCGCTTAGTAATCATGCAGATGAAGTCTAATTGAATGAACTTCAAAGATTTAGATGAAGATTCAATAAGAACATAGAAGATGACAAAAGCATAATCGGATTGATAGATGACGACTATCATACAAGGTTAATGAGCCTTAGTTGATGAAATTTGATAAAGATTTTATTGAAGTCAAATAAATAAAAACTAATGAAGATTGAATTACAAATTGATTTCTTTAAAAATTAAATGGTGAAATTAAAGGAGCTTCAATGGTGTAGAAGAAAGTGGTATAGAAGAGTTTTTAGGGAGGAAGAAACATGCGTCCACACTATAACACATTTTTTTTTATATATCTTTATTTTTATTTTTATATATTTTTTTTCATTCATTGTATTTCATTTTTTTTATTTAAATATTCGGCCAATCTAAAAATTTATAAATAAAACAAATTACATTATTCGAAACCATGTATGATAAATAATACATGGAGGCACCAGAGTTTGAATTTAGACCTCATTAACAACTGCAACCAAACAACATTAGATATTCATCGACTTCTCAATAAATCGAGTGTCGTCCAGCAATATCCGTACCATTTATTTTTTACACTATTTTCTAAGATTATATTCTGAATAATAGTTAACAAATAGTATGTCTACTATAGTGCGTATTGATTAAATAATATTGTCTCCATCCTCTAATAATCTATCTATTTTTTTCATTTTGGTCTGTCACATAACAAAGTATCTATTTACTTTTTTTTTTTTTTTTAAGTAATTGTACTGTCTACTTTACATTATAAATACCTTTTCAATTTACAATATATTTCACAAATGTCATTACCTTTATATCATACAATACTAATAGGATTAATTTAATTTTTTTACTTTTTATTTTTATTTTATTCAAATATAATAGTAATATTTCTAAAATTTGATGCAAAAAATAAATAGATATATAAATATGTGACAAAAAGAGTGGTATTTATGTACTATCGGATAGAAAAAAAAAATAATAATAATAATAAAATAAAGATAAAAACAAAACAAAGAACAAAAAAAAACTTAAGTAATAGTAATGGTGGGGTATGTCACGTCATGTCCAATACGACTTTCTCCACCGCCACAACCCCAGATATTTTGAGGCCACGCTTTCTTTCTTTATAAATTTAAATTTAAATTTAAATTAAATAAATAATACTACACGTTTTTTAATCTATCATCCCCTCGTCGTCTTCTCGATCTTATGTTAAAAATATATATATTTAATATGACATTTTTATATATATAAAAAAAATATATTATTAAATAATATCAGGAACTCTAAATAATCCTTTAAACTCTTGTTGCGTATTATTCAATAACAAAAAAAATATCATATATACTTTTTTTATTTAAATTTTTACAAATTTTCATACTATTCGCTCTAAAAAAATTATAAATATTTTTTTGTTATTCAATTGTTTTTGTTGAGGTTGGGTTGCATTGCAATGCAAAAATAGTTATAAGCTTCGTAATAGTCTTAATCATGTTGTTAGGACATCATCATTATAGTAATAATAATAATAATATTATTATTATTAAATTAAGGTGTGATCTCAGGGGCCGGTTAATGGACCCCTCCCATAGCACACCCATTTCTTGTCTTCCCAGCAACTCTTTGATTTATTCACCAATAATTATTGTTGAAATCATAGGATCTATTTATATATGATTTTTTTAAAAAAATAAAAAATAAATTATTTTCTTTGTATATATCCATTGTTTTTAAGTTGAATTTTCTAAATAGAATAGTTTGAATAGAAAATAACTTTATTATATAGTACTACTATATTATTAAAAGATATGTAAATGAAATTGCAAGTGAACACATCAACAACACTCTTGTGCAATTATTCCCTTGGCGTATAAGAAATATAAAAATAGATATATTTTTATTGATAAAAATAATATTGTATAAGAAGAAAAATAAAAAATCAGAAAGAATAGTTTCATTGCTTTGTTAAAATACTTTAATATTATAGTTTCTAAATGTTAAAATATTATATACGTTTCTATAATAAAGGTACAAAATACAAGTAAACAAACCCTTCATAGAGAACATAGGTTGACAAAATAAAAATAAATTTACTTTTGATATGTTACATCAATATTTATTTATATTATACAATTATTTTAATTTAATTTTTTTAATATTGAAATCCCAAATTAAAATGGAAAATTCCACTAAAACACAACCTTAGAGGACAAATCACAATTGAGCATGATTTTCTGTGTCTCTGTCCATTTAAGGAATATGCCAAACCTAATGTCGACAAACCCCAAATAATTATTTCTATTAATTTAATAATCCAATGATTGATTCAGCACAGAAAGTAAACCAACAACAAAATGCTGCCCTGAAATATATTATTCATCATTGGCTAATTACTGAAACTGACCACCATAAAATACAGAGGAAGAAATGCGAACAACAACATCCAAAAATAGTTACTACTACTAAGATATCACTACAACATAAACGCCATTAAAACCTGTAAAAACAAGAAAAAATAGAAGCTTCCATCCTGAAGATCAGAAAAAAAAAACACAGATCCCTGATAGATGGAGATTCACCGAAAGAGGAGAGCACAAAACCGTCTCCTTCTTCGCCGACGAAAATTAAACTAAAAGAAAACGCCAACTCTGGCGTGAAATAATTAACAGCCCTGCAGATGACCTAAAATATGCAGCCGTCTGCAGCCGGGAACCAAAACCCTAAGAACCAGTCGTGTAGGAAAGGGAAAGGGAAATGGAAAGGGAAAGGGAAGAAGAGAGGAGGTGAAATTAAGGGGAAATTGGAAGGAAGAGGAAAGGAATTGCTGAGGGAAAATATGATTTAACCCAATTGTAACTTTCTTCTGAAGATCTTCGTTGTCGTCATCAATGGAGTCTGATCAGATAGAACCTCTGTTCTTGTCCTGCTGCTGCTTCGATAAATCACAATCGTTTGGCGTTCCGAAAGGGAGATTAGGAGGCAGCAGCAGGTTGTTGTCTGCATCCAAATCGTCCCAGGCCGGGCCGCCGGGGCCCCACCCTGCCGGAATCGCGTCCAGCCAAGCTTCAGCCATGTCGCCCCAAACCAATTCAGACGATGGAGATACATCTGCTCCCGCATTGCCCTGGATTTGATGATCACTCAAAGTTACGTCGCCAGGCCCCAACCCGGAAAAATTCTCCACAGGATTCGTATCCCATGGCTGTTCTTCGCTAGCTGTGTCTTTGGTCTCTGTTAGGTCCGACAATGGCTGTGTAGAAGATGAACCAGGCGCAGGTGCCGGAGCCGGCGGTTGTGGTGGTTGTTTTCCGAGGAAGAGATCGGGAAAATTGAGGCGGGCATTTTCCCCACGCAGCTTGAAGGCCTCCCGGTCGTAGGCCATGGCGGCGTCCTCCGCCGTGTCGAAGGTGCCGAGCCAGAGGCGCGTCCTGTTTCTGGGGAGGCGAATCTCGGCGACCCATTTCCCCCAGTGTCGCTGCCGGACTCCGCGGTAAAGCTTCGTGGTTGAAAATGGAGTGGTCGCCGGGGGTCTCAATAAGGCCTGTCCGTACCTCTCCATCATCGTCGTCGCACTTCCTCTCGGACTTAAGTTGAGCGCGTGTCGCCAGTACTGAAGCAGATGCTGCTGTTGGGCGGACGTTGTTGCTGCTTCTCCGGCGAAATAAGGGGGAAACGCCGCCGCCTGGTTCTGCTGGGCGAAGGAGATCATCTGGTGCGGCGGGGCGGCGGAATTTGGGGCCAATTGTTGCGACCCGTCGAAGGCGAAGGGGAACACTCGGCCGCCGGAGTAATTTGGGGGGAAATTTGCAGGCTCTGCGAAGGATTGAGAACGGGAGAAGGAAGGGCGTGGGATCACGCGCTGGTAGGGCGAGGGGTTTAATGAGCGTTCGGGGCTTTTGATTTTCTTGAGAGGCCTGTCCGCCATGGAAGCTTCTTCAAAAACAGGGTTCCATGGCTGGCTCTCGGAGTCGACACGGTGCTCAATCTTGGATTTACCTTTGCTCTTGTGCGAATCCATGGGGATTAAACGAATTTCTGGCCGCCCGCTCCTTCCAAATCAAGATCAATTCGGGGAAAGGAAAGAATAGGAAAGAGATGAAGAAGAGCTGGAACAGAACAGGGGGATGAATTGAGATATGGGAGAGGCAAGCAAGCCGGCTTTGGAAAGCCCAGAAGCTAAAATTCACTGGGCAATCGCCGGATAGAGTTATGAATTAATTTAAATCTGGTTAACAAATTCTGAGTAATCCATCCATCCCCCCGATCGAACAACTGCGCAGACGAAGACGAAGACGAAGACGATGATGAGAGCGAGCGGCTGTGAGAATTGAATTGAATTGATTGTATGAGAGAGAAAAGGCAGAGAAGTTAGAGGGAGAAAAGAGGTTTGCGTGGTGGAGCTGCGAAGATATTTGAGAATGGTGATGGAGGAGATTAGGGTTTATATATGGGGTGGAGGCCATGAACGAAGTAGGGTCTGGTCTGCTCTGGTTATCACTGGTTCCTTTCTTATTGGAACTCATAACTCATACTACTATTTCTAACTCTTCGATACACAAGTATTTATTAAAAATAATTATATATTAATATCAAAATATTATTAAATTTTATTTGAATTATAAATATACTATTATTTATATAATTAAGTATAAAATTAAAAAAAGTAATAATGTAAAAAACTAGTATTATTTTTCAATTTATTAAAAAAATTCTAAGAGACAATGAAGTAATTTAATTTTACAGAATTTAAGGTGTATATATATTTTTTTATTTCATTGGATTTACCAAAATAACTTATCTTCAGTTATATACTTTTAGGTGAAATAATTTTTTGTAGTATGAAGAATTATTTTTTTAAAAAAAACCTTAATTAAAAATAATGCTATAAAAGCAAAATGATTGTTTTTTTTATATGAACGTTATAATTTTTTATATATAAAATAAAAGATAAATTCATCTAAAGATACAAAGTAAACAAACTTAAATTGTAGATTTTTTTCTTGTTATAATGATTTATTGGTTAATTCAAAAGTACAAGGATGTCTAAGAAGAGACTATTATAAGGATCTATTAAAAAAACAGACCTATTTTTCTTTGATATTTTTATTTTTTTTACTATTTAATTAATATTTTCAATTAAGTAAATTATTTTCAATAAATTAATGCATTAAATTAATATTTAAATAAAAATCTACAAAATCTAAGAAAAAAAAAATACTCTAATTGTAGCAATTAACAAATAAAAATGTTATTATTGCAATACTTTCGGACCCCTACCTATCTTTTTTGCTTTGTCAAACTAAATTAATAGAAATAGGGGTCTGTTTAATTAGAGTGTGCCCACTAGGGTTTTTTTTTTTTTTTTTCCCATATATTTTTACATCTTTTTATCTTAATATATTTAATTATAATATTTTTAAAATTTAATACTATATTTATATAACATTATCTAAAGACAAATCTTGAATAATAGTAATAGAAAACATTTTATATACAAAACTATTAAAAACAAAAAACACTCAGGTTCTATGCTATTATATATTTAATTTTGATTTAATTTCGAATTTTAATTTGAATTTTAGTTTAAATATTATTGCAATATAGAGTTTATTTTTTTATCATTTCAAACTAAAATATAGCATTATTAACTTGACATAATTTTAAACAAGAATTCACTATTTTCTTTTTATATATATATATATATAATATCATATCAAAATACTCATTTAACAAAACTGAAATCAATAAATCATCTCAACTCAATTTCACGATACAACCAAACAAACCATATACATAATGTTTTTATGAGAAAATAATAGGTAAAATTGTTTATAACTCTCATGTAGTTTCGAAATTCAGCGTAAAATCTCTCTGTACTTTAAAAATTGCATGATACTCCTTATACTTTAAAAAATGTTGCATGAAACCCCACCACCATGAAACTTTCCTCTTGTAATAAGAAGATGATTTTCTATCTATATATTTTACATAGCAGAGGGTTTTATGCAATATTTTTGAAAGTATAAGTGAGCGTCATTCAATTTTTTAAAGTAAAATAGGGATTTATTGAGTTTCGAAACCACAAAGTGGTTTCATGCAATATTTTTTAAAGTATAAGGGGACGTCATACAATTTTTAAAGTAGAGGGAAAACTTACGCTGAGTTTCGAAACCACATGGGAGTTATGGGCAATTTTGCTAAAATAATATGTATTTTTATTATAAACAATACAAATTAATAATATTAATTTGAATATAAAATCCAAACCAAACACATATTTTTTAGATTTTTTTTTAGTTTATTCATTAATATAATATTTATTACTTTTAATAAAAAATTCTCATTACATAATATCATATTAAAATCACTATTTAAATTAAAAAGTCAAAATAAACCCCGATAAAATTATAATGTAAACAAACCTTATGTCTCCTCTCTTTTTTTTTTTTAAAAAACAAAATTCAAAATATAAATTTTATTATTATTATTATTATTATTATTATTATTATTATTATTATTATTATTTTTACAGTTTTAAATTAATAAACGAATGTATATATCCACTCCCAATTTTTACATCTTGCGATTAATTTCAAGTGGGAACAATTGGTTGGAAAGTCATATAAAAACTTTAAGGCGATTTGGTTGCAAAAAAATTGAATTAAAGATATTTTAAATTCATTGTAAGTTGTATAAAAAAGTTCTTTGACTTTTTAATGTTATTTCAAATGACTTGTTGAATTTATTTATTTATTTATTTTTTAAATTTCAGCTAATGTTAATCTACAAAATTAATAATGAATTTAAACTCATTAAATTTTACTGTTTTAAATATTTCCTCCGTCTCATTGAAAAGGTGATATTTGTTTTTTGCACGTAGATTTTTTAATATTAGTATTATATTGGATAATAGTAAAGTAGACAAAAATACCTCTATTAGTATGGTGTAACATAAAAGTAATGGCATGTGTGTAATACTCTCTCTGTTCCAGATACCACGTCTGCTACACTGTAGACACGGTATTTTAGGAGGGGTGTAATTAGTAAATAATTAAAAATGTATTAGTGAAAATAATTATCCTATAATATAAATAATTATAAATTAAGATTAAGATAACTAATTAGTTTAATTAAAATTAAAAAAAATTAAAAATTTAAAATGAGATTAAAGTGTGTAATCATTTTCCAAAAAAAAGAAAGTGACATGGTATGTGGGACAGACAGAAACGACAATGTGGACATGGTATCTGAGACGGAATATATTGTAAGTTGAAAGAGTATTTATTATGTTAGGTACGTACTATACTTATTAAATTAGAAAATTGTAAATTTATTTTGGGACGGACGAAAATAGAAAATGATAACACGGGTACGTGGGGAGTATTTGATTATTTAAAATACTTATTAATGTTAAATAATGAATTTAAATTTTAGAATATTTGAATTCAAAATTTATTTATATGTGTTTTAAATTAAATAATTAAATCATACTTCTTCCTTTGAGATATGATGTCAGTTATTCTAGACACCATAATTTAGAAAGTTATGATTAATAAATAATTAAAAATATATTAATACTTTATTTTCAAATTTATTCTCACTTTTTTTTTTAGTCTTTTTAGTTTATTCGCTACACTTATTTACAACAAATGTCACTTTTTTTATTATATTCTCTTTTTCATTTCTTTAATTTTTAACCTACTTTTTAAAAATATCATCAACTACCTTCTTATTTTTATCACATTTTCAATAAAATATTTATTTTTTTTTATTCTCCGTGTCGGACTTAAATATTTTTATTTTTGCAAACGGAGGGAGTAGTATAATACAAAATAGTTTAAGATTAAAATAAATAATGAGTATATTTAAAATTTAAAATTCAATTAAAATATAGTATAATTCTAAAATAAGACATGAGACGGATAAAAATGAAAATTGTGACGTATGAGAAGTATAATAGTAAAATATGTCATACTCAAGATAATTTAAATAAATTCATTTAAACTAATCAATGCAGCAAAGTTAAAATAAAACTTATAGTTGGCTTATTAAATTAATAGACCGATATAGATGAACTCAAATTAACTATAATATCTTCATCTTTAGTATCTTATAAAAATAATTGTGCAGCATAAAATATCTCACGAAAATGATGATCATCTAATAAAATTAGCCCAGTGTTCAACCCATATTTAATCATATCCGTTTAAAAGGTTTTCTTAAATTTAAAGTTATTCATTTCATATATTTATTTGTGTTTGAATATATATTTTTTATTCATATCCTATAAAAAGTAGTCTCTGCCAATAATGTTTTATGTATTTTTATTGAAGTATAAATTTTAACACTCTCCAATCTCCATGCTTTAATATTAATTTTAATAAAAATATATTTCATGATAGAAAATATTGACTCATATATATATATATTTTATAATATTTATGAAATTTAAAGTAAACCCAATAAATAGTGCAAAACACATCGAAACTTGTATCTATTTCAGTCATAATTCCTTAATGTGATCACAATTTCAATTAATTTAAATTCCGTGCTAATCTAACAAGCAAGCAGACAAAGATTTGAGCCTCACTTTCGGTGGAGAAATTGAAAAAAAAATAATAATAATAATAAAAAATAAATAAATATCAGAAGACAAAGTCAACCAACGTAAGTGTGTGTGTGTGTGGGGGGGCTGGGTCGGTTTGAATGGCACGTTTCGGTGGTCCACCACTGTCACTTCACCTCATCATTATCCAATTTTCAATAACATTTTTTTTTTATTTTTTATTTTTAAATCCAACAAATCAATAATAATAATATAGAATCCTATCCTAATGTAGCTATCGATCAGGTTTCGTGGAGAATAAGGAACCCTAATTAACAGAAGAAGAAGAAGAAGAGGTGGTAGTGCAGGCGGTGGGATTTCTTCTATTCTTCTTCAAGCCGACGAACATGGCGGCGAGTTCATCATAATCCGGGAGCTTCGGATGGACATGGCGGCAGGAACGGAAGCAGCTGTAGTCGTAGTTACCACGAGTACGAGGAGGCTGTTCCAACGGAAACGAGATCGACCTCCAGCTCCTCCTCATATCACCATTAATGCCCACTGGAATCTTATCTTCTACTGTCGGAATCTCTCCACCGCGATCGTTGTAATATTTCTGACAACTATCTACTGAGAGTGGAATATTCATCTTCTTCTTCCTCCTTGTGCTGCGACGGGAATGAGAATGGGGTCTGCATTTTCTGTCACTGGTACTATTGTAGTATGCTGCAGCAGATTCGACGTCGTCTGTCGCAATTCCATCTTCTCGGGACATCCAATAATTCCTTCTAGATCTTTTCCTTTTCCTTTTCGTTCTGCAACTAATTCCCTTTGTGGTCGTCTTTCTAATTAGGTTTTGATCATCTTGGTCAGCACTCCTGCTACTAATATTCTTCCATGGCAATCCCATAATTGATCTCCTCCCTTCTTCTTCTTCTTCGTTGTGTTTAGGGTTTTGTTGCAGCTCATTATCAGGTCTGTATTCGAGCAAGTACTGTCCATACGGTACTACACATGAAGTGGTGGCTATTTCGTCCAACACTCTGTACTTGAGATCATCGTCCTCAACCACATTTTTGGAGCAGACCTTTTCTATCATCTGCATTCATATAATATAAATATATATTAATTGAAGATAATTGATAATGATCTAGATGTAGTCGAATTATTAGTTAATTAATTAACCTGAGGATCGACAATGTTTCCGGGGAGCAATTGGAGGGGAAGCATGACGAATGTGGATCCATAGCGGTCTTTGAAGAGGTCTCTAATGGCGATGAGCTCCGGCAACTCCCCTAATCTTGATGACGAGAATATTAGAGCTGATGCTGCTTCATTGATCTCTTTGGGGCAATCCCTAATCAATCAATCAATCAATTAATATTCCATCAGAAAAGATGTAATACACAATGAATGATATTAACTAATGCATGGATTGGATTACTTGTGCTTTCGGATGTAGGGAATGCTGATTATTATACGTTCACAGAATTGGTCGAGGAGATGATATACTTCAATTGTTGTCTCGTCCTTGATAAGCTGCTCCACCTGCATGCATGCAATTGGAATTAATTAATTAATAATGCAACAGTACGATGATCGAGTATATACCCTTTGCAAGGCAGCTTGATGAAGACCATATTTGAGAAGCTCAGCGACATCCTTTCTCAGCTGATTCACAATACACCACTTTCTGTTCGTCAGCAGTTTCAGCCGCCACTTCACTCTTCTCACCAATTTCTTGCTGCGATTTGGACATCACATGACATGACATGACACTCAGCAATTAAAGAAAGCATCGAATGGAATTGAATCATGATTGGATTATATATGTACCATTTGGAAGCCTTTCTCCATCCGAATAGATTGCCAAACATTTTTGCAGATCACTCAACTCGACTCTTGGTGCGTTGGAGACGACGAGAGATATTTAGTAATGAGGGATGATGAATAGTAGAACAGAGCCACTCCACTCCCCTTCACTAATGGCGGTTGGCTATTACTTACTTTACGTACTATTACTGTTCGATTGTTTTGGTGGTTATGTTATGGGTGAAGTGGGCCACGCAGTTGGAGTAGTTGGTTTGACTATAAACTACTCCATTTATTTAATTTAATTTAATTTAATTAAATGGTCAATCTATATATATATATATATCCATCGATTAGGGATTAAATATATTACTTACTTGTTAATTTTAGTGTAGTGTGGTTTGGTAGGTAGGTAAACAAGAAATAAGTTTGGGTTCAACTTTAGTTACTGAAATCTTTAATTAATTCCTGCACTAATTAACTTATCAAACTTTAGTTGTGTTTGTGTACGGCAATCGCCCACGTTCATGTTAGTTATCTAGACGGCCATACATGTCATGACCTGAAAGTTGACCACGTCAACACGAGCCCAGCACGTGCCAGATTTCACATTGGAGGATATTATATTTAAATAATAACAATAATAATAATAATAATACATTTCGTTACTATCAATCAACAAAGCTTGGCAATTCGGACCGGAGGTGTTACCCGACCGGCTGACCGCTGACCGCAGGAAGCTCTCAACGCGCCACCGCCGACGAAGTCTAAAACCGCCACGACGGCGGTCTTGACCTTGACGACCATTTTGTCGAGCTTCCGACTTCCCATAATCTTTCCATTAGAAGTAATATTCTCCCCCAATTTGTAAGTCTGTAAGAATATATTCCTTTTCCTGGCCCGCTCACGCCGGTAGCTCTGCGATGAGCTCATCGGACCGTAGCCGCGCACGCTCCGCCGTCTCGAAAATATCCTCCACCCGTAATTATAATTATTATTAATTTGGCGAACATAACGTCCTCCGACATATCCTTCTGGGATTGCTAATTCCTTCTTTCTGTATAGATTGTAGTACTGATCATCGTCTTCCTCGTCTTCGTCCTTATCCTTTCTTCTAATAGCATCCATTGCAGAGCTTCTAGAAACTGTGTTCATACTTGCTGTTATAATTTAGTGAGATGGACCAGTCAGGTCTTCATGCAAAATAGCCACTCCATTGCCTCTTTATATATATATATATATATATAATGTCTCTGTGTGTGGTGATGTAATGGATATGTTTTTTTAAAAGGGTTTTTTTTTTTTTGAAGAAAAAAAAAGTCTTGATGAAATTATTACAGTGTTCTGAGATGGCTGGCGAGAGGAAGTTTCCAAATTCGATGGTGTTATAATCAAAGTTGGAGATAGATGATACTGCTTAATTCAATAATATATGCAATTTAATATATGTTTGATTGAGGTAAGCAAGTAGATGGTGTTCGGTTCGGTTTGATTTGATATTTTAATTTGGTTTTGAGCAGCCCTTCTTTGACCTCGGACTGGTCATCGGGTGTGAATTCAAACAATTAATTTGACATATTAAATTTTGCTAGGATATGATTTTTGTCACTTCATATATTTTTAACGAACCGAACGTGAGGGGATAATCAAAGTTGGAATCATATAAACCCCTTATATATTTTTGTATAATCTAATACAGCCATTTATTAATTTAAAAGATAGATGTTGATGTTGATGGCTTTTTCATCTTCAAAGATTACCTACCTGTATAATAAGTATATGATCCTTAATTGTCATTATTTTGAATAGAAAGAATATTAAGAGCATACAATATAGTATATGATTAACCTTCAATTAAATTAGAACCACAAAGTTAATCATATTAGTCTTCCAAAACATATATCCAAAAAGTGATGAATTAAGGCTAATAATGCACAATATTTTCTTTTATTTTAAAGTCCACCTTAAATTAAAGTTAAGTGCTCAATGGGATATGATATCTTGCCTTTAATTTGGTCCTTCCTTGCTCTTTATTAGTGTCAGCCACAACATCAGGCAATATTTACTGGTTTCAATTCCCAGGTCAGTAAATTCTCTCAAGTACAAAAATTGAATATATTCCCCAGCATCATGTGCTCATAGTCATACATGAAATGAAAAAAATTTACTGCTTTCTTATGGATGATATATGTATGTATGTATCTATTAATTAATTATTACATTGTTTGGTCGGGTCGGGTCGGGTGGATCATTGAATGCAAACACACGACACAGTCTTCACAAAAAAGGGGCATCTTGTTTCAACTGCACTCACGCAAAATAACCACAGCATGAATAATAATTAATAGTACATGCATTGTCAGTAAATAAAAATAAATAAACTTAACTTGTTCATTTACCACCATTCTTTTCAAAAGCATGATTTTCTCTATCTAAACTGGAAAACGGGTTGGGCAATGTGACATACTAAAGGTTTTTTCTTGTGATCACACGCACTGTTGTTCCTTGTTGTTGCCTGTGATTTGCTTCAATACTTCCTCTCATCTCATCTCCACCACTGCTTTAATTTATTTCTTTCTTTCTCTATATATATACATTGCTTCTGCTGCCCTAATTCTTCTCCACCTAATCTCATCTCATCTCATGTGCTAACCCAAAGCTCAGGCTGAGACTACACGATCAAGCAAGAAAAAAAACCTGAGACAGATGTTGATGATGAAGAAGAAGAAGAGCACTTCAATGATTGTGCTTTCTGTTCTTGTGTTGCTTCCACTGTCCGTACATGCAAGGAGCATTGGCAATCTGCAGTCTCCATGTAGGCTTGATTATATACATACATACATATATATATATACACACTTATATATAATTTTAATTTGGTAACTTTAAATAATTAAATGGATGCAGATATTGAAGGGAATCAAGTAGAAGCAGGGAGGGATTCAACAATGGCAAAACCTGATCAACACTACTACTACTACTATAGTGTAGGCATGAAGCCATTGATCCATACAAGGGCAGAAACAACCCTCAAGGTAGCCGGATCGAGCCTACCGGATTGCAGCCACGCCTGTGGATCTTGCACCCCATGTAGGCTCGTCATCGTTGGCTTTGTTTGCTCCTCCATCGAAGAAGCCGAGACTTGCCCCATGGCCTACAAGTGCATGTGCCACAACAAGTCCTATCCTGTTCCATGATATCACAACTTTATTCATATTCACAATCCATTGATTAATTTCTTTCTTTCATTATGCCTGCCTGCCTGCCTGTTGCTTAGCAAAGAGATCTTGATCTAGTTTTTATATTTTCTCAAAATACAAGTTGTTGTTGCCTTTCCATTCTTGTTAGAGATATCCTGTTGATTGCAATGAACACAAGCAAACCTCAAACTGGCAACAATGGCAACACAAATCGAAATGTGAGTATGAACAAATCAATATTTCCCTCTCGAGCATGTGTTTGTTACAATGACCGGTGTAAGGTTTCACAATTCCAACTGATCATAGGCATATATATTGTTACATTGGACAGAGTTCAACAAGTCCCATCATGTTAATCCCCCTTTCGCTGCTTGTATCGATTAGTATCTGTATGATGCTCTGTACGAAAAACTGTTCAAAAATTGATACGATTCCGCAGACTAGCATAAGCTACAGTAGGAGATTGGCTAACCTGCAAGGTAGACATTGCTAGAAAATTACAATAAGGTATGATCAGAAATAGATGATGAAATGAAGTGTAGATACATACCAAAACTCTTTAATTGCTTCCCATGTCTGTTCCAATCTGCTACGGTGTAGGATAGGGTGTTCTGAAGTGAAGTTCTCTGTAGTCTTCTCAATGGTAGGGCCAATTTCATGTACGAGGTTGACAGACTCTGATAGTCGATTCAGCAGGTTCATCAAAGCAATTACTTCATTTCTTTGCAATTCCAGCTTCAGAGGAATAAAAAAAAGTGGTTTCATCAAGCACCCATTACCCGAAGCATGTTTGATTCAGCAATACATATAGATATATATACATCATGTGTGTATGTGTGGATAATCGATAATTGCTAGCAAAAAAACTAGTAATGTAAAACTCACTGGTTGACTCAGATGGTTTTTACCATCCACAGAGAAAAGAATCTTGAGAGCAGTTCCGAGACCAAGAACCTGAAGCTTTCCCCAAAGTCGACATTTTTCACATCCAATACAATCCATCAGAGCACTGTTAAATACAGAGCATGTTTACAAATCAACCCGCCAACTATGCTACTATATGTCAAAGAACAGATATGGCGAAAGTAGAAGTTGCAAAATCGACAGCAAGGAATATGTGCTTTAGTGTGCTTCAGATTATTAAAAGCATGATAACAAACCAAAAACCTGATGTTCCTGAAATTGTTCTGAATCTCCTGCTTCAGTTCCGGTCCACTTTGCCCTTGCCACAATTTAGCTTCATCGAACGGGAGGGGGCATGCAGCCTGCAGCTTTGGGTTGTAAAGCAGTTGACGCATTAAGGATTGCGCTTTCAGGTCTGCCTCAACATTACCAGTATTGTATTCAGCCTGCTCCAAGTAATTAGCAGCCTGCTTGGCATACAAAGGTGAGAGTCATTAGCGAGAGGGTGATTTGGAAGCAGTAAGGATGTTAGGAGACTTGTTGAGATAATACAAATTCTTACTTTTGTCACAGCTCGAAGAACAAACATGAAAGTGAAGTACAAATTTTTCACACGATCGGGATACCTCAAGACACGATTGTACATCAACTCCATGTTTCTACCCCACTGGAATTATAGCAAAGTTGTATAGTGTCAGCTTCACATGTTGCAAAGAAGAAAGTGTAATATTGTCGAAAAACAAAAAAAGCTTGCAATAAAAAAGTTCACCAGAATCTCAACATCAGAAATTTTTTTAGTTTAGACATGATGAGAGTTAAAATGAGAAACCATTAAAATTCACAAAGTGAGAGGAGAAACTGCAGACCAGATTTTGAGCTTCATCAAGCAAGTACTCGGCAGCTATGTGAATAGAAATCGACGAGTGAAGGCCTGAAATTAGCTTGTATAAGACTCTTTTCTCCGGACAAATTTCTCCTGTTGAATCTGGACAAGAAAGTAAAAGACAATTAGCAGCTTGAATACAGGCGGACATGCACAAGCCCATGTAGATACAAAGGAACAACTGAACTCGGTGGATAAAATTATAGAATGCTATTTATTTTCTGAAAGCAGAACAATTGATCATAATGATGTAACAAAGGATAAGAAACTGACATTTAGGGCAATTTTCAGAGTATATAGCATCCCATATCCTTCTAGCTGATGGCCCCGTGTAGCCAGTGTATCTTTCAGGATTCAGTTGGAGATTAACATAAGTCATCTCACCTGCAAATGAGAGAAAACCCATTAAAGTTGTCGAATGAAATCAAAAGATAACATGAGAAGGGAATCATGAGTATTAACCACAAGCATTTAGACCTACGCAACCATAAACAAACAAGAACTAACAACACTTTCAAGTCTGGAAAAGAAATGAACCCAAGTACAGGCGAAGGCAAATTGCATGTCTTCAAGCAGTTCAATTTTGCAAATTTAATATAAAAAATGCAAATGGAAAGACACACGTAAAAATGTATTATTGATTAAGGGCAAAAAAAATTAAGAAAGAAACAGGTGGTTACTGTTATCAGTCTCATCATCATTGGTCCAAGGATTATCTACTTCTATCCATCCTCGGAAAGCCTGTGAATCTAGAGTGCGATCAACAGCTGCCTGTGGCTTTCCCTCTTGGCATTTTAAATCGTCCGGTGGAAGACCTGGCTGTACAAACTTCTTAAAAGGCTCTGGAAACTCACTTTCTGGACATTCACATACACTACAATCACGCAACTTGCACATGCCATCATCAGGCCAAAAAGGGCAGTCGCACCACAATTTAACCTGCCATATTTGGTGTATCGTGTAAGACAAGAACTCTGACACTGACACTACAAGCATCAAATAGATCCCACCAAACATTATAACTCATACAAAGTTGAAACTTCATATTAAGGTTCCACTCGACTACCGAAAGTATGGAACAAATAATTTTGAATGTTTAAAGCTCGTTACAAAATTGCAAACAAACTATTAAGGGAGAATGGGATCAGTAACGCCATCATATTTATAAAACATATCGACTATATTTTGGGATTTTCATATTTCTTCAGTTTTCACCAAATATCAGAACTATTCACATTCAGAAAGCCTCTAGTGTTATGCACTAACAAGATCAATTTTGTGTCTTCCTTTCAGATATCTCGTAATTGTCAACATATATTGGAATTAACCTGAACCTAAAAGTTACCTTTAACAATATAAAGAACATACATTAGATAAAATAGAGTTGAAAGGTTTAACAGGTCAAAAGTTCAGTTTTCTCAGGACAGTCAATATTTATGATTGTCTTTCATGGACACCATTCCCATAGCTTGTGCTACTCAAAATTCCATCTAAATACACACAATGCCTGTCTTCTGGAATAAGTAGTCTCAAAAAATTTCAGGGCCTGAATATATCCACCATTTGAATATTAATCCATCCAGATCGGATTAGTTAAACACACCAAAATCTACTATAAGAAACCAATTAAATACTAGGAATATATTAACTGATAGTCTAGAAGCACTGACATGATGTGTACTGACCTATTAAAAAGTTCAAATTATTATCAATGCTTGTTCTGAATCCACCAATATCTAAACCCTCAACCAATGTCAGACTGCATTACGATAGCTAAATTTAAGTTGACATATTATTGAATAGCATAAGTGGGCATGATAGTTAGTAACAGACCTTAAAGTATCGAAAGAATGGAGTTTTAACGAGCTCTTGAAGTAATGGATGCAATACTGCCCCATTAATACTGTCAACTGTCTCATAATCACAGCAACAATCCTCAACGATACCTGTATATTTTCGAGAGTCCTGCACAATATAAGACATGAATGAGGAACACAGTCTTGAGTATGGATCCATAGACCATGTGGTCAACAATGTTAACTAATTTACCACAAAACAAGACGCAGAAAACAATGTGTTCTAGCACCACGTAAGCTGTACCGGTACCACTCTCAGGTTAATTTACAAGTTGTTGGTAATATACTAATATTCTCTATTGAAAAACTTGGCAGTAAGTGAAAATAGAGCTGAGGCGGCTGAGTTTAGAGGAAGATGGACCTAATCAACAATTCTGTTGGCAGAAGTTTTAAAAATTTTCTCCGGCACTTGCAAAAAGACCTTAGTATTATAAGGTTCTTGAATATTTCAAAATGAACTGATCAAAACTATCCTTAAAAATGATCTTCAAGTACATGGGAGTCTATAAGGGGTGTTAATCTATAGGGAAATGGTAAATTCGAGGAAAAACAGATGGCAAAAGATCCTTTTCTCTTCAAGTTTTTCTTGACAAGCAATGAAGTGAACCCTTTATTGGCCCAAGCACTTGAATCTGAATTCTTGAGAAAGAATTACCAAAAAGGATCCCTCAAGTTTCATCGGTCAACTATGAAATTCCCATCTCTCAGTTTTAAACACAAAAGATAGTCCAAAGTTTTTAGAAAAGTAATACAACAAACACCTTGCGGGTAGGCAATCAGCCATGGTATGCAACAACCTTCATTTCCATTTCCACCATAGCAAGACATCAACAATTCAAGAATCACGAAATACAAATTACCTTTGCAACGTACAGATAAGAATGCACTAATGCAAACACGTCCAAAGAAAGGAATAAGAACAGAATTACCAAAAGAAATTAGAGCACAACGGAAAGCGAACCTGAGAACATTGACAAGACTTGTGATATTGCGTTGCCTGCTTAGATGTTATTGCAATGGCCAGAGCCAAAAACACTACAGCTCCTATCACCGCCAATTTCTTATTCCATCTTTTTCGGTCCTTGGATTTCTCCCCGTGTTTCTTACTATCCAAACCAGTCTTAGCTTCCGCCATTATTGCACCAATCGGCGAACAGAATTCGCTTTTTAATCTAAAAAAAATGTCGACGTGAAGAAAAACCCCAAGAATCCACAAAGCCCCGACTGAACACAGTTTAAAATGGGTATTTAGGGTTCATGGATTTGGGGACGGCGGTGAATATCACTGGAGCGAAGCAGCCTCAATAGATCAAGACGGCATACATAAAGCGGTTATTTTTGAACGCCTAAGGTTTTGGTCGGGGCGGGTGGACGTTGGTACATGACTTAGAGGGGGGCTCTCCACACGGCACAGCGGCGCGTGGGAATTAAACGCGAGAAAAGGAGAAGCGTGCCCGCTCGTGACGGCGCGTTGGCCACACGATGGACATTAGAGTGCGGGCTGAGCTCGGCGTTGGAGTTATGACAGTTTGACAAGTCAAAAAATTGGACAAGTGACGCTGTGGCAACCAATAGGAGTTTTTAAAATTGCCACGTGGGCTTAAATTCGATGTGTATGTGTGCGCTTATGTTTTGATGGAAGGTGTTTTCAATTTCGCTATTTTAGAGCCTGTGATAAAAAATATATTTTTAAAAAAAAATCGTAGAATTTAAATAGTAATATTCGAAAAATAATCGGTAAAGAAACATATTAAATTTAAACTTTATATTTATATTGTTTTTAATTAGGATATATTTTTAATATAAAATATACATATTAAATTTAAATACAATTAATTCTTTATTTTTAAAATAATTATTTATGCTTTTTTTTAAATTTATTTTTAACTTTTAAGATAATTGAATAAAATAGTTATTTTTTTATTATAATATAATTTTTTATTTTTTTATTGAAAATAAATTAAATTTTAGAATTTTAATAAAATTTAAAATTCTAACCAAAAAATAAAAAAGTTCAAGATGTATTTTTTATGATTTTTTTAAAAAATTAAATTATAATTTGTAGGAGTATATGATATTTTATAAAAATATTGTTTTTTTAAATAAAATATCGTATTAATATATTATTTAAATTAAAATTCAATCTCAAATTAATATAAAATAAATCTTATATTTAATGCTTGTTTATATACAGCAGCAACAATTATTTCATTTGAAGATTATATAAAAAGAAAAACTAAAAATAGCACAACCAACAAATCTTTGTTCATTTTTCTGGATATACTAAGCTTTTTTATAATTATGTTTTTAAATTTAATAATAGTTTAATATAATATAGTATTATAAAAAATTAACATGTTTGAGAGTAAAAAATTGATATTTTGTATAGAAAAAAAATTAAAAGAAACTTAAAAAGAGAATTTAAACTTTTTTACTATTTTATTTTTATAATTTTTTATTTTTAATGTTAAATAAAAATAATATTATATTTAAAATATTATAACTATTTTATATAATTAAATAACTAAGTATTTGATTTTTTTCAGAAAAATATTATTCAAAATTTAGACTGAAAACGCAAATCCAAAGAATCACCCGTAGTTTGGTTTTAACGATGAGAAATAAATAAATAAATAAATAATAGCGGTACTTATTTACAAATCAATACTCCCTCAGTTCTACTTCGGAAGTGTTACTATAAATATAATTAATAGATAATTAAAATTATATGAGTGAAAAATGCGTAATTATTTTTAAAAAAAATGACATAAAGATATGGAACGACCAATATGAACATGGTAGTTGAGTATTAATTAGGTAGGTGTAGATAATTAAATAGACATAAATATGCGTAATTGAGACGAGTGGGTGCATATCAAAATCCAATGCAATGAATAACAAGTCCTGTCCTGATCGAATACAAAGCAGGAGTATTAATTAAATTGGTCCCAATGACTTAATGCAAGGCTCCTACCTACTAACAAAGTATTTTAAAATAAATAAATATTTAATTATTTTTGATATATATTAGTATACTCTATATTTTAAAGTCAATATATTAATATATTCAATAATAAAAAACAATGGTAATGACATGAACATTAATAATATGGCGACCTACTCAATCTAGGTTATTATTTTGTATGTAAGACTAATATACTTCCAAAATTTTAACTCATAACTTTTTCACCGTGAGTTCACTAACTACGAATTCCTTAATGAACTATTTAAATATTATCTTTGTCTGACTCTAACAAATTAAAAAAGGAAATTATAAAAATACTTTTATTATATAAAAATATTTTTAATGTAAAATTAAAAAGAGCAAAAAAAGTTGTTTTGGTTTGATTAGTTTCTTTTGTTGATTTTTTTTTTAACAGAAAACACCCGGACGGGACATTAATCCCAAACCTTATGCGACCAGAATCATATTCTTTGCTTCAATCTTCTAAAGAATCACTTTATTCCCACCATCTACATAAGGTATCGACTGAAAAATCGATTACTTACTACAATGTCCTAATACCATTCGTAGAAACGCTCAAAAATTCCTCCATGGTGGTAAGAACAAACCAAAAAGTAAATGCCCCAAAAGAAATCAAAGAAATATCTTCCTCCCTCAACTAACAAATTACTGTATTTCTTTCATCTCCAGGTTCGCATCATTCACCACCACCACAACCGCCATGAACTTCCGTCGACGGCCGCCTGCTGAAAATTGGCAGTCCGAACAGGAGGAAGACTTCTGGATTTATCTCCCCGACGACGTCTTCCCCGAAATCTCACCTCTGGTTGGTTATCACCATTGCCTCTAAAACACCTCATCGTACTCTGCTATATAATTAATTTTCTGCGTGTTTGTTCGTGTGTTAGAATTACGGAGGAAGAGGAAGAACAAGTTTGCTTGATCGAGAATGGATGAGAAGATCCAGTTACGCCTTTCCGAGGTCATCATTTCATTTTCAACAAATTTTTACATCTTAAAAGTTCTGTAATATTAAGTCTTCAACTCAACGGTTCTCCAGCATTCCTCCGGCGCCGCCTCGTCCCTACCCTGTCCGACTGCTCCTCATCGACGCATATCCGGGAGCGCGAAGCTCCACTCCGCCGCCACCGGCGAGCTACGAGTGGTCCAGAGACAACGAAAGCCGCCTGAGCCAGGAAGATCAAAAGCAAGCCATTAGCAAGCTGAGGAAACAGCTATACAGCCCTCACATAAGCAATATAATCAGGAGACTCGGCGGCGGCGCCACCTCCTCGCAGGACGACGACGGGAAGACATGCGCCGTCTGCCAGGACGACTTCGAGACAAAACAGTTCGTGACGGTGACGCCATGCAACCACATGTTCCACGAGGAGTGCATCGTGCCGTGGGTGAAGAGCCAGGGGACATGCCCTGTGTGTAGGTTTGCCATCGCCGACAATCATCGGAGGAGCGGCACCACCACTGCCACCGCCAGGCGCAGTGGTCGGATTCATCAGCTTAGCTAATCTATTTAAATGATGTCATAACAATAATGAAAACATACTGAAACGTGAATTCGACAAAACCTGGAGGTGGAAACAGACAATTAAGTAACAGAAATACACTGGAATTATGCTGCTATGTTGATGTTTTAACACAAACTGTTCGGACTAACATGAACGACAATGTAAACATATTTCGCCCCGAATGTTATAATCAGCTACGACATATTACTCTCTGTGTTTCAGGCAGTACACATATACAGAGGCGCGACCTAAAGCAAACATTACACTCACCAACTTACCACTAACTGAAGTAGCCAATATGTGCATACATACATCATACTCGCAGTTGGCTAGGCATAAAAAACCACAGATTAGTGTCGAAATGCCAATTCTGGTACTAGCGATAAAGCAAGAGCCTCTTTTCTTTCAGCTATTTTTACCCATCAAACCATAACGAACATTGATTTTAGCTTCAGATCATCACGTTCCGGTGGGATGGGGAGATGGAATACTCAGACCAGCTTGCCGTCGGATGTGCTCCGGTATCAGCTTAACTACCAATTCAGGTGAAACTCCAGACAGCTGCTATCGCAAGGAATTGGATGTTAATATGCCGTATAGTGGAGGAATGGACAAGCAAAGAATTCAGACAAACAGCAAACATCTAAATGGCCCAAAATTTGGGAGAGATTTGATGCAAAGATTTCATTGACACTAACATAAAAATAAATATAGACGGGCGAAGATTTTACTTTAATTAGGACGACACACCTCACAATGCGAAACAAACCACAGAATAGACATCTACTCATTGATTCGACACATTCTGTCATAGACGAGGGACTTATAAAAGCTTGTGATAGCTGTAAGAACAGTTCTTGCCAAAGTAGTACGAGTTAAACATATTATTCAGATGTCATTTCAGCTGAAGGGCCCGGTTTAGAATTTTCAGTATTGTACAAAGGTATCCATTACTCCACCAATGTTTAACCCGGCTTCTAGTTGGCAGACATAAGCAAAACTCGATTGCACAGAAAAAAATACATATGGAAAAAAACACATAAAAGTCAATGATACATGGAAGAGGTTGGAAAGCATACCTCTTGCTTAAAGTTAAAAAGTGGAGGAAATGGGCGACCATTCGGAAGGCGGGCATTTGGCTCCCGAAGCTCCTCAAAGAAAGGATGAGCACATGCCTCTAACTGCAAAGAATGGAGTATCAATAATTAATTACATAAAAGGCTAATCATATGCTTTAAATGAGTTCAAGTATCAAAGATGGTAACAAAATCCAGTAGCATAAGTACAAATTAAACATACAGCTGTGCACCGAAGGCTTGGTGAGTACTGAAGTAGGCGCGAAGCTAGATCAATTGCTTCTGGAGGCATTCGCTTATGAAAAACCTGATACCCAAAAAAAAATAAAATAGTTATGCTAATATATATATATATATAGGTTTATTTTGTGTGCTTGTGTGGGCCAAAGGGGTGAGGGAGGAGAGGACCCATAGAAAACATATTGAACTCACACCTTGTGCCATGGATGGGCTTTAATCTGGGGAAACCTGAAATCTGTGTAGTTTGGATTCATGCACCGAATTTCTTCTCGAGTAGGAGTGCCAAGAACCTATTCAAGAGTCCATATGAGCATTATTGTATAGTTACTTTCTAGTTTATAGAGGAGAAAGGTCGGGGGGGGGGGCACCTTGATGATCTCTACTAGTTGATCAACAGCATTGTCGCCAGGGAAAAGGGGCTGCAGCAGAACAAACATATCAATTGAAAGTGATCTTAAGAACAACTCTAAAGTAGCACTTTGTGAGCCAGATTAGTAAATTGTAGAATACCTGGCCCAAAAGTAGCTCGGCAAGAACACAACCAGCTGACCAAATATCAATTGATGTTGTATATTCTGTTGCACCAAATATGAGTTCTGGGGCACGATAGTAACGAGAGCAAATGTAGGATATATTAGCTTCACCCTTCACCTGAAAATTGTATATTTAAAATATGACGGTGAAATAACAAGTAGTAACTAATACACGTACAGTAAAGACATAAGGAATTAGTAATACAAATATAGTATATGACAATTAATACGCCGTATAAATGAAAGGGTGTTGCTTTTAGTAGATAATTCATCGTATTAAGAGTTCCATCCTCTGGAAGTAAAAACCTATTGACTTCTCACTTAATAATATGAACCATTTTTTCTTCTCCTAATCACTAGAAGTCAATTAATCACCAACCACAGAGAGGCAGCAAAAAGTAATGAACACCTACCAACAGAACAACAAACTCATTGCTTCAACGGTTAATCATAAAATTCAACCAAAAAAGGTGGTTGGCATTTGCACATAAATATATAAACCAGAAGTATGCAGGTATTGTAGCAGATACTAAAATAGGCATAGATTAAGGCAGCTAGAGATATTTTGAAAATCAATGCATCAATATATAGTCATGGCAAACGAGTTGATTTACTTACAAGAACCTTAGCACTTCCAAAGTCACAAATCTTGACCTGGTGTGTAAGAGGATCAACCTGAAGAGAAAATATGGTATAAAATTACAAATCCAGGAACATTCGCGAGCCAAGGGAGGAGAAGAATCTTGGATCGCCTACCAATATATTTTGAGGTTTTATATCTCTGTGGCATACACCAGCGACTGAATGCATATAAGCAAGCCCCCTAAACAACTGAGACAAGAATATGAAATTGTTAACAGATAATTGAATGGAGCTATAAAAGGATACTGGGAAAACCACAAATGAGATGAATCCAACCTGATAAGTGTAGAGTTTGACATAGATGAGTGGCATCCTTTGGTTTGAATTTGTATAATGCTTTAGGACCTTGTACATTGTCTCGGGAACATAATCCATAACCAAATTAAGGAAAAGCTCATCTCTGGTTGTTGTAGAGAAAAAGCAGTGCTTTAGAGATATCACATTTGGATGATCCATCAAACGCATTAACTGCAGCTCGCGATTTTTATAACGCTTATCCTGCAAAACCTTCTTTATGGCAACGGACTCTCCGGTTTCTAAGCATTTTGCCTGCAGAAAACAGCAGTAATAGTTAGCTCTAGATTCAAGGTTAAACAATAAGACAATTAAATATTACAAACATACCTGAAAAACTATTCCAAATGATCCGGTACCCACAACACGCTCTGCCATGTAACTAATTGTCTGTTTAAAGCACCACAAGCAACATATTAGCTCCCAATTAAAGACTCCAAGATCTCACATGGAATTTCTAGTGGCACATATAAAAAAAGGTATACTAAGTTCTAAATGAGTAAACTGTAATCTTTCAATGAATTTAAAACCACAGATAGATGAGGATCTAAAAACGGGCTGCAACACCCACCCTCTTGGGTTCGCCGTTCTTCCCACCAATAGTGGTGGATATAATGTGCCCGGCGAGTGGATCGTTTCCCTCAACTGTAGACCCTGCCATCTCCTGTAAAACAGAAGCAAACCAAATAGTCAGCACTTCAATAATATTGAGTTATATCTGCAATACCAGAATTTTCGTCCGCGGCCTCATATTATTATCCTAAGCAAGAATAAATGCATAATCATAGAATGCCCTAGGAAAAGTTATTAAGGGATCAAGTGATTTTTCATGCTTAGAAGCATCAAAAAGCATTCATTGTCTGCAACAAAGAATGGATTAGAAGAAAGCATCGCCATATGACAGAAGCCTTGATGAACAAACCATGAAGACAACCATACTTTAAGGAGAATAAACCCTCGAATAGCTTCAAGAAGCAAACCAACCTCAATTAAACAAATTGATATGCCTTCAACTAGATTGAAACAAATATGCTGTAGTTTTCCGAAAGAAAATAGCAAACTTCATTTCCGAAAGGTTTTTGTATAATATAGAGAAAAGGACGCAATCAATAGTTAAATCAAAAATCAAACATTCAAACTATGCATTCAGAGCATATATGCAAGGATGAAGCAGACAAAAAGGAATTCAACGAATCTGCAGAAAGAAAGGGAAAAATCAAAGCTCTACCAACTATACACGCGAAACTTCCATTCAAACTTCAAACTTTACTTTTCATTTTCTGAAGCAAATGCATTAAACAGAAAAATAGAAAACAACAGTAATAATATTATTAATTGCTGATTATTTCCACAAACCCCAGCTGAAATTTTTTTTTTTTTTTTAAAAAAAAAAAAAAAAAAAAAACTCCGACTTTCAGATCCCAACAGACACACTTCCTCCGATCCCTAAGAAAGCACAGATCGAGAAAGCAGCAAAGCTCCTCAGCTCGATTGACCGGAAAACCGCTGGATGTCTAGGGTTTCGGGGACCAATGCAAGTAGCAAGCAGAAATTGAAGTCGAGCAAAGGATGTGGGAATAGAGGCAATACCTTGTCTGTGTCCATACCAGTATCGGAGGGGGGTGCAGGCTTCACGGCGGCGGCGGGGGCAGGCGGAGCTTGGTCAAGAGCATTATGGTGGTGGTGATGAAAGTGATTGTCGGACTCGGATGGTGGCTGATGATGATGGTGATGCTGCTGCTGAGGTCCCACTGGCAACGAGGCCATGTGATTTTCTCCCTCACTTTCTCTTCCTTTCTTGCATTTATATATATATAATATAATATATTTGTAATATTGCTATAATTAATACGTAATTATGTTATTTTTAGGAAATAGTGAAATTACATTGAACTCCCTGGGAAGATAGGGATGAAAAAAATAATTGCAAAATGATGACAAAAGCTTTATTAAAATGGACTCATTATGAAGCGGCGAGAATCTTTTATGATTATTTACTTGTATACTCTTTCTACGCAATATATATTACGTTAATTTTTGGAATTATTTTAATTTATTTTAAAATAGTGAAAAATGAAATAAATATATATATATATATATTTAATGGGACAGAAACAGATTTTAAATGTTATATTCTGAATAAAATGTAATCTAAAAATACAAATAAATAAAGAACAACACATTCCTACTATAATTAGAAATAATTATGATATATTACTAGCACATTCTTTATGATTTTCAAACTTTTATATATATATATAGCAAGTTTATAAAATATAGTGTGATAATATATTTTGAAGGATAATAGGTCAATTAATTGCTGGTTTGATTTGGGGTTGAAAGTTGGGTTTATTTGTTTTTATTATTATTATTTCAAATATTTTTTTATTATTATTAACTCTGCATATTATTTAATAAAATATCAAATTAAGATATTATTTAAATTAAATTTCAAACTCAAATAAAAACTAAACACACGTTTGGTTTAATTGGTTGGAATTAAATTTTATTTGATTCATAATTAAGTTATGAAAATTAAATAACAATGCAAAAATAAATCAACAAAAAAAAAAATGATATTACTATTGTGAAATCTTGAAATAAAGACAACTGGCCCATAATATATTAGAAGGTCGGAAGGTCCACATAATCAACAATGGGCTAAAACATAGTACAACGACAACGAAGGAGCCATCCCCACATTATTCGTATTCGTATTTGTATTTGTATACATTAATAAATATATTACAACATATACAAAGATTTTATTTCATTTGTCCCTTTTAAGTTTCAGGTACGGCTGTCATAAATCCCTGTTAATAATTAACATGATTAGAATATTTATAAGAGAAATACTATATAATATGTAATTAATGATGGATTTTATTTAACCTCAGAGTGATGCAGCTGTCGCTTAACCTGCTGCATCCTCGTCGTTTTCACCAAAGTTTCCCACTTGGCACCATCATTTGCCGGCGCCGGCGCCTTGGAGCCGCAGTTTCTAGAACTTTCTGCTCGAAGATACGATCGTAGAGTCGGACTCTTTGTGGACTTATAAGGCAATGCTCGGCCGAGCCACGAATCAGCCGGGGATTTCGGCAACGGTGGTGCTAAACTCTTCCGCGCCTTATCTTGTATGTACGTAGCCGTTGACATCTCCATCGTGCATTTATCATTCGATGCCTCGTCTCGCATAACCAAATCGATCTTTTCACTTTGATCGATGCCTGCGCAACTTCCTTCTCTCAAACTCGGATCGACCTTTGATTCAAACTTGTGCACTGCATCGATATAAAGAGTTTTCTCAACAACAGAACCTCCCGAATCCGACTCCTCGTGGCTACCGGTGTCTTCAGCCAATAATTCCTGAAAGGTCTTCGATCCCTTCCCCGTCAATCCAGGGCATTCGATCCGAGCTTCTTCACGATTCGTGCAAGGTTCCATTGCCATTGATGTGCTAAGGCTTTCTAAACGATCCCCTCCTTCATCATCGATCCTGGCTGTTCGAATTTTGCTGCCACGTCGCCATTTTCGAGCTGAAGACAACGGCGCCTGAATGGAATTTATAAGGCCAAATGAACTCTTCGAGCAAAACGGCAGAAGCAAGCCACAAGCTATTCTAGAATTACGGCTCCGACGATCGTCTTCTTGATCATCATCTTCTTCTTCTTCCTCCTCCAGGCAATGAGAATACCGCATTGTGAAACTATGTCCATACCGGAGCGACGGATTCAATCTCTGCTTTTCCGGCGGCGGCGGCCTTTCTTCCTTGGGTAAAGGTTTCTTTAGAGGCGGCGCCGCCGCCTCCAAAGCCATAGCCTTTGCAGCTGGAAGAAACCGATCCATCATGAGTGCTTGATTATGCAAATCGACAGAGACCTCTCCCGATCGATCCCCGTCGTCCAATCCATCCAATTCACTCATTCTACAATTGAAAAAGGAAGATGCATCGGTTTTGGAGAGAGAGTCTAGTGCATCTTCATATTCCCCATCGCTGTCCACCGAATCAGAAGCTTTCTCCTCCATTGTTGCTCCTCTGTTCTCAGCAGTTTTAGCATTTTGATCCTCAACAGCTTGGCTGTTATTGGTGTGTTTAGATGCATTAGCTGGTTGATTCTTGCTGCCATTGTACCTCCCCGGAGGAAGCTTTGGGCCGATCGGGGCTACAGTAATGCCGACAGCTTGAATTTTGATGTCTTTCTTAGGTTGTCCCGGCGCCCGTTCCCACAGAAACGGTACGGATCCGGGATTCGTGATTGGACCCGATTTGAGTTCAGGTCTGTTTGGAGGAAGACTGGGTATGGGTAGGGGTAGGGGGGGTATGGGATTGTTTGTTTTTCGGACATGGGTGTTTTCTGTAGGTGCAGTTCTTCTCACTGATAAAAGGGGTCGATTGAAATTCAGTTTCTTGTCCTCCATTAGATCCCTCTGCAGCTATTGATGGCTAACCCCTCAAATCGTCAAAATTTCCATGTTTAATTCATGTCTTCTTCAGGCACACACACAAGCAACAATTCAAACCAGACACTTGTTTAGGTAAATTTCATTACAGACACACACTGGCAAACCAATGAAAACAAGAACAAAAATCAATAAGTAGGGTTCATTTACCTACCTTTTTCTGGTGAATCCCAATCGAGAATTGTGGATGCATCACGCAGTCAAGAACCCAAAACAGAGAGAGAGAGAGAGACGAAGAGCTTGAAAAAACAATATACAGGAGTATTATTGCTATTGGGTTGCTGTTTCTGGGATCAAGTGATGGCCATGAATCATAAAAAAGTTTCGATTGGGGAAAATGGGCAGAGGACGAAAGGTCTAAATCACATGTGTTTATATACACACACATACACATGCATCAGTAGCCTTCACAATACAATCTTCGAAGTTGAAAATTGAAAAAAATAAATGTATATATATATATAAAATAAAAATCCCATCTTGATGATAAATGCATTTGAACAGGTGGGCAAGAAATGGGTGGACACATGAGCACGGTATTATTGTGTTCTTGATTGTTGCCCTTGTCGTTTTGTCCACTCATCAGGTAAAAGGGTGCTTGGATGATTATCCATTTATGAATAATGTCTATGACTATTGGGTGTCTTTGATTTGAATTTGTATTTGTATTCATCTTTTTATTTTAAATAATAATTAATTTTTTTTATATTTTATTAAATAAAATAAAAATACAAAAGAACCTAATCATATTGGCCATTCTCGTTTTCGTGGCCCCTCCCTATTAGGTCACTTATTCGATTACTCGTAATCTTAATACAATGATCACTTGACTTTGTTGCTCCATTTGTGGCCCATTTCTAAAATTTGTAATGATTAACTAATTTTTATTTTATTTGTTGTTCCACCACTTTTCACCTAACTTTCTAAAATTAAATATAATGTTTAAATAATGTTTTTAATTTAAAAAATACTTCCAGATTCTAACTAAACACGGTATAAAAAGCATTTTTTTATAAAATTTCTGTAAAAAGATCAATACTATTTAGCAAATGTATAATACTAGTGATGCCGACAGTCGATGATTGATAAAAAGATTTTGCAAAATGTGGGCACAAATATTTTTAATGATCAATGATCATCACTTTCTTATGTATTTTAAACTTGACCTTATAGCATAATTATATATTTTCAATGTGTTAATTTAATTTTTTTTTTTTTTTAAAAATAAATAATCTCTAAAAAAAAATCTAAAGACATGTTTATATACATATAAAGTAAAGAAAACAATCTTAAAAGTAGAAAAATACATATATAGTATGTGTTTGTTTGGGGCCTTTGAATTTTGAGTTTGATATTTAAATAATAAAAAATTTGAATTAGATTAGTTATATGATTTGATATAAATAAGTATTGATATGATATTTTAAATATAAAATTAATTTTTAATATAATATAAAAAATAAAATATAAATATTTGATTCGATAATTTAAATAATCTTTTTTATATGAATAGTATAAAATTTCCAACATCCTTCGAACAAATACAATAGTGAACATAATCAAGCTTGTTGCGACTCAAGTGAATTTATCGGACAAGAACAAATTTTGAGTTTCATTTCAAATGTCAATCCTGGCAACCATGATAGAGTTAGAAAAAAAAATTATTAAGTCAAAAAATCATATTTTTTTATCTGCATACTATTTAATCCCTGTTAAATTTGACAATAAAAGACAATAGATTTGTTTCTTTGGTATTAGTTTGGGAAGATTTGGTTTTGGTTGAATTTGAATTTTTTTTTGTAGTTTTGGGAAGATAAGTTTCGTTTGGGTTAATAGGTTTTGTTTTGGTTTGAGGGGTTTTAATAGATGTTGATTTGATAGGTAATAATGTAATGACGTAAAGTGTATTAATTTATATTTATATAATTAATAATAGTGTGATTTAAGTATTAATTTATATCAATTACAAATAAATATTTCTATTTATTTTTAATATATAACATTTTATTGTCTACAAAATGACATATATATCATATATATTTTATTTAATTATATCTTATAATTGAGTGAAATCGTTAATTAGTTCCACTGTCGATGATTTGGCAAAGTGTATTTATCACCCATTGCAGACCGAAGTATATTTATCTTGTTTTGAAAAAATCAAAACCTATTTATGTAAACTTCGAATTTTGTCTTAATGGGCGATGATTTGGCCCTTAATTAGGCTTCCACAGTAACAACACGACTAGGTTCCCAAACTCAAGGCAAAGAAACAGAGTGTAAAATAGTATGCATAGCAATGAAAAGAGTAATATATATATAATTAAATTATTAAAACAATATTTTTGACCCTACAAGGCTAACTACTCTCACAAAAAAAAAAAATGCGTAATTAAAAATAAAATTTTGATTGAGCAAATCATTGTTATCAAAACAAAATATATCATTGAATTCAAAGGAATCATTAATAACCAACTCATGTGTTAAAAAATTTTGAAAAAAAATAATGAAATTACGTTATTAATCATAAAAAATAAGGGAATTATATAAATAAACAATACAAAACTGACTCAATAGACTCAAATTCAAATAATTTAATTTATCGTTAAAATTGGATCTAAATATAAATTTACTAAATTTAAAACCGAATATCTAAAATATCTCAATATCTCCCTCTAATTCAAGTGGTATAACAGAAACCAACATGAGTTTGACAAGAAAGTTGAATACAGACGAAAAAAAATGTAAAAAAATAAAAAATAAAAATAATAGTTGACTCTCCATCGGAGCCAAAAGCAGTTGACTCTCTACCGGAGCCGAAAACAATATTGACTTTCTATCAGAGCCGAAAACGACATGATTCTCCACCGTAGCCGAAAATGAGATAACTCAAATGGAGCCGAAAATGACATGACTTCACCGGAGCTGAAAACGAGATAACTACACCGGAGACGAAAAAGACATGACTCTATCGGAGCCGAAAAAAACATAATTCTACCAGAGCCGAAAACGACATAACTCTATCGGACTTGACTCAATCAAGTCGAAAACAAAATGACTCCACCGGAACTGAAAACGAAATGACTCCACCTGAGCCGAAAACGAGATGACTCTCCACGGGAGTCGAAAACGATATGACTCTCTACCGGAGCCGAAAACGACATGACTCCACCGGAGCCGAAAATGACATGATTCCACCAGAGCAAAAAATGAAATAATTCTACTGGAGCCGAAAATGACATGACTCCCACCAGAGTCGAAAATGACATCACCCCACCGGAGCAAAAAACAAAATGAATCTTCATCGGAGTCGAAAACGAGATGACTCCACCGGAGCTGAAAACAGACAAATCGCAAACATCAGACATATCAGATCCCACGCATACAACAGACAAGCAGCGGACAGATGACAGACCGCAGACAGATTTAATATCGCACGCAGGCAATAGACAAGCAACAAACAGATGACAGATCGCAGACAGGTTTCAGATCCCATGCAAGTAACAAAAGAGCAGTGGGCAGATCGCTGACATGTTTCAGATTGCATGCAAGCAGCTGACAGATAGCAGATCGTAGATATGTTTAAGATTGCATACAGACAACCATCGGATAGATGGTACATCGCATACAAGTTTTAGATCGCATGCAGGCAACAGACAAGCAGCAAACAGGTTTTAGATCGCACGCTGATAATAAACAAGTAAAGGACATGTGACATATAACATGATATTAAAATCATAAGACCTCCAGGTACAATCGAGGTTGAATGTACTCGGAGAAACGTGGGTTGGTAGACTATATCTATTGCATGAGAAAAATAGACTCTGATACCATATTAGAAATTTTAGGACAATACAAAACCGACTCGATAAACTCAAATCCTAGTAATCTAATCTATATTGGGTATATGTGTATTTAATTTAAGTATGGAGAAATATGTCATGATATAAAAAATAATATTTTGTATTAAATAATTATTTTTTAATAAGTTAATAGGTGTGTTTGTTTAGGGATTTGCATTTAAATAGTAAAAATTTTGAATGTAAATAGTTGTATAATATGATATAAATAGACGTTGATGCGATGTTTTGAATGAAATTAATTTTTAGTATAATATAAAAAAAAATTTTGATTTTGATATATTTTAAAGAAATTTTTTTTGGTGAATAGCGAAAATATATATAAATCTTTGAGAGAAACATACCCTATAATAAGTGCTATGCAAGACTTATTTTTATAGTATTAATTTTATTATAATTTTTTATTTTTAATAAATAATATTATAATTGTATATATATTATATTAATCAAATCAATTTATAAAATAACATACACAATAAAAAAAAATTTATAAAAAATAAGAATACCGAAATAGATATTAAAAATATATATATACAATAAAAATAAAATTTTTATATGTTAAAAATTTATCATTTTTCTGTATGAATTTTTCAAATATTCTTACAAATAAAAAAAAAACTCAAAATTTAAACATAATCTATAAAATTAAAAGATTTACTAAAATATTATATTAAACATCAAATCAATTTTAAAAAATGCATATACAATAATAACGAAAAATTAATTTTAAAAAATATAATAAATAATTAAAAATAAGTAGTACATTGTATTTTTGCTTCTTTGATTTTTTTTTTTCTGCATCACAATATGAATATTAGAATTGATTAGTATAAACTAAAAAAAAATACATAACAATAAAAATAATAGAATTAATATAATACGATAATTAATTTATGCATAATCGTTTAAAATTTTGACAATAAATTAAAAAAATTTATTGTTAAAATTCACTATATATAAAAATTGAAAACGTATTACCTTAGTAAGAAGAAAGAACCATAACAAATTATATTTGAAAAATAAAATATGAAAAAAAATATGATATTAAAAAATAAAAATCTATTGTAATCAAATTGTAGATAAGAATTTTTCAAAAATACATATAAATACGTCATAGTCACCACTATATTACAGTAAAAATAAAAAATTTAAGAAAAATTAAGATCAATCAAACGAACCAAAGAAATCTGTCACGTTTTATAAAATTATGGTTGAACTATCTGATTGTAAATCTCACTGTTGGATTAAAAAAATACAATAAATTTATGAATGCTCTATCCGAAAATTTATGCTTTATCATAAAGCGATATTTTCCAATATTCCTCTTCTGGTCTTCGTATTCTTCTTTGTTTTATGTAAAAGAAAATATATTAATATAAATAAAAAGAATACGATTTTTTAAAATAAAATAAAAAATATTAAAATCAAACAACTTATAAAATTAAAAGTATATATAAATGTAGAAAATTCTAACTTTATTCATATTTTTGTTATTTAGTATGTTAGTAAATTTAGATTTTGTTAGATTATTCGTTATTTTAACAAATTTTAATTAATTATCCAAATTTATTATTATTTTTTTAAAAAAAATCTAAAATTATAAAAATGCACAAATTAAAGTGTATTGTCAAATATATATATATATATATATGATACCCCTTGTATGTGAGTATGAGCATATATAATTTTTATAATATTAATTCGAAAATAAAAAATAAAATTATTGGCCTAACTTGTCTGCAGTATATCTCATCAAATTTAATTTGCAGCTATTCATTCGGTCAATTTGAATGGCGTTCGAATAGCAGTTGCAGTTTTGCAATCATAAAAAATAATAATAATAATAATTAATAAATAAATAAATAAATAAATAAATAAATAATTGTAACATTAATCTCTATAAAGGGGGTCAAAGTTCAGTAGATAATGCCATTTTGGAATATTTAGAAAAAGGATTATGTTAATATATAAAATAAATTTATTTATACTATCATCCCCTTATGTAACTGTCTAACTGAAAATGCATGGATTTGCTTTTTTTAGTGTTTTGATTTAAAATATATTTTTAAATTGTATAAAAGAAATAAAAATTATTGGAATAACAAATCCTATATATAAAGTTGCTTTGTGGGAAAGTTATTTCATAATTTTATTTATTTAATATTGCTACTGTATTTCTAAAATCATATTTACTTATTATAATAATCAATACTATAATATTGGATATACAATTACGATTTTTCTTCTATTGTATTTTCATTTTTGTCGTAAATTTATTTTAATTTATATATAGACTAAAAATGTTCTTTTTCTGCTTTTCGCCATTTTTGCATTAAATTGATAACTTTTAAAATTAATTTACTTTACCTAAATTTAAATAAAATTATATATGCAAATTTAAAAATATTTAGTAATATAAAAATAGTAAGAACACATTAGTGTTTTAAATAATTCTGCAATTATTACTAAAGGCTATTTGTGAAAATGATATTAAAAAGTTTATTAATATGTATATATAGTAACTTTGGGGGATTAGAATTAATTAAAACATTGCAATAATCGCATTTTGGGTAAAATATACATATATAATCCAATAAAAAAAAAAATATTTATGTCGCGTGAATTTCTAGGGCATGCAAAGTTTACATAGTAGGTTGAAATTTGCAAATTATGGTGTGTAGTCAGTAGTGTGAGTGAGAGCCCATGGATATGGTTACGTTCTAGAAGCTACTGCCATAACTAACAACACCAAGCTTCCTGCAAGCGAGTGTCGATCGGGTCCGATTTAATCTTCATTTTCGTTTTCATAATCGCCTCACTGCGGTTTGTGCCAAGTGGGGTTTTTGTACGTACGTGTCAGATTGTATGAATCCACGTGCATTGAGCGTATCCGCGCGGATTGCAAATATACATAGGGAAAGGGTTTGAGGAAATCGGAATCGGATTGCAGGCTGATAATTATTGTTTGTGTGTGTCTTGGATATAAGAGAGGATTTTGGGGTTTGGGGTTGTGCTTGTGCTTGTGCGTATATTTGTTTAATCGTTGTTTTCTATTTAATTTTCCTGCAATTGTGATTTCATGGCCGCTTGCGGAGAGGTTTATGGCGAGGAGGCGTTGGAGGTGAAGTCTCCGGCCGCCGTTCTCGATCCACCATCGCTGAAGAATGCTAATCCTATTCCCAGTGATAAACCCACTGAAAAGCCCGGGAGTTCCAATTCCGAGATATCTGATCAGGAGAGTGATGCGCCGGATTGTGTTCGGGAGTCCGCTCTGAAGTCAAATGCGGATTCGGAATCCGAGCGGCAGATGAAAGGTTTTGTCGATTTTCTGAAGAAAATGAAGCTGAATCCACAGGCGAAGGAGTTTGTTCCTTCTTATTATTATTACAGCCCGATGGGGACTTATTACTTTCTGACGCCTGATCAGAACTTGCGAAACGAAGCCTCATCGAATGATCTGAAGGTGTGTCTGTGAATCTTGCTTGTCCGATTGCTCTGGTTGTGCTATGATTTCCCGATTGTGTTTTATTTAGCAGATTTCACTAGTAGTACGTGAGCAGACAGGATCGATTTTGTTCTTCTAGAAATAGCTAGAATTGCTGATCATCTACCGTCTGGTAGATCAGTTCACTATTACCTGATGATATAGTTGTAGGACCTTTTTCTCGCCGAGGTTTTACATCCAGATTTATATATACAGTAATCATTAAAGAACGATCTTTTAGATGGTCCGGAGGAACCATCAGCAACAGGGCACATGCTAAAGTAGATTTATTAATTCATTTATTTCGGGGGTTGTGGGGCATAACATGAAATGGGAAGTTACGTTTTGTTGTGTTGGTTGTATTTATTCTTGTAGACAAGAAATTGGTTGGTTCATATTTAGTTGAATAGAGCTACTAATGATCTGCTTCACACAATGAAATTCAGTTTGGTTGTGAACAAATTGGACTTTGCTATATATATTTATATACAGGCGTGGAAGGAGATCTTAAACTTGTTTGGGAGTCATACCATCACACTTCACACTTAGAGAGATATAAAGCTCAGTTTATAGTTTGATATGAGTTGCAAATGAGTTAGCTGTTGTTTAATAGTTGTTTCATTATGTTTCTTAAACTTGTTTTCAGCTGTAGAATTTTCAGCCTCACAAATTTTATGTGTGTCGTAACATATTCTCCTAAATTAAGTTGTGGTGAGTACGGAGTTCTGAAGTGCCAATCAACATTCCTTACATTGAGTCGATAATCTTTTGCGTGAATCTTTTCTAATAGTGCTTTGTTTATGCATATTTTCTCAGAAAAGAAACAACAACAACCCAGGTAAGAAGAGAGCAAGCCGCAGGGCATCCAAAGCTCAAACAGAAGACAGGATTAAGCGAACTGTTTATATTTCTGACATTGATCACAATGTAAGGGATGATCAAGAAGCTTTCATTACATCAGTGGTTTCAAGTTCCTTTTTTAGCTTTTTTCTAATCTTTTAACCGGTTCGTATCTTTGTTACCCTCAAATCTAGATTACTGAGGAGCGGCTCGCTGATTTGTTTAGCAAATGTGGACACGTAAGTTATTATGCTCATTATATTACACATGCATTGCTTTAATTAATTAGTGTGCATTTACTTGATGTGCAAGAAGCATTTAATAATTATTATGACGGCTTGGTTACACGTGTTTACTTATCTGAGTCACGGCGAAGAACTGTCTGCCAGCTAGAATCATTTAAGATAATAGCACACTACCTAAATTTGGTAGCAAGCGCCTGAGATTAACATTTGCTCAGCAAGCTGGCATACTTCTGGATCATGGATTTAGAACAGCATTGGATGGGATGATAAGATCTCCGTAGAAGCTAAATATAGGTTCCCATGCACAATTTGATGTGTCCTTCGGAGCATTTATTCTTTGACTAGATTCCATGATGCCCAGTTTATTTTAGTGTCGCACACACTGCAGTGTCCTGAGAGAGAGTTGGAAGGTTTGTTTACAAAACCTTTTTGTTATTTTGCTTCTGGCAGTTAATAACATATCGAAAAAATTGAAGTTTCCCTACTGATTCTGGAATTCGGAATTATTACGTTCATCTCCGTCTAAAATGAATACCACTTTACCATGTTATTAGAACTTCATTTATATTGAAACTCATTCGGTCTTGATCAAGACATTTGCTTTCCAGAGTACACTCTGTTGTTTGAAAAACTGTATTATATTATCCATTCTTGAGTACCATAGACTAGTGTAACTGGTCTGTGAAACATCAAACTATCTAAAGAGACAATACAATTAGTATATTCGCTGTCCTTTGCGATTTTATGATTGGGCAAAAGTAGCATTGAAATCATTAATCACAATTGGATATAAAATTTTAAGCTCAGAATGTCTGATATTAGTTATGCACATAAGCTTAGAATATGCAAGCGATCGTTGCCAAGAAGTTACCAAACTAATGCATGGTGAGTCTGAAAATTGCTTTTCATATGGAAGAGGTCATGAGCCCAAAGTGCCACTTGTTCATAAGCCATTGGCTGGATGGTAATGTAAAATCACCAAGGTGCAACCTTTTTGAGTCTTTTATATGGTTTTTGTGTTTTACAGGATTTGTTTTTTCTTTGTCACTGCCGCCAACTCATTTCATTTCTCAGTTTTCCTTCTTGTTGCCTAGCCATTTCTACAAGATTACCAATTCACATTTGAGCTCTTTGTTCAATACGTTAATGTTTTATATGCTTTTCTTGCATTACTTATCCATAAAACTAGTGTTTAGGTTGGCCCCTTAATAAAAACGTTACCCAAAACACACATTTGATATAGAGGAGAAGAAATTTTATGCTAGTTGTGACAGAACTGGGATAGTGAACTGTAGATTCTTCATCTTAATTTCATTAAACTGAGCTGAACTTTTTAGGATGGCTAACAGACTCAATGTATAAGTATGATTTAGACTGTATTTGTTTTGCAGATTGTTGATTGTCGTGTGTGTGGCGATCCTCGCTCTCGTCTTCGCTTTGCTTTTGTAGAATTTGCGGAGGATTGTTAGTTCTCTTTTTTATTTTTGTTCTCTAATATTGTACTTGGAGTTCATTAACACACTTGTCAAACTGATATGTCATATTTCATGTAACTGAACAATACCGACAGTTTCTGCTAAAGCTTCTCTTAGCCTTTCCGGGATGATGTTGGAATCCTCTTCTATCAAGGTCATGCCTTCTAAAACAGCTATTCTTCCTGTGAACCCGACCTTCCTACCCAGGGTAGAAAACAGATAAAGCTTCTGTGTTGCTAATAGTGTCGAGCAAATTTCTATGTTACATCGGTTAAAATGCTTATATTCATGCCTATGTTGTATCTTTGTGCAGTCAGAGGATGAACGTGAAATGTGTGCCAGGACTGTCTACTGCACAAACATTGACAGAAAGGTATACAATATTCCTCTCTGTTTTTTGTGACATTGCAAGAATTTCAAGTGTATTGTCTTTCTTGGCACTTAGTGCTGATGAATAGATTTTGATAGGAGTTAAATGGTTTTAACATTTTCCTTTGATATTGTGGTCTTGAGCAGGCTACTGAAGAAGATGTCAGGACATTTTTTGAAAGGAAATGTGGAGAGGTATGGTCTGAAGGTCAATTATGAAAGCTAGGTTTTGCAAATTGTTTGCTTGATACTGTATGACCAATGGACTCTTAATTTAGGTTTCTCAACTGAGGCTCTTGGTTGATCACACACTCTCCACCAAAATTGCTTTTGTTGAATTTTCTGAGGTACACTTAAAATTTTCCAAATATGAAATATAAGTTTGAGCCTATGTTCTGGTTTTGTGATATCAGTTATGTCTTGATTTGCTTGTGAATCCATTTATTGCACCTCTGAGATTATTTTTACATCATGGCTTGGCACAAGCCTTTGATGCCAACTTAAAAGGGGCATTCTTGTTTAATTATGAACACAATTTCATTAAAAAATGTCCAAATTAGCTTTGAGATTTAATAACAAGAATCTGACAAAATTTGTGACTAACTCTTCATTTGCTATTATGTAATGATGTTCAAAGTTCATGCGATTCTCTATTATTTTGTCTACCTACTCAAGTCTTGATATATCCAAAGATTCACTCTGTTTATTTAATTTTTCTCTGTTGAAGTTTAGGAGTTGAGTTTCAAAATATTATCCTTAGTATGATGAAGGTAGATTGAAGTTCTAGATGATGATCTATGGTAGCATTTGTGATAGTACAATAGATCAGTTAAATCTATCTAGTGCTGATTACCCCTAGGAATATCAGTAATTTGCATTCGAAAATTTGCAGGCTGAGTGTGCAACTTCAGCACTAGATTGTTGTGGAGAAATGCTGGGAAATCGTCGTATCAGGTACGAGCACAAGCTTAACAGATTATCACTAGTTTACAGGTGAACTGAGTAATCAACCAATCAAATTTTTTCTGAAACAAGTTTTGTAATATCTTCAATAGGATTAGCCCTTCAAAGACACCCGTGAGGTCGCTAACTTCCAGCGCCAGTGCATAGTCGGATCGCTTCTAAAAATGCCGATGCAGTGGGAAAGTGAAGAGAGGTTAATTGGTGGCTGCCTTGGATATGAATGCAGTAAGATAGAAGATGAACTTGTTTTGGTTTGTTTTCTTACATCTCTCAGTTCTCATGAAAACATACAAACAAATTTTTGTTCCATTTACAATTTCCTGCGCCAGAATTCAGCAACCATTTGAGTTTTTCTGGTTGATATTTTGGAATTAGCTATACATCACATGCTTGATGCCTGGTTTGTTGAGTCTCTCTCTATTCTTATCTTTTCTTTTTTTTTTTCTTTTTTTTCTTTTTTTTTTTTTTAAATAGTAAAATTCTCAATAATATTAGCCGAATCTAATATAATAGTATGCAAATTAAGTCCAACAAGAAGCATAAGATTAGTTTTTTTTAAGTTTGCATGGGAAACATGATTCACGTTTTTGCATTTTAAAACAAGGTTAGTATAGCTTTTAGTTATGAATGTCCAAGATTGATCTGTAATTGCAATTTTTTTAGTAAAATTAATAAAAAATAGTTATTTGAAATATCGATTTAATTTCGGTATAATACCGATACTATTTTCATTAAGTAACTTAATTATTAATATAAATAATAATTATTAATTTTTTTAAATTTTAACCAAAAAAAATGTAAATTATTCAAAATTTATTGATTTTTTTTATAATATTTTCGTAGGAGAAAATATGATATTTATTAATTTTTTTAATTATTTTAAAATTTAAAATTATATTTTTGGTATAATCGGTATACAACGGTATCGTATCCAAAACAAAATTTTCGATATAAGCGTATATATCGGTATTGTATTGAAATCAAAATTTTTGATATAATATACTGAAATCAAAATTTTCGATATAAACGGTATATATCGGTACCGTATCGAAAATTTCGATATACCCAAATTCGATATATTAAAACTTTTGATATTGATATATATTTTCGCCATACCAAAAAATTCGATACGGTATCGATATCGATTCATATTTTCGATACGATCCGGTGTGTCATTCCTAGTTAGGCGGGCAGCACTGCCACCATTGGTGGTATCAAGATCGCCGGAGGAGGCTTTGCTGCTCGATTTTGACACCATCAATGGTGGCGGCGCCGCCGCCCAATTAAGCCCGAAAACTCTTCCTCCTCCCTCATCTATGATCTACCAGCAAAATTAAATAGAATCTGGAGGCTGAATGGGATCCATTTAGTTGTACTTCCTGTAGTACTGAGTTTTGTACTAGCAATTTCTGGTAGTACCACTAATACGTATCTGTACATCCAATATACATTAAATTAGTACACTTTGGATTGGTTGTTTCGGGAAGTCCCAAGAAAAATTTCATTCGTTTCATAAGCAGCACCTGATTGGTTTTAGTTGCCTATCTTTTGAAATTGCTTTTCTTAATTTCCGATTAGAAATATATAAATAGATTTATAGTGAGATATTTTAGATATTTATATTTAGATTTCATTTTATTTATGAATTAAATTAGTTAGGTTTGAGTCTGCTAAAAAAAATGCGAATGAAAGACAAACTTCAAGGCATGCTTTGTTCTGGCATATTTGGATTTAATGAAAATTATTTATTTTCTTAATTCATTATCAATGAATCTTAAATGTATCAATTCAATAGTAACTAACTTCTAACTTTACCTTGAAATTAAGATAAATTCAAACAAATAATTAAAAATATGACAAGAAAATGTTAAATTCATTTGTTTAAAGGGTAAATTTTAAATTCAAACCCTTCAATTTAAGTTGTTGAGGGTGTGCTTTGTTTTGAAATTTATAGTATTTTTTTAATAAAAAATAAAATTTGAATTTATTTAATAAAAAAATGTGTTACATTTTTATTTTTTCTATTCGTAAAAGTTATGCAATTCTATGTGGATATAAAGATTGAAAAAAAATGATATTGTAATATACAAATTGATAGGCAAAAAATAAATGATTCTATTATTAAAAATTTATTAAAGAGTTTCTAAAAATTAATAAAATTAGTATATATATATATATAATGGGATACAAATTCAAATTCACATTGAGACAAAAAAAAAAAAAAAAAGAAAAAGAAAAAAGAATTCATTGCTTATATATTACTAATATTTAGTTTCACATAGTATCAGACATTTTGAAAAAGTTTAAAAATAAATTTATATTAAATTTAATGACAAATATAATTAAGTATTTTATATTTTAATATTTTCTAAAAAATGCCAAGAAACAACCCTTAAATTTTAATAAAAATATTTAAATAATTATTATATATAATATTTTAAAATATAACTCCATAACAAATTTATAACATATAGATACAGGTATACCTTGTCGAGAGAAAGAACAAAAGTATGTTTATTTTGGGTTAGTTTAATTTTAATTTTAAATTCATTTAAAATAGTATATTAGATTTGTTTGTTTACTAGCTTGATTTAATTTTTAGTTTAAAGTACAATATACTTAAAAATATGTTTATGTTGGGTCTGTTTAGATTTAATTTTAAATTGATTTAAAATAATATATTGAATTTGTTTGTTTACTGGCTTGATTTGATTTTTTTTAATAAAATTTAAAGTACAATAGATTATGTCTGTAATATTAAATATTTTTTTTTTTTTTTATTTTGGTACGTGGTATATGAAAGTATTCAGTTTTCTTATTTTTAGTAATATGCTACTCCCCTCTGTCCCTGCTACCTGTTACACTGTAGACACGGTATGTTAAGAGAGGTGTAATTAGTAAATAATAAAGAATATATTAGTGAAAATAATTATCGATAATATAAATAATTATAAATTAAAATTAAGATAACTAATTAGTTTAATTAAAATTTAAAAAAAATAAAATTTAAAAATTTAAAATTAGATTAAAGTGTATAATCATTTTCAAATAAATGAAAATAACATGATACGTGGGACGAACAGAAACAACAACGTGGATATATTTTTTTAATTTATAATATATTATACAAATGTCTACTTTTGTATCATATATTTTAATATAATACTAATATTTTTAAAAATTCATTTTAAAAAACAAATGAATAAATAAATATAAGAGAAAAGGAGTAATATTCCATATTGAATATTAATTTTTTTAAGAGTATAAAATATATACCTTGAAAAATAAGAATTGAATGATTAAACTCAGTAGATTTAAAATTTTATTTAAATAATATTTAAATAATCTCATATAATAGTATTTTTTTTTATATTTTTTTAGTTTTAATTTTAAAATATTATATTACTAGTCTTGTAAAAATAAAAATATTATTTTTTTAATTTTTTTGATTTATTTTTTCAAATTATTTTCGATATAATTTTTAATATATATATTTTATTTTTTAACAAAATTATTGAATATTACTATTTTTTTATATTATGATAGCCTTCTTTATATTTTACACAAAAATAAATAAATAAATAAATAAAATCACAGACCAAAATACCTATTCCAAAATTTTCACACACACTATTAGAGAAAAGGTGGAATTATAAGAATAGGTAGAGTAAAAAAACCAAAGCAAAATTCAAAGCTTTAAAAATCACTTTTTTACATAAGGGGAGTCAAATCACTGTTATCCATATCAATAAATAATTGATGAAGAGATACGGTGGGGCTAAATGCTACTCTACTACTGCTACTGTCCTCAATATTCAATTCACGATAAACCTCCGTCTCCATCTTCTCACCTCTCTCACTCTTTCAAAGTACTGTTTGTCTTCTTTGCTTCCCCGAATTTTAAAATGAACGTATCTGGATAAAAAAGACCTTTAATTCAAACTGACTGGACTTCCCTCTCTCTCTCTCTCTCAAGCTTTTCTCTGTTCTTAACTGGGGTGGGGAGTGGTACTGTGAGGACTACTGCACACCTCTCTCGTGTCCCCAGACGAGCTGTCACTCAGTATACAAACACACATGTTTTCATAAATGCCATTAATTCAACCGCTTCTTCAAAATTAAAACGCCAGTTTTATCTTCTTTCTTGTTGCTGTGTTGTTTGGGTTTCGCTGCTTCTTCCTTCCATTTTTGGTGGTCTCGAGTTTTTGCACGCAAAGGGTAGACTGGGGAAGGGGAAACGACAAGGGGCACAATCAGGGTGAGATATGGCTGCCCTCCTGCTCTTTATTTATTTATGTATTCTGTATTAAATGTTGTACTACTGAGGAGTTTAATGATTCTGGGCTGTTTAACCTATTTCTTGCTGATCAATGAAAATTTACTTTCAAAAAATCTTCTTTTCTTTAGCAGACGTTTGAAGCCATTAAAGTGGTGTTGTCAATTAAAAAAACACTTCAGAACATCTCTGTTGTATTCTTTTAATTCAGATTTATGAGGATCTTTTAGGTCCTCTTTGGCAAGATATTAATATCCACTTTTGAGATCCCACACTCAGTTCAAAATTTTCTATGTTAAGAGGGTTGGATATTGGAATCCGTTGCCTCTGCATTGGCCCTTTTTATGACCTTTTCTTTTTGTCTCTTTGTTCCTGATATTGAAGAGATTCAGCTGATGCAAAATGATTCATCTTTATACCCTCCAAAAAAAATTGAAAAGAAAAAAAGAAAGAACAAAGAAGCAGTGAAAAGATAAATTTGTGGGCTTTTCAGATTCACATCCACGAATTGAGAGATGGCCTACACAAGCTGGCAGGCCAGCACATCTTTTGATTGCACTGGATATCTGCATGGCTGCAATAAGTTTGCACTGTAAAAGCTACTTTAACTTTTCTCAAAAAAAGCATGGCTTTAGGCCTCAGGGGAAAGTCCAAGTCCTTGAGACTATAACAAATAATTCACATCTGAAGTATCTTAGCAACAGAGCTGGAGCTGCACTGTTTTAAGCTTCTTTCGCTTTCATCATGAGTATTGCTGCCATGAATTGATTTCCCAATGTTCACTCCTCTTTGCACACAATGCAGATAAGAAACAAAAATTATAATCTTGGCTAGTTCCATTCTCTTTCGTTGCTGTTAAAGGCTTAATTTTTTCAGGGAAGAAATGCCAAGATCAAGGTAAATTTATAAATAATCATGGCAGATGCATTTTGGTTTAATTTTGTTGCTATGGCGATTAATCTTTGGTTTAATTTTGTTTTGAGAAAACCAGGGCTACGGAAATGTCTCAGAGGTCTTCTTCTACACGAGGCCCGCCTGGTCTTCGGACATCGAGCTCGGATTCCAGTTTGGGGCATCATCGTATGAGGACTGAGAGGAGCCCGAAACTAGGCGATGGTCGATCCCCACGAGGTTCGCAATCTGATCCGTTGCATCAAAAGAAATTGGGAACTCGCATTGCGGATTTGGAGTCTCAACTTGGCCAAGCACAGGTGGAGCTTAAAAGCCTCAAGAACCAGTTAGTCTCTGCTGAAGCTGCTAAGAAAGCTGCTCAAGAACAGCTGGAGAAGAAGTCGAAGAAGCAGGCGAAGGTTAGGGAAGTAGCAGTGGTTCAAGAGAAGCATTCCATGGCTAAAAAGGGAAATGAAACATCTAAGGATTTGGAGGAAGACGAAGAGACCGATGTCTTTGAAGTTCCTATCGAGAAGCTCTCTCTCGAAGCTGAGATCGAGCCACCTATCGATCAAAATGTAGTAAAGCTTAAATCTGTTTGCTCGGAGGAAGAGAATTCATCTTTAACTGAATTGGATTTGAAGAATGGTGAAATAAATGTGTTACAGATGAAATTGGACGACGCAGGGAAAGAACTAGAAGTTCTTCGACAAGAGAACATAAGTTTGAAGCAGCAGCTGGACGACGAGGAGTTAAAGATAACATCTTCAGAATCTGCGATCGAGGAACTGAGGTTGAGGTTGAAGAAGGCCGATGAAGAGCTTGAAAAAAGTAAAATTGACGCCGTGCAGATGAACAGGAAACTAGAAGCGTCTGAGAAAGCCAAGGAGGAGCTCGAAGCCGAGATGACGAGGCTGCGCGTGCAGACTAAGCAATGGAGAAAAGCAGCCGATGCTGCAGCATCAGTCCTGGCCAGAGAAATGGACACAGACAATGGGAGACGGATATCCGAGAGGTGTGGATCAATGAACAAGCATTATTATGACAGTGGATATGCAGGCGGCGGAGGTTCCCCGCAGGGACGAATTGATGAATCCGATGATGTTTTCGGGAGCGGTAAGAGAAAGGGCTCCGGCATGAAAATGTTGGGAGATCTGTGGAAGAAGAAGAGCCATAAGTAGGAAAAAATTGAATCTTGATTCATCATCTGGCCTTTATGTTTGATTAGGCATTAGGACAATGGTTGTTCTCACTTTCTACCTCTGTAATGTCACTGTTTTCAGTGGACATCGTTTTTAACTGTCATGTTATAAATCTCCAAGTCTTACAAAGTAGAACACATAAAAACTCCATCTTCCTTATTCAGCACACCTCAAATCTACAACATAAGTTTCACAGATAAATCATTTCGATGCATCCTAAATGCCATTAATTGCCTCCCATTCGAAAGGAAACCAGATTTCGTTAACTCGGTTCTGGAACTCGAAAGGGGAATTGTACTGGGTGACGATGTACTCTGTTATCTCCTTACCAATGGCGTTTGCCCAAACAGTTCCTGACAGGCTAGCATACAATGCAGCAGCTTCCCTTCCAAGATCCTCGTCCATTACAAAACCGCCGAATTGACGTACAGCTATGTAGGTGACACCCCAATCTTCAACATGGAGGCCTTTTGCTGTAGGAGGATTCTTCTGGTTCTTCTTGGGGATGTAGAAACTCACTATGAAGGACGAAGCACAGAACGGCCCGTCGCTGGGCTTCACTTGTGTCTTAACTGGACCAGTCATTTCTATTTGCTCGTGATTGTCATTCTTGCCCTGAATGTAATCAAATAACCTGGAATCAAATAATCAATCAGCCCCCAATTAATCTAAACACCAAAAAGATGAGATCGATAATTGTATAATTAATTTCGACACTCACTGGAGAAAACCAGTCCTGGTGGCGGAGACGAAGGAAATATCATCAATGGGCTCCGTCGACATCCACATGCTCGAATTGTAGCGACGGATTTCAAATCCATGTCCTTTGCCGACAACGTCGTAGCTCGGACATTCGATTCGATTGCAGGTAGGTGGGAATACGGCAAGCGGCGCGGGGGTGTTCCTGGGCCAGACGGGAAGAAGGCTCATGAGAAATGAGAGCTTGAAAAGACCTGAAGCAGCCATTGTTGTGAGAATTTTGATTCTTGGAGAAACGATGGGAGTTTTTTTCCTGGTTTAAATTAGGGTTTTTGTAGTGGTGGTGATGACGTGAAGTTTTTGGTGAGGTCCCCAATTAGCACAATGGCGATTGGCGCGGACAGGAGAGCCCTGGGGCGTCGTAGACATTTCTTTCCTGGTCTGGTATATGGCATCATCGTAGCGTCGTACTCTTGGGATTTTTTCGAAACTTGAATGGCCAGAATTTAGGCACGTGGTCTAATGTCTGCAAGATAAGGTAATCGTCTTTCTTATTTATTTATATTTTTAAGATAAGGTAATCTTTCAAAACATTCTCCACTGCAGATTATTTTTTCGTTGGAGGTTGATTTAAAAAAATAAAATAAAATGTCATATGATTAATCAATTGAATCTTCTTCAGCTCAATTATGATTGACCTGTCCGGATGGCCTGCTAGTGCTAAGTCTGGTCCGGGCCATATTTCGATATTTTAAAACCAACTTGGGTCATCGAAAAAAATAAAATAACCAACTTGGGCTCGTTACTTCAAGAGCAATTCTATTTAAAATTGAAACCAATCAAAAATGAAACATTCAAATAAAATTTGATACCATATATTAATTCATATAAATTAAAGAAAATAATGGATTAAAATATCTCTTCTTGGAACTTTGTCAAATATTGAACAATTTCGAATGCCTACATTATTGACAAAAGATATGCAACCCACGATTCAATCCGGCGGTACTACTTTTCATTGACTTTCGGTGTCGACTCGATTCGACAAACAATATTGCAAGCTCTATAATAAATATTAATGTTTTAAAGAACGATAATTTTGTCCAATTTTTCCGAACAAATGAGAAGTATAGACTGTAGGCAAAAAAAAAAAAATTATAAAAAGGATGTTTTAGTATATTATAACTCATTCAAATTGACTATATAACTCTTGGTCTTTGTTCTCAATTCTTTCTCCCCAAATCATAAATTTTTTCTTGTGTTTCTTTACCTCCAAATCTAGTCTAAGAGTATTTATCGACTTTTAGAACTTCCACCCTGAGCTTAAAAGCCAACATATATATATATATATACATATACACACATATGGAGATCGGGCAAATAATTGTATTGGTCATTGTATCTGCGATCTTCATAACTGTGGGTTCAGTGTGGATCTACTGCTTTCTTACGTCGTTCCTCGGTTTATGCTCAGATGGTCTTTGTTTCAGGCGAAGACGAAGATCTCCGCCGCCGCTGCCTTCTTGGACTGCACCTCCGCCGCCGTTTCCATCTCGGACTGCGCTGCCGCCGGCGGCCCCTCGTAGTAATGTGGAGATGGGCAGTAAGGATGGCGGTATAGTCATGCTGGTGGCTGCTGACGCGGTTGGTGTTGGTGCCACAGCTGGCCACGGCGGAGGCGGAGGCGGGGGGTGTGGCGGCGGAGGATGTGGTGGTGGATGCGGTGGCGGAGGAGGGGGCTGCGGTGGTGCTTTATGAGGAGATGTAATTTATTTTTTTTAGGACTTTGACGAGAGGAACAGAATTTGCACATAATATATATTATATATTATTTTTGTAGTTACTATTTTGCAAGCCTAATGATATTTGTGTAAAATTTTAAAATAAGTCAGATTTTTATGGATTTGTTTGGTTTTGATAAGATTTTGATTTGAGATTTAATTTATATATAGTATATTTTGTAAATAAACTAATATATTTTTATAAAAAAATTATATATATATATGGAGTGAATAACATAAAATTGAATTTGAAATATAAAACAAAAAATTATGAATCTTGTATTGATGATTACTTGTAAATAATGACAAGGCCTTTGAAATGATGAGAATTTTGAGATTTGTGTTGGAAGTTCTCATGTGGTAATGTATTCATGAAAAATAAATAAAATCATCAATGTAGTGTATCTTAATTCCTCATTTATTAATCACTATTAACACGTTCACGAGTCTTACGGGACATCATTAGGTCATTCATTATTAATTCCTCATTTTTTTCTAAGTATCTTTTTAACATTATGAATTTGTTTGTGTTATGAAATAAATGCTGAATAAAATTAATTTTATTAAAAAAAAATCAACAAAAATCAAACAAAAGTTTCAATTAAAATTTGATTTTAGGCTCAGTTTTCAAACCTCCCAAGAACTACAAAATTAGCACAAACACCGACAAACTCAAAAGAACCCGTCCTAAACCTTGACCTAAACCAACAAAACAACCCCACAAGATAAGAAAAATAAAGCGACCTAAAAACAGTGGCCTAAAAAAAAGAAACTACACAAACCGAAGGCAAAATTCGAACCCTTTGCAATTCAAATCGACACAGGGGAAGGAAATACGCCTTTGAAAGCTCCACAAAAACAGGAGGAAAGGCGCCAGCATCGATGAAGAAAGAAACGTGAGAGTGGAGAGTGATTAGAGAAAAAAATTATGCATGGATGTATGTAAATGAATGAAACAGCACAATACTCTCTCTCCACAATTTATATGGAGGGTTTAATAAATGGATGGCTCAGATTCAATACCCAGACGGCTAGAAGCAAGTCTAGTAAAATAAATATGGGTCAACAACTTGGACCGGGTCGCGGGCGCCGGGTTACATGTCAGGGTTAGGACTTAGATTCGATTGGACCACAGGTTTAAGTATGATTGTGTCTGTGTAGAGACATATCATACATTTCATTTTAAAATTCGAGTTCACTTTTTTCATAAGTTAATCTTAAAATCACTTTAAATCTATAATAGCGTACTATTATAGATTTAACATATTTATTTTATCAATTTTTACCCAATTGATGTTAGTTTATTTATTAGTTTAATTTATTATCACACGACTTCGTTATGAATACTGTTTTACCTTTTTCAGTAGATTAAAAATATAATATTATTTTATATTTTTATAAAAATTAAGAATATTTCAGTATATAATAATTATTTTTATTTTAATAAAAATAAATATTTATGAGTGTAACGTACAAAAATAATAATTAATTTATTGCTAAAATGCAACAAACATTAATCACTGCAATTCAAGAACTATAAAGGCAAGATGCACGTTGGTTAGGTCTCCATAACGACCCTTAAACATTACACCCAAATTGCAACAGGAAATGAAATTAAATAAATTAAAAACATCATACCAAAAACTCAAAAACAATTAGGGTAAGAAACTTAGAATAAGCTGCAACGTCGATAAACTGTAGAGAAATGACCTAATTGGGGATCAGAATCGAGTCTTGACTGATCTGATCAGATCTATGATCTTCTTCCATCTTCGTTTGCGAGCTTGAAGAGACGTGCTTGAGCTGCAGCAGCCTTTTCTGAGGTAAGCGAAGCAACAAAGGCGTCCCTGACTTGCGAGCTCGTGTAAGAAAACTTGGTGTGATCGATCATGGAGTTGAGCAAAGCTGCTGTTCCTTCCCTGTAGAGCTGTCCGAAGCCGTCTTTGCGCGTATTCGAAAGGGCCTGGAGCAAGTTCATACGAGCTCCGGGCCCCGCCGCCGGCAAGCTGCCGACGCCGAATGCGGTGGTCATGGTGTCCCACCACCCCATCAATCCCCAAATCAGCGTCGGGTGATTCCTCCAGTAACTGCAGACAAATTTCACGATTAATTATGGTAGATATTGATATGGTGTGTATATATATTTGAGCTTACGTGCACGTGAATGGCGGCGAGTTTGGATTTAATGGAAGCAGCGGTGATGGTGGTGGTGTCACTACTCCGGGAGTCGCCGTCGTCCCTGGAGGAGGATGATGGTATCCTCCGCCACCACTTCCACCGCCGCCTCCTGGCGGGGATGGAGTATGGGGGTGATGCTGTGTGCCGCCGCCGCCACCGCCACCGCCGTGGTTAGCATGTGTTGGAGGAGACGGGTATGAAACTGTGATAGATATTGATTATCAGATAAATATATATATATATATTGTTTGTGAGTGTGTATGTAAGAGAGAGAGAGCGGGATGAATTAATTTAACCTGGGGGAGAAATTCCTGGATAAGGGTAAGGTGGGAAGAAGAAGTTCTTCTGATCGTCAAAGCTAGCAGCCGCCATTGCAGGGATGATGATCCAGTTTTGGATCAGCAATGCAACAAGAACAGCAATCTTTCTCTCCATATTCTTCTGCAAAAGACGACCAAGATATATGTAAGAATAAGACAGGTACATATATATATATATATATTATATATAGTGGCAAGAATGGGACATCATAATAGTGAAGTAAATTTAATTAATGGAAGCAGGTAACAAGTGTGTGGTTTGTTGTATCTGTTGCTGCTGCTGCATTTAAATTCCCATTTAATTCTCATCACACTATAACTTATGTTTCCACCGCATCAAGAAACTGGTCGATTAGTTACGTTAAATAATAAACCCATTCCCAAATCCTAACCATTACTAATATTGATCTAATTTGTGACTTGTTAGCATCTGCAACAGAAGAACCTAACCATTGATTCAAAAAAGCAACTAGTTGATGATTTTAAATACAACAATGAATGCCTATTTTATTCTATCTTGGTGGAACAATTAACAAATGAAAAAAATGGCTGTCTGATCAGAGCCCATAATACATACATACATATATGCATTTAGTTTCTTAATTGATAAAAAAAGTGTAAATAATTGTTGATGAGGCAAATGAGTAGTTGAGAAGATGAATTGCAATTCAAAAAATTGATGATGGGCGTGGGCTCATTGAATTTCTTGCATCAAATTGCTTACACGCGTTATCATTCTTGATAGACCTTCATTATTTGTCTCAACATATGTAGTATTATACTTGTAAATATATATATATATATATACAAATTGTCTCGTTTATATTGAAAACAACAATGCAGGTAGCTAGCGACAGTTGAGCACAGTTATGGGGACACTGAAATCTCAGAGAGCTGGAGAAGAAAGGCAAACCATGTACTGATAAATATTTTAAATGAGGTGAGGGATGGTGGATCTATCCATCTATCTCTCTCTCTATATATATAAACATCGATCTCTAGCTGTCAAGGATATTAATTTGAACCTGCCGAATGCCTAATAGCTAGGCAATTGGTGATTGTAAGAACACTGTTATGCTTTCCATTCATTTTCAAGCTAATTAAGAGTTCTTGTCATTGGCAAGAAGCAGCATGATATATGTCCAAAAAGTTTCGAAGAACATATAACTAAATGAGCACAAGTTTATCTTCACTGCAAATAGAACCAATAAGATCATAGATCGAAACAAATCTGTGTTAAAAGTCATGTAATCCTAAAGTTGCAATATTTGCAGACAACTTACTGAGAATTAAAGGTTGAGTTGACCTTGATGTGTTTGTTCTTAGAAGGATTTGGACGGTGCAGACAATCTTTTAATCCGAGAGGGTTTGATTGGGAATCAATATATATATATATATATATTAATTACATTACTTGTTTTGGATCCACATATATAGTATATATATATATATAAGACACAACATGATCGATCGGGAACTTTCTTTCATGCAATAAGAATAGGATAGGCATGTCGTCAGTCTCACCTTTTAAAAAACACACCCACGTAGAATCCACGTACGCCTTATTTAATTTTTTTTGTCATTTTCTAATTACCATACGTAAAATTTACGTAAATAATACTCTGGTTTGGTCGGTCAACCACTTGTTTATTCTTTAACACATATCTCCGCCTCATGAAACCGCATTATTAAGGAATCCCACATTTTCTTTATTACTATTATCCTAAGTAAGCCACAATTAATTAATAAATAAATTAATTAATGATGAGCTGCAACATACGTACCTTCAACACCAACCAAATCACAGTGGTGGGTGGGTGGGTGTGTTTAAATAAATAAAATGGGAAATTGGTGCATCTGATGCACGTGCCCATATTTTCATTGCGATTTACTAACGATTTCATATACTCCATATCTCTTAGTTCAAACTTAATTTTTTCGATGACATGACCGGATAATCGCGAGGTAATTGAGTCCCGTTTGTTGGGAAGCGATCCTCTTTGAGTAAATTACAATTACCCACTTACTTTGACATTTTTTTTTTTTTTTTTGTTTTCCATGATTATTACATTACAGCTTAGGGTTTGATTATCAGAGAAAGCAGATACGCAGGGATACCTCCCATTAAATTGGTTTTGACTAATGTGCCGCCCTCTGCGAGCGGCAGCTGTACATTAAAATTATACATTTAGTCAACCCTCAGATATATTATGATGATGGATGATTTAGATTAAGGGCTGTAATATGAATTGAAATAGCTGAAATGAGGCTGCACATGCTCATCCATGTCATCAGTGATTATCTGTCAATCATGACGACGGAGCCAAAAAGAATTCCCTTTTCCTACAAGAGAAGGCATATCTATACATACATATATATATAATATATATAACCTAATAATAATTAGATCATGACGGGAAATGTAGTACCTTAATCATTCAGTGATTTGCCGACCAATCTTTCCAAAAAGATTGCCAGTTGACCTCACAACATGATACACATTGTGCTCTATATATGTAGGCTGTAATAGAACAGACAGTAAGCAGGTTTACTACAACAATGGCGACAATGGACATGAACTCTCTTGTCTACTTGTGCTTTTCGATCTTCATTGCTGTCACTTTAGTGTTAATTTGGATGGGGTGGGACAAAGCTATGTCCGAGAGGAAGAAGAAGAAGCAGCAGCCTCCAGGCAATCTCGGGCTCCCCTGGATTGGAGAAACCATGGACTTCTGCAAAGCACAGAGGAAGAACAGATTGTACGAGGAGTTCATCAAGACACGCATCGAAACCTACGGCAACACCTTCAAGACACGGCTGATGGGGCACCCGACGGTGGTGGTGAGCGGCGCCGAGGCCAACAAGTTCTTCTTGTCGAACGAGTTCAAATTAGTCATCAGCTCGTGGCCCACCTCGTCGGTCCAGCTGATGGGGGAGAATTCCATTATGGAAAAACAGGGGGAGGCTCACCGTCGCCTCCGGGGGATTGTGGCTGCATGCCTCAACCCTGGGGGGCTCGACGGGCTCGTGCCGAGGATATGCAAAACCGTCGAAATGCACCTGGACAAGTATTGGAATTGCAGGGAAAGTATCAGCTTGTATAGTCTTACGAAACTTCTGACATTCACCGTCGTCCTGGAATGCTTGTTCGGGATTGAGGTGAAGCCCGGAATGCTCGAAATGTTCGAGAAGGTTCTAGAAGGTGTGTTCGCCGCCCCTGTCAGCTTTCCGGGGTCGAAATTTTCCAGGGCGAGGCGAGCCAGGAAAGAGATTGAGAAGATGCTCGTGGACATCATCCGGCGCAAGAGGAACGAATTGGAGAAGGGTACCGAGGCCGAGGAAGGTATTCTTCTTTCCAAGTTGGTTGCTGCGCAGATTCGAGGAGAAGTTAGCGAAACGGAAGTTGTCGACAACATCGTGTTGCTTGTGTTTGCAGCGCACGACACGACTTCGTTCGCCATTGCCATGACTTTCCGGATGTTGGCTCATCATCCGAGCAGCTACTCGACCCTTCTGAAAGGTACCGATAAAATTAAACTTTTAGGTGAGATAATCGTTTAATAGAAATATTAAGATTTTGGTCGTTTCTTGAATACTATATCAGAACACGAAGAAATATTGCGTAGAAAAGAGCCCGGGCAAATGCTAACGCTTGAGGACACGAGGAGGATGCGGTATACGTGGCAAGTAGCGAGCGAGAGCATGAGGCTTCACCCTCCGATATTCGGGTCTTTCCGGAAGGCGATAGCCGACATCGAATTCGGGGGATACACCATCCCCAAAGGATGGAAGGTAAATTCAGCTTAACAAATTAGAACTATTTGTTAGATTATATAAATGCCTGTCTTACCTAACTAAAAATTTGATAAATAAATAAATAATACATACGTATCCATGAAGTTCCATTTTTGTTCATGAAAATGCAGATATTGTGGACTGCATATGGGACACACTATGATCAAATGTATTTTGAAGATCCATTGAGTTTCAATCCAAGAAGATTCGAGGTGCCAATTCAGCCATATGCTTATGTGCCATTTGGGGGAGGGCCAAGACTGTGTGCAGGATACCAATTGGCTAAGCTAAATATACTCATACTTGTGCACTATGTGGTGACTAGATACCATTGGTCTTTGGAGTTTCCTGATGAGCCCATCACTGTCGATCCTCTTCCATTTCCATCTCGAGGAATGCCCATCAGAATTTCACCTAAATCCTCGTCACCACACGCAGACAAGGAAGAAATAAAATAGATCGAGTTCATCCACAATTGTAATATCTTTGTAATCATTTCCGACCAAGCAAATGGCTTATACAAACCCTGATAACTTTATAGCTTAGATGAATTCTATGTGGCTATCATATGGTTAATGGGCAATGAAAAAATAGACTTCTTTCTACCTGCACGTATCCATGCATGCGATGGATCGAGCTAATTTGAAACATTGGAATAATTTCAAATTTTAGAGCACCCGAATATGCAAAACTGTTATCATGTGGATCTTGTTATAAGATTTCTCGACGATGATATGTTACATTAGCTAAAATGCTTCGCGGACCAATGGCTTCATTCCCTACTTGAGTCAATGAAGATATATTTATCAATCTACATCGATCTTTCCCTACGGAGGCATACTATCCATGTAAGCGTTGAAAAGCTCCAAACTCTTGAGTATGAAGCAGCACAGCCATTTCGACACCTGGATAAAGAGGTCAAGAACAATTTGATGATATAATTCACAGTTAACTGATCAAACATTAGTCTAGTTGCAAAGCCAAGGACAAGAGCCAAAAACTATATATGTGCTTATTCATGCAATAGTTTATGCATCATTCATATGAAGATTTAAAATTGTGTAACCACAGACATAAAGATGTATTTGTTAAGTTGTTTATCGTTCCTATGTTCTTAAATTTGTTACATGACAATGTAATAAGTTGGGTAGATCTGGCGTGTATGCTTCCAATCTACATACAAAATGTGCTACCGTAAGTCAGTGTAAGTAATTTATTCGTTATCTTATCAGTTCGTCGCAAACTCCAAAGTTTCTTTGATTTTCGTATTCTTATCAAAAGCCCCCAAAATTGGATCTACTCTTGACGATTCACGCCTTCTTAATCATCAGTAACTATGATCACAACCTTAACACCAACTTCCTCGAGCACAATGATATCTCCTTTAGTTTTGATAAGTTCTTTACCTCGTGTTGTTAAATACCCTTCAAGATTGAGAATTTCTCGATAACCTTCTCCCTTGTTTCACCTTTTCTACTTTTCTTGTTTAGTTCAATGGATTCATCAACAATATTCACTAAATGGTTTTTTAGGACACTATCTTTGAGCTTTCTTGCTTCTAATTCCAATTTGGGGTTGAAGCCTCGTGGCTCTCTTGACATAATTTCTCACTTTCCAGGCCATATAACATCTCTTAATGGATCATGTTTTGTTTAATGTATAGCACCCAAGATGGTCTAAAGTGTTCCTAATGTTAACAAAGAAGTCAAATGTGACAATGTTAGAGCTTAAAGAACTATAAAAATGTAACAATCATAGCCCAAATTTTATATATAAAACTCGTAGAACACATCCCCGGATCACCTCTTTCATGAATAGCTACTATCCATCACTTCCCTAACATTGAAATCTAAGAACTTTGCTTCATTTGCTTACCCAAGTGCAACCATGTCCCCAAATGAACTTGGATCAATGCACCACTGTAATTCAATGTTTCCTCTTGGGCTTAAATCAGATGGAACAATTCATGCTTTCTTCACTATTTCCACCATTTTGAAAATGAAATTAGAAAGAGAGCCACAGTTATGAAGAGCTCGAAGACATCTGGAAAATTGAGATTTACCCCAATCTCAATGTTAACAATTGTCTCCAACCTTTGTCCTCAATTCCCGCAGACAATCCCAACTGTGTGTCTTAAGATTCAAGCTTCTATGGGTAAGCAGGACAATTAAACATGGAAAGACAGAACCTTTCCCCTCCTAGTAGAACAAAGTAACAAATGAATTTCCAACAACATGCCTAAACGGAAAGCTTCAAACGTCACACACAACATAATTCATTAAATTTCCAGTAACCAATCTCCTTTTTTGTTCTGCCATTTGCCAAATGGCACACACAAAATGTACTTAAATTAACAAAATGAGAAACCATCTTACTAAAATGTCTGGATCCAAAGAGAGATTAAATTCAAGAATTCAAAGTCCATCCTAGCCACCGCACACAAAGAAATCAGATAGCCATCAAAAAGATGAAAATGAAATAAAAATAAATGCAGACAAGAAAAACCAGTCAGTCAGCAGGAGAAAGATCCGGTTTCTACATAAGTAAGCTAAATTCATGGTTCCGTGAAACTAAACCTAAACCCAAAATTATCAAGAATCCGTCGCATAACAGCAAAAGCTTAATAGAAAGCAAGATACAAGTTAAAATCCTGTCTTGGCACAGAAAGAACCTTACCTTTAGGAAGAAAACCCAATGTTCCCAGAAAATATAGTTGAACAAGTAATGTCACAGCCATGGACAGAAGCTTGCTTTCAGAGAACCCAAATTAGCCAAAGGGGGTTGGGGTGGGGGTAGGGGTGGAGATGGCAGTGTAAATTGCAGCAGGAGTATGAACACATACAGATTCACATACACAGTATTCGTTCAAAAGGATTTTCTGGGTGAGACACAGTCTAAATACACTTTTTATTCCCCTTTGGACACAGGGAGAGACAGAGCGCCAGACAAACAGCTCTTACTCATGGAAACTCACTCCTATCTGTAATGTAATTGGGGTGTGTGTCTCAGAGAAGAGAGAGAGACAGAGAGAGAACGCGCGGGCAACACGAATCACGAGGAACAGGAAAGGGTGTGGGAGAGAGAGAGATGTGGACAAAGCGAAAAGGTTAAAACTTGGGTAAAACTAAAGGCCATAATTTCCTCTGCCTTGTCTTCTTAAATTGTAGGCGCCTCTTGTTTTTACCGCTGTCTCATCCTTGCCCTTGCCTTGTCTCTTTTTGCCATTTCTAATTTCTTCGTTTTTGTGAATCCTCTTTTTCTTCCCAATTTTCTTTTCAGCATTCCCATTTATTGTTTGTTTCAGTGAAGCTGCTGAAAGAATACTTACCGTGTACATAATCCATTGTCGAATGCCACGACAACAAGAGGTGATTGAAGTTCAATTGCCCAAAATTCAATTACAAGAATGATTCAATCGGCATTAAAGACAAATGTTGAAACTGAAAAGAAAGAATCTTTGCCCAAGAAACAAGATTCTCACCATTCTTGTGGACTTATTCGAACTTAAATTTTGCTTAAAACTCTCAAATTCTGTATGACCCATCATGGATATACCTCAATAAGACATCGAAATCCCAATATTGGAAAGATTTTGTAGCCACTGAATCCAGCATCAAGGAATAGTTTTGCCCACTCTTTTTGGGTCCTTTCTCTTCCAGGGACGAGAACTAAATCCTCCATGTCGAAGAAAAGTTGAGTTTCATACGCCCTTTGGTTTTGATTGGCACTGCTTTCGTCAACCACCGTCTCGATGATCATCACCTTTTCTCCTTTCCCATGGCCTCGGATTGCTTCTTTGCATTTTTTTAGGATTTTGAGACTTTCACCGTCGTTCCAGCAATGTAATATCCACTATATTGGAGGATACATTTATTTCAAATTTTTATTATACAAATGAAAATTGATATTTCAAATCAACATAATTTATTTGTTATATTATTATTTGAATTTGTTATATTAAATAAAAATAAGAGAAAAAAAGAATCAAAGATCAAAGTCTATATGAATACAAGAACATTCTTTTGTAGATACATGTTACTTGATGAAAATTTAAGAAAATTGATTAAATTCTATTATACAAAATGTGTCGCTGCTGTAGTTGTGTGTGAATTTTCTATTATTGTTATTTTTTAATAATTGTATAAGATTTTTTTCAATGAAAATTTTGAATTTTTTTTTTTTTTTTTTTTTTTTTATGGATATTTGTTCAGCAAATAAAAATGGAAGATCACTTTTAAGGACAGAGATACACACTACATAGCTAGTTTCTTGATTGTACGGACATGTTTCATGTGTTTTTTTTTTTTTTTTTAATCTGTAAGTTGGATATAGTATTTTCTCTTTATCTATAATTTTGAACTTTTGATTCGCCTTGCAAATCTTGATGATTAGACTAGGTTCATGCTAGGGCCCACTTCATATAGGGCCTTAATTTATATATCATTAATATTCTTTTGAACCCTAAATCACCCGCAGCATGTGTACTGTGATTGAACTTTTGGGCATAAATTTTAAATTTGGTAAATTATATAATATTTTTTGGATTTTAATGAAAATTTACAAAATGTTTAGTTTTTATTTTAATAAGTGAAATTACTTTCTCATACATTCAAAAGTTTGAACTAAACACTCTCTTTCAACAAATATAATACTTAGGTGTAAATTATATATAAGTTTTATACTAATAAAATAGATCAATATATTAAATAGACTTTTTTAATAAAATAATTAATTAATTAATTTTTCATTTTATAATTTTTTTAAAACAAATTATTATTTTATTTTACCAAAATTATAAAAATAAAGAATTGATAATTTATTTATTTTATTAAAAAATATAATATCTCAGTCCTCAACTAATTTGCCCACTTTAATTATACACCAAGTTTTAAACATTAAATTTACTAGTAAAAATAATTATAAATTAAGAATAAAATGACTAGAGTTTAAATAAAATAAAATTTTAAATTTTAAATTTTAAAATTTTATTAAAGTATATAATTATATTTAAAAAAATATATATTATTTGAAATATTCGAAAATAGAAAAAGCTGGTGGAAGGAATACTATTTAAGATCTTTTACTTTTTTTTTTTTTTTATATATAAAATTTACATAATATATAAGTCTATATTTACCATCAAATTTTAATTCAACACAATTGGATTTTATGTAATAAATAAAATACTATATATTTTGTGTATTTTTACTTAAATGCAAAGAAATATTGTACTCTCTCCGTTACAATATAATAGTCTTATTTTACCATTATTTTCCATTCCAAAACAATAGTCTTATTTTCATAAATAACTATATTCATAAAAGCTTTTTCATTTTTATTACACAATTGTCACTATTTTTTACACTAATACACTCACAAGAGCAAAAAAGTCTTTTATTTATACTTTTTTACCGACTACCAATATAATATCAATATTCCTTAAATCTCGTTTTCAACTCAATCAAGACTATAGTTATGCGACAAAGGGAGTATAATTTATCTTTTTAATTTTTCATCTTAATATGTACTTTTTATTATATAAGTAAATAAAATATTATTATTAGATTATTAAAAAAAAACCATAAATTTATTAAATGGAAAAAAATATTTAGTTTTATAGTTTAGATAATAATAAATCAATTTTGTATTATTTATTTATCTTTTTTCTGAAGAGTATGTTCAAAGATTTTATTTTTATTTTCTTTAAAAAGTTTGTTTAGTAGTGAATATACTTGGCAGGCAAAGCATTGGATTTTAAAATTAGTTAGTGTCGAACGTAGGTACCTTCATCAAAACTGCACTCGCCGGAGGAATAAACTCAAACATATCTCCGGCGACAAAATTCAGGTTTCCGCTCCCTACCAAGCCACCGACGACGTGCGGAAGATCAAGAACTGTGCAGCGCATCTCCGGGAAAGCCGCCGCAATTGCCTTGGCCAGCTCTCCGGTGCTTCCTCCGACATCCACCATCGACTCCAACCCTTCCAACAATCCTCTCCGATCCCTAACAAGAACATCACCCACCAGCCGCGCGTCGCTCGCCATCGCCTCCTTAAACAGGAGGTCAAACGCCGCCGCCGCCGCCTGCTCGCTGCTGCTTTCCCCGTCCCACCTGCTCCTCCCGTTGGCCATGTCAAACGGCGTCGCCGTCGCCGCCGACGCCTCGTCGTCCTCCAGCCATCTGCTCAAAGACTCCCATGGATTCATCAGAACCGGACTGAGAAAGGACAGCACGAATGGAGCTTGGCTGAAACGGTCGCCGGCGAGGAGAATACGGGACGACGGAGTAAGCAAGTATCCCACTTTATCTTCTTCCTCATCCCCGCCGGCCGCCGGGGAGATTCGGACCTCCGTTAAGTATCCGGACTGGGTTAAAATTCGCAGCAGGAGGTGAAGACAGCGAACCTTATTGACACTGTGGATGCCGAGGGCGGCGGCGAGATGCCGGAGCGGCGCCGGTTCGCCGTGCCGGTGGACGATGTCGGGGATTCGGAGCTGAACCGCGCAGCGAAGAGACATCGACTTGGCCAGGCCGAGTATGGGATTCAAAATATCAAGCCGTGCTCCGGCGAGTTCGCCGGAGCTTCCTTCTGCATCGTTAGCGCCGATAAGCACCATTTCTGACTTGGAATTTGAAATTTGCATTTTGCCCAGCATACATAATATATAATGTATATAATTTTGTTGATCAACAGGTAGACAAAACATGAGTTCCTCAGCAATTCTGTAATCATCAGTAAGTATAAATAAATACAAATCAAACATCACAATCACAATCACAATCACCTCCTTTTCTCCAACTAAACTCTCTCTGTCTGTCTCGGCACTGCTAAAATCTCAATATATTTCCAGCCGGTTTTTGTCAAGCAAGAAAGAATCTTCCAGGAACAAATTTCCAAACTTGTAAACACATGAAAAAGATGGTCAGAAAAGAATAATTTCACCAGAGTTATGGCGCCCATCGATCAGTCAGTCAGTTGTGGCCGTTGCTCGTCTCTTCCGATGCATGGCTCGCCGACTGGCCGCCCCGGCTTTCCACCTCAGCTGAACCTGCACTCTCTCTCATTGATTCGATCTCCAGGTTCGTCCTGCTCTTCCTATTCCTTCGATCCTACAGGCGATAAAATTCCGACATTTCAAGTAGAATGACATTTCACACATACACTTAAAACTGTACCCGGCAACAAACATGTAATCATCTACCATATATAGAAACACAAGGAAACGACAATGCTGAACCAAATGTATCAATAAAGAATGTCACCTCGCGATAGGGAAATTCATCGGATTCAATCATTTGGACAACCTGACTCATCTTGAGACGTTTCTCTGCATTAGGATCAACACACCTAAGTGCCACTAGAAGCGCGCGTTTCAAAGCTCGAGTCGTGGGCTTAACTTCAAGGTCAGGGTCAACGACCTCCTCTGCTCTCCGGTTCCCGACCATCACTTTCAGCCACTCCACAAGATTAACCTGCAACAGATTTCAATATAGCTTGGTAAAACAACAATCTGCAAACTTTTCAGCCATTCTCCTTTGAGCAGAGCTGTGGTTGCAAAAATTGGGTTTCGGAAAAACTTAATAGTATAGTACCTCAGGGGGCGGACGAGCGTAGTCAACAGGTTCTCTTCCGGTGACTGCTTCTAATAACAGAACACCAAAACTGTAAACGTCGCTCTTTTCGTTCAACAAACCACTATTTGCATATTCGGGAGCTACATAACTACAATCAATGTAGAATCCTAATTGTGAAAATCCCAAATAGGTGCAGACTCAAATATTTACGTATAAAAATGCTGAGAAAAGCAAATACCCGAACGTGCCCATTACTCTCGTCGTGATATGGCTTTCTCCGGATTCCAACAGCTTAGCCAAGCCAAAGTCAGAAACTTTCGCATTGAACTCGTCATCAATCAAGATGTTACTGGATTTTATGTCGCGGTGGACGACTTTCGGCTCTATAGACTCATGCAGATAAGCAAGCCTGGACAAAACAACAGCAAAATTATCGATCTTGGTCAGATTTAGAATAAGAAAACACTGGTGGTCTAAGTACTCATTAGTTAGAAAAATATTTACGCCTTTGCAGTCCCGAGTAGAACTTTCATGCGGGCTTCCCATGTCAAGATGCCTTGCTGTCTCTTTGCCCCATGAAGCCACTGCTCCAGATTTCCATTGTTTACATACTCGTACACCAACATCCTTCGAAATTAAAGTAATGCAAGTTCAGCTAAAAGAAAACACAAACTAATATATCACTCAAGACCATAAAACCTAAAGGAGAAAGAAAAAAGGAAACAAATTGGAACGTAGTAGTGCATAAAAGCTAATCAAAGTGGGCTTAAAGTATAATCTCATAGTCGACTCACCTGTGAACCCCTTCAATGCAATAACCAAGAAGCCGAACAAGATTCTTATGCCGAACATGGCCAATGGCCTCCACTTCGACCCTAAACTCTTTCTCAGCTTGCCCACTGCAACATAGTTCAACCATAAACAGCAACACGACAAAATCTTTGGCGAAAAATGAAACATGATAGAGACAAGTACTCACAGATTATTAAGAAGTTTCTTAACGGCTACCTCCGTGCCGTTGATCAATTTGCCTTGATAAACAATACCATATCCACCTTCCCCGATAATACACTCAGCAGAAAAACGATTCGTTGCTATTTCAAGATCTCTAAGTGTGAACCAATGGCCCCACCCTAGGTGAGATATTTCTGGCAAGCCAACTAATGGAGATGGCGCGGCAATCCCATATGACTGAGAAGATTGCTTTCTGGCATGGCCATAATTCAACAGTTCATCGCCGGACTGAGAACTATAAGTCCTTTCATGATGATAAATTGAGCTGCATTGACTAATGGCATCAGCGTCGCTCGATTTATTCCTGCCCAAATGTACCAGCATCTTCTCTGAGTTCTTGTCACTTGATTTATCATTTACAGTCAAAACTACACTTTCTTGATGATCATGTGCACTTTGATTTCCAACACGATCGACCCTGATTTCCTTTGAAATGTTCGGTATTTGGTAGCCCGAATGCTTATCCGAGGTCCTTCTAGATTTCCTTCGAAACATTACCCATATTGACAAGATCCCCAGAATAAGAACAATGAATGCACCCACAGATGTGCCAATGAGAACCCATAGTTTTACACCCCAATATTTCTTCGACAATTCACCGCTTAAATTTCCGGAGGGCATTTTCGACAGCTAGGCAACAACAAAAAGTTCTCCTTGTCTTACGTTATGGACAATAACTAAACCATTGAAAGATATAATTCCAAGAACCAGTCAGATTATCCAAATCTCTATCGGTTTCCAATTGGACCTTCAAAAATCTCTAATGCTCCTGCCGGAAAAGGAAGACGATGTTACTGCACACTGATTTGAATACAACACTGCAATCCCAGCAACAACTAATGGATTCATTACAGGCTACAGAGCACTAATCTACACCTACTAATGAAACTCAGACGAAAGTAAACATGGCGATGAAAACCACAGCAAAAGATCAATTATCCTCAATGAAAGCAGAAAAACCTCACTTCATCTATAATTTTCAGACAAACAAACAAAAATCATCCAATCAACGAAAGCCTCATCTATTTTAGGGAAACCAAATACACAGAAATCTAAGAATTTCATAAATCAAACATAATGGCGCGCAGATTAAACAGAGAATTGAAGCCGATATCCGAATCTAAAGTTCTGGGGGTTAAAAGATAGCAAAATCAAGCAAGCATTCACATGATCCAAGTAAAGGGAACATAAATAATCGAATCCAGATGCAAATCCATCGAACAGCGAATCAAATACATACAGTCATACAGAAGGAAGCAGCCGACTCCGCAAGTGATCTGAACTCACGCCTCTTGACCTTCCCCGGAGGAGAAACAATAAGGTCACCACCTAGATATTAACGACGGCTGAAACACCTCCGAACCCCCAATGGCGATGCGAAATGCACCAAAGGAGGACCAGAAAGTAAACAAAATAAAAAAGGGAACAGCCCAAAAGAAAGGTTAGCAGCGGAGGAGGAGTAGTTTAGAAGCAGAAGGTAGTGGGCCAAAGAGAATTCCAGAAAATAATAATAAAATTGCAATTGCCAGAGCAAATTCCTTTTTCTTCTATTTTACTCACAAAATTTCCTTGCGGGGACAAAAATCTGATCTTTGTTGTAGCAGTATTTTAATGGTGGAAGAATATCAAGAGGTGGGGTGGTGTGTTACAGTACTAATCTATCTATATAGCTATCTATTTATCTAATGGTGAGGTGAGGTGAGATTTGGGAGGGCAGAGTGGGGAGGTGCCTATTAATAAAAGCAGAGTTGGGTGATGATGGTAGGTGGGGGAGAGAGGGAGGCAGGGAGGGCTTTGTGAGGACACATCCAAGAGGAAAACTTAAAAAAAGCTGGAAAGAAAGATCGAAAGCAAGCTTGATTTGCAATGGAGAAAACCAGACGGTGACAGACATATATAATAGTAGTAAATAGTAAAGTAAAAAAAAAAGGTGGTGGGGGGAGGGGGTGGTTGCACAAAGAACTACATTTATTGCTGTAGCGAGAAAAGAATATTATAGGAAAAGTTGAAACAAACACACAGAAAAAGAAAATATATCAAAAATATAAAATTATTCAATATTTACATTTTTTTTTGTATGTATTTACAATAAATTAAAATACCAAAATACTTTCAAAATATACCTAAATATAATTAATGACAGATAGTGACCTAACTTTGCATTTAAATATATTTAACAGAAATATATTAGTAGATAAGATGTTTTAAATAAGATTATAAACATAAAAATACAGATAAGCTTTGATACTAGTAATTTTTAAAAAATATTCTATCAAATATTTATTTTTTATTTAAAATATTACATTAAAAATATTTTTATATATACAGAATATTACATAAAATATGTATTTGTATAATATTAAATATTTATTTATTTTTATTTAAGTTTGTAAGATAGTAAAAAACTGTATTTAACGTAACCTTAATTAAGAGTTTTCATATTCCATATATGAGTTTATGTTAATCCAAAAAACCAATTTATTTTTTTATATATATATAATCTATAATCTTTGTATATGTATACGCACTTACGTATTGTTTTTAGTACAATTTATTTTATTTTATTTCTTGATAAAAAAAATATATATATATTATTATAGTATGTGAGTCTGAGAGACTTCCCTTTTTAAAATTTGACCATAATTTATTGTGGAGCATTTAATTTCGTTGTCACAAGATTTTATATTTATAGTATTTTTAATGCTATAGAGCTAATCGTGGCATCCAAACTTAAGAGAGCTTCTTTAACGTAATTCCAAAGAAATGGATTTGTTCCTAAAAGATAGTCTGGTGATGTAAGAGTTGGATTTGTGACCGTAAAGTTATGGGTTCAAAGCTCTGATGTCTCATGTCATCTACCACTTCCCGCCGTCCAATTATGTATTTATATTTTTGAGCATAAGCTTTAGAATAACTACATACTTTTTGTAACATTTAGTCTCTATAGTAAAATGAAAATTAAAAATATTTGTTATGAGTGCTCAAAAAAAGTGACAATAAAATTAGATACAAAAATAGAGTAATTTTTATTCAAAATTCATAATCAAATGGTTAGGCTTTATATTTACATGGAAGTTTCTGAAATGTTGAACATTTTGAAAAATAGTAAAAATTTATATATTTTATTTGATTTTTTTTTTTTTTTTTGAAAATTTTGTAATTTAATATTTTAAAAAATATATGTATTACTTATGGAACAACACAAATGTTCCAAAAATTTGTATAAGCAGAGCTTTATAATTTTTATAACAAATTTTCAACTATTAATAAATTAAAGTAGATAAAAATACCAACTTAGCAAACATGTGAGTATATTTGCTTAGTACTTATAATTTAAATTATTTTTGTTGTAACTTGTGAAAAATATAAAAAATTAAATAAAATGTGAAAATTAAAATATTTTTGATATTTCTTAGATTTTTATTATGGACAAAGAAACACCGAGATAAAGGAACACAATCAAACAAACTCATTCCTCCGTACCTCCCATTATATATATATATATATATATATGTGCGCGCGCTTTTGTGTTAAATTCATTTATTTTAAATTATTTTGGAGTTTAATTTTTTTTTTATTATACAATAATTGCAATTTTCTATAAGAATATATATATATATATTTTCCAAAATATTACGTTTAAATCATTGTCCAAATAAAAAGTTAAACCAAAAAACAAAAGTAAACTAAAAGAACATAATAAGTTCTACCTGTGTGTTTTCTTTAGGTTAAGTTTGAAAATTTTGGTTTGAATTTGATATTCAAATAATATTTGATAAGATATTTTCGTGACAAGAGAAAAATATACTATTTTTTCGAAAAAACACAGAATCCAAACAATAAAATTTTTTTTTAAAAAAAATTAATCAAAGAAACAGATCCAATTACTTTTATATATATTCTTTTCAAAACATATATTTAATCATTATTTATTTAAGATTGGTTCAAATGTTAATTTTGATTTGAAGTTTTTTCATTTATTAGGGAGGGTAGACAACTGTGATATGGTTGGTTTTAGAACGTTGCTACTTAATTATAAACAACAATGTGTTACTATCTAATTTATTTCAATATATAAAGTTACTCAGCTGTCACATGATCTTTCATGTAAATAAATTAATAATTGAAATATATATTTATATGGCTGTAGTCTGTAGACGAAACCCTGACAGTATATTACTGTAGATAGTAAGTAAACATATAAAATATAAGCTAGAAATCAACACTATAAAATAATACTATAAATACAATATATATATATATATATAAATGGATAATATATTAAATAGTCTAATAATACATGTTACAATTAATATTGTGACAAGATATATGTTAATATAAAATATATGTATTATGTTTTACGGCACATTTGTCAATTTTGTCCTGTCATTTTCCTTAATTAGGTGCTAATCCTGTAAGTTGCAATAGTTAGCCACTTTGGTATTGTCATTCATTAGCATGTCAAATTTATAATAATAAAATTAAGGGTGTGTTATTTAGAAATTTAATTTTGATTTTGATGTTATTTTTATAAGAGAGAATATTATATTAATATAAAAAAAATCATTATGAACTCATAGTAAAATAAAAATGAAATCAAACTAAAAAAAAAAAAATAGACGGACCTAGTTTGTTAGGTTATGAATTTTGTTTGCCATGGATGATTCACCTAGTGCGATTTATTTTATTGAAACTAATTAACAGGCTATTAAGTTCCGTCACGATTTACTCAGCTCTTAACAATTGCAAATTATCACATTATCAAATATATATATATATATATATACAGGGGGGACTACATGGGACTAGAAGGTCAACTGACCCCAACCCTCAATATATATATTTATGTAAATAATAATAAAATTATGTATTCTATAGTAATTAGTCATTCCTAATTTTTTATTTTGTAAAAATATTAAATTTTATGTAATTTTATTGAGTATTTTTTCTAAAACATATAAAGTTTCCAATTTTTTTTTTTTTTGCCGGTGTATATTATAAATAAAAAAAAACAACATTGAATTGATAATAAAAAATCAATTTTGTCCCCCACCCTCTAAATTTTTACTATTGGTTTTGTCACTTATATATATATGTATATCTATGACATCTAACAAAATTTTAATTTAAAAATCTAAAAAATATATATATAATGCAGACGTGTAAACAATTATTTTCATCTTTGTTGGCCATATTTACACTATATAATTTAAATAAAATTATACTACTATTAAAATTTCCTTTTAATTAAAAATATGTATATATATATTGTTTAACATATTGATGGGTCAGGCCCAAAAGGGCCAACAGAAATATAGACTAAATTGAGCCCAATTTCGTTTTCACTCTTGGGCCGAAAGACAAACATTAAAAAATGTTCAAAAACACTCAGAAACAACAAATAAACATACATGCTTCGGCATGTGTTTGTATGTTAATTTAAATTAAAATTTTTGTTATTTATTTTATACTATTACCAATAAAAATATATTATTTTTAATAAAATTTTATATTAAAATTTTATTTAAACCAACATTGAAACTTTTACCTTAATTTTAAATAAAAACTAATCAAACCCTATATATGTTTATTATCATTGATTAGTTTTTATATTATAATTTGTAACGATAAATTAATCGATCGTGGGTAGTTTAAATGTCTTAATGAGAATTTTTTAAAAACTACTTTAATTTAGATTTAAATAATACAGAAATAATGGATTTTATTAAGCCCATTAATAGATAATGAATAAATACCTTATCCTATGTAAGGCTTTTGTGCTGCATTTAGATATGTTTGTAAATTTTAATTTGGGATTAGTAAAAAATTAAATAAAAATACATGCTATAAATGGATGTTGAATATGATAATTTATATTGAAAGTATAGTATTTATTAAAAAATAAATTCTTAAAAATATCAAAACAAAACTTTTTATTATTATTAATTTATATATATATAAATTTATATTCAAAACATTCAATGAATTAATCTTTATTTATATCAAATTAAATAATTATCTCAATTAAAAACTTTAGTTATTCAAAATTTAAATTAAACACAATTTCCAAATCGAGAAACAAACACGCCCCTAAGCCCTTAAGGTTTATAAACAATTTCTTTTTTTTTTTTTCTTTTTTTTTTTCCGGAAATCAGCAACAAATGCATGTTATTTATATCTAAAGTTTATTATAATTTAGGGAATATTTCTTTTACACCAAATCTTAAATTTTTATTAGATAGACTGTGCGTTTTTTAAAAAGAAAAAAAATACTTTATTTTTTACAAAATCTCATCATATATTATTTTAATATCCAACTCAAACCAAAATTTTCCTAAATTTATTTAAAAAAACATACCCTAAATATAATTTTTACTATATTACAACTTCAAACATATATAATTCCAATTAACTATATATATATATATATATATATATATGGTATATTCCAAATTGCTAATCCCATTGCCGCCCAGCCATGAAAGACGAAGCAAATTAACTTTTAGTAATAATAATAATAATGAAGTTGGCAAATAAAAACAGTTTGTTGTTGATTAGAACACGACAGATTCATTGGCCTGCTGTTGCTGCTTCTGCAACTGCATCAGTCTGCAAGCTAAGCAGCAATGCAATATTGCTGTTTTCCACTTCGATAAAATCAAGAATGCAAGAACCCCTCCTCTCTTCCTACAATATATATATATATACCATAAATTAAAAATCTTCCATAAGTTGTTTTAATTTCACACCAAAGAACTAGCCAGAGAGATATACATACATACATATATATATATATATAGAGAGAGAGAGAGAGAGAGGGAGGGAAAGTGGGGATCAAATGGAGGGCAGGAACTGGTGGTGGTGGCCGTGGACATGGACACGGAGTTCATCATCTTCATTAATGAAAAAGAATGTCAAGCTTCGAGTGTGGATCGTGGACGATGTTCTTTTTAAGATTGTTTATGTCCTTGAATCCATCCTTCTCGTCTCCGCTCTATGTCTCTTCTACCTCTGCTGTGGCTGCCACATCTGATCTTTTTTCTTTTTCTTTTTAAATTACACATCTTCTCTGATTCATTTTATTTTGGAAAATATGACCTCATCCAGACAGACACCAACGAACTTTTCTTGATCAAATTTGATTATTGTTATTATTATTACATTATTTGCATTGATGTACGGATCTTTTCTCAGCTTCCCTAATTAATTAGGTTTTCTACAGGTCTAAAATTCAGCAGATTGTATTCATTTATTATTGTTATTATTCTTTCTGCTGGTCATACTGCATGGAAATTTTCATACACGATTGACAACTGTTTATTGAATTTAAAGAACATTAAAATGAAATTAATTATACAAAAAAAAAAAAAAAGCCTCTACTAGCCTTACAAGCTTGCTCTTCCAAAACCCAATTTATCTTCTCTGGATGGTAAATTATTCTCACCATCATAGGACCTCATGTAATGGAATTGATCCATTCGATTATGTTTCAAATATTACATTATGCAATGCAAAACGGCTGTTCAGCTGTCGATGTGCGAGCTGGATTCTATACTTAACTTCAACCCTTTGCGAAACTCTACGTAAGGGTACGCAATCGGCTGCTCCCCGTCTTCGACTTTCCATCTTCAAGAAAACATCGATTAGTCAGTAGCTATAACTATGAGGGCTTGTAATAAAAATAAAACTAGGGCTTGCAGATGCATTACCTATAACTTTGTAAGAGATGATGGAGAAAAAAGGCAACCTCAACTCTTGCAAGTTCGAATCCCGGGCAGCATCTGGTTCCTCCCCCAAATGGAGTGAACTTCTTGCATGCTTGATCTTGTGTCTGTAAATTAAATTCACGTTATTTTCGACTGTCTTAATTCTTTCAAATTTACACAAAATAGTATCAAAAACTGAAACTTTGTAAGGTTGGATGACTGTACCTTCCACCTCCATGGATTAAAGTTTAGGGCAGCAGCGTGGAGAGAAGAGTCGAGATGAACTGCGGAGAAGACTGGTAGGACCTTCCAACCCGATGGAATTATGTATTCTGGGCCATAGCCACCACGCATGCATGTTATATATATATATATATATAATAATCCAGATGACAAAAGTAAGAGCACTAAACAAGGAACTTAATTGAGATATAGCAATTATAGATCAAGTGTATGTATATGTGTGAAAAGGGCCACCAGTATATATAAATAGAGACCTTTAAATTTGACATCTTTGATCGCCTTTCGGTGGACAAATTTAACAATGTTTCCATATCTCAGAGCTTCATTTATGACCTGTGTTCCAAAGGCCCACAAAGTTTAGTTCTTAATGAAGGCGATAATAATGCCATTATTCATATATGTAATGATCTTACACTATGTGTAAACTCCATCTGTTTGTAATCTTCCCAGTTCAGAAACTCGCCCTTTCCCTTCCTAGTTCTAATTTTCTGATGCTCTTGCTGCGATTTTATTGTAAGAAGAAAGAAATCAAGAATCATTCAGAAGGGTTGACTTAATTCCCTCCGTGAAATACGGACTATTTAAACAAAAAAAAAAAAAGGGACTTTGTGTAGTATAGAGAAATCACTAAAGAGAACCCCTCGGAACATTTTTATAATATGGTCTTCATTAAAGTAACATTAAATTGATTTAGGTATTTTATAATGCAAGTTAAAGACATAAACAAACTTTAAGGAAGTGGTGTGTGTTAGGTTCTTTCTAAATTACCTTTAGTTGTTCAACGGCTAGGGGGAATTGATCGAGGAAAAAGACCACCATTGACAAGAGAAGAGAAGTGGTCTCATACCCACCAAGAAGAGAATCCAACACAAAACTAACTTTTTCGTCTTCGGATAAGGTATCCACACAGATCAGTATCTCCAAGAAATCACTGCTCATTCTCTGCCTAGAGTTTCCATCAACACTTGTTTTTCTTCTTCTTCTTTCCTCTATGATTGCTTTCACAGTTGAAGATATTCTATTTCTAGCCTGTAAAGGAAATTTAAAGTTATCATCAGCACATGCACACTTTCTTTTCATTTTTTCCTTTTATCGAATGTGCGTCTGTGTGTGGGTTTTCAGCCCTCAGAAAAGCAAAAAAATTATATTCCATTGGATTGGATCGATGATCAGAAATAATTAATCAATCAACAAAACCTTAACAGCTCTTGCGTATGGAGTTCCAGGGATGTAAATGGGGAGAGAAATCAGGCCTTTCATGAACGTCAAGAAATCCTGAAGAATCTCCTTCGTGTGTGCCTCGTCAGGAGCCAAGCCAAGAACCTGCTTCACTATTACATTGAACGTGTACTGTAATAATAATAACCAACCAAAATTACATTAGAAAAATGATAATTACAAATCGATCGAATTCACGAAAACCTAAATTAAAATTTTTCAATAACGACCTTTCTGGCTTCCTCGGAGAAGATGACCTGGTTTCTGCCTTTCCATGTACTAAGAATGAGCTGGGCAGTGTTCTCAATATCGCTTAGGAAATCAGGTTTAGATTTGATTGTAGTGATGAGCGAAACAGCGACGTTCCTGAGCCTCCTGTGGGTTTCCCCGACAGCGACGAGCATAGAATTCTTGCCGAGGATTCCATGGATGGGCTTGGGATAGCTTCCTTTGAACAACCTCTCTTCGTTGTTGAGTATGTAGTAGTTGAGTTCTTGGTCACATGAAACCACCGTGGGGGAGAAGAACAGATGGGATTTGAACACTTTCCCATACCTAAAATTATATTAATTCATTCATCAAAAGTGAAGTGATTGATGTCTGCGTGCAGACAGCAGCTTTATGCACAACCCCAATAAAGAAACATGATTACTACTACTACTACTAAAAACTCCTCCTGCTGAGATGCTTAATTACGATTGTATGTATGTATTATGTATATATATATATATGTATATTTGTATGTATACCTCGAACAATGGTCTTCCAAGAAAGCCCCAGTTGAGGTCGATGGATGAGGCTTTAAAAAAGCTATGGTTTCTCCGACAAGAGGCCAGCCAAAAGATCCCTTGGGGATGTTCGGATGCCTCACCAAAAACAAAGGCAAGAAACAACACAAAATCACCACTCCCACCAGAAAACCCACAGACCCAGAAACTACCACAAAGACCACCCACCCCCCTCCAACAATTGCCATATTCATTTCTTGATTGATGATCCTCCTACCTCAGAGATTGAATATGGAGTAATATATATATATGTGTATCTATGTATCAGTATCAATAGTAGTGCAGATAAAAACTGTTTGAGACGTTGCCTATATCCTGACAGACTATATATAGACAGAGGAATTAATAATGTCGATCTAATTAAAGATGAAAATAAAAAGGGGATCTTTTTAGAGGTTACTACGGTCGGTGGTGAAGTCAAGACTGACCATCAATATGCCATGGGAAATGAAATGAGATCAACATCTAGCTAGCTAGCCTGGGATCTATGCATAATTAACACACAGATAGACTACTGGAGCAGTCAGTGTGCCTGTGTGTAGTAATTTATGACTCAATTTTGCTCCTGTAAAATCAAGTCTGATTTTGTTTTTAATGTTACTGCTACCACTTATTATTGTTTTCTTTCTGATAGTGGTACTATATAAATAATATTTTTGTTAGTTTTTATTAAATATTTAGTATACAGTTGTGGACTTATAATTATACTTTAATATTTGTAGGCATGTCGAATGTTTGATCATCCTTTAACTAACTATATATATATATTAAAGAGAATTTTTACAACAGTTGGGCAGGTTCATGTTGTTTTGGCACATGCCTAATTAACAAAATTTAGTATTTGATCTTTGGACCAAAAAAATTATAGATTTAATATTGTTTATGAAATTTTGAAATACTTTGTGGGAAGTTGTGATGTTGCATGCTATAAAAAATGCTCAAAAGTAAATAGAGTTATGATGACTTATATTTTTTATGATGACTTATTTTTAAAAATAAAAAATTAATACATACTACATTCTTACACTTATTTTTTTATTTCTACAAACTTTTGATTTCAACATTTTTATTGATTCTTGATTCTTTCTTTCTACATAACAAATGGAGATTAGTTTTAGAGGATGTTATCCCTAAAGTAAACTACACAATTACACCCCAAAAAAACTGTAGAAGCAAACCCTTAAAAGATGAAGATAATGCAAGAAACTAAACACATGTGTAATTATCACTCTCGTAAAAATATTATTTACTTTAATGAAAGTATTTCATCTACTTATTATTTAGATAAGAATATAAATGCAAACCAAACATACCCCAAAATTCAAGACTAAGACTAAATAATGGTAAATTACATCTCTATTATCTGTATTTTATTGCATACGTAGTCATTATATCAAACAAATTAATGCATAAAACTTCAACATTTTTGCAACCAAAAAAATAAAGACAAAATAGCAATTCTATATATATATATATATTTGTGGTTTCATAACAATGTGAATTATGAATAAAAAATCTATAAAACATTTTATGTAAGTATATTAATATATACCATTAAATTTAGATCGATGGGGTACCATAATTAGTGCATAAAATTTACAGGACATTGTGTACCCTAACTTTGGGTTAAACATAATTATCACTTAGTCGATTGTTTCCCCACTTAAAGTCTAACATGTCTTCACAAAGTGCATCAATCCAAACCTTTGTCATTTTCGTCCTTTATCACTTTACGAACATTACCATGGATGAACCAACCACTTGAATATTGATGATGCCGATGCATAGAATCGTGCAAATTAATTAATCTAATTATTACTCCTCAAACGCGGCGCATTATATATCATCAAATATCTTTCGAAAAAATGTATAGAAAATAAAAAAACTTATAAAAAAATTACGAGTATGGCGTTGTCGTTTCCAATCATCTAATAGCAAACAAGACATTGAACAAAACCATCTTAAAATGTTGTGATAGCTATGTACTTAAATAAATTGATTTTATTTTTCAATAGTTAATAAGCATATAAAAAGGAAGAAGACTTATAACAGCCTTTCATATATTTAATTTTATTTTACATTGCTTTAGGCCAAGCATGGGGAAATTCCAAATTCTTGTCGTCCAAATTAAGGCTTACTTTAATTTCATTTACTATCTTTGGGGAACCATATGATGCCAAAAACACTACATGATTAAACGACTTTGCAAACCAATGTTTGCAATATTTCTTTCAGTGGTCGAAACTTTTGACAAAAGTTTTCATATGTATTTTGATGTCAATTTCTTGGGATCATGAATAATTTGCTTGTTTTAGGTACACGACTATTTAATGATAAATAAAATGGAATTGCAAATCAAAGAAATATATGGTGCAAAAGTAGAGATTAAAATTTAATGTATATGCATATATTCCTTCCCTCAACTTAATAAATATATACTTATTTTTGTACTGATATTAATAAATATTATATTTCTAATAATAGTTTATTATGATTTTGTGTGTAAAAACTATTTTGCTGATTTAAATAAATATAAATATGAAAATATTTGTAATACATAAAAAGCTTATAGATAAAAATAAAAAATTATTGAGCAAAAAATGGCATAATATTTCTTACAAAGTGAATTTAGAAAATCATCTTCTTATCACACCAAGAAGGTTTCATCTAATATTTTTTAAAGTATAACGAAGTATTATGCAATTTTTAAAGTGCAGAGCTGAATAGTGAATTTGCAGTAAAAATCCCCCAAACAAACACACCTTAAGTATAATTCTTCTGTCTATTAAATTTTTTATTTATTTTGTATTATCCATTAATTTATTATATCAAAATATGGTACAGATTAAAAAAAAATGATAAAAATATTTTTATTAGTGTCTTATAATACAAATATAATTTTATTTGTGTAAACAATTATACATATATAAAAATATTTTTAATGTAAAATATAGTAACCGAAAAAGGTAAATGTTAACTTAATAAGTGGATAGGAAGTATTTATTTACTATTTTTTTATTCATATTTATTTACAATAAATATTATTGATTTTATTATATTTTAAAATTTTAATTATTAATTAAATTTTTAACTATCCTTTATCATCTTTTACTTTTTTTTTATATTTTTTATTTTTAATAAAATAGCTTATTTTTTTAATCTTGTAAATTCAAATTAATTGTATATTATAAACAACAAATTCTTTTTTCTTTTTTTGAACTTGTCATCTCAAGCATTATCCGCTTCAACTTTCGAGATACCACACACTCTTTCCATTTCTTCTCTCAGCAACTCATCAATTTCATGCTTTATACTCATACCATAAATGTACATACAGATACCTTATTAAGCATATATTTTATTATTTTTATTTAAAATATTCATAAATTTCTTTTACTGTTCGCTAGGGTTATCTCATAATGTATGAGATTTGTGTGTGGTTTAATATACTCCATCCGTCCAGCTACAAAGTATAAATGTTTCTATTTTTGGACGTCCAATTACAAAGTAACCATTTTATTAAATATCCCACTTTTTTCCACAAATATCCTTATTTTACATCACACTGTTACTTTTATACCAAAAAGCAAGAGCAAAAATGTCATTACACTACTTTTAGCAACCCACTATAATTAAAATATTATTATTTTTTAAACTCCGCGCCAAAAGTAAATGTACACTTTATCCGTGGACGGATGGAGTAATTTTCTTTTTACATGTTGATTTTTTTTTTAAATAAGTATATTTTTCGAATTTCATACTGTACTTACATGTTGTGATCACACTATTTTTATTTTTTTTAATTTTTTTAAAAAATAATATATTCACTATTATTAATTTTATTTTTTCTTCTCTTAATATGCTATAAATTATATGCTTCAAAATTAATATAATAATCTGTTTATCTTTTAATTCAAAGTATTTTTTTTTATTAGTTTTTTTCTTCTATTCAAAAGTATCTCCCTTTTTATTTTTAATAAAATTAATCATACACTCTATGAACCATTCCTTTAATAGTTTTATTTAAGATGAAATATTATCTAATATTCAAAAAATTTATAAAATGAATGTCTAATCAATTATTTATTTTATTCTTGTTAGATATATTTTGATCCAACCCAATACCAAGCCTAACCCGCAATCCAAAATTTTTTAACCCAACCCGACTCAACCCGACTCGACCCGACCCGCAACTTATAACTCACCATTCCACCCCATTCTCATTTGTGACAGTGTATTTGCGCATTTGGTTTTTTTTTCTCCCTTTGGTTCATCTTCTTCGCGTTCTTCTAAGGTAGTTTGGGGGTTTTTTGCTTCTTCGTCGAAATTGCAGTCGCTCTAGTTCGATTCCTTAATTAAGTTGTTCATCTGGGTGTTCTTTGTGAGGTTTTGAGGGAAATCGGTCGATTAGAGTTTAGGGTTGATCGAGTTCGTCGGTTTGGGATTTTGTTTGGAGGCGGCTCTAAGTGTGAGTCATTAGGTTGTAGACTGAGCCGTAAGAATAGTTACCCCTATCGTTTGTCGAGTCGCTTGGAAATTGCCGGAAGAGGAAGTCGCCGAAGCTGCACCGGAGCCGAAGCACGTGACTTGGTGTGGTCGTCAGAAAAAGCTCGAAAGAGGGAAGTTCGAGTTCTGCTTTCACAATTTTTTGCTTAATTTTGGATTCTGTTTTGTTTGTGTTCTGTAAATTTAATTTTCAGAAAGTCTGTTGTTTTTTTATTTCAATTTGTTGGACATATTCTAGTTGATATTTTCTTTGTTGCTTGACAGATTAAGTATATAAAACACAACCATTCTAATAAAAATATTTAAAATATTTTACCTATATTTGTATAATTAGATAGGTATTTATTACTAAATATCTAATTTTGGACGAATTTTTTTTTTTCATATATTTTAGTTTAATAAAAAAATATTAATATAATAAATAAAATACAAAATATTTTATATATATATGTATATATTTTCTAAAACAAAACAAAATAATCATAAAATTATTTTTATAACGTAAGATTTTCTCGCCACTATCCCTCAAATATACTTTGAATAATTTTAATGGTCTACTATTTTGCTTATATCCTTTATTATATCTTGAACTTAAAAGTATTATTTAGGATGGAGAGACGGGGAGAGCGGCGCTGCTGAGAGTGCAACACAACTTTCAAGACAGCACGGGAGGGAGTGTCTGTGTTCGTGTCACTGTCAGTTGGACCAATCTTTTATTACCCTCTGCTCCTTTGACTCTGCACTGCACTGCATAAAGATTAATACTCTCTCCCTCTTCTCTTCCTATTCATATTATATTAAACAATTATTTTAATTCAAAAATTTATTATTCAAAATTAAAATCTAAAACAAAAATCTCACAAATAAATACACCCGATTACTTTTATATCACACTATATTAATAAAAATTTTAGTTATTTTTACTTTATTATAATATAATATTAATATTTCTAAAATTACGTACAAAAAATAAATGAATACCTACTTATTGGATGAAAAGAGTATCAAAATAGAAATGGCGCTCAAATCAAATGATTTGATTATTTAGGATTTGTTTGTATAGTGTTTTTATTTGAATTTGTTTTAAATATTAGATATAGAGAATGATATTGATAATATAAAAAATAGAGTAATACTCCCTCCGTCCCATGTAATATGGATGTATTATTGTAGATACGAGAATTTAAGTAAAGTATAATTAGTAAGTAATTAAGAAATATATTAGTAAAAATAATTATTATTTAGTAAAAATAATTATAGATTAAGATTAAGATAACTAAATAGTTTAATTAAGATTAAAAAAAATTAAAATTTAAATTTTAAAATATGATTAAAGTATATAATTAATTTTTCAAAAAAAAATGACAAATTATATAGGACGGAGGAAAATAAAAAATAGGGACAAATTATGTGAAACGGATGAAATATTTTATATTGAATATTGAATTTTATGAAATGATAATATATATTGTGAATCATGTCTGAAAAAAAAATAAAAAATAGAGGGTGTGTTTTATGTAAAATAATTTGAAGGAATATTTGTTTTTTACATAAAATATTTAAAAATTGTGCAATTAATATAAAAATAATAAATACATATGATATATATATTTTTTGAAAATATATGTGCAAATTAAAAAAAAAAAAGAACAAGCTAAAAATAAAAATTATATTCAAAAACTTTTTAACAAAAAAATAAACAAAAAAACTTGTAAACAAACCCGTAGTCTTACTTTTTCTTGTTTATAGTTCCTATGCTTTTAGAAAGCAAGCCCAACATTGAAATCCAAATGTAGTTTTACTGGGCTGGGCTTCTCTTACATATTAGTTTTTTAAATCTCAATTACCCTATGCAAAAGTAAGATGAACAAAATCTAAACCAATAGTACTTACTCCATCCTCACAACATTATTTATGTTAATGTAAATACGAAAATTTAAGTAAAATATATTTTTTTTTGTCTTTTAATAATTTATTTATTTTTTTATTTTGGTCTGTCTTATAACAAAATATTCATTTTATTTAGTTTAATTTTTTACTTTTGGGTGTGTTTGTTTGGGGGATTGGATTGGATTTATATTATTCATCCAATTTTTTTTCCCAAAAATATCAAATCAAATACCTATTTTTTATTTTTTATATTATACTAAAAATCAATTTTATATTCAAAACATCACATTAACACCTATTTATATCACAAATCTCAACTCAAAATCCAAACTCTCGAACAAACACACCCTTTTATTTATACTATATCTCAATATATAGAAACCGAACAAAGAGAATAATTAATAAGTAATAAAAAATATATTAATAAAAATAATTATTTAAGATATATATTAATTTTAATTAATTAATTAAAAAATAAAAAATTATAAATTATTGAATTTAAATATGATTAAAGCTATAATAATAACAAATTATATAAGATGGTTTGAAATAAAAAAAATTTGGCATTTTTGTGGAACGGAGAAAGTAATGAACAATTTTAAAATATCCTTCACAATGTGTTTGGATATGGGTGCTTAGAAGGTCATTATTTTAAATCTAAAATTATTTATATAAGTAGCTCTTTCGTCTACTTGCGTAGTTTCTTTGCTTCTTATTTCTGTCTGCTACTGCAATTAGTAGCAGCCTGTGGCTGTAGCCATCCATCGATCAGAAAGAAAGCTTTGATTGCAAGATGGTTGAAGTCGACGAAAACGACCAGTACTCCCATCCTTTGATCGAAGATGCTGCTGCTGCTGCTTCATCTTCTTCTTCTTCAGATGCTCACACTTCCCTCAAAAGAACAGGTCTCTTTAATTTGCAGTTTTATTCAATTTAGGGTTTTGATAATCTCCATTACTATATGTTGTGGGTAATTTGGAATGTGAAGGGACGGTATGGACAGCAATTGCCCATATAATTACTGGAGTGATCGGGTCAGGAGTGCTGTCTCTGGCATGGAGTGTGGCTCAGCTTGGCTGGATTGGAGGTCCTCTTTCCATGGTCATTTTTGGGATAATCACTATCATATCCTCGAACCTTCTCTGTGACTGCTACAGATATCCTCATCCTGTGGTGGGGCACGTCAGAAACAAGTCATATGCTCAAGCTGTCAAGTCCTATCTAGGTAAATTAATTTACAAAATTGGTGATCTTAATTCAGATTTGGGGATATTCTGATGTATGTGATCAATCAAGTTTCTGGAGCTTACAGTGGATTCTTGCCTTCTTGATGAACTTTTTCATCTCCTTTTATCTTCAAAAGCTATTTGCATTTTGCAACAATTGTGAAATAATCTGTTTTTTCGCAGGTGAGAAGAGTATGTGGATTGCTGGAATTTTCCTTCAAGAAAGCTATTATGGTTATGGGATTGCTTACACCATCACAGCAGCCATCAGCATGAGGTATGATATCGATTATGCAACTCGTCGATGTCATGGCCATTAACTTGAGTTCACATGATTCTTGGTTCTATTAATTTTACTACCAAAAGAGAACTGTAATTGAACTTTCTGTTAATTTTTATCATCTTTAGTACACGGATTGTGTTGGCAATGTGGCAACTTGTGCTAATGTCGAAGAACTTGTAGAGATTTCATAGCCCTTCTTCATTCATGAATCTATAAGGGAGTACTTTATTGTCTTGTTATTATTTAGGGCCATTCTGAAATCGAATTGCTACCACAACGAAGGTCACGATGCGCCGTGCGAGTACGGAGACAGTTTGTTCATGCTGTTGTTTGGAGCTGTTCAGATCATTTTTTCTCAGATACCCGACTTCCATAACATGGAGATCCTTTCAATAGTCGCCGCTGTAATGTCCTTCGCCTATACCTTCATCGGGCTTGCTCTCGGATTCGCAAAAGTAGTAGGTATCTTTCTTTCAAGATTTCTTACATCAAATGAAATTTGATTCTTTGTGAGCTGTTCATTTCTCATTCTGTGTCGAAACATTGGGTCGTCAGAAAATGGCGTTGTCCAGGGTAGCCTCACCGGAGCGCCAGCAGCTACGGCTGTTCAAAAAGTTTGGCTGTCGTCGCAAGCAATCGGAGACATTGCATTCGCTTTCACTTACAACATAATTCTTTTGGACATTCAGGTAGTAATCCTTTCGCTACGGCCCTATCGAAGACATAGGAAACAAATATATCTTCTTCACAATAACAATGAACTTGCGAATGAAGGATACTCTGAAGTCACCTCCTCCCGAAAACAAGACTATGAAAAAGGCATCGACCGCGGCTATACTTATCACCAGCTTCTTCTTCCTCTGCTGTGGATGTTTCGGTTACGCAGCTTTCGGAAGCCAAGCGCCGGGAAATCTATTAACGGGCTTCGGATTTTACGAACCTTACTGGCTCATCGACCTCGCGAACGCATGCATTGTTCTTCACCTTGTGGGAGGGTATCAGGTAAACCATTCACTTAGTTTTTATTCATAACATCGAATATGCTAAGGGATATTTTAATTATACTTGTGTTTTGGTAGATATACAGCCAACCATTGTTTGCTGTGGCCGAGAGACAGATAGAAAAAAAGTTTCCCGACAGCGGATTCGTGCACCACGAGTACGTAATTAAGCTCCCGTTTCTACCTTCTTTCAAGCTGAGCCTTCTGCGGCTGAGCTTCAGAACTGTTTACGTCGCATCAACGACTGGACTCGCGATACTCTTCCCTTACTTCAACGAGGTTTTAGGAGTTCTCGGGGCGTTGAATTTTTGGCCTCTGGCGATATACTTCCCTGTGGAAATGTACTTTGCACAGAACAAGGTAAGAGCTTGGACAAGTACATGGATGGTTCTTCAGGCTTTCAGATTATTCTGTTTGATTGTCACAATTCTGGCGCTCATCGGATCTGTCGAAGGACTTTTGAGCAACAGATTGAGCTAGGAATGTGATTTCCACTCAACTTTGAAATGGATTTGTTTCCATTGTTGTTGTAAGAGTGAGTCCTTCAAAATTGGAAATGGAATTATTTTATGTTATTCTTTTACATTTTTACTTGAAGATGACTTCGACTGCAAATAAGAATAAAGTTAACATTGAAAGGAAAGCATCAAAAGTTTTCAGGGCTATCGTCGAGCTGCTTCTCGTCTTCAATGTCGACTTCCAATATTTCCTGACAAATCCAGATGGCGGACAACGTCAATCTTTTCGAAGGAAATGTATGCTTTTTAGATTAATGAAAATTGAAAAGATCGATTGATTGAAGTGGGCTTACAGGAATTCTCTGCTTCAAGTAATTCCCAAGACGAGCAAGAACCGTCGAACGCTTGTGCCAAAACCGGCCACTCAGGCTGATCTTCACATACGGCCCATCAAGTTCGGCAAGCTCTGCTTTCCCTAAACAATGGTAAGCTTAAACAACATAGGAACGATGATGACGATGACGATGAATTAATGTATTCACGCACCTGTAATATTAACTGATGTATCGAAGAGCTGTGCCAACTGCAAAGCAAGCAATTATTCCCACAGTTCATTTCCCAAAAAATAGAAAAAAAAAAAAAACAAAGAAGAGTAGCTTGCCTCAGTTCTGGCATCGGCCAACACCTGCTTGATGTTGTCTTCTGTTAGATCCAGTTGGCCAAGCGAAGCTGAAATTGCGGCTGTAGAAGATGTCCGCCGCCACCACCGCCGCCGCCGGCAGCTCTGGTTCCTTCTTAACAACGTGGGTGTTGCAGCACTCTTTAACTTCAATTTCTCAGGCCGGAGGTGATTGCGAGGAGGGAGGAGCTTTGCTGCTGGCCATAAGCTGCAGTGGTGAGGATAATTCAGCAACATCTCAGGCCTAATCGTTTTCTTCTGTTCTTGGATTTCAAGAATCGAGAAATGTGTGGTCAGTAAAAACAAAATGAACGGATTATGGGTTGTTTATACTTTTTCTTAAAAATACCTCAAGCCCACTTTCATGTGATTTTTTAGAGGGGTAATATACCCTTTGTATGCCAGAAAAGGAATTTTCCTTCTGTTGTATAAGAATCATATATTTGAATTGAATATTTAGTTCATCATGTGTATAGACCAAAGATGAATTAATCTGAACAAATTAAACCCTTTTTTTCATCTATAAATCCGAAAGCAAAGCCTTAAATACTGTTAACCTCATACAAATCTCACAAGTCAAAAATTACATGATGCAAGAAGTAGAGAAGCTTGGGATAAACACATCCAATACCTACCTACCTACCTCCGATATAGTTTCCTTCTTTTCTGGTAATGAATTCTTCCACAATTGGCAATGAATTTGACAAGAAATCGGTTTGGATGATAATTTTGTTGGCTACAGCACAGGCCCTTTATCCAACTACACACACAGCTAGCTCCCTCTTTTCAGCTAATGCTGCTAAGTGGAATCATCGACAATAATTGGGGGAACAAATGAGCAACCCTGGAGTGTTTGCTCAAAGATGTGGCCTACTTTCAACAACTTTTCCTGCACAGGAGATTCAGATTGTCAATCCATAACAGAAGGTCGATTCTTTAATATCACACTTTCACTTTTCCAACTAGTACGCCGAATATTCAGATTTCAAGTGAATTACACATACGGGAACAGAATAACAGCAATAACTGGCTAAATGTTGCATAAAAAGCATTCTTCAAAGTAAACAAAGTTTAAATTTTGCCTTGCCTCGTTGAATGCGGCACCAATCATTTGAACTCCGACTGGTAGACCAGCAGTATTATCCCCTTTAGCAAATCCACAGGGTAAAACCAGAGCAGGTAGACCAGCCAAATTCACATTCACCTGGGTCAAATTATAAAGGTATTTATCTCAAATAATCAGAACTGCTGCTACTCAAAGATAATTCAAGGGATGACTACTAGCAGGTGGAACAGAATGGTGGGTCTGCAGAACCAAATATTTATGACTCCATATCATTATGGAGACGGTCTTTTGTTGAGTATCTAGCAATAACTGTCAAAAGTCTTACTACTCTACCCACAGAAGAGAACATAAACATAAAATAAATTAACTGTGCAAAGATAAGAACAATTCGGTGAATTTTCAGTCATAAAGCTCCTGAGGGAACACATCATTGCATGCCTATCAACCTCATTAATGCAGAGAAAAAACATTAGGATGGTGATGCAGATACAAGGCCATCTCAAATGAATAAGAATTTCCACTTCTCAAAACAAATGGCAAATATTACTACAACAATGTAATGACATATCAAGACTCACAGTCATTATATCTCCTGCATACATAGCCAACGGATCATTTTTCTTCTCACCTGGACAAAAGACGAGGTGTACATTAGAAATATTTCCAAATCCAAAAATCATGTGAAAAGCTCAAACAGATATGGGTGCATATTACTCTCTATCTTTTTTATATTTGCCATTCCATTGCATTTTTTCTTTATCTTTTTATTTTTTATTTTTCTACAAAAAGTCTCATGTGAAAATTGTAAAGCTGAGAGTATCATACCCATCTTATAAGCAACAGACGGAGCAGCAGGAGATATCAAGATGTCATTTCTGTCTAGAGCTTCCTTGAAACTATTTCTGATTATAGTCCTAACCTGAATTGCAGTACAAACATTAATGTATATCATATGACCTTATCAAAAAGCAGATATTCATTAAAGCCTTCAGAATAAAATTACAGAACCAAGATGTTCAAATTACTTCACAAGTCAGATATGATCACTTCATACCCTAGAATCTCAAGTATATCCTGCCCAAGTCTGGTTACAGATACTAGTTATCTAATGTATAGCAGCAGGAGTTGTATTAATATTAATAATAGATGCTACAAAAACAGAGCAACTAGAGTCAAACCTGTTGAGCTCGCTTGTAATATGCATCATAATAACCAGCAGAAAGAGCATATGTGCCCATTAGAATTCTCATTTTAACCTACAAAATCGAAAAATACATCGCCAAATCAGTAACTGTAAGATTTTCTTTCAGCCACAATAAAGGGGATAAATGTTTAAATGCTTATTGCCAACACAAATCATAAAATAAGAGTTCATACTGAACAGAAATATTCCTAAGGAAATTATTGGAAAACTTATACCTCAGAACCAAACCCTTGGGCGCGAGTATCACTATATAGTGAAGCAAGCTCTTCTCCAAAAACTTGGTTTCCATATCTGCAAGATACATGGATAAGAGGTTAATTGAATCTATGAAGCTATTTATGAGTAAAACAATTAACTCACTCTAACATAATGAATTCACAACACCAAGAAATATTTCTTATGCACAAAAAGTGCCTTAAAACATACCAAGGTTAGAATACAACCTGACACCATCATAGCGAGACAAATTTGATGATGATTCAGAAGCTGCAAGAATATAGTATGCTGGCAATCCAAGGGAAAATGAAGGCATAGAAACCTGAATATGTGGAAATGAATATGCAATCAAGAAACCTCACATACTGATAGAATCATTAAGGGAAGATTAACACAACAAATTAAATAACAAAAAAGAAACCTCAGTCACAGTGCTTCCAAGTTCTTCCAGATGAGAAACAGCATCTTGGACTGAAGAAATTACATCAGTATCAACTCCATCTTCAAGTGTTTCACGAATAACACCAATTCTCAGTCCTTTCAAAGGTTTAGATTCCAAGTAATCTACTGCAACAAACTGGGATGCATAATCAGGGACTTCCTGAAAAGGGCAGCCCCTACCAAGATTAAAATAAGTTCCTAAAAGATTGATTCATAGAAAAATGCTTAACCATCTATAAGCCTTAACAAGTTCCATTGGAATGGCTAATTATCTGTAAGGATTAATATTAAAACATAAATTTGATCAAGGTTCTGTCTATAATAAAGTTCGATAGAAACCAAAACTTGGGAACTTAATTGCAATTCCAAGGCCAAACAAATTCCTGAAATTTCAACATTTAGGTATGAGATCTCAAATAAAAGTAATGGAAATGCTTGCATTTAACTGAAACTCAAGCATAAGACTGTGTATATATATTGTGTATGAATATATTTATGTGACAACATATATATATATATATATTAAGTTAACAGAATATGTTCTTCCTGACAATCCCTAGACTTTTATATCAAAATTTATTAAGATATAAAGCCTCCTTCTCATACGCTAGGGCTCAATATAGCACTAAAACTATTAAATGCTTACTCTGTTACTACTTGTTGCATCAAAGACATCATGACCCGAAATGGCGTGAAGAAGAATTCCTGAATCAGCCACTGAAGAACCAAAGCATCCAATTACATCCAAGGAGGAAGCATAGGCCACAAGCCCATATCTTGAGACATGACCGTAGGTTGGCTTCAAACCGACAACACCACAAAATGATGCCGGTTGCCTGACACTTCCACCTGTATCACTTCCCAAGGCCACCATGCATTGTCTAGCAGAAACAGCCGCTGCTGAGCCTCCCGATGACCCTCCCGGAACCCGTGATAAATCCCAAGGATTAGCTGTCACCTAATGAATACACAGATTCACATGAGTGAACCACATTTGCCTACAGATGATCAAATTGATAATTATTCCAATTTCCAACTTGCACTTTTAGAATCTCAACAGGGGTTAGAGTTTTGAAATATAAATAAGGCCTCCATATCATCAGAACCCCATACTCGCAATTGCTATTTGAATTACATCGTGCTAAACTTGCACTGAGAATTGTCCAATTTCAGGGCTAATTGCATAATTTTCTCTCTCATAGCGATCTGATTAGTTTTCACCATATCCGAATAATTGAATTTTCACTGTATAATCAAACTTAATCAATGAAAAACGTAAGAAAGGAAACAAAACAAACTTGATAAGCAGAGCCTTCAGTTGTGCTGCCCATTCCAAATTCATCCATATTAGTCTTCCCAACAATAATAGCTCCACTCTCCCTCAGCTTTCTCACCGCCGTGGCATCAAACGGCGGCCGATAATTCCCCAAGAGCCGTGACCCCGCAGTGGACGGCATATCATGCGTGCAAATATTATCCTTAACCCCGACCAAAACCCCAGCCAGAGGACCAACCTCCTCATTGTTCTTAATCTTGTAATCCAACTCCTCGGCCTGCTTCAAAACGTCCTCGTCAGACGAAACATAGAGGAAGCTATTGAGTAGGGGCTCGGTGCGGCGAAGGCGTTCGAGAAAGGACTTTGCGAGGTCCGAAGCGGAGGTCTGACGGGAGAGAAGGGATTTTCGTGTGGTTAGGATAGACGGCAGCTGCGGAGTGGCAGTGGCAGTGGCAGTGGCAGTGCTGGGCAGCGGCGAAGAATGGAAGCATTTGAGGGTAGGAGAACGAAGGAGGCGAGGGGTTTGGGCAGAGGATAGCATCGTTAGCTCACAAACTATGTCGCAACTCACACAGGTCAATCCATAACATCAATTTTTATTTTTATTTTTTTTTTAAATAAAAATTTACTGCCCCTTCAAACTTTATATTTTTTTATTTACGTTGCAATTTGATAGGATGATAATGTGTATATATATAATATCGATCGAATTTATTTATAAAATAAAATAAACAAAAAAAACAAACGAAGGAATTAGGACAATCAAATTCGAACAAAAACTGAATTGATTCGAACCAGAACAAAACAGCCTCTAATTAATGCATCTATGAAGTCTACATCAACAACACTTCATTACAACGTGTCGAAAGAACTATTATACAAAAGTGTAGCTCTAATCAACCAACAAAAATGCATCCAACAGTGTAGTGTAACAAGGATGAGCAATTAGTAATTACATTAGTTACCCTATGAGCTTGAGATTTCACGATCATCATCATGTATACTCCATTAACATCCTTCCAATTGTGTTAAGTCTCTAATTCTAATGTGGTACTACTTGTATTACAGTCGAAATGGGAGCCTCTGTAAGAAACTGCTGCCAAAAGACATCGTTAGCTCCATCCAGCCCTGGAGAATCGGTAGCATTGTGTTCTTGATCATCCAGCATGTCCACATCTCGAATTTTTTCAGGACTCCTGTTCACATCAATGCCTGGTGATTTCTGCCTGGAAGAAGCTAGGTCAATGCAAAGTGATGATATTGCTGGACTTTCAGCGTAATTTGAAGAAGTAGCAAGATCCGGAGAGGAATGACAGTCTTTTAAAGAGGATGTGGAGATCCGGCACTCAGGCGAGCAATGGGGTATGCTCAAATCATAGTCCCCTGAGGATGCTGCCATTTCTGTAATGGCTGTTGAAGGTAGGGGTAGAGGGGAAACCTCTTGTACGAACTTCTCCCAAATAGTTAGGGACGAATCCAAATTCTTAACATGCTCGGCGTTCAGTGATGGTAGAGATGAAGTGCTTGAGCTCTGCTTGAGATTGCTTTGATCTTGCAGGAAATCCAAGGCCGACAATCTTCTCTTTCTTGTAGGAGATTTTGATGGATCCCTTCTTCGTGGGGTGGACGAAGGTTTCTGCAACATTTGAGATAAGGCGAGAATCAATTGCTGCTGCCGGTGACTGATGTTCTGAAACTTCTGCCCCATTGATCGGAGCTGATACTCGTACCCTTTACTCTCCTTCTCACGTCTCTCTACTTCTTCTTGAAGCAAAATCTTCTCCTGCTTCAGCTTCTCCACCTTCTTCTCCAACTCCTCCCGTTCTAAGTCTGTCAATGGAGCAGCATTTCCTTTACCTGAATGGCTGTGCACCGGCTTCCGTCTGTGTATGTTCTTTAGAAGATGCGTCTGTCCTCGAATGAACTCCTCATTAGCAAACTCCCATTGCTCGGGATCGATCTTTCTAAAACCCTGCGAAATTTGAGAATATGGTAAGCCAAATAACTCCAAAAAAACTACCTTTGAAATCAATGCTTTCCTGAAATAAGCATAGCCAACAGCCAAGACAACAGAAGGCATATTTTCTTGAACATCTACTACCAAACTTAGCCAAGATAATTCTTCACCATTCGTTTATTCCAAACCAATTGCCTCCCCAGTGATTAATGAGTTACAGAGATCACATTTGCTCATTATTCTTTCAGTCATAATTTTCTAATACACATGTGCATTGGAGATTGTGCAAATTGAGGAGGCAAAGAACTTACATATGTATTAAGCTGGCGGATGAAGCTGGAAAAGTTGTTGTGCTTGAAGTACTTGGGCAACAAGTCTCTGGCAAATTCAGGTGGATTCCAAACAACAAAACTGAGCCCGTTGTCGCTCCAGGAAACGATGGAATTGTTGAAAGGATCATCCACCATCTCATAGGTCTTCAGCAGGAAAGGGGCAGGCGAGTTAGAACCACCATTTGATCCATCCATCATCACCCCTGATCAAATCACAGATTCAAAATATACACTATATTATTTGAATTCTCAAAATCCCCTAGTAAACCTTCCCCCACCACTCGCCCAAATGCAATTCGCCAACCGATTCTAATTAATCGCTAAACATGGAAGCATTCCCAGCAAGAAAAGAAGATGAACAGTGAAAATTAACAAAGGGTCCTTTGAATATGTGGCGCTCTCACTCAACTGTAAGTAAACATAAACGTCAAAACCGAAAGGGAAAATCTGAGGAGTTGGAGGTACACGAGGTTCTTGCAGAAAAAGGAACAGAGCTCGGATGGGTACAATTATATACCGAACGAGACGGGACAAAACAACGATCAAGGTGAGCCTTTGACGAAGCGAGTCAGACATAAATAAATGAGAGTTGAAGTGAGATTGGGCTTGGAGATTGAACAGCTCCGCGAGAAAAATTATTTGTGTTCTTCTAACCTGAGGGCAGAATCAGTCCAAGTCAGTCGGTTTCGTTTGATCTTGTGGCTAGCTGTGGAGTTGAAAATTCAACGGTTTGATTGTCGTCTACAATGATTTGCAGGAACGTTGAATTCAGATTTGAAGGGTAAACGGTAAGCAGAGACACAGTCGTTGAATCGTCTCTTTCGATGAGGCTGCTGCGCTTCATTGACCACCAATTTGTTAGATACTCGAAGAAAATTGCGCAGACAGAACATCGTCAATCACGCATAAAATATACTCCTACCTATTTTTTTATTGCACCTTTTTACACCATGGTTGAAGAACCGAGAGCTGTGCCGAAATGACTGTAATGCCCCGGTAACGACATAGTACGGACCTGAGTTGTTCCTCTTTCTCCATTCCAAATTACAGAGCAGTAAACCCTAAGTAAAAACCATCCATATTTCTTTCGCCTTCAGCTTCAACCTTTTCTTCATTCTTCTTCTTTCACAGACGTACTAACGGTCGTATGCTCCTTCGTCCTGTCGACGGCCGGTGTCGCGTGCGCCATCACGATTAACGTCGCCGTCGCGCGTCAGTCTTGAACAAATCGCATTTTTGTGCATGGAAGAGGAAAAACAATTGAGGGAGCCTGCGCAGCAACAAAATCGCATTTTTTGGCATTTTGTTTTTAAATATTATATTAAATATAATTTTTCATTAGCATAAAATTATATTCAATAATTTTTATTTTTTTTATTTTAAAATTTTAAAAATTCTTAGAATTCTTTTCCTATTTCATTTGTATTTTACTATTTAATTTCTATATTTTCTTAAGAAATAATTCTATTATAAAATATCATATTACATATTAATTTAAAGAAAAAATTCAACTATCAAAACAAACACATTCCATTATGGTTTAACTATCATATTCCCTCCGTCCCATCACAAAGTATTCATTTTCTCATTTTAGTCTATTTCATAACAAAATATCTATTTCCTTTTTTTTAGTAACTGTACTATCTAATTAACATTACAAATACCCTTAAAACTTACAATATATTACACAAATGTCTTTATTTTTGTATCACATATACGAACAAATACTAACAAGGTTATTTTAATTATTTCTACTTTATTCCTATTATATCTCAATATAATACTAATATTTCTAAAATTACATGTAAAAAACAAATGAATATTTAGTTTCATGTTAAATTTTAATTTAAAGAAGAAACTCAACTATCAAAACAAACATATTCCATTATGGTTGTGTTGGTTTAAAAGATTTTGTAAAATTTTAACTATTTGTCAAATTTATTTCTCTAAACATATTAAATTGGAACATTTGTTTTTTCTTTTATATATATATTATACCAAATTAATTTTATTTTCAAATATTATATTAATATTTATTTATATAATACCATATAATTAAACTTTTATTATTAAAAACTAAGTCCATGATTCAAACCTCAACTAGTCTTAAGCAATGAAATAAAGTGCTTCATAAATTGCATGAGTGATATATGGTTGGACTTGTGATCGTGAGGATCATGGGTTCAAATGTCCTACACCTCAGGTCACCTGCCAATACAACTTTATGTCGACTGCACTTCATTTGCATCAGACAACCTTGATGTTAAATTAAAAATATGACATTTCCAATTGAGTCATTGCGTATAAATTTTTTCAATTGGGATTCAAAACTAACCTCAAATTGTTAAAAATGCCTTTTATATTTGAATAATTGTGTAGTATTTTCTTCAATTGGATTCAAAACTCACCTCAAATAGTTGAAAATAAATTTTATATAGATAATATAAATAATATAATATATTATCATTTAAAAAAAATATATTAAAAAATTTAGATAAAAAAACAAAGACCAAAATAACAAATCAATACTACTACTGGAGTATCTTTTACAGGAGGGAGGCCCGGAGGGGCCTTTCTCAAGTCACAGGAATCCAACCCAAAAAAAATGCTATAAAGGAGAAACACTAAAAACTAAAGCGACACCACGTGGCGCGACTTCTTCAATCGCGCGTGGAATCAACGAACGAATAAGATTTTTCCAGATCGGTGACGTCAGCAGCCCAATAGGCGGGCTCACTCGCCAGCGCGTGGGGGAAATAGCACCGCCTTTGGATCAAAAATCAAATGGCAATCAGCGCGTGGGATTAAAATCGATGCGGAGGCGAGCGGGACAATAACACTCCACACAGAGTCTAGAGAGAGAAACATTTTTTTTTTTTTTTTAAAAAATCTTATTATTATTATTATTTTTTTTCTAGAGAGAGAAAGAGATGAGTGGAGTTCGGATCAAAGAACACAACAACGCTCGCCTCCCTCGTTTCTTCTCTTGTGCCCACGAACCCTAGATTCCGTAATCGGTTTTTGTTTTTTTTTTGGTTTTTCCCCTGTTTTATTTACTGTTTGTGTTAATTATCTTCGTTTTTATTTCGTCTGCTGTTAGGATCTCGACCTTCGTTTTTTTATTTTTTTTGGCTCCTGTTTTCTGGTGCTGTAGAAGTTGGATCTGAGCGGTATATGTGAAAGTATACGCGTTTTCTGATCTATCCGAGCTCGATTTTCTCTTCTACTGCCGCCTCTAGTGATTATTGTTGCCCTTTGTTTGTATGTTCGTTGTCCATTTTTAGGGTTTTTGAAACCCTAATTTTGTTGAATCATGTTATCTATCGGTACTTGAGGAGGTCGATTTGGGGGAAATTAGGGGTTTTATTATTCAGTGATTGGTGATTACATGTATGGATTCGGGGAGTTTAGGGGATTCTGACGAGGATTTGAAGTATTTGAGGCGTCGGTCGACGGAGAAGAATCGTATAGTTTATACCCGAAGGTCGAAAAAAGCCCTTAAATCCTCCAATAATAACGATACTGCCCCTGCTACTTGCTCCACCGGTAACCTCACCTCCTCTGCCCCTTCCACCTCCGCCGCGAATCCTACCTCTTCAGTCACCGATGTTTCCCCCGCAGAAGTTAACAACGCTGTTGCTGCCGGACTTTCTCCCGCTCGTATCAATGAGGGTCCCAAGTATTGTGACACCGCTTCCCCTCTTCTGCCTGTTATAAATGGAAATCTTGCTGGGACAGGAACAGCCTCACCCTCAAGATTAGTCGGGGACAATGTTGAGGAGTCATTGGGAGCTACAGTTGGAAGGGAGGGTGACCCTCAGAAATCTCCTTCTCTAGCGGAGGTTCTCCAGCGTGGGTCACCTGGCAAAGATGCGGATTCTTCTGGCCAGCTGATGCTGGACGAACAGCAACAGCCCCGAGAAGAAATGCCTTCATTGTTGGAGGATGAAAGTTCAGCACAGGTTCGGGTGCATGAGGATTGTGGTAGCCTAACTGATGGGAAGCAGAATGTTAGTGAGGGTAAGAATTTGGAAAAATCAACACCTGTTCACAGTGAAATTCAGCAGATGAGTGATGACAGGCTTCCTAGTTTGAAGGAGCAACCAACATTTCCAAGTGAAAATGATCAGTCAATTGACAAAGGGCTTGCAGCATCAGATCTGCTCGCTGGGAATGAGTCCCTGAATGACAAAGAGCCAGTGACAGGTTCGATTGCAGTTGTTCTCCCGTCTTCTGTGTCAACGGTTTCACCTCAAGTCCCAGAAGGTAATGCTCCAGCAATCGCTACTGTTGCGGCAAAGCCACTAGTGGTATCTAGTGTTGATGATAGAATTAGAATTAATTTATGTAATGGAACCCCAAAGGCTGATATTAAGGAGCTCAAGAAGAAGCTAGAGTTAGAGCTTAATCAGGTTAGGCGGTTAGTTAAACAGTTTGAATCAAAGGAGTTACATCTTGCTTCATATAATACTCAGATTAGCAAAAGCAATATTAGTATGAATAGCAGTTATGTAGAGCCTGAGGATGCTCCTATTGGTGGTTATAGTCAACCTCAACCTCAGCATTCCCAAAATGAGGTTGTAAACCGGAGGGTGTTGGTGAGGATGAATTCAGAGATGGGTGTCAAGAAGCACAAAGAATCCAGGCCTGCTTCATTAGTGAGAGTTAATTCTGATATGGGTGCAGCCCGGAATCTAGAATCACGGCCATATAGGCGGCAGCTCACTGTTGCATTAATGGAAACCAGTGACCCAGGTGTGGAGAAGGAGAAAAGGACCCCAAAGGCAAATCAGTATTACAGGAATTCAGAGTTTCTTTTGGGAAAAGACAGACTGCCTCCTGAAAATACTAAGAGACACAAGTCAAACAATGGGAGGAAACACAGTAGAGAAGCTGGATTTGCATTTGGCTTTGGGTTCGATAAAAACAGGAATAGGTTGTTTAGAAGCTGTGGCAGTTTACTCCAGAGACTAATGAAGCACAAGTTTGGTTGGGTTTTCAATGAACCTGTAGATGCTAAGGCCCTGGGATTGATTGATTACCATGACATCATTAAGCATCCCATGGATTTGGGTACAATTAAGACAAGATTGGCGCAGAATTGGTATAAGTCCCCGGGCGAGTTTGCTGAGGATGTTAGACTTGTCTTTCGCAATGCCATGACATATAATCCAAAGGGACAAGATGTCCATGTCATGGCAGAACAACTGCTGCAGACTTTTGAAGAGAGATGGGCAATTATAGAGGCTGAATATAATCCTTATTGGAAATACCAAATGTATCCAGACGGAGGGTTGTATACCTCCCCTTCCAGAAAGGCACCCCCCCAGTCTCATCGATTTTCAGCTGTAGACTCGGCCTCAGCTCCCATTCCTGCTTTTATACCGTCTGCTGTCCATGGCCCTGCATATGTACCTGCTGCCGCCGCCTCACAGATGAGGAATTCTAATGAACCTGAGCCGATGTCATCAACTATGGTAATCGATCCTAAAATTCAACGGCCTTATTTTGGAAGGACCCCAGCACCCAGGAAACCTAAAGCAAAGGATCCCAACAAGAGGGACATGACTTATGATGAGAAGCAGAGACTTAGTACGAATTTGCAGGGTTTACCTCCTGAAAAGCTTGATGCAGTCATCCAGATTATCAAGAAGAGGAATACTGCAGTTTCTCAGAATGACGACGAGATTGAGGTGGACATAGATAGTGTGGATACTGAAACACTATGGGAGCTTGACAGGTTTGTAACCAATTACAAGAAAAGCTTGAGCAAAAACAAAAGGAGAGCTGAACTCGCTCTTCAGGCAAGAATGGCTGCAAATCAGAGTACTGGAGGGATGGTGAGAACTGTAACATTTTTTTTTTTTTTTGCTTGTTATTTACAATTATGGGTATTTTGTTTGGTTACTTAAGAGAATGTCATTTAATTATATTTCTGAAAAATTGCAGAATTCCACTCTGCCATCAACTGAAAAATATGCTGCAACTGGAGCAGGTATTGATTAATTCTATGATTCTGGTGTTGTTGTATATGTTCTTTTCTGTGGGTGCGTGTGTGAGCTATGGATTTTATTTTTTGGTGAAAAATTGGCCTGATAACTGGATTTATTGTAAAAAGCAACTGAAAAGGGAACTGCTCCTCCACCTGAAGGTGAAAAAGAGAGAGATAGCAGAAGCAGGTCCAGCAGTTCAAACAGTTCCAGCAGTGATTCTGGCTCGTCTTCGAGTGGTAAGTGGTGATTCTTTTTCTACTATCTCCATGGACTTGAAACAGATCTATTTATGGTGATGTTATATGTTGATCAAGACTGTCTTTGGTTATTATCTCTTCTTATCCTATTCCTCCCTCTCTAATAATAATTAAATAAATCTTTATGGTTTCTTTCTTTCTTTCTTTTTCTTTTTTTGGTTGACAGATTCAGATAGCGAGAGTTCCTCTGCAGACGGATCAGATGCAGAGCACACGCCGAGGACATGAACAAAATGATTCAGGTATTGAATATGCTTTATGATAAATGTTCAGCCTTACTTGTTTATTATGCCTAGATATTCACATTTGCAACCTTAATCTGATCTGATAATATTTTTAGGTTTTATATGATGTTTTATAAATTTCATATGCAACAATCATAGTTTGAATTTCTAAGTAACACAAAACCTGAAAAAGTCGCTTAAGTGCTAGTAGATCAGAACAATGAATTCATAGGATGACATCGCAATCTACTGTTATTATGTTCCCCTGCAAAAAAACATGGAATCTTTACGAGTTTAGAAACCTCTGCTACTTTGGGTTTTATTGCTAATAATGTTGCAACATACTTGTATTTTGTCAGCTGTTAATTGTATGTGGCCAATGTCAATGCAGGACTGTTGGGAGAATGATGGCTTTTTCCGGGGCATTCTGTAGGTTTAATAGTTTTCTGTGCCATCATTCTACTTGCACAATCTTCGATTTGAGGAGTGGGTCTTTTGTTTTAAGGCAATACTTTTGTTATCAGCAGCCTCGGCTCAAACGGACAGATGAGTGAATGCGCTTCTGTAAGTGTAGGTGGTTTGTATTCCTGTTTTAGCACAATGTATTGATGTAGCCTCCTTGTATATGTAGCTTAGGGATATGCTGTAGTATAGATTTCTCTAGTATGAAAATTGCACATGATTTGAATTCATGCATTCAAATATTCACCTGATGCACTCGTGGTAGATGAAAAATTTGTTGTGATTTAGCCTCTGTTGATTGCTATTTCCTGGGTGAGATATACGTATATCCACTTGACAGCTGCCATGGAACAAGGAGACTTCCTGCATTCATGGGAAGACTCTAGTAGGAGAAAACAAGTTTGACACTTGTCATATAAGACTGATCCTAACCTTTCCAGCAATCGATCTCGACGGGAGGTGCACAAGCAACATATCAATTGCGGGAAATGGTAAATTTGCAAATCAATAATTCAGATCAGGCTTGGAGAGACTCTTACCTCCGATTGATGTCAAGAACCCATCATGTTCATGTGATTTTGATCAAGCTTATCCTTGGGATGACACTGATTCCCTGTGATCTACCAATTTTACGGAATATCTGTCACCAGAATGCTTCGAATTAAAACACACTAAAACTAGCTAACCACATGCGTACAAAACCCTGGCTCAATGCAAGCACCGAACACAATTAGAAGTATAGCTTGATCCTTACCGGCCTCTGCTTCAAGTGATGCATTATCACCAACTTGTGGCCACCATTAATATCTTCATCTGTTTCAGGGAAGTAACATTTAGTCATCATACTTATATGCAATTATTGCAGTCTACAGTAGACAAGTAATTATGCAAAAACAGCTAACACAGTTACAATGCAACAATCAAGCCACTAAAAACAAGGGGAAAATGGTGATTCCAGCAGAGCCAGCAACCTCAGGACCCTATTAATTGACATCTTAGAGCACAAAAGGAACAGCATTTTTACTTGTGTGCATCTCAAACAGAAGTTACCTCTCCAAATCCTTCAAGTTCAGCATATAGACATCCTGGATTCAATGACTTGGCCTTCCCCAGCATCGAATGTTTTTGCATAAAGATACAAATTGTTGTCATACCAAACATATTCTTCTCAATGTATTACTCCCTTGCTGTCGTAGGCCTCATGTACAATCGACTTGTTCATAGTTGCTACTCACATGGATCCTAAATGTTGTTGAAAATCAAAATCAATAGAAACGGGTGAGCAGCATAAGAAAATTAATAGCTGAAATAAAATATAAAGCAGCTCATGATAGGCACTTTACACTGGAGTAATCCTTAGCAGTGGCCTCACAGAGAGATTTGATGGTGTCATAAATAATCTTGACGAGGTCTTCTCAGGACAGGACATCAAGGTTCACTGGACACCCAAGCAGGTATGATGATGACTACATTCAAGTCCTTCAACTCTTCGTACAAGTTGCTTTATGCCATAAATAATCTTGACGAGGTCGTCTCAGGACAGGACATCAAGGTTCACTGGACACCCAAGCAGGTATGATGATGACTACATTCAAGTCCTTCAAGTCTTCGTGCAAGTTGCTTTATCCCAAAGTCCTCCAGAGTTCGGTGAAGCTGCAATACATCTTCTGGTGCATACTATCATGTATATCACAAAGGCATGTCATCCGAAAAGCTCAGAAGAAACTAGCAGAAGAATATGCATTTAGGCATGGCTGATGGTAACTTTAAAAAAACAATAGACTAAATTTCTGCACAATTTCTTCGGTCTCCATCAAAATCAGTGCTTAACAAGGTAAAACCAATTACGTACTCTCGCAACGAAACTTCCATATGAAATCTACGTACTTAGTCCTATGGGTATTAATTGATCTCACGTGCAAATGCATAGTAAAAACACACCATAGATGGATTGATGATCTACCGAGCAATAAACACAAGTACACAATCAAGTTACGAAATGAGGCGGATAAGTTCTTCAAAACCATAAACAAATATTCAACAAGAAGAAGCAATTCAGTACAATAACAACGAAGCAGAGTCGTAGCTTCAGATCATAAAAGAGAAAGGAGAAGCATAGGACCTCAGATCTAGGGTCATGTACCTGATATCGGCGGCAACACCACGAGCACTGGTGAGATCGTAGAGAGCGAGGCTGGAAACGAGGTTTCAACTTCATGCGAAGAGAGGAGCGACAGAGTGGCTGCCCGATCCCGCTGATGCTCCGCAAGATAGAAAACTTCCGCACGGCAGCCGACTCCGATGATAAGGCACGGGGAACAATTACGAGTACGCGCTACTGGCGGCGGAGGTCGCCGGAGAACAGATCTCTAAACTGCCGCCTTAATCGGAAAGCATCGGATTGGGAGAAGCAACTGTAGAGAGATCCGTGGCTTCAAAATGACAAAAAATATTAATTACATATAATATAAATAAATACTCCACCCTAGATGATAATCATTACAATTTATTCATAATTAGTAATACACCAGTTGCATTACTAAGCACATAATTATTTTATTTTCACATATATATATAGGAAATAATAATTTATTAAATTTCTAAAACACTTCGGAGATACGTATTAATATCTTATTTATAGAAAATGGTTTGAAATTTCATAACACATAATTATTCTATTTTCAGATAATCAATAAAATTGTATATGTTATTTATCCTTTGGAATAAATTATATATATTTTTTTATTTTTTTTTTTTTACGACGTTGGAACCGGCAATTTTCGGGTGGCCTTTGGAATAATTTTTTAATACTTGAAGGGTGGTTTATGCTAATAAAATAACATACAAATGGTCTCAAAATTGATATCACAAACTCCTATGAATGAAAGGTTTGTTGTATTTTTATATTTAGATATATAAGAAAAATAAAATAAACTCCAGAGACAAGCATGAGATAAAAAATGCTGCTGTGATTCGACTCTTTTTTCATGACAAGTACAAATTACTTATATATTACCATGTACAAAATCTTCTATTCAGTGTTCTTTATCATAAAACAAAACAATAGAAGTAATAACATACAACAATACAATAGCACAATACCTATAAACAAACTCTAGCCGGGGTGCGTATTCGAAGAATAGCGACTTTCCCGTGTCATTAAAAATACACATTGTATGTTTTCATCATTTTTTGCCTTTACCAGGAGGACTTCATAAATTAACAGGACACAACAACGCAACCGAGCAAGATGGGATTCAATTGCTTCGATCATAAATTGAAGAGAAAGATATTGTAGCATGGGAGCTTTCGGAGGACAAAGACTTACCGTTTGATTGTACCTCTGATGACAAGGGATTGTTCTCGCTCGTTGAGCCCCTAAGATTCATCAGCTCCATAATCAATCCCGGCCTTGATATCTTCCCCTCATCCATATCGAACTTTTCACCATTCAGCATCTTGACAACATCGGGCATGGATGGCCGGCGTTTTGGCAAGTCTTGGGTGCACATTAGGCCAATCTTGAGGAATCTGCAAGCCTCATCAGCATCGAAGTTCCCCTCGAGCGCCGTATCAACCAACTGCTCAAGATTGCCTTGTTCATACAGCCCCCAAGTCTGTTAGCAGATTCAAGAGATAATCAGGCTTTTTTTCTTAGCCAAAAAGAGAAAACATAATTCAAGAAAAGTGACTGTACATACTCTTTCAAGAAGATATTGATCTCTCGAAGGCAATCGCTTGTTCGTGTTACTTCTTCCAGTGACTATTTCGATTAGGAGGATACCAAAACTATATATATCTGCTTTCCGTGTCAGCCTCCCCCTGATCGCGTACTCAGGGGCCAAATAGCCGCTGTAAAAGCAATACAAAGGATAAACAACATAATCACAAGCATGTGTTAATTAACTGTGATCACCAGCACCATTGGTAGTGTCAAACACATGACACAAAATTAAATAAAACTACCATTTTGAGAAGTCAAGAATTTGTACAATATAAGAATTGATCACAAATGGAATTCGAGTTCTTGAAAAAACAAGAGTGAAAAAATTCAGCAACTTACTAAGTTCCAGCAATTCGTGTGCTGATATGAGTTGCGGTGGATGGGAAAAGCTTTGCCAGCCCAAAGTCCGAGATTTTCGGGGTAAAATCTCTGTCAAGAAGGATATTGCTTGCTTTGATATCTCTATGAACAATATGGGGCCAGACTACATGGTGTAGGAATGCAAGTCCCTCTGCTACACCAATGCATATTTTGGTCCGTATGCTCCAACTGAACTGACTCGCATCGTAGCGACCACCTGCATTATGATGCAATTAGCATAGGCTGGACCCAAAATGAAGGATTAGAAAGACAATTAGTTTGCACGAAATCATACTCAGAAGTGTTTGAGAAAGGCTATTGTTTTCTAGATAGCCATAAACTAAGATTCTGTGCTGTCCTTCGGTGCAGCAACCATACAATTTGACCAAGTTTTCGTGTTCCAGTCCTGATAGCGCCACTACCTCATTTAAAAATTCTCGAGCACCTTGTTCTGACTTAGCAGAGAGTACCTTTAATGCAGCCAAGGTGCCATTGTTTAGCTCTCCCTAAGTTTTGAATGTAAAGTTAGCTAAACAGTTGAGCAAGAATCACACCTATAAATGATGAAATCAACTCCTAAAGGCTCAAGGGGTTCTCAAATTTATTGATTACCTTGTATACTGATCCAAAACCTCCTTCACCGATCTTATTGGCGACGCTGAATTTGTTGGTTGCCCTTTCTAACTCTGTGTAACTATACAATTTAGCGTCTTGAATATTTGAAATTTCTGCAACCAAATTAAAAAAAATTTCATTACCTAAGGCATGATAAATGCAATACTGCCAAAGATACTGTCAATGGAATATAAAACTAGTGCAATGGTTTGAAATAATCATTTCAAAACAGCAATTCTAGTCTAGTTCTAATACAGTTTAGGTGGCATGCCTTTGGTGACATCATCGTCTACTGTCTGCCTAGGCCGTGGAGAAGAATATTGATGCCCAAAGCAACCAGAGAAACAAGTCATGAGACCTATGGAGAAGGAACTTGAAGTTGCATATATATATTCTTCCCTGTCAAGTGTCAACCACAGACCATGGAAACATGAGTTGATAAATTCCAGAAAAAACAGATCATAGGATACAGAAAATTAGAAAATCCATGTGCAATGCGGAACTCATTTTTGAGTTAGTCTTCTCTCCTGCCCGTGCCACATCAAATTAATAACCCAACAAAAACCCATTCAATTTTTAATGACATTGTAGAACCGAATTTTACGTTGTAGACTCTTTCTACAGTGGCTGAAGAATCCATTGTAGATGCTCTTAAAGAAGCTGAAAAAAAGAAAAGAAAAGAAAAACTGTGATAGTAAATTGCTATGTAATTTACATCAACAAGCAAGTGATTGCAGGAAAGCCTAAAAGCAGACGCCAATGCTACAAACAGCAATTTTGGTGCAAGCAAACCCTAGATGTGCTAGAAAACAACGAAATTCAACCAACATACACGCTATACGATAGAAATGAGTAAGCAAGAAATTAATGGGGAAAAAGGGAGAAAAAAGATATACCACCGAGTTTGAAAATTCCAGGGCACTACTGCCCTGAATTTGAAGCTCCTGCTACAATTCCCAAAGACGAAACTCCCATATACATATACATACAGTACACTGTGAATGGAAAAACAAACTAGATCCAGAAAGGAGACAGTACAGCTCACCAATTCTTTCGAAGCAAATAATTTTGTGAATGAAGACAAACACTGAAAATACCCTCTGTGGTCACAATTAGAGGCCCCCAAACCGAAAAAATGAAACCATATAGCGAATTAGGATAATCAATTCTCCCCCCGGCGTACTTTGTTGAAGAAAGTACGGCGTGCTCACCTTCTCGGCTGTTTGAAGAAATTTTGATGATTCACCTTCTCATATTATTTGAATAAAATAATTGCTCTGCTCATCTCCATGGAGTTGACCAGATTTTGATCTTTAACTTAGTATTGTGAGGCAGGTTTTGCTTGAGGGAAAAAATAAATAAATAAATAAGCACTTTCTCCATCCCCATCCATCAGAATGTTTTCGTTAGCCGGCTAATCAGGTGTTGATTATAAGAATTACAATTTTTTTTTTCAATAAAATAAAATATATTTTTTATATTTTTCAATTGAAATATTTATTCACCAAACAAATCTAGTTATAACATGTGCGGAAGATGATCTAGAAGTTAAACCTTTAATCTCAAGCTGATAAGTCCAGGAGCACACACACCGCTTGGCCCATTCTTACGGAAATTCTTATGAATAAAAAAGATTGCTTACTTTAGCTTCATGTCTTGTATTTTAATTTATTTTTTTTATTTCAATAATAATTAAATATAATATTTAATAAGAAAAAAATTGAGCCGGAAGCAATTCCAGCAACATGCTATATAATCTGCTGCAATGATTTGAATGCTTGGTACAAATTGCTTTTATAATACTAGTACAATGTACAAAATTCTATGCTCAATGTTCTTATCATAAAATAAAAGAAAAGCAATAATAAAACATAGACATCATAAATTAACAGGACACAACAACACAATCCAAACAAGAAAGAAGTTCATGGGATTCAAATGCTTCTTCTATCTATCTATCATAAATTGAAGAGAAAGATAATGTTGCATGGGAGCTTTCGGAGGACAAAGACTTACCGTCTGTTTGTACATCCGATGACAATGGATTGTTTTCGCTCGTTGAATCCCTAACAGTCACCAGCTCCATAAACAGTCCTGGCTTCGAAAGGTTCCCCTCATCCATATCGAGCTTTTCACCATTCAGCATCTTGACAACATCGGGCATGGATGGCCGGCGGTTTGCCAAGTCTTGGGTGCACATCAGGCCAATCTTGAGGAACCTGCAAGCCTCATCAGCATCGAAGTTCCCCTGGAGCTCTGTATCGACCAATTGCTCAAGCTTGCCTTGCTTGTATAGCCTCCAAACCTGTGAGCAGATTCAAGAGACAATTAGGCTGTTTTAGAATTCTTGAACAAGAGAAAACATAATTCAAGTGGCTGGCTTTACATACTCTTTCAAGAAGATATTGTTCTCTAGAAGGCAATGTCCTGTTGTTGCTTCTTCCAGTGACTATTTCGATTAGGAGGACACCATAACTATATATATCTGCTTTTCGTGTCAGCTTCCCCCTCATCACATACTCGGGGGCCAAATAGCCGCTGCGAAAGTAAACAAAGACTTTACTTCTTTATAACCACATGGAACTTCCAAGGAGAAGAAGGGATCTTTAAACAATGTAAAACTACCATTTTAAGATGTCAAGAATCGGGATTCTTCAAGTACTTACTAAGTTCCAGCAATTCTTGTGCTAACATGAGTCACGGTGGATGGGAAAAGCTTTGCCAGCCCGAAGTCTGAGATTTTTGGCGTAAAGTCTCTGTCGAGAAGGATATTGCTTGCTTTGATATCCCTATGAACAATATGGGGCCAGCCTACGTGGTGTAGGAATGCAAGTCCCTCTGCTACGCCGATGCATATTTTGGTTCGTACACTCCAGGTGAACTGACTTGCATCGTATCGACCATCTGCATTATGATGCAATATAATTAGCATCGGCCGGACACAAAATGAAGGACTAGAATGACAATGATTGTGTAAAAAATCATACTCAGAAGTGTTCGAGAAAGGCTATTGTTTTCTAGATAGCCATAAACTAAGATCCTGTGTTCTCCTTCGGCGCAGCAACCATACAATTTGACCAGGTTCTCGTGTTCCAGTCCTGATAGCATCACTATCTCATTTAAAAATTCTCGAGCACCTTGATGGGACTTTGCAGAGAGCACCTTTAAGGCAGCCAAGGTGCCATTGTTTAGCACCCCCTAAAAGTTTGAAAGGTAAAGTTAGCTAAGAATCACACATATGAATGATGAAATCAACTCCTACAGGCTCAAGGGGTTCTCACCTTGTATACTGATCCAAAACCTCCTTCACCGATCTTATTGGCGAGGCTGAATTTGTTGGTTGCCATTTCTAACTCCGTGTAACTATACAATTTTGCGTTGTGAACACTTGAAATCTCTGCAACCAACATATATTTTTTTTAAAGAAAACCATTAACAAAGGCATGATAAATGCAATACTGCCAAAATACACTGTCAATGGGGTAGAAAACTAGTGCAATGGTTGAAATAATGATGTCAAAACAGCAATTCTAGTCTAGTTTAGTACAGTTTAGATGACATGCCTTCGGTGATATCATCGTCTACCGGCCGCCTAGGCCGTGGAGAAGAATATTGATGCCCAAAACAACCAGAGAAACAAGTCATGAGACCTATGGAGAGGGAAATTGAAGTTGCATATACAATCTCTTCCCTGTCAAGTGCCAACCACACCCCATGGAAACATGAGTTGATAAATTCCAGAAAAAAACCAATCATAGGTTACAGAAAAGAAACAAAACATAGAAAGAATGGAAACAAAGGCAACTCTGAATTATCCATGAAGTTGCAGCTTAGTAAAGCTGACAAAAGAAACACAAGATAAAGTGGATCTTAGAACTTGCATATCACCCCTAACATACAGAATACTTAATGCTCTGTTTACACACTTCTTGAAAATTTGTCGTTGCACATCACATCAAATATCTATTTCTTCTAACAAAATATTACATGAAACACACAATTTTGTATCTTATAAAAAACTTGTAATGTATTTTACATCATCAACGAGCAAATGATTGCAGGCAAGCCTAACAGCAGACATACGTGCGATAAACAGCAATTTTTGGTAAAAACGAACCCTATATGTGATAGAACAACGCAATTCAGTCAATATACATGCTATACAATAGCAATTGAATGCGAAACGATCAGGAAGAAAGAAATTAAGGGGAAAAATTAAAAATAAGAACAACCGAGTTTGAAAATTCCAGACACACTGCTCCCCCCTTAAACTGAAGCTCCTTCTACAATTCCCAAAGAAGATGCTCTGGAAGGAAAAACAAAGTAGATTTCGAAATGAGGCAATAGTCTAGCTCACCGATTCTTTTGAACTGAAGCAAATCATTTTGTGAATGAAGACAAACTCTGGAAATATCCTCTGGCTCACAATGACAGACCCCAAACAGGAAAATAAATAAATAAATAAAATGAAACCATAAAGTTGATATGTTTCTCCACACCAATTTTTTCAAAATTTACTATTTAAATAAAGAAAATTATTATTATTATTATTATTCTTTTTTCAACTCCACGCACTAACAGACATCCCACTCTGGCATCGAACTTGAGTCATAGTCTTAAAAAATATATATAATATTTAAAATAATAAATGTGTTATTCGAAAATAACATCACATCACAATCGTAGGTTGGATCACATTATTCGGGAGTACAAAATATATATACACGTGTACGCGGGGACAAATGCACAAGTGATGTCTCAGTGTGGTCAGCGGATGTGTTTGTTTTGAGAATTTGTAAAAAATTTAACCATTTATTTATTTATTTAAAATATCAAATCAAATATTTTTTTTATTTTTATATTATATTAAAAATTAATTTTATATTCAAAATATATATTTATATAATTATCATACAATTATTTCAATTCAATTTTTTTTATTTTTTTTAACTGGAAAATGCGAGCAAGTGATGGCTTCCCTTTGTCCAATACCTGCAAGACTACATGTTTATAAATCCACTCATTTTCTCCATTCAACCTGTCATTCTAAACTTACCTACTATGTATATATAATTTGACTTTGTCTACTATAGCACTTGATTTAAGCATAAAAAAGCAAAAATTAATGGCAAGATAGTTGGGTAAGCCCGTGAGAGCCACATTTGATTTGCCTGCACAAGAAGCAATCTCTCAAAACCACATTTGCTTCCACTTCTATATTCCATATGTGAAAATATTACATACATACAACACTATAGTCAGTCCAACATAAAATAGATACACGTATACACGACAAATGCACAAATGGACAAATGTGCATGTTATTTAGTGTCCAAAATTCTAAATTCATTACTAATAAAAAATTAATATTTAATACGCTTGCATCGAATCAACGTGCATGTCTCCAGAATTGGCCATTTATTTCTTATTGGAATAAATGGGAAGCATCATTAGAGGCAGTCTCACTCACTCAAGCATCAGCATTTCACATAATATACAGTTTATGTTAATTGCTCTTGCAGAAATAGTCACAGATATTTAATATATATATATATATATTTTTTTTTACCCTTATGTTTATCTTTATGAATCGTCTTAACAATTATTGTATACAGATTTTGCATGTTTCCCAGCAAATGGAATTTACAAACTTTACCCCTCAGCTGTATATATCTAATCCCACAATTTAAGTGATAAAATTACTCTTTTACAGCATCAGATTTGAATTCAGGGATTTTCAAATATATGTATATCAAGATAGGAGCCATGAGCAGTGAGCACTATATGTTAATAGAAGAAGATAGAACCGATCATAAGTTTTTATTACATCAAAGGTTACATACCTGCTATCATTCGACTCATGGTAAAAACCTGCAAAATCTAGTGCTGCACAAAAAGCATGGTCTTTGCCACCTCAAGGGCCTTTGATCGATCAAAAAACTTTTCAGCAATGACAAGGGCGAACTCCATGGTAGTTCCGGGTCCTCTGCTAGTGACGAGATTGCCATCCACAACTACTCGATTCTCTGCTTCGCTTGGGTCGGACAGTTTGTTGCACATTGCAGGAAAGGCAGTGGCTTTCTTGCCCTGTTGTAATCAAGATTAACAGAATTCAAAATCTGCTTAACTGGGGATCATAGTGTATTCCGAAAATGTGTGAAAAAAATCCCCGGGTTCATTTGTTTTGCATTTGTTATAGCAGAGTTGCCATTTTTTTCTAGTTGTTGAGGATGATGGAGAGAAGAGATGATACCTTCAGTAAACCATGGGGCTCAAGGACTAAAGCCGGGGATGCACACATTGCTCCGTAAGGTTTATTTGATTCTCTTTGCTTCTTGAGCAGATTCACGAGCTTCTCTGAGTTTGCAAAAGCTTGAGCACCGCCCAGTCCACCCTGTCGAAAGAGAAATTTATTTATCATTAAGAATGTAGCCTCTTTTATAAACTTAAGAGATGAGAGTTCGAGAAGGCCCATTACTGGTAAAACTATAAGGTCATATGAGCTGTTGATGGCTTCATCCAGGAGAACGTCTGCAACGAGTTTAACTTTCCTAGAAGCCAAGATTTCAAGGGTTCCTTCGACTGATGCCACCACCACTTCAGCTTTTGCTCGTCGGAGTACATCTATGATGATTACAGCTTCCATCTCCTCAGTTCCATTAGCAATTGGCACAAGGATCTGTACAGGAAAAAGGAAATATATTAATGATTGGTAAATAATTCAAGAGCTTTATTCATGGATTTCATGCCTTCTAGGTGTATCAGCAGACTGATAATGTGACCTCTTACATTGTCTTCATGGCTTCCAATAGCAGTAAGAAGAAGAGAGTATAAAGATTATTATGCCATTTGATTTAATAAAAGATTTTTGGCTGTACGAAGGGCAGAATAATAAACTGAAACCTTTATTAGTTGTAAGACACAGCAAAAAAGAAACTGAACTGAACATGCATATATCAAACTAAATATTAATTAGACAACATAGCTATCAAGATTTCTGCAACAATGGATCAAATAGCACAATAGCAAAAGGCATCTGAGATCAGAAATATAAATGTGTCTGCTACCTTGGGAGAACCATCAAACTCCCACTTGACTGGGTTTAGTTCCTTGAAAGTATACTCAGCCCCATGGTTTGATCGCATGACCTAGACAAAAGGATTATGCATAGAAAACCATTAAAAAGATTAGATGAAATGGTATGAGTGTCCTGCACCAGAATACCATACTGGTGTAGCAGCAGACAATAATAGGACGTATCATTTTCAGGTATTTATGAAGTATGCAATATAATGCAAACAATACTGAACCTTAACAATCACTCGACAGTTTAACAAACAGCATTCAGAGTAGATATCATAAATTTGCATAATTCCCCAGCTTAACATGATCGCTGAAGTTTTTTACTTCATATATTAGACTCCCAATGCAGTTCTAGTATGTGTTGGACATGAAATTGCTAGAATCTGCATTCCTCCAACAACACCAAAACCTGGAACATTTTCAGTGTCTCTTTACAAGTTACGTCATTTTTCTTTATGTTTTCCCTTTCCAATAATGAATTTCTAACTTCATTTCTGATACTGTGAGTAACAAGTTACATGCATACTTGAAATTCCCAAGAGAGCAACTGAATGGATGCGATCAAGGGGGGCAAAATAAGACTTGAAGGGCCAAAATTAGTTCACTGAACAAGAAGAATCTATGGATTCAAGTAATATGTTTAGTTTCTAATTCAGGGTTCAATCAAGAGAGAAATCTTAGTGCAACAGACAAAATCATAGCAAGCTTTCAGTTGATCAATATGAATCCACATGAAAGATTACTGTTTTTACATATTACAACATTGATATGGAACGAGTTCATGTCCAACATATTAGTTCAAAAAGCCACTAGACTTAATAGAAAATGGCATATCTAACACTTCTAAACATGACACTAGTGCAAGTACAAAGGCAAAAGGGACAGAAGCGAGTATAGGTACCAGTGGCCCAGAAATCTCTTCAGCTTTTTCTTTTCCATACAGCAATTCAATCAGAGCAACAGCATATTCCAATGCCGTTCCAGGTCCACGACTCGTCAGTACTTTGCCATCCTGCTGCACCCTGTATTCCACAGCAGATGCAGCAGATGACAGCTCGTTCATAAAAGATGGGTAGCAAGTTGCCTGTTAAAAGATTAACAACTTTCAGCCATGAGAAAGAAAGAAAGAAAGCTTTCTTGATAGAAAACAGCACATAAATTGAATCAGCTAATCGGTTTTTCCCCTTACTTTCAATCCCTTTAACAGGCCCCATGAACCAAGTGCAACAGCAGGAGCTGCACATATTGCAGCATATGGTCGACCATCAACAGCCTGTTTTTTCACAATGCTTTCAAGTGTTTTGCAATCCTTGAAGGTGGCTGCGCCAGGCATTCCTCCCTTTCCAAGCAAAATTCAGTACATAATCAGCAAGATTTAATGGAAAAAGAGCATTCTAATTATGACTGGCACCGTATTAATTAAAAATTTGATCGTCTCTGCAAGATTAATTCTAAGAATATCAGAAAACTTCTTCTGTAGAAATATCAAATTATTCTGAAACAATCAGAATTTCTTACAAATATATCAAAAATACTTACAGGAAGAGATACAAGATCAAAAACAGTATCGGTGCAATCAGAAATCAGAGCATCGGCGACGATTTTGACACCGTGGCACGCGTCAACGCAAAGCTGCTTCTCCACCGACGCTACCGTGACATCGGCGCCGGCTCGACGAAGCACATCGATCGTTACTACTGCCTCCAGCGGCTCCGTACCGTTGGCCACCGGCACCAAAACCTAGACATTGCAGCAAAAAACAGTCAGTAAACAATTAGCCAAATCGATTTTGAATAGACACTGTGTGGTAGCTGGATACCTTCTTATCTGCAGCGGAAGCCATGATCGAAGTGTAGATGCGATTGATTCTACGAACACTGGGCGTGCGGAAATACGAACTGCCGAGGAGTGATTTCTGAGGAGGAGATATATATGAGACGAGAGGAGTGAGGTGGCGAAAGTTCAGCGTCGCCATTTATATATATTCTCATCACTGTTCGGTCGAAGCCTCTCGAGACAGCAAAGATAAAGCTCACTTTTTTAATTTATTTTATTTCAAAATATAATTGAAATGAAAATGTCTGCCATTTTCAATAAACAATTTTAAGCTGAGGAAGTGACGTGGTTTTCAATTCTACATCTCTCCTCTTTCAACCAGTGGGTGTCTGTTTGTCTCTCTCTCTCTTCTTCAAGAAAGAGAGAGGAAAATTCGAGGGATTGCAATTGCATTGCCTTGCCTTTGCGCATAGATTCGTTGTTAAGGTAAGTCTGGAATGGACTCCTTAACTACCACACATCGTTTCAACGCAGCAATTTAGGCGATTCGCGGATCGGGTCACCATCGAGCAGAAGAAGGAACATCTGAATCAAGAATAGTGAGAGTTCAAATCTGGATCAAGAATCTGCGCTTGTTATATTCCCGAGCAAATTATCAGGCATTCGAACGTCGATTAGGTTTTTTTTTTTCTTGGATTTTCCATCGGGATTGTCTTTCAATTGGTTTGAGAGACGTAGCTGGAAAATGCCATCGTCTCCCAAGTTATTCTACGCGCGTCCATCGACCTACAGCCGCAGATCGACTGTCCTGATTCTCTGTGCTCTGATCGGTCTGTTTGGATTGTTCGGGATTATCTCCTTTTCCCGGCACGGCCTGGAGAAGAACTGCAAATATGGGAAGCCCTTATCAGTGTCAGTGACCTGGGACAGATCTTCCACTGGTACTGGGAGTACAGACAGTTCAGCTGAGGGGCAAAAGCGTCACAAAGTAATGGGCTTTGTGGGGATTCAGACCGGATTTGGATCCACAGGCCGGCGCAGATCTTTGCGGCAGACTTGGTTTCCATCAGATCATCAGGGACTGCAAAGGTATATATATATATATATATGTATATGTACACGTATATGCATATATTTTTTCCCATTGGTTATGGAATATAATGCTCCTTGCCTTTCTATTTCGTCATGTTTTTGGCTTATTATGTGTTTGATTGGCCTGCTTTTTGGTAGGCTTTTCGCCATTTTTGTTTCTTTTAATAATGGATTGAGGTTGGATGTACTGTCATTTGAGCTCTTTTGTTGTTGTTTGACCTTAAACTGTGGAAAGAAGTTTGGTTTTTCCAACAATTTGAATTGTATTCGACATGTGCATAACTTCAGCAATTTGTTTTGTTACTCACTTGGAATTGAATCGTAGGCTAGAAGAAAGCACAGGTTTGGCTTTCAGATTTGTGATTGGTAGAACCAAGGATAGTTCGAGGATGTTGGCTCTTAAGAAGGAGATTGCTGAGTATGATGATTTCCTTCTTCTAGACATTGAAGAGGAGTACAGTAAGCTCCCGTATAAAACGTTAGTTCCAGCTTATCAGAAATGGATTGCACTGGCACTCCTGATGTATGATTTACTCTTGACTTTTGTCTTTGTACAGCTTAGCTTTCTTCAAAGCTGCTTATGCTCTTTACGAGGCTGATTTTTATGTGAAAGCTGATGATGATATATATTTACGGCCTGGTAAGTATGTGATTTTTGGAAGATGGCATAGGCTTAAAGAATGATTTTACCTCAACTTTTTTATATGAATTTTTGTACTATCTGTCTCTGCATTTTCTAATTTAGCTGTTGTTTGGTCATTGGGCAGATCGCCTTTCCCTTCTTATAGCTAAAGAACGTTCTCATCCCCAAACATACCTTGGATGCATGAAGAAAGGTCCTGTGTTTACAGATCCAGGGCTAAAATGGTTTGTTTCGTTTTGTTTTTATAAGACCGTATTTGTTAGTGCTTCTTATAAGGATATTGTTTTGTCATTTGTTGTCAATTAACTTGAATGCTGAGGTTTGGAGTTTTGAAGACAATAACAATTTTGTCTTTACTTGAAATTGAAACTTATATGGAAGATAAGATATATTATGTCCAGCATTCACTTAGACCTAATTTGAAGTTCATTTGAGGAGTAAATAAGATGCAGATTGTGAGTTGTCGGTTAATGCATTGCTTTACTAATTGATGATCATGTGGAGGCTGCTCTGACAAAATCATAGAATTTATATTTATCTGTTACACAATATTAGAATTTAATACATTCAAAGATGCATGAAAATGAGAGTATTAGCTGGAAAGATTGATATATAGATGATAGGAAGTTAAAGACAGATTATGGGAGAGGAAGTAATAAGAGAGTAGAAGATGGGGAAAAGAACTTTTAGAGTATAAAAGCATGCATATTATTTCGAATAAAATCCATTAATTTGAATTTTGATTTTCAATTTATTCATCTTTTGAGTTTGATGGATTGATTAAAACTCACACAAGATTTATGCGAGGCTTGAGGTTGGTAGTCCTGAGATATTATATTGCAATCTCAATTCTTTTTTCCACTTTAAATAAGTAGTATTCTGTTGGCAATTATTCTATATCCAATCCTTCTGATGGTGTTGAAAAGTATGATGTCCCTTGTAAATTTTTATACAATCAAAAGATGGATAAAGTTCGTGATAGGACATTGGAGGGAAGATATTATGGAAGAAAACGCAACTGGGGGACAGAAGATGGGAGAATAAGAATATTAGATAGAGAGAGTTAAAAGTAGTTTATATATTTGCTGCTTAACCTTTCTACTATTCTTCCTTTTGCATTTATCAGCAGAACAATATAAAAATTTGGGAATGAACATTGTATGTGCTCTAAACATTACGAATTCCTGTCTGAATTTCTACAATAACTCTAATAATGATGTTGTTGTCATGGGAAAGCATTCTCCGTTCGGTTCTTGTATGAAGATTGGAGCAGTGTAGCTGTTTGAACTTGCACAAAATACATTCAAGGGAAAATTATTATAGTTTTTACAATGAGTTATTGAATCCTTACAGGTATGAACCTCTTTCACATCTGCTCGGAAAGGAGTACTTTCTTCATGCTTATGGTCCGATATATGCTCTTTCAGCTGATGTCGTTGCAAGCTTGGTTGCCTTACGAAATGACAGGCTAGTAATTTCCTCGGCTCGTATTTTAATATGCCTCTAGATGTTCTTTTATTGTATCACTGTCATGAAACTTTTTTTTCTTACCTTTTGAATTTGTTTCTTCCTTAATCTTTTCTGGTAACCCTTTTGACATATGGTGTGTATTGTATGTACGATCTACAGTTTCCGGATGTTTAGCAACGAAGATGTAACAATTGGTTCATGGATGCTGGCAATGAATGTCAACCATGAAGATAGTAAGAAACTATGTAAAGCAGAGTGTACGTCGTCATCCATTGCTGTGTGGGATATTCCCAAGTGTTCAGGTATATGCATATGCTTGCTTCATTGCATTACAAGTCTGTGGATCATTTGTAAAATTGAGGGAACATTGCTTTTTAGCCATAGAATTAGTGGTGACTGTTTCAACTTTTTGACATCTTAAGGACTTTGCAAGCCTGAGAAGAAGATGTTGGAACTCCATGCCCAAGATATTTGTTCCAAAAGCCCGACTATTCCACCCGATGAAGATGATGAGTAGCGTGCCCGTTGAGCGTACTTTGTTAGTCCTCCTCATACGTACGTCCATTTTCTCTAACTTGCTTGCAGCGGACCGGGCTGTCTTGTTTAGGTAGAAACTGAATTTTGGGGTTTGGGGGTTCCAAACTATCATATTTTGTAGCAAACATTTTCAATTCTTTATATGGAGTATAGTGCAACTTTTACCACACAATGAAAAAATGATTTCAGAAAGCAGCAAGGAATGCATTGAAATTAATTGTTTCTTAATTGGCTTAAGCTTTTATTAATTCCCGTTTATTGAATTTAACAACAAACCCAAAACTATATATGATTGACCTTTGTTGTAGTAAGTAAATAAAAATTCATTTAACCAATAAGTACAAGCCCATTAGCAACTAAAACTAAGAGCAGATAAGCACCTACTAACTCTTGTAAAATATTTTTAAAAGTAAAAACTGTTTTATTATTTAAAGCATGCAATGTTCAATATAAAAACCAAAATATATTTAAAACAACAGCACAGGAATAAAAAATGATGTCCAATAAGTAAAATAAGCATGGTAATAACAGAGATGAAAATAGTGCTTGCTTTTATAGGCATTGCACTTCTTGCATGACCGTTTAAAACATGAAACCAAGTCGGGTAGCCGTAAAGGCAAACTATAGTTAAGTTTGTTGCAACCTATCAGAATAATATTTCTTCCAGCTTCTGCAAACCTGTCTTCCCATCAGTAGAATACAATTTTTTCACCTTTTTTAGATAAGATAAGACGAAACCTGGGTTTCATGTTACTTTAGGCGCCACTTGCATACAGACGCGTCCACTCTTTAGCTGCAGGATCATTAACCAACCCAAATAAAATAAGTAAGCACGATGACACATGTAAGGGTTTCATATATCTGTTAAAGGCACTTGTGGAACTTGTAAAGAAAACACTTGTGCATGTTGCTGAATTTGGACTTTTTTATACTCTCAGAAAATTAGAAAATTTGGTGAATTCTTACAGTAGTACTATAATGAGTTTTACACAATACCTGTTTCAACAGCTTCAGCCTCATTTGATTTCCAATGCTTGGCAATGTTCTCAGATAGGGGATCATCAGGATTCGGAGCACTCAATAGTGCTTGAATGCTGAAATTAAGCAACAGCATTAGTGAGAACAAAAAAAAAAGGTGAGAGGCATCTGCAGTGCAAACAGGAAGGTCCCAATATATTCGTCAACCAGATCCATATGCTAGTAAACAAAATCAGATATCAGGTCAAATTAATAAGGTGCTTAATTGAGGCATTAATGGAATCACAGCCATAACGTACACATGGTGAGTACTAAATGCACAAAAAACATCTACTAGATAGAAATCAGTACCTCAAAAGTACAGTCCTAATCTGAAGAGCAGGGCTCCATTTGTCCTTGAGAATATCCAGGCATATCCTACCAAGCTGGAAAATTATTTCATCAGCTGGCTTGTAAATATTGCACAGGCAGGCAGTGAAAAAGAAAGAGGTAACCAACCTTATCAATGTTAGGGTGGTAAATTTTGGTAAGGAAACGAACCTGTTGGCAATATCCAAGAAAATAGTTACACATGAATCATCAGTTCCACAAGTACAAATTCTCCATATGAATGTATTTTGCATGCAAGCATGACAGACCAACATATTTGCATAGGCATAAGTGTTAGAAGTTCTAATATTAGTCCAAATAATAGCTAATCAACAAATCCATGGTATACCATACTCATTTTTCTAGTAGTGATGAATAACAACTTTATAATGACATTGGTGTAAGTGCATTCACAATATACCACAAAAAATGCCAAGAGTAAGAATAATAGGCGTGATTTGGAAGCGTGAGCTGAGTGAAACTCAGATGATTAAGGTTGATTTGGAATTTTATTTTGAGTTTCAAGATTTTTTTTCCAGAAGTCTTCGTTGAGAATTTAAGTGAACACAAATTGAGGTTTGCCTCAAGCGAAGCATTCTTAGCTCCATTTAATGCACATTTTAGTATTCTTTTACTTATCAATAAGCTCAACCTGAAACCTAACTATAGTAGCAATATAATCCTTTAATGAAATGCTGTTAGAAACACAAACCATATAGTGGAATCTCAACCAAGAGTGCCACAAAGCAGAAATGTTTGCAAGATAAGAAACTCACTACCAAACGGAGAAGACAAAAACAATGAAGTCACAACTGATGCTATTAAATGATTTTAATCATAAGACGGGCAATCCAGGGGCAAGGAGACAAATATATTGCATCTAACTCCCATGAAGTGTACAACAAAATTGAATTCACAGCATATGTTAAGATACCTTAGGAGCAGCCATTGGGTATTCCTCAGGTAAAAACAACTCCAGCTTAAAAACACCTCCTGCAAAGTAAGAAGAATAATATAAAGAAATAAACATAAAATACCGAGCCACTGGAAAAAGAGAAAACAAAACTGAAAAGAACAACCTCCGCCCCCTATACATATATACATGGCATTAACAAATGAAAATGCTGTAGGGGTTGCTCAGTTGGCAGGCTGGAAGTGAAATTGAAGTTGAAATTATATCTGTTATTGTAATGGGATTCAGTTCAAAACCACCCAATTTGTTCAGGAATGACAGATTGCCCAAACTATTCATTCCCAAAGGCTTAGTAGTTGGCCAAAACATTAGGCAAAGGTCTTAAAAACATTTCATCATTCTCAAACCATATAACCAAGCAACCTTAAATCTCATTCCCATTCAGTCAACAAAAACAGCTAGTACAAATTACCTTCATAAGGAGATTGGGTAGGACCAAGAATCATAACATTGAAATAACGCATATTATCTTCTGATGGAGATGCACTTATTCCTGGGGCTGTACCAGTACAATTAAACTGTCAATAACACTAACAACAACAGATTAGGATTTCAAATAATTTCATAGGTTAACCCTCGTTTTGATTCCAAGCAACCGTCTGAAAATACAAAAGGTAGGCTATCATAAATGAATTTGTGGGAGCCCATACCAACTTTGCAAATAATCTGAACAAGATAAAGATCAAGCTGGAAACTTGAACAGGAGCCAAATGTATATAATCAAGATTCCATGCTCCAGAGAAAGAATTACAGAAACATCTGACATCAAACCCTACCACTTTTTACCCAAAATCAGCTTTATTTGCAAATCAGTAGATTGAAACCAAAAAAGGCGTTCCTTTGTAATATCTCACCAAACCAAGGCATCCGGTTATCCAGCGATCATAACCCTCAATTTACAATCGAAATTATAAGTATTTTTTAATCGGGGGTAGGTCTGCGATTGAAGTGTGTTTTACCTGGTTCGCTTAGAAGACGCTGCGTCTCCTATTTACGACAAAGAAATTCAATAAATCAGCCGAGCAGAACAATCAAAACAAATCGGGTATTACAAATTTCAAACCCTAGGGTTTACAAAAGGAGCAAAAGAGGAATCGGCAGCGGAATGCAAAGATCGTGATTATACCTTGATGATCCTGCGCGGTAAATTGCTGTTGGCCATGGGGATTGAATTTGCAGAGCTTCGTTTTCCTCCCTCAATCCTTTGGCGAGCCGCGTCGCAGAGGTAACGCTAACCCAAAAAAGGGTTTTTTCTCTCACTACAAAGTGGGAAATGATCTGTCCAACTACAGGCCATATTTTTATTTTCGTTTCATATTTATATTACAAATAAACAAACAAAATTTTACTAATAAATTGCAGTCCATCGTTTTCTCTATCGTCAACGCCCAATAGTAATAAATCGAAATACGATTCGCCCTACCCTACCCTACCCTACCCTACCCTAATCCCTTCTTCTTCTTCATCTTCTTCTTCGACGATTGGTTTCGTCGCGGAAATCTCTGCTAACATTGTAATATTCCTTCCCTTCACTATGGTGTAAACAGAAGTGTTTGTGACATTCTTTATAGTGTTTTGCCATCTGCAAAATTAATTAATGGCAGAGGAGACGAAAATGTTCATCAAATAACTTATCAGTCACAACCGGCTCGATAAGACAACCCTCCATTTGAAAGTGCGTTGGAGTAATTTTTTTCTATGAATCTTTTAAACGGATTTCTGAAATTTTAATATTTATTTTTGTTAATTTTTATAAAAACTTTTTACAAAACACAACATTATTTAATTTCAAATAAAAATCAATTTTTTTCAAATACAATAAAAAAGAACCGACATACCCATACTGTTTGGAAATAAATAAATAAATAATATATATCTTTAATATCTTTAACTTTTAATTGAGATATTATTTAGATTCTCAAACAAACTCTCTTTTCATTTTTATTTTAAATATTAAGGATATGTTCCTTTTGTCAAAAATAAATTTTTATTATTATTATTTTATTTTCATAAAATATCTCATCATACATTTATCAAATTTATTTATTTAAAACTCATATAAAGAAACATAGCCTACATTTTATTTAAAACTCATCTAAAGAAACACCTAGGAGGAAAGCCTCTAGTAATTGACAAACACATGAACAATGTCTTACATCTTGGGGGAATGGGCTGAAGTTACCACCCCATCATACACAGCAAAATTAAAAAAAAAAAAATAGAAAAAGAAAGGGAGGAATCCACGAGCAAATAATAAATGAAACATAATGCAGGAGACGCCATCAGCCAGTGTTCTGCATTCCAGCAGCAATTCCCTTCATGGTTAGAATGAGAGTGTCCTCCAATCCTGGTGCATACTCACTTGTGGGATTCAATGCCACAAGTTCAGCAGAAGCTGGCTTCGAGGTATTCGATTCCGTGCGTTTCAGCTTTGTGCTTTGCTCTGGATCACGGATGTTCTTCAGTGTGTATGCCTGGCACACATTCAATGTGGTGATGTAGGAGTCGCGCAGGCGAAGCCGTTGCTTCAGGTAAGGGTTGCCTTCGAGAAGATCTTTGTGCCCGGCAATCTATCAAGTGGAATTGACACAATTCAGTTCATCTGCAGCAGCAATTTTCAGATCACCAGATGTAGTAGTAGTTACATGAGAATGGTTTACCTGGAGCAGGAGATTCTTGGTTTCACCGTAGTTGGATCTTAGTCGATCCCCAAGCTCCCACAGGTCTTTGGACACTAGGAGCTTGTCGTATAATCCAGCAATGTTGGAATCTCCCTTGGCGAACACCATTTCGACTAAGTCAATAGTGACTCTAAAGAAAGGCCATTGATTGTACATGTCTTGCAGCATTTGGAGATTGCTCTTGTTCTTGTCAATCGCGTATTTGAATGCCGCGCCAAAGCCTAGCCATACTGGGAGATGAAATCTTGTCTGTGTCCAGGCAAAGATCCATGGAATGGCTCGTAGTGTCTCGATGCCACCACTCGGCTTCCTTTTTGATGGACGGCTGCCAATGTTCATTCTGCCATACTCCAACTCAGGTGTAGCCTATTCATATAAAAACACTGATATCATAATGTGTTATAGGAAACTAGAAATGGAAAATTTTGAATGTTTCTTGGCCACTTACAAGGCGAAAATACTCAACAAACCGAGGCTCCTTGAACACAACAGATCGATACTCCTTAGTGGCAGTAACAGCGATTTCATCTAAGAGTTTACGCCACTCCGGTTTAGGGGACACCGGAGGATGCATTCCATGTTCTAGTGTAGCAGCAGTATATCGCTGCAGTGTTCTGAAGCACAAGTGTTCCTCCCCAAAAGATTGCTCGATGACTTCTCCCTGAACCGTGACCCGAAGAGATCCCTGTATAGTATCCGGCGGTTGAGACAATATAGCCAGGTGAGTTGGGCCCCCTCCTCTTCCAACAGTCCCACCTCGTCCATGGAACATTGTCAGCTTCACACCATACTGCTTTGCTACTTTTATGAGTTCCTCCTGAGTCTTGTACATCTGCCAGGCTGCTGATAATCTGCCAGCATCTTTACCCGAATCCGAGTATCCAATCATGACTTCTTGCTTACCGTCGATCCTTTTTTTGTACCAGTCGATTGAGAATAACCGAGAAACTACAGCAGGAGCGGCCTCTAAGTCACCTAATTTCTCAAAGAGTGGAACGACTCTTAAAGGCTGAGTCATATGGCATTCACGCTGCAGAAGCTCGACGGCTAACACATCAGATGGTGTAGTGGCCATTGAAATGATGTAGGCACCTAAGCAATCCGGCGGGAGTTCTGCCAACACGTGGAACGTGTCCAGAACTTCGGCAATTTCTTCGGTTTTTGGGAGATCAGGCCCGAAGAGAGGACGTCTTCCGCGGAGTTCAGACAAGAGCCATTCCTGCTTTTGATCTTCTGACCATTCCTTATAGGAACCTATGCCCAAGTGTTTCGTTATGGCATCAATGACATCAGTATGCCTGTCTGACTCTTGCCTGATGTCGAGCCTAACAATTGACAGCCCAAATGTTGAAACTTGACGTAGAAAATCTAGAAGGCTACCGTCAGCTATTACACGGTCTCCACACTCGCACAGAGACCTGTAGCAGAGTTCAAGAGGTGCCAACAACTGCAAGAAAATGAAAATGCATGCAGTGACAGTATTAACAGCATAATGTGATCCAGGACTAATATCACATATAGTCTGAAATGCATGCATTAAAAGGAATTGTGACAAAATATGAAGAGAAAGTAAACCTCTTCAACACTTGTGTACGTAGCCTCTTCTGGGATGTCACTCACACCAAAAGCTAATAAATAACGAGCACGCTCACGGGTCTCATAGAGCTTATCCCTAACTTCGCCAAGAATGACTCGGTAAGGCTCATTTGATGGAATTGTCTTCCAAAATTCTGCATGACAATGAGAGAGAGAGAGAGAAAAATAATGTGTGTAAAAGTTAAAGATTTGTTTTCTTTTGTGTGATGGTGATGGTGATGGAAAATTTATAGTTAGCCACAATATTTGATTCTAAACTAAGGCTGAGGTGAAATCCTACACCTTGTTTGATTATGGCAAAGTTTGTGTAATGGCTTAGGTATTTGTCATGAAAAAGAATACTACTCGAGTACAAAAAGAACCATACTAGAGCAACTGAAAGTAATTGAATATAAAGCAACATAAGTTTCAATATGCACAACCCTTTGATGATTACCAATGAAGTGTTTTGAGTCTCCCCTTGGAGACCTGTGGAGCTCATCAGCTCGCGTACGAAGCTCATCATTGCAGCGCCACATTGACAACTGAAAAAGGCAATTGAGATATGTGCGAAGCAAATGCATTCAAGGCTACAACTGGATGCAAAATATTGAAATAAATTATACCTCAAACATGAGTTCCTCAATTTGAGAGAAGTACATGTTAGCAGCCATCATTCTGGCCAATAAACAGACATCCCTTGTGACCTCAGGAGTTACTCTTGGATTGCCTTCGATCATACACAAAGTTTTAGTAAATGATCTTTAAAAACTTCTACTAAAGGTGACGAACTACTAGAGAAGCCAAATCGATCTGATTTCTATAACTCATGCAAGATGGAGAACTATGAAGGATAATGTGTACATCTTTGAGGTAAGAAAATATACCATCACGGTCACCACCCATCCATGAAGAGAATTGAATTATACGTGCATTATATGGAACACGTTCATTAATCCCTATGTTCTTCAATGCTGTATCAACACGGCGCAGAAAGCTGGGTACGCCATTCCATATTGTTTCCTGAAAATAACTCATGCCTGCCCTCATTTCATCTTGGGGTGTTGGCTGAGTCCTTCTTATCTCATCAGTTCGGAAAGCAGCTTGAATCTGAAAGTAAATACAAACAAACAAATCACGTATACAATCAACTAATCCTACTTTAATCACTCAACAAACACTTAAAAAGGTAGCTCCTGGTGGTGTCCAGCCATCACTTCAAGTTCTTAACTTCTCCAAAGGTAAATAAAAACATCAGTGAAAGTTTTAAGAAACAAATAAATGTTTATATGAACTAATATACAAACTCATCATTTACCTCCCTCTGCAGAGCCAGGTCAAGCTCTTGTTTATCATCAGGTGTAATGTCTGTCTTATATAGTTTGGATAAGCAATTCCGAATTCTGAATGAGGAAGATTCAGGCCACGCATCAATTGAAGATCTTAACCATAAAAATTAAAATAATGCTACACACATTACAGAAACCCACCTTCCATGCTTCTTGAGCAAGGAGCGTCGTATGGATTGAGTAGGATGGGCTGTAAGGACAAGATCCACTCTTTGATTCTTCAATGCCTCAAAAACTTCCTGAGGGGACTTTTTCATATCAACAACGAGTCTCTTAAGAGTCTCTTCTATGTCTGATTCAGTTGTTGCATTGTCCTCATCGGTATAGTCTCCTTTCTTCTTGTTTCGCCGGCGCTGAGCAATCTGAACCTCTTCGGCCAAGTTGGCCAAGTTAAGCATGTGAGAGAAGGATTTTGAAACAACAATTGAATCCCCTGCATCCAAACTTGTCAACACATTTCCAAGCTCATCTAGCTTTTTAGGATCACGGCTTCTTTCATACTCAGCCGAAAGCTTATAAAGGTCTTGCACCTAAATTAAAGAGTGCAATTATAGAATGTCATTTATTCATATCGTCAAAAGATCCATTGTCAACTAATTACATACATCAATCACCAAAACTAGTAGTGAGTGGAACTATACAAACTTCTATACACACCCGAACATTTAAAATTTGTGATTAAAACGTGGTTTCCTACAGCTCTTTTTTTATCATCTCCCTCTATTTATTTTCGAAGATGGTAAAAACAGATGATGAAAACAAACAAATATGAGACTCCATAGACGATCAATCTCACCAGACCACTGGGAAAACAAGGAAACATTCAATCTATTTTGCTGCATTATCAGTTCAATTTGATTTCACCACAGAATCCTTCCTTCAAAAGCTCTATTGTAGACTATCCTCTACACGGGAGACTATTGAATATGATACACACACAAGTGTATATATATATAATCTAAAAGAGAGACAACAACAATATCATCCACAAGGAATAATATAGAGTTCAAATGGAGCAAAAATACGTGAGTTCAAACAACTCATACATAAAATACTTAAGGTCAGCTACAGTCAATCAACTAGCAATATAAGCATCAGCAATAAAAACAATCCAAACATCAAAATCAATCAACGAACGCCTGAATCAAATTAAATTCTAGCAGATGAATCCCAAACGTAAAATGTTTACCGTCTTCCGGAGATCGTCCCCATGCAAATCCTGAACAATATCGAGAAAGCGATCCAAAAGCAACGCATCATACTCAACGAGCTTATCGTCCTCGGACACTTTCCCAGGGGCCAATTGCCTCAGCTGCGCGTCGATGGACGATGCCGTCTTCCCCGCATCCTTTGATGCCATACCGACCGCAACGCAACGTACCAAATTAACACCCTAACTGCAAATAGACTGCCTTGGAAAATCAAAACATGTCCGCTTTTTCAAGCATTGTTTGAATCTTCCATAAGCTGATGGATTTGGCTGAGACCATCGCGGAACGACGTTAATATGTGACATTCTTCGGAGTGAGAATCGCGATCCTAAGAAAATGCTAAGGTCATTTCTAAATATAGACGAGGAATAAGTTTAAAGTATGTTTTCTCCGAAAAATCAAATAATTAAAAAATTATAGTCAAATAGTATTATATTTAAAATTTATTTTTTTTAGCGTAAAAAGTATTGTTTTATTGAAAAGCTGAGGAATTCAAAGTGGAATAAACATTGGAAAGAAGACACACACCCATGTATATATACGTCCATAATTATTTATTGTTGCATTCTCAAAATATATAAAAAACATACAAGTTAAAATTACATAAAATAAGATAAGAGAATCGCCTGCTATTATTATAATTAAAATAATAATAATAATAATGATTAAAAAAAAAGTTATAGTAAAAGTACTATATATTAAACTATTTTCTTTAGCAATAATGAATTTTCTTTTTTTTTTTTATTTTAGATGATAGAATATACTTATATATTTATATATATATATATAATATTAGTATACTTAAAATAACATCTAAACAAAAATTATTGATATTTTATTTCAAATCAATTTTAAAATACAATCAAATAAATTCATGATATTAAAGATTATACAAATATACCTTTTTTTTAATTATTCTTTCTTTCTTTTAATTAGTAATTGTATGAATTGTCATGATATTTTTAATTACTCAAAAAACAAATTAAGATTTTTTCAAAAAAAAAAAAAATTAAAATAATAAAATAAAATAATAATTTAATCAAACTAATTCTAATGTTGATAAAATAATACATTAAATAGAAAAATTAAAATAATACAAAATTTTAACATATATTTCAAAGTTATTTATTTTTATATATAAAATCAAACACTATTGTATTATACTATTAAAAAAGTATAATTTTGTTTACCTTTACATTTTTTATTTTTTTATTGTCATTCCCACATCATATAAATATATATATATATATATATTAAATGTATAATTTTTTACTTTTTTAATCTTAATTGATCACTATATTTTGTTATTATTACTAATTGATCGCTATATTTTGTTATAAAAAAGCATGGTAACATTAAAAAAAAAATAATTAAATTAAATTTAAGAAAATAGAGGGTCACCAAATTTACAGTTATATAGAAATGAGAGAGATAGATAAATAAGCTTTTTATTCATAATCATAGATCATTTCCACTTCCACGAACTCAAAATCAAAACCTGTCACCTCCATGGATCTTGCAGCTCTCACTCACCTTGTCATGGAGAATACTGTAGTTCGAGCTTCGGATCTTCCTGGAATAGCACCACTCATCCCCACCGTAATAATAATCTTGCTCCGTCCTCCCCACCCCGCTCAAATTCTTCCCATTGATAACCAAATATCCATCTCCTCTCTGCAAATTCTTCACTCTGCTAATTGACCTTCCCGACCTCCAAACTCTCTTCCTCTTCTCATCCATCCCCAATGTCACATTAACTGTAATCGCCACTTCTCCATCTCCCCCATCCTTCTCCTCCGAATACGTATACAGACTGTACATGCTGGATGACTCAGAAGAATGCGCCGGCGATGTCGAATTCCTCGCATCCACTTTGCCGGTGGACTTTATCCTCTGATAGAGTATCTCCAAGTTTCCGTCCATCCCTGTCACTATGTTGCTCCGGTACTTCAGCTCTTGCCGCGATTCGGTAGTGACGATGCCATGCGAGGATTTCACCGTCCCGGTCGAAGTAATTGACCTAGAGGCCTTGGTGATGAACGATCCATTTGAGGCCTTGAAGTTAGTTTGGAGCGACATGGAGAGAGGAGATGACGAGTGATTTAGGAGCTCACCGGAAGTTTTCTCGGAGTTCGGATCTAACCATACGTGCAAATTTGCGTCGATTAGCCACACGTTCAATGCGTTTGTTACGGTGAAGGAGATGTTGTGAGGCTCCCCGTCCAATAATTTCCCCAAAAATGGAGTGATCTCGACGTCGTAGGTCGGGAGATCGAAGGAACCGATGGCGGTTATTGGCCGCCATAGCAGTGGATTCAAACCGCCGGTGAAGATGACGGAGAAAGGCCAAATTGCGGCGATTACTGCACCGTCCAATCCGACTAGAACCTCTCGGAATGGTCCGTTCTCGTTGTAGTCGTCGGTGAGCCGATTGGCTTTCGTGTACTCCGACGGAAGGTTTCCGTACCAGAACTCGTCGGTCTCGTGGAAGGATACGTAGACTTCCAGCACAGCTCTGTAAGTATTTTGGGGAATCTGCACCAGTTTGCTTCCGTGATCGGTGTAGCTCTGGATATTGAACCACTGGCCGTCGTTCGACGGGAGATTCGGATTCCTCGAGACAGGGATGACCAGAGCGGCGGTGGAATCGGACGATTGGCCGCGGATTTCATCGGCGGGGTAGAAGTGGAATGTCAGATTCACGTGGTAGACGGCGGTGTAGGTGTCGTCGATTAGGTTTCCGAGATAAACCGCCACCGTCTGCTCCTTGGAAAGCACGGAAGAGTACTTGGTGATGTCCTTCTTAACCGTCCAGATAATGCCGGTTTTCGTCGGCTCCGCCGTGCAGCTCCTCAGAATCTCGACGCCGCCGATCCAAACTCCGAAAATCCTGTCGAACTGCCTACCTTTGGCAGTCGCAGTCCATTCGAGGACGATTTTGGAGAATTTCTGGAAATCGGAGGGAGGTTTGTAGTCTGCGGTGACCGGCGGCTTTCCGTAGGTGTCGGCGAATTCGTGTTGAAGGATGAGGTAAGAGTAGGGTTTGGTTTTGGGAAGGGGGATGGGTTTGGTGACTTCGAAGTAGGTTATCGGCGCTGCGGATAACGACGTTGGCTCGGCAACGGGGTGTGATCGGGAAAGCGACGCCCGCCGATTGAGGATTGAGGCGCAAACCGGTGGCGATAGGGTGGCGAAAGCGAGGAGAAGAAATAGGAAGAGAGAGGACGCCATTGATGAAGAAGCTCTGCCGCCGGTGCCGGCGACAGTACGTAAATCTTGCTAATAATTTTTCTACCTTTGAGAGTGATTAGTTGTGGTAGAAGCAGAATAATTTGCTGGTTTATTACTAATTAATTAATCATCATATAATTACTCTTTCCCAAATTATGCGGTGATTTATTTCACTTTCTACGTTTAATGCCATTTTCATATACATTTAGGCCATTAAATTACGTTTCTGTTTGGATAGATTTTTTTTTTTTTTTTTTTTTTTTCCCGAGTTTGGAAGATTTTTTGTTATGGATGAGGCTATGTTTTACTTGAATGTTAATTTTAATTACTATGCAATTTTTATAATTTTTTATATTATAATAATGATTAACTCAAAATCAAAACAGAACTAATAATCGGGTAAGCAAATCCAAACAGTAATTGGAGTTCTTTATAGTTTGTGAATCGTATCAATTTCGTGAAATTTATATGTAAATCAATAAATAATCTTGTTAAGTTTATGAAAATCAAGGTAAATTTATAAGCAAAATTCATGCAACAAGTCATAGCAACTACAACTAAATCGTAATAATTGGTTGCTTGTCTTCGTAGTTTGGTTGGAAATATACATCCAGTGTTGATTTTAAGAAGTCAATGACAAGCAAGTAGCAAAACATGTAAAAAAAAATTTGGAAATGGTTTAGTGTTTTTTAAATTGTGACACATACACAAATAAAATAACTATGACTTGTTAATGAAAATAACCAAATAGAACTAGTATTACATTTCAGATTGAAACCAAACAAGTCATATAGAATTATTTGGAAATGTGTGATTGATAAGCTGCAAAAACTTATAAATCATATAGGCCTATTTGGAAATGTTAAAGAGTGCCTGATTTTGTCATTTGGCTTAACTAATGATCTACGTAAATTGAAAATTACATGCAAGATCATACAATTTGAGACTATTTTATATTTTCGTTCTAACTCAAAGGATCAATATTATCACTTTCATCTATTTTATTAAAGAATATATTTATCTTTGTTATAGTAGAGTAAGCACGTACTAATACCAAAATATCTTATAATTTTTGCAAGAATTACAAATATATCATTTTATACACAATCAATTACATGTAAAGTATAAAAAGTAAAAATATCAAAAAGTATGTTACACACTCTCTTTATTATTACAGTAAAGTAACATATACTAACACTAAAATATAATTCAATTTTTATGTAAATTACAAATATATCATTACACATGAAATTGAAATTGATCTGTATATATAAAATACATAGAATAAAAATATTTAGTTGAACAATAAAATATGATTATTTTTTAATATATTACAATAGCTAAAAGGCCTCTTTTGGATTGTGATGGAAGAAGTATTTTTTTTATTTTTTTTTATTTTTGTGTTTTAACAAAATACTATTTTCGTTCCCGTTCAATTGACACATTTTATAATTAACACGGTAATAATAGTTAATTATGATATTATATTTTTTTTTATGTAATTAACAATATTAGTAATTTTAAAATAAATTCAATACATATATAATTAAAAAAAATTAGAATATCCATTTAAACATTTTAAAAATTATACCACATTATGGAGAGAGAGGACGCCATTAATGAAGAAGCTCTGCCGCCTGTGCCGGCGACTGGGTGTGTTTGTTTGGAAGTTTGGATTTTAAGTTGGGATTCGAATAGTTAAAATTTTAAATTTGAATAGTTGTATGATGTGATATAAATAGGTGTTGATGTGATATTTTGAATGTAAAATTGATTTTTAGTATAATATAAAAAAATAAAAAATAGATGTTTGATTTGATATTTTTAAGGAAAAAAATTGGATGAATAGTGTAAATCCAATCCAATGTCCCAAACAAACACACCCTAAGTAAAACTTGCTTCTACCCTTAAGAGTGATTAGTTGTGGTAGAAGCAGAATAATTTGCTGGTTTATTACTAATTAATTAATCATCATATAATTACTCTTCCCAAATTATGCGGTGATTTATTTCACTTTCTACGATGTAGATAAAAGGTTGTGTTATTTTAATAAATACAAACTTTGTACAAATTATATTTGATTTGAATTTAAAGCGGGTCATATTTTTTAAACTAATCCTTTGATTTTCCTTCCGGGTCGATTTATTTTCCAACTTGGTTTTTTATGACTTCTTTAATTCGAAAAGGTTTAGTCTTCAGTTTGACTTTTTCGGTTTTTTGAGGGTTTTGGTCTCCGTCCGGGCAATTTGATCGTCAGCTTTGGATTTGATGTCTTTTTTTAGACGATCCGAGACTTTGATCTTTGATTTGACTTTGCCGCTTTTGGAGGACTTTGGTCTCCGTGTTGGCGATTTGTTCATCGTATTTGGATTTGTTGTCTTCTTTGGACGATCCGCGACTTTGACATTTGTTTTGGCTTTGCCGCTTTTGGAGGACTTTGGTCTCCGTATTAGCGATTTGATCATCGTCTTTGGATTTGTTGTCTTCTACGATCCGCGACTTTGACATTTGTTTTGGCTTTGCCGCTTTTGGAGGACTTTGGTCTCCGTATTGGCGATTAGATCATCGTCTTTGGATTTGTTGTCTTCTTTAGACGATCCACGACTTTGACCTTTGCTTTGGCTTTGCCGCTTTTGAAGGACTTTGGTCTCCACGTGGGCGATTCGATCGTCGGCTTTGGATTTGATGTCTTATTTAGACGATCCGCAACTTTAATCTTTGGTTTGCCTTTTCCGCCTTTTGGAGAGCTTCGGTCTCCGCGTGGGCGATTCGATCGTCGGCTTTGGATTTAATGTCTTCTTTCGACGATCCGGACTTTGATCTTTGAGGAGGTAGATTTGGTGCTCCGTAACGCTTTTGGTGGCATGTCCCTTTGACTTTTGGATCGAAGAAGGCCGAGTTTGCGCCTTTTATGAAGAACTCGATGAACACTTCGAAGCTTTGATAGAAACTTTGAAGACCTTCCCTTGGCTTTGACGAATTCCTCGACGGCTTTGAGAGCTTTGATCATTCCTCCGGCTTGGACATACGACAAAGAACGTTAACTTCATCGATTCGTCAACCAATATTGGGTCATTTGTCCAAATTAGTGACTCTCGACGAAGAACGCTTCGAAGGACACGAAGAACATGAAGAGAGAGTCTAGAGACTTACCCCTTTGCTTGAATCCTTGATGCAACTTCGGTGTCTAATGAATTGGCCAAGACTCCTATTTATAGGGCAGGGTGGCCTTGGCTTCCTTTTCGGATGGTGCCACTTGTGGAAAGATTTTATAATCTTTCGTTTTCCATCAGATGCTGCTTTTCATTGTTGACGGATTTGATTGTGCACCTTCCTTTCTCGTCAAAATCTTCTTATCATTGTCTTTTTTGAAATATATTAATTTATATACTTTATTTATTGACAAGATTAATTTATTTTGCTGCCAAATTTATTATGACTTTATTTATGCACGTAATATTTGTATGATATCTTACATTTTAAGCATATTTTTGCATTAATGGTTGATATTTATTTTACAAAAATTAACATATGTGCATAATTAAATACCATATATTTATTTTATTAGAATTTTATTTTCTTCCATGATATTTAATTGATTTTAGACATATATTTTTAGTGTCTACATAAGTTTAATGCCATTTTCATATACATTTAGACCATTAAATTAAAAAAATATATGCAATATGAATATTATTTTATAAAGAACAAAATTTTATATAATTCAAATAATGAAAAATTTTAAAGGTAGATAAATAAAGAAACACACCCAAGATAATATATTTTCTATCTGGGTGTGTTTGTTTGGGAGATTGGATTTTCAATCCACTGTTCATCAAATTTTTTTCCTTAAAAAACATCAAATCAGACACATATTTTTTATTTTTTATATTATACTAAAAATCAATTTTACATTCAAAATATCACATCAACACCTATTTATATCACATCATACAACTATTCAAATTCAAAAATTTTACTATTTAAATCCAAACTCCCAAACAAACACACCTCTCGTATATTTTGTCTATATTACTATCACTTCAGATACTTTAATTCAAATAAAATATAATTAAAAATATATTAATAAAAATAATTATTATATAATAAATATAATTATAAATTAAAATTAAAATAATAAATTAATTTAATTAAAATTAAAAAAATTATAAATTATAAAATTTAAAATATAATTAAAATATATATAAAATAAAAGAAATTATTATGCGGGACACAGAAAAGTGAAGGAAGATAGTTATTTTATTAGGGACGAATGGAGTATTAACCAAATAACAAAGCTTTAAAACCTTTATGAAACAATAAACAAACACACCCAAATTCCAATGGCCAATATTTGCAATTTGATTTTTAATTTATAGAAAGCAAATGGCAATTTATTTGGGTGCAACCTTATTCTGAAATTAGGGTTCTTGGAATTCTTTTCCCGTTTGGCAACAACGAACGGTGCGGTTTTCCCCTGCATCCAAACTGATTCTCTGGCTTGCTTCCCACTCGTCCGCGGGTTAATCATTTTTTCCCGTTCAGAATGCTGTACCTTCCATTAGGTTGCTGTGTTTCTGCTTCATCTGTCATATGGATTGCGTGTTATGTAAAAGCTTGTTCTTTCTCCAGTGTTTATACTTCTCCCTAATTCCGGTATTCTGTTAGTTTTTTCGTTTTTTTGTCTATTTATTTGTGAATATGCATCTGGGATTCTTTGCTGGAACACCCGTTTTTGTATAGCCATATTAGTTATCTGATTGGATTTACTCGTATTCGATACTGTATGGTTTTCATCTGTTTATCTCTGGGTTACGGAATGAAGTAATAATTTCGTTTGATACACTCCATAATTATATTTCCTTTCTCTTGCATCTGTTTGGTTGCTGATCCATTTTGCCGTGTCATTTCTTGTAAAAATCATCATTTATCTTAGAAATTGGATTTTATTCAGAGTTCTTTGTTAGCAAGACTAATTTGGGGAGCATATTCTTCTCTTTGATGTAGAAGCTCTTTTAGCTTGAGTTACACAAAGGATCAACACAGCCAAATATACCAAAAGAAAAAAGTAATGTCTGGAAGAAATCGAGGGCCTTCGATTCCCACCAAAGGAGGTGCCCGCGGTGGTCCTCACCACCTGCCTATGTATGAACCACCCTTTGCCAGAGGGTCCCATGGGCAACACCCTCCAGTACGTGAAGATATGAGGGAGGCCCATTATAGTTTGTCTGGCTCCAGGCAGCGCCCTCCGCACCCTGCAGCCATCATAGAGGAGAGGTTGGCAGTTCAACACGATGATATCCAAGCCCTGCTAGTCGATAACCAAAGGTTGGCTGCAACTCATGTAGCTCTTAGACAGGAATTGGAAGCTGTTCAGTATGAACTTCAGCGTGCTGACAATTATGGACGGACATTGCATTCCGAGAAGGACGCAAAAGCAAGGGAACTTTATGAGAAATCTGTTAAATTAGAAAACGAACTTCTTGCTGCCAATGCTATGAGATCAGAGCTTATGAAGGTGAATATGGATATTAAAGAATTAACTGCCGCAAGGCAAGATCTTACTACACAGGTCCAAATGATGACTCATGATTTAGGTAGAGTTACATCAGACCTTCAACAGATTCCAGCAATTAAGTCCGAAATAGAAGGTTTGAAGCAAGAGCTGGAGCAAACCAGGCATGGATTCATTTTACTGCTTGTATAGACACATATGTTTATTTTATGCGGTAGTGCATCGTTGTGATTGTATTTCTATGTAACAGGGTGGCTACTGAGCATGAGAAAAAGGCCTTCTCTGAAAGTTTTGAACATGGTAAAATGATGGAGGGCAAATTAGTCACAATGGCCAGAGAGATGGAAAAACTTAGGGCTGAATTGGCTAACGCTGGAAAGAGAGCTCATGTAGCCAAACCAGATCTAAACCCAGGTATTAGTCTTTATAAAAAATTTGGGTGCACAAATTATGTTTTGAGTTTTGGAAGGTTTTCATTTTTGTTTTCCTTTCGTTCATTTTTGTATCATATTCTTTACCTTGATATTGAAAATTGTATATTGGATCTCAGGGAGAGTATATAGGAAGAGACTGCAATCTTGCTTGTGCATAGTTCTCTCATTTATGTCTATACGCTCATCACAGTTTTAGTTAGATTTTCCAAGGATTCAAACGAAACAACTGCATTATACATCCTTCTGATTATTAACTGATGTCCGGCTGCACAGGATGAACATTACTAGTCATTTGGAATTTTATCCTCTATGACTTACATGCTAGAGCATTGGGTATTATCATTTGGTTCCCTCAGAAAGTGAATAAGCTTATGTCATTCTGCTTTGTTCAACTATGCAGACACAATATTGCATGTTCTTTACTTCTTTCATATTTATATCGTTTATGCTACTGCAACTTTGTATAGCACTATGAGTCATTTCCTTTTATTCCTATCATGACATGCTTGTTAGTGTGCTAAGTATAGTCTCACTAATTCACAAGAATTTGAAATGACTAAATCTAGACAAGATACTATGGATTAAGGTTGTGTACTTCAGATTAGCATGAGGATATTGGAACACTTGAGACATTATATGAACAAATAATTAAGCAATAAAATGATCAATTCAATAGGGAAAAATGTAGGCTATTGGCAAAGTGAAAACGTAGACCAACTTGAAGGAAATAGAAGGATTGAGTGAGGCTTCACCTTAACGACAATTGGTGCTGACTGAGAAAGTTGTTTGAAAAAATCCAAGTCATCTGAGAGCACCAAGCCGTATAAAAGACAGAAGTGTTTGCTATAATATCCTAACAAGCTTATGAACCCCTAAACCATTTGGGAATGCAAATCCAATAGCCCATTAATAAACTCATGAGCATAGAAAGCATTGCCCATTAAAAACTCTTTATGAGCAAAAATATTGTGGTCACAATTCAATTCCAAGCAAGAAAAAACTGTTTCAAACTTCAGTCACTGATTTGACACTTAGTTCCATCCTTGTGTGTGTGTGTGTGTTTACAGTGGCAGCCCTATTTGTCAATGGGTCTTGACATGCATCTCTAGTAAGAATATAAGAAACATGTAACATGGATAACTTTTACTTGTTGCTTTTGTAATTTGGTGTGTGCGAGTTCTGTAAGGCGGCTCATAAGCTCCTTGGTTGGTAGGGATACGCTAGCTTCTTATTTGTTGATTAGGTGGAGATCTTGTAAGCTACTTGTTCAGGTAGAGACCCTGGAATGAACTTAACTAATCAAACTTGGTTTTAAATAAGGTGGCTCTGCAATGAGAAAATGCATGTATTACAATCGGAAATCAACATGCAATTATAAGGTACCCACATACTTTAGCTTGTCAGTTGTCACTAGCCTTTTGGAAGTTTGTACTGCACGTGGAAGATTTACATCATGTCATGATCGGTATGCTTCAATGATGATTGTCTTATAACTGTGTTTGTGCATGTCAGGAGTTTCTTAGAACAATGGAAACTACAGTTTTATAATCAAAGTTTGATTCATCATTATATTATAGAAGTTAGATGATGCTTTCTGCGTTAAGCTAATGATTTCTTTTAATGGTTTACAGTCTGTAAAAGTTGCCTTCCTGATTCTTGCAGGCTTGAATTATAATGTCAATTATGGCAATCCGGATCCTGGGAATCCCTATATCGGTTATGGCATGACACCTACAAACTCGATACATCCTGTAAGTTCCCATGTATGTTCTCTTAGGCACATTTTGTTTAAGAAAGATGATGCCAATTTCAACTGCTGTTCTTTGCAATTTTAACATCTAATACAAAATATTCTAATCAATATTACTGACAATCACACTTCAGGTACCTGCTGGTGCCGAAGGTTATCCTCAGTATGGACCTGGAGCTGGTGCTTGGGGTTCTTATATGCAGCGTACACAAGGCCCCCGATAGTCCATTCTGTACTCCATATGATGTATGTCTTGCTTACTCTGTGCTAAGCTTTTAGCATTTTCTAATAACTACTTGCACGACATACAAACTAAAGAGTTTCACTATTATCATTTTCAAAATGGCTGGGAAGTCAGCCGATTGGTATCTTTTTGTTGATATGATCTGTTGACGCCTTATTAATCCGAGTCAAGTTTGTACCTATTACCCAATATACTCGACTTATCCAGTTTCTATACAACTTTATTAGTCAAAAAGACACCTAACAGAGGCTTTTGTTGTCTTCAGTGTTCCAGATATTAAGGAAGCTCGACTTCTTATCATCGTCCTGGAAACAAAAAGAGTGTCTGCAGTAGATAATGTCATAAGCGTAAATCACTGGAGTTTGCGCACTTGGCACCTCCGGTCCGAGTTGGTATCCCTTGGCTTGGTAAAAGCTATTTTTGTGCAGTTGTCGACGATGAATCCATGGATTCCATTTAACCGGGGGGGAGAAAGTATGATGTAATTCCTATTGCACTACATTTTACGTTTTGAAACCAACGGCTAGGATTGGATTTTATCTGGGCTTGGCTAACAATTACTCTTCATCGTCCACCATTAATTAATTCACTCAATTGGCATGTGAAACTTCTTAGCATCTTACTTTGTAAACACTACACTAACTGAAAGTAATGAAAAAGAAATTGTCTGGCCTGCATCTATGTATCTATTTCTGTATGTGCTCTGTCTGTGTCCAAACACTTTTTTACATTGAAGAATATGTGAGAAAGATTTGTCTGCATGAAGATGATGATCAAAATTAAGATTCTAAAATCATTTCAGGGCTTACAATTTGAAATGATGGGAGGACAGCTGCTGTTGCTACAAAAAGTCTCTTTGGACTTGCACCCAACTTTCACATGATTCATTTGTCAAAGTTTTTGGGTGCATTTATGAACACAAAATAGTCAACTCTGGATTGGGCATCGCCAAGTAATGAAATGTCACATGTTGATTATTATTATGTATATAAGTTTTGTGTAGGCTTTTTTTTGTGCTGTTGAAAGTTTAATGTAAGTGATGATGCATGTCTTCTTCTTACTTAGTCAATTTGGTTTACGGTTACTTATATTCAATATCTCATTTTATTCAAATTTGAATTATTTTTTAATATTTAAATACGTTCAGTTATAACCAGCCAAATCATTTACTGATTGCTATTAAAAGTTGAAACTGTTGTTTTCTTTATCTTTATGGTCTTACTTCTTGACTTGTTAAATGTGAACTATTATTTGTTTTTCCTTTTAAACAGTAAATTGGACTTTTGGATATTCACATATAATAATACATGCAGTTAAGATTGAACCATTTTTTTTTTTAACAAAAAACTATTAGTAGTATTATTTATTCAAAATTCCAAAACTTTCAACACACTATTGAAGTTTTCACATGGTTGAGCTAATAACATCCGTTAATTGAAGGAAAAATAGTAATAATGAAAAAAATTAAAATTATATATAGCCTAAAATACGTTTGGCAAAAGTAAAAATAACAAATAAAATGAGATGGGATTAGTATTAATTAGATTAAAAAATCATGACCCAATAATGGTTTGTGTGTCAATAAAGTGTTAGTGTATGTAGTAATCAATAAAGGGTGCTTAGCTTACTGCTCAGCTTGTGAAACAAATCATCATCGTCAATCAACTACCCACCCACCCACCCACCATACACACAGTTCCCTAATCTCCATCCAACTTCATAAACACATACATATATATATATATATATACACACAAGAAAACTTGTGGTATTTTGATGCCCAGATTCACACTTAATCTGCAGAAGAACCATGACCTGATCTTAAAAACTATGGCTAAACTATGGAGCCTCCCAATGTACATCACAGTATCAGTGGTGGCTTTCGCGGTGTCGAAGATGATCATGGCCTTCCTCTGCTACCGTCGATGGAAACGCAAGCAAATGGTCGTTCAAGACACATTCACAGGCGGGAAGCTCGTGATGTTCCCATCAGCCACGACTAAGTCCCTAAAACCAACCATCTTCTTGAAGAAGACGATGAAGCTGAGCAGCAAGGACGTGATCGGCTCTGGTGGATACGGCACCGTCTACAAGCTCGTCCTAAACGACGTCGTCTCCTTCGCTGTCAAAAGAGTCCACCGGTCGAGCGCTGACCACGACCGAAGCTTCGAGAGAGAGCTCGCCGCCATGGGCGACATCAAGCACCGCAACATTGTAGCCCTCCATGGATACTACACCGCGCCACAGTACAATCTCCTCATCTACGAGCTTATGCCGGCCGGCAGCTTGTATGCGCTCCTCCATGGTAACTAATTATTAAATGATCATCTCACCTAAAAGTTTAATCTTTACGAGGAAAGCAAATTAATTTGGCTGTTTTGATGATGCAGGGACTAATAGTATGGGGAATAAGATGGTTTTGGATTGGCCGATGCGACGGCGAATAGCGATCGGAGCTGCGAGAGGGATAGCTTACCTGCATCACGACTGCATTCCGCATATAATTCACCGCGACATAAAGTCGAGCAACATATTGCTGGATCATAAAATGGAGGCACGGGTGTCCGATTTCGGGCTAGCTACGTTGTTGGAGCCTGATAAGACTCATGTCTCCACATTAGTTGCCGGAACCTTGGGATATTTGGCACCAGGTATTGATGATACAGTAGATGATGAAGATGAATTGTTTGAAACTTTGAATATAATGAATGACGTTGTTGTTGTGCAGAGTATTACGAGACAGGGAAAGCAACAGCGAAGGGAGACGTGTACAGCTACGGCGTCGTATTGCTGGAGCTTCTCACGGGGAAGAAGCCAAACGACGAGACGTTTGTGGAAGAGGGAACTAAGCTAGTGACTTGGGTGGGTAGCACATAGATTAGGATCCATATATATATATATATATTTGTATGGGTATATAATTCATCTGATCTGAGTGCAGGTTAGATCGGTTGTTTTGGAGAAGAAAGAGGAGCATGTGATGGATGGGAGGCTGACGGAGTGCGAATGGCCGGCGGTGGAGGAAGTAAAGCATGTATTTAGCATAGCAGTGATGTGTCTGGAGACAGAGCCAACCAAGAGGCCAACAATGGCGGAAGTAGTGAAGATGCTGTGTTAAGTTATCAGAGGAAGGAAGGAAGGAAGAAATTGTGCTACAAATATATACATTATTAATATAAGGATTTTTATTATAAATTAAGATTTTTATTAATGAAATTGCATTAACGGTCACAGTAAATGTCATTCAATTTGACGCAAAATGAAACCCCCAACTATTTTCCACGGACGTCTTCATTTTTTAGTGCAGCAGCAGCAGCAGGCAGATTCATAAATTAGGGTTACAAAAACGAAGATGAAATCCCCCTTCTTCTTCGTCCTCCTCCTGTTCCTTAACATCGCAGCAATGGCAGCTAATAATAATAACGAAGATGATCAGAAAACGTGGTGCGTCGCAAAGGCATCGGCGGAGGAGAGTGTCCTCATGGCGAACATCGATTACGCGTGCTCGCAGCCTGGTGTCGACTGCGCCACCGTTCTGCGGAAGGGATGCCCCTGTTTCACGCCGGATACGCTCCTCAGCCACGCATCCCTCGCCATGAATCTCTACTATCAGTCCACCGGAAGGAACCAGTGGAACTGCTACTTTGCCAATTCTGGCCTCATTGTCATCACCGATCCAAGTATATATATAATTCATACCTCCTTTATTTCATCAGTTATTGTTCCTCCTTTCAACTTAATTTCTTCTCATTTGATTTAATTGATTGATTGATTTGATTGTTTCATTGCAGGCTATGGCAGCTGCATCTATCAATGATAGCACTTATGTTCATTCTTCCATTCACATATACTATATAATATAGATCATTAACTGCAATAAATTGACATGCTTACTGTTTTGGCTATGGTGGTGAGAATACAAATTCAAATATATATATTTATATATATATATGAGATTACAAACTAAACACATGTTTACGCAGTTAAAATATTCCTTATTATCCCTAATAATATATTATTCCTGGTTGCTTTGGAGTGGAGATAGCAGAAATTGGACACAGCCTGAAGAGTAACAATGGGCCAGAAAGTAAAGTGCTTTATTCGTCTTCCAAGATTTGGAGTTTGTTTAGAATGGGTTTTTTTTCCTTAGGCTTTTGGATATTTAGAAGTTCGAAAAAAAAAAATAATAATAATAAAATTAATATTTGATTTGATATTTTGTGAAAAAAAAAAATTATATTTGATGTGATAATTTTTTAAAAAATAAATAATATTAAATGAATAAAAATATGTAGTGTATTTGATTCAGAATAATAGAAGTTTAAAATTATAAGACTGATAATTGGTTTACAAAACTAAGGGTGTATTTCTTTGTGAATTTGATTTTTGAATTTATATTTTTAATAGTAAAAATTTGATTTGAACATTCATTAAAGTTTGTTTCTCCAAAATTAGTTTGGAGATTTTTACTGTACACAGTCAAAATCCCCAGCGAAATTACCTATGTGTATTTTGATCGACAGTTGCTGCAACTTGTAGATTTTTACTTTTTTACATTTTTTTTCTCAATATTTATAAAAATACTCCACTGCCTCCACGGCCGTGCATAGGCTTTTGTACAATAATAATTTGATAAATATAATAAATATTGTTTAATAAAATATATATAATATATATTATTTTGTAGAAAATACCATTTTTTTATGATACAAATAAATAAAATTTTAAAAATATATATACATATAATATAAATTCATAATCAAATTATATTATTCTCTCCCTCAGTTTCATAAGAATGATACTATTTTTTATTTTTGTCTGTTTTAAAACAAGAATAAAATTTTTTTATTTAATAATTGTACTATCTATCCAATCTAACATAATTAATGTCCTTACAATTTTTTAATATATTATACAAATATCATTCTTTTATGAGCATCTTTGTCTTTTTCATTCTAAATCAATATAATATTAATATTAAAAAATTTATGTAAAAAAATAAATGCTACTTTTTTCGAGACGGAGATAGTATTGTTAATTTTAAAAATTTTAAATAAAAATATATTTATATTATTTTATTTATTGGTTATAACATCATTACATATAAAAAACTCTTGGAACTCAAGCCAAACCTACGCACAAAATAAACTAAAAAACTCAAATCAATGTTAAAATTCAAATAAAAACTTTTAACTCAAAATCAATTTTTCTAGTTCCGCCCTAAAGAAACACACTCTGAATGTAATATAAATAGATACATTGTTTTAAATATAAATTCAAAATTTAATATTATATAAATAAATAATTGTTTAATTTATATTTTGGAAGAAAAAATTTAATAGTAAAATTATTGTGATAACCAAAATACACAGTGTTGGGGTGCAAACCCAAATTCCACATTGGAAGTGGTGAAAAAAATTACACACAAGAATATTCAAAAACAAATTCGTGCGAAATCAGCCCAAAGCATTGATAATTTTGGATGAACAGTAAAATTTTAACAAAATCCTGCAAACGAACACACAAAGAAACTTAAACTATTATTATTCAAGTATATATTAAAAACAAATATATTTATTTTAATGATAAATACAGCATAAAATAAATATAAATATATGAAAAATAGATGAAAGTAATTAAAATTATTATTAAAATTAAACGGATAAATTGTATATATTGTAAAGATATTTTAAATACTTTTTTAAAATAAAATCAAATTAAGTTCAAATTAAATGATCCATTATTTTTTCAATAAAGGTGTGCTAATAAATTACTATTAATATAAAATCCAACTAGTTAGGTACAATCCAAGATCCAACAACTTATTTTTCACATAATATTTTATAAATATTAGTATTTTTATTTAAATTTGAAATATATATATATATAAGTAATACAATGTAATACAAATTTAAAATTTTATAAAGAACTATAAATGCATTTTTTATAATTTATTTTTTGTTATATATTTCAAATCATTAATATATAAATTTATTATTTATTTTAATATTTTAATGAAAAGAATAATAAAATAAATTTCAAATATTTATAATGTTAAATTTTTCTTGTTGGATATCCCACTCTGTATGTTACTATAATAAAATACAATAATTAAAAATGAAAATACTTACAGCGGGTGGATTGAGAATTAAAATTTAAACGCAGGGACCAAATTAAATTGCTAAAAGCAAAAAATAAAAAGAAAAAAAAAATGAGATGTCTAATAGACAAATACTCCTTATATATATATTAAAAAATATATATATTTATTTCAATGATAAATTCTCCACTAAATAAATATAAATATATGAAAAAGTAGAAGAAAATAATTAAAATTATTACTAAAACTACACTGATAAATTCTACATATTATAAAAATATTTTAAATACTTTTTAAAAATCAAATCAAATTAAGTTCAAATTAAATGATCCATTATTTTCTCAGGTGTGCTAATAAATTACTATTAATATAAAATCCAACTAGCTAGGTACAATCGAATCACTTATTTTTCACATAATTTTTTTTATATAAATATTAGTATTTTTTATTAAAAAATCGTATGGATTTAAATTTAAAATATAAAAAAATAAAACAAAAGTAATATATATGTATTACAAATTTAAAATTTTATAAAAAACTATAAATGCATTTTTTATAATTTTATTTTTATGTTATATTTCAAATCATTAATATAAAAAATTATTATTTATTTTAAATACAAAATATAAAGAATAATACAATAAATTTTAAATATTTATAATGTTAATTATTTTTGTTGGATATCCCGCTCGGTATTTTACTATAATAAAATACAATAATTAAAAATGAAAATAGTTGTATCCGGTGGATTTTAAGAATTAAAATTTAAATGCAGAAACCAAATCAAATTGCTAAAAGAAAAAAAATAATAATAAAAAGAAAAAAAAAACAAAAAAAATGAGATGTCTAATATACAAATACTCATTATATATATATATATATATTTACTCGTCAACAATTGGACCGAAAGCAGAAGGCATAACCGTATGTAAGGGTGGGCATAACGGTATGTAAGGGTGGGCATGGTTTTGAGTAGTTACAAATATATAGGTATTTGATATTCGGACCGAACAAATATTCGAAATTGCGAACAGTATTCGAACCGAAAATTTCGATTAATAGAAAATATTTGTAAAATTCGAATCGAATCGAAATTAAAAAAATATATATTAAAAAATAATTTGAATCTAATTAAATAAAAATATTTACAAATATCCGCATCGAAACCCGACATCGAACCGAATATACTTATTAATATAAATTTTAAAATATAATAATATAAATATATCATCGTACCGAAAAAAATATAAAAAATCGAAATTAAACTTAATAGAATAAATATCAAACATACAATATTTGTATTAAAATCGAATTTGCTCGATTAACTGAAAATTGTTCGATTTGACGATTCGATTCGATTTTTTTGCCCACCCCAACCGGCTTGCGGTTTGTATATAAGTGGGAGATGTTCGTTGGTTGTCGCTGCCAAGTCTCCCCTCCTCGTATAAACTGCATTAATCTTTCCTGTTTTCTTACACTTTTTCTTATCATTAAATCTTTTTGTTCTGATATTTTTATCCTAAGATGTCGACTTTCAAGCCCAAAAACATCCTCATCACTGGGGCTGCAGGCTTCATAGCTTCTCATGTCGCAAACCGGCTCATCCGAAACTACCCGGACTACAACATTGTCGTGCTGGACAAACTAGATTATTGCTCCAATCTCAAAAACCTCCTTCCATCCTCATCTTCGTCGAACTTAAAGTTTGTCAAGGGCGACATTGCCAGCCCAGACCTCGTCAACTACCTCCTCATCGTCGAGAACATCGACACTATAATGCACTTTGCAGCGCAGACACACGTCGACAATTCTTTCGGCAACAGCTTCGAGTTTACAAAGAACAACATCTATAGCACCCATGTTCTTTTGGAAGCATGCAAGGTTACCGGTCGGATCAGAAGGTTTATCCATGTCAGCACCGATGAGGTCTATGGGGAAACCGACGAGGATGCTGTTGCCGGTAATCATGAGGCCTCGCAACTCCTCCCGACAAATCCTTACTCTGCCACCAAAGCTGGAGCCGAAATGCTTGTAATGGCTTACGCAAGATCTTACGGGCTTCCTGTCATTACAACCCGAGGAAACAATGTTTACGGCCCCAATCAATTCCCCGAGAAGCTGATTCCTAAGTTCATCCTTTTAGCCATGAGAGGGGAAGTTCTTCCGATTCACGGCGATGGTTCTAATGTCCGAAGTTACCTTTACTGCGAGGATGTTGTTGAGGCCTTCGAAGTGATTCTACACAAGGGAGAAGTCGGCCATGTTTACAACATCGGGACCAAGAAGGAAAGGAGAGTGATCGACGTAGCTAGAGACATATGCAGACTGTTTGAGATCGATCCTGATAGAAACATTAAGTTTGTGGAGAACAGACCGTTTAATGATCAACGGTATTTCGTCGACGACCGGAAGCTGACGAATTTAGGATGGTCGGAAAGGACAACCTGGGAAGAGGGTCTGAAGAAGACTATCGACTGGTACACGAATAACCCCGATTGGTGGGGAGACGTGTCCAGTGCGCTTCTTCCCCATCCGAGAATGCTGATGATGCCCGGTGGAATCGGGAGGCATTTCGATGGGGCGGATCGGTACGACTACGGGACATCAGAGCTCGATCGGAATCCTAATCGAACAAGAATGGTAGTACCGAGCCCAAGACATTCGTCGTCGCCGGGCATCAAGTTTTTGATCTATGGCAGGACCGGATGGATTGGTGGTATGCTCGGAAGATTGTGCGAGAAAGAAGGTATCCACTACGAGTATGGAAAGGGTCGTCTTGAGCATCGATCGCAGCTTAAAGCAGACATTCTAGCCGTGAAGCCAACGCACGTTTTCAATGCTGCTGGTGTTACGGGTAGACCGAACGTTGATTGGTGCGAGAGCCACAAGACTGAAACGATTCGCACGAACGTTACCGGGACATTGAACTTGGCAGACGCATGCCTCGAGCATGGGCTTCTCATGGTGAACTTTGCCACTGGCTGTATATTTGAGTATGATGATCGACACCAGCAGGGTTCCAGGATGGGGTTCAAGGAGGAAGATACTCCTAATTTTACCAGTTCTTTCTATTCGAAGACCAAGGCCATGGTAATATTCCCCTTCCATCAATTTGAATTTTAACTACAATCTCTGTGCTGATTTTGATGGATTTTACGCGCCTTCGATCAGGTGGAAGAGCTCTTGAAAGACTACGACAATGTGTGCACGCTGAGGGTTCGAATGCCTACATCTTCGGACCTGAGCAATCCGCGCAATTTTATTACTAAGATCACGAGGTATAGCAAAGTGGCTAACATCCCCAACAGCATGACAATCTTGGATGAGCTTCTCCCTGTTTCAATCGAGATGGCGAAACGAAACCTTAGGGGGATATGGAACTTCACAAATCCGGGTGTTGTCAGCCACAACGAGGTTTTGGAGATGTACAAACAATACGTCGACCCGGAGTTTACATGGACCAACTTCACACTCGAGGAGCAAGCTCAGGTCATAGTTGCTCCAAGATGTAACAACGAATTGGATGCTTCTAAGTTGATTAGTGAATTCCCGGAGATTCTTCTGATCAAGGAGTCATTGATCAAGTTCGTCTTCGAGCCCAACAGAAGGGTCACACCGGCCTGATAAGCATTCAATTTGATTCAAATCGAGAGTATTAGAAAGGGCAGATTCCACACAAAAACAGCAGATTCAGGGCCTGAATCTACAATGTAGATTATTACCAAATATTCAATGAGATATCTGAACAAATATTTTCTTGATATATTCATCATGATTCAATGGGTATTCTTTCATATCTATGGCCACCAAAACACACCAATCTCAGACAAGATTATGCAAAACTAGCCAGCCCCATGTACATATTACAATCACGACATTGCAAATAAGCATATATCCTGAAAAGAGCAGCTCAGTATTCAAAGGTAAACTTGACTCACTTCCCCAGTCTTAAGAAGATCAATATCAGCAACAAACACCCAGTTAACTACGAACACAAACTACAGATGAAAAAAAAAATCTACTAAATCCCGGGATCATCAAAATATACGGAGAGCAAAATGCAAATCCTCCACATATCATGTTTGATGTAGTTGAGCACACAAGGGAAAGGAAAGGGCGCTGAGAAAAACTAGTAGAGTCTGCACAGCCTGCTTTCCAGCAGTTCGAATTTCATGTGAAATCAAGAATAAGCTGATCAGTACAATTCCACATCGAAATCTATTTACAACCTTTATAGTGATAGGAGCATACCTTATGGTATCGTCAACTTGCTTCAGCTGAAATTGGTGTGGGGAAACTGCTAGAAATCAGGCTGGTTGCTAGACAAACAAGAGAAATAATAAAAAATGGTTTATTGTACAATGTTAGAGACGGAGTGTATGATATGCTTTGAAATTGTTATTACCTTCAGGTTCGATCCTCAACCAATCTTGTCCACAGACCAAAGTTTCTCTAGTCTCTGGATTTAATGAACTGTGGTACGGATCAAGCACCCTGCCGCCATTGCTGAATGCCACTTCGGGCCAAAGAGTTGATACAGGGATCGCAAGAACATCACGAGCCATGATAGACAAGATTGGATACCTGGGCATGTGGACTTTCCACCAATTCAATATGCTGAAATCATAATTTCTCGGGAAGACAGGCTCCTCCAAATACTTTTCAAGATCGGATGATAAACTCTGGCTTTGTGTAGTCTCATATAAAAACTTGTCAAAGCCTTTAAGTTTATCTCTAGAACTATTGCTGGTGCTTGGTGTGCTGGTGCCAGGAAGAGATGAATCCTCAAGCCTAGATGAACCCATTGAGTACTCATCAAAAATTTCCCTGAGACCATCAGAAACTTCCTTGATACGATCAGGAGCGTCACTGCCATAAATCTGCTGAAAATAGTACTCCACCAGCTTCAATTTGAAACGAGGATCCAGAATTGCTGCCATAGCCAAAACTAAGCTGCACTTGCTCCAATATATGTCGAACTTAAGCTTCATCTTCAAAGCCAAAGAACTAAGAAAATCATCAGAGCTTTTACACCACTCAATCAATTGAAGGTGCATATCACATATTTCTGGAAAATATATGTTAGAAGTCGGGCATTTCTTCCCTGTAATGATGTTCGTAAATTCAAGAAAATATTTCATGTAGCCAGCAACAGAAGAAGCCCATTCCCACTCCGTCTCAGATAAACCATTTGAGTTGGGTGCATCATGCTCTTGCAGAAGACAGAGGGCATCCTTGTACTCAATTGCTGTTTCAAGCATCATGTATGTGGAGTTCCATCGCAGTGGACAGTCAAGAAGTAGACACCGGTTGCTAGTAATTCCAACTTGTCGTGCAATTTCATTAAATTTTCCTAGCAATGCTTGTGAATTTTTCACATGCCTTATGATCTCCCTAACTTTATGTATCACATCCCGAGATGCTTCCATCACTTCCTGAACAATGGACTTCACCAGATGTGTAACACATCTCACATCAAATAATTCAGCATTCTTTAAAAGGAATCTATTTTGGGATAGCCACTCCTTAATCCTGAAAACCATAACTTCATAACCAGAACAATCATCAAATGTCATTGAAAACAACTTGCGGTCAATGGTCCAGTCAGTCAACCTCTTAATAATAACCTCTGCAAGTACGTTGTCAGTGTGTGTAGGATCCAATGATAAGAAATTAAGCATCTTCTTCTGAAGCTTCCAGTCCTCATCGACGTAGTTAGCAGTCAAGCAAACATATTCAGAATTATCAGGTGAAGTCCAGTTGTCAACAGAAATGTTGATTCTACCATGGAGATTGAAAATGGCATCGTATATTTTCTCTTTCTCTTTTGCGTAGATGGCCATGCAATCTGATTCAACGACATCATTACTATTAATCTCAAACAACGGCTGCAGATTCTTGACAAATATTTTGAAGCCAACATGATCCACCATGGCCAATGGATAACCATGTGACATAATCATTCGAGCCAGATCCAACCGACTTCGCTCTTGATCAAATTTAATGCTTCCCAAATTGATATTCTGATTTGTCTCTTCTTTCTTCTGCTCCTGATCAAATTTCAGAGGTACAGGACTGAGGAGGTCATCCTTCATTTTTCCATCTTCATAGTTGAGGACTGTAAGAGGAAGGTTGCTTTGACGAAGTGGACTTTGACTGGTTTCTTTTCTCTTCCTCTTTGCAGAAAGTATTTGTGAAACATCATAGTTCGATCTCTTCAAACACCGCAACAAATGATTTCTTAAATGTGTTGTGCCGCTATTACTGGACCCACTTAATTTCTTCTTGCAATGGACACAGACAGCATATTGTACATCAGCCTTTCGCACTCTTTCAAAGTGATTCCATACAACAGATGTCAACCTCTTTGTTTTCTTGGCAGGGATCTCATTTAATATTTCCATGACATGTACACGACGTCAAGAATATGGTATCTGCATTAACGACACGACAAATAGTAGCAGAATTCCTTTTGAAGTGCAATGAGTTTAACTGAATTCAACTTTCTTTCATTCAGTTAAAATGACATCAATGAAGACAACAATTAAGACAGGTGTATAATAGACTATTTCAAGAAATGGACGGCATGGATAGGCAAGACTATTAGCAACCCTGTTTCTTGTCCAGAGAACAAAGGGGAGGGCAGTGATGCTACTACATTTTCAAGCACAACATAAAGCAATAAGCACACGGAGTAATATCAATAGGCCACAGATGAAAACAAAAATAGAAAGAAAACTACATAGGAAATACCAAAGGAGCAAGGTAAAATAAGCTCTTCTAGGCAGAGAATTTTGCATGGGGAGTTGCAATTTCTGCTGTTTGTAATTAATTAAATTGCCCATGAATAATTGCCATTCTCTCATCTTAGAAGAAATCATGGAGGAGACTAAAGCAGACAACCCATCACTAAACACATTTAAGCAACAAAACAAGAAAATAGGAAATGTGAAAGAGAAAATAAAAACCAAACTTCATTGCTTTTTCCAAAACTTTCATCTGAAATTCATCTTCTCTCAAACCCCAAATCTCTTCTAATCTCAACGGGCACGTGAAAGGTTACTAAAACTAAAAAGTATCTCAAATTTAAAGATGCAAGACAATCACAACTAATTCTGACAACATTAGAATGACCAATGCATAATTCTTCTGTCAAACAGCAATAAGGGGTTTTTCCAATAAATTGTTTACTATATTGCCTTCAGCAGAGTATAAACTACAAAGCAGTTGACTATAAACTATTAATGAAACCAAAATCACGTTTAGAAACTGAGCTGTACAGACCAAAATTTCAGGCACCCACTAAGCCCAGAGTCACTCAACAAATGTGCACCAAACTCACAGACACATTATGCCCTCTTCGATTCCCAAAAAATTAAAAATAAAAATAATTCAACAAGATGGTACCCGATAGGGTTTCCACAACATTGGTGATTAAAACAAATAATATTAAAAACAAAAAATTGCATGGAGAACACACATAAATTTATCTCCAACAAAATCGAAAGCAAAATTGCATTGCACAGCAGATCGGTGATTTGTCTGCTGATCAAATTCGGGTCGGATCTAAAATAGAGATCGGAGAAAAACGAACCTGGAACGGGAATTCCGCCGGGACGACGGAATCGAAGTTGCGGACAGAGTCCGACCGGAGGATCCGAAAGATCGAAAAAGGGTTAGGGTTTGGATTTCAGGCTTTGGAGAAGGTTTGGACTTTGGAGGAGACGCCCGCAAATCGGATCCGCTTCGCTGTGGTTTGATTTGGTTCGATAGTTCTGCCGCTTCTCTGAATAAAACGGATCGGGTTTGGGTAACCCACCCTAAACTAGAAGCTCTGCTCACCCGTTTGGTTGGTGGGCGGACTTATTTTTTCCTTTTCCTATTTTAAGATCTAATTTAATAAGTTGTTTAGTAAAGTGTATAATTATTGAGTAAAAACCCAAATTAAATCATTATAAGTAAAGTGTATAATAATGTTGTAAATTAATATAAAAATTGCCGTTTTAATCTAAAATTAAATCTTTTATCTAAATAATAATTTGATATATATACAAAATATTTTAATTGTTTATTTTCGAATAATATTAATTTTGTTTTGAAACATTTTACTTTTATAATTAAAAAATATGTTTATGTTTCTTGTCTACTAAAAAAAGAAAGACTTGTTTCTATTTTTAATAGAGAAAATTATACTATTTTTCTATTTTTACACCAATAATTTTTTTAAAAATAATAAAAATACAAACTAAATTACATAAAAATAGATGAGTCCATCTTTACGAAAGAGGGAGTAAGAAACACGCACTAATTTTTATTTGATTTTGTAGTTCTTATTTTACATAAATTTATAAAAGTATTTATTAAACATTATAATAAATAAATATTAAAAATAATATTAATATTACAGCTTTTTTTTTATTTGATTACAAAAATATTTATTAAACATTATAATAAATAAATATTAAAAATAATATTAATATTACAGTCTTCTTATTTGTTTAATTTTAGTTTAAAATTGATTTAAAATAAAATATTAATTCAAATTTTTATTTAAATAGTATTTTAGTGTAATATTTGGTGAGATAAAATAATATATTTTTATTAGTAATAAAATTTTGAGAATAGTTATTAATAGTCAAAACTATTCTATTATGAAATATAAAAGTATTATTACAAAAATTTAATTATAGATCTATTTTACTTTTCCAAATTGCTTTCCGGGTGGTCTTAGATCATTTATCATAATGCTTGATTGCTCGAAAAACTCCATAAAATTCGATAATATTTAGCCTATTTGGAAACATATTAAATATTTGATAAATTGTTTTTTTTAGTCTCGTAACTTTACCCCTTATCATTTTAGTCCCGTAAGTGGAGCCTGTCGCAAACTAGTTCCATAAATGAAAAATTTTCGTTGTTTTAGTCCTCCGGCGTCGGAGATGCTTTTTTTTTTTATTTTTTAAATTTTTTTTAAAAAAATTATTTTTAATTTTATTTGTATTTTTTATTTTTTTTATTTGGTCTAATTAAAAAAAATAAAAAAATAAAATAAATAAAATAAAAAAAAAAAGTAAATTCATGTGTCCGCCAGGTGTCGCTGACCTGGCGGACACGTCGCCACGCGGGCGTCTCCGATGCCGGAGGACTAAGACAACGAAAAACTTTCACTTATGAAAATAGTTTGCGACATGCTCTACTTACGGAACTAAAATAATAAAAAAGTCTAATTATGGTTACCCATAAATACTTTATTGATCCAATATCAGTGTAGTCTTATAGAACTTTGTAAAAAATGCAATAATATATATATAAATATATATATATATATAACTATATAAGACATAACAGTAGAATATTCTAGACCAATGTAGAAAACTAATAATACAATTTGTCAGCCAGGCAAGAAATATAATAGAATTTTCTTTTCTTCCTGTTATTTCATCGTTTCTAATATTATACTATAATTTTGTCGTATTCAATCAAATATATCAATACAAAATACAAATTATATCATATAATGATTCAATAACTATTTCACATAAAAGAAAAAAAATTAAAATATTATTGAAAAATAAAAATAATGCTCCAATGTGAAATAATAATAAATATTATAATAAAATAAGTAACAACCGAACATAGAAATACTTTCTTAGAATGGAGAATATACTGCTTCGAGGATATGTTGTGCACAGTCCAAAAATATGGTGCGAGAGGATGTAAGATAAAGAATAAAATTTAGTCGAAGATACCCATTACCGCAAACAAATTACTTTATAGTAGTATATCCAGTAATGACATTTTGTCTCTCAAGATAAATCAATTTTTGTATGCAACTCAAGTGATACCAGTAAATCAAAATTTTGAAAAACAAAATCAAAACAACCAAAATACTGTCTTATCAAACCAACCAACTTTTGAAAAAGAAGATAATGTTCCTTTCATAGTAGAGTTCCATCATGCAAGTTGTTACGCCGTGGACGCCGCTAAATAATGATCATAATAAGTATTTTAAATTTCATACTTTAAATTTCAAAGAAAAATACGTCCGTAGTATAATACGTTATACATATTAAATCCATGTCCAACTTCATGTATTTTGATGTAAATAGATAGTTAGGCTAATATTTGTAATCTCATTTGGTTTAATTATATATCATGAGTTTATGGAACAAATAAATCGAAGTCCCAACTCACCGATTATAGTTTATGCTCCAACTTCCAACTTTATGATTTTGACCCCGATTACAGCCCGTTCGAACCTATGTTCAAAATCAAGTTAAATTTATTCAGGATCAGGTTCAAATACAGTGATTATAATTGTATGTGAATTTTATATTTTTATGTTCTCTATACAAATTTAATTTAGCTCGTTATAATTAATTCACTTATTGATTAATATTAAGACTCAATCAATTAATTATCTTCCATGACCCATTATATGTCTCACTCATCCACTAATCAATTTTGAAAAATTACGAATCAAAACAATCAATTAAAATATTAACAGACTACTAACAAAAGTACAAAATCGCAAACCAAGCACACCTATTGTGGAACAATGAAACATAGTTAAATTTAGTAGGAATACGTTTTAAGGCTGCAAAATATGAATTTAATTTTTCTTAAATATGTATATAGATATACATATACATATGATTGTTTATTTTTTCTTGATAATTAGTGATAGTAGACAATATGCAGCCGATAAGATTGTAAGAGGTAGCCTATTTTATCATATTTTTGTTTGATAATACCAAACCAAGCAAGGCAAACATGTACTTCCTCTTTTTCCCATATTATGTCCATATTGTCATTTTTTTCCGTATGTTACTTTTTTTTCTAATTTAATTTTTTTATAATTTTAATTAAATTAATTAGTCATCTTAATCTTAATATATAATGATTTCTATTATAAATTAATTATTTTTATTGATATATTTTTAATTATCTACTAATTATACTTTATCTTAAATTCTGGTATATATGTTAACTAACACACCCAAGGGGGACGCAGGAGTAATATATATATGCAACTGCAAGACATCCATCAATCACATGCGACGTCGTTTCGACATTGTCTCTTCTGGACCATTGGGTCGTCTTTATTGCCATTCGCCACATACAGACAGTGCCAACTTTGATATGCTAAATTAAGCCCTTTTTCATTTATATTATTCTTACTCATTTCTTTACAAAAGCCCAGAATATTGATGATTACCACAACTTAGGATTACTACAACTACAATTGTGCTTGCATACATAGAATCTTGCAGCAGCTGTAATCTAGTTGGAACAAATTAAATGATTTATATGTATTGTCAGGAAGTACTACTGTGTTGACTTATATATATATATATATATTGGTTCTCAAAAGGAGGAGCACATGGGCTCAGCTGGCATGAAATTTTTTGCTGTTAATCTTTGCAACCAATTGATTATGTCCTAATAATATTGTGTCACAATATTCTACTACTTAGTAACATTACCAAAGAAACCATCATTCACACCATTGTTGTATTAATTATAGTCTTTTATTATTTTAATACTTAGATGTTATGTTATGTGGCTTTTTATTTTGTGAAGAATAATTTGCTTCAACTCAAACCCAGACAGTTGTTGACGACCACCAGGACTGCAGATCCCGGAGAGCCAAACCCAGCCAGCTTGGGTGGTGTGGAGCTGGAGTCCAGGGACCTGCTAAAGTAGCCCCCCCCCCCCCCCCCCCCCCCCCCCCTTCTTCCCCTACAGCTCTCTGTAGTAATTCATGTTCAATGATTGGAACACCCCATATTAGTCTCATGTCCACAAGTTCAATAATTGGAACATCTCATGATCCCATGTCCACTAATGTAATACTAATATGTAGTATTTCTTAAATTATTATTAATATAATTAATTATTATTTTTATTATTATTATTGTGTATATGACAATATTGCTTGCACATGACATCTCTATCCCACATGGCCTCTCAATCAGCCAATCGGACAGCTTTACAAGACGAGCCAGAACCACCATAGTTATATACCTTCAAATTGCTTTCTTTTTTATTTTTCCTTGATGGCTATTGAATCGTGTCTTTCCTGAAGACAAGATAGCCACCAAGATTTAAGGTTGCCCGAATTCAGGAGGTGGTGAGTAAAATGGATCTCGATGGGCACGAAGAAGAATCGCAGGAGAAGAACAAAATGGAGCCTGGAGAGCTGTTGGAGGATTCCTGGTTCTTCGGCAATTTGCTCCACGGCAAGCCAAGAATGTCGAGGAGCATGTCCGAGCCTTGCACCTCCTCGTCCAAATCATACGAAGAAACCTACGCTTCGATCAAGAAAATCCCCGAATCGAACCTTCTGCGCCATGGTGTGAATGTGATCTCCAGGACACCATCGGAGGGATCGAGACTGGAACGACGAGGGGGAAGAAATCAGGCAAGAAAGATTTCTGACAGGAACAGGGAAATGGCATCGCAGACGTGCTTGCATCGTGCCCCATCTCTGCCGGATAATTTGCAGGAGGATTCTGAAGATTTTCATGGCGACGACGACGAGGAAGACGAGGTTGAGTTCTCCTTGGGGAAGTTGATCAGACAGGCTTCTATGAAAAATTCAGACAACCTGCCTCCCAGACGCAATGGTGCTAAGGTATGATCAAAGTTATGATTTTTTCAGAAAATATATATCAAGGAATTGATAATTAATCGGGGAGTTGTTTATATGATCCAATTTTCGACAGATTCTGGGAAGAACCTCAAGCTTATCGATTCACACAAATGGAAACAAATCCGATCTGGAAAGCAGTAAACTGGAGGAGATGAAGCCCAAAGCCTGCAAAATCAAGAAACATTCGAGCTTTAAACAATACGAGGAGGAATTAATACGAGGTTTCGAGGATTTTGGATTGGATACATGCCCTAATGTAATTAAGAGCACCACTGTTCATGGCCTGCAACCGCAAAAGAAGAATAAGAAGAAGACGACGAGAATACAAGAAGAGGACGAAACAAGAATGCGTAGAATGTTCTTTTTGGAGGGGTGGAAGAGCTCGGCGCCGGCGCCGCCTCCGCCTCCGCTCCCCAGATGGAGTGGTAATGGCAATGGCAATGGCAATGGGAAAGGGAAGCAATCGTCGAGTGAAGACATGAAAGCACAAATAAAATTTTGGGCAAGAGCTGTGGCATCTAATGTCCGCCAGGAGTGTTGATGATTGATTATATATACATACATTCATATACATATATATATATATATCACTCACAGATCTTTTTGAGAAATTTTTATTAATTTAAGGGATGGATTGCTTCCCTGTTATTGAAACTCAATGGCGTAGATGTTTGATCTTGAGAACGCAATCATGGCCGACGAACAAGATTCTAACATTAAATGAAGAAATTGTGAATTATTACATTATTTTGATGTAATTTTTGTGTCTGAAATGGAAAGCGATTCTGAATAAGACAAAATAAGGGAAAGATATTTTCGTTGAAGAAGATCATATTGCCATACAAAATAGGAGATCGAGAATCGATACGACGTCGTCGTTGAAATGTCTCCGCCGCAGCTCCTCCGCGTCTCCGCCGTCGTCTTCCCCTGCATTTCTTCATTACAACCGTTTTTTCGCAATCGCCATTCCTTCTTCTTCAGACCTAACTGCAATCCTTATTTTCCCCTCTGTTCTGCCCACAGAACAATTTTCACGACGACCGTTGCAGCCGCCGGTGGAAGACCTGGGGAGCTGCTGTCTTCTTCAATACCGTCAATTCTCGACGCCGCCGGCGACTCGACGGCTTTTCAGACAGCCTCCACCGTTCTGCTCACCGGCGCCTTCACTCTCTTTCTCTTCCGAACCTTCCGCCGGCGAGCCAAGCGCGCCAAACAGATGGTACGACGCCGTTTCAAAAAGAAAGTCGTTATTATTACCGTGGATTTATTGCTGTGTCTGTATGTGTCAGAGAATAAGGTCGTCTTCGGCGGCGGAGAATCTGAAGAAAGCTTCCATGGCAGCCATTAAAGCGAAGTCTCCACCTTCGCCTGATGAGGCGCTTCTCGGAGCTCTGATCGCTGCTGCGTTTGGAATTCTTCTGTACAAATTCACTGCAAATATTGAATACGCTCTCAATCGCCAAACACTTTCAGACAATTATTCGGTCAGTCCGCTGACAACAATATCTCATCTACTGTCACACTCACAGCAAGGCTTATTATCAATATCTTGTTTGATTGAATCCTTCTTGTAGGTTCGACAAATAACCATAACAATAAGGTAAGATTCAGACCAGACCTGCGCAAAGTTGTGTTTCTAATTAATTGATTGTATTTGTATGATTGTGATCTGTTTATTACACTGAACCAACATGAATGAATGAATCAGGACAATCATCAACGGGCTATGCTACCTGGCGACATTCGTGTTCGGATTCAATTCTCTCGGATTGTTCCTGTATTCTGGCCAGCTCGCCATGAACGCCTTAGTCGAAGGTGAGTCGGAGCTCAAATCATCGGATTCGAACAATTCTGAAACGGCCAGTGGTGTTGAAGATGAGGAGGATAAGAGCAGTGGTAATTCAGACAAAACACAATGAAGACGATGGATTAGCAAATGCATTTCAAATGGTATTATTAATTATATATCAAATACTATTATAGTATATTTCAATTTTTAAATTTTGATTATTTAAAAAATTATAGTAGGAGACAATTTATTGATGCTCTCTCTAGTCAAAGGTCAAATTCCTTGTTGGACTTCACATGGTTTAGTCATCAAAATTATGCAATAAAAATCATTAAGAACAATAATAATAATAAGTCGATCACATGGAGATGGAGACAGACTGAATTCAGTCACTAACTAAATAGTTTCCTGGAATGGACAATCCTTGCAGCGTGCTATGGATGTGAGATTTGCGACACATGAATGCAATGAAACCACCAGCCTAGCCTAGCCTAGCCTACCCTACCCTACCCTAGCCAGTTTATTGAATTCTAGTCCCAACTACCACACTTTGTTGGGAAATTTTGGTGTCATAGATAATTAATTGTAAATTGTAATGTATGTATGCATCTATCTGATTTTCATTCAAATTTTATGCATGTAGTAAAATAAATGAGGGATGTGATTAAGACAAAATTGATACAGACACAAAGGCAAGCTCGGAATTGGTCTAATAACATTACAGGAAAGGAAAGCAGATGTGGTAATTAATGGTAATGGTAATAATAAAATTTTGAAAATAACGAAATGTACAAAAACAAACGGATGCACAATGGTTCTCTAACAACACACCTACACACATAATTCACTAACTCACTCACTCAATCTTATTTATTTTATTTTTATTTTTATTATTATCATTGCCAGCCAGGTCAGCTGATACCGGCCGCCCCGACGCCGACCGGGTGGGGCTCCATTTTCAAACTGGAATTCTTGCAGAAGAGCGACTCCGGCGTGAGTTTAGCCGCCGCCGTCCGCATCGGCTCCGACTTGCAGCGGGTGAGCACGAAGGGCTCGTAGGTCCCACCCGCCTGCAGCTTCTGCTCGAGAATGGTAGCCATGGACGAGGCGGCGGCGGGCAGAGAGCAGGAGGAGCGCGGCGGCTGAAGGTGATCGTGCTTCTTGGGCTTGGGAACGGGAATGGGAATGGAAATGGGCTTTGTGGCGGAGCTGTAGTCATTGGGAGGCGGCTTTCTCTTGACGTTGACGTTGACGGCGTCGTGATGGCAGCAGCCGGCTTTGGTGGCGGGCTTGGCCGGCTTGCGCGCCGGCAGCCACCGGATGAAGTCGGTGCCGCGGACCCATGTTTCCTTGGAGACCTCCATTGACAGCTTGGGCTCGCACATCATAAGGAGTAAGCAATCTGGCAGAACAGGAGCTGGAGGATTACTTTCATCATCTTCTTCTTCTTCTTCTTGATTTAAATGATCTTGGTTGCTGGTTTCCTTGTCCACAGCTTGTACGACCTCTACTGGTTGGATTTGTGGAGGATTTGGTTGGTCCTCCTTGGCATCTGGTGAATTTGAATTAGCCATTAGTTCTTCCTGGTGCTCATTTGATGATGAATGCCGAATTGGGATATCTTCTCCAGCTTCAGCTTCAGCTTCAACTTCGACTGGGCAGCAATCCTCCTCTGGGTAGTGTTCTTCTGTTGTTTCTTGCTCTAGAAGAGCTTCGAATGAGGACATGTTAGATTCAACCTCTTCTTCTTCTCCTTCTCCTTCTTCTTGCTCTTTTACTTCCTCCCTATAATGGTCATTCTCATTGTCATGGTCATGGTCATGGTCTCCCACTTCCATTTCTAAGTCGGGCTCGGGCTCGGGCTCTTGATTGAATGTAGACACTTGTTCTGAAGCTGGGAGATTCCTCAAAATCATCTTGCCTTGATGATCCATCATTTCTTCTTCTTCTTGGATTTCTTGACCAGGGGATTCCTTCTCCTTCTCCATCTCCATCTCCATCTCCAGTTCTTCTTCAATGGGGTCGTCGTCTCGACATTTGGAGGCAGCAGAGCTGATCCGATTGGCAAGAGCAGCCATTTTCATGGGATCAGATCTGCATCTCATTAGCAGAAGAGCATTCTTTGGAGGTATACAAATGCTCACTCTCGCCGGCTCCTCCTCCACTAAACACTCAAACTCAGACCTCACTCGTATCCTCCCATCCCTAACCTCCATATCCTCAAACACGTGCCTCCTGTACCCACCCCTTCCCTCCTCCGCCGCCTCCGCGGCGGCGCCGGCGGCATCTCCGACCACCACCTCCCTCTCTCTACCATCACTCACAGAGAGGCAGAGAAGCCACCTCCCGAATGCAGCAGCCGCCCCACAACCCCTAATTCCATTCCCGCAGCACCATTTTCTCTTCGAACAGCCACAGCCACAGCCGCCGCAGCCGCCATAGCCACAACCGCCGTGGAAGATACAGCACAAGTAATCGGCGCCGAATCCGCGGAGAGCCTCGCAGATGGAGATCGGCAAGTGAACCCATCTCTGGTTCCGGCGAGACTGATCCGTCGCCGTCCTCCTGAAACTAGCTTCCCCCAAATCCGCCCTCCTCGACAGGCTCCGGCTCCGGCACTGCTTCGCCGCGGCGGCTGCCGCCGCCTTAGCCCTCGCCTTCCTCTTCGATTTAACCCTCACTTGCCCAATGCAGGTGACCTTCGGCGAAGAAGGCTCGTGGCTCTCAATAGCGCAGCCTCTTTTCTTCCCGAACGGCGACGCTAGCCCGCCTCTGCGGCTGCCATTGGAGCGGAGGCGGCGGCTGAGGAAGGAGAAATCTCGGGTAGCGCGGACTGGACTGAGAATTGATTTGCTGAGTTTCATGGAGAGAGAAGGAAGGGAGAAGAAAAAACCAGAGGAAGGAGGAAGAAGAGGTAGAGAGAGAGAGAGGTCAGTGGAGCAGTGCAGAAACCATGTGGAGAAAAATGGAAGGAAATGGATTTCATGCAGCAGGCAGAGGTGCCATTATGGTGGGTTTTTTTACCGCAGCAGTAAGTAAAGTGAAGTAAAAAGAAAAGAAAAGGTAACAGAGAGGAGTCAGTGATGGGGAAGGAAAGGAAAGGATGAGTGAGAGAGAGAGAGAGAGTGTGACTGTTGCAGTTGAAGTTGCAGAGATCAGTTCAGTACAGACACTCTCTGCTATGTACCATTCGTGGCGGTGATATATACACATATAGATACACTACACTACAATTACCATTACCATTACCATTACTTTTATATATAGATATACAGTTATGCCTTTGGATGCTCTGCACTCTCCTTTCCATCACTTTTAAATTTATAATACTCCAGTACAGTAATATTTTTTTTTAAATATTTTACGAAATTCATAGTACAATAAAGTTGAAATGGATTTGTTTCAATAATATTTATCTGAAATCAGCTTTAAGACCCATTTTCAGATGATATTTACCATTCCATTTTCAATTTATGCATCTATTTGATACTCCATATTACCTCAGTTCCATTTGGTTTGTTGCTGTAATATTTTTAGACTGATTAATTTCGTAAAAAGTAGTTATAAATATAAAAGAGAGGAATATATGTGGTTTGTATATATATATAATTCACTCAATCCACCTCTTTTTCTGAAACGAAAAAGGGGAAAAATGTTACTCCAAAACCCACAAACTCTAACTGAAGAGCAGGGCAGTAAAAACAGGGAAAATTTCAAATTATTGACCTTGCAGAATGCACAGTTAGTAAAACAAAGTTTGAAAAAAATAAAAATGAGAGAGAGAGAGAGAGACAGAGACAGAGACAGAGATTGGCCCAAAATTGATGATGATTGACATAAATATCTTCTGAGAAGTTTTCAGGGATGAGGAAGGTGAAGGTGAAGGTGAAGGTGAAGGTAGGAGGTGGGAGGTGGGTGGGGGCCAATCCCAGTACTGTTGACAACACACACACATACACATGTGTGTCTGTGTGTGACTTCTGTATCAGTATGTATGTATGTATGAATCCTAAATATGAAATCTGGGTTGCAATTGTATGTAATTCACACATTTTCGTCCCTATGTTGTTTTTGTTATGTTCTGTTCTTCTCTGATCTCATCTGGGCTTCATTCACAGCCCCAAGATTTCAACCATTCTATTATATTATTATTATTTATTTACTATTAGTTTGATTTTCTTTCCATTACGAACCCATATTCTTCATTATATTATTATATTATTATTTTTTATTTTTGGTGCAGGTCTGAAGTCTGATTAATGAGGCTGGCCATTCCCATGTCGCATGGGATATATGGACAGTGGAATCTTGCATGATTGGATTTCTTGGGTGTTATTTAATCCTTCTTTTTTTTTTTTAACAACTAATTAACTATTAATGATCATATTAGGATCTGATCGCGGACAACGTGTTATTACGTCTGTAATTTGTTGTAAGAAAAAATAATAATCTTAATTAGTATGTGTCTGCCTGTTTGAGTTGAGTTGGCTTTAGTGTTCATTGCAATAAATATACATTTCAAGAAAACTACTACTATTAAGTAAGACAGAGAGACATTCCATGTGACTCATTCTTTGTAGTTTACCTTTTTTTTTTTTTTTTTTTTTACTTCATAAACATTTTCCTTTGTAGATTAATTGAAGCATTTTGTGTGTGTAATATTATCACCTATATTGGAAGTTATTTTTTGAACTCCACTAGCAAGTTGGCTTGCCTTGCCTTGCCTGCCTTCCACTGTGACGCTGTGACTGCCAATAAATAATATATATATATATATATATGCAACGAGTTAAAATGAAAGGGACAACATTTGTAAATAAAATAAAATAAACATCCAAATATCCAATCCACCCTCTACCTCTACGCTTACTGATGATACACTCCTATATGCTTTTCTTGTCAGCCCAATTGCACGTTTTTCAATATCAAATTCATCAAATAATACTTGCAAACAAATATCATGAATTACTGTGTTGTCCCACCAAATTTAACTCAGTTGTAAATTCATTTATAAGATGAATAACAGATAAGCAATTCATCGTTACTGACTGTAAACATGTGCAGGGATTTCATTCATTCAACCCCACAATTTTGATCCCAACATAACTACAATAGCTAATCAATATTCATTCAAATCCACAGGTAGGCATAGCATCTCTTGTGTCTGAATAAATTTGACTAGTAAATCAAATCAGATAAAAACACAGCAGAGGATAGGAGATCTTATGTTAAGTTAGTGAAGTAGGAAGGTATAAAGAGCACAGCAGAGGATTCCCATAGTAACAAAGACTAACCGTGATTTTCTGCTGCCCATTCCCAAGACTACGAACTAATTCAACAACAAAAAAAAAAATCAACGATATTGAATTTTTTGCCTTACTGCATACTTGGATGTGAACCTCCAATGGCTGGTGCAGTATCTACAGTGGCTGGAGCATTTTCTACTGCACTAGTTGCATTTCCAGTGTCGGCGATCTTCACTGGCGGTAATTGGGACTCGGTGGCTGCAGGAATAGCTACTGATCTGGTTTCTGTGGGATCCTCAGTTTTGGGCTCGTTCTGTGTTGTTACACCTGCCTGAGAATCTGCACTGGTTTTTCTAGCATAGAGTTGGTGCAATCTATAATCAGTTTCAGGTCGACGGCATATCTTCCTGAGGGGAACTATTTCCTGCAATGTTGGAAAAAGATGGAATAAAAAATACAAAAAGTGCGATAGTGTATCCATCCAGCAATCCAGAGGTTTGTGAACAAGTGTACCTCAGATTGGTCATGATCATATCTTACGAGAAACCTACAACGACAGCCTCTTATGTCGTGTCTCCGCCTTTGAGCATCAAGGATGTGTGCATCAAAGTAAAGGGCCTGTTCTTTGCCTTCCTACAAAAATAAGAGATTGTAACAGTTACAATTCCCCTCTCTGAAAACATTGACTATCCTTAATATGGAATTTATTTATTTATTTACTATCTTGGGTTTTGTGATATCATTATGCATGCTACTATACCTGAAAACAGAGCACTAGATCTCCAGGAAGAATTGCAACACACTCTGATGATTCGCATGGGAGTGATCGTTGCCTCACATGCCTACGAATGTTGACCCATTCATCCTCTTCTTCTCCAAAACCAGAAAGACGAACAAGGGCTTCCTGAGGTTGCTAGGCAATTCATCAGAGTAAGTGACTGAGAACACTAGCAATGCCTTTAAGGCCCGTTGAAGCTACAAAATCAAGATGACTGTTTTATCCCAAGATTATGATGAATCTAAACCAAACCAAGATAAATCAACGTATCATGTGTGAATCTGAGTTCAGGCCAAGTGGCAACAAAGAGAGCTTGGTAAATTATCCATTTGTGCAAACCAGATATAATAAACAGATGGACTTTGTAACTTCATGGAAAAAATTTGGTACTCAAAGCTTAAATTATAAACACTTGAAAAGTAAATTTCATGTTTTTAATGTTTCCTGGGTCACAAACTGAATTTAATTATATTCAGCTGTGTGTAGTTTCATACTAAGCATGAGCTCTAAGAAAGAACACATATGAAATCCAAGCCTCGTTAAGAAGTTTTGAGCAAAGTGAAAACACAGGCATGCCAACCTTTATTGGAGGTCAAAACCATTAACATTACTATGGTTGAATTCATGTAGAATGAATTCCCAAATGGCAAGGTTGATGTAGAAAAATAAATTTCTGAAGAGTCGTTTGGGCCAAAACATCCATAAAAGTACAAAAGTCGGTAGAGAAAAATAAAGATCTTCACCCAAGCGTTAAAAGAGTGAAGAAAACCACCAGCTAGCTTTCTATGAGATGAAAGAATACACTGCTGCAGCATTCCCAGTAACAAAAATCAAAACAGGAAGAACAACTTGTCTTAGAAATGGAAAGGTAAATAAACAAGCAAATATCAACCAAGCAAAATAACATCACTTCTAAGGATCCAAAAGGATGGAAAGCTAAAACAATTACCGGATCACCAGTCTCCAGTGATCTATGTGACAGAAAACATGCTATATCGTACCTGAAACAGAAATACATGCATTCAACAATACTGATGATCTTTACCATCCAAAATATATAGTATGCGAAAATGAACTGTTCAAAAGTCCAATTGGAATGTGGTTCAAAGTACTAACCATGCACCATCTCTGGCCGATTTAGCTTCAAATTCCATTTCAGAATTCTCCACAGCATTCCTTCCAGCAGTTGGCATTGCTGATAAGAGATTAGAAGAAAAGATCAAACCGTGAGGTGCAACAAGAGGAGAACAGTTCCAACATCAAAACTTGAAAACTGGTGCTACATAGGATGTTGAATTAGAAGGCTACAAATCTTTATAAAATTTGATAGAACTGCCAGATATGTATAAAAGGAGCAGCTTGTAGAGTTTTATTTAACTCAAACCCATATATAAATGAGTAATTTATTTTTGTTACTTATCGACATTTCATAAAAAATCTAATTACTATGGTTTATCAGTCAGTCTTGGATGGCTGCAGATGAAACATAAGTGGTTCTAGCAATCTAATTGGGAAAAAAGTTAATATTATATCAGATGTACGATCTGTTTGAGAATCTAAAGCAGCTAAACATTTGCTAAACCGCTCAAATATCCTACCTAACCTTATTAGATTAGAAACTTTTCAAAAGAAATTCACATTAACCACATTTACAGTAGCTCCAAAAATAACAAAAAGCTTGTAACCCATGACTTGTTCTTTCCAAAATAAAGAAAAAAGATGCTTGCAAATCCATTTGTGGGAAGCAAGACAATGTGTGTGTGCATGTATGTGTTTAGGTAGGTAGGTAGATAGATAGATGAATTTCTAAGAATCTTGCAAAATAAATACAGACAGTTGACAGAAAAGGAAATGCAAAGATCCTTCTTTGGAGATGAACCTAGCATAGGACTATCTTTGATGCACCAGCACAATGTATAAATGCTAACTCATAGGAATATTGTATAGAGATTGTGACGCTCACAACAACAAGGTTATTTTTGAATAAAACGGAAGAGCAGGACCAATTAAATAAAATGCACATTTTGGCATCTTACCTGATGATGGGATAGATTGAGGAGCTTGGGGCACACCTGTCACTGTAGCTGGAAAGAACAAGACAAAAACATGGATTGAGGAACTCAGGGCAAAAATAATGTCCTTCTGCGGATTAGTGAAAAAACAGGGATCCAATAGTGTTTTAGATGAAATGTATTAAGTATTACTTGAAGGAGCAGTTTGCAGTTGAGGAGCCGGAGGAACACTTGATGTTACTTGCTCATCTCTAGGAACTCCAGGCATGCTCACTTGCCCAGGGACCAAAGCCCTAGCTGATTTATTTCGAATAGCATAGCGCCTATTTTGGAACCAGTTCAAGACCTGTTCCATATATTGATAATTATTTAGGGATTTTCTTAGAAATACTAGAAACATATAAACTGGGGAGCTGTTCATTACTTGTTTCACTGAAACCTCCACCTTCCCAGCTCTCTCAGCAGAGGAACTATCAATTGAAATAACTCAAATGTTGATTATCCATGAAGTCATCATACTCAATTATTGACTTTATTTGCTCACCTAAACCTCTGAGCAAGAGCCTCGAGAATTTCACGGCCAGGAACTACACACTTGTATGCTTGCAGAATGGCTTCCATTTCTCCAACCTTAAAATATTAAAGAGTAAACATTCAAAGGTGCACGTACCCGTTGTTTCAACAAAAAAGGAAGAAAAAGGAAAAAAGAAAAAGAAGACATCATTTATCAGAAATGTATATTGATGTTATATTCTATATTCAGTGAACATGTATATTTGCCACGTGGCAAGAGAAATAAATATAGCTCAGTTATATGTAGAGTCTGCATTTATAGCATAACTGTTATGCTGGTTGATCCACAGAATCATGCCCTGTTCTTAAACCGTGTTCAAATGGAGCCTAGTTAGCAAGAAATAATTCAGTATACTAAATTACTTAACAGATAAGAGGAAAAAGGAAAAATTGATAACAAAATCCTTAACAAGATACAGTGTCTATTGCTAGTTTTTATATAAACACTTCATCTCAAAGTCAAATTATCTTTTTAAGTATTAGTTAGGTTGAAAACTGATTTCGATATTTTCAAATGCTTATCAGATCATATTTTGATCAATGCACCATTTCGTATATAATTCTATCGCGAAATTTCCATACTACTTCATACAATCAAACATTTATTCGGATAGGAATTCTTGCAATCTCCAATAAAAGTCATAACATATTCGATCTGATTCATGCATGTTGGGCGTACGACCATACATCAAATAAACCAACATGGCTTCTACTATGTTTTCTCTCGGCCTTTTCCATTCCCCGAAATTTCACAGAAATACAACTTAGCTAGGCATCATCATCCTACAGATCAAGGAGCCCCCTTTGTCCCACAACACCTGCATAGTTTTTGCTTCTGCAGAACTAGATTCATACAAAGGAGGAGATAACACGCACCATATGCAAACCCGATCGAAGAAATTTCCCAGAAACACAATAAGTTATATACATTACAAAAGGGCGAGTAATCTATCAGCGGGAACATATACGAATTTAATTCAAATCACGTAAAAGGCAAGTAAAGAAATACGAAAACAGAAGTTAAATTAGCCCTACGAACATTCCACGAGCAAAACAATAATGAAACACAGAGCTTTGTAAGCGTGCATTTGATAACTGGCATAGAGACAAAGGGAGAAGGAGGGTTTTGCGAGCGACCTCGACAGAGGTAAAACGGAAGGCAGGGCCTCCGTTGGTCGGAGGGCGGCCCATCGGCTTCCTTCCACCGTCCAATCAATGTTCAAATTCTTTCTCAGGAAACTGAAGAAATCGGCGGTGGTGGGTGACGGCGGAATAGAATCTTGAAGGAGAACAAAGAGCACCAAATATGAAAATCTTCTACGACTTGTCCGTACTTGAGTTCTATTTAACTTTAAGCCCTTCTGTTTTGGTATATATAGATACATATATAATTAATTAATGAACTAAGGGGTTATTTCATTAGAATTTTTAATAATTTTTTTTTGGATTTTAAAAAATTTGATTGATGTGAAATTAAAAAATTTATAGAGTTTATGTTTAAGTTCGATGAATTTTAATAATTAATAAACTAAGGGGTTTATTTAATTAAAATATTTTTTTATAAATATATCTTAATTATATATATTTATATCAAATATAAATTTTATAAATATAATATATTTATAATTATTATATTTTTATAAAATAAAAATTAATATTAATAAATAATATATAATTATTAATAATATAGAAGTATTATAACAAATGTAACACTACTATATTATATATTAATATTTTAAATTTTATAATTTTAATATTATATAGGAGTGAACATTCCGTCTATTCGGTGCGAGCCTAACTTAATTTTGAATTTTGATTGATTTTTTATTTATAAAAATTAAAATTGAATCAAAATTTTCAAAATCAAACTAAACCGAACCAAACTAATTCAGCCGAAAACCGAACAAATTGGATTTTTTGAAATTTTTATAAGAATGCTCTGACTTATATATTTATCCTCAATTATATATTTCAAACAATTTACAAATTGATAAAATACTGAAATATAAATAAATAAATAAAGATCAAAATCATAACAATATATAAAATATAAAATTTATTTTATTTAACATTCGGTTTTGTCGGTTGATTCAGTTTGAAAATTGAAAATTATAACCGAACCGAAACTTAAATTTATAAATTCGGTTTTAGACCGAATCAAACCAATAAATTGAACAGACCAAACCAATTTGTTCGAACTGAAAAAAATTAATTTTTTGGGTTTGAAGCTCACCTCTAGTATTATATTATCATTTAATATATTAAATTAATTTTTTATTTTTTATTTTTATTATTATTATCATTATTATAAATTTTTTACATAAAAATAAATATATACGTATATAAATAAAATAAAAAACATAATTTACGATATAAAAAATATATTAAAATAAAAATTAAATAAATAAAAATCAACCGTTTAACAATAATATAATATATTCATAATTGAAAAGAGAAAATTACACCTCTTTGTGTTAATTATTTATTTTTTTATTCAAAATTTTTTATATTTTTTATTTGTGTAAAACTTGCTTTAGATATTTTATTATAACGCAAAACTTTTCATACTTTACATTCGTAATAAGTATTTTGTGCATTTTTACTAAAACACGGTGGGGTATTATATAATTTACTATTGTTTTTATAAAAATAAAAATTGTATAAAATTTATGTGCAATGTATATACCCGAGTCACACGAGTCCATATGGAACAACATCTATGTTTATTAACAATATACGTTTTGATTAATCTCTACTTTATAATATAAGGGCTTCATCAGCCTTGAGGAATGAAAAAACAAAAGGCAAAGGATTACACAGTTCATTATGCATCAACCTCAGCTTAGGGAAAACACAAGTAAAAGCTAGGCAGGAAAAGGTGTATTTTTTACATCAACCTCTGCCATCACACAGGTAACTTCGATGCAGCAATACTGTAGTAGCAGTACTAGTGTTCATTTAAAATATGTAAGATAGGGAGACTTGATTAAACATACGTAAGATAGGGAGACTCCATTAAACATTGTCCATCTCTACGCCTCATCGTCGTCCTCTTCCTGGTTATTGACGCGCTCGCACTCGTCGATCCATTCGCTGTATCTGTATACCAAACGAAAACCATCATTCATTTGCAAATGATGTTATCAGTTAACTAATGCGAAAGAAATAAAAACAAGAATTGCTTCATATTTTTCACTTACATGTCTATGGCCTCAGTCAGAGCTGCAGCAGGTATATGTTGAAAAGGGAAAGTTAGTAATGGGTATGGATATATACTAGTGGAAACTAGAAAGAAACACTAGTTGATATGATGAAGTAATTACAACCTGTTACAGAGGTGCTAAAGTTCTCCTGACAAATACGGCAAGATGCCTCGCCAACCAAATTCTTCAAATCTCTGAAACAGATATATAATTGAATGTACACACCACGTGTAAAAATAAAGGTATGAAATAAATAACTATGTGGATCAATGAATCACACAAGGCATGGATTCCGCGGGATAAACCCCCACATTACTTTTGCCACAGAGTATCTCTTCTTCACATACTAAACCAACCACATCAAATTGTATAGTTAACTAATACCAAGAGTAATCCAAAAGAAGCAGATTCACATAGGTTTGACCCTATTCACACTAAAAGCTTCCGATCTGTAATTATGATTTCATTAATGATATATATACAAAATTAAAGCCGTTTAGGTGATCATTCAATTAATACCGACATATTCTCATGCAAACCCATAGCTGATTATGGCAAAAAAGGCCATGGGGTTATCTAAAGCCATGGCAATTGTCACATGACACAACACGTGGCACATCAAAGCACGTAAATTTGTATAATATAATAAAACCTTTAGGTGATAATCATTAAATAATATACATAAATATATACTGAAAATTACAAACTATACAAAACTACTAAGTATCAACCAAAAAAAGAAAGAGACAAGGCAATGAATCCAGTTTCAAAGAATCCATGCATCCATGCATTTGCAGAAAATCTGATCTGCATTTTGAAAACATGAAACATAATCATCTTGCTTATATGTTGGCTGAACTTCAAGTCAATTTAAGAATGCATATTAATGAAAAAACAAAACATAGTATATCAGAAAAAATCAGAAACCACACGACACCACCAAAGCCAAATTCAGATTAACAAATAGCTTAAATATATAACAGGCACTCCAGCAGTAAGACATTCACCAAAACTTCCAAAGCACTTACATGCAATATGTAAAAAACTCCAAATAGTAATAACCGGGCAGCAAGCTTTGACAAAACAATTAAAACAATACTGAGCAGAACAACACACAGAAGAACTGAAAAATTAAAACAAGAAATGAAGCAATGTGTTCCTTATTTGGGACAGATATTGCAGCATGACACGCACCATTCAGCACCAATAACAAAACAACACTTCTCCTTTTTCTTTTAACAAACCTTGTTGCAAATCAATCAAGCCACATCTGGACTAGATTAAGACCACTTTATATTAAACAATTTCAATCCCCAACATTGATCATTTAATTGTCAGAACTATAGCAGAGAGGGTAAGATGAATGATCTTGAAGATACTTACATGCGGCACTCTACACTTGTACCATGGTTACAAAAGGGACAACTGAACACAGTGTCAAGTTTGTCCATTCGCTTCTTCGGTGGTGGCTTGGCCCTGGATTTCCTCTTTCCCATGTTTTCAGTTCAAAAACGAATATGGTACTGTCAATGCCAGCACTGTTAGCAGGCAATTGAGAACACAAGTGAGTTAAAAAACAAACAAACAAAAAAAACATCCGATCCAATTTGGGGGTAGGAGTGATAACTAGTTTGAAATACACATTAAAAGAAAGCCTGATAAATAATCAAGTTCATAAAAACCCTTACAAGTACCAGGAAATAAACAAGTAAATTCCAGTACTTATAGATTAAGCATAAAAATTCTAGAAATTTTCAAATTTGATATGAAACCTTTAATTTGTTTTCGGACCCCCAGGTGCATAATCATTCAGTAAGTGCAAATAGTAATAAAAAACCTACAGCGTTAATCCAAATAGCAATTCACCAGCTAAACCACATAAAAGGAAATCGCAACATATCTTCGCTACGTACTCTTGAGGAAACAACAATTCAAAATTCATGCCAAATTCACTGTGTCCATACTTCACAAGTGTGAGATTCCGTTGAAACGTAGGGTTAAATTTTCAAGAATAAGTGGTTCATGATGCTCCGTGGCATCAAAGAACGCAAGAACCTTCCAGGTTAGATTAGGGAGGCGAAAAACATCTAAATCACAAAAGCAGATATGCGAGATGCTTCACGGCCAAAGACCCATTAAATTGGCAGCGCCCAATTCACAGACAGGCAAACCCTAAACAAAAGCCGCTACTCGATTCACAAAGAAACATGACACAAACAAATATCTGCATATATGAATTAAAAATCGAAAACCCGAATCCGATCATTGAATATACGCAGAAACGATCAAAGAACACGGATGAATCTTACCTGGGAATTGCTTGGCTCGCGTTTCCAAAGGCAGGGTTGCAGAGAGGGTAAATCGCGGCAGACAGGCAGTGCAAGGCGTATATATAGCATCTGGCTCCGTGAGGTTAACGCGGATTATATGGCGCGTCTTGAAATGGAGCCGTCCGACCGGTTCGAAGCCTTTAAAACCGGTCTTATCAGACCGAACCGGTTCGAAGCCTTTAAACTCAGCCACATCAGACCGAACCGGTTCAGCGCGGTTAGAAATAAGAGATATCTGATATCGTTCACTGTTGGCCACTGCGAGCAGTTTCAGACAACGGCAGTCGTCGTCTCGCTGTCTTCTTGGTGCGCCCCATCTGTGTCTGTGCTTGCAAAAATATCTCAGCATGCTTCTGGTACAGATATCTCCTGCGCTATCTTCTAATACTGGATAGAAATATATTAATTAATACGCTCTCTGTGAAGCAATTCCACGAACACCTTCCGGGCAGTACAGTACAACACCTCTATCACATTGTAAATCTTGCATTAGCTTAATATCTCGCTTTTCGTTGTTTTCATGAATGGCTGTGATGCTTTGGAACTTTTCTGGTATATGCTGCTGTGATCATAGTCGTATCTTTTTGACCAATGGTAGCTGTAACTCATGTGTTTCGAGTTGCAGTAATGAATGCCTAATAAAAAGGGGCAAGGTTGATTCCTTTAGGGTTTTTCGAAACGGGGCAGCGTCGAGATGGAAGAGAGCTGAGAAAAAGCGTATTGATTTTTTTGGGTTTGCCATGAAGAAATCGGAAGAATTTGGTTCTATGGGGGATGAATTCAAAAGCAACATCTCCTCTAAGGAAATAATTGGACGTTTGAAGTCAATCCATGGTTTGGATCAGGCCTTTTCTTTCTTTAAGGCTGTAGCAAATAGGCCACATGTTATACACACTACTGAAACTTGTAATTATATGCTTGAGCTTTTGGGGGAGCAGGGGAGGATGGAAGATATGGTTGTGGTGTTTGATTTGATGCAGAAACAGATTATTTATAGAAATTTAGATACTTATTTGATTATATTTAGGGCTCTAAATGTCAGGGGAGGAATTCGACAGGCTCCAGTTGCTCTTGAAAAGATGAGAAAGTACAGGTTTTGTATGAATGCTTATTCATATAATGGATTAATACATTTGCTTCTTCAAGCAAGTTTGTGTGGGGAGGCTTTAGTCATCTACAAAAGAATGATCTCAGAAGAAATGAAACCAAGTCTTAAAACCTACTCTGCTCTGATGGTGGCAAGTGGTAGGAAAAGAGACACTGAAACTGTCATGGGCTTATTACAGGAGATGGAGCATCTGGGGTTGAGGCCAAATGTATATACCTTCACCATCTGCATCAAAGTTCTTGGGCAAGCGGGGAAGATCAATGAGGCTTATGATATATTGAAGAGGATGGATGATGAAGGATGTTCACCTGACGTAGTTACCTACACAGTTCTTATTGATGCCCTTTGTAATGCAGGAAAGCTTGGTGTTGCCAAAGAAGTTTTTAAGAAGATGAAGTGTAGCCGTCACAAACCTGATCGTGTAACTTACATCACTATGTTGAACAAACTCAGTGATTGTGGTGATTTGAGCTCTGTGAGGGAGTTTTGGAGCCTGATGGAGGCAGATGGTTATAAAGCAGATGTTGTCACTTTTACAATACTCATTGATGCTTTGTGCAAAGTTGGAAATGTTAACGAAGCATTTAAGGTATTAGATGAAATGAAGGAGTTGTGTATCACTGCAAATCTACACACTTACAATACATTGATATCTGGGCTTTTGAGGCTTCAGAGAGTGGGGGAAGCTTTAGAACTGTGTGAGATCATGGAAGTGAGTGGCATCAAGCCAAATGCCTATACATACATCCTGTTCATCGACTGCTATGGAAAATTAGGAGAAGCTGACAAGGCTATTGAAACCTTTGAGAAAATGAAAGCTCGGGGTGTTGCACCGACAGTTCCTGCCTGCAATGCATCACTGTATAGCCTTGCTCAAGTCAGCAGGCTTGGAGAGGCAAGAAAGATCTTTGATGGAATAAAGCAGAGCGGGCTTGTGCCAGATTCTATTACCTATAACATGATGATGAAGTGCTATAGCAGTGCCGGGAAAATTGATGAAGCCGTTCAGTTATTTACTGAAATGATAGATGGTGGCAGCCATCCTGACGTTATGGTCATCAACTCGTTGATTGACACACTTTACAAGGCAAATCGATCAAATGAGGCATGGAAGATGTTTTGCAGTATGAAAGAATTGAAACTTGTTCCCACTGTGGTAACTTACAACACTTTGTTATCTGGATTGGGGAAGGAAGGCAAAGTTCAAGAGGGCTACAAATTGTTTGAGAGCATGGCAGTTGATGGTTGTCGTCCGAATACAATAACTTACAATACGTTTCTAGATTGTCTCTGCAAGAACGATGAAGTTGATCTGGCATTGAAGATCTTCTGTTCGATGACAGAAATGGATTGCCTCCCCGACCACTTTACTTATAACACAGTCATCTATGGATTAGTTAAGGATAATAGAATTAAAGATGCCTTTTGGCTTTTCCATCAGATGAGGAAAACAAAGTATCCAGACAGTGTAACCCTTTATACCCTTCTTCCTGGAGTTGTGAAAGCCGGATCAATTGCGAATGCTTTTAAAGTTGTTGAGGACTTTGTTTACCAGGAAAGGTTTCCGATTAATGGGTCTTTCTGGGAGAACCTGATGACTGGGATCGTGAAGGAGTCAGAGTTGAATCATGCAATTTCTTTCGCGGAAAAGGTAGCATCAGTTGGTCTTTGCAAGAATGGCTCAATTATTGAGCCTATCATTAAGACGTTGTCCAAGCAAAAGAAATCCCTTGATGCCTACAAATTGTTTGAGAAATTCGTTGAGTCTTTTGGGCTTCGGCCAACTCTAGAAGGGTACTATCATTTGATCGAGGGGCTTCTTGATATTCATCTTTCAGAACTTGCATGGGATACCTATGAAGAGATGAAAAAAGCCAACTATGCTGTTGATGTTCCCACCTACAATTTGTTGCTTGATGATCTCGGGAAGTCTGGGAAGGTAAATGAACTTTTTGACCTGTACAATGAAATGCTTCATAGAGGATGCAAACCTGACACAATAACGCACAACATACTCATTTCAAGTCTTGTAAAGTCTAACCAGTTAGAGCAAGCCATAGACCTATACTGTGATCTTGTAAGTGGAGGCTTTTCACCCACACCGTGTACATATGGTCCTCTCATCGATGGCCTCATGAAGCTCAAAAGATTAGACAAAGCCAAGGCATTGTTTGATGAAATGATGGAATATGATTGCAAACCCAACTGCGCTATCTACAATATTCTCATAAATGGATTTGGAAAAGCCGGTGACATTGAAACTGCCAGAGATCTGTTTGATCGTATGGTCAGGGAGGGGATTAGGCCAGATTTAAAGTCTTACAGCATTCTAGTCGACTGCTTTTGCTTGCTGGGTAAAGTGGAGGATGCCATGCTCTACTTCAAGGAAATAAAAACTGCTGGCTTTGATCCTGATATGATCTGTTACAGTATTATCATCAATGGCCTTGGCCGAGCTGGAAAATTAGAGGAAGCGCTGGGTCTTCTTGCTGAGATGGCAAGCAGAGGGCTGACGCCTGACCTTTACACTTTCAACACCTTAATATTCAATCTTGGAGTTGCTGGAATGACTGAAGAAGCTGGAAATCTTTACAAGGAGCTTCAGCTCATGGGTCTAAAACCCGATGTTCATACCTACAATGCTCTGATCAGAGCATATAGCATTTCCGGGAACCAGAACCTTGCATATGAAGTATTTGAGGAGATGATGGTTGGAGGATGCACTCCAAATATGGGGACCTTTGCTCAGCTTCCAAACTAAGAGAGATTTAGGTAACATTTCCTTTCCACATCCCTTTCATGTAATTTTTGTCGTAAGGAGCAATTGCTGAATGCAATTACTTTAGTCGTGGTTGTTTCTATTAAGCAGGGATTGTTTGCATCGGCTTCTTCTTCATTGTGCATTTCAATGGTTGGTGATGACCCTGGTTCCAATTCAGAATGGACACACTCTACTCCATGCCATTTGAAGGTACAGCTAATGTTTGGGATTGGTAAAAAATACATATATAGTAAATAGAAACTGTTCCAAGTTGTATAGATAGAAAGACTCATACCGCTACTTATGTGCAAGTTGTACTACAGATCATTAGAAACATTTGATTTAATGTTAAAAGGGAAGATTCTACAGTCCTCATCAGCATTCTCTTTGTTTATTTCTTTGTGATGATGATGATCTTTACTTATGCACTAGGCCATTTCTTAGGAAAAAAGAGACATCTGTTGATGACTGATAAATTAAGATAAAGATTGTGGTTTTGTGAATTCTATCTGGGAATGGATGATGTTTTGAACAAGAATGTGAGGAGTTTATCATTTGTTGATGTTGGAGCAAAAGCAAAGCCCATGTATCAAATACTCTCTCTATGTCCGACTACAAAGTATATGTATAGAACGTCCAATTACAAAATAACTATTTCATTAAATATCCTATTTTTTTCACAAATACTTTTATTTTATATCACATCATCATTGCTTTTTCGTAATACCCTTACTTTACATCATATCATTACTTTTATACCAAAAAGTAAGAGTAAAAATGTCATTACATTACTTTTACCTACCCACCATAATTAAAATACTATTATTTCTTAAACTTCGCACCAACCAAAAGTAAATGTATATTTTTTGCTTGGACGAAGGGAGTACTACTTTTGAATGATATTGCAGAAACTTCTGTTGTTTTACTCTTACAGAGTAATTCATTTCACTAAACAACAAGGGTGTGTTTACTTCTGGAGTTCTAATTTTGGGTTTTGATTTTGAATAGTAATGAAAAAATAAATAACAATTGATGTAAATTTCACTGATTGAATTAATAAATCAACTAACAAATTTAAACAAGTTTTAAATAAAATTAAAGAATATAAATAACTTTAAAAAATATTAAGAATTTAAACAATAAAAGTGTATAAAGACATCAATTGGATTCATATTATCCAATAGTTCCTGTCTCCAACTCTAATTGAATTCAAATTTGGAATTTGGTTCATTTAATTTTTATAATTGCAATTAATTTTTTTTAAAAATCATAATATCCATTAAAAATTTATTCACGATTAATTTTTATAATAGATTTATATACATATCATATATATATATATATTAATAATTCATAAATAAATAAAGAAATTTTTAATAACAAACATTCTTATATTTATAGTCACAAACATTACAATTTCATCCTACTTGTTAAATTAAAAAAAAAAAAAAACATAATAAAAATGTTAAATAAATTATGTTATATATATTCCTTATTTTTAAATAAAATTGTAAAAAATTTTAAAATTACACAATAGATATATTCTTTCTTTCTCACTAAAAGATTTCTTCAAATAAAATTTAAAAAAAACCCTAGAAAAAACACAATTATTTATTTTAAAAAGTTCTAAAGATCTGAAAAGCTAGCAATTTTATATATATTTATATATATAATATAACATATGATATATATCTAGAAAAGTTGTGTTTTGATTGAAAAGAATGTGATTAAATACATTTAAATAATATTTTATTTGTTGTGATTGGAGTATATTTTTTGAAATACGAAATTTAAATAATGAAAGCTACCACAGCAGCCTGCATCAACCAACAGGTGAGAAAATTTCATAGATTAATTGTATGGGGGCAAAGGAGTCATTTCATTTCTATTGTAATAATGAGTTCTACCTGTTATCGCTTATCAACCTCCCTCTCCTCATTTAAAAGAGAATTTTGGAATATTTATTTTATTGTAAATTATTTTAATATAAAATACATTATATAAAACCATTATTTTATATTTACATTAAAATAAATAATAATAATTTAAAAAACAAAATAATATAGTTTGTATATTAAAATACAATATCTTAATATAATCAACTTAGCTTAACTTAATTTTATTTTTATTATATAATTTTTTTAATAAATACTACTCGGTATTTCAGTCTAATAAATAATATTTCAATCTATACCGTAATTTTTAATTCTCTTTCTTTCTTTTCTTCTTGGATAAAATCATTACTCTATAACAAAAACACACATAATAAATTAACAAACGGATAAAGTTAAAATAATAAATTTTTATAAATTATACTTAAATAGTTAATAATAATAATATTATGTCCCTCATTTAAATTTATGCTCACTTTCTTTTTAAAAAAATATTATCTTTTTTTTTAATTAAAAAATTATTATATTTTTATATTTTTTTTATTATAAAAAAATAATCATTATTATTCATTTTTATTAAAACTCATTTCCAATCAAATTAGCACGTATTTGCACGAACAATTAATATAAAAGACCTGTCCCTTCAAAAGTTAAATTTATGATTATATAAATATGGTAAATTATTATAAAAATCTATTTTAATACTGTAAATTCAAAGAACAAAATTACAAAAAATAAAAATGTCGTGGCCCACAATTAATCTGGATTGTATAAGTGCATCTTAACATGTGATAATAATAATTGAGCATAAACCTGCAAGCTTACAGCTAATCTTAATTCCAAAACAAAAATATGTAACATACATGTTTGAATTTTATTTTTCTATAATTTAAAATTGTTGATATTTTAAAAATTTTAGTTTACATATGCTTTTTTTTTTTTCATATATATAATAGTTAATTATGAAAAATAAACTAATATTATTATTACTTTGATGTTTAAATTGTTTTGAGCTTTAAACTGTATAATTTGCTTCCTTAGTATCTAAATTTTATTTTATTGATGTTTAATTTTTCTCTCGGTATTAAATTATCAAGAGTTTTAAATTGTGTTGCATTTATAATTTTACATTTTATGTTTATATATATATATATATTTGTATTTAAACTTATTTTTCTACACTTAACTCGTTTCAACAATGAAATAAATAAATGAAATGCAATTAGTAAAACAATTTATAATTATTGAAACATTAATTAGGTGATTATTTGCATCCGATTTATAATACAAATTTATTTAATTAAAGTGCATTTGTTCTATAAAATAATTTAAAAAATATACATACGAGACATAAAAAAATAGTTTAAGTAATATAAAAATAATAAATATACATAATATATTGATTTTTTATAAAAGCGGATTCGTCAGCGTCTGCGCGCGAACCTCTGTTCGCAAAATTCGTCTGGACGATGGCTCCGTTGGCGGTTGACTGGTCGTCTTTCGCGATTCTTGGCCGCGACGTGGATCGCAGGGAATCATTTTTTTAATACATACAAGTGCACGAAAATTCGTGCAGGAGTTTTTTGGGACTCGTGACGCCCACTCTGTCACGATGGACGGCCTGAGCGGCATTCGTATATCGGGTCACGAGTTCCATGTTGTCTACCGGGGCACATATCGATAATAATCCTTTCGCAGGTTCACCTATATAATTCATTTTACGAATTCTCCTTTCTCTAAACGATAAGGCTTATTCGACTTCTCGCGATGACCGGGTTCGTCGGCGGCGTGCGTGACGGCTCCGTGAGCGGCTGACGGGGTCGTCGTTCGCGATTTCTGGCCGCAACTTGGATCGCAGGGAATCCCATTTTTGCTGCCTACATGTGTAAAGAAATCCGTGCAGGAGTTTTTTGGGACTCGTGGCTACCACTCAGTCTCGATCGTCGGCCTGAGCGGCATTCGTGCGTCGGGTCACGAGTTTGCTGTTGTCTGCCAGGGCAGATATCGACAATGATCCTTTCGCTTCACCTATAGAATTCATTTTACGAATTCTCATTTCTCTAAACGATAAGGCTTGTTCGACTTCTCGCGATGATGCGGGTTCGTCGGCGCCCGTGTGTGGCGCGCACTCTGTCACGATGGACGGCCTGAGCGGCATTCGTACGTCGGGTCACGAGTTCGCTGTTGTCTGCCGGGGCAGTTATCGACAATGATTCTTTCGCACGTTCACCTATAGAATTCATTTTGTGAATTCTCCTTTCTCTAAATGATAAGGCTTATTCGACTTCTCTCGATGACGCAGGTTCGTCAGCGCCCGTGCGCAAAATTTGTCTGAGCGACGGCTCCGTGAGTGGCTGATGGGGTCGTCATTCGCGATTACTGGCCGCGACGTCGATCGCAGGAATACTTTTTTGCTGCCTACATGTGGAAAGAAATCCGTGCATAAGTTTTTTGGGACTCGTGGCGCCCACTCTGTCACGATGGATGGCCTGAGCGGCATTCGTGCGTCGGGTCACGAGTTTGCTGTTGTCTGCCGGGGCAGATATCGACAATGATACTTTCGCAGGTTCACCTATAGAATTCATTTTACGAATTCTCCTTTCTCTAAACTCTAAACGATAAGGCGACTTCTCGCGATGATGCGGGTTCGTCGGCGCCCGTGTGCGACAGTTCCGTGAGCGGCTGACGGGGTCGTCGTTCGTGATTCCTGGCCGCGACGTGGATCGAAAGGAATCCCTTTTTTACTGCCTTGCTTGGGACTCATGGCGCCCACTCTATCACGATAGACGGGCGACATTCGTACGTCGGATCACGAGTTCGCCTGCCTCGACCATCATCATTTCACAGGTTACCTGTAAAATTCATTTTACGAAAATAATAGAATATTAATGTTAGGATAGGTAATTTACCAAAACATCCTTGTCGTTTAGTCAAATATAAGGGTATAAGAGTGAATAATTTAATGAAGGACAGTGGAGGTTGGGAGCTAATAGTAAATAGCCACGTCGTCGTTAGCGGTAAAATCAGAATATATATAAAAAAATAAATAAATGGAAAATACAATATAAGAGAATACGGAGATTATTAAAGAGGATATTCTTCAATCTCGTTAAAACCATAAAATTTCTCTCTCTAGATTGCTGAAATTCATCGGAAACCTTTTCAGTTTTAGCGGTGCTTGAATCTTGATCTCTGTTCTATCCTCTTACATCAATCTGGTATGGTTTTTTCGAATAAATATTTAATATTTAATTTCCCAATTTTGCTATTTATTTTTGTAAACATTTTTTGAGGGCATTCTTGATGTTTTCTTGGGGTTTTATGTTCGATACATATGAATTATACATGCATTGCGCGCACATGTTGTTTTGTTTTTGTAGGGAACTGTAGTTTTGGCGATCATCGATCACTGTTACTGCGGGTGTTAAAGATTGGAGGGTTTTGTGTTAATTCTGCTTTGATTGTGCTTTGTTTGGCTTGTGATTTTTCGCAGAAGTTTTATTGCTGAAGTATTGGAATAAGTTGGAACTTCTATGGAAAGATTCAAAAATTGATATTGCTTGTGGGCTGATGATTATCTTTGCTTTTCTGCCCGTTATTGAATGCAACCTATTTGTTATGTGGGAATTTAGATTTTATTTAGCTTGCTTGTTTGCTCAGGGAGAGTTAGCTACAGAAACTTGAAGTAAAAGTTTACTATCCTAAAATATATCTATTGAGTGCCTTAATAGATAGGGTTATCAAAATTGAGAATTTGATTGTATTAGTCCAGACTTCTGTTTAATTTATTGGGTAAGGAGATTAACAATAATGTGTTCATTGTAATAGGATCTAAATATTGTTTGTTTCGTTGGTTGACCGGTGTCGTATAGCGGTTTTTTCAGTTGTTGTCGTATGTTTCGCATTTATGTATGTTTGGACATATATTAGTCATTCGACTTCTACACCTGCGGTAAACCTATGTTCTGTGGTGGGTTCCACTAATAGTAAATGTTTCTACAATTTGTCGTTTTCCAAATCCACATAATTAAAACTTTTCTTCACTTATTTTCTCCTTCCTCTTATTTGGTTTCTTTTGATGCTGTTTGCAAAAAGAAGGTAGTGATGTATGCTTGTCATTGCTTACGACAAGTATATCACAATGTGTAATTAGTTTTCACCTGCTTTTTTTTTTTTTTTATGACTTTCAACTAGTTAAAGTTTGATGGTCTTCATGTAGCATTCAGATTTTATGTTCTATGTAAGCACTTGGAGATGAATTTCAATGTCAGTTGGATGCATAATTATGATAGTACATTGAAAAAAATTCAGAATTTGAAATGATCAGTACATTCTTGTCCACATGGTAACTTCTCTGATGCAGTGATGTGCTGTTGAGAAATATAGTCCGGCAATTGATTCTGCTTACCTCAGAAAAGGGTCTAGTGATGCATTTTTTTTTTTTTCCCTTCTGCAAAAGAGAGCAGTGCGAATATCGATTTTATAATTTCGCAATCTTAGTTGTCCATAAATCTTGTATGGTCAACTAAATTTAGAGTCACCTTTTAGCTTAGGAAATAGATCCATGTAAGCATTGATGACCCTTCTCCAAGGTCAGCGGAGTCAATAATTCTAGGGGACTGACTGGTGAATTTTGGAATGTTGTTGATGTAGTGTTGTACTGCAATGTTATGTCTGTTCACAATTTATATGCTCTGTTACACTCAAAGCATTGAGAAAGAAAGAAAAAACAATTTATTGCGCAAGTTATGGAAAACTAGTATGGGTTGCATCTATAGCGTGTAAGTTGTGATGAGATCCACCCCAAAGGTACGATATGATATAATTATGCTGCTCGAGTATGATTGACCTCGTATTTCTTGCTCATTATTTCGGTGAGCTTTTCCGACTTTCTTAAAACATAAGATTCTAGTTGAACTGATAGACACGTGTCCAAAAATTTTGGTATTTAATGGGTTTTGTAAGGCCAATGTGAATATTACTAGGTTGAGTAAATTTAAGAAGTATTGCATTTCCCCTTAAATTTGATCTAGTTATGTAAGAAATATAACCCGTATGTACACGCCAAAATCATTTTCTGTTAATCTATATTTGTGCCTTACTGTTCATATAATTTGAACTTTTTCAGCCCTATCAAGACTAGTAGGTGACTTATTTGTTACCAATAGTAACTTAATGAATTCATATTCTGAAATAATTATGGAAAGGAATCTGTGACTGGACGAAAACAGCCTACTCACTTTAAATAGATAAGCAAGTGGGGATTACTCCCTGGTGCTTTTTCAAAACAACATTTATGGACGATTGTTCGGTAATGGAATTTCTTTTGTTTGGTTTTTGCATTTTCTTATAGTGTGAGTTTCTTATTATTTCAAAAAAGGAAGCTATAACAATGATGGTATCAGCATAAATAGTGTAGTTGTTTGCAATTTCTCTCTTTGAATCCATAATTTCCACTTTTCTGTCTCAAATTTATTCTTTAGCCAACTTGAAAACATTCTTCTCATATTAGTATACAATATCTTTAGCTTCTTCATGGTATATGTTCACTGATACAGGCATCCCATCCACTATGGCGCACCGGAATACTCAGTTCACCAGTCAAATAGCTGATACTGGAATGGATTGGCAAGGCCGTAGCCATGTACAGCCCGAACCTTGCATTGTTTTTGGAAACGTACCAAATTATCCTCTACCTCTCCACCCGGTGGTTCCTGCTCCAGCAAACCAGGGCACTTATAGTTTTCAACCTGTGCCAGATCGTCATGGAAGTGCTTTACTCTATAGGATGCCACAGCTAAATGGTATCCCTCTTCCGCATTCAGCCCTAAACCTTGATTTAGCTGTTGGTGCACCTTCTGGCCATTACAATCCATACCTGGAACCCCTATCTGGTATTTTATGATACTATTATTTGTGGTCTATGTTGGAGCATATGATTAATGCGCAATAACTTAAGAGTATTCTTGGTATTCCATAACTTAAGAGTATTCTTGGTATTCCACTCCTGCAGGCAACTACGGCTGCAGCATTACCTACATAGATAGCATGAGAGGATCATCTAAGATAAAGGATTTGGAGGGGGCTCCCGGAAATTTCCAGCATCATAATCCTTCAGCAGGTCCTAGTTCTTCTGTTCACCATGTGATGGCACCTGAACCTGATATTAATGTGATGGATCCTGCTTCTTTCCCACCACTTGGCATCATTGACCCCACACCAATGGTAGCAAGTGGCTCTCAAAGGACTCTGCGGAACAGGCTTGGTATGATTGGACATGAATCCGTTTCTACACATAATGCTAGTCATCTGGTCCCGGGAAACTATGCTGTCCCACCTGTTAATTATCCTGGAAATCCTTGGCTGAATGTGCATTTTGGTGCAAATAGCAGTAATATGAATAGCACTTTTGCGCGAACCCATGTTCCATCATATGCCCATGGTATGTAATTCTCTAGATCTAAATATATAGCCTGTTCCCGGTTATTCATCAATCTATTGAATGGATTTCATTTGTGTTTTGACAAATTCTCTCCTGTCTCTTGTTATTTCTTAAAATATCAGCTGGCGTGCTCAGACCTGCGATCGAAGCTGGGAATATAAACCCTCATGGTTTTCAAGTAACAGCAGGTAGCAGTTCTTGTGGCTTTCTGCCTCCTTCCCTTCCTCAAGGCCACAGCAATCATCACCGTCCACTTTCACCTATCCAAGGGGCAGGTGCAAATGTTAATTTCTCTGGCCAAGCTGCAATGCCTTCCCCTGCTGGAATTGGTTCTTTCCCAGGTCCAAGGCCCACATTTCTAGTGCCTGCCCAACAAACAGGTTTCCCGTTATATCAACCACATCATAGGGGATTTATACCTGATTCGAGTGTAAGGCATCACACACGTCCTCACTTGAGAATTTCAACACCTGATGTAAAAGCTCCTATTTCCTCCCTGTTATGTTTTACTTCTTCATTATTTATTATATAGGATCTCGAGCACTAGGGATTACGAATTTGATGCATTACCAATTTTACATTTGCTTGAATGTTGTCTGCCATTTTGTAGGAATTTGCTTCACTTGATGTTGCTGGCTACCATGAAGCAGGAAATTATACTGATCAACACCAGGATATGCGCTTGGATATCGATCACATGTCCTACGAGGTAAATATAATATATAACATAAAAAAAAAAAAATAGACAAACAAATGTGTGTATACATAAAACATATATATGTATTCGTATGTAAGCATATATATGTATGAGTGTAATTGTGTATATATTAATATATGTATATCTATATAGAGAGAGAAGGTGATAGAGAGAGCTGTAGAGAGAGAACCGAAAGGGAGTAAGAGTGGAAGGAAGTCTATCTCATTTCATTACAAGATTTAAGTCAATTCAATGAGCAGCGAATGCTGAGCAATGTGCCGGTAAACCTTAATTCAACTTCGTATGACAGGAGCTTCTTGCATTGGAAGAACAAATTGGTAGTGTTGGGACAGGATTGACCGAGGAATTCATTCAAAATCATTTGAAAGTAAGATATTTTTCCCTGTCAGTAGCTGAGGCCGATCTTGAGGAAGCACCTTGCTCAGATGAGCTAGTCAACTTCTGTGTTATATGCCAGGTACAATGATATTATCATCACCCAATATATATGTGAGAATTATTTGCATTTCAGATAATAAGCCAATCAATCCAACACAGAATTATTTATGTTTCTGTTCTTCACATTTATTTTGATAAATATGCACATTATCCCCAAAATTTCCATTCAATTTGCCTATGAACCTGCAAATTTTGTCCATCTCTGATCTGCGACTTTACGGTCTTGATTCATCCCAACTCAATCTGTTTTGATCACATTCTGTGACTCGATTTCCATATCATTATGCAGTGTGGTTACGAGAATGAAGATCCTGTTGGAACCCTCGGCTGTGGACATGAATACCACAGTGAATGCGTAAAGAAGTGGCTGGTGATGAAAAACTCTTGTCCCATATGCAAATCCGCTGCCTTGACTCAACCATCATCGGCGAAGCATTTGTAAGCAGAGCCAGAGGCATTCGGGCCAGAACCATTTATATCAAGAATTACTATTTATGATATATAAAACATTTTTGTTGGTGTATTGTATAAATGCATACATTTTATGTACATATATGGCTGCTAAACATTGCTGGCCATCGTCACCAAACTGTACAGCGCCGCCCTCCCTCCTACCCTGCTGCTGTTCATGTTATATTATGCCTGCCCGAATGTTGCTTTGCTGTTGTATTAAACTCTTGTGTTGTGGAATGCAGTCACATTCTTTCATCTTGTGGGAAGAAAATTTGATTAACTTTGGGTTATAAAAATGGAGTTTTTGCTGTAAAAGCCACTTTTACAAAATTCTCGAGGAAGATGGATTTTCAAGGATCAAGATTGCTATTTTTCTCATTTTAATTTATTCTTTTTCTCTCTTGAAATAATTCATCCAAAGGGGTGGTATTTACTTGGAGAGAAAAATATGTGTTTTATATTAAGATCGAAAATGCAAACAAAGACTTGGTTTGTTTGTCTTAGTGTTTAGATTTGAATTTTCTTTAGTATGTATAATATATTATTCCATTTAAATCTAAGTTTACTTTCTATCATAAAAGAAATAGTTTTTTTTGAAAATAAAAAATTATTACATTATTATTAACAATTATTATTATTTTTATTAAAATTTGTATCCGTCAAGTCAAACGAATACACATGTTTTTAGAACGAGGGAGTAATTATTTTGAAAGATTGTTGAAACTTTGTGAAAAGAAACAAACCCTAAAAAGAAAAAGAAAAAAAAGAGAGGGTAAATATAGGTATTCAGATGAAAGAAGTAGAATCAATTGGACATGGATTTGATTTGATATTGTTTGGGCTTGGGCTTAGCTATCATATTTAATATCCAATATATGACTGACCCAATGGGCTCAAAGTTAAATTATTCGGATTATAAAAATCTTTGCTACTGATTTGCAAAGTGAGGGAGTGCTACGAAGTTTGTGGTTTTAATCCAATCTTTATTTTCGACCGAAGAAACAAGGATTCAACTTCCACCACCGGAGAACCGCCGCCGGAGAATATTTCGCCTTTCAGCACCGGATCGCGGCCGTTGATTGATCACGCGGACAGCTCATGAAAGTCACCGTCGTCTCCGGAGAAGAAATTCCACCTTTCTTCGTTGCCGGAGGCGACGACTCTGAGAGACGCCGCGGCGCTCCTCCTGCGGCTCTTCCCGCCGCCGCCGCCGTCATTTAAAAAATAAAAAAATCGCTCCGATTAGTGATTAATTGGATCATATCATCTTCCATCCATCTCTGTAGAAATACTGTGCGTATAATTAAATTAATAGTGAAGAATTAATTAGCACGCTAATAAATAAATAAAATCTATTTTAATGTTTTTTCACTTTCCCTTTGCTGGAACGCAAAGAGGTGTGGCGTCGACCTACAGACAACAATGTCTTCTCTGCACGAACGTAAGTAAATTGCTGTTGAGCTTTAGAGGATCGGATATCACTCTCCTTCCCTCCTTCCTACCATCTCCATTTCTGTTGGTTTGTCAATTGCCATGGCTAATCAAGGCAGCAATTTCTCGCCAAGTTGCGATGTTGCCATCTCACTACAGATTTTATATTTGTCCTCCTGCTCGCCATTGTTCCTGCACTGCGCGCCAGATCCAGATTTGGATGGATTATTCTCGTTTTTTGGGTATGACAACCTGACCTAATCAGGTAATAGAACCTTTCAACTCTGAAGCTGTTGGATAATTGAGATCGTAATCTTCTCTGCTCATCAGTAATGAATAATGATCCACTCGACTCTGATGAAGGAAGAATTTCTCTGGAATTTATTTATTATTTATTTTTTTTGTGAATTTGTTGGTGTGCTGTTTTATCCTTTTCCAAAATGGCATTTACCAATTCATGTATCTATTTCTATATATAAGCAATCTTCTTGTTGGCATGATCAATGATGGAATAGCTATATTTAAATCTTCTTAGTTACAGTACACTATTCGATCAATGATTTTTATATGATTGATTATATAGAATGAACACTATCATTCTCTCCATATATACTACCTATGGCTTGATGCTTGATGCAGCAACCCGGCGCCAGAGCAAAAAAGGCGATGGGATCGGGCGTTTGGTTCAAGAATATCCTAAGACGAAATAGATCGAAGGAGCGCAAGCGCAAACAAGCTGAGGTAACTACCATATGTATTTTCATCAGAGATTGAAGCATATATGTATTTGTGTAATCTTGCAAAGAGTTCATCCTTCTTCCAAGAAATCGAATGGTTCGAAGAGCAAGCACACATCCGCCAAAGAGGACGACAACCTGCTCAATGGAGGTTCAAAAAAGAATTCCAAACGCAAGCAGATGACAGAAGATGCTGCTGCTATTAGAATCCAGTCTGCCTTCCGAGCACACAAGGTAGTCATCACACGGCATCCCTCAGTATCATTCACATGTTTCGCCATTCTTCAAATTCTTTTAACTGCTTTTGTTACAGGCGAGGAAGGCGTTGCAACGCCTGAGGGGAATCGTGAGATTCCGTGGAGTAATAGAAGGAGGCCATTATATGAAGAGCCAATCAGCCTCAGCACTGAACCAAATCCATTTTTGGAGCAGGATACAGGCGGAGATCAAAGCTCGATGGCTTGGCATGGTCGCTGAAAGCCAGACGAGGCAGAAGAGGCTCGAAAACCAGCTGAAACTTGAAGCTAAGCTCCATGAATTAGAGGTACTGAATTCTACAAGCATTGTCTCTACTTGGATTTTGCTCTGTCGAATCTTTATCTTTCTGTAATCGCATCGCCTATGGATGGCTGACCAGGTAGAATGGAGTGGCGGCCCTGAGACAATGGAAGAGATTCTCAGCAGGATACAACAAAGAGAGGAAGCTGCAGCAAAACGGGAGCGAGCCATGGCTTATGCATTTTCCCACCAGGTATCTTGGTTTATCGACAACTTTTCTTCTTATGTTGTGGGCGTATACTGATACTCATATATGAATGTACCCTGCAGTGGAGAGCAAATACAAATAACTACTTTGGACAGGCTTACTACGACCTTAGCAAAGAAGGCTGGGGCTGGAGCTGGAAAGAGAGATGGATAGCTGCACGTCCATGGGAGAATCGGTACCAACCGAGGACTTCCCTTGTCAAGAAAAGCGAAACTAGTCAAAAAACAAACACGGTTATTAAAGCAATGGGTTCCATTAAGCCACTTCTGTCTAATGGAAAAGCCTCACACGGAGGAAAATCGTCCCAAGTCTCCCATTCCCATGAACCTGCTGCATGAGTTGTCAGTCGATGCAGACAAGGAATAGCTCGAGGATAATGGCGCATTTGCGACATGTTCTGCAAGAAGAAACACAGCACAATGCTATAAACGGATTCAATAGTGTAGCTATTTTACCGAATCGTGAATAAGTTATGATCTTGTGAGTCCTCAACGGTTTGAGGGGAGTATTATTACTTGTACACAGCTTTGAGCGTGTGACATGGTAAGGAAGAAGAAACTGCTGAAGATGGGAACTTCTGCAATGAGTTGCTTCTGTGATTAGTTTGCTATCATTTGTTATTGCCACACTGTATTTTCAATTCGACAGTCTATGCATTTGAAAGAAAACCAGTTTTCACATTCAAGCAATTGTCGGTGCTATTCCCCTCTCACGTATAAACATAAGCATTCAGACAGCTTGTAGAAAAAAAAAAAAGCAATGCAATATATACAGAATTTCGGTTACTGACCACCTGGGAATGAATGTTTCAGTGTAATGGCAAATGCAAAATAGAGACAAACCTCAACTTCCAAAGTATTCTTCAGCGACATAAAATTTCAGGCCAACAGCCTGCAATCACCAGTTAGATTTTTTCAGCCGCTAAACAAATCTTAATCTACCGAATATATAGTATTCAGGCAATAAATCAAGTAGAGTTGCAAAGGTATCATATAGTCTGACTTTCCATGTGTATATTTCAGTGTATGATCCGAACTCAAAACATTGTACATGCTTAAATCACATGATTCATCATTTTGCAATGGTTCCAAATTCGGCAATGAGGTGAAAATATCAAATCCCATGCAAGGATGAGAAAGAGGGGTCGAGTAGCAAGGGTAATGCATAAATTTGCTCAAGATAGCATGGCATAGTTTTTCATGGACCTGGGCAAATTTGATATCCGCATCACTGTGATCGTTAGGTCTTCCAGCAGCATCACCAACATAAAAGGATCTACATAAAACACATCGTTAGTCTGCTCGCTTTCAGTTTCTTAACAGTTTCAAAATTTTATGTAAGAAGGAAGCAGGCCAATTAAAAGTCCAAAAACTGAAGCAAAGACTGGGAAAAGAGCAAGAGGAACTGAGAAGTAACTGATCCAAGTCAATTGGTAGGCCTGAATTGAACTCCTTCTCCATAATTCTCCACATCCCAGGTTTAGGCTTGCGGAATGGATCCTCAGGTTGACCTGAACTCAGTCCACAAGCAATAAAAACCTGCATATGAATAATAGCATGTAAACATCAATTTATTTCTTCACTTAGACCAAGATAATGTTTCATCACTGCCGACATGAAATTTAGTCACAATCAACTCTTTGGTACTTATTTTCCTGTCGGATTTTCCCCAGTTACAAATTTTAGAAACAGCACTGTACAATTTGGGCAAAGGAACTGAGTTTACCCCTAGAGGATTCAATGATCATTTGCAATTGATTTAGAATATTTCATTTATTATAATTATTTTGTCTCTGATGGAATGTGCACTACAAACCTGAATGGGAACCTTCACAAGTTTAATGAACCCTTCAAGACGTCCAATTTTCGAATCCACAGCAGATTGTCTTTTATTCTTCCAGCGTTCAATATTGGACTCATTGGTGAAAATAACCTACATTTAAATCAGAGTTGATCAAACTTAAACATCCCATGGTTCAAACTTCAATATTATGGCATTAATCAACAGCTAGTGGTGAGATGCAAACCAGTTTGTAACCATCATTATAAAGACTCTGGAGCTTGTCTGGTATTGAGGGGTACATAAGGGACCAAGCATCAGCACCAATTCTGAAGATTAAGAAACAGAAAAGAAAAAAAATGTAATTAATTACCATTGAATTTTTCAAGTCAGATATACAATGAAAGGGCACCCAAAGAAAGAATGCACGTCATACAGTACCATTATTGTCCGCCTACGTAACAGCCAGCACTCAAAATTGGAGAAAGAGGAAGAGAATAAAAAGGCTTCTAATTAGATATAGGTTGAAGGATTGCCTATAAAGATATTTCTTTCAGGAGAGTGCCAAAGAAAGCTCTGTTAGTGATTTCATAGATCAATATGCTCAGTTTAACCATTGCCTTATGTAGTACATTTGTGAGACTAAGCAAAGACCCTATACCCTAAGCAAGACATCCAAACAACTATTCATCAACAAATTTTAGTCGTTTCAATAATCACTTGTTATTTTAGTATTCAATTATGGGTTGAATCTTCGAAAAGTGTCTCAAGCACATGAAGTCATACCTTTTCACAGATGTCTTCGCCAGACACCCATCAAAATCAAAGGCTGCAATCTTTCTAGAATCATGAAGACCATCATCCTAAGAAAGTAGAAATTCAAAAAGATTGAGCTGATAGTCTGTTGTAATACAAGAGCCTAAATATGAAGCTCCTTAATATGTTGCATGCAAGACTAATGCGAAAATCATAAATGATAGGGAATATGAAGTAGATAAGAATAAATGGCAGCAGATGAATTGAAAAGCTAGGGAATTAAAAGACATACTGATAACCGGTAACTATACAAGTTGATGAAACCAGAAAAAATATGCTTATGGAGGAAATCCTCACCCGTTCAAGAAATATAATTGTCTGAAATGCCTTCCACTTGGGCGTCAATACAGCACCCTAAAATCCAGATATAGTAACATCAACACTTCTTCAAAGATTGCTCCATTAGCCAAATAAACATAAAGGAAATGCTTCAAAAAAATAAATACATAAATAAAATTGCACAAGTCGGACAACTCATGGTCCAAAAGACACTGTAACAAATGACCATAAGCTTGAAAAATATAAAAATATCATAATACACCTATGATTTAACATCATAATAATACAGAAAGAATTTTGCTGCTCAAGGAATTGCAATATTCAAACCTTATAATTTTCTTTGATATCAGATGCAGAGATGGTCATCTCCAGCTCCAGGTTCCCTCCTTCCCCAGAAGCTGACAGCTAAGTGAAACATCGCCTCAACATAATCAGTGAATGATATCTTCCCTCCTCGAATTCAACTTCATTTTAAATATATTTGCAATTAAAGTGTACCGCATAGCACGACTAATCAACCCGCAGCCAATTGTCAAAAAAACAATAAATAGAATAAAAGAAAATAAAACTCTTACAATGACCCCACATGTAATGAGGCCAAAAGAGCATACCAGTGATAAATCTGAAATAACAACTAATATCATAGCAGAGGAAATCTGAATTGCATATTCATGCTTTTAATCAATGAAAAGCTTTTCAACTGATATCATAACTATACCGACAACATTATTACAATTTACATGGCAGGTGGAATTGACAAAAATGTACCTTCTGTCTCTTCATATTTCGTTGCTCCGAGTCATTATCCTCCTCTTCATCAGCTTTATGAACCTGTCATGTGAGTGTGTGCGTGTGTGTAACAATCATTAGGCTTTGAAATGATGATTTAAGACAAAATCAAATTCAACCACCTTCATCTTTATAGATGGCAATAACATCCATTCAAATGATACATTTATTTTTCCTCACTAGGATTAAAACGTACAAGACAAGAATTCCATTAGAAAAAATTGTATCATTAATCAATGAATGCACAACAAAGAATCAGGCAATGATGATCCAGTTCATATCTACAAATCCTTCAGACCAAAAGAAAATTGAGTCAAGAACAATTTAAATCTTATATACTGATGCAGAAGTCAGGGCTTTATGTTTGAATGCTTTTCCAACTTCTATTTTGGTGATAATATACCTTCTTTGAGGTCCCTTCCGTCAATAGCTTCTTCACAGACTCCTGATCACTGCTCTGAATTTACAAACCAAAAAATTATCATCTTCATCAATTCATCATCATCATCATCATCATCATAATAATAAAGTAGATATTTCTTGGGCGAATTTCAAACTAACTACACAAGGCGAAAATTGACCACGGAAATTTTCCTGCAAGTCTTCCATGGCATGCGTCTGGCCAAAGGACAGTGCATGAATTTTAGATTCAAATACCCTTCCCATTATAACCACTCAAGTGAATTGAAGGCCGAAACAAATAAGTTTCAGATGAAGTTTAAGCACCTACTTCAAAAAAGAAAAAAAATGGAAAAATTGTAAAGTTTAACCTTGAGTGAGGAAAATCCTGCAACGGACTCGAGGGATGTTGCTGATTCGGAATCAGTAAAAGGGAAGCAGTTCAAGTGATGCCATTTCGTCATGTCGAATCCTCTGGGATCTTTGCTCACCAAACCCAACCTCAGCGAGCTCGAAGCAATGGCTTTGGAGCATTTCTTACACGAAGAACGGCCCGATTTCGCGTACTCCGCCACAATTTTCGCCGACGACGACATTGAGCACGACGGCGCTAGGGTTACCTGGAAGAAACTGCGACGGATAGGGATTAAAATGCTAGTATTGAATCTGGAAATCACTTTGAAGTCACATGTGAGATTTAACATGAGCCGTATCAATCTGATTTCGCCTCCCTAATCAATCCCTAAAATCTCTCCCGCATTCATTAGGGTTTATGCAACATATATTTCCCGCCATTACAACCAGCTTCGATGGTCTCATGAAAACACGACTTTACTTCGAAAGCAGTTGTCGCTATTCACCCAATTTTATTTATTTATTTAATAAAAGGGGAAATTAAATTAAGAACGCCATAGCTTGGTCCGACTATATAAAGCGAATCATTTCTGACGCCCGTCCTCGAGAAGCGGAAAGGGACCGACCGATAGGCGCGTTTCCATCGTCTTCTTGCGGCGGAAGCTTCACTACTGAAATGGCAGGAATTAGCCAGGACTGGGAGCCGGTGGTGATCCGAAAGAAGGCGCCTACGGCCGCCGCTCGGAAGGATGAAAAAGCTGTCAACGCAGCCCGCCGCGTCGGAGCTGAGATCGAAACTGTTAAAAAGTGTGCGTCTCTGTGTTTATCATTCTAATGATTTCTTTAGTTATGTATGCATGAGCTATATTATTCATCTTTTGTTATAACTCCTATTTCTGCACCGATTTATTGTTCTCTAGGGATTTACCGTGCGATACGCTCGATGAATGTACGGATAACGTAATTTTGAAATCGATTGCCCCTCTCCATGAATTCTTATTGAATGTTTGATGTGTCTGATTTGAATTTTCCGTTGTTATGTAGTAGGGGTTTTGCCTAAGGTTTTTATTGATTTCAGGTGTTCTCGTCGTGGTAATGGATATTCATTGAGAATGAGTTGTCTATGAAGTCGGTGCTTGAAATGTAGGTTTTGGTCTTTGTGGTTTTACCTTTCACGTTAGCCAGGAAAAAGGGCAGATTCTAGGTCTCATGAAATGTAGTCTAAATGTATCTGGAAATGTGATTTTGTAAGATATATGTAGAAAATCTGCTAGGGTACAAACGTTTGGGAATAAAATTCTTGATTGAATGCTGCTGAAGCTAAACTGCGCGATAAAGCTTTCGTTGCAGTTATATTCCCCTGCCTTCTCCGGTTGCCTGTGGTGGTATGACTTTGGATTTTGGATTTTGATCTTGATTTACAACTTTATTGCAATGCTCAGAGATTTTTGTGTTTCAATTCCTCTTATATCATTATTGAGATAGGAACGGTCTCTCCAACTCTCAGGATTTCATACTCAGGATGCATCACTATTTTAGTTCTCACCTGATACATTTCATTTTTCTGATTAATAATATGATGAGATTTGCTGCAGTTAATGCTGGATCAAACAAGGCTGCTTCAAGTGGAACCTCGCTAAACACCAAGAAGCTTGATGAAGACACAGAAAATCTAGCGCGTAAGTTAATATATTTGTTGCATTATTTCTTTGCAAATTCAACTTCATGGCAATTTTTCAAAAAAGTGGTTTAATTTGTTCTTTGGCAGTTAGAATTTCCAGAAAACAGAAAACAGTAGTATTTCATCCTTTTGGATAATTATATTTCAATCTTTCATTATTCCAGTGTCTGTGAAACTGTAAATATAACTGTACATATTCCCAAAACTATATAACTTTGTAGGGAGCATCTTATTATTGTTGTTCTCATGTATTTGTGGTGGATGTCAAAATAATTCATCATTAACTGCAAAGTTAGTTTGCAGTTACTGCCTGTTGATACAATGTGATTGAGGTATGCATCCTCTAATACTAGGATATCAAAAAATTAACAGCTAATGTGAATATGCTTGATTGAAATATGTTTTTGTTCTTGATGCCAGGGTAGTTTCATTATTAAAAATAATTCTGTGATAATGTTTCCATGGAATTACAGATGAAAAGGTTCCAACGGAGTTAAAGAAAGCTATCATGAAAGCTAGAATGGATAAGAAACTCACACAATCTCAACTTGCTCAGGTCTGTTTGCACAGACTTTCTCAGATGCATTGTCTTGCAACTTGTTTCATAGCCGGGCTGGGTATTATGATCTTACACTTGTTAATTTTGTGTTTTGCAGATAATAAATGAGAAACCCCAAGTAATCCAGGAATATGAATCAGGAAAAGCGATTCCTAATCAGCAGATCATTGCTAAACTGGAGAGAGCACTTGGCGCAAAGCTGCGAGGAAAGAAATAAAGCAATTGAAGGTACTAAAGATGCTGGAAGGTTCCTTCATTGCACTTTGGGCTCAAATAGCTATTGCACACATATAACTTCACATTTTCTACCTTTCTTTCGGCCACCAGAACATTCCGGATATAGTTTTGGATCTAAATATGGAAAACATGGTCACTTTGGTGCTTTAGCTTTCATAGATAAGATAGTGAGTGGCATTCCCTTATTTGGCAAAAGTTATGTGTTATTAATGGCTATTATATATTGTGTTTGGTCTTTGATGGTGGTAAAGAATTTTCTTCACATCTTCCAACATGGGACTTGGTTTGTACCCCAATAATCCTCCCTTCAAACCAAGTCTCCGGTCGGGACCAACCAACACTAGGTTAACTCAACACTATGATATTGTCCGTTTTGAGCTGAGTCTGCACAGATTTGTTTTTGGATTTCCTCCAAAAGGCCACATACTAGTAAAGTTCAGTTGAAACTTATAAGATGTGGAATTTTTTTCACATCTTCTAATATGGGACTTGAATTTGCACCCTTGATGTTTCTTTTTCTAATATTTGGTTAGTTTATTACCACTAATCATGTTCCAAGTGAAAATACATAACCTCAAGATGATCTTCGTACAAAGTTCTATGATAAATGAGGCACTATCCGAGCAACAAAGACAAGAATCACAAAACTGGAGTCAGGAGTGGTTTGTTGGAGAAGTATGCTTCAAGGTTCCCAACAACAAGGTCGGCCATGGCTTTCCGGGTTTCGGAAGTGTTTGCACCCACATGGGGTGAGAGGACTACATTGTCGAGCTTGGAGAGCAGATCGGGCACTTCAGGCTCATGCTCCAAAACATCTAGCCCGGCTCCTCCTAGTCGTCTCTCAGCAAGAGCTGAAACCAGTTCTGATTCATCAATTTGGGAACCTCTTGCAATGTTGACGATGATTCCATCCTCTCCTAAAGCATCGATCACCTCTCGGTTGACAATGTGGTGAGTTTCTTGTGTTAATGCGGATGCCACAATGAGGATTTGAGAGTTTGAGGCTAAGTCAATTACAGAGGAGCAATACTTATACCGCAAGTTCGGCTTCGGCTGCCGTGAGTGGTAACTGATTGAACAGCCAAAAGCTTCAGCTCTTCTAGCAATGGCTGACCCGATCCTGCCTAATCCAATTATGCCGACTGATTTGCCACTGAACTGGAGAAGCATCAATGGAACTTCATCAGATGGAAGATGGAAGCAACAATTAGTTTTAGGAATACCGAAATATACCTTGGCAGTCAAGTTAAAGTCGGCGTTCGTCCACTCACCTCTCCTCACAAACGTATCAGCCCCGCAGATTCGGCGCATGGTGGCCAGCGCCAGCAGAATCGCCAGATCCGCGACGTCGTCGGTCATGGCGTGCGGAGTGTAAGTCACACGTATACCATTCTCTCTGCACTTGTTTAAATCCGTCTTGTCCAGTCCTGAACTGTGGCTTGAGACTATCTCCAGGTGCGGTAGCGCGTCGATGAGGTCGGAATCCGCCCCTCGCACGCCGTCCGCCACCACTGCCTTGATTGACGCGGCGTGCTCCGCGAGGAATTCGCGGCGGAGATCTGGCGGTACTTGCCAGTACTTGAAGAGAAGGAATCGTTTGGAAATCTCCTCCTGAAGGTACGTCGACAGCGGCCGCATTTGCAGAACGCCGATTGTAAGTTCGCCGGCCATCATCACATTCTAAAAAAGAAAAAATAAAAAGAATAGAGGTCACAGAGGAGGAACAACAACAACGAGTAGCGAGTCTAGTGACTTCGGCAGACGGTTCGAACCGTCCGGTTCAAAACAATTAGTTTCAGTTTATTAATCGAAATTTTTATGAGAATTTATTTCCATTGGAAATTCCAATGAAAAAAGATAAAAAACGATTTTGAGCCGGCGGTTCACGGTTTCAATGAAACTGGATCGAACCAGGTTTAAAGTATATATAGGAAAAAATTAATTTTGGTCTAATATAATTAAAATACTAACTCCCTTCCATAACAAAGTATTTATTTTTTTATTTTAATTTGTCTCATAACAATAAAGTATTTATTTTTTTAGTAACGGTAATATCTACCGAACATTACAAATACCTTTGTAATTTACAATATATTTTTAAAAATTATGTAAAAAAAAAACAAATGAATATTTAGTTTTGAGGACAAAGAAAGTATATCAATCTCAATATAAAAAATTCATTGATTTTTATTTCATTAAAAATAATTTTAATTTGATTTTATTATAAATAATTTTAATTAATTTTAATTCTGCCGTTAAAAAAACTAACAAAATGATTAGCTAATCTGACACTGGACCTCCAAAAAAACTAACGGAAATGGCTAGCTAGTCTGACACTGGACTTACACTGGACCTGAAAACTCCACGGCCCATCAATGTACGCCCTAATTTTCGTTGTGTCCGAGTCCATTTTCGTTAATTTTGTTTTAAAGTTGGAATAGAACTTATTAAAATTATTTATAATTAGACAAAAATAATTTATAATAAATGATAGGATTTTTTGATAAATTTTCTAATACTCTCAAACACGTATCAAAACCTAACGTTGCTAAAACGTCGGACAGTGGCATTTGTTTGATCGATTTTTCCCTTCTCCAGGAGCCTCTGCTGCTAGATTTGAAGATCCTGATCCGTATTGTAAGAACCCACAAACTTGAATGTGACATTAGTTAGATTTAATCTCTTCTGCCTGAAATTGTTATGCGTTTTGGTTTCAGAAACGAAGAAGGAAATGGATCCCGATTCAGTGAAATCCACGCTTTCAAATTTAGCTTTTGGGAATGTGATGGCTGCTGCAGCCCGCGACTATCAAAAGGTTTTTATTTTTCACATTAATTCTTAAAAGTGTTGGTAGCTTAGATGTTTTTACTGTTATTGCACGGATTTAAATAATAATAATAATAATACGAGTAATATTTTTGAATGATTGTGGGAGTCAAATGGATGGTTTGCATTAGCAGTTTGTTAATTATTTTGAATACTGTTAGCTTATATAAATTCAAATCTGTTCGCGTTTAAGTGTATGGTTTAGTCAGTATCCTATGTGTGATAGCGTTGTATTAAGGTTGAAAAATTGAGTTCAAATTATGGATTGCATTTATATAGATGAACAAATTCTTTCAAATGTTTATGCCTGCACAATTGAGTATAGTGTTGCAGGTCCATTTTTTCCTTATCAAAACAGTGTAGAGATTCACTCCATCACACAACTTAGTCTTATGGCTTGTGTAGAGGAATTAAGTAATAAAACCACACAATGAACACATTAGTGTGTTTGTTTGTGGGTTTGAGTTTTTGGGTTTGAATTTTTGAATAGTAAAAAGTTGAATTTGAATAGTTGTTTGATGTGATATAAATATATGTTGATTTGAAGTTTTGAATGTAAAATAATTTTGTAGTATAATATAAAAAATGAAAAGTAATTGTTTGATGTGATATCTTTGGTGGGAAAAAAAATTTGGATAGTAAAGATCTGGATTAAAATCCTCAAAAGAACACAATCTAAGGAAACTTGAGAGTTGTATTACAATCCAAGAGCTTACAAGTCTGCTTGGTTGAGCTACAAATGAACCTACCACTGATTTTACAAGTGCACCTCCTCTAGCAAGCCAATGAGTACTCTCATCCAACCATCTCCCCGCATACTTGTCAAGCCTTGGCCTTTCACACTTTCATTTTTTCTTGAATTGCCATAGGTCATTTTTCTTTTCCCACATGGCCTCATTATCCAACAGACCTTATTAGGGACCAAGATACTCAATCCGTTGGTTTTACCTTGTTTCCCATTATTAGCTAAGATCCTCAGCGTCTTTAGCATAGACACTTGTTCTTGTAGGTACCATGCCATGCAACTTGTCCAGGACAAGCCTTTTAATTCGTATGATGGGGGTATAGAAGACTTATGTGGAAGTCTAGGTGAATCGAGTGGATGCTTTCAAGCATACTTGGATCTCATGCAGTCTTATTATTGCAGGAACTGTTGGCTCAAGAGAACATGCAAGCATCAAGCTCTGTTAATCAAGAAGTCGATCTTGATGAATTAATGGATGTAAGTGGAGGATTAATCTCACTAGTAGCATTATCTCTGTAAAGTGGGTTTGTTTTAATAATATAAATATACATATATATTGCCCCAGGATCCTGAGCTGGAAAAATTGCACGCTGACAGGATTGCTGCTCTTAAGGTATATAATTAGGCTTAGTGCGCATGGATGTGGTCTTACCTTCTTGAAATAATTTTGTCATAGTTGTCCTTATAGAAAGACGCAGAGAAGAGACAAGTGATGAAAATGCAAGGTCATGGAGAGTACCGCGAGATAACTGAAGCTGACTTTTTGGGTGAAGTTACTGGCAGTGAAAAAGTCATTTGTCATTTCTATCATCGAGAGTTCTACCGTTGCAAGTGAGGACTCTATCCCTGTCCCCGTTGAAAAAAAATCTAATGTTTAAATCTATTTTAAGGTTTTTACTTCTTTTTTGAGATATAATTTTAAGAATACTTTCTTATCAAAATGTATATATTTTGGCAAAACAATCTTGCCTTGTATATCTGTTTTGCTGGATATCTGTAGGATTATGGATAAGCATTTGAAGGCTCTTGCTCCAAAACATTTTACCTCAAAATTCATCAAATTGGATGCTGAGGTCAGTTGCAGAAGATATACAGCTGAGCTATATATATATATATATATGGGAAAGTTATTGATTTTTGAGATGCTTAGATTGTAATATATAATTCTGCAGAATGCTCCTTTCTTTGTTACGAAGCTAGGAATAAAAACGTTGCCATGCGTCATACTTTTCAGGTTAGTCACTTTGTATGCCCATTTATGAAATTATCTATGATCAAAATTCCCTTTCACTGAGAATTTCATGGTAATGGTGCTCTCTAAGTCATGCATGATTTAGTTTATCCTGTGCTTCTTTGAGCACCACTGTATTGATCTTTAAGTTTCTTCTTATTAATTAGAATTTCATTTTCTCATCTACCATAACCTGCGTTCTTGCAGCCTAGGGTATCTTGTACTCCTTCCTCGTCATTAATTTATTATTGTATTAAAAAACAAAAAAAGAACAACCTGTGCTCTTGCAGCCATATAATCAGATGTACAACTGGTTTCCAATCAACACAAATTCTTGAATAGTAAATTTATGCTGTAATTAACCATCTGCAGTACCATTGAAGTAAGTGTTTTTCTTTGTGCATATGGAATCTTTGATCAACTTTATAGTGAGCAAAATGTTAATAATGGAGATAAGTAGATAACATAAATTCAACTCTCGTTTTGTGATACCATGTCATAACCTTTGGTTAAGCTTTCACCCCCAGAGCAAGAGTCACACTCAATAAGTGCATTCCTTATTAATTTTATTTTCTACTTTTGGTTAAATTTGAATTAGTGAGATTGTGATATTTGAACATAGTTGGATGATTACATAAATGTTTTTTCAAAAAGTTAAAAAAAAAAAAGTAAGAAAAAGAACACATTATTATTATTTTTTGATCCGGGAAAAAGAACACATTATTGAAATGTGATTGTTGTGCCAAAGGAGAAGTGATTGAGATTCCGAGAAATCTAATAGGTGTCAGCAGTTTCTTGCAGAGGTTTTGTTGAACAGTTTAATCATGTTTGAAATGTAGCCATATGACATGTTTGACGCAGAAATTGTCTATTTGTGTGGTATTTTGTTAGCTTTTGGCTCCTGATTCATACATTCATGTAATGATAGTCGATAGATTGCTTTAATACTCACATATGTGCCAAGATTTTCAAACAATGTCATCCTTTGTCCTTGTACTTGATACCATGTCATTTATAATAATAATAATAACTTTTTTTTTTTCAAGTTTTGTATATCCGAGATTTAAATTTTTATTTTTTATTTTTCCCCTTTTGTATTACTAGGAAAGGAGTTGCAACTGATAGGCTAGTCGGATTTCAAGACTTGGGAGGGAAAGATGATTTTGCCACAAGAACCCTTGAGACTTTCCTGTTGAAGAAAGGTAATGCTCTTTTTATAAAATGCTGTTTAGTGTTTACTTAAACTGCAGTTTCTAAGTTGTTATTTTTCCAGGAATAATCGATGAGAACAAACAAGATCAAGAGGAGGATGATTATCCTGAAGGTATTCGCAGGACAGTGAGAACATCTTCTAATCAAGATTCTGATTCTGACTGAAAACAAGAGTAATGACTTCAATCAATTCCATTGTGCGTCCGATTTCTTATCAGTTTCAGGAGAAACTCTCACTGATATAGTATTGGGGTAAATTTGCAAATTTCTGCCTCAGTGAGTGTAGAATTTATATGCATATCATGTATTAATATGGCATATCTCAGTTTTGTGAGACTGCTAAAATCATTAGATGATTGTGTAATCATAGCTTGTATACATACATGTGTTTTATAAACTCTGGCTGCTTGTCTTTTGATATAATTGGACGTACTCTCTCTGTCCCTTATCTATTTATTTTTTTATTTTTGCATTGGGTCTTAGGAATTGTAAGAGTATTTGTAATGTTAAAGTATGATATAAAAAAGTGATACATTTGTGTAATAATATTTGTAAATTGTGTAAAAGAAAATGGATACTGGACGAGGGAGTATTAAATTTGAACATGCTTAAGCAAGTAGAGGGAGTAACTAGATTTTTATGTGGTGATTGGGACAATAGTATGGTGTTATAAATTTTCAGGAAGAACCGAACAAAAAAAAAAAAATCTGAGGACCGGCCGGATTGAGTAAAAGCTAATTAATTCAAATTAAATACTTATTTTTTATTTTTTATATAATACTAAAAATTAATTTTACATTCAAAATATCACATCAACACCTATTTATATTATATTATATAACTATTCAAATTCAAACTTTTTATATTCAAATCTCACTCAAAATTCAAATCCCAAACAAACACAACCTTAATTTATTACTAATTATCCGAAGTATACCTTTTTATTTCCTGGAAATTATTGTAAATATGAATGAATTGAGGGGCTGAGTAGCAACTGTCTACACCGCTTTCAAGCGATCACCGTTTCGGAGTTTTTCCACACCGACTCTCTGCCCTGAGGAGGAAAGCACAATATGGACGAAGAGTTCTCCGTCGATCCTCGTCAACTGTTCGAAGCTGCTTCAAGCTTCTGTAGTCAACCAGGTTGCTCTGCTGCCGCTCCTCATTCCTTTAATTTGAAGTCCGTATAATCCATGCTCGTGTTCTTCTATTTGTATCAAGAAACTGACCCGATGGTTTCAGGTGCCATTTCCGACACTTCGGTCCAGGAATTTCTTACCCGCTTCCCTCTCCCTGCTATTATTGGGTAAGTTTCAGAGTTCTATTGACGCCGGAAAGGTGCAGTATTTTTATTTTTATTTTTATAATCTTAACTCATCGAGGTTTCGTGTGCTTTTATGCATTGGATTTTACATTTGATCAGAGCCTTGCAAATCAATGCGGATTACCCTGGACTGGAAAGTGCTTTGGTCGACTGTTTGGAAAGGATATTCATGACTAAGTATGGGGCATCACTTATCCCGCATTATATGGTATGTAATCAAATCGAGTAGCAAGTGTGGTTTTCTGCACCCAGCTTCACCAATTTCTGGTCTCTTATATTAGTAGATGAAAATTCCCACCGTAATTGAATCTCATTGCGGTTGAGTGTATGCAAGCCAGGTCCCTGTTGCAATCAATTATTAGGCAACATTACCTGGGAAGTTTTGAACTTCAGATGACCTGTTCTGCACCTGCTTTTAATTTCAATTTTCCAGTTAAATACTCGGCCCTAATATAGCATCCTAGTAGCAACCCTTTTTTCATCTACCACCATGTTATGCGAAATGCAACAAACCTGTGAAGTACGAATATGGCTGAGATTCTGGAAAGCAGTAGTGCAAGAAAATTTATCATTTTTCTTTATTCCAGTGTTGCATTATTGCGTTATGTTTTCTCAATTTAAGTTGCCATGCAGTCATTGAATGTTGATAAAAACATGTTAGGTTTGGATAGAAGTAAGTTCTAATTCAATCTTTTCAATGAAAGTTGAACTTCTATTTGTCAGGCTTTTGTCTTAGTTGGTCTTAAGGCAGATTCTCAAAAAGTGAGACGGCTGGCCTGCACTTCTGTAAGTTTACAATCTCTTTTACTTTTCCAAAAGCAATTGTAATTTGGATCCTACTAATTGATTTATTCTTTCATTTGATATATTTCTTTATATGTTCTGCCTCATGAAATGGAGGATCCAAAGCATGACATTCTTATTATTATTTCAGATATCATGCTTATTAAAGAATACAGATCATAGGATTGCGTTTCAACTAATTACGCAAAACGATGTATACTCCCGACTACTCAGTTGCTTAATTGATGGGTAAGTTCTCGAGTTTCTAATGTATAGTACATTGGTTCAATCCAGTGACATATTAGTGTATACTGGGCCCAAAGTTCATTACGTCACATCATAGAACCTGCATTCTCCTTGGGACAAAATGGTTGCTTCACAGATGTGTTTTTAATTTCATTTTATTCAAGGAAGAAGCTTACAAATTAAAGTTGAGGAATTCTTACACCTGATATTTAGATCAGCAAACATAAAAACTACATCTATTTATTTTTTTTCCCTATTCTCTTAAGCTCTGTTTTTTTTCAAGATGTTGGTTTCTTCTGAAACCATCCCTATGGATTATGCATTCCATGTATGGCAACTATTTTCTGATTAGTAAGAACATTCTCTTTTTTTTTTCTTTTTTTTTTTTGAGTTTTTGCTCTCTGATTTTGAGCATGAATATCCAAGTTCCTTCTTTTATGCAGTGATGAACAAGTAGCTGCAGCATCAACAGATGCAATAAAAGTTTTGGCTGGGTATCCAGAAGGCAAGGTACGTGTCTGGTGGCTTCTCTGGTCAATGATCTCTCATAACATTGAGTAACTGAGGGAAGTTCTGTTGATTATTATCTGCAAATTCACCTCAGGCAATTGTCTTTCCAACCAGTAATAGTGAAGCTACACACCTTGGGAATGTTGCAGATAAATGTTCATCGCTGGTAAATTGCTAGCACATATAGTATATCCTGCACTTATATCTTTTCATACAGATAATAATGGTGGGATGGATATGATGGGCTGACATTTCAATTTGCTGCCATGATCAATTTTTGATATCTGCAGAAGACTTACTATTTAACATCTTTTTCTTGTCTATCAACTTGCTTGTAATGTCCGAATATAGTGATTTGTTTCTTTATTCTTCTCTGAATTATTCTTGGAACATTTGAAGGGGAGAGTCCGAATTCTATCATTGATCGTGCAACTCTTCTCTATCTCAAGCTCTGTGGCTTCAGAAGTATCCAGATCAAATCTTTTGAGTCTTTTGGAGGCAGATATCAGAAATGCAAAAGATACTCTAGTTACTTTGAGTGTTCTGGAACTTCTGTATGAGGTATTTTCTGCCACATCCTCGCTCTGGATCTGTTTTTTTTCCTCATTTTTCAAAATTTTTTATGTACTTATTTTGTCCATTGAAGTGGCTAGATAGCTAGATTCAGGTCACTGACATATGTTCCTCCATTCTTTTGTATAACCTTGGTTCTCAATGGCTATCTTATCTTCAGCACCTTTTGTATCATGTTATCTTGGAAAAGTGATTTGTTTTATAAATTTACTTTATATATCTAAATGAGGAAAAAATGTTAGAAGAATGATTATAGACTCTTGATACTCGTCATTGTTTTATAGTATTTGCGAAGGAATTGTTTGCATTGCTCCACACTCTTGGGTCATGACTGGTACTATCACAATTGTTATGACATTGAGGTCATTGCATATCTTGTGTAGTTTAGATTTTTTATAGTATTAACTATTAATTTTATTTGTTTTCAATCTCTGAATTTCTGTCCATAAACATCACATCCAACATTCGTTCTCATACAAACCATTACATCAATACATCCAACAACTATTACCTCAAAAGCACAAATACACCCACACAGTAAAAAAAACCCTTTAGTGCTCCAATAGGATATTTGTGTAAGTTGTTTCATAGCAAGTGTTGTATGTAATCATGGTTTGTGTAATGATAACTGGTTCAGAGGAGTTGTGTTTGGGATTTGTTACATAGTGGGACCTTGGTTCTTGGAACATATTTTCATTTACTGTTTTAATAAAGATGCGTACTGAGTGTGGTGCAAGTGAAATTAAGAAATATTTTCCTGCAAGCTGCTAAAATTGCCCCTCAGTTCATGGATATTTCCTAGTAATCATGATAATTATTTTATGCTGTGATGTTGTTGATTGTCTTGTTCAAGTTGAGTAAGTTTTCTGGAGGTTCTGATTTCTATCATCACAGTTTGAAAATGGCTTCATTGTGATAGTTCTTCTCTGCCACTTAGCTGTGGCTTGTATTGTTCTAGCCTCACAAATTTGTCATGGTATTGTGTTCAACTTAATGGTAAGTGCCATGAAATGTGATTTAGTGTATTTCTATATATATGACATGCTACCTAGTTTAGATTTTGTACCAGTCTGGTGGAATTGTGGTTTTAGTTAGTTTATGATTTGATTTTATTATTAGTTATCAATGTCATTTATTAATAGGAGAACACATTTTATTTCTGACAATATTAAAAGGAATTGCATTCTAATAGTTCAATGTTTTGTTTTCATTTGTTTAATCTCTGATGTTATTCTTGTGTCTGTTATAATGAAGCTGTCAGAAGTTGAACACAGTGCAGAGTTTGTTTCAAAAACAACTCTTCTAAAGCTACTTAGTTCTATAATTAGGTTAGTGAAGAAATATGTCTTGTCCAATTATAGCTTATTCATTAACTTCATGCATCATTTGATTTGATTCTTGTCTTTCCTTAGCAATGGAGCTGCAGAATCTGTTTTGAGATCAAGAGCTATGATGATAGTTGGAAGGCTTCTGTCCAAGGAAAATTCTTTTGGATTCATTGATGAACTTAGTAAGTTTTGTTGCATAAATGTGTAATTTGAGAAAATTATGGCCTTCAAAGCAGAATATATATATATATGTATACATATTCGATATTTGATATGGCTTAACTGATGATAATGTGACTCGACAATCCTGCCAACATTCATTTTATGATTGATAATATGCTGCCCTTTGCTGCAGGTTTTAGAACTGTGATTTTGGCTATTGATAAAAGGCTTGAATTCCTGAACGGAAGCCAAGAGACTGATGAATGTGAATGTGCACTTGAAGCATTGGGTCAAATTGGACTGAGTAAGCTATCCTCAAAATTTGTGTATGTTAAAAAAAAAAAAAATAGTATCTTATATGTTCTTACTCAATGCATTTGTTGCCCATTGTTTTGATTGAACTATCTACATTCTTGTAGGCTGGTGAGGAAATTTGGTCGTTATATTAACAGGATTATCCTAGGATTGTGTTTTCAGTTCTTATGGTTAATGCTACATGATAGTGTTTTTTATGAAATAAATTATGTGCACCCTTCTGAAGCATTGCTTCCACAAATATGCTTTAGGTCTCAGCAGTCAACACTTATACTTTTCTTATTTTCAATCCTTCTCTTGATTTTGACCTACATTTGATTGTAGAATCTGTTACACTATTAGCAAATGACAGGTTTAACTCACACTATGTTATGATGATTCAGCATTCCAAGGGGCAAGGATGGTTCTGTCAACTTCACCCCCTACTGGTAGACATGTTGTTAATGCTGCTTTTGACAGACAACAGCATGGTAAACAGCTGGTAAGAACACTAAGGTCGTCTGTGCTTGTGTTTCACTTGCATTTCAGGTCACCATTATTAGCAACAGTTAATGAACTTTTATTTTGACTTGACAAAAGTTTTCATGTCTAGAATCAGGTTTCATGGTTGATGACACAGTATGTGTTTTTGTTAGGGCATGCAATTAGGTGTAGGTTGGCTTTGTATCAATTAATTGGATGAATATATGTTGCTTGAGATCACAAACAACCTTGCTTGTGTCCATTTCAAATTTCCATCTACTTACCCATGATTGGACTTGTTTTCTACTGGGACAAACAGGCTGCCTTGCACTCTCTGGGACATATTGCTGGTGAAATGCGTGCAGAAAACAGTAGGGTTCTAGATAGTACTGCAGAAGGAAACCTGAAAAGTTTAATTTATGATAAAGCATCCAAAACATCAAAGCTGACCCCATCAGTAAGTGGAATTCATTTCTCTTCAATATCTGCAGTTTAATACTGCTGTTTTCTTTGTCTGCCTTCTAGTATATTACTGTTCTCAAGTTAGTGATTACAACTGCGAGCATAAAAAAAATAAGAACATCTAAATTAACAATATTTGGTTGACCAAAAATCTGTTTTTTGAGCACATGAACATACGGTGAATTTAACGAAGTTCAGTACTTGAACATGCAGTCTTTATAAAAAAAAAAAAGTACACTTGATCTACGACTCTGGGAGTTTAAAATCATGGCTCTGGAGTATTGTCTTGCCCATGTCATTGTGTTCTTAACTTCTTATGGTATGCAATTCATGGTTGCAGGGCCTCCTTCTATCAGTGCTTCAGCAGGATGCAGAAATTCGCCTTGCGGTATGTAGTTGTATGGCTACAACCTGTTACTAATAACGGAGTGTTTTCCGTCTTGATAGCTCTGTATTTTGGGAGATCCTACTTCCATATTAGGCCAGAATTTGTGTTGGTGTGTAAGCGTTTCGTCCACTTCATGTAGAGTGAGCTACATTAGCAGCAAAGTCTTTCTTGCAGTTATAGCTCTTGGTTTTCAATTTCAGAAGCCTGTGTCATTATTCTTAGGCTTAAGTTAGTTACTGTGGCTCATTCCACTCAGTAATATTTTTGAAAGTCTCATTTTGCAGTCATTTGATGTTTTGTCTATATGTGATCCTCATGTTTGGTACGATTTGGTTGTGTTGTCTTGGAGTTACTGAAATTGTGATAGTGAATGTTGTTGGCAACTCAACTGACTGAGATTGTAAGATATGCCATGTATAGCTTCTTTTGATGTAGCCAAATCGGTTTTGCTTTTCTTAGGGAACAATAGGTACATCAAGACAAGATTCTTGTTTAATGCACAGATTGGATATCAGAATGTTCTAATCATAATCTGTAAAGAGAGTGGTCTAAATCTTGATTTTCTTATTTGTTTACTTTCTAATACAGGGATATAGATTGATTATTGGATTGGTGGCTCGACCTTGGTGTTTGATGGAGATTATCTCAAGACCGGAGATTATTGGTGTAGTGACTGATGCCTATACAGAAACCAACAAAATAGGTGCTTTATCTGACTTCTGTGTGTCCTATCATTTCTGGGTTGTCTATACATAATAATGTTTGATGATTTGTATGTGAGATGTGTTGGCAGGAATGGAAACTAGACACAGGTGTTGCGAAGCGATCTACAGGGTCTTCATGTCATCTGATAGACTTACCAGTGATCCTGCATTCGCGGATGTGGCTACAAAGGTACGATGATCAATTCTATTCACATATATTAGGTGTCTAATCATGCTTAACTCTATTGGAGATGGACTGTGTGAGAATTCATGTGACTTTACGCGCAATGGTGTTATGCCTTTCAACCTATGCTTCTTGAATTTGATTGAGAATTTACGTTGTATTGAAGTTGTATACAGAAATATGTTGAAAATGTGTATATTGGGTGAATAAGGAAATCAATTTAAGGAATTTGTTGTGGTAACTAAAAAGAGATTCCATGTCTATAGTGGGAGTGAGTTTTTGATGATTGGAAAGAAGCGTAATTTGGTTTTAGTCGATGATTAACTGTTTTTATAATGCATACCCAAATCTTTGCAGCTGCAAGTAGCAATCAGGCAAGGCCCCTATGGTACCAGAAAGCGAACTGAAGCTCAGCCGGCGGTAATGACAGCAGACAGATTTTGATCTGTTCTTGTTCTTGAGACTGATGGATTAACTTGCTCCTTTGTTGTGTACAAAACTAAATAACCAACTTAGGATAACATATGATATTTATATATATATATATATACACACGACTTTGTTTAAACTATTTTCACACAGGACAGGGTAAATGATGGTTTAAGAAGTGTGTTTGTTTGTTTCTGTGTGGCACTGTTGATTTTTTATCCTTTTGGCATTGTTGGATAATTAATATTATCAAACCAATTTTTGGAATGAATGAAAATAATTTATTAAAAGAAAAGGATCATTTAATTTCAATATTATGAAACTGATTTCTTGTATGTTTTGTCAGTGTCAAGAACTAATAAAAGGACAAATAAACAAATAACATTACCCCTCAGCAACCTTAAAAGATTTGTACAAAATCCAACATGAATGAGCAAATTGATAAACGATTCTTACAAATTCAGCACAGCAGCAGGGCCTACTCAGCAAATTCTCTTAATTTTGGATTAGAGAAATGAGAATAACAGTATGTATTCACAGCTATCATCTCCATAATTAACTCATAAATTGACTCACATGTGTAAGTAAGTAAGTTCATAAATTGCGAACCAGAAAGAAAATTGCTACACCACACTCCATTGCATAACAGACAGCCATAAAATCAACAAGGAACAGCCATTATGCCGTCACGGCAGCAGGGTCCGGGTTAGGCGCAGGAGCAGGCGCATACCAGCCATGGTGGATTTCAACTGCTTTCTTTCTTCTAGCCAGTCTGGACTTTCTCCTTGCTCCTGTGTTCCGGTGCAATGTCCCTACCTTCACTGCTTTATCAATTGATGAATATGCATCTGCAATCAGCTTCTCCACCGAAAGAACTTCTTCCTGTTGAGCATCAGACTTCTTTCCAAGAACTTCCAGAGCTTCTAAAACCTATATAACAAAGTACATTTCACATCAGCATTAGGGAAAGCTATTGTGGCATTACAATCAAATGCTATTACTTCTGCAACTGAAACTAATTAATACAGTGAACCAATAGGACAAGGACACAGCCGTAGTAGTAATAATCCAAGAATGCACGACAAAATTGTAAAACCAATCAAATTTTGAGAAAACCATTTACAATTCCAAGAAAACTCCGTGAGAAATGCCCCGTGTCCTGTTATTAATAGGTAAAGCATTTTCTTCATATCCGGTTATAGGTTGGTGTTAAGTTGCAGCCTTCTGTCATTTGAAAACCGTGTGGTCTAGAGTTAACCATTTCGTTTCATTTCCTTCCAGGTTCTGATTAGTAGGCCATTGATGATCCCTTTATATATTAAAACATCATCACTCTTGAGCTCCAACTAATCTTCTCCCTATCATGGATACCACCACATCCTTTTCACCCAAGGGACAGCAAGAGAAACAACAAACAATGTACTTCATTTCACATGAAATTCAATGCAAATAAATCGAAACAGGGAAACAGAAACTTCTAAATCAGCCACTTCTCCTAGTCATACAGGTCCTGAATTAATCCTTCATTCCTAATTAACCTTTCATTTCAATATTCTCTGTCAATTAGCACACACAACTTTGAAATCTAAACAGCCATTCTATCAAGCACGCCACGCTTTCTTCACAAGAAGCATATTTGAATCACAGGCAATATGCAAGTATAACACAAAAATCCAAAATCGACAAGAACCATTAGCTTCTCTAGAAAATGGAAAAGCACAATCTTAGGGGGGGAAAAAAACTAACCTTCTTCATCCTGGTCCTGACTTCAGATTTTTTAGCCTTATGGTAAATCCGCCTCTTCTCCGCCTGCCGAGCCCTCTTCGCAGCCGAGTCTGCCTTCTTAGTGCCCGATTCGCACACAATTGAAAACCGGTCGGGATGCATTTTCACTGGACGCACCAACACCACTCCTGGGATTCTCAAAAAAACACCAATTACGGAATATCAGTTACGAGCAACAAAAGACACACAATTATGAACTCGAAATTAAGGACCATAAACAAATATTCCGCCCGTTATCCCTCGGATTGTCTTACCTCTAGAGAATACATTGCCGGATACAACATTTGAGGAAAAGCTGAGCGGTTTGAAAGAGGCATTCGAGGAGTTACTAATAGAAAGCGTCTTCAGCTTCGCCGGCAAACGGCAACAGGAAACGCAGTGCGCCATTGCTACAGCCATGCTGCTGCTGCTGCTAATCTGTACAAGCTGTGAGAAGGAAACCAATTATTTTGAACAAAACCTTATCCTACGCCTACTCTTCATTCTCAACGCTTTTTGAAATCGTGTCTGGTCAAGAAAAAGTCATGTTTTATGAGTAAGCGCTTTTGTTTCAACCAAACTGGGACAGGTAAAAAACGCACCAAACTTAACTACCAATTGCCGTAGAAATAGATTTTCGATCATCACTCAAATGGATCTCTCCTTCATTACAGTTGGGTAGAATAGGTCCATTCTTAATCGTCGATTCGATCCTCTACAGAAACTGTCCAGTCTAGTTGATCTGTTCTTGCTTGAGCTGATTGTGATTTCCTATGAGCTTTCTCTAGAGTTTGATCCGACACTGTGTATTGGACTGCGTTCAATTCAAGCCCAATCCGATGGTCTTCAAGGTCGGGCTTGTACGCCCAAAGAACATTCTTGAGAGTTTGATCCGACACTCTACAGTGTGAGATAGGCGGCCTAAAGATTTGCACACATCAATGAAGACGGAAGAGGTCCCTGCTTGCCACAAATCGAAGTTCTTCAGAGTTTTTTTTTTTTCATCAAATCTGGAATCGCAAGCTAGAAATTCTGTCTGCGAAGAGCGATGGGGAGGATATTTGTGGTGGATCTGGAAGGCAGAAGTTACAGATGCAAATTCTGCAAAACCCAATTAGCTCTTGCCGACGAAGTTGTTTCCAGGGTATGCATATGTAGAAATAGCTTTCCTGATCGAAGTGTTTCAGAGGAGAAATTAGGATTCGGAATCATTTCAAGTATTTTGTGTTGGTTCTAATTTTATCATCACAGTTTTCCCTTGATTCTTTCTGATAGTCTGTGATTAATGCTATCGATTTTGACATTGCTGTTAGGCATTTCATTGCCGCAGGGGAAAGGCATACCTGTTTAATAATGTGTAAGTATCGTATCTCTCACGGTTTACTACATCATTCTGGGATATTGATGAGAATCTGTTTGGTGCTTGCTTTGATTGTTAGGAATTGAATAGGAAAACGAGTGGCAGATCGAGCGTTCTAAAAACAAGAAATTGGGTGAAAAGGATTGATCTTTTGTTAGGAAGTTTTAGTGAAGTAAATTATTTGATTTGAGAAGAACATCTTATGATTACATATATTACTTCCAAAGGAAATAAGAAGATTACTTTGTCCAAGTAAAATATTAGTTCCTTCTTGTTTAACTTTCCTTCAATTTTGGATGCAAAATGTTGGATGAAACCAGAAAAATAGAATTGTTATAGAGGTATTTGCAATTTCTTTCTTTCGTTTATATCTAGCTGCTTAGGAAGATAGTTTTGAGCTAACACAGAAGTGGTGCTTTCTGAAGCTTCATAATTGTGATTTTAAATTTCAAATATTCCAACTTCGAATTTGAGTTCAATTTAAATGTTAAAAAGTAAAGGTTTTGGAATGATAAGTTTACGTCGTTAACTATATTTGGGTATATTGGTTTGGTTTTCCTAGTAGCCAGTTGAGGCAATCAAGTTTTTTGCTATATTCTTTTGGATCGATTATTACAAATGGTTGTCGATAAGAACCGCTACTGCTAGCCCGATATTTCTGTATCCCATGTAATGAATCTTTGTTGCATTTCTGGATGGTGTTTTCTGAGAAGTGTTTTCTTCTGCAAATTCTGCTGCTGATAGAGTGAATATCACCATCGGAGCTCAGGAGGAGAGGGTGATGCTCTCCGGAATGCACACAGTTGCTGATATATTTTGCTGCTGGTGCGGGCAACTACTTGGCTGGAATTACGTACGTCTACACTCCCCCATCGCATCCTTTCATTTTCTACTTTCGTTCACCCTCGTGACTTTCAGGTGGCGGCGCAGGAAAAGAGCCAGAAACACAAAGAAGGAAAATTTGTTCTTGAAAGGTAATCATTCGATTCGTGTTCATTTATTAATTTGGTTTCATGGATGACTTGTTTGTTCGATTTTTTATTTATTTTTCCCTTGTGAAACAGATGGAGGATAGTAGATGGACTGGACTCGGAATTCTACATCGACACGCATCCGACGACGACGAGCGATGTCGAAGATGCATAGAGTTTGGGTTGATGTGCTACAACATAGGTACATTTTATGAGCCTAGCTTGTTTGTATAAAATAGTATAAGAATGAGAGTTTTTTTTTTTTTTTTTTTTGAGGAATCGACAATAAAAACATACTTACTACTACGACCTGTGCTGTGTGACTTATTCAATAAAGTATGCATGTTCGACTGTTGCTTTGTAATATGTTTCTTTGTTGTTTTCGATATGTATCTTGATATACACAGTAATAATATAAATTAAAGTAATATAATTCAATAATTTTTATAATATATTAAATTTAAAATATCAAAAGCAAATGCTTATTATTTAATCACACCCATCACAGCTTAAAAACAAATTTCCAATATGAGTTGGGAAAATAAATTCAATATCAACACTTTGCAAAACAATTAGTAAAATGAAAATCAGATAAATTCTTGCAAATTGGACCAGGTTGCCACTTAGCAAAACCCAACCCAACCCAACCCAACCCAATTTTACTACTTGATGCACCATTGTAAAAGGATATTATTACTGTTATTTTACATGATTTTTAAACACACACAACATAAATATATTAAAGAAATGTAGAAAGTTAAATACAACAATTAAATATTATTATTCCAAACTAATTTTATCTTGAATATTTTAATAGTATCTCACTACTATTAAATTCTTATGATAAATCTATCTCACTTATTTACGCCGTTTGACCAAAATCTAAAAAGCAAAAACTTTTGCCACACGCGAGGAGCGCGTGAAAGGTGGAGCGTGGGGAAGAGTGTGGATGGAGTGCCCCGCAATTCGTGCGCTTCCTATTTCTTTATTTCTTTTTTTATATATATATATATATATATTTTAGTTATACGGAGGAGGAGTAGGATTATTATATCTTTTTTATTTTTAATTTTTTATTTTAATTTAAGAGAAACGATGCACCCACCGACTCACACTGCCCCCTCACGTGCTCACGTGACAACTTAATCTCATCAATATTCCATCTAATTTTGTTCTGTAATAGTATTATAATAATGTCGCCTGCCCTGCCCTGCCCAGATTATACAACTAATAAGCACCTCTCTTTTCTATATTACAATTCTACCCTTCATGAATTCTCCACTTGTACCTTGCTAATTCCACTCCTCTTTTCCCCTCTTCCACGCCCCACAGCTAAAAGCATCACCTCTGGAAACCCTAATTCCGCACTGCCAAAATCAATTTCCAAGTCCAAACCCCGACCGTACGGGAAAAATATTTAAATTTTTCCTAAGTCTGATGAAAATAATTTTTTTATTGTTTTATAAAGTGTATCTTTTGTTGTGTGAGTTTTTGCATAATAATTATAATAATATTATTAATTTATATGATATGATAATGAGTCGTCATGTGTGAACAACTGCTCTGCTCCTACTTTGCCTTTTGACCGGTAAAGATTCTGTTGCCCATTTCATTAAATGTCACAATTATCCTTGATTTATTTTATCTCATTTTTTATTTTTGTTTCTAATTCTACTTAGGACAAACCATTTAAAATAAATTTAGATAAGATAAAGTACTCGAGTAATTTGTCTAATATCGTCCATATTTATCAATTATGACATTTATAGGTCAGTATGGCCCTCCAGTACTAGGACACGAGGCTTTTATTTATTTTTAATGGTGGCGCTAAAACTCCATTATCTATTATTATTAGATGCCATTTTATATATTAATCATTTTTTAATAATAATGTTGGATTTTTATTATTTGATAAAGGAATTAGCATTTTACAACATACTTTGTATGTAGTTTTCAATATGTCTTGAAATAAATGTCTGTTGCAGATATTTTCACAAAGATTCTAACCATATAGATAATGTGATGTTATTGCCTTCTATAAAAGCTACAAATATATAACAATGACAAGCTATTTAAAACAATAAAATTATCAACTGATTTATTTTATGCAATTTAAAATTATTTCTTTTACAAATAATCACAAACTTTGGTTTTAGTTATTTATTTTAAAACTTTGCTTTTTAATTTGGTCACGTGACGCGTACTACATAATAGGAGTAAGTGAGCTCGACCACAACTTGTGAATAAAATTAATTAAGAAAAATTTTGAGGTGATGATTACACGAGTCCATCATCATTAATAAACTGTGCTTAAAGTTGTCATTACTCATTAATGACAGTACATTTTCGAAAATTACATTCAACGGTCAATGTCAATGTCAATTGGAAACAGTGCATGTCACACAGTAATTAAAAAACAAATAGTAATAAAAAGTTGATGCACCTAAATAATTTAATAATAGTTCAACACAATAATTATTCATCAACAAACACAACAGTTTTAGCCAAAAATAAAAATAAAAATCTCTGACCAATTGGCCACAAACAATTCACTACAGATAAATTACAGACCAGATTATCATAACTTATCCATTTTTCTATCTAATCAACATTGTAAAAAAATTTGTCGGAAATAAAAATGAAGCAATTAGAATTGTAGTAGGAAATAAAATGTTAAAACATGCAATTATCCACGCATCCATTATTGTCGTAGTAGCTCGATTCGAAGGGGGGAAAGGGTACAAGTGTAAATTCGCAGTGGTGCCACGTCATTCTTTTGGCTTCCTTACCTTTCTCCGGCTGTCTGCTGGTGCTTTAGAAAGAGACAGAGAGAGGATGGATAATAAAGAATGGGTGGGGTTAAATATATATCTATATATATATATATATATTTACGAGTAGAAAAGAAGCAGAGAGCTGAGAAACGTCAACACACTTTCACAGAAATCAAACACCGAGAGAGACTTACTACGAATGGTGACGATGGTGTACAGGCAGCGCACGCACTTTCACTCCCTCTGCGTGATGCATAACCGTCCTGCTCCTAGTCCTTCCGGGTAAAGTAAAATTAATCTCCAAGGCGGTGAAAAACCAAAAAAAAAAAAAAAAAGTAGAAAAAGGAGTGAGCGAGTGTCTGTGGGAAGAGGAAAGCGATGAAGCCAGAAACAGTCACCTCAATGCCTCTGTCAAGCCCCCGGATTTGTGGTTGGTATTTGAAAACCTAGAGAGAGATACATACATACATACACACATACATCATATATATATATACACATTTGTCTTACTATATAGATAAGTCCTCGTTTAAGGAGCGTAGATTATAGTCTCGGAGGAATAGGGAGGAAAGATAGAAAAGCAAGAGAGAGAAAGAGTGAGAGAGAGAGAGAGAGAGAGAGATGGTGGGCTCAGGAGCAGCAGACAGGAGCAAAGAAGCAGTGGGTATGATGGCCCTTCATGAGGCCCTTAGAACCGTCTGTCTCAACTCGGACTGGACTTACTCTGTATTCTGGACGATCCGTCCTCGCCCGTACGTCGTCTACCCTTCTCTCTTCCACTGTTGATTGATTTTTGATGTATTACTTTGGATGAATTAATGGGGAGGTTGTTGGTTTCATTTCCTTTTTCCCCCTGTTTTGAAATTAGGGTTTCGCTTTTTGTGTTTGTTTTTCCTTGATTTCTTGCTGCTTAATCTGAATGGGTCCCGGCATTTGGTGCAGGAGAGTTAGAGGAGGCAATGGTTGCAAAGTCGGAGACGACAATGGTAGCCTGTGAGTAAACAGTAGTCCGATTAATTGATTTATTTAGAATTAGTTAGCAGATACTCCATAAAGCTTGAATGAGACATGAGTAGAAGGAATCCGACAAGGAAGGGCCAAGACTTTTGTGATAGCCCGTCCGTCCGCCATGGCTTTAATTGAAATTATATATATAGATATAGATATAGTGATGAGGATAAAGGATTGGCAGACAGGTTGTGGTGGTTTTGAGGTGCAGAAGATAGGTGGGATGAATTTGTTGTCTTATCTAATCTGTTATTTGTTATTTTGTGCAGAATGTTGATGTGGGAAGATGGGTTCTGCAGAGGCAGAGTTGCAGATTCTATGGATGAGATGGACGGTGAGGATCTTGTCAGGAAAGCCTTCAGCAAAATGTCCATTCAACTGTATAATTATGGAGAAGGGTGGGTACTGCTGGGTAGGTGCTGCCTTAGTTAAGGATGGATACATTATACATATATACTTATTAATGGGGTTTAGTTTAGTTTAGTTTAATTTGCTTCTCCTCTACAATACTATCTCATAATCAATCTATCTAATTAACTATAGCACAAGAGAGATTAATCATCCATTTCAAGGGTTTTGGTTTTGGTTTTGGGTAGATTAAGAGTATATTTCAAAAGTTGGATTTATAATGATTCCTTTGAGTGTGTGTGTTTAATTACCTTTATGGGTGTAGTTTTGATTGGGTGAAAAAATTGGTTGCAGCTTGATGGGGAAAGTAGCTTCTGATAAATGCCATAAATGGGTTTTCAAGGAGCCAACAGAGTGTGAACCAAACATTTCCAACTACTGGCAGAGCTCATTTGATGCTGTACGTATCCATTTCATAATTTACTTGGGGTTCGATCAAACACCAAATTTAAATTAATTTCTTGTTGCTGAATCTTTTATAACTTTCCAAGCAATGATTTTTGTGTGCGTAGTACTGAATTCTTGGTGGACTGCCCCAATTATTGTTCTGATGAAATTACATTTACTGTTGTGTTTCTTTGTCTGTCTGTCTGTCTGTCTGAACTCTGAAATGATTGAGAAAGAATTTATGAACTGCAGCTACCTCCAGAGTGGACTGAGCAGTTTGAGTCAGGCATTCAGGTTCTACAGTAGTACCACTCTGTCTTCGATTCTGTCTATGTTTGTTTTGGATAACATTTAATTCGATGCTTCAATTCACCAGACTATTGCTGTCATTCAAGCTGGACATGGTCTTCTGCAGCTCGGTTCTTGCAAGATTGTGAGTTTCATCACAATCCGGTTATAGACGATGATGTCCTAATCCCAATCCTAATTTGACAATGTTGTGTTTGTTACACAGATACCAGAGGATCTCCATTTTGTGTTGAGGATGAGACATACATTTGAATCCTTAGGCTATCAATCAGGATTCTACTTATCACAGCTGTTCTCTTCGACTCGGAACGCGTCGTCGTCGTCCGCCGCAGCGCCACTAAAGCCGGCTACTATGCCGATTCGGCCCCCTCCTCCGCTGTTCAATTGGGGGCCGGGGCAGAGGCCGATCCCGATGCAAATCCCGTCGGCCTCGCCAATGATGGCAGCTTCTCCAAACTTTGGAAACTCGGGTAGGCTCTTGACGACGCCGCCGCCGCCGAGGGATGAAGGCCACATGTTCTTGATGCCGCCGCATTCGTCGGAGGATATGATCGGGGATCACGAGAGCGACATCAAATGGCCGAATGGGCTGACCTTCTTCAACGCGTTGACGGGACGTGCGGACGAGGCGAAGCTGTTGTTCAATGCAGACGGGATGGGCAGCAAGGGCGATCATCCCGGGTCGGATCCGTCGAGCTGCGAGGGGAACCCGAATGCGTTCTTGAGCCTGGATGGACAGCAGAAGATGCAGCAGGAAGGGAAGTTCAAGAGGAGCTTCACTCTGCCTGCAAGAATGGCGACTTCGTCGTCGTCGACTTCGGTGGCCGACAACCACCCCGGCGGCGACGGGGAGTATAGAAATGAAGGTGGGGGGATGTACTCCGATGTTATGGAAACTTTCTTGGAGTAGGAAGAGAGACGATTTGTAGCGGTGTTAGCAAGCAGGATGATGATGATGCATGTACCTAGGAATCAAGAAGATGATGAAGAAGAAACTAAGGAAAAATCGTTTCTTTAACTTGTTATTTGTTTCTCATGCATCTTTTTATTATTTTTGTTTTTAATTAAGTTGTTTTAGGTGCTTTTTTTTTTTTTTTTCCTTCTATAATTTGTTCTCGTTTGGTTTCTCAGAAAAAGACTTGTTAGAGAATTTGCTATTCCATTTCCACCTGCTATTCTATTGTGAATTGATGTTGAACAAAATAGAAAGAAAGTGGGCAAAAATTGAATCTTGTTGGTTTAAAATAGGAAAGAAGAAATCAGCAGTAATTGTAATTGTAGTTGTAGTTGTAGTTGTGCTATCAAATATCAATGAAGAAAGGAATGAATGAATTGACACAATCTTGTGTTTGTCTGCTGTGTTTCAAGTATATGATTTCCAATTTAGATACATCATTCTTGGCTCTGACATTGTCTATTGTCTAGTGGGCTTTGTTGATTCATTAATTGATTGATTACTCACTCATATGTTATAACATCCATCAGAAATTAAGCAAAAGGGAAGAATGAATTTTCACACACACATTATTTACAAACTATTGATCTGTTCATTATAGTTAAAATTTTACATTTTATTCAAACTTTACTCAATATCTATATGCAAAAGAACCATCACTACCTCTAAACACATGGAATCAATTTCGAGCAGAGAAAGAAGCAAAAGCTACAAAAAATAAATAAAGCAAAACACAAACAAAAAATATTCCCCTTTACTTTACTTCACCAAAATGCCTTATTATTAATTAACCAATTACTTTAAAAAATAATAATAATTAAACCAAAACCCTAATAGTAATAATTTATATCATGATCGTTACGAACGTCCAAAAATAACACTCCCATGGCTTCTCCAATTCTCATAGTCTTCGTCGTCGGCCTCACATGGCCATGGCAGCTCAAGCTCCTGCCCCAATCGGAAGCCAAACCAGTCAGGCAATGCCGGACCTCCTGCGGCGAGATCCCAATCAAGTACCCTTTCGGAATCGACGACGGCTGCGGCAGCCCTTATTACCGGCGCATCCTTGTCTGCACCGATTCCATGGAGCTCCAGCTCAGAACGCCGTCGGGAAGGTACCCGATCAAGAACATCAGCTACTCCGACCCCCACCTACTCGTCGCTGATCCATTCCAGTGGACCTGCCGCGACGGCGACAGATTCCGGCCGGCGAGGCCGTTCAGCCTCGACACCAGCACCCACTTCCGGCTGTCCCCCCACAACGACTACCTCTTCTTCAACTGCAGCCCGTCGGAGGTCATCATGGAGCCCAAGCCCATGTTCTGCGAGCGCTTCCCCGACCAGTGCGACTCCGCCTGCGACACCTCCAGCTACCTCTGCCGCCGCTTGCCGGGATGCTCGTCGCCGCCGCGGCTCTCCTGCTGCTCCTACTACCCCAAGGGCGGCGAGTCGCTGAGAATGATGCTCCGCCACTGCGCCACCTACGCCACCGTCTACTGGAGGGATTTGGGCGTCACGCCGGCGTATAATCAGATTCCCGAGTACGGAATTCGGGTCGACTTCGACGTCCCCGTCACGACGCGCTGCCTCCGCTGTCAGGACGCCGCCGGCGCCGGCGCCGGCACCTGCGGGTTCGACGCCGAGACGTTGGATTTCTCGTGCTTGTGTCGGAATGGAAATTCAACTACTTACTGCAAAGGTATGAGTAATAATCACCTAATCAATCAATCAATCAATCTTGATTTGTATAATTAATTACTCACTGATCTGATCATAATCCGTTAGTGCAGATCACAATGGTCATAGCCGGCCGGCGGTGGTGGCCGGTGAGTGAAAAATTATTAACCTTGATTCTTGAATTTTAATTTTTAATTAGGGTTTAGATTAGGTGGAAATGGTTGCTTGTTTAATTTGTTGCAGGGACTGTAACAGTAGTTTCAGTGGCGGGAGTATTTACAGGGGCAGCAGTTTGGTACCTGAGGAAGATGAGAACGAAGGCCCCAGTCACACATGGAGTCCAAACCAATGAAAATCGTCTCTTTTAATGAATCTTCTTCATCACCAAACACTACAAGCAAAGCAAAGAATCTACACAACACCCTTTTTCTTTTTATGTTCTTTCACGGAGTATATACGTTCTGTACTGTACAAGATACAATCTTGTCGCTATAACGAAACAACATCTGTCTTCCCCAAGACATAAAACACAATCACTTCAAACAATTCGAGATGCAAAACAGTAGTATACAACACATGAACAACACCAAACTCTTTAAGTTTTTCCTAACTGAACAATTCCTTCAAGACTCGAAACAACTTCATCGATAGATGGCCGTCTCCGGGGATCCTGTTCTATACACCTACACGCGACGCCGAGCACTTCCATCAGTTCCTTCTCGCAATCCTTATCCCTTACGGACAAATCGAATATTTCCCACTCGCATTTCTCGGATTTCTTCTGGTACACCCACCCCGCCAGGTCTCTGCAGTTCTTACCTTTACATACTTCGACAGGCCGCCTCCCTGTCAGAAGCTCAAGAAGAACAACTCCGAAGCTGTACACATCGCCCCTAAAAGTCGCGGTGGATGTTTGGCTGTATTCAGGCGGAATATATCCCAATGTCCCGACCAAATCCGTCGTTACATGTGTGTCATAAGGGCGAAGTAACCTTGAAAGCCCGAAGTCAGCCAAGTGAGCCTCGAACTTCTCATCGAGTAAAATATTGCTCGTCTTAATGTCCCGGTGAACGATATTCTGCCCTTTATGCAAGTAGGCCAACCCCCGCGCTGCCCCTTGAGCTATTCTTAACCGCGTGTCCCATGTAAGAAACGAACTCCCATCCGCCTTCTCATGCAACCAATAGTCCACGCTACCGTTCTCCATGTACGAGTAGATCAACAACCGGTCCGTCCCGTAGCAGCAGTACCCTTGTAACGAAACGAGGTTTTTGTGCTGCGCGCGCGAGAGGGCTTCGACTTCGGCCTGGAATTCGCGCTCCATCTGCCCACAATCCCCCGAAAGCCTCTTGATCGCTGCTTTCACACCGTTTGGTAGGTTCGCCAGGTAGACGAGGCCGAATCCGCCGCAGCCCACAATGTTCGATTGGCTGAAGTTGTTCGTCGACTTCATCAAGTCCGAGATGGTGAGGTCTTTGCATTCGGCATTCTTGAAGATCACTATCTTCGGAGGCGCAATCGAATCGGATGTCCTACTGATCTCCTCCTCCGTAACGCCGTTCATCGACTGTCCGATGTCTCTTCTCGATATCCTCAGCACAAGAAAAGCCAGAAGCAAAGCGATTCCAATCCCGATCCCGATCGTGATTTCGAGTATGCCACTTCGACTAAATCTATTACCACTCGAATCATGAGGTGCATTCGTCTGCTGCAGCCCGATAGGACAGGGAGAATATAGTTTTCCGCAGAGTCCCGGATTGCCCTCGTAGCTCGACCCCGGGAAGCTGAGAAATTGTCCACCCGTCGGGATAGCTCCGTTGAGATGGTTATGAGCGACGCTGAATTTCGACAGGAAAGTGAGCTGATTGAACGATGAAGGGATCGATCCGCGAAGATCATTGTACGACAAATCCAGAGTCTCCAAATTTGCCATATTTGAGATGGAGCTCGGGATGGTTCCGCTTATGTTATTCCTACTTAGATCCAAGACATGAAGCTGTTTCAATCGTCCAATCTCCGGCCAAATCACGCCATGTATTCTGTTATTACTCAACAAGATCGATGGAGGAAAACTCGAAGCCTGTTTATACTGCATACCGGCAGCACTTCGATTTCTCTTCACGAAAAGTGGAATTTCGGGGAAGGCGTAGAGGAAGGATCGGTAGCTTTTTGCAGAAATTAAGCTCTTAAGCTCTGTCATCCCCTTCGGAATCCCTCCGCTCAACGAGTTATTCGACAAGTCCAAATAGAACAAGCTCTCCATCTGACCAATCCATGGCGGAATGCCACCCTGTAAATGATTCCACGACATGTCGAGGACTTGCAGCTTCTGGGAGTTAGATAGCCAGTCGGGTATTCGCCCTTTCAATCCACAGTTTCCTAAAGCAAAGATCATCAAGCTCTTGAACCCCGTCATGTTTCCGGGAATTTCTTCGCCATGAAAATTCTTCGACAGTATAAGCGACATCAAGTTCCTGAGATCCTTCAGGACAAATAGAGATCCCGATAAGTTCACAAGGCTGTTGTTTGAAAATGAAACGAATGTAAGGGATGACAGATTGGTGTAGCTTTCAGGGATCCGTCCGGACAGATCGTTCCTGGCAAGATTCAAAACTTTCAGTTCCCGGCAACTGGAGAGCGACTCCGGCAAGGGACCTGTGAAATAATTGCTGGCGAGATTGACAGTGCAGAGGCTTCCGAATTGAGAGAAATCAAGATCAATAGGCCCTGATAGAGTGTTGTTCTCAAGATCGAGGACTCGTAGTCTGGTACATTTCGACAAGGTTGAAGGCAGAGGCCCGGAGAACATATTTGAATGTCCATCAAGGTGTTCTAGCTCAGTCAAATTACTAAAAGCATTCGGCAAGTAACCCGAAAACCTATTCCTGCAGAGGATTAAGGTTTTGAGACTCGAAAGGCGACTAATTCTCAGGCTTAGCTGACCAGATAGAGAATTTGCAGAAACAGAAAGATGCACCAAATTATAAAACGAGTACAACAATTCGGGCAGGTTTCCGGTTAGTGAATTCGAATCAAGATGAAGTTCCTGGAGGGCTGAGCTGCAATTTTCCAATCCTTCAAGCCCACCTGTCAAGTGATTTCCAGAGAGATCAAGAATCTGGAGGGACCTTGCAGAACTGCAAATTCTGTGGCTGATTCGGCCTGTCAACAAATTGTTGCTCATGTTCATGGCGACGAGATCAGGAAACATCCCTATGTCTGTCAGGTTCCCAGAGAAGGCATTGCTGGAGATGTTGACAGATTTCATCGATTTCAATCCTGCAATGGCTTCGAACACAGGTCCATTGAGGGAGTTGTGGCTGAGATCAAGAACTTGTAGATGGTGCAAACCAGACAAGCTGGAGGGCAGTTCGCCTTCCAGAGAATTGTGGGACAGATCAAGCAGTTTAAGCTGCTCCAATTTCGACAAAGATTCTGGAACTTTGCCCTTCAAGCCTTGTCCAGACAATCTTAACATGATCACTCTGTTTGATGCTGCTGAGTTCGACGAATTCTTGCACACTACGCCTTCCAATTTGCAACATTCCGTCTTGCCGGACCAAGAAATTTTTACAGAGCCATTGATGAGTTGGGATGCGAATTCCTTCAGTGCTGAAAGATCGTCTGGATTGCAATTCTGGGAAGAAACTGAGAGACACAGAGACAGGAACAGGAACAGGAACAGAAAGGGAAGTGTTCCCAGAAGAGCCGAATTGAAGGAAGCCATTAATTGCAGGTTCTTTAAGGATCACCGAATCACTCACATACCTTCCGAGTTCATCAATGGCGGAAAGTAAGGAAGGAGCAGGCAGAGCTGTTGAGAAATCATAACCCAAATCCCAACCAACAACGATTCGAAAAACAAAATTGACCCAATTGTGAACAACTTACTTACAATCGAAGAACTGTAGTAGCAGCCCCCACTCGGGTATCAAGTCCCCACCACATTGCTTGCTACAACTTCCCAAACTGAAAATCCTGATCCCTAAATCCCACCACCATGTCGCTCAACAGATCAGCACCAGAAAACTATCCATCCCTCCATCAAAACCCCCAAACTGCCTCAAACATCACGAAAAACTGACTTGGAAGTGAAGCAAGTCTGCCATGGTTTCAGATCCCTAATAAAAGGGAGAAAAAGCAAAGCCCTCCCTTCAATTTCTCTTATTCATTCGACGCCAAGAACACAAACCAAAGCTAATTTTTCTCACTCCATTTGCTAAAAAAGATGCAGTTTATTCAATGCCCGCCTTGTCACTTACAATTGAACCAAGCAACAGCCCAGCCCCACTACAGTAAACAAAATTAAATTAAAGCAGGATCCTCTTTTTCACAAAACGGACGTCACTGCTTACACAATGAAGCTTTATTAGGAAAAATTTGCACAAGGGGAAAGAAACCACAGAAAAAGAAAAGGAAAGCTTACTGAAACCACGAAGAAGATTTTCAAAGCAAAGAAGCACCCGAGGAAGCAAAAACCATCTCATTCACGACAGCCGAAGGAAAAAAAAAAAAAAAAAAACAGAAGGGGGAAAATATGGGCAATCGCAGTCAGTATGATTGATTGGAAATAAAAAATAAATAAAAATAAATAAAAATAAAAAAAGAAAGAAAAGAGCAGAAGGGTTTGAAATAATGACGCAAAGAGCTGACTTTTTTCCTTTTTCAATTGAAAATGGCTACTGCTGCTGCTACTGCTACTGCTAGTAGTATTAAACATTTATACGAAAAGCAGAGTGAAGCAGAACAATTTGTTGAATTTGGATGTTTGTGAATTGGGCAGAGGCAAAGGCAGCCAGATTCGTCTCCATCTCGCTGGAAATGATTTGTTTGGGCGAGGTGGGGTAGGGTGGGCGTGGGTGGGGTGGGGTGGGGGGTTGACGAACGTTGGATGGAGGGCATTAATTAATTAATTGTCGAGGCAGAGTGGCAGAGCAGCGGGGGATTCCTTCTTCCTCATGGCTGTGCTTTGCCGTGCGTTTGCAGACCACTTCTTCACCATTATTGCGCCTGCTCGTTTCTCATAATTGTATTGAGTGTTTTTTTTGGATAGTAAATAAATAAAGCTGTAAATGGTAGTCAAATTAGTGGTGCGGTAAGTTTTCAATTTTGCTGACTTCAGATTTATCCAAGACCATTCACATTACAAAAATTTACTAAAAAGTTTTTTCTTATTAATTAATGTTAATTATTATTATTACAAATATCGTTATTTTATATTTCTACAAGTTCCTAATCAAGAAACTCCAGCACGAAACATATTCAATACATTTATTATCTAATAAATTTGTTTGTAATAATAATAATTAACATTAATTAATATACCTATTCAAAGAAAATTAAAGGATATGTGCTGACTTATATTTTCAATTAATATTTATTATCTATAAAATATAAAACTTTATTTCATATTCAATACTTCTTTCTTTTATTTATTTGTTATTACTTCAATATTATTTTATTTTTTAAATTCAAACTTTTACTGTTTTTAGATATATATATACTTTTAATAATAATGGGTTGGGAAATCTTTACATAAAGCAGGAAGGCACGCTAGCTGAACTGCGCATGGCATGTAAATAATGACTACATGCAGCATTATTTGCCGTTTAATTACACAACCGCCGTTAATTTGTCAAACTTAATTAAGGTTGCACCCGAACAGTCTTTATATATATATATATATATATATATATCGATATAATACATGATATAGAGATAAACAACATTCATATTAGCATAAACAAAAGAAAAAAAATTATTTTTATCATAATATAATCATAATTCATCAATTTTTGTTCAAATATAAAAATCTTATCAATTTTGGTCTCAATATAACCAAAAAATCATCATCTTTTGTCCCAATATAATCAAACCTTATCTTTTTTGATCTCACTGTCAACAAACCGACGAAAAATGCTGACGTGGACTTGCAATATTGTGCGATTTCTTCAAATATAAATATAAGGTTTGATTTCTTTTCACGTCAGCATTTTTCGTCGGTTTATTGACACTGTGACCAAAAAATATAAGGTTTAATTATATTGGGACAAAAAAAGATGAATTTTGGTTATATTGAGACTAAAATTGATAAAAAAATTTATATTGTGATAAAAAATAATGAGTTTTGGTTCTATTTGTACCAAAATTGACAAAATTTTTATATTGAGACCAAAATTGATGACTTTTAGTTATATTGAGACCAAAAATAATATTTTTTCCTAAATAAAAATAACACATGATATAGTCTCGTACCACACATATTACAATTTATTTTAGTATAAGAAATATATCAATACAATGTCATATGGTTTTATTTAACATAGTCTATGTTGTGGTAGGTAAAAGTTTGCTTGATTATTTTTTATGTGCTAGAGAAAATCAATATGATGCTAATTTTTTTTCAGTATTATTATAACCAATGGGATGAATATATATATATATATATATAATTTACTTTTGTTAAAGTGTTTTGGGTTTTAATGTTTCAATAATAAATTATGTATAAAAAAAATATTTAAATAAAAAAAAAAGGGCAATCTAATGTAAGGGTAAATGTTCGGATTTTTTATTCAGATCCGAACTAATTCGAAAGTCTAAAATTTTGGCAAGAATCAATATGAAATAATCAAAATTCAAATTAAAAATTTGGAACTAAACCCCAATAATCGGAAATTCTATATTTTTGGTTATTTTTAAATATTTTATATATTTATGATTATTATATAATATTATATACTATAATAAATATAAAAAATATAATTAATAATTTTTAGTTCTTATTTTTATTAAAATATTATACTCCCTCCAGCTGCAAGGTTTATCATTGTCGTTTTGCATATTGCTAATTGAATATTAATTATTATATCAAGACCTAATATAAATGAAGATAAAAAGACAAAAATATGTTTATTAGTCTTCTATAATATCAATCCAATAACATTTGTAAAACAAACTAATCAAATATATATATAAGGATATTTTTAATGTAAGTACAACGATGCAAAACCATTACGGGAGAGAGGGAGTATTTTTATTAAATATATAACAATAAAATATATTAAAATATGATATTTTGAATTATCGAATTTTTAGTATATCAATTCAAAATTTATAAAATATTCAATTTAAACCAATCCAAAAATTTGAATCAAATTTTAAATTTTGATTTGATTTGAATTAAAATTTCAAATTTCAGATATTGTGTCCACCCTTAATAATAGACAGACTATCTACTTTTCTTTTTTTTTTTTTTTGTTTTTTTTTATGACGTGAAAATCAGCTGCCACTATCCAAAAATACGCATTGGGTAAACTCCTGACCGAACCTAATATCCTGAAAATTAAGTCCGACAAGAAAAATCGCACTAGGCGAACCATGTGTGACAGGTGACCCGAGACATCGGAAATTTGAACACATAACCCTCACAGTCATGAGTCCAACCCCCACGTCACCGGACTATCCAATGTATGCCCCTTCTCTTCGTCCATGGGGCTGAGGTAGAAGAAAATGGTGAAGATGGGAGGGTGCCAAATCAAGGCTAACAACTATATATATATATATGGAGTATATAATTACGTCACATGCATTCACCAAACCCTAAACCCGAACCCCACATGTGCTGTGCGCGTGACTGTGACTGTGACTGTGAGTCATATAATAATGTCAAATTGTAGATTGGTTTAGTTGGGGGATTTGTTGCCAAATTTATCAACCATGTTTGAACAACAACATTTCTTATTTGTCAACAAGTGGATGCTACCTCATCCACCTCACCTCTTTATTGCTACTTAATTTTTATAAAAGTAATACTACAAATAATTACTAATTAGTAGACATACTTAAATCACAATCACAATGATATACAACTACTCTATTATTTATTATATGGGTACGTACGGTATGTCAAGATGGTTGACTGACTAACTAATAGTTGAATAATACAAACACCAACACCATAATGGTAGTAATAATTATTTTTCTTTCATTACCGCACGCACGTATTCTGACTCTACTGTTACTACACTTTTTTGAAATTTCAACTCACTCATTAAATTCTGGATTTGGGTTATATAACTTGTTTTATCAGACTATCAATTGGGCTCAAAGACATACATGAGATAGTGATTATGGACTGGAGAATCCTAATAAATAGAGACCTGAGCCCAACAACAACCTAGGTCGTTGGAGGCCCAAATGGATTTTTAAAGAATAAAAAAATTTAATTATTTAATTTAATGTTTATGAAAAAACTATTATGAAATGAATTAAAACTTTAGAAGAACTATCATATTGATTTACAGCTACCTAACTAATAATTCAAAGAACATGGTGTTGTCCCCTATCCTTGGTCTTGAGAGGGCCACCACCCCTACCCATCCATCCTATTAATCCTGTGATGTTCTCACCCACCCACCCCTATATAAATACAATATATATAGAGAGAGAATGCTTACTGTGATGATTAAAGGGAATGATTATTTAATTATTGTGTGAAACACTCTTAACCACATCAACTTTGTGGTACTGGAAGCAGAGACACCTGATTCCATAGCAGATTTATCAAGAAACTTTACAAGCTCACCACCATTTCATATCTTGAAGATGAATAAATAATTAATTACTCAATAATCCCTGTCAAAATCCCTAGTCATTAAGCTTATCTTTTCCCTAATCAAACAAACAAAAATGCTTGCCAGCCTAGCTAGAGCTAAAGAGATTTCTCAACATGACACACCCCCCAAAAGAAAGAAAGTCCATCATGGTGGGCATTCTGTCTGTCCCCACCAACAGAACAAGTGAAGTGATGCACCCTCCCCTATTGATTCCAAGGTTGATCATATATTTGTACAATAATAAATTCCAGCACCCCACCATCCCCCAATTTCCACCTTCTTTTCATCTACAACTGACAGTGACTGAAATGGAATCCCATAAAGGAAAAACAGCAGTCGCATAGCAGAATTATATTTATGCATTTTATAAAAAAGAGGATGGCACAGAAAATAAAAAGACAAGAATGCTTATAAGAAAGACCTTAATCTTTATGGTACACATTTGCTGCTGCTGCTGCTGCAGTGGATCCTCTCAGAAGCATCTCTGCTAAGAGAAAAAATAAGCAAGATTTGAGACAAGAAGAACAGGATGAAGTTCTTGTTCCAATGTCCCTGCTGCTCCTGTTTCTGCTTCATGAAGCCTGCACAGGGCAAGCCAAAGGAGAAGAAAGATAAGCCCACAAAAGCCAAACCTGCAGCTGAAGAACCCAAGAAAGAAGCACCCAAACCTGCTGCACCTCAGGAACCCAAGAAAGATGAAGCCAAGACAGATTGAAAACAGTGAATATTCATTCTTATGCATTTCTTTCTTTTTCTCCTTCCATTTATAACCAAGTTACTATGTGGGCAATAAATGTTTAGTATATGGTTTTATATGTCTGTGAAACCACAGCATGTTTGGTTCTGCAGAGAAATGAAAATTTAAGGTATATTCTGTTGAAAGAAAGTGCCTCATCCTGTCTACAATTAAACTATGCTTTGGCTTTCATCTCTAATCCTTTTTCTTACAGTGTTCTTACAGTGTCAGTGTCATCCTGTTCTTGAATTCCAGCCCAATTATCAAGATAAGACAAGTTTTGCATTTAGCAGCAGATCTTGAAGATGTCTTTCGATCTTCTTCCCTCTAGACAATCTAATCTCAGTTAGATGGAAATACATAAATTTCGATGTTGATTTGGAGCCCTACCCAACAAAAGAGTATATGCAAGGGATTCAGTTGGTGATTATTTTTTATTTTTAAACTTTATACTAATAAAATAAAATAGAATGAACAAAATATACCACCAGTTTCTGTAATGGCGGAAAGATCGGCCTCAAGTTTAGGCCCACCGCTTCCAATGGCAGAAATCACGGTGCGTCCACAACCAACACATCTTCTTCCTCCAAGCAGGTCCTCCTTCACGTGACCTCGAAATCCATAAAAAACCTAATACATCGCAAATTACGAACACACAAAAACGATTGTGTCAAAAATCTATCCGATACGTCCTGCCAATTTATGAGTTTGTTGGCGTAAGTCAAATTACCCATGGCGATGGCTTTCCGAACGGAGCTCGTTCTCCTGGCGGTGGCATTAGCCGCCATGGTTGCGGTGGCGCATTCGACCAAAGGTCACGAGGCGGTCCACTTTGGGACGAAATTTGACGTCGCCGGCCACGGCTTGCCAATGGACCTCGACGGTGATGAATTTCTAATGGAGTCGGAATCAGCGCGGCGGCAGCTCGGAGGCGGCGGCGGATACATCAGCTACGGCGCATTGAACAGGAACAATGTGCCGTGCAACCAGCGAGGGCAGTCGTACTACAATTGCCGTGACCACCAGACGGCCAATCCCTACCAGCGCAGCTGCACCAGAGCCACCAGGTGCGCCAGAAATACCCGCTGAAGCCGATGAAAGAAAGACTCCACCCTACCCTCCACGTGCTCCTCACGTGCCCTTTCTTTTTCTTTTTCTTATTTATTTGTTGTTTTTTTCCCCAACTCCAATCGTATATTTCTTCATTCACAAAGTATTAACATCGTATATTTTAATTTTATTTAATGCTGAAAACACATACGTACATTAATACACACACATTATGCAATCCAATTTGTGTTTTAATTAACAGCAATCAATTTTGTATGAACTTGATTGATTGGCTATAAGTTGTTTTTATGTATTCATCAAACTTTTATTCAACAAGTTACGTGGAAAATGATCTTGTGGTTGGAGTCTTCTTTTTAATGAATTATCCGGCTTTATGTTAAATTTTAATATTGAAACTAAACAATATTGAACTAAGAAAAGAAAGGTGCATGATCGATCTCGATAACAACAATCGATGTACATGAGTATAATTTGTGTAATTATAAGTTGGTCTATTTGGAGCTATACATACAATGTTCAATGTATTCTCTTTTTTTTCAAACTTTGGAAAACAATGGTTTTATTTATATTTGATGGACATTCAACTCATTTATTCTTAAAATCTCATTTCCAGGCCATCTTCATCATATGCAATAAACAGTACAGTGCAATGGTGTTGTACATAGATTGGTATTAAAAGCTCAATTGTTCCTATGAAACTGATAAAAGGGTTCATAAACAGATCAAGAGGCATGGCAAAATGGCAATGGCAATGGCAATGGCATCAGAATATATAGATCACAAACAACAAAAATTCAGCTTTTATTTCATACTTCCCAGAGAATCTCAAGTCACATTCTATCTATACCTACAAAAAAATCCAATTTATCCCCAAAAACCAAACAAGAACGTGCATAGATCACATAAACCATTTTGAAGATTACAGTAATACGGTGAAGATGATCATGCCTGAGTTCCTGTCATTGTCTTCAACTGAATGTGGCTGGAATCCGCATTTGGCAAGGCGTCGTAGGATGATCCTCCTCCTCCATGTCGCCCGCCGCGAGCCCTAGCAACAGCACCGTAAACAGCCAATAAAATGAGAACCACAAAAAGGACATGAAGAACAAACATCAGATCTAAAATCGCCATGGCACGGAGCTTCGTGTCATCCAAATCACACTTGGTGGAGCCCTCCACGCCGCTCACAACGTCCAGCAGCTTGTGGCACCCGTCCGGAATGAAGGCGTCAACGTACAGGGAAAGCCCTGTCTGCAGCGCCCACAGCCCCTGCAAGCAGAACGAGGCGCCTAGGGCAACGTCCGCCACAAATAGCCTCGGCTGGCACGCCAGCGCAAGGCACAGCGCCGACGAGAGAGCCGAGACGTGGCCGGAGAGGGAATCGCACTTAGCCTGGAGATCGGAGGTCTGGACGGCGGCGGAGGCGGAGGAGAGCGAAAATTGGAGGAAGAAAAGCCCCGACGCAATTGCGAAGACGAGATCGGCGGGGAGGGGGAGGAGAGAGGTCGCATCGGAGAGGAGAATTGCGACGGCGAGGAGGAGGAAGGAGAAGAGCACGGCGGCGGACTGGAGAGAGGTGAAGAGGTGGACGGGGGTGCGGCCTTTGAGAAGGGGATCTGAGTAGGAGGCGGTGAGGAGTTGGTGGAGGAGGGCGATGAAGACGAAAATGGCGACGAGGTAGAGCTGCAAATGCCGGAGATATCCTCCGGCGCCGGGGAAGGGATGGAAGGGCTTGGCGACGTAATCGCGGGGAGACGACTTGAGCTTGTTCCTTGTGGCGCAGACGAGGTGGTAAATCCCCTGCGACAGCAGCGCCGTCGACGAAAATAATTGGTAAATTAGGGCTGCCATGGGAGGGGGCCCTCTTCAACCTTACTGAGTTTCTTTTATCTTTTTTTTCTGATCGGGACCTCACTGAGATTTTATTACACTTTGTGTGTTTGTTTGGGTTACAGAGACAGAGGGCATTTTGGGAATTTACTAATATAAATATAGATTTTGGTTTGGGCTCTTTTCAATTATTTCAGCCCATAATGTGGGCCGGCCCAGATAATGCTGATATATAAATGTGAACCCTAGTTTTCTATCTTCATTCCTCCGCTGCGTCCGCTAGGGTTTTTTGTTTCTCTGGTTGCTCGATCTTCCTGATCAAGAAAGGGGAATGGTAAGAACGATGGTTTATCTCAGTGATATTGTATTTGCTTCATGTTATTGTGGATTTTGGTTCGGTTATTAATGTTCTATTTTGTTGATTCAGGCTCCGAAGAAGGGCGCAAAGCTTCCGGCGAAGAAGAAGACCGAGGCAGTTGTGAACCCACTTTATGAGAAGAGGCCGAAGCAGTTTGGTATCGGAGGGGCACTTCCTCCGAAGAAAGACTTGCATCGGTTCGTCAAATGGCCTCAAGTCGTGAGACTTCAGAGGAAGAAGATGATACTAAAGCAGAGGCTAAAGGTTCCTCCATCCATTCATCAGTTCTCGAAAGCATTGGACAAGAACTTGGGTTTGTTTGTGTTGCCTTACTCTCTTTAATTACCCTCTTTAGTCTGTTACGATTTGTTTTATTTGTTGGTGTTAGCATTACCGATTCGCGATTTGTAGTCCATTGTTGCAATTGCTGAATGCATTGTTTTCTCTACGGCCAATATTTGCTCTGTAATTTCAGGATCTATATGGTAACTTAGACTTGGAAAGATTTGAACTATTGTTTTTTAGAGGCCATTCCTTGATGTACTTTTGGTTTTTTCAATTTTCTTCCTTCACGTTGATGGTATGTCTTTCAGGGGTGGCGTTTACTGTTCCTTTTATGTAACCCTAGGCGTGCTTGCTTGTGCTATAGAATGCTCTATTGGATTTGAATTTTTTTTTACAATATAAGTTGAATGTTATATTTTGTAAAGATATTTGACTTGAAATTATGTATTTGGTGGGATAATTTTTTTAACTGTAGATTTGATGGCTTGAAAATAGTGATGAAAACATAAATTTTGCAAAACACTAGTTTTTTTATATTTGTAATTTTTTGATTGAGCATGTCCGCCCCCTAAATACTAAAGGCATTGCCATTGTTTTCAAATGAAGGGTGTTATCCATAATGTTTAGCTTACTGTGGACAAGCAATTTTGTGTTGCTCCACTGTATGTCGTACAATGCACGTGTCAATCTTTTCCCAATTTTATTCTTTGTGCACCCAGTTATGCTATTGTTCCTTTCCACATGCAGCTACTAGTCTTTTCAAGATGCTTATGAAATATAGGCCTGAGGATAAAGCTCAAAAGAAGGAGAGACTTTTGAAAAGAGCCCAAGCTGAGGCTGAAGGCAAGACGCCAGAAACTAAGAAGCCTATTGTGGTGAAATATGGTCTTAACCATGTCACATATCTCATTGAGCAGGTCTGTTTTTGTAGTTATTCTCATTGAATGTGCTAATCATTGTTACTGGATAATAACTTTGATTAAACTCGTCTTCCAGAATAAGGCACAATTGGTGGTCATTGCTCATGATGTGGATCCAATCGAGTTGGTTGTGTGGCTCCCTGCTCTGTGTAGGAAAATGGAGATTCCATACTGTATAGTGAAGGGGAAGGCCAGGCTTGGCACCGTAAGTTGTCCTCAATAACATGGTCTCCAAACTGCAATAACTTCTTAACCATATTTGCACTTTTGTCCTGCTATCTGTGCAGATTGTGCACAAAAAGACTGCGTCTGTCTTATGCCTCACTTCTGTGAAGAATGAAGACAAGCTCGAGTTTAGCAAAATACTCGAGGCTGTGAAGGTAGAATGTTAATCAAGAGCCTAAGTGTTTACTGTCTTAATAGTTTTTCAGGGCTAATAACTAAATCTTTTTGTGACTCTTTCAGGCTAATTTCAATGATAAATTCGATGAGACCCGCAAGAAGTGGGGAGGAGGAGTCATGGGCTCCAAATCCCAAGCCAAAACAAAGGCGAAGGAGAGAGTTCTAGCGAAAGAAGCCGCCCAGAGGATGACTTGAATTATCTGCCAATCCCTTGCTGCTGCATTTTTGTGAGTGATAGAAGATTCAAGATTCAGATCAAACTTGCTTTGTGTTTACATCTATCAACTTTCATTGCTCTGTCTAATGACTCCTTTCAAGTTTTCTATTAAAAGTTAAGAACTAGTTTTGGTCTGCTCTGCTACTTCTAATTTAGTTTCAAATAGCATTAAGATGTGTTAATTTCATATTTCAGTGAAGATTAATGGTACATAACATCTCTCTACCCCATAATGCCATTAATTCATCATAAAGGTGCCTTTGACAAAGAAAGGATTAAACCCTATACCCCTATCCTTGGATAACTAACTTTTCGGATGCTCTTTTTCTTTCATTACTTGCATTTTGCTGTTATCCATCCCCATAGATCCTCAATTTGGCTTTCTTCCAGGTTTCTTCTTCTTCACCTTTGAGCCTCTTTTGAACACAGCCAAAACCTCAATGCTGCATCAGTGTAGGATGTAAAACATTAGTGTAACTTGTCATGTAGCCACAAGAAAGATATAATGTAAAGGAATATATATATATATATATAGAGAGAGAGAGAGAGAGAGAGAGTTGACCTCTGTGTACCAGGGAAGAAGTTAAAACCATGGGCTTTGTCCAAATGCCACGCCTTACTAGAGACCAGGGAACTGCAATCCTAAAGGAAAAAACAACAATGAACTGTATAAACACAAAACCTTCTTTCATTTGTTAGAGAGCCACTTGAAATTCGTGATGAAAGACTAAACATACCTCTTTGAAACTACCCCATCCGCAGCTTATATATATAAGAGTTTGAGGTAATACACCCTTATCATCTTCTCCCATTTCATTATTGTTATGCACTGAAGCTTCTCTTTCCCGAAGAATCCATGGCCGTTTTTCAGCTTTGACCTTTCTCCTAGGGCTGAAACAAGAATCAAAGAATGAGCAGAAAAGCAAGTGTTCCTTCAGCGCAGTAAACGATCCCTTAGAAAGCAATTTGAAGATGCCAGTAGACAAAACCTTTCGATTTTCATAAATGGCAATGACTTTAGAGCAGTAAGTAGAGATGGGTCTAGCCCTTTCCTTGGTGGATCAACGACGACAACTTCAGACCCCATCAGCCAAGACATTGGTTCCTGAAAGAAAGAAACTAAATCAATATTGTAATGGTTGAGCGTGTGTACCGGGCAATCAAACGAAGAGGAAAACTAAAGTGAAATACTGACTTTTGAAGTGTCCGCATGATACCAGCTGATGTTGCTATCCGAGGTAGATGGTAATCGAGAAATGGACTTTTCGAAAGATGGTTTTGCTTCTTTGTTTACCTCCACACATTTCACCGATCTATTGCACAGAAAGACCATAAAGAAATATCATAAATAAAATAGCTCTTGATCGGAAGAAAAGGCCCTGAAACCTTAATTCATATAACTTTACTAACCTGCATTTTCTTGTGGCAGCCAAAGATAGACCAATTACACCAGCACCAGCATAGAGATCGATTACTGATGCACCGTGAGGGACATACTTTTGTAATTTTTGGAGTAGAGAATCGAAAGCCTGCCAAAAACATCAATTTTTTTTTAAAAATAGACTATCTAAGTTTATTGCATCAGGACATTAAGAAGTGTTTGAAATGATTAAGATAAAATAAATCATCGAAGCTTTTACTCAAAAAAAAAAAAACAACCTTGGTATTTGCTTGCCCGAAGCTTGAAGGTGCCATATAAATGTCGATTCCTCCAACATGCTCCCAGAAATCTCTCTCACCTAAAAGATGTCTCCATCTGTTCCCAAATATTATCTGAGGACAATTCGAGGGTACTATAAGGATATAGACTATTACAGTTTGATATCGACCGGATATGGTTACTTACATTATTTGTTGATGTCTGAAAGTTAGCCCAAACCGAATGAATCAAATGCACTTCCCTCCTAGGCCCTCCCTTAGTCCATATATACTGCAATATCAAATTTATCAACATTTTGCGCACAATATTTTAAGAACGGCGGCAATACAACAGTGGTGGATCTTACATTAGCCAGAGCATTTAGCTTTTTAGAATCAGGTGAGTTCTCATTTCTTGAATTCCAAACCAAAGAAACCTGCACCTTACCTGCAATTATTTGATGTAAAGTTTTTACCTCAAGTGACAAAAATAGCGATGATTCATCATTAAATCTCGACCAACCGTTTTTGTATCTTTCGGATGCAGGAAGAGATGTGTTGTAGGTTGTCACAGCCATCTGCAATGGCATTGTTCACACAAAAGAATTTACTTTACCATTTTTGTATCTTTTGGTTACTTCAATTTCTTCGACGATGGCAGAGTGGAAATTAACATGCTAGAAAATGGAAAGCTTGAAAAAAATATGTATCTGTAAGAAATCCATCACCTGGACATATCTTAGCTCACCAGTTCCCATGTCTTCATCATATGGCTCAATATTCAGTTCAGTCATCCCTAAAACGATAAAGAAAAACATCAGAGACATTGAAATTTAAAATCTTCAATGGTAAGAGAGGAGGGAGATATTTTCCACCTTGTTTTAGCAGGTCAACAGCAGAGTTGATGTTTGGATGATGTGCTGAAGAACAGTGAGACTCAGTAGAGCACAGAAATGGTGATTGAACATTGAAATGGATATGTGTATTTGGAACCTTTGCATTCAGGAATATCAACTATATTATGAGTGCCCTCTTCGTAGAGCCCAATCAATGGCTGGAAGGATGAGCCACGAACTGCAAGCTTTGCACGACACCGCCATCCCCACTGCCAATTCCATGTTAAAAAAGAAATAACTTCTCAGAAATCAAATTGGGGGAACTGTAAAACCCTAGAAATTGAAGTGAAAATCAAAGGCGCTCTGTTTCTGTAACTGTTAACTGTAATTCATCACTTACAAGTCTACAAGTATCGAAGGTGAAGTCGATAACACCAAATTTGTTGAAGAATTCAATTGCTTCATCGACGATGGGTGGATGATGCAGCTTGTACTCATGGCTACACCCAGAACAGCTACAATTTTTTTTTTAAAAAAAAAAAAAAACACAGAAAAAAGATTAACAAAAAAACCGTCGAAAATGAGGGCAGTTAACAGAGAAAGAGAGAGAGGAACAACTGGTGAAAGTGAGGGCAGTTAAGAGCGCAGGAAGAAGATGGAGCAATGAAAACATTCGCCGTGTTAAGCGGCGGCGGAGAGGCCGTGCGGGAAGCCGCAAATGTAACGAACGGCGGCGCCGCTGCCGCCGGTGATGGAAGAAGCCACGGCAAGAACAAAGCGCCCGCCATGGCTGCAGATAAAATGTCGAAATACCAATTTCAGAAAAAATCACCTTTTCTATACCCAATATTTTCTTTTATAGGGTTTGTTTGTTTGGTGTTTGGATTTCGGATTAAAATTTAAATAGTAAAAATTTTAAATATGATATAAATATATATATTGATTAATATTTTGAATGTAAAATAAATTTTTAATATAATATATATAAAAAAATAGGTGTTTTATGTGATATTTTTGTATAAAAATAATTGAATAAATAGTAAAGTATGAGGAAAATGTTAAAATTTGATCAAATATTTATTTTTTATTTTTTATATTATATTAAAAATTAATTTTATATTTAAAATATCGTATCAATACCTATTTATATTATATTACCGCTGTTTCAATTCAAAAATATTACTATTTAAATTTTAACTCAAAATCCAAACAGATAAACACCCCTTTAACGATCGTGAAAGATTTGACCTTTTTAAAAATAACCGTTCCGAAATCCAAGATTTGACTCTGAGTTTTATTACAGCTGACAATTAAACTAGTTCTGGTTTCTAAAGAAGGCTACAATCTGATTGTAAACAATGTCTTTAGCTGTAACCCCCAAAATGAAATCGGCATGAGCGTATTCCTTGACATACTGCACGTGCAGCTTCCCGACGTCGTGTAGCTTAAGACTATCCAACAATGTCGCAACATCCATGGTGTCCGAAAGGGCATCTTGTCCGCCATAGCTAAAGAAGAGTGGAAGGTCCCGAGGAATCTTCGAAAGATCGTAAACGGGAGGTCTCGACTCGCCGTAATGCGCCATGTTCGCGTTAGCATTGCCGTAGTCGAACTTCGACAGAATCCCCCCTCGAACCGCTGCATTTCGGACATAAAATCATTAAATTTAAACCGACGGACAGACGGGGGCGGGTTCAGGACGGGTTAAAGGACACCTACTTTGAGCCAAATGGACGAGGTTCTTAGTCGCAGTGGACTGTGGTTCGTTCTGCAGAAAAAGTTGTACTGTGGATGCATTTAGACAGCAATTCTTCCCTGTAAATGCTGTCATCAAATCGTAACAGTCGATCCCAGAACCAGCGCATAAAGCTCTCAGAAAATTGGCCACTGCTTTCCTGTGAAGAAGATGAACCAATTTTTAAGATGATAAATTTCACAGACAATCCAGCTAGCTAGCTAAGCAAGTAATCAAAGATTAAAGCTTTATCCATTACTCTGTCGGATTGAATTCTGAAAGGCCGAAGATCGTCGTGATCTGCAATGTCCAAGAACATGATCATCGCAATGCCAATGTGTATTATTTGATTAGGTAAAAATTTGCAGCAGCTTGTGTATAATGTATAATGTCTAATGTATTACTTCACCGATAAAGGCTCGGGCGGCGACTACTCCGAGCGCCGTCGTCATGTGGCTGAGATACGCCACCGGACTCAGAAGAACCGCCGATCGGACCTTGTCCACGAGTTTTCCTTGCGAAAACGACGCCAGCGCGATCAAAGTCCCCTGCATTGCAGCTTTAATAACTGAGAAATTCAAAACAATCATAAAATGAAAGAGATGACGATGATGATGATGATGATCGATCACCAAGGAATGTCCGACGTAGTGAAGCTTCTGGCCGCCGGTGTGTTGGAACACCAGCCCCACCACCGCCGGCAAGTCCTGGCTAACCAGGTCGTCCCAAGTCCAATCCCAATATTCCTAAAATCAAAAATATTCTAAATCAAACACTGATATATATATATAGATAGATATAGATATATTGCAGAATGTATGTAATTACAGGATATGAAGAATGGAGGTGGAGATGATTGCGGCTGAAGCGGGTTCCACGGGTGTTGGAAATCCAGACATCAAATCCGCCGTCGGCCAAAATCGTCGCCAGAGATTGCTCCGGGGAATTCAGCAGCCACGTCACTCCATCCTGCATAGAAACTTACCTCCATTTTAATGAATTCACTGAATCCAGAACAGGACAGAATTTATCTGATAAACCCTAGCCGTACTGCAACTCTGCAAGTTCTGTCCGAATAATTTTAGTTTCGGACAAGACGTGGCTGTTCCCTAGACGATCTCGATAGAATGAATACCCATGCAATATATATATATATATCCTTGGATAATCATCTTTCCCCTGTTTGCTTGTTTGTTTTCTCTTATTAGAAATCGTCTTGGAAAAGGACACTTATTATATTCAGAAAGTTTGCTCCTTCTAGATAATGCACGCCGGAAACCTACCACAAGAACGCCGTGCTGTAGCAGAACCGGCGGCCGGTTTCCGCCGCCGCCGCCGGCGGTTCGCCCCTCTGGAATTCTGATCATCTTCAGTATGTATCCATCTTCCGTCGTCACCTGATACATACACCATTGATTAACCATACATATACATATATATATATATATATAGAGAAAACAAGCATCTAAAGAATATAATGGCTAATTAATTATCCAGCTTCATCTTCATCTTCTTCATCATCAATCTTACTTGGAACTCCTGACACTTGTATCCATGCGGCTCCACGGCAGCCGAGCATATCCCACCCCCACCCCCTAAATTTGTGTTCTGAAGCAGACCCCGGCCAGATGCCAATGCTCCATGATCGATCACCTCCAGAGCAAACAACACCAACAAAAGCATCATCCAAAACCTGCCCCTGGCACTCATATTTTTACTTTATCCGGAGAAGACACTAAAATGTACTTTGTGCAAGAAATTATTCCCAAACACACACACACATATATATATATATATATACACACACAAGAGAGAGAATGGAGACTATAAACAGAAAAAGGAAGTCTCAAGTGTGAATTTGACCCGCAGGAATTTGGATCAGATCAGATTAGGTCATTTATGGAGGATCCATTTATAACTATTCGCGTTATGATAATATTTAAAAAATATAAATATTTTTTATGGTAGTTATATCGTCCATTATAAATATATACCAGTTTTCTATGACTGAATTTTTTATCTCCAACAATCTTCTTCCTAACAACTGCCAATACGAATAAATTTTGGGCCCACGTCATCATCAACAAGTGCATTATCATATTTTATATTAAAAGTATGTATTAAATAAATATTCCATAGTTGGGAAAGTAAGCTATATGTGATGTAGAAGAAGAGCTCAACTGATTCCAGTTACAGAACCTCAACATTACGTGTAGTGCAATGACAAAAATACACAACAGAGTTAAGGTTCTTGTATCGTTTTATAACAAACAGCTTTGAATGACATAATGTCTGTTGATTTTCCAGTTACAGGACAGCTACCAAATACTATGCAGTATGAAATGTACATTAAAAGGATAAAAGGGAAACAAATAATAAGTATATCATCATATATGCCAAGGCTAATCGGTACCAAAATTTCCAAGGACGGCCGGCGTTCATCATCCCGCGACTCTGCTGCTGCGTGCGGGGCTTGACTTCTTTTTACGTTCGCTGAAGCTACGGCTCGAAGTCATCATCCTCGGGAGGCAGCACTGCACAGACATCCCTGTCTTATCGCCTGCTTTCGCAGCTCCATTGCTACTACGATCATTAGGAGTAGAAGTTGTTGTTCTGTTATTGATCTCTAAGTTTGAACAACTCCGGCTTTTGAGTATGTGAGAGGCGAGGCTGATAGCCGTTGCTTCGGACGTAGTTTCTTCTCTTGATGATGCATTTTCCCCTTCTGTAATGTACGGGTGATTTCTTGAGCTCTCTTGGAACAGCTCGGAGAGTAGTCTCTTGTTATTGTCTGTTGAATGAGGGGACTGATCGGGTGGCGCCGAGGGATTTTGGGGATGAATAGGAGTGGTTCCAGCAGATGGGGTAAAATCTGAGATGAAATTTTTTTTACACAAAATCAATGACTGAAATATGGAGTAATGACATGAATTTCACTCACTAATCCCAAATGCACGGTAAAATCCAAACAACTGTCTATAAAATAAGATGGTTTCCCGAATCTTGTCTATGCATAAGATGTCTAGAAAGGCATTGAAACTTCATCCTAATCCTTTGAGCATATAATGTTTACCATGGCAGCGAAGAAACAAGGAGAGAGTTCATGATCTTACCACCATTAATGCTTAAGAAATCGTCTTCGCAGTCAGACTCCAACCAAGGGTGGGAATCGAAGAATTTTTCCTCTTCGATACCTGCAATATCGACACACATCACATGCAAAATCAGAGATAACGACATAGTTCATAGTACACAATATGTATGAGAGAAAATTCACAATTCCGAAAGTTTGTAAACTACAATCACTAAAGTAGCCAATCCATTGTAACTCAGAATCTGATCTGACCTGAGCCCACAAAAGATAATTAATGGGAAGTTTTCATATACTCAGCCAATATAAGAAAAAATTCATTACTTTTTGTTAATCACAATCATACTAGCAAAGGTAAACATTCGAGGTATGGAGGTGGTAGTTGAAGAACAGAACTATCGATGTCTCGGAAGCTGGAAAATAGAAGGGATAAAAATGGGAAAAGAAAAAAAAGAAACAGCAAACTAGACTGATTAAAAGTAGTATAAGGTAAAATTCAAAATATCAAAGCCTAGAACATAGCAACAAGGCACTTGGAATATATATAACATTCAGATTTTAATATTGGAAGCTTATAAAACTCCGAGCCCATTCGTACAGATTTAGAAAAGAAGGTCCACCCGTATCTTTCTCAATGTCATCTAACTCACCTCCCATCAGACTCTATGCATTTGAATCTTACAATACTCTTCTATTTTCTTATTGAAACCATAATCAGGTTGAGGCCTTACTTTCATCCCTTTTGTTTTACTATAGGAATAGCTAGAACATTTACAGAATGGCTTAAGTGTGGCCATTGTCATTAATATTTGAGGTTTATAGGTATGATTAAATGTGAATAAATTTGGTAGTTGAGAAATCTTATTTGCAGACCAAAAACTCAAATGTTGTAGCTGTACTTTCACATCATAGCATTATTTCAAGTCTTTATTTTGGATCAGCTAAACAGTAATATAATTAATATGGCAATAGCTAGTTCCAGTCATTTAGTAAGTTCCTTATTTTATTTAGAAAAAATGTGCATTTCAAGAAACTAAGTGCATCCCTACACCAAGAAAGGGTAAAAGACAGTTGAATTTCTACGACTTTAGATATGAGCAGAAGTAGACTTTTAATTCCTTACAGTCTGTCACAGTGATAAAATCTCCATTGATGTCTTTATCTAATTATCTGACAATATAGCTAGAATCTTTAAATGGCATAATAACCAGTGTGTGTGTGTTCAAACATGTGAAGAAGAGTTAACTAAGCCAAGGATATGCAGATTCTCAAATAGCTAAAACATGGCACCATCATCAAACTTCACTTCAGTAAACAGCAAGCATCGTTAGACCACAGACATAATCGAAGAACAGTAATGAGATTGAACTTAATCAGAAGCCATAAGTTCTCCAACTGTATCTCTACAATTTCAAAATTCCCCAAAATCCAAGTAATAAACAAATAATCACTAACAAAATCCGTATCCATAAAGCAAGCCAAAGAGTATACGAAGAGTAGCCGGCAGAAGATCATGGTTTACTCTCGAAAATGAAACCGAAAAGAAAGGAAGAAAACAATAAAATCAATAAGTAAATAAATAGATAAAAACCATACACACCAGCGTCGCAGAAGCGCCGCGGCGGCCATTGAGGATCGAGGGGCAAGTGAGCAACGGCAGGATCAGCGGCGTAGAGCGTCCGTACAGGAGACATGATCAAATGCTTGCCATTGTTAGAGCCAACAGAGCAGCGTTGGCTGATGGCGGACTCCGGGGGTTTCGGAACCCCAACGCAGGAACCCATATACAGTATGTTGTTTGTAGAAAGACAAATAAATCAAATCAAAATTGCAGAACTGTATCTAATCTAACACGCCTAATCGGCAAAACAACAGCAGTGTGGACTCTACTTTGCTTGAACAGAGAAGGAAACAAAAAGTGATTAGAGAAAGTGGGGATGAGAAAGAGATAGTTTGTGAGAGTGAGAGAGCTGGTGGGGGACCAGGCCGAGTTTCAGCGTTACGTTTACTGCTACTTCTGGATGGCCATAAATGTATATATACATACATACATATATATATAAAAGCTTTGCATAAAGCTTTCATGGCGAGAAAAATTAACAACGTATGAATCTGATCCAGGAATCGATATGAACTAATCTAAGATTTTTAACAATGTATCCTCATAATTAACCAATGAAGGAATCAGTTATGCTGGTAGTGAACTGAGGACGATGATCAGCTCGGCTGGAATGCAACTGTATGTATATATATCACATATAAATTTTATTTTATTTAAATATTGAATTTGAATAATTAATTAAAATTTATTAGAATAATAAATAATTTAATAAAATTTGAATTTATTCAAATAATAAATAAAAAAAAAAATTAGAGTTTCGTGTATATATATATAATTTAAATTAAATCAAAATTATCACAATAATTACTTAATGCAAAAAAATTATGATATTCTCAACTGCGAAAGTCATCACAATAATGAAACGTGACCTTAATTACATAGTCGTAAACAAGTTCATTATATGCAAACACACTAAATATTTTATGATGTCTTAAAAGTACTAATAGTCGATCCAAGCTATTAGTAAAGTGATATAGCCACAATTACATACTAAAGTGAGTTTGGATCGGCTATTAGTACTTCTAAGTACATTAGTTTGGATTTGCTTATTTTTTTTTTATGAATGACGTAGAAATTCGCAGTCGCTACACCACTAGATCATCCTTTATGAGATTAGTTTGGACTTGTTTACAACTATGTAAGTGAGGTGACGCTTCAATCTCCGCTGCTGCATATATTTGAGTGTCATTTGGTTTTATTCTTCCGCAACCGTAGTTGCGGACCTCCAATGTAAATGATTGTGGATTCTAGCTTGGTTCTTTACATTGAATGTCTATGGCTATTATCCGTCTCTCATCAAATAGTTATAGTTGTTGATTAGAAACAAAGATGATGATAATGACCGGCTTTCACGTTGCTTGCTTGCAGGTTAGAAATCTTTTTTGGATGTAACAAAATATATGAAATTACATTTAGTTTTGGATCGTAGATATACGTAATAAATCGATCATGTTCCTGTAAATATATATATATATATGTTTTTCGACTATGGTAAAAGTTTTTTCTGACTCTAATTCATTTGAAAATACTGTTTCTGATTCTGTTACGATGGACTATTGTGATTGCATCATCTTCTATCTTTTGTCTCTTTTTGCACTCAAATTGATTTATGTTATAAGTTTTGAGGAAATATTAAAATATTTTAAATTTGTTAGTTTTATATTTGGTATATTATTTAAATTTGTGTTTATTGAATATGTTTTATATTTTCGTATATAAACTCTTTATTTTAATGATTAAAGCAGTATAATTTCATAATTTTTTTCATAAATTTTAATAAATATAATACCTTTTAAATAGTAATTAATAATAAAAAAAAACTCACAATAATAACTCAAAAAAAAAGATTTATTGATTTGAAAAAAAAAAGTTGATTTGAATTTAATATTTAAATAATACTTAATTAGATATTTTATAAAAAAAAATATATATTTATTTTTTGAAAAATATAAAGTTTAAATAGTAAAAAATGAAAGGTTTTGATCATAAGAATCAGAGCTCAAACATGCAGTAATATCTCAAATAAAAAATAGGAACGTTGATTAGACTAGCAACTAAGGAGATATATGTCATGCTTTTTCTAGTGATTAATTACTTACTTTCTTCTTCTCAAATAAGATGCAATATTTATTTGGGTACGAATTTTTAGGTGAATAGTATTAAGTAAAATATTTAAAAGTTAAGTAATGTGATAAAAAGAAAAATATATATTTTATTTTATTTTTTTATTTATGTGATCGAATGAAATAAAATACAGAGTAGAGATTAAGTATAATTAATTATTTTTTATTTTAAAAATACTAAAGAGTGAACGAGACATACCAAAAAGAATTACACGACCACGGGAGTACATATTTTCAGTCTTGTTTTGACTTTGATACTTTGACTAAGGTAATGATAGTAATTATTATACTCTCAAATATCTCAATTCGATATACATTTTTTATTATTAAATTTAAAAATATCAATTTTTAATAATAATAAAAATAATTTTTTTTATATAAACTATTACTATTATTTTTTTTATTTTTAAATATAAAAATATACAGTAATATTTTATATCACAAAAATATAACATTAAAATTATTAAAAAAATTAAATCAACATTTCATTTCAAATCAATATCAAACATCTGTCAAACAAACTCCTAAATATCCTAATATTATTTATTCAATTTTATTTTCATATTAAGTAAACTCATACCAAATGCTTACTTATTTTTTCCCGCATTATTGGGTTTGTTTGTCTATCTATTTTATATATATATATATACTATAATTTACAATATATTTTTTATCTTTTTATAAAAATCAATATTTAATATAAAAATATTATTTTTATATTATTTATATTATTCTCTTTACTTTACATAAAAAAATCAAATTATAACACTAAACAAATTGTAGTTACTCAAAAATCTCGCAAATAATAAATCAGGAGAAAAGTGAGACAAAAATAAAAAAATAATAAAAAAATAAAAGGAAGCTGAACAAGAAATTGAAAGAGAATGAAAACAAATTGCAAACTTCATTAAAAAAAGATCCCAAATCGCAAATAATAAATCAAAAAAAAGGAGAAAAGTAAGACAAAAATAAAAGAAAACAAAAAAATAAAAGGAAGATAGACAAGAAATTAAAAAATAATTAAATAAAATAAAAGTAATAAGAAAATTAAGAAAAGAAATAAATTCTATAGAAATTAAAATTTATATGGAAAATAAAAAGATAAAAGATGAGGGAGTATTCATGTCTCCTTACCACTATTTATAATTTATTAATATTTTAATAAATTATTTAAAATCAAATAATATTTTGGAACTAACAAACAAACAAACTCATTATATATACTCCATATATCATTTAAATATATATATATATTTTTTTTAATGATTGTAAACAAATATTCTCATTTTACATTTAACAAAAATATATTTACTTTTTGTAATTTTTATTATACTAAAAGACAAAACGTGACAATTATTATTTATTTTTATTAAAATTTATTATTATTTATTTTTACTAAAATTTTGTGTCCAAATATTTGAGCATACAATTGAACCATAAAAAAAAATTAAATTAGTTTTTTTTTATTATTAATCAATATTATTATTATTACTATTATTTTGTTAATATTGAATTTATTAATAATTTTTAAAATAATAATTACATTTTTTATTAATAAATATATATATATATATATATTCAGTATCATATATCAATTGTTATTAAAAAAACACCCACTAAACACACTCTTAGAGCATCTCCAACCGACCTCTATTTATGGTGTTTCAATTCCATTTTTGCCGCAATGCTGCTCCAACCATACGCCATTTCATGCACCAAATTTATTTATTTATTTTTTTTAAATTTTTTAATTTTTAAAAATTATAATTTTAATTTTAATTTTTAATTTTTAATTTTTTTTTAAATTTTATTTTAAATTATAAAAATAAAAAGTTGTTTAAAATAATAGGAAAAATTGAATATTTGAAGAATAATAGTGAAAAATGGAGTTATGGTTAAACTAAAATTACCGTAGCAACTGCATATTTGAAGTTAAAACTAGATAAATGAAGGTAATGGATTGCAGATGGCCTTATGTATATATTGGCGTATTGTGTTTATTTTTTATTTTCACGTGGATCGTTGCAAACTGTTATTACAGTTCAAACATGCATTAATTAAAGAAGATTACTTATTTTACGCATTACATAACTCATTGTTTTTTATACTATTTTTATCCTAAATTTTTTATTATTTATTTAATTTAAAATATTAAAAATTTACTATATACTAACTTTGTTCTCTTTTAAACTTTTTAAAAATAATTTATAAGGTATTATAAATAAAATTATCAAAACTATGACATTTTAAAAACTGCAGCAAAAGGATTTTTTTTTCTTTTTTTTAAAAAAATAGAGTTCAAGAGAATTATATATATATATTTTGTAGAATATTACTCTCGTCCATCAAATCTATGTTTGTTTTTTTTTTTTTACTTGTCCACTTCTATTTATAACAAATAATTTTTATACATTTCTTAATTTATATTAAATAGCGTTGCATGAGGACATTTGCGACTTGAAGTAGGAGAATATTATACGGGTTCACTATTGGCTCCAAGTTCTCGGTCATAGTTGTGTGAACTTTTTGTCCTGTACGATAGATTGATGACATATGTCTTGGTGCAAGTACGTATTATGTATAATTCTCTCATATAGTATATCAATGCTTGTTGCGCACAGAAGATAATTGGTCTAGGCCTCAATACGGGCGGGGCCTAAGCGCCGAACGTGTTAGCATCCAAAGACGTTACATATGGTAGCAGAACAGACTTTGACGTCTATCCAAAATTTTATTTTATTTTTTTAACTTATATACTTTCTAAAATATTAAATGGTATGTTTTTTTTTTAATGTTGTTTGGAAAATTTTGGTTTGAGTTCGGTATTAAAATAATGTACGATGAGATGTTTTGTGAAAGAAAAAATATATTTTTTTGATAAACCGAGAATCCAAATAGTAAAAACTTGGGGTTTGGGATTAAAGAAACAAACACTTTATGTCATAATTAATGAATATAATATACTCCATCGTCTCAATACAATAGTGTTGTTTATCATTTTTGTCTGTCTCAAAATAATAGTCTTATTTTCATAAATAATCATATCACCGTAAAATTATCCCTACTTTTTCATTTTTATTACACAATTGTCACTATTTTTTACACAAGTATATTCACAAGAGCAAAAAAGTCTTTTATCCATCCTTTTTACCAACTACTAATATAATATCAATATTCATTAAATTCCGTGTCCAACCAATTAAGACTATATTTACGGGAGCGAAGGATTAATATTTACTAAAAATTCGTATTCAATTCATATGAGTACGACCGTTGAATTGATTTGTTCTTTTTAAGTAATCAAACAATTTACTTTCGTAGTCATCACTCTCTTCGTCACAACTAATAATAAAATAATAATTCATATAGGTAGAAGTCAAGACGAGGCCCTCTTTCTCGAAATTAAATATTCAGTTGTTTTAAAAATATTAATATTATATTAAAATATAGTAGGAATAAAGTAAAAATGACTAAAATAATCTTATTAGTATGTACGATATAAATATAATGATATTTATGTAATATATTGTAAATTGTAAAGATATTTGTAATGTTAAACAGATAGTATAATTTGAAACATGAAGTGAAGATAAAAAAAAATTAATTAATATTTATTTATTTAATTAAAAAAATCAATGAACAATCATCATCAGCTACAAAACCCTAAAACTAAAGAATCATATATGTCGTCGATCAGAAAATATAGAGAATTCACAAACTGATCGACCTAGGAATAAATACATACATATATATATATATATATAAATCAAGCTGGAAGAAACAGTAGCTATGGAGGAGATGAAGATCAGGAGGAGGAGGAGGAGGGGGACATCATGGCGACGAACTCATGAAAGCTGAGGACGCCATCGCCATTGAGATCAAAAGAAGCTATCATTCCTCTGCAATCTTCAACAGTAATGGCGGTCTTCTCCCCCACCCCCAGTCTGCTCAGCATTCTCCGCAGGGATTTAGGCGTGATACATCCGCCGGCGCCGGCGCTCTCCTCGTACATCCCGAACGCCGCCTTCAAATCTCTGGTCTTCTCCTCCTCTCCGGCCGCCTCCACTATCCGCAGAAAATCTTCCAGAGACAGCAGGCCGTCCCCGTCGGAATCCATGGCCGCCACGGCGGCCGCCGCCTCCTCCGGCGTCATCTCCGCTCCAATAGAGGCCAGGCACTGGAGCAGCTCCGCGGCGCATATCTTGCCGTCCTTGTTCGCGTCGAAGTGGCTGAATACTCGGTTGTACAATTGATCTTCCATCAATTGATTTGTGTATTATAGAGCTGCAGGCAATTAATTGGGGAAGACGAAGATGTGATTGATTGTAGTGTAAATTGAAGTGAATTGTTGGAGAAGATGAGATGTGTCGTGAGGATTATTTATAGTCAGTTATTGAACAAGGGGGAAAAGGATGAGCGTGGCGTCAGGGCTGACCCAACGGAACACACAGAACCGAGTCTGTTGACTTTCCAGAACTACACGTTTATTTATTTTAATTAATTAATTAAACTGAGTAAGTATGTTTTACGATACGGGTTGGATACGGTTAAGACATTAGACATCCCACCAACACGCCTCACCCTCACCCACTACTGCCTTTGTTTTTACTTCTGCCCAACTCTCTTCATTTTTACTGATTTCTATGCCATTTTTATTTTAAATTATTTTAGTATTATTTTTTAAAAAAAAAAACAAAAAAAAAAAAAAACAAAGGTGTGTTTTTATTGGTACGAAAGTTTGAACTTTTATTAAATTAATACTCCCTCCGTTCTATAAAATTAGTCCAATTTCTTTTTTAGCACGTAGTTTGAGAAATATTGTGTCAAATAGTTAATTAGTTTGATTAATGAATGTAATAAAATGTTATATTAAATATTTTTTATTTGATAAAATATTAAATTAAAAGTTAAAATATTTTTTATTTTAATTTTTAAATATTGAATTTTTTATTTACGGATATTATTTTTAAAAAATTATAATTATTATATTTATTGTAAATCAATACATGCATTTAGATTAAAAAAAAATAATTTTAATAACTTAAATGTAATTTATACAATAAAAAATTAATAAAAAAATTATATCAACAATACATAAAATTTGTCGAATTTGGTTGTTCTTAGAGATAGTTTGTTATGACATACTAAATTTAATATCACATCCCATTCGTACCGTATAAAATTTTTGGTATGATATTTTACCGTACCGTAGTATACCGAATTTATGAATAAAAAATACTGAATTACGGAAATAACATGCATACTCGTAAAAAAAATACGAAGAAATTTCAAAATTTCGATACAATATGACTTTTTTTTGTATAATAACGATATACAATAAGATATTTTCAGTGTATATAGATAATTTAAAAAAATGGTATTTTTGTATATTGATACAATATCGATATATTTTTTAATAAATTAAAAATTTTGGTACGGTATACAATATATTTCAATATTTTCGGTATGCTATCTCAAATTATCTCTAACTAAATTGTATATTCTACATTAGAATATAATATTTTACGTCAAATATCAAAATTAAAAATAAGTTTATAATTTTGCTTTATAAATAAATTCTATTTTTTATTTTTTTTGAACAACAAAATCAATATCAAATCTCATTTTTAATTAAATTTTCAGCCATAAAATTTTAAATCAAATATCAAATTTTATTATATATTACATTAAAATTTAATTTTAAAATTAAATGAATATTTATTTATATAATATTAAATATTTATTATTTTTATTATTCAAAATTTTAATCCAACTTCTAAATTTACAATTAACAAATAATAAAACTAAAGATATTAGTAAGTTAATAAAATATAGTTAAGTTTTTTTTTAATTAGAAGTATTAGTTATTAATTATTACTAAATAAGAAAGTGAACTAATTTCATGGACGGCTAAAAAATGAAAAGTTGACTAATTTCGTGGAGTATTTAATACTCACTCCTTCGTAAAAAAGACTAAAATACCTTGTTTTTTTAATGATTTTAAAAAATAGATTAGATTAATAATTACGAGTACTTTAGAAAAGTAGAAATAATTTTGTTATAAAGTGAATCACGATTACTGAATAAGGAAATAAGACAATTCTTTAGGAATGAACAAAAATGGAAAAATAAGATAACTCTCTTCGGACGGAATGAGTATTATTTAATAAAAATAATTTTAAATTAACATTAAGATAACTAGTTAGTATAATTAAAATAAAAAAAATTAAATTTTTTAAAATAAAATTAAAGCTTATAATACATTCTCAAAAGAAAAAGTGACAGCAGTGTCTTTGTTTGGAGATTTGAATTTTGAATTTGAAATAAAAATTTTAAATTTGAATAACTGTATGATGTAATGTTTTAAATATAAAATTAATTTTTAGTATAATATAAAAAATAAAAAACAAGTATTTTGATTTGATATTTTTTTGGAGAAAAAATAGAAAAAATAGTGTAAAATCCAATCCCAAACAAACACACCCATAGTGAAAAATCACTAAAATTCAAATAGTAACTATTCATCCCTCAATGTAGAAGAGTAAAGAGAATGAAATAGCATACCACACACACATATATGTACATTCCTACTTAAGGTGTAAGTCGAAAACCTCGAGTCGCTTCGAAACAAATAGATACTGAAGTCGAACAGCATTCTTGTCCTACATACATGTTCAAACTGGTACTGTCGATCCTACCTCAGCTCGATCCCTACATATATCATTCGCAATTTATCCACACATCGCGCAGAAGTTTATACCTCAAAGCAGTATTTCCACTTGATCTGTTATCATTCTCCACCGATGCCTTCCCACGGATGATGGAGTTCAGCGGAGAATCTAATTCCTCCAGCTCGTCATCACTCGTCTGCGACTTCTTCAGAACTGATGATCGGCTCCGTCTCAGCACAACTTGATCAGACTGACCACCAAACTCTCCCAGCTGCAGGATAGCAGCTACTGCTACAGCTGCAGGTGGCTTGTACACAATTGGAGCAGCACCGCAGGGGAAGTTCATAACAAGGCCGTCACCCTGATCCTCCTCTTCTGCCAACTGATTACAATGATAATTACGACAATGTGTTAATGAGCAAAGAGAGGGCACAATGAAATGAATGAATGCAATTGTTTTGTCATTTCCGCTTTGATCACAAGAAAAATGAAGATGGAGCAAACCTCTGAATTTAAGGCCTGGAGTACGACTGCAGGAATTGGGTCGGGGCAGAATTCATCCGGGGAAAATGAGTTGAGAACCGTCGCTATTATTGGTGGGCCGAATGTAGGGCACACCTGGCAATTAACAAATTTGGATGAATAAAAGGCAATAGTCTCTCCCTCTCTCTCTCTCTCTCTATATATATATATAGGGCATGGGATCAACTACATGAGTGACTAGCATATATTTATATATATTTCAGCATATTTATAATACTACATATATTATATTATAACTCAATATATGCTATTTTTTAACATAACATACGTTGATATGTATAAACATATGATAGTCACCCATATAATATATGTTGATCCGGTATATACATATATTAGTGTGTGTATGTGTGCACGCTAATAAGACATGGAGTTTTGAGGTAAACCTCTTTTCTGACAGTTTGGCTTAATAGCAAGTCCTTGGGAAGCATCATAAGATCACTGAGTGCATTGAGCAGACGGAAGGACTTCGATGGTGCATCCTGATCGGTACCCTCATTATCACTTGTAATCTCCAAGTCGGACTTATCTTCAACCAAATCATCAGAGTCATCAATGCCAAAGAGATCAGTAAGCCATCTGGACCAATTTCCAATCTGTCACACACAAAAACATGAATAGTAGTAACAGGTGCTGCAGTCCAATGTAGCGATGACATCATATATTGATGGAATGGTGCTATGTAATAAAAGCTCGTTTCAGACATCTTCTCACCGCAGTTTTCAGTTGAGCACCAGCACCAAAGCTAGCTTTCCCAGCTGGAATGGGAAGGACTTTGGCATCGCTGATAGGATCAGCAACAGGATCTGTTGGAATTTCATCTGCTGATTCTCGAAGGATGGCATTGAACATAGCCACGTCTAGTCTAGCTACCAGTTGCTCCATTATCTAGTCACATAAGAGTGAATCACCAATCAGGTTTCACAGACTTGAAAGATCGATGTAACAATGAATACTTCTACATAGTCATGCTCAGATATAGTTGTTTAAGTTTGCTGTTTGAACCACTATCGATAGTCTTTTTACTTTCGGGAAATTTATCAAAGTGGTCCTAAGTTCCAGTCTTTTCGTATAAAACTCAAGCAGAAAGAATATGGCAGAAGTTTAGCGGGGCATAGCAAAAATATCATGATTGATGTATGCATCTTTTCTTTTCGTGAGTCATGGACAAATGAGCTAAAGATAAGATAAACAACCGAGAATAATTTACCATGCATGTAATATAGTTTCAGGAATTAACATAGATTCTTCAGTATTGCATATTAACGAATAGGCATGTAAGAAAGTACCACTCTCGAGAGTACAGGCAAGCAGCTACAGTCATGTCCTCCAGCTCGAAGAGGACATATCTTTTCATATGCATCACGGAAAGCCATTTTCCAGAGTTCTGTAGAAAAGTTACCCTGCTGTTGATCAATGGAACTGCATGTTCTTTGAAGTGTCTTGTTAGATTCAGCATCCAAACTGCTACGAATCACTTCAGCATTACCAGGCTGCATATGTGGTGTAAAAGTCTAGGGAAGAAAATCCGAGAACAACTTAGTGAGATATTCGCACAGACATTTAATTGATGTCAGGAAAAATCTTAACTACATCAATTAGTATACTATACTCCTGAGTTCATATGTAAAATTATCAACACAATCCATATAACATGAGAAGAAAAAAAAAGTAGAAAGAAAAGAGTACCTGCCACCATATAGACTCAATAATACGGGAAAATATCCATGCTTCAATCTTTTCCAATGCAGCCACAAATGTCACAGGATTCCTCCAATCACCAAAGCCTTCCTCGATATAAATTTTTGTACCATTCTTGGGGAAGGATTCCCATTTAAGTGGAGAAGATTTTTTCTTCCCGTTCAAGTTGTCCTCTGTCGCAATAACAGGTCCATCAGCAGTGGGCAGCTTACTGTCCCCGAAGGATGTGCTCATAATCACTCTCAGTACAATGGAATTTGACAGCCAGAAAGTTAGTCTGTATCAGCCGAAAAGGAATTATAACATTATATACACAGGCTGAGAACATGTTTACTTGTAAAATATTATTCCTGACAGATTAATTGAGCAGTAGGGTGTGCTTTAGCGGACAGAAATATCCTTGATTCTATGATGTAAGATTGTGCTTCCAAAGCAACCTCTTGAATTACACATGCTTTAAAAAAAAAGGTGTAAACTTAAAAAGAAGATTGAAAGGAACTTACAACTATATTCATTTAAATCAAACTCAAAAAGGAAACAAGTTTTGGAAGAATCATAATGTGCATGTTCATACCTTGGGACATCATTTCCGCATGCTTTGGAAACTAAAACTAATCCAGAGACGATGCTTTTTGCAGCACTCCCTCTTGACTCTGAACTCAGTTTGCTGGCATAAAAATAGGATCTTACGAGGCGTCGAGCTGGAGCGTGAACTTTGGTCATGGAACTTCCATGTTCTGCAATCACAGAATATAGACCAACTTCTATGGCAGCAGCTTCCCTCAACTCTCCCTCCAGGATTTTAATTCTGCGTTCCAAATGCTGGAGTTTACTATCAGAAAGCAGGCTTCTTGAATCCTTCAATGCATCTTTACACTCATTGCTCATTGAACTTTGAGCAGGAAGACACTGATTGCTCTGAACTGATACATGATTCCAACTTGAGTCTCCTAGTGATCGAACTGACTTCCCATTCTTTGATGTATCAATATTTGAAATACTGACACAACTTGCAGAAGTTTCCTTGACATTATTAAGTGAACTATTGTCCAATGATACCTGCTTCTGAATATCGACTTCAGAATCGCAATTCAATAAATTGTTCTTAGGAAACTGCTCTTTCTCTTCACAGATACTTATCTCTTCTTCATAAATTTGAACTTCTTCTGTGGTCTTTTCTTCTGTAGTACCATTGTGGGGCATGTTTGGTTTTTCAGTGCTGGGTTCTTCTATATGCACATCACCCTACAAGGGCCAAGAAAAAGATGTTCATCCGTTTGGCAATCTGAATATGTAAGGGATTGTAGAAATTGTTGGTACCTTGGGACCATTTACAGCATCCTTCTGATTGCATTCTGCTTCTTTTTCAGAACCATTTTTTCCATTGTAGGAGTTCTGCTGTTTTTCTGTGTCCAGTGCAGCTGATAACTGCACAATTTGAGAGAAGATTCTACATTCAATCCAAGAGTGATTAGAAGACAAATTGCCAATGAAGAACAGGAAGCAGTCACCTCTAATTTCACACTAGATTCACTCACCTGCTCCTTGTTTGTTTTGGCCTCTCCAGCAGCACCATTTACAGATGTCCCATCCTGCAGTTTCAAACATGTTATCAAATAATCATAAACTGCATTTCAAGAGAACTGAACCACATAATGTCATTCAACATCATGCACACACAGGCAGTCGGATTCAATGCCACATTCTATTGATATTCTATTGGTATTAGTTTTGATTGTGGGGATCTCTTTCAGAAAAGAGAACTTCACCCTCATAGTAGAAGTGGCTGCACTGCTGCAGCAACAAAGATATAATGAATGGATAAAACAATAAAGTAATAAACTGATTATTACCTTTTTCAATTGAGACGGCGAACTCCCGTTGGATTCTGAAACAGCAGAAATAACACCGGCACCAACAGATGAATGTGAGGAAATGTCATCATCTGTGGAAAAGGGGGCACCCTCCACTTCTTCAGCATATTCTTCACTCATAACAGAAACTGAATCATAATTACTCTGCCCCAATGAATCTTCTCTCACAAAGCTTTCTCTTGTGGAGTTACTACGGCCCCTACCAACTGACTGAAGTTTCAAGTAAAGAAGTGGCTGCACAGCGTTCCAATATGTCCGCTTGCAGTTTATCGGAATACTGACAGACAAGGTTTCTTTAACAACACCAAGTGCTGCTAAGTCAAGAACAGCAGTTCCCAGCAGCTGACCTTTAACTGCTTTATCACGACGGGGTTCATAAAGATTGAAATCAATGCAATTCTTATGAAATGCATGTCCAGTTTTTCGTTTGACAGACACATCTCGCATTAGTGTAACTGGAAGCCTAAAAGACTCGTTGAATTCAATTCTACCATCACCAACACCTGTGCCGGCCCCAAGTGAAGGTACAACTTGACTGCTTAGTCCAGAACTTCGATCACCATGTTCCCATTGAATCTGAACAGCACGGAGTGTCCTAAGGGACTGAGTAGGGGGCCAGGGTTTAATCTCCTCAATATTAATTATGTAGTCAAGCTGAACCGAAGAGCTTTTCTGGGTTCTAGTCCTTGTACCTTGAGCCATTTCAAATTCTTCTCAGCAGCAAGTTTCGCCCCTCAAATCAAATTGAATCACAATAAACCCACAAAATGATGCTAAAGAAAACAAGATCTCCTGCAAGAAGGCATTGTAAACTTCTTACAACATTAACATATACAAGTTGTGCCACACAAAACATTACAAGGATTACACGCACACACATACACAAAAATAAAACTACCTTAAAGCTTCATACGTAGCAGCTCAGCCAGTTGGGGGCAAAGCTTTCGCCAAACCAGTTGGGATGGTATATCGCGAAAATTTGAAGCGTCTTTGAAAGAGTCTGTGCACAATACACTGCAGACAGTACATTTCAGGAAGCACCTTTTGACAGCAAACAGCTCAAATTACGGCATCCAAAAAGGCCTGCCTCAGTGCCAGCAACACTGTTTCAGTAAAGGAGATTCAACTCTTGTGCTACAGAACACTGCATATTTTTCTACTCACTAAAGAAGAGAATCAGGCAAGAAGTACAGAGTAAAATGTGAGTGTAAGGAAAAATATAAAGAGTGTCAGAAAAAGTGAAAAGGTGCTTCTTGTAAACAGCAGGGGATTTTGTATTCAGATGTGAGAAGAAGGGAGCGAGGAAGAAAGTGTGTGGGGGCGAATTTTTTGTTCAAGAACACCAGTATGGGTTTTGGAAAAAAAAAAATAATAAGTTTCTTTACAGAGTCACAATGGTCCAGAAAAACAAAACAAAAAAGAATGTTAATTAAACATGTTCAAGAAACTCATCAACACCCCCAACAACTTCCTCAGGAGTGCCAGAAGATCCTTTGCTGTTAATATGGATTATTGCAGCAAATTCAAATCTGGTTTCCTAATCAAACTGCCGTGCGTAAATGGCTATTGATTAATAAATTTAAACCTACAAAAAGTTATGCAAAATATTTAATACGGTTTTGAAAACAAGAGAGAGAGACCACTGAAAACGAGAGCTTAATATAAAATTACACATCGTTTTAGGCAAAGAGTGTCGGTGGCCGGACAAAGGACAACATCATAATCATTTAGCAAGAGAAAAACCGCGCGGCAGCAAGCGCGTCATTCACCAATAACCATAGATAAGAATATAAGATAAAGAATGACAACAAAACAACACGACCATAGGCACAACGCCAACTTGAATTCTGTACTGACGCAATTAAAAAAAAATAAATGAAAATAACTCATTACCCACTACGACACCAGCGAGAATCTGAGGCAGAATGACAACATCGGGTTCCAATGCATAGATTTCAGAAGCTCTAATTTTCACGCAGAGCTGTTCCAAGGAAGCAAGCATTTGTAGTTTGAACGGTGGTTGCTGCAGCAGCGCAAATAATAGAATAATGGAGGAGGCAGCAATGATATAAAGTTGCTGGCAGCAGTGTACTGTAGCGCCTCTGTCGTGTTATACTAGGAGGACAGTACTGCAGGCCAGGGGCGGCTCAACTCAAATCATCGCAGCAAATTATTACTCTTACGATTACGGATGGGACGAGACGGGAGAGGCTTGAAGGAAGTGTCCAATTAGACGGAATTAGGGCCCGCCATTGGCCATCGCTAAATCCCCTTCCCCTTCCCCAGCCTCCATTCTTGTATCTTCTTCCTTCTATTTATCAGGCTGTAGCATTCTGAAGCGTGCCTGTGGAATTCTACAAGCGAACAATGAAGGCTTACTTTCTTCTCCAGCGAAGCATTTTTTACAATGTTCTTCTGCGTACGCCATTTGCAGGCTTCTTTTAGCTCCGACAAATGAAGAAGGCAAAAGGTGGGCACTGGGCAGTTGTCGAACCAGAAGACCCAAAAAAAAATAAAAAAAGAAATTGAATTGATCGTGGGCCTGTCACAAGAATCGAAGCCCCTAAAAATGGCCCAATTTATGGTAACGGGTCGGGCCTAAGTGGATCGAAGCGGCCCGGCCCGGCTCGGAAAGCTTCCATATGAGTTTTTTTTTTTCCGCAAATGGGAGTTCGTCTCCTTCGACGCCCACGCACAAAGAGAAGCGCTGCATAGAAGCTCTGTTCACGCCATTGGTAGCGAAGGAAAATTCTAGCTGAAAGGAACGCCTAAGCCTGATGAATCTTAATATTGGCTCGGCGGAGTCCCTGGTGGCTCAAATCCAAGGGCACTCAGGGAACATCGCCGACCTAAATAATCTCCGGAACTACTTGAAGCAGTTCGACGATTTTCTCCACTCCGAGGCTGCTCACCTCCCTCCTCTGCTTAACGAACTCGATCCAGCGCAGCATTCCCTTGGCTATCTCTATCTTTTGTACGTACCCTTCCTTTTTTGCCCTAACCCTTTCGCCCTAAATGTAAATTCAGCCCCTCTCTCCCTGCTTGCTTCCGGATTTGTTCTGATTGGATGAGTTTATCGTGTGCACGTTGCGTGTGTTGTGGTGACCTTTGCAAAGGTTTAAAGTTCTATTTTGTTGTCGGGGTGGTTTTTGGGTTAATCCCTCAGTAGGCTTTGCTGTAACATAGACCAGATATAGAGTTAGGGATGTAGTTCTCGTAATTTTGATCGTTTCATTTTCCTGAAATGCCTGATGATTTATATTCTTGTGCGTCAGATGGTAAAATGGATGCGATGCATCATCTCCGTGTTATGTTTCGATGTAGATGCTACACTTTTCTTGATTCTTCTGTGTTTACCGGTTTCTTTCAATTTTTGCAAATATTTTGTCCCCAGGGAAGCTTGTACGGATGGTCCACTTTCCAAAGAGCACTCCAATGAGTTCATCCTTACTGTAGCCAGATTTATCAATGTGTGCTCTGCCGAGCAAATCCGATTGGTACCTGATAAATGTATGTCTATTGTTGAACTTATAATGAATTTTTTGGCTGCTGATCTCTTACTGATTAAAGAATTCCGGTGGCCACTTGACCTGCAGTTATATCTGTTTGCAAAAGGTTGAGGGATCAAATTATGTTGCTTGATGAACCCATTCGTGGTGTGGCTTCAATGTTGACAGCGTTGCGCAAGCTCCAAACATCTACTGAGCAGTTAACAACCTTGCATCCTGACTTTCTTCTCCTCTGTTTATTATCGAAATGCTACAAAACAGGACTTTCCATTTTGGAGGATGACATATTTGAGATTGATCAGCCTCGTGATCTTTTTCTCTATTGTTACTATGGGTATGCCGCCTTAGCTCTCCAGAGTTATTCCTTTTTCTCCTTTTGTTATCTGATCTCATTTAACATAACAAATAAGGTTTTGCATTCTGTTCAATAACCATCATAAGATTCATAACAAACTATCTTTTTACTTGCACTCTATGATTTCATATTTCCTAAACATGATAATTGTATTATTTTAATTCAGCAACGTCGAGATCTTTAGTTTGATAATGTTTATAAATTTTGACATGCACGCACAGACACATAGCTTTTGGAGTGAGATGTTCAATGTGGATCCACTTTGCTTGATCTATGCTTGAATGTAAATTTGGTGACTTTGACAAGTTCCTTGTCTTGGTTAGTGGAGTCCAAAGATCTTGTGCATTCTTAGCTGCAGTACAGTTTATTAATGTTGAATTATCCAAACTTAAAGCAGTAGTTTTATTTGGTTCTTTGATCTGTAAATGCTATATGTTGTTATTTTCACAAGGGATGTTTACTGATGATGTACACTTTTATATATGGCTGTAGGGGCATGATTTGCATAGGACAAAAGCAATTCCGCAAAGCATTGGAACTCTTACACAATGTATGCAAGCCTTGTTCGGACCATTTTAACTACTGGCTGGCTCCAGAATCTTTTGTTTTTGATGTAGTAACTTTGTAGCTTCAATCTAGCCGTTTCCCCTAACTTTCTTCTTATGGTTTTTAGGTTGTAACTGCACCTTTGTTGATGATTAGTGCTATTACAGTTGAAGCATATAAGAAATACATTCTGGTTTCTCTCATTCATCTTGGACAGGTACTCTGGAACACTTGTGTCAATATAGGATTGTCTTTCTTTTATACAGCTTCAAACTTTCAATTTTTCAATGTGTCTTCAGTGATAATTTTTTGTTTGGCCTATGCATTATCTACATGAGCTAGCAGTTCATTGAAATTAATGCAAACTTCTGTTTTTTATTCTGATTCTGGTGGCAGTTCTCTACCAGTTTCCCAAAGTACACTTCTTCAGCAGCTCAACGGAATTTAAAGAATTACACTCAGGTATATTCTTCAAATCCAAAAACATTTCATTCAGTCTTTTCCAGCAGTTGTTTGGTTGTGAATATCTGTTAACACATTTGTATATACTGCCCTTTTGAATGTTGGCTGTTCAATCGTATAATGCTCGGATGCAAATATTCTCGATGCCTTGCTGTGGCACAAGGAGTAATTTTTTTATATATCTATTTATATTTATTGGGGCTAATTTGGCATTATTCTGCTATTGTAACTTTTAAAAAAAAGGATATTAATATTTTTATTCTATCTTTTTCTAAGTTCTCCAGCTCACAGCCGCTGGCACCTCTTCTAATTGTCATATCTTCTCCGTGCCTCTTATCACTATCTTCAGTCTCCCACCATGTTGTTGGTCGCTTCCAGTCAATCGACTTATAAGGCAGCAGCTATCTCTGTTTTTTCACATAAAACTGCTGCTTTTCTAGTTTATGGTTTGAGTTACTGTTCTTACGTAAATTGGGTTATTTCTTTGTTATACTTATATTTTATAACTTGTGTATTGAAGTTCAATCTTGTCTTATTCTATGTATGTATGCATGTGTCTTGTGTGCATATATGTTAATTGCGCATATTAAAAGTAGATTAATAATTATAGTGCGCACAATGCACCACACTGTGCACTATGTATAACTATGAATCAAATAGATTATAGCGAATATACTGATACCTTATGAAAAATACTGATCAGTATATTAAATGTTAGCGTGTTCCATCTTTTTCCTCAAAGCATGTTTAGGCATGAGTTCAAGCCCTAGCTCATAGTTAAAAATGCAGTGGTTATTTACTTGTTTATTTTTTTCTTGTATAAAGTTTCTGAAGTACCGAATATCAGTGATATAAAATTGGGAAACCACTGTAGTTCATACAAGTTTCTGTTATTTTGGTATATATGTATTGAGGAAAACATATGTTGTTATTATGTTCCAATCACTGCACCTAGACCTCCGTATATCATTATTTATTATAATTCATTATATTATGATAATCATTGTTATAAATATTGTTTGAAATTTGTTATAATATCCTACTAAATGATTTCAACACTACTTTCTGTCTCAAGTTTGGTTTGTGAAGGAGCTCGAAAATCTAGCCCAGCTGAATTTAAACCAAGTAATTTAGATACTTTCTCTTACCGTGTGGTTTAAGATGGAAAAAATATAGTCTCAGTTTAATGAGATATTTCTGCATTTAAAAATCTAGTCCGTTAATATTCATTTTTCCTCCAATATGAGCAGCCATACCTTGAGTTAGTAAGCAGTTATAGTACTGGAAAAGTATCAGAGCTTGAATCGTGTGTTCAGACAAACAGGGAAAAGTTTGAAAATGTAAGTCCCTTTCATTAATGTGTTAATAGATTGAGTTACCGCATGAACTAACATCAAGTCTTGTCCAAAATTTTCTCCACCTTAAGGACAAGAATCTGGGGTTGGTGAAACAAGTCGTGTCTTCTATGTATAAACGCAACATTCAGAGGTTGACTCAGACATACTTGACTCTGTCCCTTCAAGACATTGCAAATACAGTCCAACTCAATAGCCCCAAAGAGGCTGAGATGCATGTGCTTCAGATGGTAGGATGGATTTGATATTCTTATCGATTTATTCTCTCTTTCCAACTGTGAGAACTATTTTTTTAGTGTCATGTATCGTTATGCCTCTTTCCTGGTACAGATTCAAGAGGGTGATATTTACGCCACAATCAACCAGAAGGATGGGATGGTTAGATTCCTTGAGGATCCTGAGCAATACAAAACTTGTGAGATGATCGAACGTATTGACACCTCAATCCAGAGGTGTGTGCACCACCTGTGGAATACCTATAACAGTTAACCCTGTTGAGTTGCAATGCCATATTTAGAGATTAATTTAACTTATGTGGATTACTAACTGAAACATGAAGGCATTGATCAATAGATAAGATAGCACTGCTAAAGTGTTGTGTTGAACTGTGTTTCAGGATTATGATGCTCTCAAAGAAGCTGACAACCATGAACGAAGCCATGTCATGTGACCCATCATACCTAGGGAAGGTATTTCACCAGCTACAATTACATAATCCAATTATTTTAATTTGTTGTATTTCCTTTTTTTCCCTACCATGAGAATGAAGCAGACATATTTGTTTTATCCCTTGTGTGTGTCTGTGTGTGCATTCAGGTCGGAAGGGAGCGGCAGAGATTTGATTTTGACGATTTTGATACTGTTCCTAAGTTCAATATATGAGAAGTATTGTATAAATGAGAAGATGCATAGTCCTCAGTGCACTACTATCCGCAACTCTTTGAGCCTGGATAGTAGGGAAAACTCGTTTCACATTCCATAGCATCGTAAATGTTACTTGACTAGAACACTTTCATAGCTCAAGGGAGCCGGGGCTAGGTGGGTATGGGGGCAACTTTATGAAAAAGTCATTTATTCTATACCTTGCAACAAGATTTCTACAAATCCTCGATCATTTTGACTTTATAATGTTGGTGGTTTTACCGGTACACGGCCGGGTTGTTTTCAGATACCTCTTGATCGTGAACATTGCTGCTTAACAATTTCCAAGCTTTGCAATAAGAATTGAGTTGTTCAATTCACTATATTCTTGATCATAGGAAATTTTTTTATTTGCTAGCTTAGGTAGATTAATACATTTTTGCCTTTTTTAACAGCTTTTGGTCATCAGCATATTTTGTAAGATTGGCTGTTATTTTGGTAGTCAAATTTCTTCATTCTTCATGAAATTGGTCTGCAATTTCCTCAAAGTCATTACCAAGCTTGACATTCAAAGGGTTGACATTTTGGAAAAAATATACAAAATGACTAACCATACATTTAATATAATCTATCAAAATTTTTATATGATTTCTACTTGCAGTAGCTACGTAATATCTACACATGCGTAAATAGCTACAACCAAATATTGTCATTATTCTTATCCAACATGACAATATAATAACAACTGCAGGAGTCATGCTCACGACCAAAGAATCCAAAACAAAAATAAGAACTTCCCAAGTGCAATGCACATTCATTTTCAATTTCCACCTCTGTAACTTTACTACTCACTTCCTTCATTTTCGCCGCCGGCTCGGCGGCAGAGGCTCCGGTTCCGGCACCAGATCCGGTGTCGGGTAGTCGCAGCAACGTTCAATGGAAACAGAAGGTTCTACTTATGAAACCAAGTACAGTTTTAGAGATGTAAGCTCGGCGGACGAATTCATTCGATTTTACTTTCCGCCGAAAAAACTAGTCCCTAACAAGTTCTTAACTTGCCTGAATAGGTCGCCGAGCGATCAGCCGAGGAGAGCGCGATCGACGACTGGCTACCAGTCGGGCCATCGAGGAGGACCGGAAAATGGTGGTACTCAGCTGTCCACAACATCACCGTTATCGTCGGCGCCGGAGTCCTCGGCCTCCCCTACGCCATGGCTGAAATGGGATGGTAAAATTAAAACCTTCCTCATCATCGAGCATCAATCACTCCGACATACATCTTGCTTATAACATCTTTTTCGTGTTCTCAGGGGACCTGGAATCACATTTCTGGTAATATCATGGTTGGTTACTCTCTACTCTTTATGGCAAATGGTGCAGATGCACGAAATCGCGCCTGGAAAACGCTTCGACAGGTACCACGAGCTCGGACAGCATGCTTTCGGCGAAAAGCTTGGCCTCTGGATCGTCGTGCCTCAGCAGCTGATTGTAGTAGTCGGCGTCGACATAGTTTACATGATCACCGGAGGGCAGTGCCTCAAGAAATTCCATCATCTGGTCTGTGATGGATGCAAACACATCAAACTTACCTATTTCATAATGATATTTGCATCTGTGAACTTTCTTCTATCTCAGCTGCATAACTTCAACTCGATCGTGCGTGTTTCTCTCGCCGCAGCCGTAATGTCTGTCAGGTAGTTTTCAAAAATGTTGCGCTTGATCGTCTGAGAAAAGAGTGTATTCGATTAAGCCTGATCGATGATTTTTGTTTCGTTGCAGCTACTCGACAATCGCTTGGGGCGCCTCCGGCCGCAGAGGCGTGCAGCCTGACGTGCGATATGGATATAAATCGAAAACTACAGCTGGTCGAGTTTTCGACTTTTTTAGCGCTTTGGGGAGTATCATTTTCGCCTACGGCGGCCACAACGTGGTTATGGAAATTCAAGCTACTATGCCTTCGACGCCGCGGAAGCCTTCGAAGGAACCGATGTGGAGAGGAGCATTCGTCGCGTACGTCGTTGTGGCCCTTTGCTACTTCCCCGTCGCTGTTGCCGGGTATTTGGTGTTCGGGAATGAAGTCGATGAAAATATTCTTATCACGCTGCATAGGCCTCGATGGCTCGTCGCGACAGCGAATATGTTCGTTGTTGTGCATCTCATCGGAGGCTATCAGGTCTGCAAATTTCGCTTAAAAGTTTGTATCTTTATCGAATAATCGGTTCTTCTGATGATCTGGTTCTCGATTTACGAAGGCGTACGCAATGCCGGTGTTCGACATGATGGAATCGTTGCTCGTGATGAAGCTGAAGTTCACGGCGACATGGCGTCTGCGCTTCGTTACGAGGAATATTTACGTCGGTATGCATCGAAAACAGATGAGTTTTAGATGATTCTTGTCGAATTTTGACTAACCTTTGATCATGCTGCAGCTTTGACAATGCTTGTCGCCATTTCGTTTCCTTTCTTCGGAGGTGTTCTTGGATTCATCGGAGGATTCGCATTGGCCCCGACAACTTATTTCGTAAGCCGGCGCGTCGACTAGCATTATAATGCATCCATTTGATCACAGAAATCACCATTTTCATTCTGTTTGTAGCTTCCCTGCATCATCTGGCTTTGCATCCACAAACCAGGAAGATTCACCATATCTTGGCTCATCAATTGGGTAATCAAAATCAATCAATTTATCCATCTTCATCATCATCTTCCATAATTCATATACCTGTAAATCCATTCATGTCTGCAACAGGTGTGCATCATTCTCGGGGTCCTGTTGATGGTGATTGCACCCATTGGAGGTCTCAGGCAGATCATCATTCAAGCTAAAACCTACAAGTTCTACTCATAATCCATTTCCTGAAATTACAGTCTTGATTTTCCCTGTTTGATCTGTAGAGTTCGAGTTCGTAATTGTTTGTGTACATACTTCTAGCCATAGGATCATTTGGGACAATTTACCTGAACTGTTTCATCATCAATGGCCTATGTTCTAACTTTCGTCGTAATTCTGACTTTATACACTAGTTGCAAGTCGAAATCTTGACTTGTCTTGATTAGATAACAATACTTGTCTATATATTGAATGACTTTCTTCATGAATTGTCTGCGTCTGCCATGGAAACGCAAGCTTCATTACCTCGTAACAACGACTAAGTCTTCAAGAATGTAAGTATCTCTGCATTCGATGGATTCAATTGTTGCATATGTTGTCCTATATTGTCTAAATCGCGAGTAATTGATCGATCGATCTTGTCTTAGTTACTCTACGATTGCGTGAGGTGCCTCGATCCATAAGGGCGTGCAATCGAATATGCAATATGGATATAATTTCGAAGTTACTTCAATGAGCGCCTTCGCGTGCATGGTACTTTTGTGTAACGCACACAACGTATTAATATATAAATTAATAATTATTTATAAAAATAATTATTACTTTATTTCATAAGATATGGTAATATATAAATTACTATAAAATTTTAAATTGAATTAATTGTTTGATACGCATTAATATAATATTTTGAACATAAAATTAAATTTTAGTGTAATATAGTAAATAAAAAATTAAATATTTAATTTCATATTTAAAAAAAAAATAGTTGAAATAATAAAATAGGAAAAAAAAGTTTGTAAAGTAAACACTCCCAATTAAATGTATGTATAGACCATTGTGTCGACACCACCCTAGAGCCGCCTCATGATCATTTATTTAAAAATTTCAAAAGAAAAGGACAGCCTTATTAATTAATTTTGTTGGCTACTTAACCATTGAAGCGTGCGTAGCTAAACACAATTATTTAATTTTACTACTATATCTATTTTAACCATCTATCTATTTTTTTTATTTTTTTTAGTAACCGTATTAATATTAAAAATATTTTTACCATTTATAATATATTACACAAATGTCATTCATTTTATAATATACAATACTAATAAAGTTAATTTAATATTCTAAACAATAAGTATATATTTATTTTTGGCGCGAAGTTTAAGAAACATTAGTATTTTAATTATAACAGATATGTAAAAGTAGTATAATGATATTTTTGCCTTACTTTTTGGTATAAAAGTAATGATGTGATGTAAAATAAGGGTATTTGTGGAAAAAAAGTAAAGTAGTTAGTAAAATGGTTACTTTGTAATTGAACGTCCCAAAATAAAAATATATATGTATACTTTGTAGCCGGAAGGAGGGAGTACTATTTTTTATTTTATTTATATCATACCATCAATATAATATTAATATTTCTAAAAAAAACTTCGTGCAGAAAGCAAATTCATAAATAAATAAAGAACTAATGGGGTATTAAAAAACAAAAAAATACATTACACTAAGGGTGTATTTGTTTGAAGGATTTTGGTTTATGAATGATTAATAAATATATATATATATATTTATGATGGACAGCCAAATAAAAAATCTCTTGAATGGAGAGAATATAAAACAATATGCTAATATTAATGTGTTATTTAGGGTGTGTTTGTTGGAGAGAATGAATTTTAAATTTATTATTCATTTTAATTTTTTCTCTCTAAAAAATATTAAATCAAACACTTGTTTTTTATTTTTTATATTATATTAAAAATCAATTTAAATTCAAAATATCACATTATACAACTATTTAAATTTAAAATTTTTACTATTCAAATCCCAACTCAAAATTCAAACCCCCAAACAAACACACTTACAAGGAAATTATTCATTTTTTTTTAAAAAAAAATATCAAATTAACTTTTTTTATATTATATTTAAAAAATTAATTTTATATTTAAAATATCAAATCAATAGTTATTTATATTACATTATACAACTATTCAAATTTAAAATTTTTATTATTTAAATCTCAACCCAAAATTCAGGCTCCCCAAACAACACACCCTAAAGTTTATTTGTTAGTGTGATTAGAAATTTGATTTTATTATCGAAAATAATTTTTTTTTTTTTGCTCTATTTTGAATAAATAAATTTATTTGATGAGAAATATAAATATTAAAGTACATGAAAAAAATAAAAAAAAAATAATAAATCTAGGAATATATTTTTTTTTATGAATTTTGGAAAAAAATTGATTTGAATTTGATTTAAAATAATACATAATAAAATGTTTTGTGAGAAAAAAATATGTTCAGAAAACACATAGTTCAAATATTAAAAATTGAAGTTTGAAGGCAAAAGAAACAAACGGACAACATATTTATTTACTATAGATATAATATAAATTATAAACTTACACTCCCGGTCCCATTTAAATTGTCCACTTTTATTTAGGTACGAAGTTTTTTAGGTATTGAGTAACTAATTTATAATTAAGAGTGTATTAATAAAAATAATTATAAATTAATATTAAAATAATTAAATTATTTATTTAAAATTTTAAAAAAAAATTATACATTATAACATTTAAAGTATAATTAAAGAAATATTTAATTATATTTAAAAATAAATTATTGAACAAAAATAGAAAAACAAATTGAACAAATGAAGTGATAAGGATGTAATAATAAGTCGTGTGAAAAGGAATATATTGCTAAAAGAACTCCACTCCTTTCCGTCCGTGTAAACGTCGTTGAAAAGCGAGCCAAAGGATCAAATATCTAAACCGATCGTCCAATCCTGTTCCACCACGTGGCGCCTGTATATCACCCAACGTCACTTAACTTTACGTGTAAGGTTACCCCACCTCCCTTCCTATTTCCATCTACAGAATTAGCGCTTCCATTACCTTCCTCGATCTTCACTTTTGGCAAAATTTTCTCGTTAGATTCGTGAAGAAATGGATTCCCACGCATCGGAGGCCTCCAATCGAGCGGCTGACGAAGAGGCGGTCGTGCGGCGTGTCGAGCGATTGTCTTTGCACGTGAACCCACCGCCGGCATTTTGGAGCGGGTTGGAAATGGCGGCGTGCGCTGGGCGTGCAAGGATCGAGGTGGACAGGGAGAAGCTGTCTGAGTACATCAGGGGGAAGTACACGGACGTTCAGCTGAAGGTGTACGAGTACTTTAATTCGAGGCCGGAGCTTCAGACGCCGCTGGAGATATCGAAGGACGAGCACCGTGAGCTCTGTATGAGGCAGATGATGGGGATCGTCAGAGAGGCGGGGATTAGGCCGTTTAGGTACGTCGTGGAGGAGCCTGCGAAGTATTTCGCGATTATTGAGGCAGTCGGCAGCATCGATATGTCTTTGGGGATTAAGATGGGCGTTCAATACAGGTAATTAGTCTTAGTCGTTTCGTTTATGGATATATGCGGAATCTATGTGTCTGAATATCAGAGTACATAATTACGCTCTTCAATTGTGCGAATTAGGTGTTTGGTTGAACCTTCTCGGGAATGTTTTGGTACAAGGGTTTACTTCTAATATCATCAATCTTAATCTTCTTTGTGCTTTGAATACTAAGATGGATGCGATTCGTTGGGATAAATATAGTAGCTTTAGAGGTTGTGAAATTTTGCAAGGAGCTGACATTGAAATTGGGGATATAATCTGTGATGAAGAGATTGAAAATTGATTGCTTTCTTGAGGGTATGGATCTGAAATTTTTGTGATTGCTAATTTTCCCACCTAATTGAATCCAATTATTTAATCTGAAATTGGTAAATCGTGTGAATTGGAAATTCGAAAATAACAGTAGTTCGTAGCTGGGTGAAATCTGTAGGGAGGATATGTTTAAAATTCAATTTTATAAAAAAAATGACTGAATTGAAGTTCATGCCCCACCCTTTTGCAGAGGAAATTTGCTGGCATTTTGAGTTTATTTTTTATGTTTTAACAATTTAATTACATTTAGAGGAAGTTTGGATGTGGAAACAGCTACAGTGATGCTATTGCTCATTTCTGTTTGCTTTTTTTTTTTAAAAAAAAAACATTGATCTGTTTGAGGGCTGATTGTTAACCATGCCATGAATGTACAAATAGCTATTGCCGCTTTTCCTCCCATTTTGATATAATTTTACTGCAGCCTTTGGGGAGGCTCTGTCTTAAACTTGGGAACAAAGAAGCATCGAGATAAGTACTTTGAGCGAATTGACAACTTGGAGTATCCAGGCTGCTTCGCCATGACTGAACTTCACCATGGTAGTTTTGTCTGCCTTTAGATAAGAGCTTCCTTAACTTTGTTGCTGTTGTTGTGTTGTCAACCTCTTCTCTTATATGTGGTTTAGTGCTCAAAGGATGTATGTACCAGATGCTCGTTGGGATGTTTTGTTTGTGATCATATATGAATGTTCATGCTAAAGGGATAAAGAAGATTGCACAGTGACTTGTACATAATGTGAATATTTAGAAGTTATTGCTTATAGCATGTTTGGGGGAATTTATTTAAAACATCTTATAAACTCATACACTTTATAAGATGTTTGATGTGATTATATTTTAAAATAGGTCGTTTGATTAACTGATTAAACAATATTAGGGAGCTTATAAACCATGTTTAAACGATAAAATGTTTCATAATATAGCTCAATTTTCTTGGTTAACAGATTTGAAAGTCTTGGTAGTTTTATAAACAGCTTCACCAGTCCATAAAATGTTGTTCATGCTTCTGACTTGAACTTTTCAGCTTTCTGTTTATATTATGGACCCTGTTTTACTGTTGTTCTTGGCTTTGATGTTTTGAAAAGGTTCAAATGTTCAAGGCATCCAAACAGTTGCAAAGTTTGATCCCATTACAGATGAATTCATCATTGACACGCCAAATGATGGGGCCATCAAATGGTGGATTGGTAATGCTGCAGTTCATGGAAAATTCGCAACGGTATTTGCAAAGCTTTTGCTGCCCACCCATGATGCCAAAGGTGCTTCCGATATGGGCGTTCATGCATTCATTGTTCCAATTAGGGATATGCAAACCCACGAACCGCTACCTGGAGTCGAAATACATGATTGTGGCCATAAGATCGGATTGAATGGAGTTGACAATGGAGCATTGAGATTCCAGTCAGTGAGAATTCCTCGGGACAATCTTCTTAACAGATTTGGAGATGTTGCACGAGATGGGAAGTATACGAGCAGCCTCCCAACAATCAACAAAAGATTTGCTGCCACATTAGGTGAACTTGTAGGAGGCAGGGTGGGCCTAGCTTATTCCTCAGTTGGAGTTTTGAAGATTTCTGTTATAATAGCTGTCAGATATTCATTGCTGCGTCAGCAGTTTGGTCCCCCAAAGCAGCCTGAGATTAGTATCCTCGACTACCAATCCCAGCAGCATAAACTCATGCCCATGCTGGCTTCGACTTACGCGTTCCATTTTGCCTCATCGTATCTGGTGGATAAATATTCAGAGACAAAGAAGAGTAAAGACGAACAGCTGATAGGTGATGTCCATGCCCTTTCTTCCGGACTCAAGGCGTATATCACTTCGTACACTGCAAAATCGTTGAGCATATGCAGAGAAGCCTGTGGGGGCCATGGCTATGCTGCTGTGAACAGATTTGGGAGCTTGAGGAACGACCACGACATCTTTCAGACTTTCGAAGGGGACAACACTGTCCTCCTACAGCAGGTCTTTTATCTGACCTTATCTCTATATTATCTGTGGTTATGTTCTGCTTTAGATTTCTGGTTTAAATTAGAATTACAGTAGTGACAGGCTGGAGTATTTACAAATAAAGTTATAGCTAATGAAAGTTCATTTGTGGCTGTTCTGAAAGAGTATTTCCTAAATTCTTGTTAAGTGAAAAAAACAACATTTCTAACCTCATTTATTAAAAATTTATCATTTCTTACTGCTCATGGATGCTAATGAATACATATATATTTTTTTAGGGATTGAATTGTTTTAAACAAATCTGAGAAGTTTCGCTTCTAGATGAAGAATGTGTCTCAATTAAAAGTAGAATTTGAAATTTACAAATATCGTCCAGCTAGTGTTTTGTTTTGTTGTTTTTACCAAAAGGGCAGACTTATATTGTAGAGTTTGCAAACAGTCCATGGCCGTGTTTCTTTCGTTAGTAATTAGCTATTCAATGTGATGCAGGTTGCAGGTTACTTGTTGAAGCAATACCAAGAGAAATTCAAAGGAGGGACACTGTCAGTGACATGGAACTACCTGAGGCAATCCATGAACACATATCTCTCGCAGCCTAACCCGGTGACTGCTCGATGGGAAGGCAGTGACCATCTTCGGGATCCCAACTTTCAGTTGGATGCATTCAGGGTTTGTATAGCTCACTTCCACACTTTGTTTATTATGTATATGATCCCCCCTAGTTGTACTTATTGTCGCCTCACAGTTGAAATATTATCCGTTTCTTCATTTAAGATCACGGTTCAATCTTTGTTGTTGTTTTCAATTGTGTGATTTGTGTCCTTTCTTGTAGCCATATATCAATTATTTGTGTTGCAATAAGTTTCTTTGTTGTGCAGTACCGGACTTCCCGACTACTTCAAAGTGCTGCTGTTCGGCTCCAGAAGCACTCAAAAACTCTTGGGGGATTTGGGGCTTGGAACAGATGTTTAAACCACATTTTGACTCTAGCAGAGTCTCACATAGAAAGCGTTATCCTCGCAAAATTCATCGATGCCGTGAAAAAGTACTTTTCCTACTCTTTTCACTACTTCTTTCCTATGCCGTGAAAAAGTACATTTTCTACTCATTTCACTACTTCTTTCCTTTGTTAAGCTATTGCCTCAAATATCCTCTCTGTGATTTCAGTTGTCCCGATGAAAACTCTCGCAGCGCCCTGAAACTTGTGTGCGACTTATACGCCTTGGATCGCATCTGGAATGATATTGGAACATACCGGAATGTGGACTACATCGCTCCTAACAAGGCCAAGGTAGGTCGATGCATTACAACACGGCGTCACGCCTTCGAATTTATTTGAGAAAGATGCACTTTTATGAAATGGTTTTTAAATGCACAGGCAATTCACAAGCTGACAGAATATCTAAGCTTCCAAGTGAAGAACATTGCGAAAGAACTCGTCGATGCTTTCGAACTTCCGGATTACGTGACGAGGGCGCCGATAGGAACACAGGCGCCCGAAGAGGCTTACACACTCTACACTCAATACGCCGGCTTTTAAAGCGACGGATGCATTCAACACGTCATCAAGGTTAGTCGAATGTCGATCGAATCACACTTAAGACTTATCCGGATACGAAAATAAAATCACTTGTATACTGTATAGACTATGTTGTTCTACACTGAACTTCATTCATCTTTATTCACGAGCTTCGAATGTTTTGGCATTATTTATGGCGACCAATTCCGACACAACTGCTATTACATCAACCTCGAAGATATATCATCAAACATGAATATAGTCTTGGAAGTTCACGAATCCTCCTCGCGGTACTGCAGGAGGATCTGCGGGCAGTCAGTCAAGGGGGCGACCCGGTCGAACCCCATGGCATTGGCGAACCTAGTGTTTGAGCTGATGCCGTTGTTCCTTGTCAGAACAACCCGGGCACGGCCCCTTCCCGGGCTGGCCTTGTTGCAGTTGGCATCGGGGCTCTCTTCCAGCACGGCGTCGCAAAGCTCGTTGCCACGGTCGCCGTACACCAACATTCGGTAGTTCCCTGTTGCATCCGTGGTGCCGTGTTTGAAGAAGGTCACCTCCGATGTCGTCCGGTCTCTACATTCGACTCGAACAATAGCACCTATATGGATAGAATTAGGCTAAGGACGGAGCTCTGTTTACGTAGATGTTTTTGAAAACGATCGATTGTCGTATAAATAACCAATTTTTTACAATTCAAAAACTTGTATCTAAATTGAGTTGCTCTCCACATTGCATGTTTATTGAATTATCTATGTCTATAATCGAATGGTTTATATTTTCACTATACATTTTCATTGTATAATATCACATTCAATTACTATTAGGGTGCAACAAAAACATCAAAACCTACAAAAGCACATTCTGGGTGTGTTATTTTATCAAATTTCTTCCGATTTTTACTATTTATTTAAATAAAAATTGTAAAAAACATATCAATATAAACAATCTATTTTTTATTTTTCTTTATTATAATAAAAATGAATTTTATATTTAAAATATTACACTTATTTATATCACATATAAAATCTAAAATATCCAAACCCCAAACAATCACATCCTCTATAAATCTCTTCTATAATTCGAATTTAAATTTAATTCTAAGCACTTTTGCTTTTTTAACACAACCAAACATTCAAAAAAGGTTGCCCAAATGCAATGTCACAATACTTTTCAATAACCAATCATTTGGACCCAATAATAAATCCTCAATGCACTATCCCTACAAAATTAATGTTGGTATATATTTTGTCGTGGGTTCTTAAAATGATCACACAAATTGCAAAAGTACAACCATCGGAAGCATCCGTCGCAAAAGTACAATTCAGTTAAGCACGCGTACCGGCGATGGGCTTGGAAGCCGGCGTCTCGAAGCCGCAGCGGCACGTGTCGCAGTACACCCGCCCCTTGAGCAGAAGCGGAACCTCGACGGCGACGGAGGGTACAACACAGGCTGCAAACAGTACAACCGCCGCTATCACCATTCTCTCCATTTCCGATCAAAGCATAATACACTTCCTTCTGAAGAAGGAAGTTGTAAGGGTTTGTACATATATATATATATATATATCCTGATTGGGCCGACGAGGGGCGGTGCACTGCGCCTAGTCGCAGGGAATTTATGCCGAAAAATTTATAGTAACCGTGTCTTACAATAATATCTGGTCCGTAATTATATGTGAGGATTAATACGAAGATCCGGGTGTTCGAGTCCCGGAGAAATACTTATCGGTTGATTGATGTATCTGGGAATTCTGGTCCGGGTTTTCTTACAGGAATAAAAAAAAAATTAAGGCAATTAAAGGATAATTAATTATTTATAATAAAGCAAGGAAATTATTGGTACTTAATTAAAAATGAAGTGTTGATTTTTATTTAAATTTAAATGAATTTATTTGTGGTGAGATTGTATATTACTAATTTTATTTTACATATATACGATTAATCATTTTTACAATTTTTTTTCTCCCCACAAATGGCAGACACTGCATCTGGAAGTTTTTTTTTTTAAAAAAATAAAAATAAAAATAAAAATAAAATTGGATATTTGACAAACGAAGGACATTCCAACTCATGCATTAATTGAGATCGTGACATGTCACATTTATAAACGTTTTATTTTATATAAATATTAGTATTTCATCCGTTGTAGGAGCCGTCTTTTATTTTACTATAAATACAAAAATTTAAATTAAATATAATTAACCATTTAAATTAAATATAATTAACAATATATTAATGCGAAAAATTATTATATAATAAAAATAATTATAAAATAAAATATAAAAAATTGATTAAATTTATTTAAAAATTTTTAAAAAAATAATAATATAAAATTAAAATATATAATTCTTATAAGATAAACGAAAATGACAATACAGTAGCTAAAACAGACGGACGGAATATAGTTTTATTCATATCAAAAAAAAAATTAGCTTAAATAATACTTCGTCCGTTCATTTTATAATCTATATTTACTTTTGGCCATTATTTTATATTTTAATAAATAATAATATTTTAATAGTAATAAATAATTAAAAATAATGTAATTATAATATTACTTTTTTATTCTTTTAGTCTAAAAATAGTAATATAATAGTAAAATAGTAGAATTTGTCAAAAAATATATATATATTTAATAAAATATGTATATTTTACTTATTGACATAAATACTACTATTTTTTTAAATGATGTATTATATTAAATATTTATTTAAAATATATAAATTAAATATGAATTTTTTTAATTTTTTTAAAAGATATACTCACTCAGTCCCAAAAAAAAAGTATTCATTTGCTTTTTACACTTAATTTTAGAAATATTAGTATTATAATGGGATATAGTAGGAATAAAGTAGAAATGACTAAAATGATCTTGTTAGTACGTGTGATATAAAGGTAATAACATTTGTGTAATATATTGTAAATTATAAGGGTATTTGTAATGTTAGGTAGATAGTACAATTACTAAAAAATGAAATAGATACTTTGTTATGGGACGGACTAAAATGGAAAAATAGATACTTTGTTATGAGATTGTTCTTTTATAGTTTGAAACTAATTTGAAATGAAAGTGTTAGTTTTATTTAAATACTACCTCCCTTCAATATAAAGAACCTATTTGATTTTTGCGTTATTGTATTTTATATCAAACATATTTATATAATTTACTCTACAAATATTATTTGTATTATAAAAAGAAGAGAGATATTTTGTATTTTTCTCTTTTTCTCTCTTTCTCTCTCCCAATTATAGTGTCCATATTTATATTTCTACGTGTGCCACTTATCTAGTCACTTTCCTTTTTTTGGATAAAAATTATACATTTTAATTTCATTTTAAAAATTTTAATTTTGTTAATTATAATTAAACTATTTACTTATTTTAATTTTAATCTAAAGTTATTTCTATTATACGATAATTATTTTCATTAATATATTTTTAAATTATTTATTAATTATATTTCCTCATAAATTCTCGTGTCTACAGTAAAAATGACACCGTAGCCGAGACGAAAGGAGTAGTAGAAAGTAATATTCTCTCTATCTCACTCCAAACGATCATTTTGAGGTTTTTTAGTTGATTAAATATAATACTAGTATTTTATTGATTAGTGACAATGTATAAAAAAAATTGATATTTTTTATCTTTTAACTTTATATATAAATTAATTATATATGTAATAGTATTTTGGTACGAATGTATAAATATTTTGACATATAACAAAAATTCATCATTATTTTTTTTTCCTATATATATCACTACATTACTATTATTATTATTAACTCTTATATAATTATATATATATATATATATAATACCCATTATTTTATTTAAATAAATCCCCTTCTTGCCAACTAATTTCCAATATTTAATGGCTATGTAGGGCTTGATTGATTGTGATTTGGTGCGTTTGGAACAGTAAACATTTAGATAATATTTTTTATTAAATTTTGAAATTTTAGAAAATTATCGAATATTAAATTTGATATTTTATGAGATAATATAAACATATTTAATGTGATTTTATAAAAAAGCTACTGTTAATTAGTAGTATATATATATAAAAGTAAAAAATGTCTATATAATAGAGTCTACGTCTTGTTTGCATAATATATTTTGGAGTTTTTGTACTATTTTATTTTTAAAATTATATTTTTCTTTCATAAAATATTATTATTTTTTAATAGAATATATTAATGGAACGTTTTTATGAGAAAACAAAAAAAAATTAAATTAGTGTAAATGAATGGAAAAAATGGAGGGACGGTGTTTGTTTTGGTGATTTGATGATTTATTTTTTTATTTTTTATTTTAACAAATAGTTATAAACAAACACGACATTAGTAAAAGCATTTTTTAATTAAAAATATTAGTAAATATAAAAGAGGAATAAACACAATTATTTAAGTTTTGGCCTACCTCATGTAAAAATAAGTACAGTAATGGGTCCCACCACTGTCCCCCAATAATTGAGACAATTTTGTGTCACATAAATAATAATAATAATAATAATTGATGATAATAACTGTTCATGACTTTTTTTCTAATGCCTAACAAAAATGAACCCTTTAACATCCAAAATTAAATCCAAAATTTTTATTATTCTGTAAATTGGTTTTTTAGTTCCGTAGAATCTCCTTATTATTTTAGTTTTGTAAGTGGAGTCTATCGCAAATTAGTCACAATAAGTGAAAAATTTTCGTTGTTTTAGTCCTCTGACGTCGGAGACGTCCCTCACCGGAGGCCACGTGTCAGCCAGGTCAACGACATCTAGCGACAGACTCTATTTACGAGACTAAAATGATAAAGAAGTCCGATTATGGGATTAAAAAAATAGTTTATTCTAAGATTTAAGATTTATGTAATTTATTTACTAGACCAAATATTTTTTTTTTTATTTTGAGTTTTTATTATTATTTTATTTTCAATTTTATACATCATTATTGTTTCTAGTAAAAAATATATATTTTAACAAAATATTTCAATGAAAATTTAAAACTAAAAAAAATATTTAATTAGTCTCACATATCATATTCAATTTTTTTTTGTGCATCTCATTTATCTTGTAACTTTTATTTTTTGAAAAATAATGCTACACTTTAATCTCTTATATAAAAAAATAATTTATAATATTTTTTATTTTAATTAAACTAATTAGTTATTTTGATTTTAATTTATAATTATTTTTATTATATAATAATTATTTTTATTAATATATTTTTAATTATTTACTAATTAATCCCTCGTAAATTCTCGTTTACAGTAAACTTTGTTTATATTTGTTCACTTTGTGCTTTTCTATTGATATATTTGTTTATATTATGTACAAAGAATTATGTTATTGATATATAAAAACAATATTTTTATTAAAATATAATTTTTTTGACTAAATAGAATATATTATATATATTATGAGAATATGTATATATATATATATTATAATATTTATTTAGACTTGTATAAAAAAAAAAGTTGGGTTAATACACAAAAAGAAATTATAAAAATAATGGATCAAACTAATATACTAGTGAACAAACGGAACAAATTTTCATCATCTTAACAATTAATTGATTTCTATTATCATTAAATAAAACAAAAAATGAATTAAATGCTTTTTTTTTTTATTTTCTAAAATAAAAAAATAAATTTAGAATAATAATAATAATAAAAAAAGAACAACTTAAATGCTAAAATTATTGGAATTTTTTTTTAAAAAAAATTTGAAATTGAAATGATAATTTGAAATTTATTTTAAATAATATATTAAATGTGATTTTTTTTATAAAGAAATAATATGTTTATATTAAAAATTGTGCAAACTAGATATAATTTTTTTTTTTTTGGCAAAATTGTCCATAACTCCCTTGTGGTTTCGAAACTCAACGTAAATTTCCCTTCTACTTTAAAAATTGCATGACGTCCCCTTATACTTTAAAAAATGTTGCATAAAACCACTTTGTGGTTTCGAAACTCAACATAAATCTCCATTTTACTTTGAAAAATTGCATAACGCTCACTTATACTTTAAAAAATATTGCATAAACCCCCATGTCATGCAAAACATATAGATAGGAAATCATCTTCTTATCACACGAGGAAAGTTTCACGGTGGTGGAATTTTTTGCAACGTTTTTTAAAGTATAAGGGGGTACCATACAATTTTTAAAGTAAAAAAGATTTTACGTTGAATTTCGAAACCACAAAGGAATTATAAGTATTTTTTTTTTTTTTTTTTTGAAATAAAAAACAAATGGATCCAAAAATTTTACCCAATTAATTTTAAGTGTCATTTTCGGATGGCTCTCCCATAAACTAAGGAGCCACTTTTTAAAATTAGAAAATTGTAATATTGACAAGCCCTTTTACGTCATTTCACTGCCTGCCGTTTTTTTCTTAAAATAAAAATATTAAAATAACTATAGATATGATGAAATTAATTTGTGTAACATAAGTTTCTGGTTGTTCTTATCCAGTTGTAATTATGATTAATTCTTGAAAAAAAATTAAATTATATCATATACTAAAGTTAGAGAGTAAATAAACAAATTGTCATCTTTTTTCCGAAATAGTTGGTCGAAATTATTTTAGTAAATTTAATTTCCTCAAAATAATAAATCAACGTCACTAAACAAATGATTACGCAGAAAATTGGGTGTCACACGTCTCAGCAATAAAGACAAATTAAAATCTATTTATTTTAAATATTAAATAAAATAAATTTAATTCTTTTATGAGCACATTCCTGAAATAAAGAGGCAACCAATCAGAGTTGAAAGGGCAAAAAGGAGAAAACCGGTGATGGAAACAGAAGAGCGATCTCCACCGTTGGAGTGCATCGAGATCCGACGGTCCAGATTTGCTCCGATTCCCTTTATCTTTCTCAGCGAATAACCGTCTCCAGAGGCGGAAGAGAAGTTTTAATCATTTTCCCCAAATTCGATCGATGTTGGGCAAGCGCGGCCGTCGCCCAAGTTTCCGGCGAACGACGAGCATGTCTGGGATCGAAATCGACGTCGGCGCTGCAGAGTTGCCGCCGCATCATCAGTCGGCGGCGGGTGGGTACGATCATTTCCTATCGCCTAGGTATTTGAGGAGGACTTCCTCCGATGTGGAGACGGCAGATTTTTTGACGAGATGTGGTTTCTGTGCTCGCCGATTGGCGCCTGGTCGCGATATTTATATGTATAGGTAATAACTTACTGTTTTTGCTCTTTTACTTCTTCGATCTTCGTTTCTCTCTCGATTACTTACTTTTCGCGGCGGTGCCACCACGTCCGCCGTGTGTATGTACGCGTCGGAGATTGTGGATGTGAAATTGTGGAGCACCTGGAGTCGAACTCCGGGAGCAAATCGCACAATCAAGGGTGTATAGCTTCTCGGAGCTCTACACCCGGGAGCTTCTATCTATAGCGTAATTAATCAATTGTTTGAGCCATTAGTTAAACTTGAGCAACAAAATCAGTATTCTTCTTGAGTCGTGAATTGTTGATTAATTGAATTGCTCAAATCGTGATTTCTGAGTAGATCGAGCATTTGAATTGAATTAAACTCACACTCTTCAGAAACTGGATATAATCTCGACATGAAATAGTAAGTATTCTGAATTGAAATTGCAGGGGTGACACTGCATTTTGTAGCTTAGAGTGTAGAGAGCAACAGATGAAGCAAGACGAAAGAAAAGAGAGGCTTGCCGCCGTTGCTCCGCCCATCCTGGAGGAGGACGACGGCGGTAGCCACTGCCCAGAAGCGGAGACTGTTGCAGCGGCTTGAGAAAATATGTACGTATTGGGTGTGTGTGTGTGTATATATATGTATGTATGTATACGGTGTGTATTCATAAGGGTGCATGGGATACATGTATGTATGTATGTATGTATGTACGTATGTCTGTGTGTGAGAGTCTGGAGTTTAGTGCTAGTGATAAAATTATTATTATTATTATTATTATGGTAAAATGTAGTATAACAAATTCTGATGATGGGAATTGATGCTGTCTTACTTTATTGGTATGCAATTAAAAGTGGTAATGATTATATATAACAGTCCTTTTAATTACCCAACTGTAATTTGGGTAGTAACATTAATTTGTCAAAAAATATATATTAAAAAATATAGAGATAATTCTTTTAGATTAATAGAAAACAAATTTTTAAAAAGGGTAAAACCAACTCAAGAGACACCCTAAAATCCTCAGTTCATATTTTTTTTTTTATCTTGTTAATTTAATTTGTAGTTACTTTGTTGGACTCAATCTCAAATGATTGTTTAATTATATGGACTACTATATATATTATTTATTTATTTATTTTCATTGTAGATTTTGGTAATCAATGAAATAGTAATATAGTATTTTAATAGAAACAAAAGAAAGAAAAAAGAAAAACTCTTCTCTAATACGTGCATATATAAAAATGGAAAATATTTCTATATTTTGGGGAAATGTTGTTTATTCTACTTTGCTTATTGGGGGAAAATGTAGAGAAATAAAATAGAAAGTATAATGTGCTTTAAACTTTTTATTATTTCATTGATTGATAGAAATTTGTTATGGCAAAATTTAAATACTTCCTCCGTCCCATTGAAAGGTTATCAAAACAATATTATTATTTCCTAATTTAGTAATTGTACTACTTACATGCTTTTACATAAAAGACTTTACGGGCCAGGCTCATATAAAGCCTATATACTTCAATCCAGCACATAGTCTATAGCCCGTTTCTACTGTATTCAATTGATTTCGTGGACATTAGTGGACCTTCTAATATTTGGGCTTTTATTGTCCAATGATAAATGCATATATATTTGGGATATGTTTAAAATTTAACTATAGGTTTATAATAATTAGCATTATTATATATAATTAAATTCTCACCAAATAAAATAATATTATTCAATTTAATGATTTAGTATATATGATTTTTTTAAAAAACAATTCCATAAGATATCCTTACATTAAAATATAGTTAATTTTTATTTTATTTTTTGTTTTAATATTAATTAATCTCAGACTATTGGTGTTGATTCCAAAAATAAGGTCCAAATAGTCGAATCCAAAGTTGGACACTAGCAAAAATGTGTTTAAATAAGTTAAAAAAAAAAAAAAAAGCATATAGTTTATGTCATCTTCATTGACTAGTGTCTTGATTACTACCATCCTACTTGGTGTCTATATATGAAAAAATAATTCTTAAAATTTCATCACAACCTATGTGGTTGGCCAAAATGTGCTTCAATTTGCCATATTCATTCAAGAAAGGGAGGATCATAATTGTGAGGAATGGCAATGAAGATGGAGAAAAGGAAGAGATAGGATTGTTGGTGAGGGAACTTGAGAAATGGAATAAAAAGAGGGAGTCGAATGTTGTTGCCGTGCACGGGGAGAATCATTCGTATGCTTCACCTAGCTCGACTACACCCTCCTCCGTGCGTAGATACTGAATCGTATTTTTCTAACTTAATTTTTATAACATGTTGTTGATATGTGTAATCGTATCGTATTGTTCGTTTTCTTATGAAAAAAATATACATTTATGATTTATTTATTTTTTTAAAGGAGACTGATTTGGAACCCATGCAGATACACATATATGTTCATTGATATTTATATATATATATATATATATATAAATATTTTCTTCTTATTGTAGGATGAGGTTTCTATTTCAAGACTTTAGCATATGTATATAATAGAATAAATCCAATTGGTTTTGTTTATTCTTTGATCACAAGCGAGAACTATACAATGATATATACTTCTATACAAATTAATATTGCCCCTTATTACAACCCCACACAACACATACGAGGTTGCATTTGCAGCAACAGTAAAGAATGAATGGATGAACAATTGATGTAAAGAGAAAACCCTAATCAAATATCAAACTATAATATCCACAAACATTCTTCTTGAGCTTTCTTGATCGATGATCTGCAGATGAATGCTTATTTTTCTTCTTTTTTTCTTCTTCTTTTTTTTTTTTTTTATCGAAGCAACGGTTGAGAGTGTTTCAAGAACTCATTTAGCGGCCGGCTTTTGGCGTAACTTAGGACATTCTTCATGCTCTCGGTCACCTATGAATGTGCACATTCAATAATTATCAACAAATTAAATTAAATTCTTGTCCTAATAACTAGTTTTGAGTGATCTAATGATTCTAATACCTTTCCGAGACGCCCTCTCGTGTAAGGAACCATCCGTTGATGGTAAGAAGTAGAAGTCGATGGAGGTGACTTTCGGCTTATTGTTTCTTCCTTAACGACTGATTTCCCTTTTACATCCGGTGTTTTGAAGTTCATGTTGTCTCGATTTGATTGCTGGAAGTAATTTTTGAACCCAAATTACAAATTAATTTCTTAATTTAGATAGAAATCTATAGTTCGGAAATAAAAATAAATTTATGGAATTATCAATTGGATTTTTTTTTTGGTACCATTAGACTCCGGCTTCTTGTGGTTACGGTTGAGGTATTGTGCCATCGCGTGTCGTATAAACTAGGAGGGAGACTTGATTCCTAGAATGAGATTAAAACAACGTAAAGAGTTATAACACAAGATTTTGAGATGATCGATGATCTAATTGCACGAAAATTTTAGGATTGTACCAAAAAAAGCACTGTGGCGCAATGCTTCAAGACTTCCAAGTTCATTCTTACATCATCCAAACTCCTATAATACAATCAACCGTAACAATATATTAATATAATATTTTGAATAAAAAAAAAATAGATCTTGAAAGTTATATCATTTAGATGGATTTTTTTTTTTTTTGGGTAAATGGTGAGGATATATGTATGAAAATTAATATAAGCAAACATTACTATATAATATTTTTGGACAAAAAATTAAATTTTTAAATGTGATGGTCTCTTTCATTTTTATTTTCCAAATTAGTGAATTATATTTCAATATGCATTACCTATGCTTTTGTTGGCCAAGACCAAAATAATCGGCCAATGTCGCCATCTGAAAGAAATTAAACACAAACAAAATCAATAATATTCTAACCCATAAATATAAATTTAAGGATAAAATCATATCAAGTATGCAAATCCACATTTCACATTGCAATTTTGTATTGAAATTTAGATTTTTCTTAGCTTCGTTCCATAATGTCTTTGTTATTATTACCATATGCAAAATTTAATCATAAGCACATTATAAAATTGATATATTTTCATAGGAACCATTAAGATTGCATAGTAAAACAATAAAAAACCCTGACGCCTAGTATAAATTGTCATGTCGGAGCTAGCTTGTAGGTTACTAGATTTAGCCGAAAATTTACCCAGAGTGACCCGATGCGTAGCAATTGCGGATTTCCACATTATAAAAAATAAAATAACAATAATAATAATAAAATAGAAAATAAATAAAATTCAAACCTTCATATTTCCCGCTCTTCTCCCAAATTTCTCCGTCAACACTCCCAACGAATCAATGATCCCGACGGGAGTGGGCGCCGAGCAACCAATCCGCGCAAATGCCTCCTTAATCCGAATGCAATCGAATCGTTGAATATTATGGCCGGCCCATATTCTCCCATTAAGTACGGTAAAAATATCATCCGCAACTTCATCGAAAGACGGGGCTTTCGCCACGTCCCGGCGTGTTATTCCATTTTCTCGCCCAGACCTAATTGGCGCAACCGTCAAGTCTTCCGGCCGAATGAGAGTGCAATAGCTCTCCAACTCGACCAATTTTCTCGGACAAACCACAATTGCTCCAAACTCGAGGATACAAAACCATTGGCCCGGTTTGACGGGCACCGTGGTCTCCAAGTCGAAGAACACAATCTCGGGGCTCGACATACTCAAACCGGATATCGAATGCAACATAAAATTAAATGTCCCTTTGTGTCTCTTAAGAGGGTATATATATATATAAGACATGGAAAGAATATTCTTGAACAACATTGATTTGATTGTCTTACAATTCAAGTTAAGGTTTAGTTTGGGGGTTTGGTCAAAGGTGTGCTTAACTTCTTGATGAGGGCCATGTCAACTTAAAAAGACATGTCCTAGGTATGTATTATATATATATATATGTTTTTATTTGTGGTGAACATTTTAGGGAAGATGAAGTGAAATATTTAAGAATAATTTGTAGATTCCTTGGAAAGAAAAGTAATACAAGAAAGTGGTGGCTTTTGTTTTGGGGCTTACGTAAATGAAAGAAAGAAATTAATTTGGGGAATCTATTTTATTTTCTTGCATGTCAATAATTCTACTACACGTTACCTTAATTAATTACTTAATTATAATTTATATTTTAAAAAATTAATTAATAAGCCTAGCTAAATAATCTTAATATACTTTATATATTTAACTATAATTTCTTCTTCTTGTTTTCCATATATATATATATATATATATTTGAATATTTAGTATTTGATTAATTTATAGAGGTCGATTACACCACGATGCATGCATACGTAAATGGATTTTAATTAATTACAATTTAAATTAATTTGTGTTGAGTTGAATTGATATTGTTTATATCTTATTTTATTGATTATTAAATAATTGCTATGATGAATTAATTTGAACCATTTTTTTGTTAGTTGAAATGCTTATTTTTAATTTAATGAGTAAAATCATGGAGTTTAATTTCTAATTATGACATTTGATTATAAAATCTCTATAATCATAGCATATTTCATTGTGACGAATAAAATATGTATTTGAGTTTCAATAAAGTTATCTCCAATATTCAATAAAACTTTTATCATTGAACTCAATTATTTATTCAAAAAGTTATATAGAACAATATTAAAATCTAGTTGTCTAAAAATAGTCACATATAGATAATGGCTTCATATCACCTTTTTGAATTACATTCATTTTGACTTAAAACAACAAGGAAAAAAACTAAAATAAAATCTGTCAGATTTATTATTTTTCCAACTTATATCACCTTTTTCATTCAAGCAAAAAAGTATTTTTATATGACTAACAATTGATTTTTTATTTTTTTTTTTTTCCCTTTAGTCTACTTCTTTTTTTTTTTTTTTTTTCTCTTTTAAAAATCGAAAGAAGAAATGTTGTGATAAAAAGAGGATTACAATGGAACCATTAAAGCATATATTATAATGTGTAATAAAATCTATACTTGTCCCTATTATTCAAATTAAATTGAATTTGGCTTGAGTCAAAAATTTTTTATTGAATATTGTGTATGGTCCATGTGTCACATAAAATCTACTTTACTTCGTTTTTTGAATTTATTAAAAACTCACTTTTTCTATTTGGATTAATTTTACCTCTTATCAACTTGTAGATTCTCACTAATTTAAAACTTATTTACTTTGAGTTGGTTGTAGGTTGTAATAAAAACAAGAATGTAATAATTTCCATTCTGCTCCTTTCAGATATGGTTATTTTGATTACTGACTATGGACTTGTAAATATTACTTCCTCTATCCCATAAATATAGTCTTAATTGAGTTGGGCACGTAATTTAAAAAATATTGATATTATATTGGTAGTGGGTAAAAAATATTGATAAATTTTTTTTTGCCCTTGTGAGTGTATTAGTGTAAAAAGTAGTGACAATTGTGTAATAAAAATGAAAAACTAAGGGTAGTTTTATGGGGATATGATTATTTATAGAAATAAGACTATTATTTTGGGACGGACAAAAATAGTAAACAAAACTATTGTATTGGACGGTGGGAGTATTTTTTTGTAAAAAAATAATTTGTAGTGTGAAAATAATATATATATCTAAGTAAATTATATTTTGCTTATATTATACCAGCTCTTTAACATTGATTTTGGTGACTGCAATTATTTTTTTTATATATATTTTTTGTGTGAATTGAGATTTTAATAATGTAATGAGAAAAAACTTGTAAATGTATCTTCTAAAATCATGATATAAAATATTGTACATAATATTTCATATTTTATTGAAAAAATATAAAAATTGACTACTATTTATCAGTGATGTCACTTTATTTTTTATAGACAATTTTTTTTTTCTTTACCATTATAAAAGCGTGGATTTGGTGAAAAAATATTATCTTTATCTTTCTTCATTCTTCTTCCTTCTTATCCTTTTTAATATTCATTCTCATCTCTTCAACTCACTTCCAACACTAAAAGGATGGGCAGAAGAAAATGTGACGTGAAAAAAATTGAAGATCCTACAAAATGTCAAGTGACATTTTCAAAGCGGCGAACAAGTTTGCTGAGGAAAGCTCATGAAATTTCTATCTTTTGTGGTGTTGATATTGCACTTGTTATGTTTGCACCTTCCGGTCGAATCAGCAGATATTCTAATCCAGAAAAGTAAGATATGTCTGTGTGTTTATATATATATATATAATTTTTTGTTTCAAACATTTTGTACTTTTATACAGGATTGAAGATGTGATAAATCGCTATATCAACTTACCGATCAATAAGAGAGAGAGGTAAATCATGACATTTTATTTTAGTTTACGGAATATCTTAATTAATGTTTTATTTTTAATTTTGTTTTCTAAATTTTGAGGCATATGATGATACCTTATTTTTTCTTGGAAAACAGCCAGCAAACTAATATTGAGGTATTTGAATTTTCATATATGCAACATTTCTTTCTTCAATATATCATTTTAAATAAGAATTTATTTTTATTTTTATTAATTATTACTTTTTTTTGGTATATGAAATATAGAGAAATATTGGGAAATTGAAGTTGCTTGGCAATACAAGGAATGACATTCAGAAGCTGCAATATTTGGACAATCAGTTAAGTTTTTTTTCTATACATTCTCCTAAATTAAATTTCTTCTTTTTTTTTTCAATGATTTTTTCTTAAAAAATAAAAATAAAAGGAGGTGATAATAGTATAATGACTTTTTTTCTCAATATTAATCAAATTAAGTCGAAGATACAATTAAAAGTACCAATAATTTTTATTTCTTTTAAAAATTTTCCCTATTTATTTTTATTTTGAAAAATACCATTTTAATTTTATATTGGGTAGGAACAATAACTTTATATTGATCCTAGATAACAATGAGTTTTTTTCCCCCTTAAATGCCCGAATATATATATGAAAATATTTATTTTGTCGCATTATGTTATTCATCGTACTTATATTCGTTATAATAATGTATTTCAGATTCGTTTGATCAGATAGTAATAATTAATTTTTCGAACTTTCATATATGGCCAATGTAATAAAAGAATACGACCGTTGATCGGACATATTTAATGTTATCATACGTCATATATCCCGACAAATTTTAATTGTTCAAAAGGTTAAACAATCAATAATCGTAATAAACTTTTCATTACATATAAAAGAATGTTTTATGGACGAAGAATATGTGAAAAAAAAAAAAAATTATAAAGAGAAAGATTATTTTTAAAAAATATTTATAAATACAAAATTCATAGGAAATCGAATAAGTTACAGTAGAGTAAATGCAGAGTTGTTGATTCTTGGCGGTTAGTGTATTGTTTGTCAAACCTTAGATAACCAAAGCATTTATTACAAACAAATCTAAAATTTAAATTTTGAACACTTTGTAGATTTTATTTAACTCCTTGAATTTAAGAGTTTGTTTGGTTGGTTGTGATTTTAAATTTATTTTTTATTTAAATAATATTATGACGTGATATTTTACAAGAAAAAATATTGTATTTTTTTTTTTTTCAAAACATCATATCCAACTCATATTTTTATTTTTATTTGCATCTAACATATGAATTTGAATATGATGCTGCAATTTGGACGTGCCGTATCAGGATCGAGGTAAAAAAAATATATCATTATGACAGTTATTTTTTTAAAAATATATTTAATTTTAATATTTTAGCTGACCTGTTTTGCTTCTTATCAGAACCTTCAACTACAAATCAAGAAACGCAATTTGGAGATACAAATTTTAGATGCTAAACTGAGGTATAAATAAAAATAAATAAATAAATAAATAAATAAATAAAACATGTGTTTGGTTAAAAAAAATTGGCATAATCTTACCATTCACAAAAATTTGTCACTCCAAAATATATCAAATCAAATATATATATATATATATTTATTTTTATACTATTATATTTTTAACTTTTTTTTTTAACAAATATTACATCAATATGGAAATAATTCAAAATCTTCTATTTGACCTTTCCACTCAATAAAAAAATATATGATATATATTCAAAAAAATTATTTGTTTATATAATATTATATAAAATTTTATTATGTACAAAATAATATATATTACATCATAAATCAAACAATAAGTCATAAATTATTCTAGTTCAACTTCCATCTTCAACATCCACCATACTAACAAATCACCAAAATTATTGTTGAGTTTTAATAAAATTAATTTATAAACATAAAGACCTGTAACTAACTGTGTGTACATTTTCAAGGAATTTTGAAGTTGTACCTGGACTAGAACCTTCTTTGAACCAACTTTTATGGTGTGAGAAAAATATACATAACTCAATCCAAAAAGTGCTCATCAGAAAAGTCAGTTTTCTTTCTCTTTTTTTTCTTTCTGTTTCTTATAAGACAAATTCATGTTTTGCCTCTATTTTGAATTGCTAACATATTTTTGTTTATTTTTAGAGTGAATTGTTCGATCATCCTCGAATTTCATTGTCCGAGCAGCTGAATATGCATCAACAAAATTCTCAGGTAATATATATATATATATATGTGTTTCAGTTCTTGAACATATGCATATGTATGTTATTACATGAAGCTGATTTATATTTATCAGGGGTTTAATCCAACGGACAAGGGGAAACAAATCGCGCTTTCATCGCCATCTTATCCCCTCAAAAGGAGATTTGCACCTATACTAGAAAACCCCGAATCAAACCAGCTTATCATGCAGCTAGATCCATGGATAAGTCCATACAGGTAACACAATATTTGAATTTTTTTATCGTAATCGTAATTAAGATTTATTTACTTGGAGTTTAGTTTGAACAATAATTTTGAATGTAATATTTTGTAAAATAAAATAATGTATTTTTATATATAATTAAAAAACTGAAACTAACTCCAAGTAAATGAAACCCCTTTTTTTTCGGTATATATATTTTATGTATAATACTAATATTGTTTGTTTTTATTTATAGCGCTAAAGCCCGTAATGGCCTACTTCAAGATTTAGTTGGTCAAAAAACTTTTGACACACAAAGGGGTGAGAATTTAGGGTTTTCTAGCTGTGCTCCAAATATTTCAAACCAATCAAATCTCGTGGATGTGAGGTTGCTCGAAAATTTAGTCAGTCGATCAAATTTAAATACACAACGGGTAAAAAATACGGGATCTTCTAGCCGCGCTCTTGGTGTTTCAAACTCATCAAAAATGCCCCGTATCTCATATGCTCATCACATGGCTGAAATTGAATCTGAAGCTATTGAGGTACTAATTTATTATCGACAATTACAATAAATTCAATATAATTATACTATTTAATCATGTTATTTCATTCTTGCAGGCATCATTACTAGGGAGTCTGCCACCTTCTTATCTAAATGACCCTAATGCATGGAAAAATATCAGTTTGGTACGTGTTGTTCCAATACTTTAAATTGAATATAATTATTTATACACACACATATATAAATAATCTTTAAATGTATAATGTCGAAAATTAGGTGCCATTTCCGATTGTTATTGATTCTTCTACTGATGGACATGACAACTTTAATGAGCCAAGGTAAAATTCAAATTGTACATATGTAACTACATCTTAACTAGCTTCATTTTAAGATCGATTTTATTCCGTTTGGGTATCAAATGAAATTTTGGTGATTTTGCAACAATCTTGTATTAATCCAAAAGATGTGAACTTTTGCGATTTAAAGATTTTATGGGCAAAATCTGACGATATTTCAATTGTTTGATAATGGAAGTGATAATATGGAGTCTTAACTTCTGTTTAACACTGATTTTTGTAAATTTTGGGTAAAGAATAAATTTATTGAATTTTTTTTTTTTAAAAAAAACTAACATATATATATATCTTCAAATTTTCATTTCATTGTTGTGTTTATTTAAATTATTTTGTTGCTAGGATTATGAATCAAAATCTCACTGATAAACCATCGGATCCTATCAACAACATTGAAATTGGAAAGGATTATCAATTTTTAGATCCGAATTCGACCCATTCGACTGACATATTAGGACAAGATTTCGACCCTGTAAGCTTGGATTGTATCCAAGAGTTGAGCAACATTTGGCAAATGTTCGACTCCAATACTACGCTGCCTGAAACAACTGACCCAACTCAAAGTTCTTCGACTAATCCTCAAATGAAAGTCGCACAAATTGGCGCTCCTTGCGAAAACAATCTACCCCAAGAGGTAAGTTTACGATTCGATCCAAACAAATAAATAAATAAATAAATAGTGCGCTATATGATGAACTATATTATGTGTCGAGAAAATTCTAAATAATTTTATTGTTTTGTATACGATAGGTAGTTGATGGAGATGACACAAATGTGATGGCGAAGGTGCAAGAGGCCGGGATGTGGGAGTGGGAGGACTTGCTTCGCGATGATTTCGACGTACACCTTTTATAAAACATCGCAAGTCGCGTTTCTTCGAACGAGTAAGGTTCTAAAATTTAATAAAAAAAAACTATTTGATGAATCGTTTATTATGCAATAATTAGGACACCTTTAAGGATGTTTCAAACAATATATTATGTATGCATTTCCTATGTGATTTTCATTGGTGATGTCTTCTATGAATTTATTTTTAGTTTGCTTTGGTTACAATGTAGTTTTGATGGTTTGTGTTTTTGTTTGAAAATAGGAAAAATTTCAATGGAACTTGAGTTTTGATTATAATATTTTAAATAAAATGTACATATGGTTATGTTTGATATTTAACAAGCAGATTTATGTCCCATATAAATTCATATTTTATAATTTTATTTTTTTGATTGTCTTAATTAGATCACTGTTTGTCTATATTTATAATATATATTTTTATTATTAAAATGGTTAGCTATCAATAACAAAAAAATTTCATAATGAATTCAAAATAAATATTTTTAAAATATTTTAAGCTCTGTTTACACAATTTTTTATAAAGATTTTAACATTATTTAATTATTTAAAAATATCATATTAAATATATTTTTCTTATAAAATGTTATATTAAATACTAATTTTTGTTTTATTTTTAAATTTTTAGAATTCCAAAACTCCAAAAAAAATTTCTTGTCAAAACCGAACTATTTGAAATGCATTATTTGTTATTTTGATTGTATTAAATTTGAAAATAAAATAGTTGAAAGTACACTATCAATATTTGAGTGAAATTGGAGATGACAGATGTATAGTCGATTTCATATTAAAATTAATATTATTTATTTTGTATATATTTTTAATATAAATAAATTATTTTTAAAAAGTTATTATATTAAAATATTATTTTATAAAAAATATATATATTTAAAATTACAACACGCAAACTCATATTTTCTTTGATTTATTATTATTTTTTTAATGTAACTATATAGTTTGTCTGCTTATGTGGTATTTTGGATGAAGTTAAAAAAATAAATTTATTTTTGAAATAAAATAATAGTTGGATGCATTAATTTAAATAAAATTTAATATATAATATGCTCCTTTTATAAACTAAAAATCAACTTGATTTGATTTGGATAAGAATTTTAATATGACATGTGTTTTTTACTTAAATAGAGTTCTTTTTTTAAGACACACAAATAAGAAAAACAAACCTATTTTTTTACATCTAATTTGGGCCTAACACAATCAATTGGTTTAATGAATATATTTAAAATTATTTGAACCCAAATATAACTACTCAAGTCAAACAAAGTTTATAACTTCAATTTATTTATTATGCGAATTTTAATAAACCTATATTTTTCTTTTAGAACATCTGTTATAGTCACATTCATCATTACTTTTTTGGTTTTTACTATAATAATGCTCATTACCTTTAATGAGAAATACAATTATTTTAAATTTATTAACTTTCTCAAGAACCCGTTATCTTCAACAAAAATAATAAAAATTAATTAAGTATTATTATTATTATTAATTGAAATCTTAAAATTTCAAATTTCAAATTCAATAAAAATTATCCATAAATATATTTAAAACTCATTAACCAATTATAACGTTTTATCTATCATATTCTAAAATTATTTTTTTGTCTCTAATTTTTCCTATTTAAATTTTAAAGTAGTAAATTATATGCTTCAAATTATTAAAATTTACATAGATTAATATTTAAAAAATTAAAATATAATATTATATAAAAATATTATTAGACAATAAAAATATAAGACTATGTATAAATAAATAAATTATTTTTATTATATTACTACATAATAAAACTATATAGAAATAAATAAATTATTGTAGGTATTATAAAATAGTAAAGGTAATGAGTTGAAGGTAATTAACTACGACGAACAATAAATAAAGTAATTTGAATATTGAAATGAATATAACATAGATGAGAAAGATAAATAAAATAATAGTTTAGAGGTAACGATTATAACAGATGCTCTTATGAAATATAAAACTCAAATTATTCTTTTTAAAAAATAAATAAAAAACAGATCAAACACAAACTAAATGTGTGTTTATTTTCAAATTTTCAACAATTTCTTATAAATATTATTAAAAAATATATTATATTCACACATTCATACGGTATACTTGGTCTGTCGCACTTAATGTGTCCGTCCCACATAATTTATTATTTTTTAAAAATATAATTATACACTTTAATCACATTTTAAAATTAATAATTTATAATTTATTATTTTAATTAAACAATTTAGTCATCTTAATTTATAATTATTATTTATTAAATCATAATTATTTTCATTGATACACTTCTTAATTACTTACTAATTATATAATATCTAAAATTTCGTTCTTAAATTAAATGAGACAAATTAGCTAGGTCGGATAAAGTATTATATATTTTTATTAATCAAGAGTAAATTAACAATTCAATACAAAATATTATTTTTTATTTTACCACCACAATTCTCTATACACAATACTTCCTATGTCTAGTAACAAACTATTTATTTTTTCATTTCGATCATTTATATAAAAAAGTATCCATTTTCGTTTATAGTAATTATACTATCTACCAAATAGTACAAAATATTATAATTCATATAAACATTCATAACTTTAACAAAATATATAAAACATCATATCAAAACACTTACTATTTTTTTTTGGGTTAAAATTTTTCAATTTTTCTTATTTAAAAATTTTATTTAATGTTTTTTCTTATTAAATATTACATTAAACAATATTTAAATATAAAAGTCAAAACTCCAATGCAAATCCAAAGAAAGACCTTCAACTTTTTTCTATTTTAATTGTATTAAAAAAATATTAAAACTTAAAATAAAAACATATTTAAGCATAGCCCTAAAATTGAAACCAGCCCATTCTGGAAGGTAAATGCTATTTGGGCCTAAGCCCAATATAAAAAGGCCCAATAAGGTCAGGAACTAGAAATAGGAAGAGCAGGGGCATTTCGGTATTCTCACTAAGTAGCTCCTTGGTATCTGCGGCGACTCTCTCTCTCTCTCTCTCTCTCTCTGTCCCGATTCCCACCAACCCTATACTTGTGCCCTAGCTCTCTCGTCGTCTCCTCCTTCGGCGACGGCCGTTTTTTGAATCAAAGATCTGGATTTGTTTTATGTTTTTTTGACTTGTTTGCAAGTGGTTATTCTGTATAAATTTTCTTTTTCTATCTGATAGTGATTTTTGTGTTGTGATGGAACTAGGGTTTTTATGTGCGGTTATCAATTGCTCGTAGAGAGTGCGAATCGAGCGCTGCAATCTTGACGTTGACTGTGAGTATTCTCGTCTTAATAACTTGTGGGTTGGAGGATTATTTTGTTTCTGGAATTTGGGTTTTCCGTGGTTGCCCTTAAAATGAGTGAACATGGATGCGTTTCTTGTTGTTCGATTTTGCTGTGCCCTTTAGGTGCTCTGGTGTTGCGGAAGTGTTCTTGTGACTGGTGTGCCTTCCATTGGCTGTTTGTTTGTACGTTTCTTTGTTCGCGTGTTCGGGGTAGTTATTTGGTTTGATATTTTTCGAAATTTATTTCTGTGGGGGAATGCTTAGTAGATTGACTGATATGTTAATCCCGCCTAGCTAATTTATATGTTCTTAAGCTGATTGAATTATAGTTTTGTATAAACAGTTAACACTTCTTTTATTCATTTGCCCTCTATCTATATATTTTCAAATGATTATTCTAAGAATTGTTCTAACTTGATCAGGTGCGCTTATAAAAGCGTGATTTAGAAAAGATACAAGATGTCATCACCCTATGTAACTCTGGGTAATCGACCACTTGAACAGTGGAAAGTCACTGAACTGAAGGAGGAGCTCAAGAAGCGCAAATTGACCACTAAGGGTTTGAAAGAAGATCTGTTGAAGCGCCTGGATGAAGCTGTTCGAACTGAACAGGCAAATGCTTCTGCAATGGAAGATGATGAAGAATCTGAGTCACCTACTGATCAAGTTGAAACCAAGCCTGTTGCTTCTGGAAAAGATAAGGATCCCTTAGATGCAAGTGCTGGTATTGGTGAAAAGCTTGAAGCAAAATCTGAGCAAAATGTCCCAAGTGATGTAGACGTCGGTGCAAAAGCAGATTTAGTGAAAGAAACCAAAGCAGTTTCTGAGACGGAAATGAAGCCTGTGAAGACCATAGATTCAACTGGTGAGACAGTTGAGCCTGTGACGGAATTGAGTGAATCAAACTTGCCTAGTGATGGAAAGAGTAAGCACGAAGATTCCCCTGCCATGCTCAGTGGGGCTGGGCTGCAGTTACAGGATAATGCTAAGGTTGAGCCTCCTACCAAGCCAGATGTTGAGGGCAGTGAAACTCAAAATGAGGGCATGGACTCAACTATTCAGATGGAGAGTGATGATTCCAAGTCCCACCAACCAGATTCCGATGTCCAGCCACTGAAGTTTCAGGTATCTGAGGTTAACCCTGATTTAGGGTCTCAAGTAGCATCTGATTCTGTTTCTACTGAATCTGTCCCCCTTATTGAGAAAAATGAACTAAAGATAGATGTAATTACTGATAATGTCAAATTAGAACTGGATGTTAAACCTGAGGTGGGGCAGACATCTGTTGGCACTGCAGCTTCTGATGATGGCAAATTAGAACCAGCAGGTGATGAGGCGCCACTTAGCAAGGATGATACTGATGATTCCCTTGACAAAAAAGATGTTGAACAGCCACTTGACAAAGTGGAATCTATGGAAGCAACTGATGCAGAAAATATTGATAATCTCAGGGGCATTGATAGTGTTGATTTGGGTCCTCCTGAAAAACTAAGTTTAGACAGGAGTTCAGGTGATGATTCTATGGAGGAGGATGTAATGGATAGTAAACAAATGGAGTACAAGTCTGATTCTAATAAAGCTCACGACATCATGGAGACATCTGAAAAGCCTGTAACAGATGAGGATGATCATGTTGATGTTGTTGGTCATGATAAACCAGCTGAAATGAAACCTGCTGATGCTGAAAAAGAGACTGCGTCTGCACAGGGACTATCTAAGAGAAAGTTCTATGGTGAGAGTTATATATCCATGCTTCAGTTACTTGCGGGTTTAGTTCTGCTTCCTTTTAATCTACAATACATTGACAGGGGTCATCTATATTTCATCTTCTTTGCTTTTTTGTCATAAGCCTTGGGGTTTAGGATCTGGATTTAGGTTTGTATATACTGTATGGTTACAATTGAATTTGTTAAAAAATGTTTTTCTTTCTTAATGCTCACACTCAATAATTGAAAAGCTAGAAAAACTATGTATGGGATACATTGTTACTGATATCATTCCTTAAGGTTTTCCATGATTAGAAAAAATTTAAAAAATGAGAAAAAATAAAGAATTTCTGTAGTAAGATATTCTCCAAGATGTATGTGACTCTTTCTAGGACTAATTTTCAGATTATTATTTATTATATTTGGCGATTACAATATGTGAACCGCTTGTTCATACCTGATTATTGATTCCAGCTCAAAAACCTATGAAAGTTATGTTGTAAGGGTGTGCCACTTCATAAGTTGAGAATAATGAAATGAAATGGCACTTGGGAGACAGAGTGCTGACACTGCCATCTACATTGCTTTTGTTTATTTGGAAGTGCATAGTTACATTCTAATTTTCTTTTACTGTTGCAAGCATTGAAATTTATGGTCATTAACATTCCAGATAAAGAAGCAGCTGGGCAGAATGACCCTGCAAAGAAGGCCCGCAGGTGGAATACAGAAGGGTCAAAGGGTTCTGAGCAGCAGAGCAACACTGTAGCTGCTTCTATCACACCCAAGGGTTTGCCTGAACCTACTTTCAAGCGAGCAGGACCCGACCCTGTAGTCAATGAAGAATCACCTAAGGAGCGAATTGGTAACCTCAGTCCTCTTGATGCATTGCTAAGTTGCTGCCAATGTTGTTTTGTTAACTTAACCAGAGTGTTATGTTTCCTTTTTGCAGTTCCACCAACCTCAAAGCCACCCACTAATTCTCTAAGAATTGATCGCTTTCTGCGACCTTTTACTTTAAAAGCAGTGCAGGAACTCCTTGGCAAAACTGGCACTGTTACCAGTTTTTGGATGGATCACATCAAAACCCACTGCTATGTTTCGGTAACCTTTTTCTCTATTCTGTCTACTGACAACATTCCATCTCGTACTCTATATGCCTGGAAGTAACTTGAATTTATGTTTTTCATATGGGGCATGCAGTATTCATCAGTTGAGGAGGCTGTGGAAACGCGTAATGCAGTATACAATCTCCAGTGGCCACCAAATGGGGGGCGCACGTTGGTGGCAGAGTTTGTCGAACCTCAAGAAGTTAAAGCACGACTCGAGGCCCCCCCAGTAACTCCCACAACTCCTTCAACGAGCGCCGCTGCTATCTTCTCTGCCTCTAAGACCCAACCCTCTATGCCACCTCAACCTTCTCCGAGGCAGCAGCAGCCGCAGCACCTTCCCCCGCCCCCTCTTCCACCACCACAGATGTCTAATCCTCCTTTTGCCAAGGAACGCCTACATCCATCAAGAGAGCCTCTGCCGATGGAACAGCAGCCTCTTCCTTTGAGGGACAGGGTTAACCTCCCCCCACCCCCTCCACTTCCGGATAAGGCCGACCCGCCAATTGTGACTCTGGATGATCTCTTCCGGAAAACCAAGGCCATGCCCCGCATCTACTACTTGCCGTTGTCAGATGAACAAGTCGCCGCGAAAGTGAAGTCACAGGGAAAGAATGTCAATCAGTAGGGCAATTAGGCTGTGTACTTATGGCAGAGATACCTACTACTACTACTACAGCAATTTCTGATAGATTGGTTAGTATGAGAAAAAAAGTATCGGTATGAAGTATATTATAACTACATCTTTGCAGGTCTGCAGGTGTGCCGTGTAGGATGATGATGATGATGGTGATGATGTTCTTCTTCCGGTGCGGATGGTGCTGTTTCCTTGGTGGATTCATGTTCTTGCGTTGGGTTGTTGAGGCTGAGTTTATTAAGATTATCTTTGTTATTATTATTATGTATGATCAATGTATGCTGCTGCTGCATCCCCCGAGTCGTCCCGCTTTCCAATTAAGACACTGTTGTTCTAGACTAGTTGGTGTCGCCCGATTTTCCCGGCCCCAAACCTTAACCTTTTTACTTGTTGAGAACATCTGTGATAAAGTTTTTCATTTCTGCATTTTAGGGTTGTGCTTGTTTTAAATCAATGTGGGCATTTTACATGTCTAAAGTTGTCACTAGGCTGGTTTTAAGATTGATTGTTCATTGGTTTAATTCATTATGTATGTTGAAGATGATTAAATTTACTAGTAGATAGCATATTAGTTGATATATTTTAAGTTTAAGAGGGTTTTTTAGTATGTACATGGTTGGTTATGTGAGCTGTAGATTACAGTGTCATTTAGATGAACAGTTATTATTTTTCCAAAAACCAAGGGTGTGTTTTGAGTGATTCTTATGGTTTTTAAAAATGTTTTATTATTTTTTATCTTACAAAATATTAAATTTAAATTCAAGATGCAAAATCAATTTCTAAGAACATAATATATTATCCAAATATGTTATATTTGCAAGAACGAAAGGAGTATTAAAATGAGAATTACAAATACATATGAATATGAATGCCCTAAGAACCAATGGAAGATCGATTGTAAAATTAAATATACGCTTTTGTTTATTGTGGTAATACTATAGTTTATAATTTGTTTATTTATTTCTCCAATTATTTCAAATTTATATTAAAAACATTAATATAAATATCATAAAAGTACATTAGCATTTTTTTATTAAGGTTATATTTACTTTGATATATATTTATATTTTAAAATTATTATTATACAATTATTTCCATAAAATTAAGTTATATTTTTAACAAAATTTTATTTATTAAACTTAAAAATAAATTTTTTTATTTGTTTAGATGTCAAATAAAAAAAATATACTCTATAAAAATTTATTTAAATTAAACTCAAATCAAAATAAAACAAATTATAAATCTCGTCGAGGATAAAAAGTTTAAATTGATTGCAAAGAGGTGACGTAATGAGTAAATGTCAGGAAATATGAGTCACAAACATAATTTCAAATAGTGGAGGGATGAAGTTGAAATTTTCAAATAAACCATCTTATAAAAACCCTATTCTGTACCGCAGCTTCGCCAGATTAGGGTTTCATCGGCGTCTTGGCATCTGCAAGGGTTTGAGCCGCAACAATGGTTGCCACCAAGAAAACCGTATGCTTCCAACACCCAGGATCCTTATGTTCTTTCACTTTTCTTCTCTGATCGTTGATTCATTTGTATACGTTTTCGATTTGTTTGTTTCTTAAGTTTCTCCGTTTTTTCCCCGCAGAAGAAGACGCATGAGAGCATCAACAATAGGCTCGCTCTGGTGATGAAGAGCGGCAAATACACGCTCGGTTACAAGACCGTTCTCAAAACCCTTCGTAGCTCAAAAGGTACTGTCTTTGTCTGTATTATTCGGTTGTATGAATATTTAGAGTATGTGTTGTGTATTTTGGATTTCGGGAATTCATTGTTGATTGCTTAATCTTTTGTAGCGAAATTGGTTCTTATCTCTAACAACTGCCCCCCGTTGAGGAAATCAGAGATAGAGTACTATGCAATGCTTGCAAAAGTTGGGGTTCACCACTACAATGGAAGTGAGTACCTTATGAGCACATTAATTGTTAGACTTTATTAATTAAAGTTGATTTTTTATGTATATTTTTGTGGGACGATTATATATATATATATTAATCAGCCTAAGTTTACACCAGATCTTTTAAATAGAATCTTGATGGTCAGGCATAGCTTTCTTGTTAGGTTTAGATCCATGTATAGAAGGATCTTGTACCCTAAGTTTACACCAGATCGGGTTATATTGTTGAACAAAAAAAAAAATCTGTATTAATCTGAATTACTTGTTTTTTTATAACTTGTCAGTATTTTCTAAAATGCAGTTGAAATATATACATTCTAGCGCTTGGAATAACTGAAGTAACAATCTTCTTCCCATGTTAGGTTATGGTTTTAGGATTGTCTGGTTGTGCTTTAGAATGCCGATCTGAAATAAATATATATTTCATGCATTGTGTTTTCTCTGTGGAGATGCCTTGATAAGTATCATCTGTAATTGATTTACCTAATTTTTCTATCAAGTATAGGGACCTTCATGAATTGTGATTGACTGTTGCCAGTTATAGGTCATGTGAGCAATTTTGAAAATGCACTTGATGGACTTGATATAACAACAGTATTGGAACAATTTTGATTGTTTTGGAGATGGTTTGGTTATTGTGTCTGCTGCTCTGGTTTCCTAAAATTATTAGAAGATTTAGAAACTGTGTCTATTATTTTGAACAAAACATGGAGCTACTATGTTGGAATTGAGATGTATCGGCCTCCCATTTGTTATGGCTGGCCCTTTTCCCCTCAGATGCTTGGCCAGAGGCCCTTTCAATATTTTTTCAGAATGAGAATTGATATATGTTTAAATTGATATGATCTTGTCCCTTGAAAAGTTACTGCTGAAGCCATATTCAGCCAAATGAGCTGTATTTATCTCTTGATTATAAGTGATATAGGCAATTTGATAGGTAGAAACCACACCCCTTTTAACCATATCTGTCCACTGATAAGATATGTGAATGCCTGTAGATTTTCCTTACTGTTTCTCACCCCCTGCTATTATTTTCAGATAATGTCGATTTGGGAACTGGTTGTGGGAAGTACTTCCGCGTGTCTTGCCTCAGCATTATTGACCCTGGTAACAGATAAAAACTTATTGCATACTTTTTTATTCAATTCTTAAACTGTTTGGTGGCTGATGCATTGTTTACTTACTGATAATGCAGGTGACTCGGACATCATTAAATCATTGCCCAGCGAACGCTGAGAAATCATAGACACTGTGTTATGCCTTTCTCTTTTGTATTTCGTGCGCATCCCTAATATGAGACAACTATAGGAGATTTGCACTGAAATTTTTATTGTTAATTTTGTTTGCTGGGTTGCTTGTTTTGGACACCTCTTTGCAGTTTGGAGAATATGACATAAGATTTTCTGAGAGAGTTTATTTTCTCTTGAATATGCTCTTCTATCTTGTCATCTCATTACAACCTCATTTAAATGACTGCAGGTTACTAGATTGATCTTTGTGTTGTGCTGGTAGCAATTAGAAATCACATAATTCATGTGGTCACTGTGCATGATGAGATTAGGAATCAATTAGAAACCACATAGTTATGGATGAGTGAAAATTTTGCTTGAGATCTGCAGGTTCTTGTGGGCAGTAATTATATTCGGGCATCGGTTGCTCTCTATAAAGGAGAGGATTTGAAATCGACAGATGTGCCTTTAACTCCTTGTTTTTGGATGATATTTATGTGTCTGATTTAAGTTTTTGGTGCAGAAGTTTTCATGATGTGTTTGTAAGAAACTTATTTCGTGAGCTTATTTCTCATATGGATGATAATTTGTGGGATGAATTTTCGCAGCCTTAGAACTTGTTCAAAATGATCAAAAATATTTTTATTAGGATTTTCAATGTATCTTGTAGATTAAAAATAAAGTTGTTAAGCAAAACTCATTCTGAGCTCGCCTAGTTGTCACAACAAATTTTATATTTTGATATATATATATATATATATTATATAGTAAATATTTTTATTTTGATAAGACCAATATTGTGTAGTTAATTAATTTGATTAAAATAATCCATTGTCTGGCTGGATCATGATAAGTGCCTCTGCTTTTGCACTATTTCTCTATTTAAGTGTAACAAATTTCATTAGGAGACAATAAAAAACATCAATGCCCCATCTCAATTTATTTAATTAATTGACAAGTAAGATTTTATTTATTTACTTATTTTTCCAACTACTTATAAAGTAATGGCCATTCTTCTTCTTAATGGAAGTAATAACTAATAAACAACATTATCTTAATCTTAACTGGTTGGGGTAACAAGGTTAATCTTGATTTAAATATTATATTTTAGTTTCTAATATATTGCAGTACATAATGTTTTATAATAACCAAAAATTATTGAATTTATTTTATTCTATTTTAGCTCATTAAGTAAATGTGAACAAATTAATCAGTGTTGCTCACATAAATACAAAGCAAAATTAACATTTTTTTTGATGTAGTTAGAGAAACGTAAACCAAAATTCTTTAAAAATCTACTTTTATCATATTTAAAATAATCTTCCTACAATAGTTATTCTAAATATATTCATTTTGTGCTGTTCATGAGCTCATACAAAGTATTACATATTTATTTAAAACCCTTTATATATATAACAAGATCCGTACAATAAACTTACCGTGTTTTCTTTTTGGAGTTTAATTTTTTATATTTTTTTCTTAGTTTGAAATATAGTAATTTATATAGAATATTTTTGTTAGAAGAAATAATATATATTTATAGAAAATAGCTATAATTGCATAGTAAAAAAATATATTAAACCTCAACTTCACAAATAACACATCTTTGAACTTTGAAATATTTAAAATATAATATATTTCAATTTCATTTATTTTAAATAAAATGCAAAATCATGCATGAAGAAAAACAAGGAAAATAATTAAGAACAATACTTAAATCTTAAAATTGCATAATGAAAGAAGACAAACTACTAGAACAAATTAACTAAACAATTATTACATAATAAAACACATCATCATTATACACATTCATGAAAACAAACTGGAACAACATAACTAATCAACACGAGAATTGAGCTTCTTATTGGCTACATGCACGACGAACTAAATAAAAACATGCAACCAAATTAATCTTGTACATATAAAATCACATTTCGTGCATGTAAATTCAATCTTTTCTCACACCCTCCAAAGTATCCATCGTCTCGGGCGATCCAACCAAATTGCCCGGGTGCACTTTCTTATAATTACAAACATTCTTGTCGATTGTCATTTTTCCATGTTCTTCTTCCTTCTTCTTCAATTTCTCCATTTGTCGCTTTTGTTGCACATAAATATTCGCATAGCTTGCCCCGGTCGAAGACATAACTATGTTTGTGTATTTTAGAGAGAGAGCGAAGAAAGAGATTATGTTTGAATTCTTGTTGTGATTTAGAAAGAAAGAAATGGTGATGAATTTATAGGCAAAAGGGCTTGTTGGCTTTCCTATCAAGAAAATCACTTACATTATAAATACATATATATATGTGTGTATTAATGGAATAATTAGGGTTTTTGATTATGGAGAAAATTAATGTTAAGTGGAGGTACTTATAAAAATGGTGTGTGGAGGAGATGTTTAATTATTTGGTGGATTAGCCATTAACATCATTTAAAGTTTGTAAGTGTTGGAGGTTTGTGAAAATGCACATACATATAAATAGTTTAGTTAGGACATTATTAGTATTGGAGTTAGCTGTCAGCAGCTTTAATTTTATAACTTTCAAGTTTTAATTTGGTGATAACCACTTGCATAAACACTATTGATTTTTCTTTCTTTCTTTACTTACAATAATTATTTTGGTCATCTAAGTAACTATCACTTGCTACCCTTTATAGTTTAAAATTTGAACTTGGGGTATATATTTGTTTCAAGATTTTTTATTTTTTATTTTTAGTATAAAAGATTAATTAATTAACCACAATGAGGTGGATTGTTAGTTTGTGCTTGAGGGGACTTAGAGAGATTCACAAGTGCAATGTGTGTCATAACCCTCGGTTTAAGGAGGGGTGTCAGATATTAATATATACGGGGATGAGTTTCAAAACTTAAGAAGATTATATTGGAAATCACGTCAAATTTCAGATTGTAGATTGAAATTTTGAGAATAAAATAAATTTGAATTGAAATAGATTGTTAATGTAATATGATACTAGATATTTGAGTTAATATATTTTTATTAAGTTTTTTTTTTTTTAGATATGTAATTTAATAATTTTGAAAAAAAGTTAGTAAATATACCCAAACACATGTCAAGGGATGATTACAAGCGCTATAAGCGTCTCAAAGTTTTTTCAAAGTCAAAATGATATTAACGACAAATATAATAATGAATTTTACAAAAAAAAAAAAAGAAAATTATTTTAACCATATGTTCAATAAATTATCATACCTATAAGATGTATCATTGAAATAAAACAATATCTTGCATATAATAATAATAATAATAATAATAATAATAATAATAATAATAATAATAATAAGTATGAAGTCTAAATGCACTATTCATTGCACAAATAAACTTAAACAATAATAAATTTAAGTCAAATTCTAATAATCTAATCAATTTATTATATAATATAATGTAATTAAGCTAACTAGAAGTAAGAACAACTCAGATTTAAACAAACTTTCAAAAAATTATATAGCAACTTGAAATGTCACCAAAATACGAGTAGATATTCTGATTAAAATCTAAAAAAAAAAAATGATAAAATTTTAATGAACTTAAAAAACGACATAAAAATATAAATTATAAAATATAAGCTCTTACAACATTGTTCATTTAAAATATCTTATTCTTAGATTTTTTATAACTTAATTTGTCCAAAACTTAATCTTTAATTGCTATATATATATATATATATATATATCAATGCTAGTTTTAACTTTTCTTAGGGGATATATAGAACTCCACAAGTAAATCTCGAGCGATTTTAATTTTATAAAATTTTCTTTCAATAGTTGCAACTATCACGGGAATAATTAACTATATTTTACATGTAATATTGTATCGAGAAACCAGCCACCAAATTTTAAGAGTTCATAACAACATGATAATAACTTTAATATTTTGGAGGCACAAATCAATATAATCATATCTAATAAAATTATTTTTATACATATTACATTTTATTTTATGAGTTTGACCTAACTGAGTACAAATTTAACTTAAAAAACTCAGAGCCACAAGTTCATCAAAGAATCATCACCAGCCAATAAAAAAATTAAAGTTTATTATAGATATACATGTCACATCATTAATTAAAATAACTCTAATCGTGTATATGCATGGCAACATATTTATATATATATATATATATTATTTACAAATTCTTTATCTTCTATTACAATTTACAATTAATTAATGAGAATTATAAAATTATTACTTAAAACTTTACAGAAAGACATAATGCATGGATTAGGTTATAATGTCACCAACCTTTGTAGTAATTGTAAATTAGTATTGTTGTTGTTGTTGTTGTTTAATTTGAAATATTTCAATTTTGTAAATTTTTTTCTTTATTTATGCATATTCTTTTTCTCTATTAACTTTATAACTATAATTTATAAATTTATTGTAAATTAAAAGTAAAGACAAAATGACAAAAAACTACTAAAATTATATCAACTAGGATATCACTAACACAATTTGAGACAAATGTAGTATTCGACAATAAATACAAATTAATTATACTTCCCAAATATTAAAATATATTTGGAAGTAATATATTATATTTATGATAGTAATTTTATTTAAAAGATTTGTAGGATTATTGTCTTATTTAGACGATTTATATATCACTATAAATATGTACATATTCTTACGATTGAAAATAGAAAATTTCAGTTTCATATTCTAATTATATGGTATGATAGCCAAATTCTCTCCGGGTACCTCCATAACCCGTAATATCCCGTATATATTTTTATATTTTATTAATGTATTTGCTTCTATCTACGGTCATGCTGTTATTTTCATGTCGTCTCCGTCTCTACTATTCCACTGACAGAGTTTAATTTCGACTCTAATGCTGTTGAGAGTCCTGTTTTTTACTTTAACTTTATTGAGAGCGAGAGAGTCATGTTTCCGACTCTAACTCTGTTGTAAGCGAGTAAGTCCTATTTCCAACTCTAGCTCTATAGAGTGAGCGAGTCCTGTTTCCAACTCTAACGGTGTTGACTACACTACTTTCAGTCAATCTTAGCGAATTCAAATTCGTACGTGGAAGATCTCGACTATATCTTTTTCGGTCATTTTTAACAAACTCAAGTTTGTTCCATTATATATTTAGTTTGATGAGAGGTGTTAAAATATGTTTATAAACAATATATCATATTTATGGTAGTTATCTTATTTAAGAGATTCATAGGATTCTTGTGATTTATATATCACTATTAATATGTATGTATTATTATAATTGAAATAGAGAATTTCATTTTCATATTATACTATTATCTAATTTTTTCATATATATATGTATATATATACACATCATAATATATACTTTTTTTTTTTTTCCATTCAAATTAACCACACTATTCAACCAATAACACAATTTACATCATTTTTCCAATGATATAATTTATTAAAAATAAATAGAGCCTTACACTTGGATTTCAACCAACTTCTGCATAGTCAACTATATGTTTTAATCATATATATATATAATATAAAAGGTGTATTTATGATATATTAATTATGATGAATGAATGGTATAATTTTAATTGTTGTTACAATATTTAATCATGTTCAATACTATGCTGACAATACATTCAATATAAATATAGACGAATAAGAAAAATTAAAAATAAGAAATATACGATTTATATTAATACAATACAAATATAATAAATAAATTAGAAATATATGAAAATAGTTAATACAATATATGTTATTTTTAATTTTGATACAATAAGATATATTTATAGAACACACCTATCATTCATTCTTTGTTCTTGTAATTATATAGTATAATTTATTAAGATAATATAATGTATTATAATTTTATCATATAAAAATTAAATATAAGTGGTGCTTATGCATGTTCAACAAACCTTGAAATTACAATGGACTCCTCCTACTTCCCACTATTTTCCTTAGCTGAGTGAGCTCTTAGTCATTTTATTTATTTATATATTTCATTCCTTTTAAGTAAAATATTCATTTAGTCTTATTTTAATTGATTTTTTTTTTTTTTTCATTTTTTATGGCCCGTGACAATTACCATATTTTTATTTTGAATAAACTTTATTAAATCAAATACATATTTAATAAATATAAATCAGCTTAATTTATTACATAACATATAATATCATATAGATATATATCATGTAAAATACACTCAAAACTATTTTATTTCTATCAATCTCTTAAAAAAGTAAATATATTTATCTATATTTAGATTTTCACATCTTTTATAAAATTAGCTTATTTTAATTATAAATAAATAAATAAATGAATGTATTTTTTATTTACTTGTATTATAAATTTTATTTTTTACAAACTAATATTCACATTGCATTGTTATATAATTTTTTTAAAAATATTCAAATAAATATTCTAAACTTTTTTTAGTTACACATATTTAATTTATTTTAAAACTATTAATATTTTTAATTATATATAATAAAAATAATATTATAATTCACTATTATTAACTAATCAAATATTATTAGCTGAAATACTTTATCCCTATCAATCAAATATTCTACGGAAGAAGTACTATCAGCACGTTGAAGTACTATCCGCCAACTTGTAATTATTGTTATTATTATTTTATTTTAAAATAACCTTTGACTTTAGATAATTTTTTTTTTTTAATGTAACACCTAACACAATGTGCCCACAGCCCACAAACTAATTTGAAATTTTATTTATAGTTAATAAGTTCTCCACTTTCTTTATATAGTTATTATTATTATTATTATTGTGCACTTATAATGTATTATTATTATTATTATTATTATTATTATTATTATTATTATTATTAATTATTTCTATGGTTTATATGTACTGAAAGTGGTTGATTGTGTCTCTTGATGCAGAAACAACCACTACACAATAAAAGTTTGTGATTGGTTAGTTTAGGGGATGAAGTTATTATTTTATTTTTAGGTGAATCATAATCACTTGTTTAGTGAATATTAATTAATTAATTAATTAATATAATATTTCACAAGCATTTTTATTTAAAAATTTCAATGTCAAATTACTTCGTATCAAAATTTTCTTTAAATTCCAAACAAATGAAATCAAAGTCAAATTTTATAATTCAACACACAAAACATACAATATAAAAGTATGTCCTAACATAATACACGTATAATACATAAAAATTACACTGTTATTGAATTAGCATAACAAATATATTCATACAATATACCCATAAATATAAATAATAATATAGAGTTTTATTTAAATCAAAGCATGTGCATGAGTGAGCTTGGGCTTCGATAGTTCTTTGTTCAAAACGCTACCGGTTTTCAAATGATACAAATAAATATAATACGGCATTTAAAATGAAAATCTGTATCCTAATCAATCAAATTAAAATATAAAATATATAAATATAAATATATCTTTGTCGGTGACAAAATGTGGATTCTTTTGTTAATTATTATTTAAACTTCACATTCTTCAAATATAGTAATATATATTTTTAAAATGACAAAAATATTTTTACTAGTGTCTTATAATACTATTAAAATGACATTGTGCACAAAATTGTACAAATATTAAAATATTTTTAATGTTAAGTACAATGGCGCACAAAATGAAGGCCTTAGCCTGAACTTTTGATCGATACTTTTTGAACTCAAGATCAATTGAAAATTGAAGCTAGGTGCAAAGAAAATTGAAGAAAATTAATGATTCAATCAACCTCCATTATATTGCTGAGGCACTAAAGCATTTGCAGGCATTAACACTACAAATGCAAACAACACTACAACAACAACAAAAACACCAAAAGTTTAAATCAAATCATCAAATCATGGCAATTAATTCCACCTTCCAAAATGCTAATTACCAAATTCTGTATTGTCCCACAGATCGATCACAACTTAATCAGCAAAAACGCAACAAAACCCACCACCACAAACGTCTTCCAAGCCCGGCCCGAAACTCCTCCGGCGGCGGCGCCGCCATAATAAGGCTTGATCATGATATTAAACCTGCAATTTCCGGTAGACGGATTCGCCCGAGTGATCGTCCCGAGCCCGTTGAACTTACACGCCTCGTCGAGCTGGTTGCTCTTCTGATAGTAGCTATTGAAAGCATACGACACATTCCCCCGAGCATCCATTCCGCTGCACGACGTTTGGTACCCGAGCGAAGTGCAGTCGGCGCGCGAGCACGCGTAGCTAACGCTCGGAGCAACCTGCGAACCGTCAATCCTCGCATCGGACTTCATGATGCACCATTTTTGCTCCAAGTAGGTCACGTTCCGAGCCGGGATTAGCCCGGAAGTCGCGGTTCCGGTGCCGAGGTTGAGAGCGTACTTCGGCTGGCCGTCGTACGAAAAAATGCCCCAATGGCGCTCGAAGTTCCCGGGCTGGATGCTCTTTTCGTCCTCGTCGATCAAGCTGAAAAGATACGCATTGATCGGGCCGGGCCTCATCGGAGTCCCTCGCCCTCCGGCTATATGCGTCATGAATCCTTGGTTGAACCGTTGCGCGTATTGTAGATTGGCGTTTTGGTCGCCGTCAGTCGGCCAACCGATTTCGCCGACTATGATCGGCAGGTTCCCGAACCCGTTCTTCTGAAGCGCCCAGACGAGCGTGTCGTGGTTGGCGTCGAACATGTTGTAGTAACTCGTGCCTCCGTCGTTCACCGGCGTCGCATTTCCGTCAAAGAATGCGTACTCGACCGGGAAGTTGGAGTCGGTGTAGAGACTTATGAAGGGGTATATGTTGACGGTGAACGGCGCTTGGTTGTCGTTGAGCAGCTGCACGATCGGGAGCATGTAGTCGTGGATGTTCGCTCGGAAATCGCCGCCGGAGGGCAAGGAACTCGCGGAGGTGTAAACGTCTGCGTTGAGTGGGACGGTGACTTTTACTTGATCGCGAAGATTCGCTCTTGTTAGGGCCTCTTGAACGTTTCTTAGAGCCGGGAACGTCGTTTTGAGAAAGCTCCCGTTGTACGTCTCCAAGAACGGTTCGTTTCCCACCGCAACGTACCTACAAGATAATGTACATAACTAGTAAGAACTATAAACAATTTCCAATCGAAACAATGGCATCAAGAAAGATGAAAGCTCTGATTATATAGATACTTTTGTAACTTTTGACCCTATTTAACAAGATTGCGGATTTAGGGTCAAGTGTTCATTTGATCAGGTCAGCATATCACAAAAAAGATACGTTGATTACTTTTACGTGATCAGCACTTGATCCAAACCCATTTATCAACACTAATTTTTTCAAAAAGATATCACATGAAACATCTTTCTTTCCTAAAACAACACTTCAAATCTTAAACTTTTTATTATTCTCAAAATTTTCCAAAACTTTGTAAGCAATCGAAATTATGGGAAACTCAAGCTACATTAGAGAATTTGAAGTTTCGCAACATTATTTAGGATCTTAACTTCGAATTTGGCGATTTCGACAACAAGACTAAAAAAGAAACTAAAATTGATAAAGGATCTTTCTTATAAGACCAAAAAAATGTTATTTTGTCCGAAACAATCTAACTAGAGATTAAATCTAATGATCACAATCCAACAAGAACAAATGCTATAACTAAACCAACAAATTAAATACCAAATATATATGTTTTGCCCATCCAAACCAATCGTTTCGTGATAATTTTCAGCGGGCAACAATTTAATTTCATGGCATTCGACGGGAGGCGACGACTGACCTGATTATAACCTTGTTGTCCCTCAAATGCTGAGATACATTTTGCGAAACCCATTTTTCGGCGGCCTTTGGATTGCTAGCAAGATCTGAGAGCATGTCGTTGGGAATGCCAACCATGACCTCAATCCCGGTGCCGCCAAGAGCTTTTAATGTGTCATAATCGGCATCAAATAGCTTAACTTTTTGAATCCCGTTCTCCCTCAACATTCGCACGACTGTATTTGGCGGCAAATGGTGCGACGACTGCGAGCCCCAGTTGGCACCTATTCCACCCACTGAATGCGACAAATGGATCAGTATATAATTATTAAAGACATCAAGGTACAATCCCAAGAAAGGGATGTTACAAGTTAGATTTAACTAACTTATTCGAGTACGACAAAATCAAATCAAACGCCATTTATTTCTACTAAGAAGTGACCCATCGCTGCGCCTCAACTAGTTAATTGTGCAAATCAAACATAGGAGGAATTAAATACCTGCCCCAGCCCGATTGACGGTGCTCATTTTAACATGACTAGACGACAATCTCTCCACGCCTGCAAAATATACATAATGTTGTAACATATTAGGATTAATGATCGAATAACAAAGTAAAGAAGACACAGATTAACGTGGTTCACCAACAATGTGTTTGTTGTGTCCACGCGCAGAAACGGATAACAAATTTATTGAGGGTCGCTAGGTTACATATTACATATAGATACCTATTTCTGATTCAGATTAACCTAGATTGCATATCTGTCTATTCAAATAAACTAAAAGAGAATATATCTGACGAGCTCATAATAAAGTGACATACTAGATTCAAAGCATATCAACATATAAATTACCGAAAATTCTATAAACAAAAAACATGAATATGAATAGAAAATCCCTAAAGAAGTTCAAGTCGATTGCAAAAAGCTAAGGATACCTCTACGATGAGCAGACTCTGTCAAGAATCGGCTAAAGAATGAAAACATGGATCGTTTCTCACTCCCAAGATTACTATCCAACGATCCATTCGACCCCCTGCACAACATCTGAGACAACAAGAACAATCAAATTTCAAGATTGGCTATAAAATGCAATGGATAGTATGTTTGAAACAACACTAAATGCGAAAATCGAAGAAAAGAAACTCAAGAGTTCGAAACTTTCGGGGCCAAAGGCTTCGATCCCTTCATCTATTGAAGATCACATTTGTAACATATCACCATACACACACATTAGAACATGTTTTTATTTTAGGTATCTTTCCGCCATTAATAGAAATTAAAAATCTTTCCGCCATAAGTAATCGCAGAAATACACAAAACGTATTAATTAAAACAATCATTAAGTGCCCTATTTGCATGGATTAATTTGCTTCGCCTCTCAATTATTGAACTTCATAATCATCATTAATTGCCACCCAACATTACATACTATTTGTGTATATATATATATATAAATCTTTATAAATCAACACATTATCACTCATATCCACCAAAAGTAAAAATGCAATCTTGCATCAATCGCCAAGAAAGAAACCCTCCTCAAATTCAAACCCGAACTTTCGGCAAGCCATTAAAATCAAGAAAATGTGGTAAAAAAATAAGAATAACAATAAAAAGAAAAAGAAGAAAACCCAAAATGCTTACAAAAGAGACCAAACATTATCTTCTTGCAGGGAACAAGGAGTTCCCCCAAAGGAAAAACAAAAACTTTCCAAGAAAAGTAAATAGATAACAGAGAGAGAGAGAGAGAGAGGTAGAGAGAGCTCACCAACAGGACGAGAAAGCACGGGTGAAGACGAAGAAACATTGGGGCAGATCTTCACTCTAAATTCCTAAAAGAAATTAAAGAAACGAATATTTTTTTTTTTCCTAAGGAAAAAAGAACATGTAGATCTTGTGAAAGAAATCTAATGATGAATTGAGGTTCACCTCAATCTCAATTTGAAGTGCAATAGAAATCACTAGTGAGAGAAGAAGAAGAGAGAGAGAGAGAGAGAGAGAGAGAGAGTGAGTGAAGAGGGGCGGTAAAAGGGTGGTTTGCAGGATGGAGCTTTTGCTGTCAAAAAAATGTCTTGAAAATGATAAGATTCTTGTGTGGGCATTTGGGCTTCTGTGTTGTATGAAAGGCTACTTTCTTCATTTTTTTGTTCTCTTTCTTCTTTTTGAGGCATTCTTCTCTCTTTCGATAAAACTATGTTAGGGTAGTTTATAGGCCATTGCACTTTATTTAGTCTATTCAATGTATAATACTCTTCTTCTTTTATTTTATTTTATTTATGTATAAATTAATTATATTTTTAATAATATATTTATAATTTTAATTAAAAATATATTATTTTGATATTAATATATAATTATTTTTATTAAAATAAAAAATTATATTGAGAACAAGCTAAAAATAGTAAAAAACAAATTTTGAATTGACAAGGAATAAGTAGAAAAAAAAATTAGTCTTGTAAAAAATAATCTGATAGGGTGAACTCATGACAGTAAAATCATGTTGTTAGTAGTTTTTTTTGAAATAGTATGGAATGAATTTTTTTATTTTAATTTTTATTTAAATAGTATTTTAATATAATTATTTTTAAAAAAATATTTTATCAAAATTTGTATTGAATAAATAATATTTTTAGATTTAAAATGGTAAAAATATTAATCCAAATTATTTTAATTTTTGATATCTTTAAAGTAACTATTTAAAATAAAAAAATATTACCTTTTATTTTTATAAAAAGTATTAATTAAACAATTTAAATACTTAAAATTGTAAAATATATTGGTTTTGTTTAGTTAATATTCTTTAATGATACAATTTTTTTTTGTAAATATTTTAAAAAAATAACAAAGTTATCACTTAAATACAACATATTATTTTTATATAATATAAAAAAATACAGAGTGAACAATAAAATATGTAATGGAGCTTTAAACCAATAATAAGTTGTGAGAAACAAATTAATTGTAAGTTCAAAATTTGCAATTGTTATTCCATTAGTGTATCTTCACACACTATTAGGACATTCTTCTCGAGATATGAAAATTATTCCCTAAGCAGAAAATTGAGTTGCTCCTGCGAATTTTGACATCATAAAAACAAATAATAATAAAATTAAAGCTTGGAGTGAATTGGAGTTAGAGTCCATGGAGCTCCCACTTAAATATTGTTGCCAATACAGTACAGGTCATACCTACTGATGTCGATATGAGTTAATAACCGCCAAACTATTATAAATAAGAAAAATAGAGCTGTGTTTGGTTGGGATTTTGTGGGGATTTTTTTATTTAATTTAAACATAAAATTATTTTTTATTTTTAATATTGTGTTCAAAATTAATTTATATTCAAAATATTATATAATATTTATTTATGTAAAATTTTTTACTATTCTCGAATTGAAATCAAAAACACATTCATACGTGCTCTAAATGGGATGCGTTTTTTTTTTTTTTTAGTTTATTTATTGATTTTTTCTTAAATTTTAAATATATTCTTGACAAAATTAGAATAGAAATGTAAAAAACAGAAAAGTCAAATATATTTTAGCTCCATATATATAAAAAGACAAGATTATTTATACATATTTATTTTAAAAGACTGATATATATATATATATGTATCAACAAAAATCAAAAAATAAAATCAAAATTATAACGTATGATTCAGCCCAATTCTTTGTTTTTAAACCAAAATCGAGACTGGAATCTTAAGCCATATCTACATTATATTGAGGTATACATATATTCATATACCTTTTGATCATCCTAATAAAGCAGAAGGTTGGGATAAGAACAATGAGTCAGATACACATCATAACTTTAATCGCATTCTTATTAAAATATATATATATATATATATTAATTTGATTACGAGGGTTTTATTTACATACCTATTACTTTTTATTTGAATAAAATGACGATGAATCAAAGCTGTAAAATAAGTATGAATTATATTTCAATCAGTACATATTTTCCTGTATGTTGCAAAAAAAACAACATAATAATATCTATAATCAGTGTTTTTCATATCTCAAACAAAGTAAAATTAATTTGCTCATATATGGATGGATGGATGGATGGATGGGTAGGTAGGCACATAAACATTCCTTATAATTAGTAAAAAGAGACTTACAGTAGTAGTCAGTCAGGGACTCACAGAAGCCCCAGTCCTTTGAGCTGCTGAACATGCTCCGGCGGCAGCGGAGGAGGCGACCAATCCGAGCCTGCCATCTCAGCGTCCACATCCTCGACAACATACTCCTGTAATAACCACACAAGATTACAACGAGCAAGAATCACGCGCGAAAGCTATGGGATTGAATTGGATCCATCACTCACTTTTGTCAGCATTCTTTTCGCGAGTATGTGGTAGTGTCGCTGCCAGATCCTTTGCCCGACCATGGTGGCGACCAGGACGCTGTAAAATATGCCGATGATTGTGAATAAGCCGAGGACAATTAATGCCATTATAAATAGTAGTGGCAGTCCAGCTTCACCAGCACCTCCCAGGCAACCACTGCATTCGCCAGCAGCGCCGGTGCAAGTTTCAAAGCAAGCTGCGCAGTCGGTCCACATACAGAGAGTTCCTGGCAAATGGCAATCTGCGCAAATTCTGCAGAAATGATGCAGCTGAGTATTGATTCGATGAGATGAAACTAGATACATTGCTGTTGGATTCGGGAAATAAACTCATCAATAGAACTATGAAAAATAAATGTTTGGATGTCTTCTTCGAAGGCAGAGAGAAGAAAAGTGCACAACAAATCAACCATAACTTTCACATAATAAAAGTTAAATATTTCTATAACTATTTACTGCTAAAATTTATCGCTACACACCATGCACTTAATAGATACCATCATCAATTTAGTATAAAGTCATTGCATCACCATAGCATCCAATCATATACATAGTTAACTAATAATAGTTTAAATACTATTCATATCAACAATGAGCACATAATTTTGTAGATTTGAAACACAACCAAATAGATTCACATACAGCCAATGCTTTTAATTAATAATGGCAAGGCTATGCTGAGTACACCTTCAAAATTAGGGTAAGTTTGTCAATGTTTCCTACAATAGGCATTGACATATGCAACAATCTATGTCCATAGTGAAAGAAAATTTCTTATTTATTCACCAAAAATTTCTTGACACAAACACGTGAAAATGCTTTCCAATTTCCAAACTTTACAAATGAAGCACAATTTTGGGCCCAATCATGGAAGCAGAGTAATCAACATTGTAGGATGGAAATGGGGAAATTGCATACTTATTTTTGACATAAAATATAGTAGCTGATTTCAAGAGAGATTACACACCCAGGATGACAGCAACAAAGGCACAACTCACGACATGGCTGGGCTAGGTCGTTGCGTACTCTTCTATCATAGCAGGTTATGAAGCACCCAGATAATCCGAGCAAAGCAAAAAATATTAGAGCACCTGCAGCAAAATATAAAGTTGGATTCCCCCCACATATTCACAGGAATCTTCATAAATTAGTGGACAAGTTCCAAGTCAATATTAGAACAGGCATTTTGTCATGTCATAAAATTGTCTGAGAGCCATTGTTTAGTGTTTAGATTTGTGTACTCCGAATGCAATTGTTTTCTTTTGTAAAACTGATTGAAGAAAAAGACATGATCAAATCAAAAAGAGAATAATCACAAACACACTTGCGAAGGAAGAGGAATGCAAGGAAAAGTTGGAAAGTGGGTAAATGATGTCAGTCCATCCATCTTGACAACATCATGCCTTTCTAAATCTAATTGCCAAAAAACACCATGACTCAACCAACCACTGTAATTTATGACCATAATATCAGTTCATCCGATCAATTGGAGCATAAGACCAACTAGCATACTTCATTCTTGGCAAATAACTTGCAAGAATGCACTTCTTTGAATTAATAATAAAAAGGTTTAGGTGTTTTGACAGCTGAGTAGAAACATGAAAAACTTCAGCCATATGCATCAGGAAGCTTATTAATTTATTACATATTCTCAGAATTTAACATAATATAAAAAATAGAGAACTACACAAGTTTCTTTACCACATATATAGTAGAAACTAAATTCACTGTCAATGCCCCAGGCAAGGCGAAGCCAAAATTTTTGAAAGCCGTCAATAAGATATACCAAATATGCCAATAGAGAAATAACCTGTAAAAAAAATGTGATTGGATGTTATTTAATGACAAGAAAAACTCACAAAAACAATGGTTCTTAAATGCACAGATGACGAAAACTCTGAATAAACCAGGAAAGAAAGAGGTCAAATAACCTACCAGTTGCACAGCAAGAAAGATAAATAGAATGTCCCGAGTAACAAAAAACCGGAACTTCAATGTTCGCCATTTCCTATCTGCAATGATGTGCACTCTCAAATAATAAGGAGCCTTGCAAGTGGTGCAGTGAGAAAATGCAAACCCTTCCTGCAGGGAGAAAAAAGCCAACAAATTGAAAGATATAACCCTGATTATATTAAGAACATACAAGCAGAGCATAAAGTTATATGTCACTCAGCATTTTAACAAATTAGCTGTAATAATTATTAACATACATGTGGTCTAGCAGAGAATGCTTACAAAACCAGGTTTATATGAAACTTCAAATACAAAGAAGAAAAAAAAAAAAAGCAGAATAGATATGTACTAAAGTTCACAGCTTAAATGAACCTTCACAGCACGCCAATGATCCAGGCATTCTCTGTGGACATAATTTGATGTCCCTTTGCACTTGCAAGGAGCAATAAAGTCCCTACCTGGGAAAGAAGATAATATCAAATACAACATGTGTTAGATATCATATCATCAATAAAAAATTTCAACTAATGCATCACTGATTCTCCGGGTTATTAAGACCACTAGATTGCTGAGTCAGAGTTCAAAACAAAACAATGAAATTATAGAGCTAATGTTCCTTAAAAATGTTTTTCAGAGATGTTGGCCCATTCCAGCAGGTGACAAATCCATGTCAATAAGGTGCAGAAAGCTTATAACTTCTAATTTACCTTCATTATTTAAGGAAGTGTATACTCTAAATCAACAACACAGCACGCGAATAGTACATTAAATTAATCTCCAAGAAGAAGATGAAGAAGAATGATTTAGAACACTAGGAACCAAATTATGAATAGAGATGATTGCGAGGAAGTGTCTTCTTTATACAGTGAACATCGTCCAACCAAAAGACTGCTATCATATGAAATCTTTCGTAAGATCAGAAACATGGGTGAAACCTGGTCAAATTTTAGATACTTTTATCAACATCTAGTCCACAAATACCTCCGAAGTGAAATCAAACCCAACCTGGGAAGCACTATAACAGAACCGACATTGTTGAGAAGACAATATATTCATATCCTCCAGCTTACACCACAACACACATTATAGACAGGATTCGGAACTCATTACGCATATGATTACCACAGCAAGAAAGCGATTTTCCACTAAATTCCTTCCCCAAAGCAAAAAACGGAAACAATATAGTGCAAAATCGCTGAAGAACTTTACCATCTGTTTCAAGGCAAATTCTGCACTGAATTTGCTCATCCGGTCCCGCCTCTAGGTCAATCTCCGAGGGCAGCGGGATCTTCGGCGGCACCACCAATGGCGAAGACTCAGATTCTTCAATATCCATTCCTACTACAAATTCGAGCTCAATCTCGCAGACACGGATTTGAAAACACACAATTCGCCTTGAACAATGCTGTTTCTCTACCAAAGGAAGATCGGCAGTTTAATTCTGCTTCAAGCAGAGGGGCTTCAGAAGCCAAACTTCCATTGAGCAGTACGTCCCAGTTCGGAAAACGCCAAGGACAAGAATACGTCGCAGAAAAGTCTTTGCACCTTCTTCACTGTGAATTCCCCAAATTGCCCCCAAAACAATTAGAAAAAAATTGTCTGAGCCCGGGTTCGAACCGGGGACCTCTAGTGTGTGAGACTAGCGTGATAACCAACTACACCACCCAGACATTTGTGAAAGAATTAAATTGATGTTTTATTTATTCAAAATAGTTTACATTAGTTGTTTCTGATGCTCATCAATTTCGCGTTCACGTATTTTGTTTACCCTATCTTGGTCGAAGTAGCGCCTCCAATTGCAGCAGCGATGGCGAAATCGAAATTGGGGAAAGGGAAGGCGGTGAAGAAGAATATAGCCGCCGGTTCGGTTTCCAAAATCGAGAAGAAGATGAAGAAGAAGAAGAAAGTCAAGCAAACGAAGGTGGGTTCCTCCGATTCGGACTCGGATATGGACCCGCAGACCAAGGTCCAAACCCTACTCGAACCCTTATCCAAGGACCAGCTCGTTAATCTCGTCACGGACCTCGCGCTAGCGAACGATTCCCTATACGCTCTCGTGAAATCATCCGCCGACCGGGATATCTCCCACCGGAAGATTTTTATTCATGGCCTGAGCTGGGAGGCCACGACGCAGTCGGTTCAATCGGTTTTTGGGGCTTATGGCGAGATTGAAGATCTTAATGTGGTGATGGATCGAAATTCTGGGAAGTGTAAAGGCTACGGTTTCATCACCTACAAAACTCGGAAAGCTGCGAAGAAGTTGTTGAAAAACCCTAAGGTCCAAGTAGGGAATCGTATTACGGCGTGCCAGTTAGCGTCGGAGGGGCCTACTGCTCCTGGCCCCGGTGGAATAGTTTCTCAGCAACATTTCTCGTCCGATTATCCTCAGCGGAAGATTTATGTGAGTAACGTCTCGTTTAACGTTAACGCAGAGAGGTTGAGGAATTTCTTCGAGAAATTTGGGGATATTGAGGCTGGGCCGAAGGGGTTTGATCCGGTGACGGGGAAATTCAAAGGGTATGCGATTTTTGTTTATAAAACCGTGGAAGGAGCGAAGAAGGCTTTGGAGGAGCCACACAAAATCTTTGAAGGACATCAATTGCATTGTCGAAAGGCGGCTGAGGGGAAGAATAAAGTGGCTAGTGGGGCAGCCTCTATAACAACAGCTTTGCAGCCAATGCAGCCTCAAATGCTGGCTGCAGTGGCGGCTGCGCAGCAGGTGCAGAATATGGCCTTGTTGGGGCAGCAAGCAGGGATTGTGAATCCTTTGTTTGGTGGTGAGATGGTTGCGAATACAAATTTAGGTGCATTGATGGAAGGGTATTATGGGATGGTGGGTGGACCAATGCACGTGGGTGCGGGTGCATATGGTGCTCCTGCTGAGCGCTCCTCCAGTCAGACAATGATTCAAGGGTTGCAATATATGTACCCAAATATGAAAAGCGGAAGAATGTCGTCCTCACCGAGGAATGCAGCCCAGGGTAACGGGGGTGGTTACTCTCCATTGTGGTATGATTATGGTTCTGCTTTATCGCACTAATTAAATGATATCTAGGTCAGTGTTTTTGCATGGATCAAAGTTACTTTCTTTGTTTGATACTCAAATTTGATAAGATATTTTGAAGATACAGTAGTTGTGGATGATTCAATTAGAGAAAGAAAAGCTTTTGTTTGGTTGTGTTTTTGGTAATAATAAAAGTTTGAATTGAAAATAGGCTATTGGGTGTGATGTTTTAAATTGAAATAGGTGCTTGATGCCATGCTTTTCAATGGGAAAAGAATTTGTTATTGTAGAATTTACAGTGATGAAAATGACTGCAAATACAACCAAACTTGTGTTTTCTGAAAGGTTTCTTGCATTTTTTATTTAGTTGGTTTAATACGCCGGTTCTTTGACGTGATTTTCCTCTCAATTAATCATCCTACGATGTTTGTTTTACTGGCTTAGTGCTATTTTCTGCTGTGTATAACTATTTACTTTAATTTTGCAGAGTTGTGGAGAAAAAGATGGATGACCGTAGGGCTGGTGAAATATACTAAGGAAACATTTAAATCATGGTGTCGGGTGTTGCAGATTAATTTTTCCAACTTTGATTTTATAGTTTGTTTGACGACTGTTTTTACACTTTTGGAAAACCATTTGCAAAATGTTGTATGCAACATCCTGTTTTGTTTGAACTTTAAAGTCTTCTATATTTGAATTTGGATAGTTTTTTATATTTATTATTGAAGTTGTTTCTCTCATTATTATTATTGTCTATTTTCTAATTATTGGTTTTGACCATTATCTCCTTTGTGTTTATGCTCACGCATCTCCTTGTTTTTTACCCTTCTAATTTTGTTTGTTGACATTTTCTTTGGTGTTGCTCCGGGAATTCTAATTACTTGGTACTTTTCATGAGTTGTTACATGGTTGTTTTTGTTTGATTTTCTTATAACTTTTTGTATGCAAGTTTTTCTATTTGAATGTTTGTAATACCGTTATCTCAGCCCCTGAGGAGTTGCTTGGATTTGATATTCTTCATTCAGTCATTTTAATGCACATACCGTGGGTGATTTTTATTTATAATTTGTTATTTCATTTATATTTTATTGTCTAAATGGAGGATTATTTGAATTGTTGCAATAAATTTATTTCTTTTCATGTTGGTTCTGTTTTTCATGTCAACTGCTAGTCATTATAGCAAGTGACCTGTGGCAGGCGAGTTATTTTTGACCGCTGGAAATTTGTTTTGTTATTTTCCATGATTTTTTACTTTCATGAAGACTGATCCTGTGCTGGTAACTAAGAAATTGTGACTGATTTATATTTTGTTGTTTAAATTGTGGATTATTCGGCATGCTGCAATGATTTAGTTTTCTTTCATATTGGTCCTGTTTTTCATCCCAGCTGCTTGCCTTTTTACTTATTTAAGCAAGGGAATCCAACTCTTTTCGTTTAGTAAGTGGGTTGGCATATCAGTTGACTTGGACTGCAGGGGGAAAGATGTTTTGCGATTTTTTATTTGTTGGTATGGTGTTTGAGTTTTGTTTATTGAAGTTTTTTTCTTCAGCATCTCACTATATTGACTTGCTGTGATCTTGAGGCATTTTTGAGCTGATTACACCAATTTGATTTTATTTTCGGCTATATGAGCTAAGAGCAGTATAAAATATTTTTGAGGTTTTATTTTGTTCATTTCACTTAATATATAATTGATTCATCAATAAACCAAGGATCACTCAAAGGCCACCAGAGAGATTGCTTATTCTAGTAAGGTTGAAGATTTACTTATGTATTTTTTTCTTAATCATTGCGTGATGTATGCCATTTCTTATACTGGCTACTGCTTAAATATTTCTCAGAGTACAGAAATCGTAGTTGGAGGACGACAAACATTCATTGTTGCAAACTATTGAAGAATTTTCAGAAGGGATTATAAAGATTATTTGGGGGATAAAACCTTGTATTTGGTCTTGATGCAGATTGGCTGGAATTATACACATTCCTCCGACACCATCCTTCCGTTAAGGAACATATTGCCGGACATTTGAATTTGAGAAACTGAGCTGATCTTTCTAGGCATTGATGCAAATCGATTTTGACATAAGTCGCATAACCATTCAAGGGCTCATTGTTATGGATAGAAGAATTAGAATTGGGAATTGTTGACATAGCGCCTGCCTGGACTATATAAACTTCAAAAGTAGGGAATTTTCAATGGATGGATGAATTATTCCAATTTGGGTGCTCATGGATTTCATATTTCATGGAAATGCACGGTATGCCTATAAGCAAGTAGCATATGGTCTTGAAGAATTATGTGCTTCTCGCTATTTTTTGCAACTGGCTTGGTTGTAATATCATGTAGAGTGAAATCGTTTGAGTTTTTGCTTTTTATAATGTTTGGATCATAAGCCTCTAGTAGTGCAATACAATTATAAATTGCAATGCCATTATCTCCTATAGATATTTTTAGGGAATATAATCTTGGGAACTATATATGTAGAAAAGGGTTTGGGAAATTTATTTACCTAATATACTAAAACAGTGGTACTTTTTCAACCCATAAACTGGTTTAGATTTCAAAAAATTTGGGAGGAATCTGAACCATTAAATCTATAGTACAGAGTTGTGAAAGTTGAAATTGGTCACAGCGTGGAGTTTAGAACTGTGATTCGATGTGGTTTTCCGGAAAGTTGGAACAGCACTACACCATCATATCTCAAACCTGATGTCTATGGATCTTTGTGGTTACGGTTGTCGCATCACTTGTGGCGGATGATGGCTGGTAGATATGCTATTTGAAATCTTTATGTTGTGTTGGTTTATATCATTAAAAACGCATCTTCTGATTCTGTTTTCTGATTGCAAATACAAGTGTGAGGAGGACAGAGCTATTTTTTTTAACATCTTACCTTCCTGAAATGATGAATGAATTTGTAATTGACTGTGTGTTGATTGATTCCATGTCCATTGCTCCACAGGCAGTTGCAGGCCATACAAATGCCGGTTTGAAAGGCGGCACTGTGGGCAGTGGCATTGTCCCGGACATGATCTGAAAGACATCCTTTGTTTTAGGCCTCTCAGAAGCATTAGGATGCGAACATGCTAATCCCAGCAGCAGTAGCCTCTCGGCTTCTTCAGCTATATAGTCATTGCCTAGTCTTTGATCCACGGCTTCGAGCAGTCTTCCTTCCCTATGCAGCAGCCAAACCCAATCCACCAAGAACTGGAAACCAGCAATCTTAGTTCCTGGCCTTTGGCCACAGACTACTTCCAACAATACAGCCCCAAAAGCATACACATCAGATTGCCGTGTGGCTTTTCCGGTTAGGAAACATTCTGGAGCAATGTATCCCATTGTGCCCATCACTCCCTCTGCCTCTGCATATGATGTTTTCTCATTGTCGAGAGCTCTTGCAAGACCAAAGTCACCTAGGCGAGCATTGAAGTTGGAGTCAAGCATAATATTGCTGGCTTTAAGATCTCGATGGACCACTTTTTTATCATATTCATTGTGAAGGTAGTGCAGGGCAGAAACCACACCGGAAAGGACTTGTTGCCGGAGATTCCACTTCAAAGGCTCTGCATCCCCTCCAACAAAGAGGTGCTGGTCGAGGCTACCATTGGGCATGTACTCATACACCAAGAGTAACTTCCCATTCTTGTAGCACCATCCTGTGATACAAAATAAAGAAAGGTAATATGATAGCATCTTGAATATTTGACTTAATTCAGATCATATGTTTGTTTAGTTTAATTCTTCTTGCTTACCAAGCAATTTGATGAGATGCTTGTGTCGAAGACGGTTAATAATGGTAAGCTCTGCCAAGAAGTCATGTTGGCTTTTTGTAGTTTCTCTTGAAAACCACTTGACTGCGATGTTGATCTTCTCTTTGGCCAAAACCCCTTTGTACACTACTCCGAATCCTCCTTGTCCGAGCTTGTTATTATTGCCGAAACTGTTGGTTGCCTTTTTCAGGTCCTTGAATCTGAATTCCTTTGGCATTCCGGGCAGGCATCTCAGCACCGCGCCCAATCTATGGTTCAAGTATGCGATCCTCTTCTTGTAGAGACAATATCCAGCCATGGATGCACAAATTAGAATCAGCAACATTGCCCCCAAGGCGGATCCTAATGCTATCTTCCACCGCCTCTTCCAGCTCTGCCTGTCTGTTTTTGTATCTGGAAAGTGGTGGATCGTCAGATTCCATCTCACCACACTGTTCAACTGCATATCGTTGCCTGTGGATGCCGAGAACCCGAAGTAGGAGTATTGGCTCACGTGATCTCTCAGGTTAAGATCAGCTGATAAGATTGGAGAACCTGGTTTTTTCGGGGTTGGATCCCAGTATCCACTCTGTTCTGCAATATACACATCCATCACTTTAGTAAAGCCACTGTAGTCGATCCACACGTTGTAAAACCTGGCACCTTCTGCAGGTGCGACCGAGATGTTATGTGGCGTCAAAGATGCAGTCTTTACAGAAATGATGCTGTGGACATCAATTCCGACATGGTTGTCATCTGGATCAAAGTATTGCTTCGAGGCATCGAGCTCAACCGCAACTAACTTGTTATCTTCCATGCCATCTGAGTGAGAATTTGTCAGGCCAAGAAACTGGCCATTGCTGTTTGTTGGCACGTCAAGGTCCGGGGCGATCACGAAAGCCAAGCCTTCGGCAGTTGTGTTCAAGTGAAATTTGTATACATTGATCAGAAAGGAGGTGTTAAAAGATGCCACATTTCGAACGCTGTTTTCTTCTTCCCACAGCCTGAAAGGACGTTTGAGGAGGATTCTTCCGGAATAGTAGCCCGTTAAAGCTCTTGAAGTAAATGAATCTGGAGTCAACTGGAGGCCACCGTTGCTGATAGCTGCAGTGGATGTGACAGAAAACATATTGGAGTTGGTTTCGTTAAAAGATCCGTATTCTCCGGTGAATGTCTGTAGCTTTGGATCTTCAGCAATTACTGCAAAACTCTGGAGAAGAAGAAATGCGGCCATGGCGATGTCCATCATCAGGTTTGCTGCTGTAAGTTTCCTCATCTCTTTGTATTTTGTTTGGCATGTGTTGTTGTTGGCCTTCTTTTTTAATGTTTGCCTAAATAATTTGAAATCTCAGTAGTCAAGTCGTCAACACGTTTTTAGTAGTCGAATTTGCCATGATTTTAGAAAAAGAGAGAGAGAGAGAGAGAGAGACGAGGGAGGGAATTGAAGTAGTCAACACATTTTTCTTGGAATTACAAAATACTTGTACCCTTCACCTGCAAGGGATTGTTCGTGATGTGAGGGTAAATTCGTGATCGGGAGTTTATGAATTCAAATTTTCGATGTCTTTAGATCTCATGTGTCACACATAGTTTGATTAATGTGATTTGTTTTGTTGGGCCTAGTTTGTAGGATGTTAGATTCAGTCTGAAATTTACTCAGAGTACACTCAACAAGCTGCGGCTGCGGATTCTCACATTATAAAAAAAAGAAATACTTGTCTCATAAGGGATGGATTCGTGACTAAATCATGGATTCAAACCCGACATCATCAGGTCATGTATGCTCCACATGGTTTGCCTAATATGATTTGTTTTGTTGGATTTAATTTGCAGACTATTAGGTTCGGTTGAGGGTTTATTCAAAGCTATAGGGAAGTTAGAATAAATAAATAAAACTTGATATTTAATGTGGTATTGTGTGATACTGTATAGATATAGTATTAAATTTTTTAAAATTTATTAATGTAAATAGAACACGGGTCTGTGTTTTATTTGTTAAGAATTTTAAATAAAGTGTAGATCATTATTATAAGTGGAGTAGAAAATAGAATTGTGGAAAAAATGAATTAATTAGATAATAAAAATTAATTAGAATTCAGTTGAAAAATATAACAAAATACAACTATATATATACATTACTATTCAATAATTCTTTACATTTCTTTGGATATAATAGAGAAATGAAAAAATGATTTATTTTTTATCTCATAGTACAACTATTTTTATTTCTGTTGTGTTATTTATTTTTACCAAAAACATTTCTATTTTACTTGTTTTCTTCCTATCTATTTACTAAATTCATCGCTAATCAATCAAGAAGATTGATTTCAAATCTTACAGATGACCGGAGGAATTTGTGTGAATTGAAAATTGATTTCCACGAGGATGCGTAACGGCATGGTGCACCAGGTAAGGAAAATCTTTTTAAACTAACTATTCCTTTTTTTTCTTTTATTTATTATTTCCTCTATCCAATTTCTATTGTCTTAAGATATATATGCACGGTTTTTTAGGTGTTATAGGGAGTACTTTTTTTAATGACATGAAAACCCACAACCACTACCCGAAAATACGCACTGGATAAACTGGCAGGTGATCTGAGGAGTCGGAGGTTTGAACCCATGACCTCGCAAGAGCAACCCCTACATTTCAGTCATACTTTCATCAATAAATAAATGGTGAATAGCATATACGATATTGTAAATAAGGGTGTGTTTGATTGAAATATTTTTGGAAAACATTCACTATTTATTAAAAAAAAAATTTCAAAAATATCAAATCAAACAGTTATTTTTTTTTATATTATTCTAAAAATTAATTTTACATTCAAAATATTACGTCAATATCTATTTATATCATATATAATTATTTCAATTTAAAATTTTTATATTCAAATCCAAACCTCCAAACAAACAGATCCTAACCCTAAGTAAACATCAACAATTAGTAAAAGAAAAAGGCAATAATGGGTGAAATATTAATTTTTCTAGTCAACACATGTATATCAGCATATATGTTATTTTATTTAACACTGCAGATGTTGTACTCCCTCCATTGAAGCTAAATTGTCCTATTTACTTTTTAAGTACAAAATTTTAAATATTGTATAATTAGTAAATAATTAAAAAATATATTTTCAAAAATAATTATAATTTAATAAAAAAATTATAAATTAATATTAAGGCAACTAAATAATTTAATTAAAATGAATAAAAAATGATAAATTATGAATTTTAAAATGAGATTAAAGTATAATTATATTTTTTTAAAAAAAAAACAAATAATGTGGGACGAACGAAAATAAAAATATTAGACAAATTAAATGGGACAAAAGAATATTAAATAATATATATATATATGTTGTCAGATGATATATAATACTATTGACTGAATATATTATTTTGTGTTGAAATAAGTAAAATTATGTGGTCTTTGAGTCTAGTTTGGGGTTTGGATTTTGAATTGGGATTGGAATAGTAAAAATTTTGAATTTGAATAGTTGTATGATGTGATATAAATAGGTATTGATGTGATGTTTTGGATGTAAAATTGATTTTTAATATAATATAAAAAATGAAAAATAAGTGTTTGATTTGATGTTGGGGGAGGGGAAATGGAATGAATAATGAAAATTAAATCCAATTCCCCAAACAAACACACCCTTAGTTTGTTGGTTGTTGATGATCTCCAAATATATCATCTAAAATATAAATATAAATTTTTTGTTGTCCAAATAGGTGAAATGTTAGAATGAAATTCCAATCAAATTGAAATTTCCATCATCACTAAAAACAGAAAGTATATTATTCTATGAACATAAAATATTATATTTAAATCACAATTTCAAACCAAAATATAAAATCAAATCCCAAATAAGTAAATCCTAAGTTTCACTATATAATATAATACTTTGAACACATTGGAGGAAAATGATATTTTTATTTTATTTTATTTTATTTTATTTTTAATTTTTAATTTTTAATTTTTTTTATCATGCAATCATCATTATTTTGTTATAGTCAAACTACTAGGATTTCATCAAGTAAAAAACAATTCAATAATTCTAATTTAATATTGGATTTGTTTACCCAATATTTTTTGGGTAGCAACGATTTTTTATACATATTATAAAAAATATCCCCTCCGCCACTTAACAAATTATTTATTTTTTTATTTTTTTTTTGTCTCGTAACAAAGTATTCATTTTCATTTTTAGTAACGGTACTATCTACCTAACATTATAAATAGTCTTTCAACTTATAATATATTACACAAATATCATTACTTTTATATCATACAATACTAATAAAGTTAATTTAATCTTCTAGCCTCCATTTCAATTTACATTCAAATATAATACTAATATTTCTAAAAAGCAAACGAATAAATAGATATGAGACGGAGGGAATGTAATATATACATATATTTATACAATATATATAATATATATTAAATTCACTCATAACAAATTCAATAATTCAATCCAAAAAAATTATTTTTTTATATTACCGAAATAAATCTTCATATATAACAAAAAAAAATTTTATATTCATTTAAAATACTATTAGATTTAAAAAATCAAATAAGTTTTAGAAATTTTAAGGCAGCCTAAAATAACTTTAGGGAGCAATGGGCATTATGGCATTGTTACATCCAAAGTCGTGGGAAGAATCTTTTAAAAAATGTAACATTTTAGATACTAAAAAAAATAAAAATAAATGAATAATATATATATATATATATATATATACATATTTTCTCAACTTGGTAAAGACATATTGGCCACACTTAGTGGAATGGCCACTTTACCTAACAAGTAAAGTAATACAATATACAAAAATAAAATTGATAAAATATTTTTTTATTATCTTTGTTAGGTAACTTAATATCATTCACTTTTGTCAAAAATATATATATATATATATATATGTGAATTAACTTGAAAAATGATTTAATAAATTTTACCTTGTTTCGAATCTTTCACTTTTTATCTCTAATTTAGTGTCTTAAGGGTTTATTTGGTTTTGAATTGAATATGATATGGTGATTTGAATTTTGATTTAAATATTATTTTGATATAAAATTTTGTGAAATAAAATAAAATATTTTTGTTGGGAACCCTCTGAAATGAATAGTGAATTTTTATTTATTTATTATTTTTTAAAAAAAAAAAAACACCCTAAGCACTTTTAACCGTTTTCTTTATTTATATACTATATTTTCCCTCATTTATCATTAAATATTTCATCCGTCTCAAAACTATAGTTTGGGTTGTATTTGGTACAAAATTTAAGTAATATTGATATTATATCGGTAGTGAGTACAAAATACGGGTAAATGATTTTTTTGTCCTTGTAAGTGTATTAGTATAAAAAGTAGTGACAATTGTGTAATAATAATGAAAAAGTAAGGGTAATTTTATAGTGATATGATTATTTATAGAAATGAGACTATTGTTTTTGGACGAATAAAAATGATAAACAGACTATTGCATTAGGACGGAGGGAGTATAATTTACAAAATGATCTACATAAAAATTAAGTCAAAAATAATTTTTTTTTTTTTTTTTTTCTATCAAAATTTTAAAAATTACCCCAAAAGAAAAACTAATAGAAGTAATGGAGGTAAGAATATTTTGACTTTTCTATGCTAATGGAACTTGACAATAATCCATAATAGTAATAATAATTTATTAATATTTCAGACATGTAGCGGCTGGAATTCTCGCGTCATAAAATAATAAAAAAATAATAATAATATTTTTTATTTTTAAAAGGCATGACGAGAGATGGAAAGTAAAATGGGTTGATGAAATAATACAGTTGGAGTATGGAATCTTTATCAGTTGATGGAGCCCAAAAGATACTACTAAATATTATTATTATTATTATTATTATTATTAAATAAGATACTCCATCCGTCCCACATACCATGTCGACGTTGCCGTTTTTGTCTATTTCACGTACCATGTTACTTTTATTTTTTGAAAAATGATTAAACACTTTAATTTCATTTTAAATTTTTTAATTTTATTTTTTTTAAATTTTAATTAAATTAATTAGTTATCTTAATCTTAATTTATAATTATTTATATTATAGGATAATTATTTTCACTAATACATTCTTAATTATCTACTAATTACACCCCTCCTAAAATACCGTGTCTACAATGTACCTACGTGGAACGGAGGGAGTATTATATTTTTATTAGATATATATTATTGCCTCATCTTTTCCATTCCTTTTAGGAAAGTGGCCATTGCATTATATAATATTTTATTAATTCTTTTTCCAAATTGATGGAGCACTACATGTTAAAAACAGTGATTCCTCTCTCATGTACACTAGTGTTTTGTCTCGACGAATTTCAAAATAATAATTATAATAATAATAATTTTTAAGTATGATATTTATTAGAATTAAATATGATTATTAAATAGTAAAAAATAATAACTAAATAGAATAGGAATATATATATATATATATAAACATTAAATAGCGCGATAAATATATTTTAAAACTCAGTAATTCGGATGTTAAAAATGAGTTTAAAACCAAGAGTTGGATTGATCATGCTTAAATTTGGTGTTGATTTGATTTTTATTTAAATAGTATTTGATGTAATGGTTTACGATAAAAATAATATATTTTTATTAAAAATTGTATATAGTGAATAGTATTATTGATTCATTTTGAAATCACAAGAAACCAAACCCTAAATTTGATTTGTTTGGCATTGTTTCAAGCTATATGAGCATGCATGTTATCGGTGTGTGTGTATATATATATATATATAGAGAGAGAGAGAGAGAGAGAGAGAGAGAGAGAGAGAGAGAGAGAGAGAGAGAGAGAGAGAGAGAGAGAGAGAGAGAGAGAGAGAGAGGAGAGAGAGAGAGAGAGAGAGAGAGAGAGAAGAGAGAGAGAGAGAGAGAGAGAGAGAGAGAGAGAGAGAGAGAGAGAGAGAGAGAGAGAGAGAGAGAGAGAGAGAGATTCTGTGTAACTAATTTGCATATATAAAACGAATCAGTTTGTGTTATGAAAGTATGTTTTTTGGTGTTGATGTAAGAATTGATCATTCCCAATATTCAACACACAAATTAAGTAATTATGAAAATATTATTGGTGTTGCCAATTCTTTCCATTGTTGCTGCTCTTCTTCTTCTTCTTCTTCTTCTTCTTCTTCTTCTTCTTCTTCTTCTTCTTCTTCTTCTTCTTCTTCTTCTTCTTCTCTACAAAAAATGGGGTTTGCAGAAGTTTGGTGCGATTATGGTCACTGATTTTCTTCTCAAGTTTCTGCATCACCTTTCTGCACAGAAAAACCCTAATAATCACTACACATCTCTATGCCAACATCTCTTAAGGTTTAATTCTATTTTCTATTTCTAATATTGCACACACACATATATATATATATATCTAACATTAATTTGGAGGTTTCTTGATTTTTTTTCAAATATTGAAGAAATTAATTTAATTTAATTTAATTTATTACATGAATTTAATTCAATTTATTCTTATATATGTTTTGAGATTGATTGAAATTTACTCCCCGAGTCTAATGAGTAACTTCTAATTTTATTTTTTCTCGACCTCGAGATGTATGGACACATGCGACGACGCAACTGCCATGTGTGCCGGAGGAAAGCTTTGTCTGCCGGAAATGGTTGTGCAAATTGATGACAAACTATACAACCAGGTGCAATTTATGTTTTTTGAACTCTATATATATATATATATATATTATGAATGTACCTATAATCTTTCATGTGTAGATTGGATATTTTTAATGATGTTTTGATTCAGCTGATCGAGGTTGTTCTGATTATGATTATTATTATTATAGGCAAAGGATAGTTCTTGATTTGTAATCTCTTTGAAGTTTGAACCCTAAATCGCATTATATGTTGCATTCTCGTTCGTATGAATGACTAATTATAAGGGTTTGTTCATTCATTTTTTTTTTTTTCAATGTTTGTATTTATAAATGAATAGTATTGAATATAATGCTTTTATCATTTTAGTTTTGAAAAAATCTCATAAATTTAGTCCTTCTGTGCTGGAGATGCCTGCTTGGCATCCGCGTGGCTCATCAGAGAACACGTGTTGGCATTTTAAAAATTTACGTGTCCTCCAGTGAGCCACGCGGGTGCCACGTAGATATCTTCAGCCTCGAAGGATTAAAATTGCAAAAAAAATTTACTAGGTACGAGATTAAAAAATTAGTTTACCCTCTTATGATATTTTGAATCATGCATCGATCATAGTACGTATTACACGACATTGATCAAACCCAACAAAATATAAGCAAGTTCAATCTGCTGCTGCAGGGGCTGCTCGTCGACCCGGTCGGAGCGACGAATCCAGGTTCCAGCAAGCTTTCCGATACCAGCCAAGTCTCTGTAACACATTTTGATCGTTTAAGTGAAAACTTCCTACAGGAATTTCTACCTTCGAAGAAGAGTACAAATACTGGATGGAAGAACTGTATCGACAAATCTCGGATCTAAAGAACATTTTGCGATCCCCCGCCGGAGATTCTGAGCTGCGAGTTCTTGTCAATCAAGGCGTACGGCATTACATCAATCTCTTCGAGATAAAGGCGAAAGTTGCAAGAGCCGACGTATTGTATCTCATCTCCGGGACGTGGACATCTCCAGCTCGACGGTTCTTCCTCTGGATCGGTGGCTGTCGACCCTCCGAGCTTATTAACGTAACGAAACATGAACTTAGTGTATCGATGTCGAAATACCTTAACGTGATATCCCGAGTAACTGATTCGTGAACAGGTTCTGATGCCGGAGCTGGAGCCGATGCCGGAGGAACAACGTTCGACGATTATTAACCTAAGACATATATGTCAGCAAGCCGAGGACGCTTTATCACAAGGTCTCGACAAGCTCCAACTTATTCTCGCAGAAGCCATCGTCGCCACAACCTGCGCAGACGAAAACCAAAACCGTCTCCCGCAGTTAGGCGGCGCTCCGGCGAGGCTCGATGCGCTAGCAAAGTTCGTCGGGCAGGTAATTACAAACTCATTCATGCTATTCGACATAAGATCTCGAAAACACGCTAAAAATTTGACAAATACGACGAATTTGGAACAGGCAGATCATCTCCGGAAAGAGACGCTGCAGCAGATGGCTCGACTCCTCACTGCCCGACAGGCAGCCCGGGGGCTGCTCGCCTTGGACAAGTATTTGCGAGAACTTGAGAATTTGAGCCCGGCGTGGTCGTCGTTGCACGAAACTGCCGGGGATCTCCGGCAGAGTGGCGACGCGCGCATCGTCTGAACTACTAGATCGGAAAAGTACTCGCTGCGTATAATTTAGGATCAGAATCCTTCAATTCAATTGAAAATGTTAACACAAACATTTCATATCTATGATGAACTCGATTTCGGATTATCTACGGGCATAAACATTGCTATTAATCGAGCTTCTCGCAGGCTCGAGTCAAATAGCTTCACTTAGCAACATTTCTACTAAAAAAACACGAATCGAAATAAGAATTAACTTATTTTCGGTAAATGCAAATGAAAGGAGAAACATAAAAATGGTTCTAAAGCAGGGGGAGTGGGAGGGGGGAGGCTTCAACACATTATTCTTACAAATGTTCGCCTCGCGATCATGGCACGATCTGCAGAATGACATTTCTTCACAGCTTCGATATGGCGTAGTCCAATGCATCCACCAGAAAATCTACAAAAAACCAAAACAATTGACAACCGGACAACATTTGTAGGCGAAGTTTCGGAGGCTGTAATAGCCGAGTTCTTCAAGGAATTACCTCCATCTTCTTTGGTAAAACACATCGGCGGCTTTATTCTGAACACGTTCCCATGAAGACCGCCTTTCCCAACAAGAACACCGAGTTCTAAACACAACAAATTTGCAATGCACGAAAATTACAGCGAGCCAATATTTTTCCAAGATAGAACATGGACTTCACAAGGATATACAAACCTCTGAGAGTTTCGAATAACACTGCAGTTTCTGCCTTGGCGGGCGTCTTCTGTTTTCTGTCGCTCACAAGCTCTACCCCCACCATTAAGCCTCTTCCTCTCACATCGCCGATTACTAGCAATAATTTCATCAATAATTTTCTTTACAATGAATATGAATATAAAGATAACCAACAAACCATCATCAAGAGAAAAAAGATGTAAAACGTACTATCGTGTTTTTGCTGAAGATCCCTAAGACGCTCAATCATGTGAGAGCCAACCTCGGCACAATGCTGCTGACGTTTCTCCTTATCAATAACATTCAGCACTGCAAGTCCTCCGGCTGAGCAGACGGGATTTCCTCCAAAAGTGTTGAACTGTATTTTTTGTGACATGACGCTGGCGATTTCAGGAGTCGTCACCACTGCTCCGAGTGGCAAACCATTGCCTATGCCCTGAGTTTCGATAATCCATTAACCTTTTTCCAGAAATTATTTTACTTGCAAACATTCACCAAGTCGAATTCAACTTCTGATTATAGTTTTCAGTTAGAAGTGAAAAAATCAAAGCTCGGAGATCAGGGATTACAGGAGAAACCTTAGCCATGGTAACAATATCAGGAATGACTCCCTGTGTCTCAAAACCCCAATAGTGGCTGCCTGTGCGGCCAAAGCCAGTTTGAACCTCATCGGCAATGCAGACACCACCAGCATTATGAACAATGTCGTAAACCATTTTTAAGTATCCCGGAGCTAACTCAACTGCTCCACCAACTCCCTGTGGTTTTAGAATATAAAAAAAATGCGTCCGAAAACAGAGTTTTACATGAATAAAAGTAATGGAGACAAACCTGAATTGTCTCCGCAATGAAACCGCCAACTTTGCCCGAGGTTCCATGTTCGATGTGATCTTGTACATCTTCAGCATAGCGCTTTGCATCAGAACCAAACACTCCGCGGTACGGGTTTGGGTTCAAAACATGATGAATTTCACCCTGCCAATAACAAAGTGTTCAATACATTAAATATGAGGAATTGAATGCATCAAGCCTTTGTTTATGGACCTTCTAAACTAAAAGATTCAATAGAATTTTGTTAATTTAAGGGAACATAAGAACTCAAAAGACAAAGCTGAGCTAATCGAATCCGAAGATAACCTGAGGAATTGGATACTTCCATGTGTGAAGAGCAGTCAATGCTATTGTGTTAGAACTTCCACCGTGATATGCATTTCTCAAGGCTATCATGTTAAGATTACCGGTGTACAGTCGCGCCATCAGCATAGCCAGCTCATTGGCTTCTGTCCCTGAATTTACAAAATACACAACCTACAAAACAAAAGTTTGAAATTTTTATATAGTAACCTATAACCAAGTCATTTCTTCAATCAAATGATAAATGTGGTAATGTGTGGCATTCAAATGCTCCAAATAATCTGACATCAGAACAGGTGGACATCGAATAAATAACCTTGAGGTTTCCCGGCATTTTAGATGCTAAAGCCTCGGCGAAATCAGCAATAGCATGGTGAAGGTATATTGTGGTTGCATGCTGGAGAAGTTTGCTTTGTTCAACAATAGCGTCCAACACATCGGGATGGCAATGGCCACAAGAAACCGTCACAATTCCTGCAAATGCATCAAGATATCGCCTTCCATTTTCATCGAACAAATACTGCATCTTCCCTTCCACAATATTAAGCTGTCCCAATGCAAAATCCAAGAACACAAATGAATAGCAGCCATAAGGAAAACACTGTTTGTTCTTAAATCACTGTTTACACTGTTCATCGATACATTTCAAAAATATCAAATTAAGTACTTATTTTCCATCTTTTGATCAAATACTTTTTGTTATTTTGGGTACAAAACATATCTAAACACAAGAATCTCTTCAAATATCTTGAATTAAATAAGGTTTGCATAACATTTCATATCATCAGCGATCACTAACTACAAGCAAGCACACCAATTTCTGCCAATAATTAAATTCAAAATTAAAACAGGCGAAAGGAAAGATGATGATTGTAGTATTTCGAAATCAATCAAATCAGAACAACGTACTCCAAATAACTCAAATGCAATAATCAATTCGAGGAAATTCGCGAATGTAATTAACAAGGGCTTACTGGTTTTTTGTAGTAATAAAACAGAGAAGGTCCTAGAAATCTCTGGCGCTTCCGTAGGACCTCATCGGCTGACGGACCGCTGTACGGCTTCGGCTGGTAATCGAAGGCCGGAATCTCCGGCGGATTCACGGCAGTGGATTCGCCGCGCTGCAGCCCCGCTGCGCCGCTGCAAAGCCACCGCCTCGAACGGTTACTGACGAATGCTCGCGCACATCTTCCGATCAGAAGCTTCTTCCCCAACCCCATTGATAATAGAAACGGTGTCGTCACTCGTCACTGAATTTGCATCCAATTCCAATAAATAATAATCGAATGCTGGCGGTGGGTGGAGGAATGGATGATTGTAGCTTATCGGATGATCTGTATTGGGTTCGAAGTTGAGTCAGCCCAAATCCAAAAAGATTCCACCGATTTCGAGCAAAACGTGATACCGAGGGTTGAGAGGTCCCGGAGTTAGGTGTTCTAGATCAGTAATTGCACAGGGCCGTCGAATGTAGTTATAATGGGTCCTGGCGCTTGGGTCCCTGGATCTTGTAAAATATAAATGCATCATGAGGGTCCAGTGTTTCACTATCATCAAAATCTACAAAGGTCTATTGTTCATATAAGAATCTTTATTGGGAATCTTCACACGTGTCGATATTAAAGCTATCAAAATGAGTTAGAAATTATTTTTCAAGAGAATTGAATTGTAACTTTTTAATATGGAATATCACTAAAAAAAAAAAAAAAAAAAGACTTTAATTTGAGGATAAATTTGTTGAAATTCAAACTAGAGAGAATTGTAGGGTACAAATTTAAGTGTGGGAGATTTAAAAAAGACGTTAATATGAGATATTTTTTTAAAAATTCAAAAATAAATTTTTTATAATACTAATGTTGAGTTAACTCAATTGTAACACTCCTTTCAAATAAAAAGTTGGTTGGGCTACTCGTTTGAGATATTTGATTTAATTCTCACTATATTATGTTCATTTATTGTATTTGTATTATATTAATTTAAATAATAAGGTTATTTGTATTAATATTATGTATTATAAAAAATTTTAATGTCACACTAGGCGAACTATATGTGGTAGGCACGACCTTGAAGCGTCGAAGTTTGAACTCATGACCTCACGATCATTGAATCTATTTTCACACCATCAAACGGGACAACTAAGTTGGTTTTTTTCTTTGATGACATGAAAACTCGCAATCACTGCCTGAAAGCGAGCATCTATTGTAATGTTTTATAATTTCTGTTTTGACAAATGAGATCCATAGAAGTGATTTATTTATTTATTGATTGATTATGACAAATTTACTAAAATGCACTTAATGGATTATTATTATTATTATTTAATTAAAAATCTAAAAACTAAAATACAAAAAAACAGCCCCTCTCATGTTTGTTTTTCCCCAACATTTTCGTTCTATCCAAACTAGAGATAAGATGAAGTTTGGATTTCTCCGCTCTTAATCGGCACAATGAACACTAATATATATATATATATATATATATAAGATGCTTTTAATTAATCGAATATATATATATATATATATTATTAATATATACTACTAATGATTAAATAGAATATTAGTTGTTTTACAATCCAATTGTCATTTAATATGTTTATTGATAATGTAGCCGTACCTAACAAATTAAAGTATGCCTCGTGGCTGCTTTAAATCGGGGTGAATGGTGTGAGGTTTTTTATTTTAAATAGTAAAATTTTGAATTGAAATAGTGATTTGATGTAATATAAATATGTATTGATGTGATGATTTGAATGTAAAATTAAATTTTAATGTAATAAAATAAATAAAAATTTAATTGTTGATTTGATGTTTTTGGAGAGAAAAAAAAATTAAAATAGTAAAATCAGAGCTATAAAATCTTACAAGTAAACATAACCAAATTTTCGTTTTTATTCCTTTTTTTTTTTCTAAGAAAATATACCACATTCATTGTAAATAGTTTTAGGCACTTTCTAATGTACTCCTTCCGTCCGTTCCAAGGTTGTTGTTTACTTTTTGTACGAAAATTTTTTAATATTAATATTATAAGGATTGTAGTGAAAAAGACAAAAATACCTCTATTAGTATTGTATAATATAAAAATAACGACATTTGTGTAATATAATGTAAGTTGGAAGGATATTTATAATGTTAGGTACGTAGTACATTAATTAAATTAGGAAATGATAACCTTGTTTTGGAACAGACAAAAATGGAAAATGACAACCTTTCAATGCGGCGGAGGAAATATATCATTCAATACTCTCTCCCTCATGTAAAAGTATATTTGTTTGACCATATACGAGTTTTTTTAAAAAAAAAAAAATAGATAAAGGAAAAATAGAAAAATGATTTTTTTTTACTAAAAATAAAAATAAAAATAAGTTTGGATGACAAAAAAAAAAATTGAGAATAAATTTGGATGATGGATTACAGAAGAAGTATTATCTTTATTTAGAAAAATATCACAATTACTTATACACTCAATTTATCAAAAAATTTCTTACTTCAATCATTTATATACTTTTTAAAATATCATTATATTATACTCCCTCCGTCCCACATACTATGTCCACGTTGCCGTTTCTGTCCGTCCCACATACCATGTTACTTTTTTTTTTTTGGAAAATGATTAGACACTTTAATCTCATTTTAAATTTTTTAATTTATTTTTTTGTTTAATTTTAATTAAACTAATTAGTTATTTTAATCTTAATTTATAATTATTTATATTATAGGATAATTATTTCACCAATACATTTTTAATTATCTACTAATTACACCCCTCCTAAAATACAATGTCTACAGTGATAGTATCACAATCAACTAATATAATATTATACTCTCTCCATGCAGCTAGAAAGTATATACATTTTTATTTTGGGACTGCCAATTACAAAGCATACATTTAATTAAGTGCCTCACTTTTTTCACAAATACTCTTACTTTACTTCACATTATTACTTTTACACAAAAAGTTAAAGGCAAAAATATCATTATATTACTTTTAACTACTCATTATAATTAAAATATTATTATTTTTTATACACCTTGAAAAAAAAATAAATGTTTACTTTACATATTGTGGGTGGAAGAATATTTTTAAAACATATTTTTTTTATTAAAATATTATATTAAAAACTTATTTTTTATTCAAAATATACACTTATCGTTATATACATATGTCTTGTTAATTGGAAGAACGTGTTGATAGCTTAGATTTATAGTGTATGTTGCGTAGATATATTATGTACTTCGATCAATAGTAATATGTATTGTATAGATAATTATCATATACAAGGTCTATTATATGTTTTATTTATACCGATATACTATCGGTTTACACCAAATTTGTATTGATTAATCCTAATAGTACACTAATCATATTTATCTATATTATTCTTTTTTAGTAAAAAAATATTCTATCTATTCGATGTTTTATGTTATTATACTTATCATTAAAAATATTTTTATATTTATATATATTATTTTTTCACAAATATCATTATAATAATATTATAAGATATTAATAAAAATATTTTTATCATTTTAAATGATACCTTTAGAATTGAACAAAATAATATTATTTCTTTTTTTATTTAAAAATAACATTTTATATTTTTAATTATATTTTTTTAAAATTCATACTCGATCAAATAACCACCCAGTCGAGTAACGCAACGATTATCATTCTAAATATTCCCTCGTCATCACTTCCCTCGATATTAGCTCCAAATTTGTCGGAATCCTATTCACATCAATTTCATCACCGCTCAAAAAATGACATAAAAAATCATCTTATTACATCAAATTCCATTAATGTCCAAACATGCCACTCCAACCCCTCTTTTCTCTATAAATCTCACTCCCAACCAACAAAAAGATTCCCCAAATTAAATCAAACCACACAAATCACCACAAAAAAAAAAAAAAAAAAAAAAAAACACAATGGCCATCTCCCCCTTCATTTGGATCATCACATCCACACCCATTCTAGCCACAATAATATTCTTACTCCATCTATTAACAACTTCCAAAAACAAAAACAAGAACAAGAACAGTCGTCTTCCACCTGGTCCGAAATCTCTCCCGATCATCGGGCACCTCCACATGCTCGGCAAGAACCCGCACCAAGACTTGCGAAAACTCGCGAAAACACACGGCGCGATAATGCACATGCGATTCGGCCTCGTCGACAACATCGTCGTCTCCTCGCCACAAGCCGCCGAACTCTTCCTCAAAACCTACGACCTCGTCTTCGCCAGCCGCCCCCCGCATCAAGCCGCAAAATACCTCTCGTGGGATCAGAGCAACCTCTCATTCGGCCCGTACGGACCGTATTGGCGCAACATGCGCAAACTATGCACCATCGAGTTGCTCAGCACGTCAAAAATCAACTCTTTTCAACCCATGCGCCGCGAGGAGCTCAGCCTTACGATCGATTCACTTGCACATCATGCTAGCGAGAATGCGCCCGTCGATCTAACGGCTATGATTTCTTCGCTCGCCGTTGAGATGAGCTGTCGGATGGTGTTCGGGAAGAAGTACGAGGATAAAGACATCGACGCGGAGAGGGGGTTCAAGAAAGTCATCCAAGAAGGAATGAAATTGGCCGCGGTTCCGAATTTCGGAGACTATTTCCCGTTTCTCGGGATTTTGGATCTTCAGGGGCTTACGAGGAAGATGAAATCGCTGTCGAAGGTGTTCGACGATTTCTTCGAGAAAGTTATCGACGAGCATGTTAAGGCTGCAGAGAATCACGACGACAACGATGATCGTAATCAGACGAAGGATATCGTCGATACGATGATGTCGATTATGGCGTCTGGTGGAACGGAGTTTCAGTTCGATCGTCGCCATGTTAAATCCGTATTGTTGGTGCGACGTCGATAGCTCTTTTTTTTTTGGCATCAAATGTTGTCTGATTTCGAGAATAACGTTGTTTTTGATCGCAGGACATGCTTGCAGCCTCGATGGACACGGCGGCGGCGTCCATCGAATGGACAATGTCGGAACTCATAAAAAGTCCTTCGACAATGGCGAAGCTCCAGCGGGAATTGGAGGACGTCGTCGGGCTCGACAGGATGGTCGAGGAGTCGGATTTGGAAAACCTCGAATACCTCGAATTGGTCGTAAAAGAATCCCTCCGGCTACACCCCGTCGCGCCACTATTGATCCCTCATTACGCGATGGAGGATTGCACGGTTCGAGGCTACGAAATACCGAAAGGGTCGCGGGTGATTGTAAACGCTTACGCGATCGGGCGCGATCCTAATGCGTGGGCTGATCCCGATGAGTTTTTTCCCGAGAGGTTCGTCGGGTCTGACGTGGATGTTAGGGGGCAACATTTTCAGCTTCTCCCGTTCGGCGCCGGGAGACGAGGCTGCCCGGGAATGCAGCTCGGGCTCACTCAGGTCCGGCTAATCGTGTCGCAATTAGTCCATTGTTTCGATTGGCGATTGCCGGATGGTTTGGTGCCAAAAGATTTGGACATGACCGAGGAGTTCGGGCTGGTTGTCGCGCGGGCGAATCCTTTGGTGGTTGTCCCAAGTTTGAGGCTGAAATGTTAGTTCTTGTTGCAATAAGAAAATTTATCGCATAATCGTGTAAATTGATCGTTTCACTTAAAAAGTTTCAGCTGACAGGGAAATGCATAATTAATTACGTATTTCTATTGTGCATAAGTGCTACAAGCAAATCTTGAAAACAAAGAACAAATTAATGTCATTGGGACTCTTATTTTTAGATAAATAATTAATTGTTCCGTTCCTAACGGGTCGAACTTTTAAATGAGACAGTCATTTTGCATCTGACATATAGATCTGAGTTGGCGATCCTCCATCCCCGTTTCCAACATATGTTTAATAAAATGGTTTTAGAAAATACTTTTTTTATATTGGTATAAAAAGTTACATAATAACTAAAAAAACCAATGTCTAATATATTATTTTTAAAAAAATATATTTTTGAAAAATTGTATTTTTCATAAAAAGAACAAACCCATACTCAATTATGACTTTTTTTAAAAGTAACATCAAGTATCCTTTTTTTTTTTTTTTCCTTACAAAAATCAAATTAAATACTTAATTTTTTAAATTATTATTATCAATATTCTTTTAAATTATACTAAATTGAACATGACCAATCTCGGGCCAGGTTAAAACATACAAAAAATAACCTAATCTGCTCTATGTACAGATTGTATTGGGCTAGCCCATTCCAGTTTTTCTTAATATTAAAACAATTCAATGTAGATTTCTATTTAAACAATTTATTATTATTATTATTATTATTATTATTATTGCCCATATATCTCCAACATGCACTGTCGGGAGAAGATACATATTTTCTTCACTTAACAAAATTCCATTTGTTTGATCCTAAAGAAAAATTAAGAAAAAATAATAATATTTTAATATAAAAATATAAACTACATATAGATATATTGAAAAACATATTAAAGAATATATTTAATTAATAGTATACATTGAGGGTGTGTCTGTTTGGGTTTTGGATTTTAAGTTGAAATTTTAATAGTAAAAATTTTGAATCTGAATAGTTGTATGATGTGATATAAATAAGTGTTTATGTAATATTTTGAATGTAAAATTGATTTTTAGTATAATATAAAAAATGAAAAATAGGTGTTTGATTTGATGTTTGGAGAGGGAGAAATGAGATGAACAGTGGAAATCTAATCCAATCAGTCTAACAAACACACCATATAATGTCCTCAGCAAAATTATTATGTGTTTAAAATATGAGTGGATAGAAAAATAAATATTACTATCATATTCTATCTTATCCTATATATTCTATATATATAACTATAGCAAAGGGTGTGGATCCACTTTCTTTAAAAGTTTTAAAATCCTGCAATCTCATAATTTTGAAATTTTTTTTCTTTTGTTTTTTTTTTTTTATTTTTGTATAGTTTTTCAAAATTATAGTTTACTATTCCATTATTTTCTCTTATTAATATTATAATTAACTATTTTTATTATATAAATTTTTCATAAATTTTTTATATTTTATTACTTTTTTTTGTTTATTAGATTATAATCCATAAATAAATATATAATATTTTAGTAACAAATATGTGATATCCTATATCTATTTTTTAAATAATTTTATTTAAATTTTAAATTTTAAAAAATTTAATGAATTTTAGATTAATTTTATATGTATATCAGTGTTTTCAATTTTGTTTATTTAATTTACTTTTAAATTTAATTCCTTTTTTTATTCATATTCGTATGTTATATTAATGAAAAATAAAATATATTAATTAAAATATATTAATTTATTTTATTTTTTATTAAATTTTGCAAATATTTTAATTGTAATTTATTTCATACTGGATTAATTTTTTTATTTTAAATTATATAAATTATTATATTATAATTTTTATTAATTATACTGTGCGTAGCACGGGTACTTACGGTAGTTATTTATTATACAAATTTGACGGATAGACTTAAGGGAAAAATAAATGTAAATTTAACAAGGAATTACATATTTTCATCTCTTCATATATTATTTTAATATTTATTTAAAAAAAATTATTCTCTCTATCCCAATTAAAAATATAATTTTCTGGTATATTATTATATTTGGTGATACATGAGCATGCTTTTAAGATAAGTATACGATCTTCTTCATTATCTAAAATTCATATACAAGAGAATTGCTTATAGATATGTATATTTCCATTCATTCAATTACACAATCAATGGAAGTCAATACAATTCTTGCCAACAACATTAACCCCATCTTGATGATGATCATAGTCATCATTAGTACCAAAATCCAAGCAATCTTTGTCATCAAGATTTTGATCATGATCAAGATCAAGATCAAGATCATTCACATCAACATGCGACGAGTACTTAGGACGGTCCGAGTCATGGCTAGCCTTATCCCCCTCGCTCTCCCGAAACTTGTTTAGATAAACCCTCAAGGATCCGACATAATTTTCAAATCCAAGGGTCGTCATAGCCCACAAGATATCGTCCCCATTCACCGTCTTCCTTTTCTCCCGTTGGCACTTGTCCGCTGCCTCGCCAGTGATGAAACTTATGAACTCGGATACACATTCTTGGACGGTCTCTTTGGCTTCTTTGGAAATCTTGGCGTTTGTTGGGAGGGATTTTTTCATGATCCGTCCAACGTTGGCGATTGGGAGGAGCCGATCATGGTCTTTGACATCTGCCAAATCGTCGTTGTTATTGTTGTTGTTATTATTATTGTTGTTGTTGTTGTAAGAACTAGGGGTAGTGGAGTTTTTGGTTTTCTTCATTTTGGTAAGTGAGGAAAAATGAAGAAGAAAGTTAAGGGGTTTTATGGTGGAGATTTGATGAGAAAAAAAATGGACGGCTGGATTTTGATGTTGACATATATAGGGAAATTTTTGGACTTAAAAAGGTGTACTACAAAAGGTTGTAATTGTCTTATTGTTAATGTAAGGGAATCAAACTATATGTTGTTAAATATAAATTATTTGTGGTTACCTAATGAATTGACTTTCTTTTTGGGGGGAAATAATAATAATATTAGAGAAATAAAGGGCTGCACATCAAAAAATAAAAAATGTTTGACCAAGTTTGTGTGGTTTGACTATAAGAATAATGATGTAGTTGAACTATATGTGCAGCCCGTGGAATATATTTAAAATATTTTATTTAATAGTCGGTCATTGAAGCTCAACGGCATATAGAACTCTGCCAAATGGCACTTCTGGTTTGTGTCAATATATATTCATATTAATGTAATAGTTTCTTTCCAATCTTTTTTATTGTACATATGAGAATTTACGATGGATATAATTAATAAATAATTAAGAATGTATGAGTAAAAATAATTATTATATAATAAAAGTAATTTTAAATTTAGATTCAGATAAAATAAAAAAATTTATAAATTAAAAAATAAAATGTATAATTCTTTTTTTTAAAAAAAAATGACATAATAAGTCGAACATACGATTTGAAAATATGAACACGGTAAGTGAGACATAACAGAGTATATAATATATACAAGATATTACTAAATTTTTATACTTAACATTAAAAAAAAAATTAATCCAAAAACACTTAGCTTGTTTGTTTATAAAATTTATTTTTAATAATATAAAAAATAAAAAATCAGTATTTGTTTGATATATTAAAAAAATTAATAAATAATAAAAATTTGATAAAATATATATATATTTTTTTTTTTAAAAAAAGAACTTTTGTATTTGATTTGTACCTTGGACGGCATGTGATACGACAATTTATATTCTAATGCACTTTTTTTAAGTCAATATTCACAGGCAAGTTATTAATAATAATAATTATAGTGATAAAACGTGTTTATGTGTTATATATACAAAAACTAATAATAATAATAATATTTAAATTAATGGAAAAATTATTGCTGTTAGAATAATAAACTGAAATTCTCTATTGCAATAATAAGAATATGTTTATATTTATAGTAATATGCAAATCATCTAAATAAGATAATAGTTTTACAAACGATAACTACCATAAATATAATAATATATTACTTGTAAATATATTTTAACCATTGTTATTATTATTTATAGTATAATTAAGCATAAGTTTAGTTAATAGTATTATAGTACATTTTGGGACGTTCAATTACAAAGTAACCGTTTTTTTTCATAAATATTCTTATTTTACATCACATCATTACTTTTATACCAAAAAGTAAAGGCAAAAATGTCATTCCACCATTTTTACGTACCAACGTGCTAAAAGTAAATGTATATTTATTGTTTGGACGAAGGGAGTATTTAATATTGAATATTATTACGAAGGATGGGCAGGATCCGAATCGGGGCGTGCACATGTTTAGAAATATTTATAACGATGACGTACGTGCTGTGTTGTTAGCCTCCTCGTTTCTCCCTTCCCTTCAATTCTTGCCTCCTGTCCTGGGAAAAGGTATGATGACGATCATCACAGCCAGAGATACATATATATATATATATATGCATAGATGATCGATTCGATGCACTGTACAATGGCCAAGGCTGGGGTTAATATATATATATATATAATTAAAAAAGATAAACAACATTCAATATATATATATATAATTAATTAATTTCTTCTCTAGCTGATCCAGTTCGTTTAATTGTCTGATTTTGATTTAATTACCTCAAGCAGAAGAACAACTTTCTAAGCACATGGGCAGGGTTGGAAAATCCACATTATATATATTAATAAAATATTGGTTGACACGAGCACAGGCACCCCTTTATATATATAGATATGTTACGTTAAAGAGCACACACACAATACAGATTATTAATTAGTATTATTTGATTATTAATTAATGGCAGCGGGAGTTGTTGAGAAGATGAAGAAAAGCTTTCTTCATCTGGTGGAATCTGTTAAGTCTTGTGGCTGCACCAAACCTCCTCCTCCCCCTCCCCCTCCCCCAACTGCACCGCCAACAGGTATCATCACTTCACTCTAGAAATTAAATTAAATTAATATATATATGCTTTAATTAATTTAATTTCAGGAAACGAGAGCGCGGGAGGAGGAGAGTGCGAAGAAGTTGAGGAGGTAAATTTGCTGTTTTATTTTATTTTTTTTTTAAAGATGATTTAAGATACATTGATACGGTACATGCAGTAATTAATTAATTAATTATTATTTTTATTTTTATTTTTATTTTTTTATATTGGATTTTGACAGAATGCAGAAAATGAAGAGGGGCAGGTGGGAGCCAGGGGCCCGACTCCTCCTAACAATCCTCCCATTCCTACAGCTACTCATCCTCTGCCTGCAACAGCCACTGCACAACACAACACACCACAATAATAATTATATATTATTTATGATTATGACTTTATGATTGTTAATTAATGTCATGCCATTAATATGGCAGCCTCATCATCTGTAATTTAATTAAGTCTCGAGTGATTACATTAATGACTATGGTTGTTTAAATTGAATCATTGTTCAACTGTTCCATTTTTTTTTTTTTTATTCTATTAATGAAAAATTAATATTGAATGCAATAATTAAAACAGTACTCCTCCGTCCCATAAATATAGTTTTAATTAGGTTCAGCACCGTATTTAAGAAATATTAATATTATATTATATTGATAGTTGATAAAAAGTATAAATAAAAAAAAATTTTTTTTCAGTGTATTAGTGTAAAAAATAGTGGTAATTGTGTAATAAAAATAAAAAAGTAATGGCAGTTTTACGATGATATGATTATTTATAAAAATAAGACTATTGTTTTGGTACGGATAAAAATGGTAAACAAGACTATTGTATTGGTACGGAAGGAATATAATCTTAGGGTGTGTTTGTTTGGGGGGTTTGGAATGTGAGGGGATTTAAACCATACAAATTTTAAATTCGAATAGTTATATAATACTATATATATAAATAGATATTTGATTTGATATATTTTTTTAAAAAAATAAAGATAAATAATATATTTTAAATCCAATCCGCAAAACAAACACACCCTGATAAATTTAAGAATACGATTAGTATTAATACATAAAGAGAGCCACAGTTCCAATCCTACCTGCCACCCTGCAGTTTAGGCAATGATGTGGTGATTTGATCCTAGACTGGACTGGACTGGACTGGGTGAGAGTTCTGAATCTGAATGTAACTAAAAATGGAAAGATGAAAATTTGCAGTGACGACACTGAATTCAATCCACCCACCATGAATTGGGAGCTGTAACTTTTATCGCACCCCAAAATCTCACTTTCCACATTTCGAAAGCTATTCACGTGCTTATCGTTCTCCACCGCCGCCCACTTCGCATTTCCATTTACCCCTTTTTGTCGAAATTCAGTGTATACATTTAGCGCGGTGAAGTCGCTGACGGGATCCAATAACCGTTCACATGGCGATTCGTACTTCTCTCACTTTCCCCGTCTCGATTCCTTCCCCTCCAAATCGATTTCTTGCCGGTCCAGCCAAGCCGAGGTGTGTCGGTGTTAATTTCAAAAATGGGGGCAGCCTATCGGCAGGTGAGGACCTGCCGCTGGATTACGAGACCTGGCTCCCTAAACGGGAATTGAAGAATCCAAGGAGGGCGGGGGTCCTCCTCCATCCGACGTCGTTTCAGGGGCCTTATGGCATTGGGGATCTTGGCCCTGAAGCCTTCCGTTTCCTCGACTGGCTTCACGATGCCGGTTGCTCCCTTTGGCAGGTCATTGTTCACATTCAGTGGTTTGAAGTTGTTTCAGCAATTCGAAAATTTTTTGTTTGATAAAAAGCTTTCTAGATGTAGCAGGGTCGTATAACTATTGTGTGTTGTGGTTTGATCTTGAATGTGTGACATTTTCACACTTGCTTGTGGTCTAATTTGATGGACTAGTGAATAGATGTTTGAAGATGAAAGTAAAGCTTTAAATTGGGGAAGTCAATATGCTTAATGCACATTCCTCACTTTTGCTAAATAAATTGAACCAGGAAAAATAAGATCAATTTTTCGTTTTAGCAGGTTCTTCCTCTTGTTCCTCCTGGGAGAAGGGCTGGTGAAGGGGGCTCTCCCTACTCTGGACAGGTTGTTGAATTTTCTGTCACTTCATTTATATAATTATTACACAGTTACTTTGAATACATTACAGATTGACTGACAAATTAAATGCAGACTGGAAGTTGAAATATAAAAACTTATAGCTTGAGGATTAGCAATAATACAACTGCAATGCTACAATGCTTGTGTTCCTATCATGGAAAATGAGTTATACATTCAGTGATATGATATGCATTTGATCGTAGTTGTATATTCTTGAGTGCTAGTGAAAGTTATATGCATGATGTTGTGATGCTATTCTTCTGTGAAATTGATTAACTGCATTCGTGGTGGCTGCATACTGTTAGGATGCTAATTGTGGGAACACTCTGTTAATTTCTCTTGAGGAACTTGTCAAAGATGGACTACTATCAAAAGAGGAGCTTCCGAAACCACTGTAAGAAATAAGTCACTCAATACTGTATTATAGTGTTTCAAAGGTTTATTTAGATATGCACTCGTACTTATGCGTGTTGTTACTTGCAGAGACGTGGATCATGTGAATTACTCAGCTGTTGCTGAGATCAAGGATCCTTTGGTAGCTTTGGTAACACATAAATACACCATTTCAGTTCCTCATTTAGCTAGTAGTACTACACACTATTGTCTCTGTGAATTAAAGTGATTTTTTATGCAACAGCTTGCCCAGGGAATTACTCTTATCTATCAAAGACTATTAAAAATCGCTAAAGTATTAAACCATATCATGTCTCTGTGATCTATACAAACAGCATGAAATGAGCTTATCATTTATGCACATATGTGTATTGTCCTATCGCCAAACCATTTAGTCATAAAATGAAAATCAAATATGAAACTTCATACACCTTAAAGCTCATAAGACGAAAAGAAAATTTTTTGGAATAAATTTGTCGGCTCTGTTTGCATACACTTTTGGAATTTTAGCACTATTCAATTTTTGGAAAAACATTACATCAAACACATTTTTTCTCACACAAAACATCACATCAAATACTAATTTTTCACTATATCCAAAATTTCAAAACTCCAAAAGTTTCTGTCTAAACGGAAACGTTGATAACCAGTATTGGCTTGTTATTTTGATTACTTGGTTGTAATAGTTGCATTAATACATCTTTGAGTTGGATTATCTTTAAGCCAAGTGCTTTATGATTGATTTTAGTTGTAGTGTGAATCTTTGATATATTGTTACTAGGATTCTGCTGTTTGTTATCCTGATTCACTGGGACTTGTAGGTCCTGAATATTCTTCTTTTATAGTTGTATTAAGTTTAATGATTACCCTACTTGGAAGGATTTGTTTTTCATATCGAATAGTCAGCATGCTTGCTGCATACTGAATGGTGGAATCACAAGGCAACTCTTTTAAGTGTAGTTCGGTTTCCATTACTGGTTTAGGCTGCAAAGAGGCTCCTTGCAAGTGAGGGGAACATGAAGCACCAACTTGAAGAATTTCGTAAGAATCCAAATATTGCAGGTAACACTTGTTTTTCCATTATGTGAGTAAATGGTCCAACAAGATGAACATTAAAAAAGAATCTTTACATTCAATAAGTAGGGAATGAATTTTTAAACCACTTTTAGTTCCGAAAAAAAATGCTCACACCAGATTATGGTCAATTGGTGATGAAATATGCCATGAAACTATTCTGGGAAATTTGTTCTTTTATTATCATGCATTAATCCACTATTTGGAAGCCACTTCAATACATGTAGTTGTGTGTGTGTAAATATTTATATTATTGTTATTATTTTACTTTGAATTGCCATAAAAAAGTCTGTGTCCAGATAACCCGTTCATGGAGTAAGTCGTGTGGTTCAATAATACTTTGAGAATTCGCTCTCTAATTCTTTAAAGTACCTAGTTAGAAACCATAAATTACCTGTTAGTTCTAATCTAATGCTATAAAGTTGCATAGGCTGGCTTGAAGATGCAGCTTACTTTGCTGCAATTGATGACACTTTGAATACTTTAAGTTGGTATGATTGGCCTGAATCATTGAAGAATCGTCATCTTGCTGCTTTGGAAGAGATTTATCAAAGCAAAAAGGAATTTGTAAGATGTTGATGTTGTCTCGCCTGCACTCCCTTTCAGCTTTCAGCTCTAGTGGAGGAAGGTTACATGACATGTGAATTTTGGTTCTCTTGCACAGATAGATACTTTTATTGCTCAGCAATTTTTGTTCCAACGACAATGGCAGAAACTCCATGATTATGCTCATGGGAAAGGAATCAGTATAATGGGAGATATGCCTATATATGTAGGTTATCATAGTGCTGACGTATGGGCTAACAGGAAACAATTTTTGCTGGTAATTTCTCCCTTTCTTGACAATTAGCACTCCATAAGTGTTTAATATGGTTCTTTAAAGTTTCTCTGATACTACAGAAAAAAGATGGCTTTCCCCTTCAAGTTAGCGGAGTTCCTCCAGATGCTTTTAGTGAAACTGGTCAACTATGGAACAGGTTGACTCTATTCTAGGGATTGAATGTACATATATTGCATGTTTAATATAAATGTTAGTTGAATTTTGTATTCCTCAATGCCATGTAAAAATATATATATTTATGATGAGCTTTTTGGTGTTAAAAAGCCCTTTGTATGATTGGAAAGCCATGGAAAAGGATGAATTCTCGTGGTGGGTACGGCGTCTAAAACGGGCACAGAATCTATTTGATGAATTCAGGATTGATCATTTTAGAGGATTTGCTGGCTTTTGGGCTGTTCCTTCTGGTGAGATGACGTTACTCTTGTGGTATTGTTGTTACAAGGAGTACTGGAGCAGTAACATTTCATCAATTTCATTGCAGAAGCAAAAGTTGCAATGGTAGGCCGATGGAAGGTCAGCATCCTCTTGTATAAATTTTGGAAATTCTTCGATGAACAATTCTAGACGCTCCAAAATGATATTCTGATTGGCAGTAGGTTGGACCTGGAAAATCTCTTTTCGATGCCATCTTTAAAGCTGTTGGAGAAATCAATATTATAGCAGAAGACTTGGTACAATCGATTATTAGTTCATATTAATCATGTGATGGATACCAAAAATGTATTTTTCTGTCACAAGGGTATAGTCGAAGTCTTGTGTTTTTTATACTGCTCCAGGGGGTAATTACGGAAGATGTAGTGGAACTTAGGAGGTCCATAGGCGCACCTGGAATGGCAGTCCTCCAGTTTGGTAAGCGTTTTTCGCATCTTATCCTATGTTGGAAATCTGTTGAAAGAGAGTTTGTTCACATCTTGGTCATAATTTTTGTATTTTTATCCAGGCTTTGGAAGTGATGCTGAGAATCCACATCTACCTCACAATCATGAAATAAATCAAGTAGTGTATACCGGTACCCATGACAATGACACAGTATGTATTCGCCATAGACTTTCCCGTATGGACAAGCCTGTCTGTTTAGTATGGCACTTATATGCAAGCTTTTATGCTTCATTTCTTTGATGAGGAAGAGTGTAGTAGTTCCATATCAGCAAAACATTTTCACGAGCAAGGATGGTAGCACAGTTATTTTTATTTGCCATAAGAGGTTCATCTCGGAAGTAATTTTTATGGCATTTGCTCTTTAATCCACCAGTCATTTTTAAATAGTAGACTTTCTTGAGGGGGCCATGGGCACGGCAATTATATTGCTCAGTCGAGTACTAATTCACAACTATAATATACTCAGATACAAGGATGGTGGGATGTCTTGCCACAAGAAGAAAAATCTAATGTGAGTATGTTTAGTGTGAGAATTTTGAAGGCAGACACTCACACTACCTTTGTTCCCCTTTATTTCATAGAAAAATTGTTTAATTGTTCCTCGGCAAAAATCTTGTATTTAAATGTGGCAATGTTATATTGTTTAGGTGATTAAATACCTTGGTTACATTGTTGAAGATGACATTTCGTGGGGGTTAATTCGGGCAGCCCTTTCGTCAGTTGCACACACTGCAATCATTCCCATGCAAGATATACTCAGATTGGGAAGTTCGGCCAGGATGAATATTCCAGCAACACAGGTAGTCAGGTTCATTCGGTGTGCCTATTGATACTGTTCTTTTTTGTTCTACTAAACATCTTAAAATATAGGAATGTATTTATGTATGTCTTCGATAGATTCAGGCATATAGTTCACAGGGTTTCAGATTTTTATGAGAAGCACCGCTAATGGGAGTTGGATTATGTTTTATGTGCAGCACGGAAATTGGAGTTGGAGAATACCCAAGTCTAAGTCATTTGACTGCTTGACATCTGAAGCAAAGAACCTGCGAGACATGCTCCTGATGTATGGTCGATTGTAATCTGTAGCAACTACAACTGAGACTGGTAAGTGGATTCAGATATTGGCAAGACAGACAAATGAGCAATGCAATACAATTTATATGGATTCAGCTAGTAATTAAGTTGTTTTTAATTCTTTCCAGGTGATTATATATACTATATGATCTCAAGAGATGAACTGGCTGGAGATCAAAACAAACCCGTGGTTGCATTCTTGTGCTGTGATGGATCTTTAGGTCTGGACACACAGAGGCCGCAACTTGGTATGTGTTTTTGTGCCACCGTAACAATAAACTCGAGAATTAGATAAAATCAAGTGGATTTTTATCAAGTTTGTTAATCAGATTGGATTATAGTCTTAAGTGGTAATTATCTATGTTATTCAAGAAATAAAATTAACATTCTGTCGAAGTAAAATAGGTTGCAAGTCACGTAAAATGCAGTGTGTCATTTAATTCTGCTGATCCCACATACACACTAACATTACAACAAAAAGAGTTCCTCAATATTGCACAAGATGAAGCTGTAAAGTAGATGTTAACTAGTCTTAACTCTCGACCATATGTATGTATATGCTGTATCTATAGTTCTATACCCAAATAGCATAGGCATCAATAAGCAATTGCTTGAGCTCCCCTTTGATATTGAGGGTCATAATCTCATTCGATCCCCCTCTAAATTTCCTCCCTATGAACACTGCCGGGGTGCTCGGGTTGCATCCCAGCTCCATCAATGCTTTCTCCATCTGCCTCCCATTTGGGAGCTTGTCCAGCTCATATACCACGGGGTTGGCCCCGTAATCCCTTATAAGCACATTGACTGCATGAGTGATGCAGCAATTGGTTTTGCTGAAAATCACCACCGGGCTTGCAGACCCTAATACCTTCACTGCATCCATCCTCTTCTTTACGAATTACTCAAAAGCGGATTTAGAATATGTATGTGCTTTGTGGTATCTGTAAATCTTTTCTGAGAAACTTAGCGGGTCTCAGGTCTCTTTATATAAGGGAAGGATGAAAGAGAAGGTGTAAGATACATTCGGTTGGATTGGATTGGATTCTGTCCTCGATCACACACGATGTGATCATGCATGAGAAAGATGGATGACTAATAAATAGATAGAGGGAATAAGGGATGTTTGTTTATGATGATTGCTTGTCAATACATTGCTGCTGATAAATTTAACTAGAAGCCGTAGCCTCACTTTATTATATGCTCGAATATATATATATATTTACTTGTCCTTTCCTTTTCCAATGCTGCTTTTAGGATATTTACAGATATATCATCCTTTCTTGAAAAAATTGCGCGCACTTTTACCTTTCGCCTAGAAAACTGGTATTTTAGCACATGTTCCTCAGTCCATCTATGAAGTTTGGTTAGAAAATCTTTAATATTGTAGATTTTTGTTAATAGTAAGTTTATCAGTATTTGATGCTGGATTCAAGCATAAGTAAATTCCCATTCTGAAATGGTATTTACTTTTGTGTCAAGTTGAGACTAGAAATACTTATAGTTGACAATGTATATATATATATATATATGTATGTATGAATAAAACACTCTCTCTCTTTTTTCGATAGATAATTTAAGGCCTGCTGTAAGTTAAGTGGGCATCCACAGGGATGGATATTTGTGTCCCCTGTTTTGAGAATCTTGTTATTTGAGATGCATCAACAAGTAGGCATACGCCACGCCCACGCCCATGCCCCCACGGCAGCCCACCGTGCGTGTAGCGGAAAGCTAAGTTTTAGAGCAAAAATCATTTTTGGTCTCATTCAATATCATAATTATCAATTTTGGTCTCATTCAAAAAAATGTTGGTCTCAACCCGTCAGTGTTGATTACCCTGCACTTCTGAACACCGACTCTGCCCGTGTTCTGAACACATCTATATTAATATCCATGTTCTCAACATTCTAGCTCATATTTTTAATATAATCATTTAAATTTTTTTTAATTTTAATTAAACTAATGAGTTATCTTAATTTTAATTTATAATTATTTATATTATATAATAATTATTTTCACAAATACATTCTTAATTATATACTAATTATACTTATCCTAAATTCTCGTCCAGACATCCAACTTGGGACGGAGGGAGTATTATTTTAAAATATTATCTTGAATAATCAATTTAATTTATAATTTATAGAAATAATTATTTTAAAATAATTTTTTAAAATTTTTACGATAAATTTTTAAAAATATATATAATGATGATTATTAAAAATATATATTAATATATTAAATATTATTTTTAAAATATTAAAAATTAATTATTTTTTATATTATGAAATAATTGTAAAAAATATTTTTGTTGAATTATAAATATATATATATCAAATAATTTTAACCAAAAAGTGAAAATAATAATATATTGAAAATATGCTTGTGAACATGCAGAAACATGGTCTAGAACATGGCAGTGTTGAAAACATGGACATAAAGTGTTCAGAAATGCAACGTAATCAACACGGTCGTGTTGAGACCAACTCGGCTGTGTTGGCTGCCTGGGACGCCCAGTCACCTTCGAAGTCATCCAACACGGTCGTGTTCAGTCCCGGTTAACCACCTTAGTCTAAAATTGATAAATTTTTATTTGAGTGGGACTAAAATTGATAAAAAAATTTTAATGAGACCAAAATTGATAATTATAATATTAAATGAGAAAAAAAAATGATTTTTCCTCTTAGGTTTATTATTCTTTACTATCTAACTAAAGTGAGCTTTTCCTAAAGTAGGAAAAGGGCATCACTCTGTAGATGGTGATTGATCTAAGAATCCTTGAGAACCAATCTGTGTAAGTCAATTAGTTGTCCGTACTCGAACATGGTACGCCCAACCGCCTTTTCGGTTCTTGAAGGAATGAACGTACGTATATAACATATGCCATTGTTGTTACAGCTTATCTTCTGGATTATTGTTCTGTGATTCGATATGTCTGATTCTTGTATATTGTATTGTGCATGTCTTCTTCTATATCTATCTGTGACTGTAACTGCCTGTCTTCTTGTTGTTGTTGTATTATGTATAGTGATGGATGAAATGAATCAATGGCTGCTTCACGTGTTAAATGCCAAATTAAATTCAGTTGTTGGAGGGAGTCCTTTCATCAAATCGAATGGCCAATGAATTTGGTGTGATTTGATCTGATTTGATTTGATTTGGTATGATATGATTTACATTCTTACATGTCTGAATGAAGATCAGGCAACTTTGTCTAGGGTAGCTAACTTAGAATCAAGAATATATTTTATAGAAGAGCATAAAATAAGATAAAATGGACAAGGAAGATATAGGTCGAGTATATATGCTATGCTAATTGGATATATACATATATATTTTTTTGAAGCATATGGGTGTTCCTTTTAAGCTTTGGATTTGAATAAATAGGTGGTTTATACAATGTTTTGAATAAAATTTTGATCTTTTTAGTAAAATATTAATCATTTAATTTGATGGTTTTGAAAGAAATCTTTTTTTTTTTTTTTTTTTTTTTTTTTTTTTTTTTTTTTTTTTTTTTACAAAATACCAAGTTAAGGGTTACGGTTATTGTGTTGAATTTAAAAATTCATTACATAATATATGACAAAAACATAACAAGTCATTTATGTTAATGTAGTATACTTTTATTGATTTCAATATGTAAAATATGTTGTGTATATTTATATAATGGGTCAATAGTATTTTATACTATGATTTTACTATATTTTGTACATAAATCAACACACTCTCTCTCTCTCTCTCTCTATATATATAACATTTCACAGCACACGATCCAAATCCACATATTAGTTTTGATTTTTGTGTCGTTGAATATTTGATTTTTTATGATGTCGAATCAAACTTAAAAATTGATTATAATTGTTGATCAATAATATTAACAGATCACTTGGATTAATAGATGGCCAAGAAATAGGTGTAAATTAGTAGAGAATAATTTATTTGAACATTTAACTAACAAATTACCATGTACCATCATTAAAATATTTTCATTTTGATCAACAAATGTCTTGTATTAGTCAACTAAATAATATATTTAGAGTGGGAATAATTAAGGTGTTGATTAACATATGGATATATACAACATATAATTGAGATTAAAACAATTAGCCTTGGGTTAGCATATAGTAATAATATACATAGGGTTGTTTATGATCAGTCAGTATAGTGCTAATAGCATTAGAAATATATACTGGTTACAAAGTTATATAATTTTATATTGAAATCAATCATTTCTATTATATAATTTTATCATATATTATTTAACAGAACATAGTTGAAACATATACAAAGTTATATAATTTTATATTGAAATCAATCATTTCTATTATATAATTTTATCATATATTATTTAACAGAACATAGTTGAAACATAAAGCTGTTTGCTAATGCTAATTTCTTGATGTATGTTTCCCTTATATTTTTCACACTCCATAATTTACAATAAAAATATATCTATATGCCCAAAAACACCACAATTTATTTTACATTGAAACAAAATCCTAACCTAATAACACCAAGAACATTCCAAATTATAACCATAGTACCATACAATTCTCGATCAATACATCAGCATCAAAAGGGCATCCTAAGCACCCACACATATATATAGAGAGAGAGAGAGAAGTGGGGTGGGGGGGGGGGGGGGGTAAGACTCACTATACGAAGAATACAGCTCGATTTGATGAATGCATTGTTATGTGATCATGCTTTGATGCAGCAATTGAAGCACCTGAGCCTGAGGATGCTCCTCCTTGTCTGCTGCACAATACAACCATTTAAGGAGTTATAGTACATTCCATTCATAAATCGACATCTTTGGATTTCAAGGCACCCCGCCGGGGCATCAGACATGATTGGTAATCAGAACAGTCGACAAAGCTAAGAAGGCATCCACAATGTGTTTCCTTTTAAGGGCAAATCTCAATTTTCATTTCTACTAAAACTAAATCTAAATGTTACAAGAAAGTAGATTGATTCATTTATCTTTTGCAAAGATTTATATGCAATCTAACTAACTAATTACTATGCATCGATATAGCTACTTCGACATCACAACCTGCCGTTTTTAGGAAGGAATAGAACCACATGACAAAAATAAATTACGGCAGCTAAGTATATATAGTCTAGAAGGTATGCATACCATTGGAGAGTGGCTCCGATCGTAGACATGTTGGTTGTTTGGCGTGGTGTTTGAATCTCTTGTGTTCGATGAAACAATCTCCTCTTCATTCCCTAGACTAGCCCTCGATGGATCCCTCTTGTTCTGCTTCCTCATTTCTCTAATTTTCGAGAAATCCATAGAGTAATCGGGCATCGCCCCCTTTTGATCCCAATCCCCAAACTGTGGCACAGACAGCCATGGAGCATGCTTCTACAAATTCAAAGAAACTTTTACAGCAACAATAAGACTGTCATCCTGTGATAGACGACACCAATGACGATGATGACAGCTTCTTTTCGTCATAGTAAATTAGGACAGCTGTAGAAAAGCATGATAGAAATGGATATTTTGGTTTGAAAATTCAATCCTGTAAACAACTTTCATACTTCAAATTTGAATTATGACTTATTCTTCCTCCAGATTTTCTTTGACTTATTCCTTCGCAAAGAAACTACTCGTGAGCACACACTTTGATATTATCTGTTTTCTTCTTCAATTAAACTAAATTAGACATGTTCACAAAACCTAATTTCAGAATGCCTCATTCATCAAATGAAAGCAATTAACTGCATAAACAGACAATTCCATAGCTAAACAGTACTTAATAAGAAGCTAAGAATCAGTAACTTCAAAGTTTCGCATACAATAATTGAAACAAAAGCAAGGAGAGCAGAAAAACCATGAGAAGAACACAAAACTAGCTTTTAGCTAAAATTATCTAGTTCTTAAGATAGAACAGATAACAAACCCTCGAGGAAAACAATCAAGAGAAAAAAGCAGCAAACAAGTGAGGAAGATGAGAAGAAATTCCACTTCACCTCCTTGCGGTCTTCCATGGCTAACAAACAATGAACAAGATTCTTGTGCAGCAGAACAGAATAACAGAGGTGAGAAAGATGTTTGTTTATAAAAAGATCGAGGGACAAATTGATTTTTTATTTTTTATTTTTTAATATTGATTTTCTTATTGGGCCTTACTCAAAGAGCCCAATAAGAAACCCTAAAATTATTCTTATTGGGCCCTCTTGTTAAAACTAAAACTAATATAAATAGAATTGGGTCAATTTTTGCTATATAAAAAATATGTATAATCCTAAATAATCTTTATTTTCACACGTGGCACAAATGCAGAGGACGGACTCATGGATGGAATATGAACCACAAAAGACATTCTTGTGTTTTTGTGCAATGAAAAGACGACTTTACCCCTGCCTCCGTTGGCTTATCTGCCATGGCTATAGCTATGGCTATGGCTCTCGAAGAAGAGAGGCGGCAAGAGACGAGACTCATTGGACTCTGTGCTTTCCTTCTGCATTCGATTCTTCGCCCTGTATTTGTACCACTAATTTCTTTGTCTTTCCCCAAGTTTATCGCTGATTTAGTGCAAATTTTGGGGAGGAAGAAGAGGAAATGGACTTGGCGTCGAAGCTCCAGTTCCTGGAGCTGCGGTCTCCTTTTCTCGCCGGAACAACCCTTCTTTCTCCCGCCGCCCGCCCCCGGCATCTTCCCTTGACGAGCGCCTCCCTGAAATTGGCAGTTGTTAATACCTCGACCTTCAAAAATCCGTCTCGAATTTCGTTCAAATTACACTCGATTGCTACTGAGAATTCCACTTCTACAACCACACTTGAAGAGGAGGATGAAGACATAGAAGCTCTGCTTTCCAACGGCTCTGCAGAATCAGAAGTTAACTACAAGCGCGGCAACAAGAGCACCACCGGCGCATCCAGTATTTCATCGGGCGTCAGGTTAGAAAACGTGAGCAAAAGCTATAAAGGTGTCACCGTGTTGAAAGATGTCAGCTGGGAAGTGAAAAGAGGGGAAAAGGCTGGATTGGTGGGGGTTAATGGTGCAGGCAAAACGACGCAGCTGAGGATGATTGCTGGATTAGAGGAGCCTGATTCAGGGAATGTAATCAAGGCCAAGGATAATATAAAGGTTGCTTTTCTGAGCCAAGAATTTGAGGTGTTGTCTACGCGGACTGTGAAGGAAGAGTTTTTGAGTGCTTTCAAGGAGGAAATGGAGGTTGCAGAGAAGCTGGAGAAGGTTCAGAAGGCCATAGAGAAGTCAGTGGATGATTTGGATCTGATGGGGAGGCTACTTGATGAGTTTGATTTGTTGCAGAGGAGGGCTCAAGCTGTTGATTTGGATAAGATTGATGCCAAGATCAATAAGTTGTTACCTGATCTTGGATTTGCTCCAGAGGATACAGATCGTCTTGTTGCATCGTTTAGTGGTGGATGGCAGATGAGGATGTCACTTGGGAAGATTCTGCTGCAGGTATATACATGAATTGTAGCTATCATTTTTGTTTATTGGCGGCATCTTCGATTCGTAGTATGAGCATGGTTGTAAGTTTTAACCAGCAATTTATGTCTGGATTGAATTCAGTTCTCTGTACTACTAGTAGTTGATTATATGATGTGCAGCACGATTTGGATTTTTTGGAAAGGGTGTTTATTGCACTAAAATGTAGGTATTACATGTGTTTGATTGATTTGTGTGGACTAGTACATGGATGAAGTTTTGAGGTTCATTGTATGCTTATATGTTTGAACAGTTTGTGTAAATTTGGTTGTTGGTTGCTCACTAGTGTAATGATCTGCAGGATCCTGATTTGTTGCTTTTGGATGAACCGACGAACCACCTTGATCTTGATACAATTGAGTGGCTTGAGGGTTATCTACAGAAACAAGATGTGCCAATGGTTATTATATCCCATGACAGAGCTTTTCTTGATCAACTGTGTACAAAAATTGTGGAAACTGATATGGGCGTTTCTAGAACATACGAAGGAAATTACTCGGATTATGTTATTGCGAAGGCAGAATGGATTGAAGCTCAGTTTGCAGCATGGGAAAAGCAACAGAAGGAGATTGAACAGACAAAGGACATGATAAGCAGGTTGAGCGCAGGAGCAAATGCTGGCCGTGCTTCTACTGCTGAAAAGGTCTACGAAAGTTTATTATGAAAATTATTATACTGAGGCAGATTTAAGTTCTATTCAACTTTATCCGAAGCACCAGACATGCCGTATGATTGTGACTATTTTATGAACTGTATTTTTATGTTTTTGGGTAACAGAAGCTGGAAAAGCTCCAGGAAGAGGAATTGGTTGAGAAGCCCTTCATACGTAAGCAGATGAAGATCAGGTTTCCCGAGCGTGGAAGAAGTGGTCGATCTGTTGTCATGATGAAGAATTTAGAGTTCAGTTATGAGGATAAGGTAGGTTACTTGTTCATTAACATGATTAGAAGCCTTTTCAAGAAAATGTTAAGGACATTCATATGCATAAGGCTGTGAATATAATTTGCTTGGCTGTTCCTTGATTTGGATAGCTACGTAACTCTAAATTTTGTTGTTCAAAATCATTCACACAACATTTACTTACTCAGATATATATATATATATGTGTGTGTGCTTGAAACAAGAAGCAACTTATTTCATCCACATTTATCAACAATTATGATAAAATTTGGCTAATAGTTCTGTTACGGTAAGATTTGAGTTCTGTAAGCCATCGTGCTATGGCGCTCGCTTTTTTTCTTATGTGTAACATTTCTGATTTCTAAAATGCTGCGAGACCAGCTAAATTTAGCTTGGCATTAAAAGACCTGACCTAAGGAGCATTCGCATACCTCCCCATCCAATCTTTCTTCGATATTTCATGTGGATTTATTGTTTTTGCTCCAGGTTCTATTTGACAAGGCAAATTTGGAGATTGAAAGGGGTGAGAAAATTGCAATTCTGGGACCAAATGGTTGTGGAAAAAGTACATTGCTTAAACTGATTATGGGCATGGAGAAACCAGACAAGGGAGAAGTTTTGCTCGGGGAGCACAATGTGCTACCCAATTATTTTGAACAAAATCAGGTTTGCTATTTTTCTAATCCCTGTCTAAATTAGTTAATATCTCTGTTTATATTGTGCCCTATATGTTCAGTATCCTTTTTTCCAATTTATCATAAAATCTTCTGTATATCATTTCAGGCAGAAGCACTTGAATTAGATAAAACAGTACTGGAAACTGTAGCTGAAGTTGCAGAAGATTGGCGACTCGATGACATTAAGGGTCTCCTAGGCCGATATAATTTCAAGGCTGACATGCTTGACCGGCCAGTTTCCTTTCTAAGTGGTGGCGAAAAGGTAGATGCTGCTTGATATATTTAATTTTCTTGTTCATGTTTTAAATCTTCACTCTTCTTTTTGGTGCCTTTTCTAGATCTATCCATTACTCTCATGAATGTTGATGCTATTTAAGAATCTTTCCTTCCTTTCGATTATGTTCCGTGGTCCAGCTAGTCTCACTTTCCTTTATTACAGGCTCGGCTCGCCTTTTGCAAGTTCATGGTCAAACCTTCTACTCTTCTTGTTTTGGATGAGCCAACAAATCATTTGGACATCCCTACAAAAGAAATGCTTGAGGTTTGCCTAGGTCTTCCTCACATTTTTGTGATCCATTGCTGCCTCGATTTTCTCATGCTAATTTATTGTATTTTCCGGTGTAGGAGGCAATTAATGAGTATGAAGGCACGGTTATTACCGTTTCTCATGACAGATACTTCATAAAGAAGATAGTTAACAGAGTCTTGGAAGTTAGAGATGGGACCATACAGGATTATGCAGGAGACTACAATGTAAGTAAAAAGCCATTCCCATGGCTTTGATCTATGCCATCGATGTATGCTTAGTCTTTATCTATTGTGAAATTAGAAATTTTGATGGCACAATGGGTGTATGATTATCACAGTATTATCTGGAGAAAAATCTTGAAGCAAGAGAAAGGGAGCTCGAACGGGAGGCAGAGCTAGAGGAGAAGGCCCCAAAAGCAAAGGCCAAATCCAAGATGTCCAAGGTAAAAGAGATGTTTCAAGTTACACCAACTAATGTTGTTATTCGAGATCTTAAATATAACCTGAGCGTGCGATTTTTATACTTTGTTTAGGCGGAGAGGGAAGCTAGAAAGAAGCAAAAAATGCAAGCGTTTCAAGCTGCTAAGCAGAAATCAAAGGGATTGAAAAATGCCAAGAGATGGAAATGAGCTACCCCATCTAACAGTTTCACAAGCTTCTTGCTGCTGCTATACCGATTCACAGCAGATTAATCGGTAGCTTGTTTAGGCTACACTGTTTGTTTCTATGTACAGAACACAACAAAAATAGGTTACTTGTTTAGAAATGAATGATTTGAGATTGCAGCAAGCTGTATGTCAAAAGTGCTAGCTTATATTACCTCAGTTAATAAATTGAATTCGACAGCCTTAAATTACAAATAAAAGCATTTGCCTATATATTTCACATTCATGGCATTCCAATTGGGAGAGTAATTTTGAACTTTTCTTTGGCATAAGGTCACTCGCACTGAGCTATAACGGTCTCCTCGGCAATCATCCAGTCTTCGCCGTCCAATTTTCCTTCTTGTGATAAGCCTGTGCAACTCTGTAATAGAACAGAGAAGCCATCCAAATCAACACCATTGTATATAGATAGATGTGGTCCTAGCATGAGTTAATTTATGGTATAGAAAGAAGAAACTATAGCGACCAGGCAAGAAAAAGTGCCGCTAGTTTCTTCTTGTTCTGAAGTTTGAAAGATTGACATAAAATAAAATACTTATGTGCAATATACCATATTGCCATTTTCTCAATGATTCTGTGATTCAACTGTGGTTATGCTGCATATGTAGAACCTGATACTGATAATGCTTTTACCTTAGAGCAAGTGTAGATTAATAAAGTCATCCAATCGAATTTTTCTAAAGATTTCATTTGTCCTTTGTCAGCTATTTCCTGCAAGAAGTATATCACAGGCGGCATCAGCTGCATCTCATAATGCCTTGCTCCACCGCAAAGTGTGCATATCCCTGGATCTCCCACCTCCGCAGAAGCCAGTAAAGGTTTTCCACCATGTGAATATCTGGAAGCAAGAAAGGCACAATCGGTAATACTTACGTTGAATTCTATATACTTGAAAGCAGAAGACTCAGCTTTTTATAGGGGCATTTTACCTAAAGCATTGCTCTGGGTTTGCATCCATTCGCTTCTTGAACTTAAGATATGTCCTATCAGCATTTAATGCTCTATCGTATTCATAATTCTCTTCTTCATATGTTTCTCCATCTGAATTATCTTCAGAATTGCTCTTACATTCTTGGAGAGAGGACAAAGTGCCTTCAAAAGTTTTAGGAGTAACTTGTTTGGATAGTTTTTCTGCCTGAGAGTATATATAAAAGCACGGCATCACTGCAAAGACAACGGAAGAGTATAAAAACAATTTAAATCACATGGACATAAGTGCACATCATTTGTAAAAGACTGAAAAAGCAGAACCACAGTGTCAATGTGAGCTTTTGTATTTCGAAATGGCAGAAGCTTTAGAGGGAATTTTCACCAGCAGAAATCCTCACATGGAGCAGATTTGCTACATCCCAAAGCTTGAATTATGTGTATTCTAGAATCAGTTTTATGCTTTTATCCATTCCATATCCTATCATGTGATAATTTTGGAACCACAAATCTAACAACAGCTATAATATGCATATCTTACCATCTGACAACATGAGCTACAAAAGTAACCACAACACATTGTACCAGATTAACTCAATGAAAATTATCAACCTCAATCTTTGATCTTTACATCGAAAGAAGCTATAGCATATGGTTCTTGTATTATCATTTTTTCCCCTCCTTTTTGAGCTCAATTATGCTACATGGTATGGCATCCAATCAAAGATGTCTTAAAAGCAGAAGTTATGCATACCTGGTGTTTTATCATTAACAGATCTGGCTGGGTGACCGGTGAGCCGATGCTTTTTACTGGAGTCACCGTCATTATTTTGCATTTTTCCACTTGGACTGATATTTGCAGCCTGAGAAAATGCCATCTGCAACTGCTCCAGATCTATGTCGTCTTCGTCTTCACCTTCCATAGCATCTCCCTCTATAAAGCCAAATGAACATCCATCCTTCTCAGAGTTACTAATTGAAACAGTAGGACAATGCACTGTCTCATTGCTTAAAATCTTCTGAATTCTGAGAGCTCGCCAGCTGCACCCGTTAATGGCATGAGAAAGGCACAGTGATATCATAATAAAACTAAGTGAAAGAAATCATTTCAAAGAAAAGTTCGCCATCATCTCAATCTTTACATGTTAATTAGTAAAAATAGAACTTTTTAAAGAGTAAAGACAGAACACTTACCTAAGGCTCTGGCAATCTGGAACCAGACAGCAAAAAACATAGACAATTCGCTCTACCTCTGAAGATTTACTTGACAATGGAGCATATACCTCGAAAAGATTAAAGAAAAATATAAAGACAGAAAGGAAAGAATTTCGTTATTATTATTAATAAGCAAAAAGATCTAAACCTGTGCAAGGAGAGAAAGTTTGTTCCGGCAAGTATTACACTCAAGCAGATCTTGCCTCTCATTCACAATCATAGAAGGCCAATCCTAATCAATAAAAAAAGAATCCTCAGTTTGAGAAAAGCTGTCTTATAATTTAGATATGTAATTGGTATAATGAATCAAGCTGGCTGCATACAGGAAGGCCTCCAATTTTTGTCGTGTATATGTCCGCAGCTTCAAAATTACTGCCAGCCCATTTCCCTGGCATGCCTAAAATGATTCCATCCATAGTCTTTGGGGTTTATTAAGTTCCAAAAATTCAACAATCTGGGCTATAACAAATAGGATATTGGAATATAATGCAAAAACTAGGAACAATGGATTTGGTTAAGAACACACAGGAATGGCTAGTGAACATTTAAAAATTTTCAACACATTGTTATCTTCATCCATATCCAAAGTAATGAACAAAATAATTAGCTAGCCTTTGGTAAATGTGTTTCAGAAACTATAGGGGAATTAATTAGCACAGAAAATGTGATGATCTCACCAGTCCATTCTTATCTATAGACCAAATAAAATCTTAATAGTATTAAGTATTTTACACAACACATGCAAAAGCTCACCTTTATACCACTAACAGCATGTCAATGACGATTGCGCTCTCTGCAGGCTTGTTAAAAATCATCCAATTACAGTGAAAACTGCGAAGAAAAATGAAAATAATAAAAATTAATAAATAGATAAATATTCCATTGGCGCGATATAAAGTCATGCATGGATGCTGCAAAGCAAGCGATGAGTATAACCATGGCAACGCCAGATTCATCTACTGTAACACCACGAGTTCATGTAGGCACTGAAAAATCAGGCCAAAACAGAAACACAGATACAGAAAAAATAAACTAAAATTCAAGAACATTGAAAAACATTTACTGAATTTAACATAGAATTTATACCCAAATCTTCAAATTTGAGGTAATATCAAACTCAACAGGTGGCCAATAACATAAGTTATTATCACAGTTGCAGAAATTGAAGCAGAAAACTAGCACCCCAAAACCCTAATTAGCCAACTGCGAAGAAGGAGCCACCGACGACGCCGCTATTATTGTTATTATTATTTTTCAATTTTAAGGGAAGAAATAATGGGGAGTAAATAGGAAAAAAATATATATATTGAATTATTGATTATTTTTAGTGAACAAAATTTATATATTATATAACAATATATTAAAAACATATATTATATTTTTTATAATATTAATTAAAATTTATCAAATAATTAATCTGCTTTAATATTTCAAAATTCACTCTTTTATAATTTAAAGTTTCTATTTTTATAAACATGTCATATATATTTATTTTATCCAAAGTGTGAAGAACTGCTGATTTTTTTACTTAATTTAGTACAATACCTTTTTCTTTTCAGATGTGGTGTCCCATATAGATGAGAATTTAAAAAAATATATAATTAACAAATAATTAAAAATATATAATAATATATCACTTTCTTTTTAAAAAAAAATGATTACACACTTTAATCTCATTTTAAATTTTTTAATTTTATTTTTTTAAATTTTAATTAAGTTAATTAGTTATCTTAATCTTAATTTATAATAATTTATATTATAGGATAATTATTTTTATTAATATATTCTTAATTATCTACTAATTACACCCTCCTAAAATATCGTGTCTATAATGTAGCAGACACGGTATGTGAGACGGAGGGAGTATAATTTTATTGATTTATTTTATGACTTGTGAAATCACTATCTCATTTATTGATTATACTCCGTCAGTCCCATAACAAAGTATTATTTTTCCATTTTAGTCCGTTTCATAACAAAGTATTTTTTTTTTTTTTTACAGTAACTGTACTTTCTGTTTAACATTACAAATACCCTTACAACTTACAATATATTACACAAATATCATTACCTTTATATCACACATATTAATAAAGTTATTTTAGTCATTTATACTATATACTAATATAATAATAATATTTTTAAAATTACGTGCAAAAAGCAAATGAATACGTAGTTTGGGGATGAAGTGAAAATTATAAATGGCTTATGCAAACTTAAACTATTGATCAAACCAACACTCAACTTTTAATTAGAGAGATATATCAAAATCTCATCAAGAACCACTCAATAAAATAATGGGGATTTTAATTTCCCTCAAGATCCTTTCTAAAAATATAGAGTTATCACTTTCAAGATATAAAAAATTCTTTTTCATTTTTTTTGCTTTTCTCAAGGGATGTGACAAATAAAAGATAGTTCCAATAATTTTACCATTCACTTTCCAAATGTTGTAGCCAAAAAGCCCTTCAAAATAATATCAAACTTTCTCTCAAATACTCTATTCCTCTCCTATCTATATATCTATTTATTTTTTACACTGAGTTTTAAAAATATTAGAATAAAGTAAAAATAATGGTAAAAAAACTAAATTGACCCTATTAGTATTGTATGATATAAAAGTAACGACATTTGTGTAATATAAATTTGAAGGATATTTGTAATGTTATATAGATGATACAATTACTAAAAAAGAAATAGATACTTTGTTACGGGACTGACCAAAATAAAAAAATAAATAAATTATTAAGAGACGGACCAAAAAAAAAAATAGATGAATTATTAAGGGACGAAGAGAGTATAAAAAAAAATTCTCACAATTTTCTTTTTTTTTTTTTAATTCAAAGTAATTTTAATTCGGTATTGCAATAAAAAAATAAAAAAATAAAAAAAAATCACAACATTCAAAATGAACTAATGTGTGAGAACAAATAAGTATGTGAAAGATTGCATGGTTAGCCCATCATATTTCAACACTACAAAAAGTTTTGCGATCAATTAAATAATTAAATTAAATAACGATTACATATATCATGCACCAATATCCACCTTTCATTTAGTTGGATCAACTTTAACAACTGAGGGTGTGTTTGTTTTGTATTTTGGTTTGAAGAATTTTTTTTTAATGTAAAGTATAAAAAATTGTGTAGATAATATAAAAATAATGAATATTTGTAATATATTAATTTTTTTGAAAAAAAATAAGTTTGAAAAAATTCAAAAGACAATAATTATAAAAAGAATACACCCAAATTCTTAAAATACATTGGAAAACTATTGTTCAAGTGTATTCAAAGTTATTTTTTATTATTTTATGACATAATAATTAGAATTGGATTAATTTTTTCTTCTTCTTTTTTTTTTTTTTAATTTAGTTTGTTTGGAATTGTTTTACATTAATTTATATTCAATTTTTTTTTTTAATTCAAAATGTTTAAATATCAAAGTATAACTAAACAAACCATGGACTTTGTTGATTATAATCTCAATATTCTACATTAAAATTTTTAGTTTATTTACTTGTATTTTAATTATTCAACAATTAATTAATATCCTAGGTTACCTTCAAAAGTAGTAGTATCATATTAGATTAAAAAATAATTAAATTCTACCTAAAAATATTTGTGTAACCTTAAAATCTTAGGTATGTTTAGTTAATAATTCAAACTCAAATAATCCTATTCAACTTCAAATTAAAAAATACTATTTTCTATCAAACTCAAACTATAAAGGTACTAATACAAAATATAAATACAAACTCAAACTATACACATACTAACATCACATTACTATTTTATATTCAAAAAACCTAAATAAAAAATATTACCACCCTCCGGCTCCAAGAATTCATTTACCTTTTGCGTGTTGATCTTTGAATATTAGTTATTATATCAAAATATAGTACAAATTAAAAAAAAAAATTGTAAAAATACTTTCATTAATGTCTTATAATATTAATAAAATGATATTTTGACAAAAGATTATACACGCAAAAAAATAAATCTGACCATTAGATGCACAAATGAAGTATCAAATATATTTTCAACAATTAGATAAACACATTCACCCCTTTTCAAAAGCTATGAAAGATAAATTAGGAATATTAAAAACTGATCACGTTGAATTAAATTGATATACTCCCTCTGTCCCATAAATATAGTCTTAATTGGGTTGGACATGAAATTTAAGAAATATTGATATTACATCGGTAGTTGGTAAAAAGTATAGATAAAAGACTTTTTTGCCCTTGTGAGTGTATTAATGTAAAAAGTTGTGACAATTGTGTAATAAAAAGAAAAAAAATAGGAGTAGTTTTATGGTGACGTGGTTATTTATGGAAACAAGACTATTGTTTTGAGACGGATAAAAATGGTAAACAAGACTATTGCCTTGGAGCGGAGGAAGTGTATACACTATTATATTTTCTCAATATATTTAGATCTATTTTCCCTTTAACATAAATCGAAATTTGGTAATATGGTTGAACACACGTAATGCAAATATTAGAGGATTTGTCAGGTGCTAGGTACAACTAAATTCTAAAAATTTTACCAAAATTGTGTAAAATAAATTAAATAATATTTCCCTATCTATCCAAAATAAATCTAAATATATTAAATTAAATTAAATTAAATACTAAGTCAAATTAACATATATATTTACATACTGTTTGAGAATAGTTGGGTGATTTTTAACCAAACAACTACCAAACTCATCTTGGCAACCTGATTAAGCTTATAAGTTTTGAGAAAGGGACTTTTCAACTAATCCAATTTTTTTAGCTTTTGCGTAATCAACTTAAGAAAATAATCGGCTTATTATCCATACTATATGTTTTTTCCATGATAGTACTATTTCTTGCATAACTCACAAAAATCATTTATTTATAAAAACAAGTTGGATTTTGAGTGTTTTTTTCAACCATTATTACGCTAAATTATACTCCCTCTGTTATCAAATTGTGTGCTCATTTGATCGGACACGAATTTTAAGAAAAATATATAAGAATAAATTTTTTTTTTAAAGAAAAATGGTATTTTTTACTAAAAAAGAAAACGGTAATAAATTTGAATGATAACTTAAAAAAAATAATAATAATATATTTGAATGACGGATGGAGTAAGATTCAATAGGTGTTGATAGCACTTGATAAAGAGCAAACAATATTTTATATATATATATATTATATGTTAATATAATATAAATGTCGAACTCACAATATTTAAATTATAGTATATAAATTCGTACAATATATATTATCATTATCTACAAATATAATAAATCAGCATTATACTTTATTTGACTTGATCAATAAAGTGGTTAGATTATACTCCCTCCCTCACGGAAATTAGATAAAATATGATTAGTAAATAATTAAGAAATGTATTAATAAAAATAATTATTATATAGTAAAAATAATTATAGATTAAGATTAAGATAACTAAATAGTTTAATTAAGATTAAAATAATTATAAAATATAAAATTTAAAATGTAATTAAAGTTTATGACTGTATTTTTTAAAAAAATAATAAATTATGTGAGATGAACGAAAATAAAAAATATAGACAAATTATGTGAGACGGGAGAGTACATGTGTGTGTTTCTATAAAATCCATGTTAAATGTAATAATTTTGTATAGAGAATATTCATATAAATCAATTAGAATTGAATTGGATTAATATATAGCACATATATTTATTATCATTATTATTATGCTTCTAGTGTTCGTATGTGTTTTAATTATGATATAGAAAATTTAAAAATAATAATAATAATAATAAAACAGAAAAAAAAAAAAAAGAAAAAAAAGGAAGGTATTGAATGCTGAAATAATCATATTAATAATATAATTAAATAAGATAAATCAATATAAATAATAAGCATCAGCTTGAGTATTGAATTAAATGGATCAGAACTTAATTCATGGCAAAAATTAATAATAATAATAAAATTAAAAAGAACAAGCTTTTTATTAATGTTGCTAAAATTGTATATAATTTCAATTATTTAAAATTTTAATTCAATAATCGATGTTAAATATTTGTATAATAATTATAAAAATATATATATTTTTTATATACGTAATATAAAAAATACTTTCATTTACCGCTCCACCTTATGCAGTGATTCCTGTAAGCTCCGGGACCTCAAACTCCACATACCAAGCATCTACTAACTAAGGATCCATCGGCTGCCGAGGTCCACGGACCTGTCAAGAAAACACTCCACCAATACATTTCTTCCACTCCAAAGATCAGCAAGACTACAAATAGACCCTTCCAGTCCAGATTCAAGAACCAGAAATCGCAAAAATGGCGTCACTGACCTACTTAGAAATCGCGTTTGCACTCATCTGCGTTTTCTACATTTGGTGTTTCCGAAACATCAACGGGCTGCCCTGGAATTGGCCCCTCCTCGGAATGCTCCCCGCCCTGTTCTGCCACGTCCACCGCGTCCACGACCGCTGCGTCGACCTTTTCCGACTAACCGGCGGCACCTTCCACCTTAAAGGCCCCTGGTTCGCCTCCATGGACATCGTCGTCACCGGCGATCCGGCCAACGTCCACTTCATCATGAGCGCCAACTTCACAAACTTCCCCAAAGGCCCGGAGTTCAAGAAAATCTTCGACGTCCTCGGCGACGGAATATTCAACTCTGATTCCGAACTGTGGAGCCGCCACCGGAAAATCGCCCGCAGCCTGATCAGCCACGAGCAGTTCCGGCGTTTTCTGTTGTGGACGAGCCTCGAGAAAGTCGAACATGGCCTGGTACCCGTCCTGGAACATTTTTCTGCGGGCGATTTGATCGTCGACTTACAGGACGTTTTCCAGAGGTTCACTTTCGACACTACGTGTATGTTGGTGACAGGTTTCGATCCCGGATGCCTGTCGCCGGAATTGCCGGATGTTCCGTTCTCCCGTGCGATGGACGAAGCGGAGGAGGCGATCTTCATGCGCCATTGCCTGCCGGAAAGCCTGTGGAAGCTCGAGAGATGGCTTGGGATCGGGCACGAGAAGAAAATGAGCCGAGCTCGAGCCATCCTCGACGAGATCATAAACAAGTATATATCGAGAAAGCGAGAGGAATTGTCGAGGAAAGGCCGGACGCGGGAGCTCAGCTGTGCCGGAAAAAATGGCGTCGACCTATTGACGTCGTACATGGAAGGGGACGAGTCGTTCGACGACGAGTTCCTCCGCGACACGATACTTAACTTCATGATCGCTGGCCGCGACACGACCAGCTCGGCGCTGACGTGGTTCACATGGCTGGTCTCGACGCATCCGGAAGTGGAGAAAAAAATCCGGCAAGAGCTGGCCGGAGTCACGCCGGAGGAAAATGACAGGACGAGGAGGCCGAGGGTGTTCGGCTCCGACGAGGTCCGCGGCCTCGTCTACCTGCACGGCGCATTGTGCGAAACGCTCCGGCTGTACCCGCCGGTGCCGTTCCAGCACAAGGCGCCGGTCCAGGGAGTTGTGCTCCCGAGCGGACACTACGTAGACGCGAAGATGAAAGTGATGTTCTCGCTGTATGCAATGGGGAGGATGGAGTATATATGGGGGAAAGACGCCGGCGAGTTCAGGCCGGAGAGATGGATCACGGAGAGAGGAACGATTAAACACGAGCCATCGTATAAGTTCCTGGCGTTCAACGCCGGTCCCCGGACTTGCCTGGGGAAGGAGGTGGCGTTCACGCAGCTGAAGGCGGTGGCCGCCGCCATGCTGCATAATTACAAGGTGGAGCCGGCGGAGGGGCACCGCGCCACCCCTAATGTCTCCGTCATTCTCTACATGAAGAATGGATTCAAGGTTAAGATTTCCAGAAGATGATCGATCGATTGATGATGATTGATTGATGATCTTCATACCTAGAAGATGTAGACTGTGATTAAACAATGTGTGTGTGCTATAAGAATCTAAAATTGATATGAATTTGTTCGTTATTTTCGATCAGTGAAAATTGAAGAATTCTTTTATACCTGTTGCCCTTCTTCCCTATGAGCATTGCTACTGCCGCCGCCGCCTCCGCCGGATCGGCGCAGTGGCGCCGCCTGCTGTTCGAGAAGCTCCGCCGCATCACCGATTCGAAAAGCCTCAACCGTGGAAAGTCCGTCCACGCGCTTCTCATTAAGAGCGGCGACTTCCCCGGATGTGCTCTGCTTTCGACGACTCTCCTCAATTTCTACGCCAAATGCGACCTCTTCGCCGACGCCGGAGTTCTGTTCGAAGAAATTCCCGGCAAACAGGACGACGCCGTTTCGTGGAACATTCTGATCAACGCCTACGCTCAATTCGGCGTCCCTCGTTACTCGCTCTCCGCTCTGCGTCTCCTCAAGGAGCTTCTCCATCACCGCTGCTCCCCCAACTCCCACACGTTCGCCGGCGTCTTTTCCGCGGCGGCGATTTTGGAGGACGCGGTTGCGACGAGACAGGCGCATTCTCTGGCGGGGAAACTGATCGGATCTTGGGATGTGTTCGTGTACAGTTCATTGTTGAACGTTTACTGCAAGCTGGGACTTATGAACGATGGCCGCAAGGTGTTCGACGAAATGCCTGAAAGAAACTCCATCACTTGGTCCACCATGATCTCCGGCTACGCTTCACAGAGGCTGGTTAAAGAAGCATTGATCCTTTTCAAAAACATGTTATCTTCAGAACAACAAGAGGCTAATGAGTTCATCTTCACCAGTGTTCTTAGCTCATTTACGGCACCCGACTACGCTGATAACGGTCGACAAGTTCATTGCTTGGCGATAAAGAACGGATTGTCGAACATCGCTTCCGTAGGCAATGCAGTTGTCACAATGTACGCCAAATCCGGAAGCTTAAACGACTCGGCTCGGGTGTTCGAGCTCTCGAGCGACAAGAACGCCATCACGTGGTCTGCGATGATAACGGGGTACGCGCAGGCAGGTAATGCCGAAAAGGCGTTGAAATTGTTCGAGGAGATGCATTCTAACGGGATGAAGCCGAGCAAGTACACAATAGTCGGGGTGCTTAACGCTTGCAGCAACGCCGAAGAAATCGTAGTTGGAAAACAGGTGCACGCATTCTTGATCAAACTGGGATTCGAATCCCAGATGTATATTTTGACAGCGATGGTCGACATGTACGCCAAATGTGGATTAATCGTCGATGCTCAAAAGGGGTTTGACTATCTCTACAAGGCGGATCTCGTACTGTGGACATCCATGATCGGCGGATACGTGCGCAACGGCGACAATGAGAAAGCGATAACTCTATACTGCAGAATGCAGATCGAAGAGATCGCTCCGAACGAATTAACCATGGCGAGTTTGTTAAAAGCATGCTCGTGTCTTTCCGCGTTGGAGCTCGGGAGACAAATGCACGGCCATGTCGTAAAAAACGGGTTTAACCTCGAAGTTCCGGTAGGAAGCGCGCTGCTAACGATGTACGCGAAGTGTGGCAGCCTTGACGACGGGAACACGATTTTTAAGAAGATGCCGGCTAGAGATGTGGTGTCGTGGAACGCGATGATATCCGGGCTAGCTCAAAACAGTCGCGGAATCGAAGCACTTAATCTTTTCGAAGACATGGTGCACGAGGGCGTGCAGCCCGATTCCGTTACCTTCGTAAACGTTCTCTCGGCTTGTAGCCACATGGGACTTGTGGGTCGAGGTCGGGAGTATTTCGAACTGATGCCCGTCAAGTATGGTATAGCTCCGAGGCTGGAGCATTACGCTTGTATGGTCGATCTGCTCAGCCGGGCTGGGAAGCTCGACGAGGCGAAAAGATTTATTGAATCGGCGAGCGTCGATCATGGTCTGTGTTTGTGGCGGATTTTTTTGAGTGCTTGTAGGAACCATGGGAACTTTGAATTGGGTGCTTATGCAGGAGAGAAGCTTGTGGAACTGGAGTCGCGGGAATCGTCTGCGTATGTTCTTCTTTCGAGCATTTACACGGCGTTGGGGAGACTAGACGACGTCGAGAGAGTTAGGAGGATGATGAGTATGAGGGGGGTAAGTAAAGAGCCAGGGTGTAGCTGGATTGAGCTGAATAATCAGGTTCATGTGTTTGTTGTAGGGGATTTGTTGCACCCAGAGATCGGGATCATTCGCGAAGAGTTGTCGATGTTGAACGGGCAAATGAAGGAGGAGGAAGAGGAGGTTTTCGATCTGGAATGTGAATGATAACGAAGTTTTTTTTACATATATAACGTGAAAATCTGCAACAGCTAATGGACCCTGAGTGAATGAAAGTTTTGAATATTTTTGGTATAATATCAACTTCTGTTGTAGTATAGATATACAATTTTATGTTTCAAATTTAAATAGTTTTTATTTTAATGAAGTACATAAATAAAAATTTGATAACCAAAATTGTGAGAAGTAGATCACAATTAGTCTTCGAATCCATCTTCCAAATAGTGTAAAAAAAAAATTGTTATGATAAAATTAATGACTGTTTTGTGTATAAAATATGGTTCAGGCCTTTCTCTTCTTGTTTGATCTCGAGCTATGGTCGTTCTTGTTTCTCTTCTTTTCACTCTTCTCACTCTCGGCTGGTTTCCCGCGTTTCTCACTCCTCTCCCGATTCGACTTTACACTAATAAGACTGCCGGAGAGAGCCTTTGCACCGCTATTTCGCAAGGCATTTTCGAAATCAGCATCTTTATCTACGATGGCGTACTGTTGAAGGAGATCTGGATTAAGTGCACCATCTTCTTTCGAATTCATGTCATCCTGACGATAGGATCGAAACTAAGTTATTCCTCTTTTTTGTTGTAATGAGACGATGAAGAACAGTTTGGATAAATATTATGTTGAAACATTGCAAACCTGGACTTGCTTTGCTGCATCGGTCAGATCTTCCTCCACGGATACCGGATGTGGTTCCATTATAATCTGAAAAGCAAAGCAATCAAACAGAGGAACATAGAGCATAAAGTTGAGGTATAGTAGTGTTTCAAAAGTCGAGTTACATCTTTTAGTCGGGAATTGGTGGGCTGAGTCCCTTGGGTTGCGAGGGCGCTAATGAATTTGTGAAACTTCGTCATGATTTTGATGTATAAACCCAGTATCTGTACTCTTTCCAGATCCATCTCTCCCTAAAGAAGGCATACACAACAGAAAATGTTAAGAGTACATATCCAATTAATAAATTAGGAAATGAAATTAGCCTAATCCGGAAAACTTTCATCTAAGAAAATAGAAGATAGAAAAGTCTTTTTATCGCACGATCCCTTGCTAATACCATAACTGTTAACATCATTTGCACCATCCTTACAACTTCAATTTTCTTGAAATATTTTATTTCAATATTCACTAAAATCCAAATTTGCTCATATGTTGTAATCTTTAAGTATCCACCGCACATACAAGCTTCTAGAAATCATTTGCAAATGCTTTGTGTGTGTGTGTATATATATATCACACTGCAAAGATATACCAATCAAGAAATAGGGGAAATCAGTACCTCGACGTAGGATACATCTTTATCTTGCAAACCAATACAGAGCAAAATAGAAGTCTGGGCCAACGACAATGTAACTGGAATTTTCTCCCAAAAGTATGCAAGAGCAAGATCACACTTCAAATACTTAATCTGCATTGTGTGAATTAATAACCGATCACCTTATAGCCCACAAGGCAGGGTATGCTAAAGAAGAGAAGTCTATTAATAACTGTGAAAATAGAACTAAAATAGATATGCATTCAGAAGAAAAACAACCAGATGGAGGGTCATAGGTGGGTGGCAACTGAAAACCAAATTATTTTGAAATGAATATTTGTTTCTCAATACTTCTGTTGGTTGGGTATACTCGATTTAAATTTTAATTTAAATTAATTCTACAATGTCTCTTGCCACTCATCACCAATTCAAAGCCGTCTACTCCTACTCGCTTTAGAAATTCCAAAATTATCTGTTCTATCTATTGCATCCCGTATAAACCAATCTAAATTATATTCTACATCGTATTACACTGTTTGAACTTCATCTTTGCCTCATTTATTTTCCAATAATTTTATTGAATAAAGTGTCATATAAACATAGCATTTGAACAATATGGCAAATTTTTCAATGTCTAAAAGAAAGTTCTTGCAGAATCTTACAGTGTGATAATCTGCACCATTCTTTACGTATGCTTCAAGATCTTGCATACCATCTGAATCCAACATTTCACTTATAGATTTTAAGTGTTCATCGGAGGATGGCACGGAAAGATCCATATTTGAGAAGTTGATTTTTGGATCCAATATACTGCAAATACAAGGGGCGTCAAAATATTTGAAAAAGAACTCCAGAATTAGAAAAACCAATAACAACAATACCTCATGGCAAGCTTGTAATCCATTCGACGAAAATCACAGGGCAAAAGTTTCGAGAACCTCTTCCTGAACACTGAAAACATTATGTAAAAAATAAATCTACAGTTCAATATACAGCTCTTTCAATGAAGCCAACAAAACTGAAATTCTATAAACCTTGATAGAAAGGTCGGAAAAATCCCAACTCATCCGATCCATTGGACTCAGTATCATCGTTATTTAGTGGCTTCAGGACCATACAAGTGTGTTCCCCGGTGACATTGTTCTGATTTTCATCATAATAAATTAGATAAGCCCATTCATAAACACATTGTCAGCAAAAAAATAACAATGTTAGAATAATTAGATTGATACAGGAATAGGGCTGATGAAGAATGGTGCAAATTTAAGCTTCCTCCAAAACCGGAAAAGATCAAGAGTAAGCCCAAAAGAAACTCCAACGTAGTGGAGTTTTTCTGGTCTCCGTTCACGAAGTGGTACAAGCAGCGGAGGAAGATCAGTCCGCGGCTTTATATTTTCTTCTAACAAAGAAGCCTGCATCAGTTTAGATCTTTAGAACTTCACTACAAAAAAGGAAAAGGACAACCATGACAAGTGCCAGGTACAAGGAATTTATCAATTAAATTCGTTGTTATTTTATTAGTTGAGAAGAAACAGGTTTACAACAGCGCCTGTGCAACAATTGTCACAATTCCATTAGTTTAGAAAACAGTTTTCAAGTCGACAAAGAGTCCTTTCAATGATTGCATGTCCATGATAAGCTCAAGTTCCATCATCGTACAATGTCAACACAGATTTTGACAAATTGACAGCCAGCTGAAAAAGATTTAAATTATCATATTCAATGTAAATAAGGAAGCATTTTTTTCACATGTGATGGGGGTAAGAAAATACAGACAGAAAAAGAGCTAAAATCCAGAAAGGCAACACAGAAGATATACAGCAATGGGGGGAAAGGTGTAAAATGGACCTTCTCTGCAGCCTCTGTGACTCTAACTGGAGAATTCTCTGGAAATTCTTCATCATCCAACTCAGAGATTGGTGTTAATTGACCCTCAAAGTACCTAGAAGGAATAACCACTCAATGTCATATACCTGAAGAACTTCATCTACTTGTAATTGTCATAGTATGATAAATTTGTATTCTCAAACAAGAGGTAGAAAAGTTAGAGAGGCTTTCCAATTGCCACCCAAAAACTTGCAACCTACAGGCTAAAAATCTTCCTATATTGAAAATCTTCTTTGATTATATGGATTTGTAAAGCAAAGTAAATGGAGAAAGGAAATATAATAATTGAAATTAGAATCCCATCAGTCACCAGTGGGTAATGGAGTCAAGAAGAAAAGGACAGAAGAGTTAGAAAAAATAAAAATAGCAACAAACTGGAAAAATGAACAAAGCAACCCTTCAAAATAAATAAGCATACCTTGACAAAAGCTCGACAGCAACTGAACCATAGCCAAGCTGCAATATTCAGAAATTACTGAGTGAAGTGACGGAATGAATACACACATACTCCAAAACGATCATGCAAAAAATTACCCTCATTGCATTTGGATGGGTAGCAATGCGCACAATGCGAGCACCTGATAGACTTGGGAAAACTGGATCCTTGAACACCTCACAAAATTTCCAAGGTATTTGATCCCCAGAGGGCTGACGACCGTTCCTTAAACTCTCGGTTGCAGATTCACGAGAAATTTGTCCCTCAAAAGATATCTGTACATATGTACGTGCAAAGATATTGTGATCGGTATGATTGAAGATGATGGAAGCTTTGTTAAAATGGTCAATTTAAATTTCTTACAATGCATAAGATTTATGTAAACAAAAAATTGTTTGTTATTTGAGACAGCCAAATAAAGAAATCTATTTACTTAAGGGAAGACTGTGTTTATCTGGAATGGAGAACACAAAAAGAAGGCTATTTATGTGGCGCACATATAAGGTTACAAACAGGTAAAGGAAAAGCAAATTAAATTGGAGCATTGTGATTGTTTAAAAAAAAATATATATATTAAAAATGAAACATTACAAGATACCTGGATGACACAGAGAATATCAGGAAGGTGGTTTTTGGACTCATCAACAGGTCCTGTCAAAAAATGAATCAGCATTCCACTGGCAGGAAGTCAGGTAGATGAAACTAGTATAATGGAGCTCATATATACCAAGTAGCACAAACAAATGGTGAGCTGGTGCATCAGCCATCAATTGCAGATCGTTTGGAGAGTTCTTGTAGTGAGAAGCAACGTAGAGAGCCATCATCCTCTGTATATAAAGCATTCAAAATGGCATTATAGACATAATTAAACCAAAATACAAATAGAGATTAAGCCAAGGACAAGTTAAAACTCAAACCACACTCACAAAAACCAATTCATCTATGCATACCTGCAAAAATAATTCACTGTCCTTGTGATAGGAGAAAAGGGTATCTTTATTGACATAGTAGAGATCACACTCATTGGGTGGCGGTAACCTGTTAAAGAAAACAAATATTTACTCAAAGAAATATATATTATATCAGTTATTTCTTAACCAGACACTTCTACATTATTACCTGGTAATGCCAGGGATGGAACTTGTAACATCCAGACACAACAAACCATGAAGCCAGGATTCAATGGGATCACCAGAAGCATATCTAATGGACTCATTCAATTCAATTTTTTTGAAGAGCGAGCCTGCCATAGAAATTCATTGACAAAACAAAATTTACTAAAGAAAAACTTTTACCATAAATAAAAGCATGCCGTTCCATCAAAACTCATATGTCATATTTCCTATTGGAAACAATAAGTTTACAGTTGATAGACTACGTAAATTTCCAAGTAAGCACCATGGGCATAAAGTTAAATTCAGTAATACCAAATGTTTCGAAAAACAGCCCAACCCTGCCATTTAACTGGTTAGTAATAAAGAATAGTTGAAATAAGATAACCTAAGAGTGCAGGATGAATGAGACTTGTGATACTTTTTTAATTATAAAAGCAGAATACGTCAATAGATCTTATTTCATTAGAACAAATAAAACTAATTATTCTTCAGCCATTACCTCAATAAAACAGAATATAAATAGTGCACATGCTATCACATTTTGTCTTTGTGAGAGCTGTTTAAAGAGGTAAAACCAGTCAAACCAGTAACTACACTAGTTTATTTGCTTATTGAGTTTCCGTAAGTATGCATGACTCATAAGTGATTACTCATCAACTATCTACTTTCCACTCTTTCTGCAATTTATTCTGGACAAAGTTAAACATTCTCGCTGGTAGATTTTAATCATAACCATAGATAACTGGTAACTCAGAGCAGTTATTCAAATCCAAAAAAGTTTTAGCATAACAAAGTGACACTCAAATCAAGTACAGAATTATATGGAAACCCCTGCAGACATGAGAAATCAGAGCACAGAAATGAAATTACATAAGAAAATGAGAGAAGTAAATTAAGTGTTGGGACGGGGGAGAGAACTATACCTGAGTCAACTTTCTTAGTGCTTCTACTTGATAGCTGATTTTTCTCCTCAAGTTGCTGAAGGAGTTTCAAAGATAAAGACCTTCCTGTACCTTCATAGCTGAAACCAAAAAAAAAAGGTAAAATGTACAAATAATCATCTTTTGCTGAGACTAAATTTAAATATAAAAAATAATTGAAGAGAGGATTCAGGGCAGATGTGGCCCTTCACAGAAGTTAAGATTTAAAGCTAGTGCAAGATATAATTTTTAGAGGAAAAAGGTAGCATAAGAATATCTTGTACCCATTCACAGTAGATGAAAGGAATACTAGATAGGGACCAAGTAAGGACTTCACAACTGGTAATGGTATAGCTGCAGCTTCATCAACAACCAGCAATTCAACTTGGGAGAGCTTTTCATGTTCATGTGGCTGTATATACTGCAAACATATCAGGGAAAACGGTCACCTACCTCATACTGTTACTGAAACTTAAATGCAACAGTACTGCAGTCGAGAAAACAGATCGCAGCAGGTCCATAGCTGCTTAATATTCTTCCCTTAGAGCAGCAATGCAGCAATTACCTTTTTTTATCCCTCAAACAAAAGCGTCCACAAGGGATTAGATGTACATTTTTAATGAAAATGGCGACCAGTTTTCAAATGATGGCTGAAAACTATATGGCCGATACAATTTGATCATAATAAAGAGAATTTACTTTCTATTCCCGACTTTACTTACTTGAACAGTCTGTCTGTGCTGTTTGTAAACATTTATCCGGACAATTGCTCTCTTGAATTCAGGGTTTGTGCTCTCCACCTTGTCATAGTGCAAGTGCTCCTACATGGACACTAAAAGTTTCAGATTTATGTTATAAATTTTACATGATGCATATTGCTTTGCATGTAATCTCCATAGCATGCACTCAAAATATAAAACTACTTTAGAATATAGGAATACAAAAGCATCTGCTTTCAGACAATAACCAGCTGAGAGCGAAGTTGTTCTGCAAACAGAAAACCATTTTGACTATTGGAAGACAAATAGCAAATACAGTGTAACAGGAAAAACACATATGGATGCAACAGGTAAACCACATACCTTGTACTCAAGCATTTCAAATCCCTTGCATATGAATTCAAACAGAGTTTTCAGATTTTCTGGGCTAGGTGCAGTCACAAAAATATTGGAATATCTGGGAAGCAAGTTTGTTCTCAGTTAGCATAGTCAGGTCTAGGAAAAGGCCTGCAAAGAAATGAGGGAAAAGGCAGAACTCTAATTTTTTTTATTAATCTCACAATACCCTGCTGCAACAGCACCGGAAATTGCTAGACCAAGAGCAGCCGACTTTCCTCGGCCACGAGCAGCAAGCAAAGCAACTGTACCTCGAAGACTCTTGTCCAAGATTGCATCAAGGAATTCAATTAATGCTTTCCCCTGTTTGAAAATTCATATTAAGAATCAAACCAAAAAGTTATTAGTCGATTCCTCTAACGAATAAATCATTACCTGGTCCATTGTGCGGCACTTTCTAATTAGAGGTCCAACAGGAAAGTCATCATCATGTTGCTCTTTTAAATTAGCCAATTCCCTTTCAGCTTCTGAAAGCCCCTCTGAATCCTTTTAAAAAATATATTATAATAACAGTAAAATTAGCAGAACATATGTCTAGTTCAGTATATCAATTGCTTTCTCACTAAATTTGCCCTCCAGTATTTAAAATAAATCCTAGATAATGAAATATTTGCATTTTGTGTCTAAAAATGATTGGAATCAGAATGTTTAATAAATGAAGGCTAATGCAGTTCCCAACTGAAAAATCTCAGGATGAGCCAGAAACTAATAAATTTACCTCTCTAACAGGAATTGGGGTAATTGATTTCATATGAGAAGAAACGGGAAGAATATTGAGCTCATCATCCATGACAATGCAAGCTTTGCATGAAGCAAGTGAAAGCAAAAAACGCTCATTGAAGCGCCCAGCAGGACGAGAATGTGATTCTGTACGGAATCTCTCATGAACATCCTGAGATCAATGAAGTCTACAAATTGTTAACAATATATAAGCAGGAGAAGACAATAAATCACACTTTTATCCATGAAAAAAAAAAAAGTCTTTTCAGTTGCATGTAACTTCTATACTTAACCCCTTCTATAATTTCTTGGGTCAAAGAATTATTTATTTGTGAAAATAAATAAAAATATTTTGGGGAAAAATAAGTTATCATACCATAACCATGGTGTAGAGACTAGTGAGTGAGGAAAGAGAGCGAAGCAACAATATTATTATGCCACCACCTTCAACAGTCTCAATAGTCCTTGCTAGGAGATTTGGAGTCAAAGCTTCAAAGTCCTTTTGTCAGACAAACATCAAAGTTGATGCAGATAAAAGAGAATCAGTTGCTTGTATTTAAATTATGAATGTCCTACTAATTGAAGGTTATTAAAGGTTTGCATCGTACCTGTAATATACACATGCCGAACGTGTTACCAAGAACTCTCTCTGAATCTCTATATAAGCAATAAGTTATTCCAGCAGTTTCAACAAAAAGTGAGAAAGGATCAACTTTCTCAGGATCCAAAAGCCCCCTCTGCATGAGCTTCTTTACTTGCTTGGCTCGCTTTTTTTTATGACTAAGTACCAAATAACAAGAATGAAATTAAACAAGATGCCTTGCAACTAAAAGGCAATTATATGATGATTCAAAATCTGTATAAAGAACCGGACTCAGCCCATTTTAATCCCTGTTTAGATGAATATCTTTTACTATTTCGTTAAGAAATTATCTCAATAGTACGAAGTTTGCTTTGTCCAAAATACACTATTATGCCACATGCCAAGTTCATCACAGCAATAACATGCTACCCCAACCCAACTGTCTGGTACAAACCAAAAGCAAAACTCATAAAAGGATTTTAATAGCATCTCGCATCAAACAATCAATGTCACGTAAGTGCTTAGTTCATAAAATAACAAAAGGTTTACACTTTAGCAGAGAGATAAAGAAAATGAACCTGCTAAGCGTCAATTTGTCCTTGTAACACCACAACACAGTCGGCCTCGCTTTGGTGACCGATTTGCTCAACATATAGTGCAAATTAACTATCTGTTGGTTTGGCGTTACAAGAAACGAAAACAAGAGATTAATGGAGACATATATGCATTATATCCGTGCGTGTGGATTATTGCATCTTGTTCATATTCAAATACCTGATCGAGGGACTTGTCACCAACTATGACGAACATAGAACGATGGCGGGCTTTGACCCCATTCTCAATAAGAGTTCTGATACGTTGGTCCACCTTCTTCCTCATCTTCTTTTTTCCCCTTCAATGCCCAATTTCTCAACTTGCGATACCAAAGCGACGCTGAACGGAATAACAACCTAGGTGAAATGGAAGTAAATGGGATTTCAGCGCACTTCCTCTTCGAATCGACAGTTGCAGGCTGAGGAGAGAGCGAAGCGGGAGAAGAGGGGTAGAAGCTTTGGCCTTTGGGTTTAGGGTTTTGTAAAACCCGAAATCGGTCGGCATTTGATTGGATTTTTTTATATTTTTATAATTTTATTAAATTATTATGAATTTATATAAATTAAAATTTATAAATATACCATATTTATAATTAAAATTAAAATTAATAAATACTATATATTTTTAAAAAATATTATTTTATTATTTATATTTATTTTATTCAAAAATAATCATGTATCAGCACATATACATACTTTTATTACTGCAAAATTCTATCGTAAGATATATATAATACCAATATTTTGTGAGTATATTAATATTTTTAATTTCATAATTTTTATTATATTATCAATTTATTTTTATATTTTTATTATATTTTATTTTTTTATTTACATAATTAACATAAAAATAAATATAAAAACAAATTAAATATAGAATTTTCAATTTTTGAAAAAAATAAAATAAAATAATATAAATAAATATAAACTAAATGTTCAACAAAAAAAAAATATAGGTTTATTACATTTTCATTATAATGACAATATAATTTGTCTTTATAATTAAAAAAATAAAATAATAATACATATTTATTACAATAATAATATATTTTTTAATTATTATATTTATAATTTAAAATTGTACATTGATTAACTTCTTACTTTATGGTTAAGATTTTATATTATTTTTTTTCTCCAAAGAAATTCATTATAATATTTTCTAAATATATTAATTATAATATTTATATTTTTCATTTTAATTAGATTTTGTACTGATGATTAATATATTTATTTTTATTGAAATTTTATTTTTTTCTAATATATATATATATATATGATATTAATTAAATTTAGAAAAAAAATTTAATGTTTACATACATATTTTTTTATAAAATAATAATAATTTGCTAGTATATTTTAGCTTTAAATTATTACTTTATTTTTTTTGTTAAAAATTATAATAGATATTATTATATCATTTATCACTTATATAATAATAATTTTAAAAATTCATAAAATTATCTTCCTATAAAGAGAAATTTTATACTATATAATTTTTTATTTTTATTTTATTAAAATCCAATAAAATTTATAAATTTTTAAAGTTATAAATTGTTGACTACTTTGGAATTTAAAAAAATAAAATAAAATAAAATCTAAATTAATTACCTTCAAATTTAAAAAGAAAAAAATTAAAAATTTAAATGAAATGCACTCAAAATTGAAAAAATCTAACAAAATCATACTTAATCGAATAAGCTCCTGTTGATTGAACTCCCGAAATGTGCTACGGACCAAATTCAAATTGTCTATCGGGTCGGTCTGAACCGTACCATATTTCAGTTTACGGGTCAGGATCTGGGCCTTTATATAGGCCCAGCCGCACCACTTACATGAGCCCAGCCCGTTATTTTTTTCCCATTCAAACTTTTTTAAAGATTAAAAAAAAAAAACATTAAAAATTTATTTCATCTTATTTATTTTTCAAAAGAATTTACACTAAAATTTACTTATACTTATTTATTTATACTATCTCTTCAATAATAAATAAATAATATATATTTAAAGTATTTATATTTTATTTGTTGAATATATATAACTTATAATCACCATATGGACCCAAAAGTTGTATTCCATGGTCTCAAATATCAAATATTTTATATAAAAAATATTCTCTCAAATAATTTTACAAAATAAACAACCCTCATTACTCATTCAATGGTAATATTATTACTATTTTGGGCAATATCAACAATTATCATTTAAACATTATATTCATTTAATATCTATTTACAATGAAAATGAAAATACAGTACAGTATCGAAGCATTCTACCACCCTTTAAGCTTTAAATTAATCTAACAATATATATATTGTAAACAAATATTACTATTTTTATTATATATTATTTATTTTAATTTTTTATCTAAAATTTTAAAAAACCTTCAATTATTTTTATTTTTTATATTTTGTATCGATCCAAGTAAATTAATTTTACTGGATCCGTATGTGAATTAAAATTCCTAAATGTCAAACTTTAATGGTGTTATATTTATATATATACTCCATTCGTTCCAAGTGACGTAATTTTTTAAATATTAGTATTATAATTAATTGTAGTGAAAAGGACAAAAATATTCCTATTAGTATTGTGTAATATGAGACTGAGGAAGTATATAAAAAAAAGACCGTGAGTGTTCATAACAAAAATAGGAATGGCCCATGCCAATCAAAGGTGAGCCCACAATGCACGTGGGCGAGTTCAGCCTTTTATGCCAAGCTCAAAGTATTGCAATAATTCTCCTTTCACATCTTTAAGAGTCGACCTCAGTATGTCTTTCAATTTATTTAATTTTTAATACTCTTCATTCAAATCATGTAATGTATAATAATTTTGTCACTTTTATCTGTTTAATTTTAACATATATACAATTACATATGTTTAGTATAGTTTTTTTTTTTTTTTTTTTTTACTTTAATAAAAAAAAATACTTTTATATTTATTATCTAATGATATTATATATATTTTATTAAAATATAATCATTAAAATAATTATTTACATATTTAAAATTTTTTTATTTTATATATATTACATCATAAATAAAATGTTAATTAATTAAATAAATTACTTTCAACCTAAAAAACTCAACTGCTAACCGTTGAGAAATAGTTTTGTGGAAATCTTATATATGGCTAAAATCGAAAATACAAAATCAAATTCATGCGAAATTAAATTCGAGCCTCGTGTAGCACGCAATTTCCTTGAAGCGAATTCGACCCTCCACCGATCGCCTCTCAAGATAGAACGAATTGTGAACGGAATAACAGATTCCGCAAACCGAATTAGAATCGAAGAACAATTTTCAGAATGAATTTTTGAAATTGATATTCCGTCTTCCAGTGAAAAATGAAGGAAAATATAATATATATTATATTTTTTTATTTTATTTTGTATATAATAACGTGTAGAAAAAAAAATTGCCCAAGTTCTACTGCACCATTGAGTTACAACAAACTATTTATTTGATTATTTATTTATTTATTTTTCAAATAAAATAAATTAATCAAATAAAATGTTGGACAAATAATTTATCTGTCTTTCACCTGTTTAATTAAATACCCAACACTAATCACACTAATTTTTTTACTGTATCAAAAAATTTCAAAGCTCATAAACTTCTACCTAAACAAACATTACTCGTAAAATGTTTTTACGTTCTAAATCTTTTCGAATAAACGCGCAACAACAACAAAAATAACAGCGCGTCATAAACATCACACAAAGTTGTGAGGCATAAACAAAATCGAGCCGATCCGGGCCGGGCCGGGCCGGGGAAACAAGACAAGATCCAATGCAGCTGGCAACTACTTTGGGAGATCAGCATTCATCTTATCTGCTCAATTCAATTAGGCGTTGGAGGCGTAGCAGTGATCTCAAGCCCCCACCCCCACCCCCACTCCCACTCCCACCCCCACCCCCAATTATTATTACATCGGACATAGTTTCGATATTTGCAAATATGTATATAATTGATATTATAGTCGAATTGAACAAATATTCAAAATTGTGAATGAAAATATTTGTAAATAATTCGAATCGAATCGAAAATAAAAAAATATATTAGAATTTTAATTTAAAAAAAGTATGTGTAAATATTTCAAAATATCCAAACCGAACCCGAACTGAATATTATTATTAATATAAATTTTAAAATATAATAATATACCGAATAAAAAAATATATTAAAAAATCGAAAACCGAATCAAAACAAATATCAAATGTACAGTATTTGTATTCGAATCGAATTTGCTCGATTAACCGAATATTCGATTTGGTATAACGGTTCGACGATTCAGTTCATTTTTTCTATCCACACCCTATCGCTCGGAGCCCGGTCCAGCCCGGCCCGACACATCCGCTGATATTTTCTCCTCTTCTTCCCTCTGAGTGTGTGACGACGAACAAACAAAATTATAGAGAGAGACAATGTGTTGGAGAGAGAGGGAGGAGGGTGCGACATACGGGCCCTCCTCCCCCGAACACATCCAACGGCTGCATTGTCATGGCCTTAAACCCGTCCGTCCACACTTTTTATTACTTACAAAAATATCAACGGATTATTCATTTCATTACAATCAAGTTTTAGTTTTCCAGGATCGATGATCATTTGTTGTTGAACAATTTAATTGGACATGGAATAGTTAGATGGTCGCCCGACCCAATAATCAATATGTATCGAACTTTCGTTCTCGTCCAAACTTAAATATCTTCTTAATTTAATTATATATATTATTATAATTAAAATAATAAAAGAAAAAAATTAATAAAAGAAAGACGATATAGATGTATTAATTATTGAGTGTAATTTTCATCGTTTGTCATAATAGGAGAGAATGATTATACACAATTTAGTCACGAGTAAAGAAATATTACAACACATTAAAATGGAAAAAAAAAATAAAAAAATAAAAACGTGTCTGTTCATAAATGAATGCAAACAACAGTCACATTTTCGATTTGAAACACAAAATTCATATCAAAATATTTGAATGAGTCATTAGATTATTCTGAAATCAAAATCATACTAATTTATTTAAAGACACTCTCACAATTAAATTTATTATTCACCTACATTGATTAAATCATTTTTTTAAAAAAATATTAAAATTTAATTAAAACAAAGAACACATAAACACATGGAATTAAAAGGAATTGATAATGTAGGGACGATTATAGACATGTTGTCTGGTAGTAGAGCATTACACGTGCGCGTGGACACGCACACACACACAAAACTCCAATCTCAATTAATTCTGTGTTGCCCAGCCCCACCCCACCCCACCCCATCACTAGCCACTAATAATACATATATGCTTCGTCAAATTGAACCACCCCCCAGCCCCACCCACACTGCCTTCAAAACTAAATACTCTTCTTCCTGACATTGATTGATAATTGATTGGATTGATCCAACATGAATTTTAAAAAAAATAAATAAAAAATAATTTTTCTTTTTATAAAAAAAAAATAGAAAAAATAATATTTTGTTACGGAAAAAAAATATGAATAAATTTGGATGACAATAAAAATAATAATAATAAATTTAAATGACGGATGAAGTAATATTTATTTTAAAAAAGTATTATATTAAATACATATATATTTTTATAAAATACCAAATCAAAATTTAATTTTTTTACTTTTAAAAATTCTAATGTTTTTTTCTAAACGGAATTTTTTCATTCAAATAACTTTTTTGAAAAAAAATAATATAATAAAAGAAATTTAATATTTGATATGATATAAATAGCTGAGATCGTACGGTGCTGATTCGATGATCCATGCATGCTTCAATGTATACACTACGTACAAGGAATTATTAATCGAAACCCAGAAGAACAAACCCTCAATCAAATCCATGCATGCTTCAATGTCCCCTCCCAAAACCCTTCCGCAAATTCACGTACGAGGATCCATGCATAAGCATTAATGCATGTTTCTTACACTGTAATCCCCCTTCCCCTCTATATATGTATGTACAGGCAAAATGCAGTAGCCATTGAGTCTTCTTGAACATATATTTCTAGCTACAACAAAATTAAAGAATAATACATCACATACATAATGCTGCTGAATTCTTCCCGGAATAACCTTCTCTACCGGCCGCCGGCGGCGGTCTCGTTGCCTTCGTCGATCCTCGTTTCGATTCCATTGGGCGCGTCGCAAAGACCCGTGTCCTCGTGAAGCGCCGCGGAGGATGTTGAATCAATCCCCGACCTGGTGGCCTGAATTTCGCGGAACATATCGAGCACTTGGCTCATCGTGGGTCGCTTCCATGGGCGATCGTCGAGGCAGGCGCACGCGATCTTCAAGTACTGCAGAAGCTCGAGCTCCAACCCGGGATCGTCTTTCCTGAACGTAGGATCGAAGACGTCGCTCACTTTCATCTGCCCACGCTGCTTGACCCACCCGACGAGATTATTATCCCCGAAATCACTCGAATCTGTCGGCTGTCTCCCCGTGAGCAGCTCGAGGAGGACTACCCCGTAGCTATAGACGTCGCCTCTCGTCGAGCATTTGAAGCTCTGGTAGTACTCAGGAGGGACGTATCCCGGAGTCCCGGCCAACGTGCTCACGCTCAAATGTGTGTCCATCGCGCTCATCAGTCGAGCCATTCCGAAATCAGAGACTCGAGACTCCAATTTGTCGTCGAGCAGGACGTTGCTCGACTTCATGTCGCGGTGGATGATATGCGGAATGCAGCCGTGGTGCAGGAAATTCAGCCCTCTCGCTGCTCCGATGGCAATTCTCCGTCGCGCGGGCCAGTCGAGCTTGATCCCGGCTTTCTTCCTGTTGTGCAGGACATCGTCAAGGCTCCCGTACTTCATGTATTCGTACACTAAAAGTCGTTCCTCGCCAACCTTGCAGTAGCCTAAAAGCGGCACAAGGTTGTGGTGTTTGATCTTCCCGATCGTTTGCATTTCGGCGGTGAATTCCCGATCGCCCTGGCCGCTGATATGTATCAGCTTCTTGATCGCGACGACGCTCCCGTCTTTCAGCTGGGCCTTGTACACGTCGCCGAACCCGCCAGAGCCTATCACGCTGTCGTGGTGGAATCCGTTCGTCGCTTCGAGAAGATCCGCGAAACAGAGCTTCTTGAGAGGCTTTTCGAACGTCGTTAGGTTGATGCTCAACTTCCACGGGCTGGGCGCCGTGTTCGAGTCGTGATCCCGATACGGATCGAGAGACACCTCTCGTTTCTTCCTACGCTTCCTCATCTCGATGGCCAAAACGATCAATCCGAAAATGCAGAAGAACGAGAGTAGCAAACCCATGGCTACACTCCCGGCGAGGGAAGTTTGTCGCCGGTTCGATCTCTGATGCAGCAGGTCGGTTTCCGGGCGCGATCCCGAGCCACAGCGCGGGAGGGGTAACCCGCAGAGTCCGGAATTGTTCGCGAACCGATATTCTGGGATCGTGTCGAACGGAGCCACCGGAGGGATCATTCCGGAGAGATTGTTGTTCGACAAGTCGAGCTCGCCGAACGTGAGCTTGACCTGCGGAATCGTCCCGTTAAGCCTGTTATACGACAAGTCGAGTATCGCGAGGTTCTTCAACCCTCCGAGCTCTTGCGGGATCGGGCCGGAGAGATCGTTGTGCGCCAAACTCAGCACAAACAAATAGTACATCGATCCGATCTCCTTCGGCATTACGCCCTCCAACTTATTGTACGAAAGATCGAGAAAAAGCATCGACCCGTTGTGGTTAAACGTCGGCTGAATGGTGCCGTGGTACACTCGGGTGAGCTTACACGGATACCTCGACAAAACTCGATCGAGCTGCTCCCGACGGATACCTTCGAATTCGAGCAAATTCCCAGCTCCATGACACTCCTTGGTTCCATCATTCTTAATCTCTGCATAACTCTTCCCTGTCAGCAATTCGACGGCAATGTTGCCGGATTGCTTGAACAGAGCCGGAGGGATGATCCCGTCGAGGAGATTCGTATTCAGGTCCAACCAAATCAATCTCCGGCAATCCCCTAGCTCCGGCGGGATGCTCCCCGACAGTGAATTGTTCCCAAGCTTAAGGATCGCGAGGTTTGCCAGACGGCCTAAAGTCGCCGGAATTGCACCGGAGAAGTTATTGCTGGACAGGGAGAGCCAATACAGGTTTGTGCAGTTGCTTAGGCCTTCGGGTATCGATCCAGACAAGTAATTGAAATCAAGAATCAATTTTTCGAGGCTCTGCAAGTGAAGAAACTCTTGTGGGATTTGGCCATGGAGTTGATTCAGCCACATGATGATATCTCTGAGGTAGGGCAAGGAGCCTAAGCTGGAAGGAATTGTTCCTGTCAAATAATTTAAGCTGAGATCGAGCGATTCCAGCTGCGAGCAGTTGCAGAGACCGTCGGGGATGACGCCGTCCAACATGTTATTCTGAAGGTACAACACCTTTAAGCTGCTGCCGGGGTCTTTGCAGAGGCCGGAGGGGATCGAACCAGACAGGTTGTTGGAGCTCAAATCGAGAGTTTCCAAATGCACCATTTTAGACAGAGAGCCGGGAACGTCGCCGACGAAGGCGTTGAAAGACATGACTAGAGTTTTCAGACTGGTCAGCTCCAAAAGAGTGTCGATCGGCAGCTCGCCGGTGAAATTATTGCCGGAGATGTCGAGAAGCTCCAGCGCAGAGCAGGCGGCGAGGCTCTCCGGCAAAGTGCCGGTCAGAAGGTTTCGGGAGAAATCCAATTCGACGAGAGTTGTGCAGAAATCAGACAAGTATGGCGGAAGAACGCCCTGGAAATTGTTGTCCTGGAGGTACAAGTACTCGATGCTCCCGCTCGGAAGATTCGGCACCTCGCCGGAGAGATGGTTGCCGGTGAGGTTCAGGAAGGTGAGTTTCCGGCAGGAGGAAAGTGAGTCACCTAATTCGCCGTAGAATTTATTGGAAGACATGTCGAGGTGCTGCAGATTAGGGCAGGAGGCGAAGAATGGGAATTTGGAGGAGAAATTGTTTAGGGAAAGGTCCAAATGCATCAAATTGTTGTTCGTCAGGTTCAGCTCCGGCAAGCTCCCCGACAGTCTGTTACTCTTCAAAGACAGGATCTCCATCGCCGGGAACTCATCGGACAATAGCCACGAAACCACGCTTTCGCCGGAGCCGGAGATTTTGTTGCCGGAAATGTCAAGAACTCGGAGGAGGGGCAAGCCGGGAAAGCCTGGATCAACAGGAACATCCTTACCAAAATTATCCATGGAATTCTGGGAGAGATTGAGGGAAACTAAGCCGGGGCAAGCCCTGATAGCTGAGACGTCGGAGACATGGCCGGAAATGGCGTTTCCGGCCAGATCTAACAAGCGCAAGGAAGGAGTGCAGGAGGGGATAGGAGCAGAAGCAATATCGCCGGAGAGATTAGCATTTTTGAGGACGAGGGTGTCGAGGGTGTCGAGGGGGAGGAGGAAGGTGGAGACTTGGGAGAAGTCGGTGCTGAGGAGATGGTCGGAGAGGACGATGGAGGAGACTCTGGTGGAGTTGTTGCAGGTGACGCCGGCGAATGTGCAGGGGGAGGCGGCGGGGTCCCAGTTGGGGAGCTGGGAGGGGTCAGGGAGGGAGTTTTTGAAAGAAATGAGGCGCTGGGCGTCGCTGCGGAGGCCATTGGAGGAAGCTTCAATGGACAAGAAGAAGAAGAAGAAGGTGGATGTGATCAAGTTGCAGAAATAGTTGCAATATGATTTCATCTTCCTTTGTCAAATTAAAGGGTTGATTGGAGGGTTTTGGAGATCTTTCTAGCCATGATTCTGTTTGTGATCAGTAGAGAGAGAAAGAGGTATGAGAGAGAGAGAGAGAGGGGAGGAGGAAGAAGCAACGTAAGACGTGTGCTGCTATCTATCCAATGTTAGAACGGAAGAATGAAGAGGAAGAAGAATCAATCATTCATTATTGTTATCGTATTATTATTTTATTTTATTTTATTTTAGCGTCCAACTTAATTTGTTCCTCGATACTCCGTCCCATCGCTTTTTATACAAAATTTTAAAAATATTAAGATAAAATAGAAATAAAAGTAAATTAGTCATATATTAATATTGTATGATATATTAATATTGTATGATATAAAGGTAATGACATTTGTGTAATATATTGTAAATTATAATGATATTTATAATGTCAAGAAAACGGATATTTTGTTATGGAATAGACCAAAATAAAAAAATGAATAAATTATTAAAGAACGAAGGGAATATTATTTTTTACTATTTTTTTTAAATAAAATTATATATTTTAATCAAATTATATTTCTTTTTTAATAAATTTTTAATTACTTATTAAATACTCACTACACCGTGTTTAATTTAAGTGAGATAAATTAGTGATAATAGAGAGAGAGAGTATTTTTTTATAACCTAGAAATAGGTCGCTGTTGCTCTAAAATGAATATTGGTTAAACCCTGACCAAACGTAATACTTTCTCTGTCCACACAATAAGTATACATTTATTTTTTGCGCAAAGTTTAAAAAATAATAGTATTTTAATTATAGTGAGCAAGTAAAAGTTGTGTAATGATATTTTTGCCCTTATTTTTTCGTATAAAAATAATGATGTGATGTAATATAAAAATATTTGTAAAAAAAATAAAATATTTAATAAAATAATTACTTTATAATTGGACGTTCAAAATATTACGTATACTAAAGTATTTCGCAAATTAAATTTGACAAAACAATTCACAGTGCACAAAAACATATATTGAAGTTGGACATGTAATAGTCGGGTTTGAACCCATTATTATTATTATAATTATTATTTTGGAATTAATGCTACTATACCTATACGTATGGGTATGTATATATTTTCTGTGTATCTAAGTTGGAAGTGAATTGAGGGAGTAATGGCGATCACATGGCATGGCGGTCTCTCTCTGTTTTGTCTGGTGTGAATCCTGGGCGGTCCCTGGAGTGGCAATATAAATGGTGTAGATGGGTGTGGAGCAAGGGGTCCGGGAGCTCCGAAAGAAATGCAATACGTACGTGTGACTAAGGACGGATGGAATGGATCCATCGCTGTCCTGTTATGGGTATGGGGATGGAATAGGATTGCCAACTTTTGGCTAACTATTGCATCATTCACTCTTACCATTTTTTAATAGTAAAAAAAATAAAAATTACTTTCCAAGTTAAATTGATTTTATTTGACTAAATTAGAATTTATAAGTAAGTAATTGTTTTTTATCAAAAAGTTTTACCAATTTTAAGATTTGTTCATTTCACAAAAATCTTCGAAACACTTTTGGACAAGTATTAGTATTATAAAAAAATACATTTCATCGAGCTTATATAAAATATTCATATTTTTTATTTTTATTAATTATATAATAATTATTTTTATTTGCAAATTTTTAATTATTTTACTAATTATATTTTATCTAAATTTTCGTATATGCATTAATATAAATATATTATCTTAAACGGATAGAATATAGGGTGTGTTTGTTTGGGAGTTTGAATTTTGAGTTGAGATTTGAATAGTAAAAGTTTTGAATTTAAATAGTTGTATGATGTTATATAAATAAGTATTGATGTGATGTTTTGAATGTAAAATTGATTTTTATTATAATATAAAAAATAAAAAATAAGTGTTTAATTTAATGTTTTTGGGAGAAAAAATACGATGAACAGTGAAAATTAAATTCAATCCCCAAACAAACACACCCTATAAAAATTCAATATAAAATATGATTTATATATAATATGGAAAAAAAAAATATCAACCTTAAAATAATAATAATAATAATAAAAATAAAAATTGAACACACCCTAACTACTTATAATTGTAGGTTTGCTTGGTTTTTGTTTAAATTTGATTTAAGATGGAGCGTTATATTTGAATTTTTATTTAAAAAGTTTTTTAATATAATATTACATGAGAATAAATAATAGTATATTTTTAGTAAAAGAATATGTCAAGCAATAATGAGATTTTGAGTTTGTTTGTTTATACTTTTTCCGTCATATATAAAATATTAATATTTTTTATTTTTATCGATTTTATATAATTAATTTTTTTCTTTTATAAATAATATTTTTTAATTATATTTTAAATTTAATAATTTATAATTATTGTATTATATCATAATTACTTTTATTAGTATATTTTTAAATTACTCACTAATTATATTTATTATAAATTATTGTATCTATATTAATATGGGTATTTTTACTGGCATTGAGATAGTAGTATTTTCTAACTATCCACAAAACCTATGTACGTTTTTTTTTTTTTTTGGTTAGTCCACAATAATATATACTTTTTATTTTATAAAATTAGTTAATAATATTGATATTGCATGTATTTTAATGAGATATAACTTTTAAAATATTTAAATATATATTCTAAATTTGGTTTTAATTATATATAAATTATTATTTCAAATTTATTAATATTATCACTCATATGAAAAATAGTATTTTATTCCTCTCATATAATTTATTTTTATTTTTTATTTTTGATTATTTCCATATTAATTTATAATTATTTTATTGTATAATATTATTTACGAATATTTAGGACGAAGACATTAACAAATAATATTAAAATGTATTATTATTAATTAATTAAACCTTATTATATTCCAAATTGAATAAATCATTTGTTTCGAAACTTATAAAATAGTAGGAGTATTTTATGTCATCTAAATTTATATTTATATATATTTTTATTGTAAAAAAATATTTATGATTCTTTTTTAATAAAAATATCATTATTATTAATTAATCTATTTTTTATTATAAAAAATTATCGTTATTAATATATATATTTTTATTTTTAAGTCACAGATAAAATTTAATGACAAATTTAATGACAGAAGAGATTTTTTATTTTTTATTTTTTAATATTAGTATTCGATATTGTGATATAATTAGCAAAAAATTTACTAATTTATTGTGAAAAAATTGGACTCTCTTCCACAAATAATTTTCATTTGTTACACAAATAATTTTTATTCATTTAATACTATTTATTATTGAAAAAATATTATATTAAATATATATTTTTTATATTATAAAAATTAAATTGAATACTAATTTTTAATTTCCAAAATTTAGAACCTACTGAGTCTGAAATCTAAATAATAAGTAACAAAATAAATATTTCGAAAGTGTGGTGGTGTGATTCTAGGGTTAAGCATATGTATATAAATTCACCGATATCGTTTCTTCGACGGTAGGGTTTTGATCTGCACGCGCACCTCTTCGCCAAAATTCTCTTCTCGCCATGGGAGGAAGGAAGAGGAAATCCGATGCCTCGCGCCTCGACGAGGTCGATCGTCTTATGTACACCAGTTTCTGCAGCGCCGCTAATTCCCTTTCCCAGCTCTACACCCATGCGATGCACAAGCAGAAGCTCTCTTTCCAGGCCGGTGAACGCCACGCCTTGGTCTGTTTCTCCTTGTGCAGATTCTTTATCAACTAACTGTTAATCTTTATCGTTGTATGGGATGGAGTCGTCAGATTGTCTTGATTGCGATTTGATTGAAATACGACTTTGCTATTAGATGTATTTGTCGGTGTTTTGCTTCGCATATTCCGAAGATGAGTGACATCCTGTTTCGATGCCAATTTATGATGGATATGTATATATAATGTTGAATTTAGTCTGGAAATGTGTTTGCTCACAGAACTGCGATTTGTAATTTTTTCTTTACAAGGTTTTTCCCCATCCCTGAACTCGTTTATTTTTGTATTGTAGGATAAGCTTTACAGTTGGCTCTTGAGACAGCAAGAGAACGGCGCCAGAGTGACGACTGGTGATATATTCACATATATTCAGGTCTCTTTCTTTACCACATTAACCTCTAACCTTTAACTTAGTTTTATCATCTATAACATCATGCTGATTAGCCTGAGTATAAATTTTGGGGTTGCATACTGCCAGTAAACATTTATTGTTGATGAATTTTGAGTCTACATTTCTTTCTAGATCAGAACTGTCACATTATCCTGTAGTTTTTGTTGTTTGTGTGGAATTTTATTGTTCAAGATGTAATATATATGTCATCAACCCTATAATGTTACATCCGACTCAGCTATACTAGGTTACGAACTTCTGTGTTTTGCCAATCTAACCTGAATGGTTATTACTGACTATTGGCTTGATGAACTCACATCTTAAAAATCCTTCCATGTGGGACTGTTCTGTTGTGATTAATGTTTAAATTTTTCAGTGTAATCTGCTAATGGTTTTTGACACGGATAAGAGCAGAATGGGTGTCCATAAATTTGGGGCAGAAATTTTTGCTATCAACTCCATCTGACATTTTTTTTAATACCCAACACAAGGCATATTAGATAGATGCCCATTACCTGAAAATTAAATATAACTTTTATCAATAGACACATTTGTTTAAATATGTTATGTACATATATTGTATTTAAATTGAATTTGGTATTCGATTGGGTTCAAGGTTTTTTTGATAGAGCTTTCACTGTAGAAGTCTTAGGCATGGTGGGCTGTTACTCATCTTCCCATGCTACATCCACATCTAGTGGTCTTTTAGGCTATCATTGTGGAGGTATGGATGATATGTCATCTTCTTATACCTTGCATCCGTGTATCATTAGTGAAGTTCTTTGCTTCATTGCTATTAGTTTTCTAACGGCAACATATTGAAGTTGTCATTGAATATAATTTCACAATGAAAGCAGCAATGGAACCAGTAGTTATGAAGTTCTATGTGTAAGTGAAATAAGCATATAAATCTTCTGTATAGATTTCTCTAAAATTCTTTGGCTGAATTTTCTCCACGGGATACTGTTAAATTTCGCATCCATCTAACACCCTTTGCTCTGATCTGCAGAATGAACTCGATAATGGAACAGAGGAGCCTCCACCATCCCCGAGGCTTCCAGTCCCGCAACAACAACAACCACCTCAAACTTTGATGCAGTTACCTCAGTCAGGACTCCCTGTAGTATCTTCGAATGCATTTGGTCCCATGACTGTTGGACAAGGAGTTCGCTCGGGGAACTCTGATCAGACCAAGAACTCTGTTTTCTCAAATGCCCTCTCCAGCCCAGTTCGCCGAAGTCTCCAGAACTATCACTTATCTCAGGGAGGTTACTCGGCTAACAATGGGAATCGAGGCAATGAGAACAATACCAATCCCACCAATCCTCCAAGTTCCAATGATACTTCCATGGATATGCATCCCGACAGCCCGGGCCACGATTCTCCTTACTGAAACCGATCCCCCGTCCCGTGTGAAAAAGAGAATAACATGGAAAGATAGGAGTGTAAAGAAAGATTGATAGTTGTGTGAGGAAGGAGCATGGTTTTGTATTTAAGCAAGGTGAATGGATGCTTACAGTATGTATGTATTCCTTTGGTCTTTGATGCCCATGCCATATTATCTATTTAATTTGGTTTCTTTATCTCTTATCTCTATCCCTACCCTAATTATTTTTTGCATTTGTTTTCAAATTTATTAGATGGAGAAATAAGTTTAGTTGCTGACTGACTCTGGCTCTGACTTGTTTGCAGGAAGCAGACAATGGATGGATGGATGGAATGGTGGATGGAGAAAGAAAGAGACAAGTTTGTGTTTCTCACTCTGTATATTCTGGAAAATGAAAAATCATTTTATAGTCTGTACTCTACTTCAATGTGAGTTTAATTGAGTTCAGAGTTTCACCTGACAGTTTATATGTTGTGTTTGCTTTTGGTTTGAAATATCTATGCTGTTTTAAATGACTCTGTATCTAAAAATTTTGGAGTAGAATATAGTTGTTTCATATTTTCTCATTCATTTAAATTTATACTTTTTTTTTATAGAAAATATATATTTTTTTTAGTAAAAGCTTGTTTCTCTATATTTTTCAATTGAAAGAATTTTATTTTATTATTATTATTTTTTATTTTGGTATAAAGTAAAGTTTTCATCTTCTATTCTATTATATTCTATTCTATTATATTATAGTAAAGGTGATTGTATATTAATATTAAACTATTTTTAATTTTTATATAATTACTTGTATATATTGTACATATGATACTAAGGATAAAAATATTAAAAATATTTTATAATTTTACTAAAAAATAAAAAGTAAAAATTGTTACTTGTATTTTTTATATCTGAATCTAATTTATAAAATTATTCTAAAAAAATAACAAAATTATTATTACTGCGACTATTATTATAGATTCAATGTGTTTAGTTTGAATTTTTTACATGAAAAATAAATATTTTTATAAAACATCACCCAAATCAAAAGTCCAAACTTTTAAATCCAATTGAAACCATAAAGAAACAAACTTAATTGTTTTAAATCAAAATATAATTAACTTAAAATATCAAATCCAAACAAAACAAACTTTCTATGGTTGGAAAGAAAATATATTTAAGAATATAAATATATATGTACTGAAATGGAATTAGTGGTATTACTGTATTGCTGCTTTAACATCAATGTGATAAAAGAAAAGCTTTCATGGCTTCAAATTCCCATACACAGAAGCAAGAGAGAGAGACGTAAGAATCTTTGACGAGCCACAAATTGAGTTGTGAATAAGACAGCACAGTGGTTCATCTGTGTCCTCTTGATTTCAGACACAACAATGGGACCTCAAAGCTTTTTCCAGATCAACAACACCACACCCTGACAAAGATACATACATACATACATATATATATATATATATATCTAGAGAGGAGAGAGAGAGAGAGGGCTGTGATGGTCTGTGATCTATTGGGATTGGGATTGGGATTGGGATTGGTGATGTGTGAAGAAGAAATCAGCTCCATTCTCAACATCATCTGTGTTGGTGTTCCCACACTGAGCCATCACTATTCTGTAGATTCTCTTGGAACATACCTCCCCCACTCGCCTGTCCTCACCAACCAACCCTTCTGTGCTCAGGTCCTTCAGCAGGAATTCTTTCTCATGCACCTGCAACACACATATATATATACATATCATCAACCATTATTATTACAACTAACAAATCCCATGTCAAAAAGACCACTCACTGATTTAGTTGGATCCATGTAAACACTCAAAAGAGACTTCATGGTTGGGTATTTCTTCCATACAGATATAGCAAACCGTGGTTGCACTTTTGGGATAGCTACCAATGCCCTTAGCCTGCATGCATCATCAAATCACTTCATGAATAATTTATTAGAACATATGTATGATTGAACAGCAGGGTAGTAGGAGCCATCTCAATCCACAGCTTGAGTGGAACATGATTCCATAAGTTTTACAAAGACTGTTGAAGAAATTAGATATAGATAGATGCAGCCATGATTAAGTGGTATGAACTATGGACTACGTACCATAAGTTCTTCTTAATTAAATTCTTGTCGACGCAGTCTTTTGGAATAATCAACCCATTTGCACAGACTGATAGCCGCGTCAATTTTTTCCTGCATAAACATATGTTATAGAAAATGTATACTAAGAAACTAAGTGATAATCCAAATTTAAGCTTGTCACATGGTTCATTTCTATAACTAGGTTTATTGCATGATGCTTTCGATGCTGGTGAACATTATGATATAACGGCGTGAGTGAACTTTGGGAAACAGACCATGCATGAATGATGAAGCTTTATATTTATCCGCAAGGGTTCCATGTCGAATACTTTATCAATTCTAATAAGTAAATCACGGTTCTTCACTTACCTAAAGTGGCAAGAAGCAAGGCTGCTAGTAAGTCCGACCACATGTTCCGCCAATTCTGCTTCATCAACACATTGTCTTGTATGTACTTTGAAAAAATGAGTGGCTAATTTTGCTAAAACCTGAAAGCAAGTATTTAGTTCAACAACTTGTCAACTACGGTAAGCACTAACAATGATCTAATACTACTGCTTGCACTTCAAGTTAATTTTACTAACCTCTTCTATCGGAGGGCGCTGCCAACCAGCATGGTTTGCAGGGTTCTTATACCTTGCTTGTTCCCTGTGGCAGAGGCAACAAAATAATATGCAGAATCAATGTTTAGTATATTAATCCTTCTGATACATTCTTAATTTCTAATCATTGTAGCTAGATCATGTTTCAAAACTAAATGACTAAGTCCTATCAGATTGAGCAAATATGAAATGGATAAGCAAAGCATGATGTTATGCCTATATTTCCACATACTAGGAGTCAATATAACGATAACAGTAAACCGACAGATATATATTTAAGAGGGTATAACAGATGCAGCCATCCATTGTATTCCTAAAAGTTCAATTGCAGGTAGAAGAAGGTTCCAGCAACACTGGTTATTGAAAAACAACTCAAACATATTTTCAATCACCACCTTATAAACAATAATAACCTTAGACCAAGATTTGTGTACCCAATAAATCACGATGGGAAAAAATCGTAGCAAATTGTACCTAGATAACACACACATACGAATGTGCACATATTTGTTTACTCCTAATACTATAAACTTCAACCATGCAACCTGCTACTTGTGATGTAGTGCAAATGCTTCAAAATCTTGGAGTAATTTCTAATATTAGTATCCGTATGCTAATGAACAATGAAGTCCAACTTGTGCTTTTTCCACTTTCAGTGGAGTTTTCATCAAATCACCCACATGAATGATCACATGCAATGCACTGAACTAGAGGGGTTTATTTTCATAGCCGAAGTATATTTCAGGGAGGGGGTTTCAACTTACAAGGCAAGAAAGTTCCACTCACATTTTATTGATGTAGGCCATGAGCCTATTAGTGAGGTAGCATATAGTGTGATGAGGATAATGATACCGGACGTTATGAATGTGCTCCACAAGAGATTCATTCACAACTAGGTTACAGAACTCTTCAGCCTCATATACAACTAAAACATAAGAAATCTTAATTTGTTCCGATGCAATCTGCAACATATTCATAGAAATTACAGTCAGGAGCAGCAGCAGTAAAGCTTTAAATCCAACAATATAAAGTAACAGTAGTACTAGGCTAGCATATAAAGCTATCAGCTTGGGAAAATTACGAAGGGAGTTTGGGTGACCAATGCATTGCAAAGTGAAAATGCTACACATGTTAGAATTGCCAAATAGACGAGTATGCATTGCTTATATTCTAGGTCGTCCACAAGAATAGCATACATCTAATATTGCCAGCGAACTTCATCCTAGTTTTTAGTGAGTTCCACATTGCAGATATATCATGTAAAGTTGATCAATCACAGCCAGTAGTAGTTACTAGTTACTTTGATCACTCTTAGTTACAGAGGTGAAAACTCTGCCAAAAGGGTATTACAATTCCTTAAAACCTAACTAAAAGAAGAACTATTATACATGTCTTACGAATAGATAAAACATAGCAAGCTATCTGTAATGAACTTTTACTTATGTGAGGTCCTTAAATTGGATCATTTATCTTCTATCACATATATCTGTTTTCAGGGCATTTTAGAAATTCAGTTAATATTATTTTATTTTTTTAACTGAACATGGAAAACATATATAGGACTAGTGCACATACTTTCACACACAAATACACATGGTATAAATCTATATCAAACAACATTAATGGTGAAGATAGAGATGAGAATATCATGCAAAATCATCATAAAATAAAGACAAATAAATTACAAATTAAAAATTACCTCAGACATTTCTTCAGGAATGACCATGGTCCATACAATAGTTCTTTCTACTGGATTTGTTGTTACTTTATATGTTAGTCCCTTTTCTGCAAACCTTGTCAGTAGATGTCCTACACTATGATAGAAAAATTCACTTGCTCAGGCAACAAGCGATAAAAGGGAAAAAAAATTAAAAATATGGTACATGTCCTCTACAGGTTATGTATAATCCTACCTCCAATTGACCCCATTTCAATAACTTTCTTGTCAATTTCAGCCACTATAGATTTTAAAGCATACTTCCCCTTTTCCCACTTCTGCATTTCCTTCTTCAATTTTTTCATCTCGGCGGCTTGCGCCTTTGTAGCAGCTTTAGACAACTTCTCTTGCTATTTAGAAAGATCAAGAAGATGCATCAGACAAATAAACATCATTGAATGAACATGTATAAGCATTTCATATTGGCATTTGTGTATCGGTTACTTCTTTCAGTTGTTTCTTTTCTTCCATCAAGCGAATTTTCATCTCCTTAGATATTCTCTTTGGTTTTTTAGATTCATTTGCTTTCTTCTCATCCTTCAAGAGGCATCCATCACTATCTTGTTGTTTCAAGATTTGGTCCATAGGCTCCAAGTCATTAGCTTCATTATCAAATTGGTTGCATCCCTGTAAAGATCTTTGTTATAGCTTTTTTAAAAAGAAGATACAACATAACAGAAGTACAGAACAAATCCAAGTCATCAGGTGACTGTAAGTCCAATTGAATACAATAAATGAAAATTTTCTCAAGAATGCTTTTTCTAGGAAACAAAAGATGTAAAATAGATATCGACACACAACTATTAGATAGAGAGAGAATGATTATGATTAGAGTGCTTAGTTTGGATTAGGTGTTTAACAACTAGAAAACCTATACCATAATAAACTAATTGTGAAATTAACCAGCAAAAGCTACATGGCTGAGGATAACCCACCAAAGAATTTCTGGAGTTATCTATTGAATTGTATGTGAATCTGGAGTTAAATTCCGACTCATCCATCAAATTGTCATGTACTCCGGTCTCATTATACTTTGGATCTCCAAGTTCATCAATACCTTCAGACCCATCATCTGACTCCACGCTTATCAATCCATTGATTTCTACAATAACAAAAAAGAATGAGAATGAACACTACATATTAAATATAGAGGTGAAAGTAACGGCAATAGGATTGCATGTTAAGCCATATCAGGCTATTTATGAAGCAGATCAAGAGGCAAATTTCCATTATCATAAGATAAAAATGTAACAAAAAATTCACTATGGCACTTTGTGAATTTAAAAAAAAAAAAAAAACGGACTCCTACATCTCATCTACAAATAATATTGTAACCGGACTAAAAGCATTTATGTGTAATGTAGGTACCTATACAGAAGGATTAATGAGCTATAAAATAAGAATAGTGGCATGAAATGGCTCATCCTTACATAGAAGCAGTAAACATCGAAGCGCATGACCTGTCATCATCTGTTTCTAAGCCTATATCATACAATGTAAGGACTACTGACAATAACATGTATACCACATTGCTGTTATGTGTTGTGCACAAAGAAACACGTCCTCTCCTTTAACATTAACATTTCAAACATGAAGAGTGAAAATTTGAATTAAGAAATTACTGCAATAACCATAATGCTCAAGTCTGGGAGAGTTTTATTGTCTTTCAATCCTAAGATTTAATTATAAATTATACCTAAAACTACGTAAATAAGAACAAGGGGCTGGGCTGGTAGACATGCATTACTTTTAAAACTATTTTAAAACTTTGGAACAATTACCATTAAAATCACCCACACAATTGGGTTCTGAAATCAAAGAACACGAAGGATCACAATTGGAGGCTCCTTCAGTATGCCTGGTGATTGAAACTTCAGGTTTCAAAGTTTCAGACATAGGAGTGTCAGGTACTACAAGTTTCTGAGTAGCTGATCCATCACCTGAAGAAATAAAAAGCTAGATCACCCACAAAATAATTGACATACTGAACCAAGTTATGATCGCTCCAAAGCCTAAATTCAGCAAAATAGTTTAGCTTTACAAATTGAAATCATACAAGTTCTTCAAAATTTCTTCATTTCTTATTTTACAAGCAAAAATATCAAAATTTCCAATCATCAAAATTAATCATTCAGAAATCTGCAAACGATAATAGCACCGAAGAACCATCGAATGGCCTTCGTCCAGCGTCAAACCGAAGCCTTCATGATTATCTCCTGTTTTCAGCAAGAATAATGGGTTCCAATTGAAAATATCGTCCCCATATCCCCAAAATCTCAATGTCGATAAGCAAAGCCCAGACACACAACATTACAGCAACCAGCAGCAGCGAGGTTTAAAATTACCAGAAGACGAAAACTTCCCTCTGGAACATCCGGCAGTGGAGGCATCGGAGAACGGCGTCTCGGCGACGAATGAAGGAGTGGCGGAGCATTTAGAACCTTCTGAAGACTTACTTCGCTTACATGGCGTGGGGTCATCATCGATAACGAACACCGTTGAGTCACAAGGGTTTAACACCACCTGTGACTTTACTTTCTTCTTACAAAGCGTAAACCGCGGCGGAGTAACGAGGTCTATGGGGTCGTCTCCAAGATCCTGACGGCGGTTGTCGCCGGATTCCTGATCGGAATCGGAAATAATATCAACCGGAATTGGGTGCGACATCTCTTTCGGACGGACTCGAAAGATTGATTCCTTCATTTGCGCGGGATGAGAACATATTAGGATATCATAATTGGGCCAGGCTTAGCAGTTATTTGAGGCCCATATAAAATTCTTAAGCAGTCCTATACAGGCCCAATTTATAAATTCTTAATTGGGCTTATCTAAGCCCAAATATGATTAATCAGTTATACCTAAAAGGAAGCATTTTTAACGAACAGCATACGGTTGGACTAAAGTCAGTGGTCCGTACAGTGTCCGTACAGCACATGCATATTGTATGTTTTTGATACATGGTTCGATCGCACATCATCCCGTTTCTCCGCACGTTTTGTTCTTCTTCTACATCGTCGTGGAACTCCCGCATAGCACAAGCTGTCAGCCATGGCGACGCTGCAAATGCCCTCGTAATTTTTCGCCACCTGAAGCAGCAGTCTTATGCTAAACCCAATAACTTCACTTTCCCGGTCATCGCTAAAGCATGTGGGAAGCTATCAGACCTCCAAGCCTCGCGGATGATCCACGCCGACGTTGTCAAAACTCCCTACTCCTCGGATATATACGTACAAACTGCGCTCGTCGATGCGTACGCCAAATGTACCAATTTGGATTGTGCCCTTCGCCTGTTCGACGAAATGTCCCATCGAGATGTAGCCTCTTGGAATGCGATCGTCGTAGGGTATGCTCAAATAGGTGATTTCGATTGTGTTTCAGTGTTGATTAAAAGAATGAGGAGTGATGGAATCATGCCCGATGCTGTTACTATAATGGGGCTGACGCAATTGGCATCTGGCATTAACCATGGGAGCTTGTTGAGCTGTGTTCATTGCTTGGGTATGAAATATGGATTGGGAGGCGATGTCTCTGTTGCTAACACATGGATTTCTTGCTATGGAAAGTGTGGAGATTTATGCTCGGCTGAGATGGTGTTTTCTTGCATCTCTAGGGATGCTTTGTGCGTCGTCTCCTGGAATGCTATGATAGCTGGATGTGCTTGTTTCGAAGATTCGGAGAAGGCTATTGGAGTTTACCAGAGTATGATTAATGGTGGGTATAGGCCGGACGTGGTTACATTTGTTAATTTACTTTCGGCAATTGGCGAGCCCAAGTATCTACATTACGGGATGCGAATTCATGCTCTTGCAGTAAAAGAGGGTTCAAATTTGAATGCTACATTGCTCAATACACTTATCTCCATGTACACAAAGTGTGGAGATCTTAACTCTGCAAGATCGATTTTTGGTGGGATGAATGAGAGGTCTCATTGTTCTTGGACTGTTATGATTGGTGGTTATTCAGGAAATGGCGATTTAGGCGAAGCATTCTCATTGCTCGACGAAATGGAAGCTTCCGGAAAGAAGCCTGATACATTTACGGTTATCTATTTGATAGCAGGGTGTGGCAAAGTCGGGACCCTTGAGTCCGGGAAATTGATTGATAACTACACCATGTCAAAGGGGCTAAAGAACAATGTAATGGTATGTAATGCATTGCTTGACATGTACATGAAGTGTGGAAGCGAAGGAGATGCGCAGAAACTTTTTCTTGCGATGAATGAGAAGAATGTCGTCTCTTGGACAACTATGATATCTGGATTTGCACTGAATGGGAACTTCCAAGAAGCATTAGATCATTTTAATGAAATGTTAGAGGTGGGTATTAAGCCAAATCATATTACATTCCTTGCAGTCCTTCAGGCCTGCACCCATGGAGGTCTTTTGGAGAAAGGATGGGAAGTTTTCGACATGATGAAAAGAACTTATGGTATAAATCCCGGACTAGATCACTATGCTTGCATGACTGATCTCCTTGGGCGTCGAGGAAAGCTGAAAGAAGCACTTGATTTTATTCAAGAAATGCCAATGAAGCCAGATGCCGGGATTTGGGGCTCTTTGCTCGGCGCTTGCAAGATTCATGGCAGCGTAGATATTGGGGAACAGGCAGCATATAAGCTTTTTCAATTACAACCACAAGCTGCGGCTCCTTATGTCGAAATGGCTAATATATATGCATCACAGAAAGATTGGAGCGGTGTTGCGGCTATGCGCGTAAATATGAAGAGTAAGCAAGTGACGAAATCCCCGGGGCAAAGCATCGTATTTGTTGATGGAGTGTGTTGTTCATTTACAGTGGAGGATAGATCCCATCCCAAAGGCTTTCAAACATTCGAGACGTTGGATAGCCTAGTTTTGCAATTGAAAAATGAAACAGATTTGATTGCTGTTGAGGAGCTGGTGCTGTGATTCAGTTAGTAGGATCTCCATGAATGGGTTTTGTGGCCATGTACAGATTGACTATACTCCTATACCTGCGAGGCCTCTTGGAGCTGCCATTGCAACTGCTACTGCTAGTGCAAGGATCTGGTTTGTAATTCAGCTGCGCTGCCGACCTTTTTCTTGTCGAGGAGGAGCAATAACCGTCGCCATTTTTGTAATCTTGCCTCTCTGCAGCTGCTGCTTCTTCTTCTCCAAATAACTGCGCAATGAAGGATGCCAGATGATCCAACTGCGGCGACGAACATTCAGCCATCGAAATATCGAATCGAAATGTAGCTGGTACTGATGGCTATGGCTGTGGCGGTGATTAGTATATATGAACCTCTTGGATGGATTAGTTCAAGCATAAGTATGCGTGTGGAGTTCTGATCGCTTTCTAAAACAGAAATAGAAACAGAAAGATCCGCGTTGCTGCTCTGGAAATTGGGTATGAACTTGCCTCCCTCACTCCCCATTACACGCATCATATTATACTTTACTAATTCATAGATAATTGAAAATCTTGACAAGAGTTTCATGGAAAATATATTTATTTGATTCCTGATTTCATGGCATGGAATATTTTGTGGGTTTCTTCCACGTAGTTTCTGTTAGGTCATAGTCATACTTGCTTTTCTTTGCTTTGATTCAACCTCTTTTCACATTGTCTGTTCAATAACTTGACGGGCTTGTTGAAAGATCACTTTTTTATCTTATTAAGAGAATTGTTCCACGCTGCCAAGGCAATCGATTCAAAGAAATACTAGCTGGTATTTTCTATATTGACTTATTTTAGTATTGCTTGGGGTCAATCCAAGAATTGTTAATGAACAGTAGAAGAAACAGTTTGCTTTGAAGAATTTAATGGTCATCTATGTGAAATTCACAGTCATGATTACAGGTATGTAGGTAAGCAAGAATTTCCCCAATTTAGTTGAAGGGATGATCGGCAAAGAAAATTTAAGAGCTAGTTACAGATGTACGGACGTAGAAGTAAAGCAAGAAATGCGTCTAGAGATCATCAAGACGATGACCTCGGAGTCTCCGGTGCCTCCTCCGGCGGCCATGGTGTCCATTCTCCCGTTTCTCTCGCTTCCGATTGCTATTGTTATTATTCTTTTTCCGGCCATGATTCTTCTTCTTCTTTTTCTTGGGAGATTCTTCCGGTGCAGGTGCAGGTGCTGGGGAGTGTGCATTGCTGTTTTTCCAGTCCTCCGACCAGTCCGGCGACAGCAGCGGCTGCGGAGATAGAGTTGCAGCTGGGTCTCCGTCGAAGATTCCCGGCGATGATATATCGGAATCTTGGTACATGTTGAGCCCGGTGACGAGAATTCCGTCTATGCCGTGAACGGCAATGGTGGATCCGAGGAAAAGATCCGGCGAGGTGATTCGGACGCCGTCGACCAGGACGGCGACGGAGGTGGCGTTGGTGTTGATCGAGAAGTCGCCGTCGTCGTCCTGCTGAGTCTTTCCGATCAAGACGGAGTAGTGAGGGAGCAGCGTGTCGAGGAAGGGGGAGGAGAGGTTTACGAGGTCGAGGTAGGTGTGGCGCTGTTTGGGGACGACGTGGTAGCGGAGGGTGCTGATGTAGGTGTCGGAGTCGGAGATCATGTCGAGGGCGTAGAGGAGGGTGTCCTTGGGGGCGAAGATGGTGAACGGCGCGGCGACGGCGGCGGGGGAAGCGGCGAAGATCTCGTATTTGAGGTCGGAAGTGGCGATGGCGTTGATGAAGAGCGTCGAACCGTGGCTTCTCAGTGCTGTCATCATGCTTTCAACTTCTTCGGGGCCGGTGGCGGGGGTGGTTGTGAAGCTCGCGAAGAGGCCGGAGGCGGCGGCGGAGGGGTAATTGGCGATGATTAGGAGGAGGAAGACGAGATTGGGCGGAGGCGGCCATGGACGGCGGCGGCAGTTGGCCATTGTTGATCGGAGAAGAATCGATGAAGAATGAGAATGGGTAGGGAAGTTTTACGTGCTGTGGTTATAGCTAGTTTGCTGTACGGTTAGAATTTTAGTAATTGGGCCGGTCTTTAAAGCCCAATTCGAGACTGGGCCTTGGCCCAAATAAAGAGATATATATAGTCACGACGCTCACGTATTTTGGAGGGGTTGAAATCGATTTGCGTCTCCTCTTTGAAGAGCGAATTCGAGGATTCTCATTCTCTGTGGAATTGGCCGCACGGACTATGTACTGGTGAGGTTTTTCTTTTTGGGCTTTAGGTCGATCTCGATCGTTGTGGCTCGAGTGATCTGCTTGAATGCTGAATTAGTAAGAAATTGACTGCTGAAGTAATTTAATTATGTTTTGTGAATCGAAGTGAAATGGCGGCGAAGTATGGTCGGACAGTTTAGAATTTCCTTCGTGCTTAGTTCCTCTTCGCAGCTGGATTGATTCTGTTTCTGGTATTATCTGCCATCAGGTAGTTCTTCCTGTATCTCTGTTTTGTTTTTTGCTCGTGTAATTAGTTTCTGGATAAGTTGAAGTTTGGTTCTCTGGATATTTGAGTGGTCGATTAGGCTTGGCCATTGTTGAAATTTTTGTAGAATTGAGCACTCGAGTATTGGTTGATTATGAGATAGTTGCACTGTAGTATGCTGTGCTATCCAAGAAAATTTTGCTCATGATGCTTCCATCTCATGTTAGTTAGGGCATAGTCATTCGGTTATGATTTTTTTATGAATCAGACACAATATCCTTTGTGCAATTACATTACTACATTCTCTATTGCCTTAGTGGAGTCGTAATCGCAAGCTATGTTCTACAATGGTTTAGGATTAGAGTAGATGCTTTAAAAAGTAGCAATGGCGTTTTAGTTGGAATATGCAATAGGTTGTGAATCAATCAGGTGAATGCGCGCACATACTCGATAATTCGAAGTAAGGGTACCTGTTTAAGATTAGTGAAGCTGCATATCGATTGCACTTTCTAGATTCCTTTTAGTCTAGTTTTACTTGATGAATGATAGCTTTTATAAATCCAAAACTATCGGAATGATCATTGACGGAAGAACATCAAAAGATAAGAATCATAAGATTAAGATCTGTTCTTACGAAAGGATTAAGTATACAAGATTGTATGTTCATTTTTTATTGCATAACCTTAGTATGTTTTCATGTCATTCATTATAAAGAGTAGCATTTTATTGATGCATCATCTCTTATTCCATGTTCTTGACATTGCTGCAGGAACTCTTTCTGCATTCCGGGTGATCAAAATGCTGCAAAATATCCCCCACCAAATCGTACAATCTCCGGCTAGGCTTGGCCTGCCGAATCCCAACTCACCATCTCTTCAAAACTCCACTCCATCTAAATTCTCCTCCCAAAACCCTCAGACCCACCCACCCCATCCAGCCTCGAATCAGTTAACAACTCCATCTGTTTCTTCGACTCTGCTTCCACTTCTTCCCCCTCTCCCGAGAGCCCAATCTCTTCTCCTCCAAATGGCATCTCTAACCTCGAAACTTTTTGAAGTTTCCCCAAACCGCCCCCACTGGATCAGTGCCTTTCGGGGCTCCCTCCCGACATTCTTGTCCTCCCAAACTCAGTCATTATCTCTCCCTCAGAAGGACTCATCTCCTTCCTCCAGCAAAGAGATTGTTGCCTTGTTCACAATCCTCCAGACTCAACTCTTTGAAGCTGTTGCCGAACTCCAGGAGATTCTTGATCTTCAAGACGCTAAACAGAAGCTCGCCCGAGAAATCAGGTCCAAAGACTCCACTCTCCTTGCTTTCGCCAACAAACTCAGGGAGGCAGAGAATGTCCTCGACATCCTCGTTGACGATTATTCTGATTACCGTCGCCCCAAAAGGGCCAGGTCAGCTTCAACGGCGGACGACGCTGAGGATTCCTCCACAACCACTGTTTCAACTCGGCTGAATCTATCAGACATATTGTCGTACGCACACAAGATAAGCTACACCACATTTGCACCCCCAGAATTCGGCGCCGGACAGGCCCCCCTCCGGGGAGCGCTTCCTCCAGCCCCCCAAGAGGAACAGATGCGTGCATCTCAGCTCTACGCATTTGCCGATCTCGACATCGGTCTACCAAAGACAGATGAAGACAAAGCGAAGATTATCGAACCGTTGATCGAAGCCCCTGCAGCTGAAAGCAATCCCCTGGCGAACATGCCCGCCATGCAAGGTCTGCTTCCGCCTAATATTGTGGTGCCGTCTGGATGGAAGCCCGGCATGCCTGTGGAATTGCCTAGTGATCTGCCGATTCTTCCTCCACCGGGATGGAAGCCCGGCGATCCGGTTACATTGCCCCCAGTGGATCCTCATGCTCTTCCGCCGAGGGTGGAGGACCAGAAGTCGAGGGCGGTGGGGCCTCCGAAGGCGGCGCCGGAGCCAATACAGGTCCGGCATGTGCAGCTTGACATTGAGGATGATAGCAGTGATTATAGCAGCGATGTGGGCAGCTCGGATAGTGAAGATTGATCGACACTCTTCTCTGTACCTTACCTTTTTTTCCGATCATCAAACCAGACGTCTGGCGGTTTCCGGTGGCATTTGTTGATTTGGAGAGCACGAAAATGATTGGTGATGTTGGATTTATTAGTAGCCCTTTTTAAGGCAGCAAAAGTTGTTGTATCATATCAGTGGTCATTTTTCTTGACGTATTAGGTTTAACAACTTCGAAGACAGACGCGGAGAAGATTTCATTGTTTACACGTTTTCGAATAAAGCAAACACTGGACCACATACTTGTTTTTATCTATCTATATATATATATATATATGTATGTATGTATGTATGCATGTATCCCGGAGGAGGAGTACACAAACAAGTCAAGAAAGATACAACATCTGAAAGGAGGTTAAGAAGTCACAGCAAAATCCTTCAGTCCATGAAGAATAACAACGCAGAGGCAAGGGAAGGAATCATTCGAATCTCATACCGTTGAGGGGGTGGGACTTTTATTCAATCCTTGATGGCGAGCCGGTCGACATCGAATGCAAGCTCTGGACCAACACTACTGTCGACCGCTGGAAAGCACGATGACATGACATGACATGACGGCGAGTAACGTAGTAAGCTTCATTGGACAGCATTATTACAGGATGGAGACGAGGCTGCGTTTGAAGGTGCTGCTGATTCCAGAGCCGGGCTTGGGGGTGAAGTCCAGCCCGAACATCTCTTTGTTAAGAGATTGCCCCGGCTCGATAATCCCTACTAGCTTTGCAACAAGCAATGCACTCTCGGCAATGTGGTTCATATCATCCGTCTTTGCCCACACCCGGTCAGCGAGCTGCTGCCGTCTCATTTTGGTGTTGAGACTAATCCCCCATTCCAAGAACATCCTTTCGCGCTCCTTTTCCGAAAACTTCTTCATCATCTGCTTCGCCAACGCTTGTCTCTCCTGCCGTAGAGCTTTCTTGCTGTTTGTTCAGAAAAACAATAATAAAAGCCTTTTAGATCAATTCATATTTCTCATGTAGACACACCTAAATGCAGAACTAGCAGATACATGATCAAAAAAACACAATGCACATTATATAGTTCCGATTCTTTACTAGATTACACTTATTCGATTCATGACAGCCTTCTCTCCCTGGGAAAATTCTGAGCAACAATTCTAATGGAGACTGCTCCCCTAAAAGACCTTGTGTTCGTTCGGGGGTTTGGATTTTGAATTGAGATTTGAATAGTAAAAATATTGTTTGAAATAGTTGTACGATATGCTATAAATAGGTGTTGATATGATGTTTTGAATATAAAACTGATTTTCAGTATAATATAAAGAATGAAAATTAGTTTTTGATTTGATAATGTTATTGGGGAAAATCCTTTTTATGAATAGTAGATTTTCGGAAAAATCCCATAAACGAAATCGATAGATAGCTCTTATCTAATACCTTGGAGAGGACATGATGGAAAAATCTTACCTTGATGACAAGGTTAGACGTTGTCCGTTCACGACAGCCTTTTCTCCCTGGGAAAATTTCTCCTTCAAGAATTTCAGCTTCCTTATCTCTACCTCCAGATATATAGCATCAGAAGGATCGCCTTTACAGAGCAGGAAGAAGTAAGTTCTATGCACCAGTGAGACGTGGCAAGTGTGCCATAGTTCGATTATTTGTCTTTGGAGTCTCCTGAATTCAACAGGCCAACTTGTAACCACTTTAGATTCATCTTCGACAGGATGTACACCGACATCATTGACATTCTTCTTATGGGACTCGGTGACTTTTGATGCAGCATCATTCTCCTACATGCAATATCAGAAAGCGGCATTAAATCAATCAGCCGAAATCCATAAGCTTTAGTACACGCAACGATTGGCAAGAAACTAGACAATGTATATGCTTAAACTAAAATGAATGATTCAAATAAACTTGGTTTTGTTATATTAGTTAAGTACTGCATGATTGCTAACTTGATGTTAACCAAGGAAGAATTATGCATAAGAAAGCACGAGAGAAACAACAGATGGAACAACACTTAATGATGGTAACCACATGAATATTTCAGTAATAATAACAAGAACTAAATAAAGAAAATTGTTTTCACTCACAGGTTTTGCAGTATATTCTTTATCGTTTGAAAGCTCAGCCTCTCTCCTCGTGTCCGGAGTGCAGTTTAAACTATCATCCTCAACAGCTGAAACATTAAAAACTGGATTAATTGATCACAATATTAATAGTACTTTCTGGAGGAAGCAGACAATTCTGTTGTCAAAATTTCCACACCTGGGCTAAATTTTAATGCAGATGTTTTCCATCCAAAATCATCAGATTCTTTTCCTGGTTCTAAAGATGATGTATAATCACTGCATTGCTTCTCTGTCAGCCATGGAGAGATTGAGCTAGTAAAAATACTTGCTTTGCGTCTTTTCATTCTAGGAAAGCTTGAGCCTCCACTTCCAAAGGTATCACCAGCAAGATGATGTGCGAGAGAAGGATTTTCGAGAGATGTAATGCCAAGATATTGAAGGGGGTTGTCAAGAGATGTAATGACAAGACACTGAAGACAGCTAAAATCCCTTTTGTTCTTCAGCATTTGAAATGATTCTTTGTCATCCATAGCTGATGGTGCAATTAATTTTTGACCTTCATTTGGGGGGATGATCTCAGATGCTTCATGCTGCTTCACTTCATTGTCATCATCGTTCAAAGGAGATGACATGCAGCTCTCATTTGGAGAGGAACCAGACGATGCAGATTCTACATCCTGCATTTCTCCATTTACACGCACTTTGACAACAGGGATTCCAGTGTAATCTTCAGAAAGCATTTTTTCTGCTGAGATGCAATGAATTCCCTTGCATCTGTCCTCCAAAGTTTCTTTATTTTCATTTTGTGCCTCCTCCCAACATTGGTATGAATCTCCTGTATCAGAGTACGGACAAGTTCTGAACATCATTCGGGATGCATTACTGCAAGAAAATTTTTTACTAAAGTATGGAGCTCTCGGAAAATGATCCCCTGAAATGCTCCTACTTTGTCCTCTTCTGGTATCAACATCCAAAGAGTGGGTGTCTGCCCAGGCAGAGGTCTCTTTTCTTTGAATCTCCTGATCAGGTGATTTCCGCACTCGCAAATGAGGGTAATTTCCCAATCCTACCTGGATAATAACAAAGAAATAAACAAACAGAACAGTGCAAAAAAGCATACCATGGTTCTTTCAGTCTGAGATATTACCCGTGTTAAGGGGCCTGCATTGTCTCCGAGAATTTGTAGAAGTTCTTTGACTTGTGATTGAGCAATATCTCTTTGCAGAATTAGATTTCTAATCTCCTCCTCAAGCTGCATCAAAATGAACATATCATTGGAGCCTCAAAGTTGCACACGTTATTCTGTTGGTTGTCCAACAAGTATAATGAAGAAATGAATAGAGGAAAGGTGTAAGTGTCAAATTTCATAAGGAAAAATGAATGTTCCTCCAGCTGTCTTGCCTGTCAGGAAAATAGTAAAAACTGTTTGTCCCAGAATTGTCTTTGCCTTGCTTAGGTAAATGTTGTGCAAATTATAATTACGAATAAAAACAATATAATGCATCTCCTCAATAACATGGCATTGTTTTGACCTTGCTTATAAACTGTTTAGCTAATGTATTCATTAAATTAACATGGCATCAAATCTGCATTAAGTCCTTCATCCAAAATATAAGAAAATGCTTCAAATGCAAGTTTCAATGTAAAAGATACCGTTGCGCATAAGAGAAGTATAGATGCTTTGTGGCATAGCTTGCATACCTTTTCAATGCGGGCATCTTTCCGCCTCAGCTCACTCTCCAGTCTTTCTACTTCCTTTGGCAAATTCTTTACCAAGGGTTTGTCTGACATGGCTACATTAACTTTTGCATTGGCGGTGACTTCCTTAACACAGCTTGCAAATCTCTTCCTTGATTCCTCAGCATGACTTCTTGTGTAGCTTTTGTAGCTCATTGTACACATGATTATGATATCCTAGCATTTCCTCCTGGGGACAGCTTGCAGAATTCGAGTTAGCATGATATCTCTGCAAGGGAGGTGTCCATTTCATTTGTTGCTGTATATATGATTTTATATGATAAGAAAAGAGACAAAAGTACATCAAAACAGGCATTATGCAAGGGTAACATCACTCTTCCTGACCTTCTATCAATCGATGATCATAAACATCACGGACTTTGATTAAACCTTAAGTCTGAAAAACCAAAAATTTTGGATTAACTAACGGACTAAAATGTTGAAGAAGATTATTTCATCTTGACTTGCACTAAATATTCACCGATACAATTCTAATTCTCGAAAGAGTCTTCAACATAGCTTTGCACAACGAATTGAAAAATCACATAACGTAAATAACAAACACCTTATAAATCTCAAGCCATTGTTATCGACCGACACACGTATTTATAATGTACGAATATATCGATTCCTCCGTTTACCCTAGAATCCAAAAGGCTACGCGATACATATTCACAGGAGCGTCCAGATTCCTCATCAATGATTCCCAAAGGCCAAAACATCGGCTGATTACCGAGAAACAGAAATCTGAAACCGCAACCACGTGAAATGTACGACGACGCGATGCATGATTAAGAAAACTACCTGAAAGGTTCAGGAAAAAATCCTGGCGATTGTCATCATCATGTATTGGGGGTTCCTCGGATCCATGGATGGCGATTGTTGCGTTGCGTTGCGTGGTGCTATTTCCCCCTCTCTCGGTCGGTCAGGCAGGCAGATTCCTCCTTCCTCGCGACTTGCCTCTGCGCAAAATGCGATTGGACAGAGGTAAAGCACGGGAAGGTGGAATCGAAAATGGAACGATCGGCTCGAATGGATATTGGATGGAAATTATCTCCGACGGAGAGCTCTGTGTGTCTCTCTCCCTCTGCGTTTTGCTATAAACAAACCACGCGGTTCGTTCCCCTTTCTCTTTCTATTTTCAGTTTACATACGTATGTATTTGTATTTGTATTTTATCATATCCAACCTAATTCTAATGCAAATTTTAATAATAATAATAATAATAATAATAATAATAATATAATACTATTACTCCCCTTGTATCACTAGTCACTAAATAGTTAAATTTTTTATAAATATGTTTAGTTTATTAATTTTTTTAAAAAAATCATGCTGAAAAAACAAAGAACAAAGTCTTATAATGTCGGCTAAATAATTATTTTATGTTCAATTTACCTAATTTTCTCGCCCGCAATCAATATTATGTTATTATTATTTTTAATTATTGTCCATATATTCTAATTAATAATGATAACTATTATTTATTTATTTATTTCTATTTAAACTATCATAATTTATTAATTCTTTAATAAATTTATTATAATGTGCATATTTTACTTTTTATTTATTTTACTTTAAAATTATAATATCTATGTCCAGTCAAATTTGTATAAATTTTGTAGACCAATAGAATACCAAGTTTGTTTTAATTGAACGCGTTATATTAAATTATGCTATATATTGTTTAAAGTTTTATTTATTTTAAAAGCACTCTCGAATGTATTTGCTTTTTAATTTTAAATAATAAAAAATTATCGTTCTCTAATAATTTTTAATAAAAATATATTATTTTTTTGTCAATTCAAAACATTAATCGAAATAAAGTTTAAATAAAAATACTCAATTTCAAATAAAAGAAAAATCGGTACTTATGAGTTGCTTTGAAAATTAGTACTATTATTTTTTAATACAAATAATGTAAATAGAAAATCATTTCAATGTAATTATTTAATTTTTTACACATTATTTTTTTATATACTTACACAAGTATATTAATAAAAAATCTTACATTATTAACATTACAAAATTTCAATTCTATCTTTATAAATATTACTCTAATGCAATATTTGTTTTCTGCCATAGTATTAAATAAGGTAATTTGATAATTAAATGATATAATAAAAGAGAAAAATATATATTCATTTTAGTGATACGATAGGAAATAAAATTATTTTATTAAGCAATATTAAAGTAGTATTTTTCTTAATCTCTGGTAATTTCATAAGTCGAGTAAAATACCAAAGCGAGGCAAAGCAATGAAATGAAGATTCAAATTTCACTAAATTGTTTCAAATGTAAATAAATACAAACGCCATAACTCTAACTGTACAAACTTTACTTGTCACCCAAACAGCAATCCTGCCAAAGAGTAAAAACCGATGAAATTGGTCAAAGATTTGACCAATAGAGATAGAGACAATGGCAAATAGCAGCATAAATTACTAGCAGATACTTAAAGCTAAAATAAATTCAACACACGAGGAAATAAGTAAGTGTCCCCCACCTGTACTAGAGCTTCATGAATGGAAGAGAGTGACAGTGGCAATGTAGCCATTCTTCATTACCTGTAAACATCAAATTTATGTCTTAAATCACCAAAAGTGAGATAAATCAAAGAAAACCCTTGAAAATGCCAAAGAATGACCTCGAATGCAACGTATGGGTAACCATATACAAATGTAGATCCAAATGGGTTGCTGGTAGAGCCTTGCGTCTGAATTGCAGCACGGCCCGAGTCACCAAGAATTTCCTGCAAAATGGCAAATTAAATTGATAATAGAAATTGATGACTAATGTAGGCCTGAAATGTGGAGTGGATAAAATTTCGCTCGACGTCCACTAAACAAACATGAAATTTGTTATTTAGTCTCGGACGTCTACCTTGACTTGTTCCCATTTTGTGCTAGGTGTAATGGCGCATTTTAAAGCGTTTGATCCAACTGAGACATTCGAAATCAATATATTAACATTAGCCAACATTAGCCGCGGCCTATTTTATTTATAGTATAAGAAGAGTGAAAACTTACGATCAGGACTGTACAGCAGAAAGTTGCACTTTATGTATGAGTTGAAATCAGCATGTCCGGGATAGTTCGTATGCAGAACAAACTTCTTGATTTTATGAGTCTACAATACAAACAAAGATAGCCAGAAATTCTTCACATTAGTTGTATTTAAATCAGTAAGATCGGCAACCAACCTAAGAAGAGATTACCTGGCCATCAAATAAAATATCCAAGCCACGTTTGAAATAATTGTAGAAGTAATCCCCACAAAGAGTTGTTCGTGGACGAGGATCCGAAGCAGAATGTATTACCATTTGGTCCACCTGTTCAACACACATAAAGTCAATGCAAAAAGAAACACAAAATAAAACTGGCATATCGAAAACAACAAGAGGTAATAAAAAAGTAACACCTGTTTATGATGAATACCACAGGGTCGTCCCAATTCAGTCCATACATCCTACATATAACAAACAGAAAGGAAATTTTATGTCCGAAGCAGCGAAAAGTGTTTCTATTCAATAAATGATTTATCAAAATCATAAGGATAAGATGAAAACCTAAGTAGGTTTCGTTCAAAGTGAATGAAAGTGTATAGCCAACGAATGATCAAAACCTTTAAAGAAATTCATACCTGTGTTGACGCACCAAAAGGGAGATGCTGACCTCCGACTGTAAACCACAACTCTTCCCCTAACTAAACAACAAATGGAGAGTGTCATGCAAAGCTAAAAGGGTGTAATAACACACAAATTTAATCACATGGGAGAAAATATACATATACTTAAAATAGAATACATTATATGCAACAAAAAAAATATAAAATGTGTTCTTGCGACGTATATATAACAGAGAACAAGGTCAGTCAGTATATGACCTTCACTTGCACTTCTTCCATGTAGAGGCTGCCGGGAGGCAATGGAGGCACAGATGCCTTGGCCATTAAAGATCCTACACCAACCTTACTGTCCGTAGAAGTATCATATACTGATACACGGCATGTAACAGGAGTTGTGCCATCAGGAAACTCCAAGGGAAGTTCAGCTTAAAAAAATAAAAAACCTCTCAGTACAAATTAAACAAATTTCCCAATAAGAAGACTGAAAAATGGGGGTTTAAAAATGAATACCTTCCCGATCCTGACAGCACTCCGCATGTTGTGGGGGGATAGGAAATGCAAATGACAAACCCTACAATATATGGCCACAATTACCAACATGGACAATTTATTAACCAAAGAGTTAGCAAAGTAACTGTTTTAGTTGTTAAGATAATCGACAAACTTACCGGGTAAAATAGCGTGTAGACCCCCCTTTCCTTGTCATAAATACCTGGATAAGTTGGCCCAAAAAGAGCATAGACAGCAACGAAAGTTGCAAGAGTAGAGGGTCCCCTGGAAGTAGAACACTTAGGAACTGGAAATTCTTGAATTTGAAAATTATAAAATTTACAGGTAAGGACACAAGATCATACCCAATCAAGGCAGTGGCATATCGCATCTGAAGCCGTTTGACGTCAAATATTTCTATAAGACGAAGTCTCTGACATAGAATGAAGTATTAGTTAAGATTTTTTACTATATATATACTCGGTAATTGAGAGGATATTTTATGTATTTTCTTATTCTAGAATCAAGAAGTTCCTTTCAAAAAAGCAATTCTTTTTCAGTTGTACAAAAAAACTATTAATTTCTTTCTAAAGAACAAACCTGCGACCAAGGATCAAACCGAAGATGAAACCCGTGATCAGGGAAGCTAATAACAACATCAAGTTTTAGAGGGTCCTGAAGAACATACAAATACAAATTAGAAGCAGGATAATTCTCTTACAAGATATTTAGCACTAGTTATACGCAGTTCCAATTTTAAAGCACAATGTTAACGTGGAAAAATGATGTAAATGATAATGTGATTCTGAATAGTCAATTCAGTGGAACCGACAAAAGAATGTACCAAAATCAACATGGCTAGAAAATAAATGTACTTCGTAAACGATATAAGATGCCATATATAGCATACAAAAAAATTATAAATGAACAACACGTGTATGCCCCGAATTTTTTAGAGACTCCAACTAGGCAGGGATGCAGATAAAACAATGATGCCCCGCAAGCAATCAAAGTATATGAGATCAAATTGATAAATACAAACATAACAAAAGGACTCGTTCAAAATCCCATCAATGTGAACGAGAGGTATGTGTCATACTCATATACATAATTTCCCGAGTGCACAACAAGAAAGTTCCATAAAAAAATTGCAAAGAACCCTAGTAAACAGGCTAAGACCATATTGTCCAAATGCCCAAAGAGAATACATGAATTCCAATTTAAATAAAAATCTGCAAACAGATGCCCAAATAGAATATATATGAATTCCAATTTATATAAAGATCTGCAAACCAAGCCAATTGAACCTCGTCATAGTACTTGACATGAACAACATCATAAACGTTCGGCTGCTGATCAATTTGAGCAAAGGCTTCACATATTGGCATTCCTGACATTGCATCAAAACATATTTCTCAGTAACATTCACAATACCCTCAAAAAAAGTGATACGAATGTGAAATTGATCAGACAGTTAAAAACCCTAATCACCAAAAACACAGAAAGATGCGATCACGCCGTCGATAAACCTAAATATACTCCCGGATTGAAATTAAACCCCAGAGAAGACTAATAGAGTGCAAAATCATTAAACCCTAATAAACTTCCGATCCAAAACAAAATCGCAAGGGGTAAAATTGAAAAGGGGTTCGGTAAACTTCACCAAGGGAGAAAGGGCCGATCCCGAGACCGGGTCGAAGATCGAGTACGATTGAGCCCATGGATACGCCTTCGCACCTGCGCCTCGTTCTCTGCATCTTCTTTATTGTAGGAGATGATTGCGGCTTCTAATGGGTTTAGAGTCGATTTCGAAGAAATTGAAAGGATCAATAAAACGAATTCATAATCAGTTGAATTATGAGTTTATGGGGATGGAAATCTTTGGCGCCTCAAGGAAGAAATGGAGAGATAGGGTTGATGATTTAGCAAGAAGGGAAGGGAAGGGAACTTCGTCGGTCTTCTGCTTCAAGAAGGGGAAGAAGAATTGGGTAGCCGAGAAGAAAGCGGCTTGCTGCAGTGTAGACGTCAAAGATAAACGATAAACGTGCGTAAGATGAGCTTTGTAATTTAATTTATTTTATTTTTCATTATTCTTTTTAATTTTTTATTTTATTAAGAAATATTAACTCTGTTTATACAATACAATTTATTTTATACTATTTATTTTTTAAAATAAACGTCACATTAAATTTTTTTTTTTCATAAAATATCAAATCAAATACTAAATTTTTATTTTTTTCTTAAACTTCTAAATTTTCAAAAAAACTTCAAAAAAAAAAAAACTCCAAAAACTCCTATTTAAACAAATTCATTGATTTGGTTTGAGGTAAAAAAGAAATGCAATGAATTATAAGGGTATGTTAGGCCGTTTGGCCATAAGTTGGAGTGCAGTGCGTCTAACATGCTTTTATGTTGAATTTGATTTTATATCATTATTATATTATTTAATTTATACTCCCTCTCTCTCAATTTTTATGTACCCTCTTTTATTTTGTTCCGTCTCATTTATTTTGTTATTTTTTTAAAAAAAAATTATATATTTTAATTTTATTTTAAAATTTTTAATTTTTAAATTTTTAATTTTAATTATACTAATAAATTATCTTAATTTTAATTTATAATTATTTTTACTAATATATTTTTAATTATAAATATTCGGAACGGAGAGAGTATAGTTTTTAATAGAAATATTATTTTGGTTCGAAAAAAATATATATATACCTATTAAAATAATTAAATAATATATGTACTTTTAGAAATTTAATAACTGAAAATAATATTTAATATAGATAAATGTTAGTATTTATGTATATTGCTAAAACATATATACACTCATATATAATAATAGTATTCATAGATAATATGTTCTTGTGTAAGTATAGATTGTTAATAATTTTAGGGCGAGTTTACTTTATGTGATATAATAATCATATGATAAAATAATATTGTTTTGAATATGTGCTCTTATTATTTATAAGGGTGAGTAATCTCTCTATTTAATACTCCCTCTGTCCCAAATAAGGTGCAATTTTTGTTTTGGGCACGAATTTTTAGATGGGTAGTATTAAGTTGGATAATTTAAAAATTAAGTGATGTGATGGAGAGAGAAATATATATTTTATTTTTTTATTTGGGTGATGTGATGGGATAAAGTATGGGGTAGATATTAAGTATAATTAATTATTTTCTATTTTGGAAATGTTGCAGGATATTTGGAACGTACAAAAAAGAAATATTGCACGGTATTTGGGAGGGAGTAGCAATTAGTTTTAAAAGTTAGAATTTGGATCCCAAAGTATTGACATTTTTTGGATTTTTTAGTTTTCTGATTATCATCTCAACTTTTATTATTCAATCCAACATAAAAGAAAAATATTAATAATATTTAAATACTTACTATAATACCGGATTTTATTTAATCACAGGCCATAATACATATATAATTTAAATTGATTAATTATCCACCTTAATACATATATTATTTTTAAAAAACTATATAATTATATACTCCCTCTGTCCCATAACAAGATATTCATTTACGTTTTGCTTCATTGTACTTAACGTTAAAAATATCCTTATATTTGTATAATTTTTTATTATAATTTTTTTATACAAATGTCATTATATTAGTATTACAAGACACTAATAGAAATATTTTTGCAATTTTTCTTTGATTTGCAATACGTTTTGATATAATAATTAATAGTAGAGATTTATGAGATACTCTTTATTTACATTATGTTATTGGAAGATTTTGCAAATTAACATTAGAGATTTATGATAATTGATTAAAATATATTTAAACTATTAATTTATACATTCTTCCGAGTATTTATATCTTAATAAAATATATCTCATAAGAGATGTTGTTTGTTGTGTTTATTTGTATATTAAACTAAACATAAGTCTATTTATTATCTATATATTGATTAGAAAACTGTGTGAATAAATAAATATCAATATTCTTATATAAAATATTTTATTAAGATTATAAAGTCCACGTCGACCGAATAGGAAGATGTGTTTCCTAAGCACCGTAAATGCAAAAAAATGTCTATTATTAGTAGATTGATGAGGTACCATTCAAGAATTAAATTTAAATATTCTTAAAATATTTTATCATTAAAAAAAAAAAAAAAAAACAAGGGAGGTGTAAGGGTATAGAAAAATAGTTGATTAATTATTTGAATGGAAAGATTTGAAAAGGGAATCAGATTGGTTTAGTGGATCAAAATTTTCCATGAACATCTCTTTTGTGTTAGTGCGATGATGGTGGTGAGGAAGATGATGATTACGGGTAGTGGATTTGACAATTTTAATATGATGGTAGGGAAGGTGGTAAGAGTCGAGTTGAAGCTGTTCTAAGATCTGCTGTGACCCCCAAAGATAAGCCGAGTGCCCATCGATCATTTCACTCACATCAACCTGCAATTGTAAATCAAATCATTATTATACATATAACATAACAGTAAATGACAAGATAGCATACATACGTTTTGGATTCCTGGGACCTCCACTGCTTGAATGCCAGCCAGTCCCTGGCTCAGAAGACTGCCACGTCATCCCCAAATATAATAAGTAATTGGATAAATAATAGTGGAGGAAGAAATTGGAATTGGAATTGAGATTTACGTGGCACGGAATGCGATTCCAAGCATCCAGTCGTTTGTGGAGTATGCATTCACGTACCGTCCACTCACCGCCTAATTACAATTCATCAATTTCCTTAAGTAACTGAATTTATTAATTAATTAAGCAATCCATCCCCACTGACCAAAATATTCAAAATTCGAAAATTCAATCCAAACAAACTGAAATTTAAAATTTGGTTCGAATCAGAACGGATTGAATTTTTAACGAATTTCGAATTTTCGGATCAGATCGATATACTTAAAATCCGAAATATAATATTTTAATATATTTTTTATTATACATATTTAATATTTTATTAGAAAATATTATATTTTAAAAAAACTCAAATTTATTAATTATATTTTAATATATTTAATTTTTTTTTATATTATAGTATATATTTAATATTATAAAATAATAATAAAATATAAAAGAAATTTAAAAATTAAAAATAATAATAATAAAACCAACGCGCCACCTAGAAGCCCTACTTAAAATATTTAGAATTTCGAAATTTTCGATTTGGTTCGAATTTTTTAATTCGGATTACAAATTTTCGGATTTCGAATTTCGATTATTTCGGTTCGATTTGGATTAGTTTTTCAAAAATTTCGGATTTTCGGATCGATTCGGATTTAACAAAATCCGAAACGAAAATCCGAATGCTCACCCCTTTCCCGATGGGCATGAGTCAACTACTGATTCGGCATGCTGATTTGACCAAATCAGTTTATATTTATATATATTCAAATATATTTATAATGCAATATATATTGTATTATAATTCAATATATAATTTCGTATAGAATTGACTTAATCGAATCAATACAGGATATACAGTCAATCTGTTCAACCAGTGATGCCCTCTAGAATAATTTATATTTTTAAATTTTAAATTTTTTTTAGTAAAAATTATTAAATTTTAAAAAAAATATTTTTTAGTTATTTTTTCTCTTATTTATCCTATTGGATTAGGAGAAATAAAAAAATATATATATTAAATAAAAAATAAATTAACATTTTGCCCTTAAAGTTTTAGAGCTGGTTCGTTCAACCCAATGTAATTATTACCTTTCGAGTGGTTTCCCAGTTCATGTCTGAGATTGGTACTGGAGCCCCCATAAGAACAACTCTTTCCACAATTCCTCCACCTGACATGACACACACAGACAAACAGACATCTTGAGAGAGAGAGAGAGAGAAATAACATAACATTTGAGAACTGAGATGAGATTACTACTACGTACTATCGAGTGGATGGGTCTCAGCCAATGTCTGGAGGCAGCTGAAAATGACCCGAGCTCCCAGTGAGAACCCCACCAGTGTCACAGGCCTGTATTGCATTGCATCAGATTAAATGATCAAATGACCATACCATACCCATATCAAATATCAACACTCAATTCGTTCAAGTTAGTAGTTTTTTAGTATACCACACCCTACCTACCTATGACCTTGCAGCCCCTTTTGTAATACTTCCGCCAGCAGTTTCCCGGCCTTGTCCGACCTACACAACACAACACAACACCCAATCACCCTGTTCAATTAATTAGTTCAATTGATGATCATACAAGAATACCTGTCGATTGCAATTGCCCATTTGCTATCAATGAACTTAGTGAGAGAGAGCAACGTTGCTGGCCACGCCACTGCCGTCACCAGCGTGCTCAGTGCTGTCATCATTGCTCCTTGCTTCATTATTTCCCGAGATATTTCTGCACCACCATCACTTTTAACTAATCAACATCTTCTTCCTACTTCTATTTCGATTTCTTACCATCAATTTACTTACTTGATGTCACCCAGTCCTGAATAGCATTGCTGATCGGAATTAGATGCTTCGACTCCCACTGCACCACGTACCTACGTACACAAATCTATCTATCTCTAAAAATCAATCAACATTTTACTTTTTTTCAACCCAATGATTCGTTCAATTCTATCTTCTTTCTTTCTCTCTACCTTTCCAAGTTATCATCGTACCCTTCCCAGGGCCTCATAAAATCCTCTTCCTCGTAAACAAATCCCGACACTAATATCTCCACCGCTAGCCGCTGCCCAATGAACAATTACCCAAACTTCAGCCATCTCATATATACAAGAACAAGAACAAACTGATCACCATGACAGAAATCAAGAAACGAAATCAACTTACTCCCTGGTTATGATTCTCTCCTATAGCTTTGAACTCGAACTCTTCCACGTCGCTAATTCTCTTTGCCATTTTGCTCCCTGTCAGTCCTGCTCCAGCAGCTGTTCGTACCATTTTCAAACTCCCATCACACTTCACAACGTCGTCTACCACAAAACAGACAACTCAATACATATAAATAAATACCCTAAACTTACCTCCAAACGAAGCTGCAACCGCCACCGATCCGGCGGCGCTGCCGGCGGCAGTAGCAAGAAAGGCACATCCACTCGCCCCCACCACCGGAATTATGGCCCCAACTGTAGGCGCTAAAGCACTGAATCCGGCGGCTATTGCCGGCGCAGCTAAACCTGTGAACGACGTTCGAATGAATCCAGAGAAGAAGCATTCCATTTACCCTAGCCTAGTCGAAAATGGCGTACCGCCGGTAATCGCCATCAATGTGCCTCCGGTCAATGCCGCCGCCCCGATGATCCCTCCTCGCTTCCACTTAGCCCACGTGTCGTCCGTCGATGCGTCTTCTTGCTTCGATTCCTCCTCCTTTAAAATAGCCATTGCAGAGCACGCAATCGTGGTTTCAATCGCTTCCTGGAGAAGGGGATTCAAATTAGGGTTTGAGAGGATCGATCCAAAATTAGGAAATGCATTCGTAAGTACTAATTCATACGAGATCGCGGAGATTTTCGTACCATTTTTATCCATTTGACATCGAACCATGCCGCGAGCAACCGTAATGCGACGCGATGTCTAGCGTCGTATCCCTTTCTGCTCGCCGGCGTGGATTTATCGCCGTCTACGGAAAGATTAGCCAGGCAAGCAGAAAGCAACTGATATAGAACGGTGATCTTCCTCGGATAGGTGAGCATCGTCGCCTCTTCCAACGGCTTACAGTCTGAATCGAAGATCGAAGAACATCGGTGGGGATGATCAGCCACAGGTTCTGCAATGACATCAGTTTTCGGCTTCGGACTTTCAGTTGGATCGCTTGCTTCAGATTTTGATTCTGTCCCTGGCTCCGGCGCCGTAAACTTCTCCCGGCACGCCTGCTCCCATTCGGTTTGTTTCTCCTTCATGTCGTCGTAATTTGCCCTGGTTTTCTCCACCTTGGAAGACACAGCATCGATTCCTTCTGCAAGAGCAACTTCATCGGCTGATTCCGATGATTTCTCACCATTTTCTTCCCCGAGTAGCTTTACGAACTGAAAAAAAGAAAAGAAAAGGATCATCATCACTACACATAGTACGCCATGGAGTTACGATCAAAACGAAGAAATGAAGCAACTAACAGATCCAGCACGAGGTAAATCAGCCGCAGAGGCTAATTCCTCCAGTTCGCCCCACTTTTTGCTCTCGATCTCAAGAAACCTGTACATACAAATCAAAATCAACAACCGCCATTATATGACTGTATACAGAAAGGAGCTGCTAATTCAGTAATACTTGAAAATCGGACGAAGGAGGCCGGAATGATGATGAATCCACTCATGAGTCTCCTCAGAAGCCAAATCGGAACCACCGTCATGAGAGAGGTGCTCTCCTGCACCTCCACCACCACCATCATCATCGTCATCATCATCATCATTATTATTTCGGGAGGCAAAGAGAGTCTGGTGGATCTGTGCGCGGTGCACGGCTATGGCAAAGAGTGCTCCGGCGGCGTACTTCTGCGATGCACTTAGGACAGCCATTGGATTGGAAGATGCTGTCTTCCTGTCATCTTTCTCCATTATTCTGGCCTTCAAACAAGCTTAATTAATAATTAATTATACAGAGCAAACGTGATACAGCAAATTTCTCAAATACAACGAAGAATGTGGTAAAAGGCTGTCGTTGCCAGCATTCATTTCTGATGAATTTGTGTTGATGGAGAGGAATGAAGTTGCAGATAGCAAACAAGCGCGTGTGTGAGAGAGTTGTGGAAAATCAAATGAGATACGGTTAAGGGAGCAAGCAGTTAGTTTTAGGAGTTTTACGGACAGAAAGATCCGACCATGTTTAGCAAACAAAGAGAGAAAAGAACGAACGAACAAAACTATATATGAACTGAATTCCGTGAATACTTCTCAACCATTCAACTTCTTCTCCATCTACTTCAATTTTATATATTATTAATTTTATTATATATTTTGGATGTATTTTTTTTTTATTATCGATTGTATTCTTATGTTATATAAACGGTGTGTTCTTTTAGTAAATTTTTTAAATTTTATATTATTCATTAAAAAAATTATCAAAAATACCAATCAAAAATTTATTTTTTATTTTTTATACTTTCTCTGTCATCCAATTATTTGCTCATTTGCAGAGGCACATTCAAAACGTCATATTAACACAAATTTATATCATATCGTACAACTATTTCAATTCAAAAAATTTATTATTCAAATTCAAAAAATAAAAAAAATAAAAAATCAATCCACAAACAAAACACACGTTAAGATCTATAGCATTAGTATTTGTATTATATTAAGATACAATTATTTTTATCATATAATATGTATATATATTTTCTTATGCGTAGTGCACTGCTGATTAGGTTGAAAACATGCATCCGCGGCCATATATATAAACATAAAACATGTGTTTGGCACATCTCATGTCACTGGTACGACGAAAGTAGACCAATATTTTGTTAGGTCAGGACCTCAAGTCCCCGGTGGCACAGTCAACAGCTAGGCCAGGGTCATTGATCAGCTCATCCGCTCAGAGAAGCCCAGCTTCGGCACAGACGTCCAAGGACCCCAACACCAGCTTAAGCCAGACCATTTAAATTTTTACGTGGGACCCACCTTCGGGATCCGAGGTCCGTGGCCCTCACTCGCATATGAAACAGGCAGGCAGGCAGGAGGAGTTGGAGTTTGCAAGACCGATGATCCATTGCAACCAACAACAATACTCAACACAGACAAACACACCATCATTCATTTATGCCGTGCTGCTGCAAATCCAAATCCAAATCCATGACAGCAAAGCCTAAAAAGGTCATCATCCATCATGATTCATGAATAATAATACTAATACTTTCCCCCTCAATTGGTATCCGGTAAAAGTTATAAAAAAAAAAATAGAAAATGTAACAGTGGTAAATATGTCGTTTTGCTGAATTGTAGCTGTTCGTTCATGTTCATGCTCATGCTCATGGAGTTTCAGATATATATATATCAATCAGAAGACAACAACAGCAACAGCAGGAGCAGGAAGAGGCCAGATTAGAACCAAAACAAGAATACAAAACAAAAAGAAGAATGACGAATCTACAATATGTTAAAAACCAACAAGGAAGGATCAGAGCCATATCTGAAATCAATCCATTGTTAGTTCCTCTGTCCACACCAATCTGCCAAACTAACCCCTTCTGCACTTCTGCTTCTGCCACTGCATATAAAAAACAAATGGGAATTAATTTCACACCACAGTTGATACAATTTTACAACTAAAAGCCTAAATCAGTTGATGAGGAGATTAAACATCATATATATATTTCGATCACAATAGAGCTCATACATCAGGCTTTTGTGGATGCCAAACCATTGCGCTTTCGTTTGTTGGATTTTGAGAAGAACCATAAGTTAGCCCAAGGTTTCTTTTTCTTCGCGGGCTGTGGCTTCGTGTCCTTTTGCACTCCGATCTCAGCCATGTAATGGACGACGGCCTGTGTTGATAAAGATGGCTTCAGTTTATGAAAAAATGATATGAACAAGAATGATATGAGTTAATGAAATGGTAGCAAATCAAATCACCTGTGCTCCTTTCTCAATTACATCCCTCGGGGGGATTGCCAAAGGATTCCCCTCAACATTCAACACACGTAACCGGTTTAGCATTCCAAAAGATTCGGGAAGGACTCTTATCTGGTTGTTATGGCACAGCAATTCCTCCAGCATCTCAAGGTTTCCTATGGACCTCGGCAGGGATTGCAGATCTGCAAAATTGTTGCTTATGTCCAACTTCACAAGCGTTGTTGCGAAACACAGGCTCTCGGGGATGGACTCGATCTCATTAAAGCTAACATCGAGCTGCCTTAGGCTCGAAAGGGATGCCATGGTGGTGGGCAGCTGTTTAATGTTGTTGTAACGGATGGTTAAAATCTCCAACGATTGAATCCGTCCCACTGCTTCGGGGAGTGCTTTGAGACGGTTGTAGTCTGCGTGAAGCTCCTTCAGAGATGCGCAACGCCCGATGGTGTGAGGAATTTCCTCTATGTCATTTGTTTCGATGTTCATTATCTGGAGCTGTTCGAGCAATCCGATCGACTCTGGAAGTGCTGTAAGCCCGTTGGAGCTCAAATCGAGCTTCTGAAGACGGACTAATTGGCCGATGCTCGCAGGCAAAGAGGTTAACTGGTTTCCTCGGAGATTGAGATGAAGCAAGCTGAGCAAACCCCCAATTGATTCAGGCAGTTCCTGAATTTTGTTGCCATGTAAATCCAAGGTTTGTAACGATGATAACCGTCCTATGGTGTCAGGCAACACTGAAATCTTGTTTTCAGATAGATCCAGGGTGATCAAACTCGACAGCTTTCCTATTGAATCTGGAAGCCATTCAACCTGATCGGAGAATTTACCGGAGAGGAGAAGCTCTCGAGTTCCCTTCTTGGCAGACACTTCAATGAGACTGGCTAGCTTTATTAAGCTCAGTTTCTGATCGCCTTCATCTGCAAAGGGCTCAATTTCATTCTCCATAGATACAAACACATTGGAAGAAGTAATAAATCCAGGAAAAGGAAACCAGACTCACCGAAAGTTGCAGGCGGCTTAAGAGTGGGATCGACAATTTGCGGCGCAGCAAAAACATCCTTGGATCGAACGCCAAACGGGACAACCCCACCATCACCATGAAAAGATGGCTTCGTTTTCAAATAAGAATCGTCCTTGGATGTATAGGTCTTTGAACCCCTCACAGCAGCGCTGTCATCGTTGTAGAAACTCGAAGAAGCCATCGGCAATGGCGATTGAGATTTGGAGGCCGCCTGAACAGCAGAGCTCAAACTGCTGGGGGAGAAGGCGGCAGAAGTTGAACCAGGATTGGAGGTTCCTGGGGAGGGGGTGCTTGGTTTGGCCGGACGGGATTGGGGAGTGCGGGAGTAGGAGTACTTGATGCATTCGGAAGCTCTCTGAATCAAATCGTCGAACACGAGGTGGACGCCTTCGAGATCCAGGAGCTTCTCCGCCTCTCGCCGCTGTTCCTTGCTCTGGAAATGGATCATGTTCCGCTGCATCTCCTGTAAGATTCTGAACAATTCCTCGGGGACATCTATGCTCCTCGTTTGCTTCGCGATTGCCTCGAGTCGCAGCTGATCTTCTCTCTCCACATTCTGGATTAAGGTTCGCGCCGCCACAACCTCGTCGATTCCCGGCCGGGGCGGCAACGATCTATGGATTCGCATCACCTCCTCCACGGCGTCGTCCATCGTCATCGAGGACAAATCCATCATCATTTCTCGTCAATTCCCGTTCGATTCTCGCCTGGAACCGAGAACAAACAAAAACGCACAGAATTAGCACAAGAATCCGAAACACCAACAAAAAATTCACGGCGGAGACTCCGTCCCCCCTTCCTCGCAACCAAAAACCTAATTTCCCCTTTCGAATCCAGAATTCCCAATTCTAACAACACCACCACCAACAACAGCAACAAGTGTTTTTTTCCCCCAAAAAAAATAACTCGTGAAAACGCACTTACCGAGGTTAACCTGCAACAGCGCAAAATAGATGTCGGAAATCAGAGGAATTTGCCATGGCGGAGGGGCTGCAATTGTTTATACTAGTCGAGCATGAGCGGCAGCTGGCTTTTCCAGAGGAAAATGAGAGGAAACATTGGTGGATAATTAAGAAATAATTTTCAATTCTGCCTGGTTTCCTCCAAATGGGGCCCCAATGTCTTCTCTTCTCTTCTCTCCCCGCAGCTACAAAACTCTGCCAATTTTACTGCTCTGGGAAGGGTAACTGCGCAGCAGCCACACAACCCTGCACAACAGCCAATCTCCCCTTCCCTCCAATTCCAATTCGATTTCCCCAACCACCACTGAAACAGAGCAGATGAAAACCAAGAAGAAGAAGAAGAAGAAAAGCAGATTGGCGATAACGCCTGTATTATCAATCAATCCAAGGGTGGGTTAGTTTGATTTGATTCTCCCAAACCCACCATAGCCTCCTCTTCCGCGTCTCTTGTGTTGTGTTTTGCATTCCATCCTTGATTCTTCTTCTACTGTAATATTATTTTTTTTTTTTTTCTAATTTTTTATTTATTTATTTATTTATATTATGTTAGAAGCCATTGATTGATTTCCCCTTTTGTCTTTTTTCACCATGGGTTGTTACACACACGCGGATAATACGTACAATTTTCAAAGCATCCGAGCCTTACTACTTATCTTTTAAATTTTATTTTTGTAATATTCGTTAAAATACTCAATTTTATTTTACGTGTTATATTGAAATCTTATATAGAATATACAAATTATTATTATTATTATTTTTATATATTTCAAACAATATAAGTACTCAAATATTGCTAATGCATAACTAAACAAATTGTTTCTATATTACGTGCATTTATCAATTAATAGAAATATATGAGTCGAATAAATATAAATAATTGCATAAAACTTAAATCAAAATTTTCAAAATTGTAACCGAAAAGGTGAGTATTGAGAATCAAATCATTAATTAGATTATATTATGGGTGCAATTGATTATTCCTTTATGGTTTTATTATCATGTGTCCACTACACGACTGTTATAGGCAGCAATAATAAATTAATAATAATAATAATAATAATAATAATATTTAGGTTATATTTATTTTGAATTTTTCTTAAATTTTTTATCATGTAAATTTTTATGTAATTCATATGTATCAAATACTTATTTTAATATGTCTCAAATACTTTACAATATTTTTAAAATAAAAAGTAATTAACAATAATTTATCTCGTCATATCAATCAAATAAATATATATACATATATATTTTTCTCATCACATTACCTAATTCTCAAATTATCCTACTTAATATTACCAACTTAAATTTTTATGTCGGAAATAAAAAAATATCACACGGAGGGGAGTATATAATAATAATAATTATTATTATTATTATTATTTAATTTTATATTTTCAGATAAATAATTGAAATCTTGAAATAAATAAATAAAAAAAAAAAATTGTTAGTTCTTGCATAATTAATGAGAAATGAATACAATTTGAAGATCGAAATAGAAAATCGACAAAACGATCAATAAGACAACAAGCAGCAAACTTATGTGGTGCGTTTGATTGCATTTAATAAATCAGGTGAGTTTGATGAATTTTTGTTTGTTTGGAGATTGGATTTTGATTTAATATTTGAATAATAAAAATTTTAAATTTAATTAATTGTATGCAATATAAATAGAATTTGACTTAAAATTTTGAATATAAAATATTTAAGATAATATAAAAAGTAAAAAATAAGTGTTTGATTTTATATTTAAAAAAAATAAAAATTAATGAATAATATAAATGTAAGAAAGTTTTGTAAACTAAAAACACCTGTTTTCTTTGTATCCTTCTTAATCATAAGAAATTATTTCCTCTAAAAAAATATTTCATTTTATAAACATTGAAATTTAATTTTTATATTTTTATACAATATCAAAATTTTTGTACAATTTAAATCCAAACTGTTTTTATATCACTACAAGAAAAAATCATTTTTGTAATAAAATTTTTTTGTCTCTAAATCTACTTTTTCCGTTACTAATGACATTAGAGACGGAATTAGGAACGGAATTACGTTAGCTACGTGAACTTTAGGGACGGAATTCCATTACAAATATATTATTTTTTTGTAGTGTATGTTTCAATTACATATATGGTACAAAATATTTCTCCCAAACTATTATACTCCCTCCGTCCCAGAACTATAGTCTGGATTGTGTTTGACACGGGATTTAAGAAATATTGATATTATATTGGGAATGGGTAAAAAGTAGAAGTAAAAGACTTTTTTGCCCTTGTGAGTGTATTAGTGTACAAAATAGCGGCAATTGTGTAATAATAATGAAAAAGTAAGGGTAGTTTTATAGTGATACGATTATTTATAGAAATGGGATTATTGTTTTGAAACGGACAAAAATAGTAAACAAGACTATTGTATTGGGACGGATGGAGTAGTATAATACATTTTTATCGGAATTATAGTATAATACATTTATTTCTATGTGATATAGCATATTAAAAATATTCAATCTTTTTTATTATTTTGAAACAAACTAATAAAGTAGGTGGCGGATCATATTTTCATTGGATCAAATAAGCAGTATCTGTAATAAAGATATACGATATATATTATATACAATGTAGCATATTTACAACATATTATATTCCATCCGTCACACTTATTATGTTTGGATTAATGTAGATACGAAAATTCAATATATAAGTATAATTAATAAATAATTTAAAATATATTAATAAAAATTATTATCATATAATATAAATTATTATTGATTAAAATAAAAATAAATAGTAATAATTATAAAATAGAAAATGTGCATAATCATTTTTCTAAAAAGAAAGTGACATAAAATATGAGACGGACAAAAATAGTCATCTGGATACGCCAGGTAGAACGAAAGAAATAATAAAACATATATTTTTTTATAACATAATATATATTATGCTATATAGAAATATTATATATATAATATTAATTTTGATATGATATTTTATAGAAAAAAAAACTATAAAATATTATGTAAAGGAAACTATAAAATATTATATATATTTTATGAAAAATACTAATAAAGATTACAAATGCAACCAAATTTAGAAAGAACACATAATGCAACGTATCCAACATATTTAGAATATATGTTATTTTATTTTTGTAACTGACAATGTCACACGATTTAAATTTTATAAATTTTAATTTATTGGTGTGTAATAAATATTATCGAAGAAGTCAAACATACGATAATAACTGAAGCAGAAAAATACAGACTCTATTATATAGCTAGTTAATTAGCCAAAATAGAAACATATTAATTAGGGAATTGTTCCCATAAGTTTATTATTATTATTATTAGTTTTTAATGTATTAATTTTCTTTATAAAAATATTATTTCAATATTACTTTTAAAATATATAATATAAAATAAATCCACAAATATATGAACACACGCCGTAATAGTCGTATGTGAGTTTATTTTAAAAAATAAAAATAAAAACAAAAAATCGTAAGCGTTTTTTACCATTCATTTTTTTTTTTTTTTAGATTGTGTTTTAGATTTTCCGTTTTCAAAAATAATAATAATAATAATAATAATAAGTGTTAACTATGATGTTTTGTATGAAAATTGAACTTTGAATATAATACTTTAGGGTGCGTTTGTTTGGGGTTTGTATTTTGAATTTATATTTGAATAGTAAAAATTTTGAATTTGAATAGTTGTATGATGTGATATAAATAGGTGTTGATGTGATGTTTTGAATGTAAAATTAATTTTTAGTATAATATAAAAAATAAAAAATAGTTGTTTAATTTAATATTTTTTGAAAAAAAAATTGGGATGATAGTGGATTTAAAATCCAATCCCCAAACAAACATATAAATAAATAAATAAATAAATAAAATAAAATGTTGTAAATTAGCAAAAATAAACTCAATACATACGTTTTATATTTGTTCTTTCTAGTTATTATTTTGTTGAGGTGTAACCATGTAATTGTAGGTTTCAATACAATACTATAAATATAAAATATAATTTTGATCAGCTTTATATTTATTTCTTATCACATTTTACTTAAGCAAATGATAAAAACTAAAAATAAATAAATAAATAAATAAGGTTCTATTCACTTATATTTATTATTAAAGTTTTGTTTTATTTGTAAAACTATTCATCTAATAAGACCATTACATGATGTCTACTTACACAGTAGAAAGCCAATATTGGGAAAATTAGAGTGAATTGGAGCACATATTCGTAAAAGGTCAACTCTTTTCGATTTAATGACAGCGGCAATAAAAAACAAAAAGTTTTGCACTTAAAAAACATGTGGTATTATTCCGTTGATATAACGTTTGTGTGTGTCAATTATACTTGGCTATGACGGAGCTACAGTAGGGCCCCCAAATCCAATTTTTTATGATTTTGTTAGTGTTAAAAATATTAATTTTTATGTGCTCCATCTGTTTTAATACAATATTCTTGTTTTTATTTTTGTCTGTCTCAAAACAATAATCTCATTTTCATAAATAAATATATCAATATAAAACTATCATTATTTTTTCATTATTATTACACAATTGCCACTATTTTTTTTACACTAATACACTCACAAGAAAAAAAAAAAGTCTTTTACTCGTACTTTTTACTCACTACTAATATAATATCAATATTCCTTAAGTTACGTGTCAAACACAACCCAGACTATAGTTACGAGACGGATGAAGTATTTATATATAATTTCCCCATCCCCACACCCAAAATTATCTAAATTTATATATAATTCTATAATTATTTTTTATTTAAATTTATCAATTAAATTTAAATAAATTATAATATTTTGCCCCTCAGATTTAGATGCTAATTTCGTCACTAAATTGAATGGTCAAGAATTTTAGCCGACTATCAATCTAACGGGGAGTACTAGATTAATCTCCTTTTATTGGAACTTCATTTCCTCCTTTGAATGAACTTCAAATTTCCACAATAGTTCATATCTTCTTCATATCAAAAGAGCACTGAAAACGAAAAGCAAAAAAGAAAAAAACATGTTTTTTCTCTTAGGGTGTGTTCGGTTGTTGAATTTTATCAAAATTTTACTATTCATCCAAAATTTTCCTCCCAAAAATATCAAATCAGACACCTATTTTTTATTTTTTATATTATACTAAAAATCAATTTTACATTCAAAACATCACATCAACACCTATTTATATCACGTCATACAACTATTCAAATTCAAATTTTTTACTATTCAAATCCCAATTCAAAATCGAATCCCCCAAACAAACACACTACTAGATTCAAACATGATTTTCACTCTTCACACAAAACTGTCTCACAGTATGCTATACAAATACATTGCAACGGTGAATTATTTGACTAACATTGGAGCATTAAATGCACTACCACGGGTCTGCAATTTGATTTTATTTTATTTTAAAAGTTCTTAAACATTTGATAATTTATTTTTAAATAAAATCTGTACAA